CCAGAATACTCTTGATCTTTATAGCCGAGGACTTCTACGCGCGTAGCGTCTTAACACCAATTAGACCGATCGTACGGTTAGCCCTATTCTAGCAGCGTGTGCGTTCGCGGTCTAGGCTATAAATATCTAGGTACCCCTTCCGCGTAGAGTAGCGTCCGTCTATATACTTTATCCAGGCATTACCTAGTATTATCTCGTTATCTTGCTGCTCTATAATATACGCGAATACGCGCGATTACTTATATCCGTGTACGTCTAGGTCGAAATAGGTCGTATACGTGATCGTTCCAAGGTCGCAAATCACGCCGTCTAGCCGCCTAGGTATATTAAGGCGGATACACAGGAGATCGAGAGATCTCGCGAGGGAGCCGTTTACCGTAGCGTAGCTAGTATAACTATTATTAACTAGTGCTTGCGCAAATTTGATTCTATTTACTCTAGCGTCTATATAAAACGGTAGCGATTCCTTCCTTACTAGATCCTTAATACCCTTTTTGCTCCTGTTCGCGGCTAAGAACAGGAGCTAGTCTTTTTCCGAATTACCCTTAAGGTTAGTATCGCCTTCGGACGGTCTAGATTCGCTCTCGCTAGGTATAGCAGAACGTGACTTCTTCGCTCTAGTAGACGGTTTCGTACCCTTCCGGCCCTTCCCCGTAATAACTATCTTAGCCGCGCGGCTCTTGGAGCCTGATCTAATAGGCGGGAGGAAGGGGCAAGTAGCAACCTAGCAGCCCTCGCGTCTATAACGGAAGCAGAGACCTTCTTCGCGTCGTCGGTCTATCTCGTCCTCGTTAATCTATCTAGCTCGCTTTACTAGGGTATCGCCCGGTCGTACTCGGTTTACCTTAGTCGTAGGGGTCTAATCTATCTAGTCCGCGACTAGTAATCGCGAACGATTTAGCTGCCTTTCGTATCCGTTCTCCTATTATATTAACTCTGTTAACAGGAGGTCGAGATCAGTGTCGATCCGTCGTAGTAATAGGATAAAGTCTACGAGGTTTCCGGGGCTTTCCCTATACGATAGGGCTAATCGTATAGATAGGTTTAGGGAACCGGTTAGAATTAATATCTTTGTATCTTCCGGCTATATTATAGCTCCCGAATCTGCAAATTCCTTCTCGAAAGCAGGCAAAAACTTAGTAAAGGATTATTCTAGTCCTTATTTTATTTCTCTTAAGCACTAGGTAGCCCTCTTCTTTAGGTTTAGGTCGCCGTATATATTCTCAAGGTATAGGATCAGATCTTAGGCTTTTCTATCCTATCGTCGATACTGTATAAAAGTAATAGTGTTCTTACTAGCGTTTCCCTCTAACCGGGAGTAGACGTAAAGTAAACAAGCACGATCGTCCCTAAGGGCTTCCGAATCCACGAGCAATTTATTCTTAATAGCTATCCGGAATACAGGCCAATTCGAGCGATCCCCTTTAAAGGGCGGGGGGTCTAGTAGTCGTGGGCGAGGGCGTCGGACTGGTTCCGATCGTGGTAAATCAGGGAGGGGCGTTCGCGCTGCCGTCTCCTAGGTCGTCGTCTTAGACGCCTAGGCGGGCGCGGAAGCGGGCGTAGAGGTAGGCGTATATAATGGTCTATTCTTAATTGCCCGAATACGCGCGTCTATTCGTCTTTTATATTCGTTGAGCTGGTCAACTAGAGCAGCGTTCTGGTTTAGGAGAGAGGCATTCTGCTCTATAATCGCTCGTGCCTAATCGGGCGTTCTATTATTGTTTAAGTCGCCTATTATCAGCGATCATAGCCGTGCAGACTACGCAGTCTGTTCGTCGTCGTATGCTCCGAGTCTTTCGGAGGCTTCCGTAGCCGTTTTACGATAGGGTATCGGAAGATTGTTGTATATAAAGGGCTGAAGCCGATTTGATTCAATCTAACTAGGCCACGAACTGTTTACAACAATCTTGAGGAGAAAGGAAGGAAAAGGGAGCTGCCGTGTTTACGTATTGCTGAATTAGGGCGGAAGGCCACGGTCACGTGGTCATATACGGGCATGGGCCTGTTACATATAGGTTGTTATCCTTTCGCTGTTTTTCTTCTTCGGCGGGGAGCCTCGCTGCGTCGAGCTCTATTAGTCTTAGTCCGTAGGGGTTGCGATTATAGGACTCCCTAGGCTGATATCGCTATTAGCCCGATCGTCCGTCCTGGCGTTAGCCTCGATAGGGTCGGAAACCGGTATTTCCCCTTCGCCCTTCTCGTCGCTATAGGTCTCTTTTATAGAGCCTATTATCGTACTTGACCGCGATCTTAATAAGAGTGCTAAGGTCCTTAGGTCGGTTAATTCGTATAAGCTCGTCCTTAATATTATCCTTGAGTCCTTGCTTAAAGAGCTAAATATAGGTATCTTCGTCTAGGTCGAGATACGAAATAATTTATTAGAACTCGGCGGCGTATACGCTAGCCGATCTAACCTATCGGAGCCGGTCTAGCTTTCGTTTAGCTGTTCTGACTGTATCGATATCTCCGAATGTCTGTTCGAGTCGTTTCTTGAACTGAGTATACGATCGGAAGATAGTTTTGGTAACGTCTCCCTAATCATCGCGTGGTTTTTCGTTGAATTCTCTAATATAGGGTTTAAACCAGTTAAATGCCTGCCCGCGGAGGTAGGTAGAAGCGTAGATAACTTTATCGGCTTCCTCCCTATAGTTGATTATACGGAGCTATATATCTATCTAAGTTAGGAAAAGGCGAAGCTTAGTTCGCTCTCTATAGAAGAACTTAGGCTTAGGTGGTTTGATAGTTTGCTAGTTAGTTCTTCTCTCGGTAAGAAGTTGCTCCTAGAGCTGCTCGATTATAGCGAGTAGCTGAGTATTGTTTAGTGCTATAGGGATAGACCTGCTCGAAAGGTTGCTTGCGGTACTATCGTTAGGTGCTATAATAACTTTGCTTCACGGTTAAAGACAGGGCGATTAATATGTTACGCGTAGCCGACTAGTTACTATGAGTAGAACTTTAAAGGGTATACTTGCCTAATCCTACTACGGATTCTAAGAGTATCTCGTAACCGTACCGTTGCTATACTAAGCCTTATACGGGCTCGGGTCCTGTTGAGTATCTTGTAGAACGTACTAGAAGTACGCGCTTATGAGCAAGTGTAAGCGTATAGGAAGGATGATGGTATAGCAAACCTATAGATAGAGCTATATAGTATAGCTGGATCGTATAGAGAGGTTGATGGATTGAATAGCAGTAGGTAGGCTATCAAGAATAAATTCAGGACTTAGATTAAGAACTATCTGGCAGGGACTTTAGGTCCTATTTATATTTGATAGATCCCTGTTTTCGGTGGCAACTAGCGACATAGTGGTGATTTCATTATGATGATCTTGTTTTCCATAAGATTCTATGATATCATATGGACTATCATAGAATTCTTTATGATTCTATCTATATCCGATAGCGCTAAGTAAGTTAGTCACTAAGTAGTGCTACTGAGTAAGCTCCTCTACTTATAGGTTAGGTTATCTTTAAAGGTAAACTATGAAGTGCAAAGTACTAAAGGTAGTAACTAAGTAATAATATGTAATTAATCGCGAAGAACTAAATACATAATACTGAATAAGTGTCCTTATATATCTAGTCCTTCGTGGTGTGGTCTATAGTTAGGTATAGGGTATAGTATACTAGACTACCTGTTCCTATAGTCCTAGCGGTATACCTAACTATATACCCTGGTATCACGTGTTCGGTAGCGGCCTGTTCCTGAGTCGTGCTAACCGTCTAATCGTATAAGCGGGTATATAATAGCACGGTTAGATACAGGCCAGTTATAGCTCCCTGCCTAACTGTTTTACCTATAGCCTCCGGGGGCGTGCCTAGGTATTAGGAGTTGCACGTGACGGCGCTAATGCAAAGCGTCCGGGGATCGATTAGGTCTCGGTTGCCCCTCAACTAGCTGCGGCCCTCCCGCGCCTCGAGGTTCGTAACAGAAAGCCCCACCTAGCAGAGGAAAAATACTAGATAGAGTGACCTATCTAGGCTAGAGAATACTCAACACTCTAAAATGATCTTAGATATTCTTGATTTCTTTATATAATATTTACTATATACCTTATATTATAAATTCTGCCTTATTTTTTACCTAAATTAAATAAGTTTAATATTTCTTTTATTACAGGAAGAATTACTAGGTATAGTAGACTATCCGAATTAACCTTCTACTACTTAATTCTTCTATCTAATTAGCCGATTATATTCTATCCTGATTAGTTATTCTTCTATAATCGTAGTACTAAGATTAATATATATAAACAATTTCTATTACGGTCTTTGTGAGCAAGCTATGATGCAAGCTTGTGTGCTGCGCAGGTAGGTAGGAAGAAGAAGATTGAATAAGATAGGTCGATCTTCTTCCTTGATTGAATAGGAAGGTTAAAATCAATTCGGCTTAGAATCATAAAGATAAGATGAGAGAAAAGTAAGGTAGGACTGAAGCTTGGTTGATTGTATTGAATCTCTTGTTATATTCCACATGATCTTGGTAGAGAAAGCAGGGCATATTTATAATCAATGTTTTATGCAATCTTATCAAACTTGTTTCTTGCATATGATCGTTCTAGATAGGTCTAGATGCATAGTGATCTCATGTAGTAGCTGTTTGATTGGTGGTTGCTTGATTATACGATGTAATTGACCGTAGTGATGATGTAGATCGCATAACTATTGTATGCGTCTTTTTATGCCTGATTATCCGATTGGATAGTAGTGACTATAGTATAGCATAAAGCTTATAGAGATTCAGCCATATAGTAGTTCTTGTATGGTCTGATATAATGCCTGAAGGTTTAGACATTTTGCCCTATATCGTATAGATACTCGAGATAGCGAGTGCGTAGATATCTACCCGAAAATTCAATATAAAGCCTGATATAATAACAACGAGTTACACGTATTGGGTAGAATTGGAAGATAGCTTTGCCTATAAACGATGAGTGCTACGTAACTAGCTAATAACGGTATCGAAGGCAAAGTCTATAGTAGGCCAAGATTCTGCCTATTCAAGCACAGAAGTCGATCTCCATACTCCAGCCGTCTAGGGAGTACGAGCCACCATTCCGATGTCCAAGGCACGAGTCGATAATCTAGAGCCACGTTAGTAATTTTAATAGCTTTATGGCAAGAGCTATAGGGACAATTCGAAAAGAATATGTTGATTGCATACGTCAAGGGTACTATCCTAGCACGCCTGTTGATTAGGGATGTTGGATAGGGTAAAAGTTCCGGTATAACCGTTAGTACCAGTCTATTCCTATAATATAACAATTAGAGATTTTGTTCGCCTAAGGAATTATGATCTATAACTTAGCGGGAGATTACTTATAGTCGCAGCGTTTCTCCTCTATATCCCATAACCACAAAACCCCTGTAATAAGTATTAGCTCGAAAGCATCTTTAAAAACCTCTCTAGATCCGTTGTCTTTCTACCCTATATATTTGTTAACTCACCTCGCGGTACTCTAGAAGAGCAGTAGAATTGAGACAAGTATAGGATCCGTGGTACGAAGAGCACTCAGCAGCGTTAGCGGTAGTAGCCAAGAGGGTCGCGACTAGCAAAAGAACTACGAAGAACTGCATTACTCGTGATAGAAGAATGATTTTTAAATAAAAGTCCGATGTGCTGATGCGTATTTTGTTCTGGATGGACTTACTAGGCTGGAATTAAAGTAGCGAGTAGTGCATGTTATATAAATCGTAAGATAGACTGGGAGCGATGTGGACTTACTCTATCATCTGAAACTTAATGTTTAGAGGTTTCCCCGATCTCCTTACGCGCGTTGTAGATCAAAACATAGGAGGTATAGATCCCCCTGAATCCGCCCCTACTTTTCTTTTAGCACTACGGGAGCCCTCCCCGTGCATAGCGACTAGAGTGCTTACCATGTAATTATTCAAGTAGGCCGTCTCTACTGCTGAATTAGGCCTTAGTGCGTTCGTCATGGAGTGTATAGCTGGCACCGAGAATAGGATAACCCACCTTCGAGAACAGCGAAAGGAACGCGAAGGAGAGGGTGCATAGCTAGCTTCGAGAATTGAAGGACCTGCTTCGAGAATTGGAATCTTTACGCTAAACCCTTTTGATAATTCAATTCTCGAAGTTAGCGACCTTGTTATGATGTTAACTACTTGCAGGGTAGTAAGCCTGTCAACTAGGTAGGATAAATAGAGCACTAAGTCGGATTGGAACAGAGACTGTTTCTTAGGGGAGCTCTATCTTCCTCTCCCCAGGCGGATATTATATACATCCTCTATCAACAGAAGGAGGGGTAACCAGGTAAACGTATCAGCCCGCATAAGAAATATGTCGATCAGCGGGCAACTCTCCTCCGGTGAAACAGCGGTGGAAGGGTAGTGGCAGATCATCGAACTGGTGCGCCATAGCCAACCTCCCGGGTGGCCTCAGGCCGAAAGTGTGAATAGCCTCACGGGGGCCAATACTATAACACTATCCGTACTTACTGATAGTAACTAGTAGGCACCGTGTAACACTTACCCTATCTATTAAGTATTTATGTTATGGTATTGACCTCTATGAGGCTATTCACACTTTTCGGCCTGAGGCCACCTGAGAGGTTGGCGATGACGCACCAGTTCGGTGATCTCTCACCCCCCTTCCACCGCTGTTTCGTCGGAGGAGAGTTGCCCGCTGACCGACATATTTCTTATACGGGCTGATACGTGTACCTGGTTACCCCTCCTTCTGTTAATAGGGGATGTATATAAGATCAGCCTAGGGAGAAGAAGATAGAGCTCCCTAAGAAACAGTCTCTGTTCTAATCCGACCTAGTGCTCATCCTCTCCTACCTAGTTGACAGGCTTACTACCCTGCAAGTAGTTAACATCATAACAATTTACCTGACTTGCCTAGATTACGCGACACGAAATCGGCGTTCTTATATTATATTTTAAAAACTTCAGAGAATATAGATTGCGTTAACTCTATTTCTAGTATATACGACTATAGGGTATAGAGAATAGGGCTTCCCTAGTCGAACTTAAGCTATACGCCGGCTAGTTAGCAGTATAGTGGGTAACTATCTATATACGAATCCTGGCTATTATATATTTTTTATTCTTTTTTTCTTTCATTCCGCTAGCGTTTGACTTGATTATTTCATATTTCTGTATTTCGTTTAATTATGCCCTTACTAGCTCAAGTTCCTATAGTTATCTCGTTATGGCTACCACTATCTGGTCGGGCATGAGTGATGTCTTCTCTAACAACGTGGTCAAGATCTTGACCAAGGGGGAGATACAGAAGCGAATCGCACAGGTGGAGACAAAGCGTAAGCGTCAACCTATTTTGACAGAGTCCTGAATACCTCGTAAGCTATGTACAGTACAATTACAACCTTTGCATTTAGTTTATATGGCTCTTGTGTAGTATATATCGGGTTATAAAATCGAGATAAGCGCAGTAGTTTTATCGGGGTTGCCTCTCTTGATATTTACACCGACATTGCTAAGGACTTTCTCCCTCCTACAACTACCTAACGAGAGTTAGTTACTTACCTCTGTAGCTATGATGATAAATAGTACCGCTAAACACGTTGCCCGCACTATTGAATCGCTCCAGCGGTCACCGAATATGTTTTACCTAGGAACTAGGACTACTCTTCCCATTCGGCTCCTCCTCCATAGTTTCGGTGACACCTCTATGAGTGTTGCGGCCCGTGGGTGCGTGTTGTGTACGGCGGAGTATAGAGTTGGGAGCGCTTGGTCACTACAGTTAATCATTAAAATTTTAGCTGGTAGTGGGAAATTCTATTTGTATCTAAGCGATATACGAAAATGATGATTCATTTTGCATGTCTACCGTAAACATCTACCGTAAACAACGGCTGTTCCGGCGAGAATTTGACTTGCGTCTCGTAAACGATGCTATGGAATCTTCCGAAATAGATTGTATTTAACGAATTCAGTCTTGGTTACGGTAAACCTACCTAAATTTTCTTGCTGAATAGTAAGTGTTGACGCTTTCAAGTGGAATGGTCGTGCCATAGAGATGTAGTAGGCCATTGTGGACACGATGATTGTAGGAAATTTGCTGTTGTGAAGTGTGTTCAGATGCGGGGAAGTAGGCCACAGTTGGGCGATATTCAACCGGAATTTTGCCTAAATCTATAAGGTTGGTTATACGGAGTACATCTGCCTATTATGCTAATAGTTTTCTTTTTCTATAATTGCGTGTACTTTAATCACGTCTTTTTGGTATTCAAAATCGAGCTCCGGAAAATTGTATGCTTCTCGGAATGCGTTCTCTACCATCTTCGTTCATTATAGTGGCGTTTCTCTTTCGAAATGGAGCAAGAGTAATTTCGGCTGGGAATTAAGATGCAGTGAAGCTAAATACCTCCTTCTCGTATAGTCCAACGCCTCCAATTGAAATCAATATGTAATTCCCTTCATGATGGGCGTGTTCCTGGTGTTTCTTGTGATGGCCTACAATCTTGACGACTAAGTTATACCCTAACGCTTGTTTTCGCTTCCAGTATCTTTCATATTTTTTTCTCCTCCAATAATCGAGCAGAGTAATAATTCGCATATTCAGGGATCCCTGCAGCGAATTTTTTGGATAATTACACACCCTTAATTCCTAATTTACCGCAAATCATCCGATAATGGACATAAATCCACAATCGACTGTTCTCCGGGAAATTTGCGATGCGGGGCTTCTCAAGATATTATTTAAAAGGATCAAGCCACCGGGTTATACCTTTAGCTTGTCTTTTCCTCAGTTGTAAATCATTTCGCAAAGCAAATCATGTCGATTCGATTGTTTCGGAGGGTCACAGTATGGTGCTCGCTACTCCTTCCCCATGTTGGGGCAGCGCCACCGGACTCTGCATCCAATCCAAATAGAATTTGGGATACTTCAGCTGCATCCAGTTACTCGGACAATTATCCTATCGGCAATGGACGTGTCGGTGCTATGGTAGGTGGGAGTGCGTCCTCAGAGGCCATCCAAGTGAACGAGGACTCATACTGGTCGGGAGGCTTGCTACATCGGGTCAATCCCGATGCATATCAGACCGTGAAGCAGATGCAAACGCTCCTCACCGGAGGATTCTTGCAGGATGCTACTACCATAGCAGGTTATGGTTATCAAGGCACTCCTGTGTCGACGCAACATTACGGGAGTATGGGTTATCTGACTTTGGCCATGAATCACACCAAAACCGTCACTGGCTACCAGCGGTGGCTTGATCTTGAAGAAGGAGCCGCCGGCATGTATTACGTGAGTGATGGTGTCGAGTACACTCGAGAGTATATCGCAAGCAACCCAGATGATGTTATCGCTATACAAATTAAAGCCAGCCAACCCGGTTCTGTCGGTTTTACAATTCATTTGGATCGGGGATCTTCCCTCAACAGGTGGGAAGCATATAGTGAACCCCTCAACAATAACACCATCCTTGTTGGCGGCAGCTCAGACGGTGTGGCTGGCATTGACTGGTCTGCTGGCGCTCGCGTGGTAAGCTCTGGCGGCTCAGTCTACACAATTGGAGATTATGTCTTTTGTTCCGGGGCAGATGAGGCAACCATCTATTTCACTACCTGGACAACATTCCGCCAGGCTAATCCCCGCGATGCCGTGCTTTCAGTCCTCACTAAGGCTGCTGGCAAGAGCTACAGCTTGGTCCGCGATACTCATCTTACCGATTACCAGAAATATATGTCAAGAGTCTCGTTGAATCTTGGGACCTCAACGGCCACTCAGAAAGCGATGACCACCCCGCAACGACTGGCGGCGTTGAATACCACTGCATTTGATCCCGAGTTGGCGGCGTTATTTTTCCAGTTTGGACGATACGTATTGATCGCAACCTCGAGGACGGGAACTCTTCCTCCCAATCTCCAGGGGATATGGAATCAAGATATGGACCCCCAGTGGGGCTCGAAATATACCATCAACATCAATTTAGGTCAGAAATCTTCCCCCTTCTCCTACCGTTTCCTCCTCATCTAACTGGGCATAGAAATGAATTATTGGCCGAGTTTGACAACCAGTAAGTATATATTAGCTCCCTAAAGCTTTTCCTGCGTTCTTCTGCTAATGGATACGAAAAAGACCTAGCTGATTTGACGACTCCGCTTAATGATCTCCTAAATGAAATCGGCCAGCAAGGCAGTGTTGTCGCACAAAAGATGTATCACGCTTCGGGGATTGTCGCTCACCACAATACCGACTTGTGGGGAGACTCTGCACCGCAAGATAATTACTTCTCTTCGACCTGTTGGCCGATGGGAGCCACCTGGCTGATCACTCATCTCATGGAACATTATAGATTCACCGGGGACAAAGCCACCCTCAAGTCAAACTACGACCTCCTCCGGAAGGCCGTTCTCTTTGCTCTCGATTTCGTAACCCCCTATGGAGAGTATATGCTTACAAACCCCAGTATATCGCCGGAGAATCTCTACTACATTCCTAATTCGACAGCACAGGTTGCAATTACATACGGACCAACGATTGATAATTCCCTACTGTGGGAAATACTAGGGGAACTGGTTGATGCTCAGAGAGAGCTCGGCATAAATGACAAGAATCTTACAGACGCGGCAACAGCTCTAAGGAGTAAATTGCCCGCGTTGCGCATGAATCAGTACGGTGGAATTGCAGAATGGATCCATGACTACAACGAGGTTTGCCTCTTTCCTAGGAAAAGATGAGCTTTATATCTGGATTCTAATTCTCCTTATCCATAGACCGATCCTGGTCATCGACACTGGTCCATGTTGTGGGGCATGTACCCAGGTTCACAGATTACAGCTTCCAATCAGACCACTTTCAATTGGGCGGTTTCGAGCATTAATCGCCGCCTGGAGTATGTTCAGATTAATATCTAACTAGCCAATCTCTTTTCCCGAAAATGACTAACTTATATCACTTGAACAGCCATGGCAGCGGTTCTACTGCCTGGTCTCGAGCTTGGTCGATCGCTCTCTCCGCGCGAGCTTTCCTGCCCGATCTAGTACAGTCGAACCTGGCTCAGCAATTGGCAAACTACACTACTGGGACCTCGTTCCTGGCGACCGGTCCTCCAGCACCCTTCCAAGTCGATGGAACTCTCGGGGGCCCTGCTGGAATGGTCGAAGCTTTCCTCCAGAGCCATGAGACGGTGCTCGCGGGCAATAACGGCACACTGATCGCGGCCCAAACTGGGGACGCGAACAAAATCCACCTGATTCGACTTCTCCCCACGCTCCCCTCTACCTGGGCTGCGAATGGAGGAGGGTCCGTGTCAGGTCTGGTTGCTCGTGGTGCCTTTGAGGTCGATATGACTTGGTCAAGCGATGGGAAGCTGACGGAGGCTACTATTACGTCCAAATTAGGCAACCAAGCATATGTGACCCTGGGTAGCTCACCGATTGGAGACACGAATGCCACCAGGATCACAGTGAAAGGCGTCGGATCCGGCGGGTTTGTCTTGTTACCATCAAAGAAAGGAAACAAGTTCACTGTATCACCCGCATGAAAGTGGAGGTGGAAGTCGGATCGATCTCCTGTTTGTTACAGCATATTCGAACATCTTGTGGAGGAAAGTGTGGAGACGGGACTTGCTTGAGGAGTGATTGGAAAGGACAAAGCTGGGGGATCTGTTAGACCTTATGTTCAAGTAACGAGTTTGATCTTCGTATATCGATTCATGCTGCTTGTAGTGTAATATCGAGACCTGTGATAGAGTACACCGGATTAGTTTTGCCGTTTGAGGGTTGACACAACATCTAAGCCGAGTTTAAGCAAAGTTATATTCTAGCTATTATTCCTTCTCTCCCGACGTCTCTCTTTCTCCAATAAGGACAATCCAGTAATCAGCACCATAACATCAAACTCCGTCCCATACTGGACATTAATCTGAAATTTGCCGCATTTCTCCCAGCTTTTGACCCCATTATTCACATAGACTGCAATCAATTCCTCCGTCTGCTCATCAACAAGCTTGAAATTCTTTGTGCTCAGCTTAGACGGCATATCATCTCCAACCGGGGTATGACTTGTTCGCTTCCACACGAAGGCCTTTCTCGCGCCTCCCAACGTCATTTCGATCCGATAATGAGTCGTTAATTTGTATCGCTTCAAGTCCTCCCAAACAATATTGGCATCGTTTGCATCGCCGAATCCTACTTTGCAGTGTCGCGAGAAATTGATGAATTTGCATACTGCGGCGATGGGTGCCTGGTCTGTTTCACCCGCGTGGTATGTCACGTCAGGCTTGCCGATGGTGAAAGAGGAGCATCGCACGTAGGCCAATGGGGTTTTGTCAGCTGTGAAAATGGCGAAGTCGTTTTTGCGTCGTCTGTTGTATACGTGGAATAGCCGTGATGTGGGGCTAGATTCTGGGAGGTCCTCATCGCATGTGGAGGTATGGGCTGAATGATGAGCCATGTTGAGGGGAGTATTGGGAGACACTTTTTCTTCATACGAGGATACCCTCGGCGCAGCGGAACGAAAGACACCATTTATAGTATTCTTTTCAGCAAGATACTACCTAAATTGAGGGAAAAGTAACCCGCTTGTGCATGAATTTTTGAACCTTATGGCTCGTGATTATATCAAGGTTGACTGCGCACCTCGTGTAGGGTGGGGCGAGTCGAAATCAGTGTGGCGGAGCTCATCTCAATCCAGTATCACGGGATGGTTACAGTATACCTTTTTATCGCGGTTACTAAATTTCCAAGGGCTCGTCGTCGATCGGCGGGGCCTTGGCGGGTGCAGAATAGTGGCTGTCAAGGCTAATAGGGTGGGCAAGGCGCGCCGATAGAAATTATGAATAGGAAGGCGTCCATTCTGTCGCCAGGAGCTGTCTTTATCCAATGTGTAGGTAGAACTTGGGTTCATAGGGCAGCAGAGGAATTGTGTTCAGATTGCCTTTTCGAATGAACGTACACTAACGAGAAACTGGGATCTGCGCCAAATCTGTCAGACTTAACTTCATCCTACCTCCTATTAACATGATCAGCCTTGCAGAAATCTCGAATCACAGATATCAATATCTATCTGCAGCAACCAGCCAATTTCTACTATGTAAATCACGCAGTTATCTCGCATCATGATACTTCACAATTACCCACCACCTAAACTCTTCCACAAAAAAGACCGATCGAGATGATCGACATTCCAGAATATCCCATTCCCCCCCCAAGATTGGCCCAGCTTCCGGCCATCATCGCCCCATCATCGATGACCTTCCATCCCTGCATTCCCGGACGACATGCCATGCTCAACGATGGAATTTTCATCCTTGAACGTCACACTCTGACTGGATGAGTGGTTACCATGGCAGGTAACTCATCGAGTAATGCGCCTCTGTTGATAGTTCCTGGCGCTGGGTTGTGGGGGCTGCCACATAGTCCAGCCTGGCGAGACAGGTACGACGAGTTATGAGGCTGCCTCGTCTTTTCTAGCCTTCATCAGATAGGTTGGAATTTTGCAGAAAGTCTCTGCTCGCTGGATTGTTTCCCTCTTATCTGAGCGGTTAAGTGTCCTGGTCTTCCCAATCTAATCGTCTTTGGTCCCTCCTCCATCCCATCCCACGCATTCGCTCGCTACTCGCTACCTCTACACACCACCCAACCTTCTACATCCTAGCAGACAAATATTTACTTGTGTACAACGCTCCGTTGGAAAATCAGATAATTTGTCGGTCGCTTTCATCACACATCGATCTCTTTTACAAATAACCCTATTGTTGCGGCCGAACGGCTTGTCGTTGGCCTGTCAAGGGGCGCCACCACAGCTTCAACCTGTTTATTGCCCACATCTCCAAGCTCGACTCAACTTTACGGTATCCTACCATCAATAATAAGCTCATCTCGGATTGGGCATTGCCTGGCGCAGTCCAAACATCACCCTGCACTAAAGTGACCACACCTTACGCCCTACTGGTACCACATCACCCGCGCCCTACCATGGCCTTGGTTCGGGACCCATATTTCTGGAAACGCTTCTCCACAGCGGTCCACATGGAAGAAGAGGCCAAGAGCGATCTCGAATCGACCACACCCGTCAAGTAAGTAAAATCACTTCTCTTCCACCGCTTAATCTGGGGTAACACCCGGCTAACATTTCTCTCACTCCAGAGAACCAGATTCATGGCTCGAACGCGAACGCCGCAAGCGCAAGCGCTCGCTAATCTGGGGGTTCGTCATCTTCTTCGGGGTCATTCTACTGGTAACCGGCGGCGTGATTGTCTGGTGGCTGGCCAAGCACAATTGGTTGCAAAAGGTCGAACCTTAACAGCCTCTCTTACATGAGACAGGTGTGGTGGCCAATCATTTTTTTGGCTTGGTTGAAAGGTACTGAAGTACTGTATATGCGGTACCAGTACTCCGTACTTTCGGAGGGGAAAGGCGTCAACCTCGGCTTTCATCGGCGTTATGTGAGGGGTTTATTTTGTTGCGGCAAAAAGTCAACCCGCAAGAACTGGAGATATATACCCGCCGCACCTCCAGGGCGGCTTTTGGGCGTGATTGGTTTTAGTAGATAGTTTTATATAGCTTAACGAAATATGAAGATCCTGTTGGAATAATAGTTAGATGGCTTTTTCTATGTTGGATATCGTGTAATCGGTTATCTAGCGGCGGATCGACCTGCTAGAACGGGGATAGTCTTGAGTCCCTAGGCTATCTTGGGATATTATTATCAGAGCAGGGTCAGACCTAGAGTGTGAGGTATGAATTGAATAATCCTAGCCTCCTAGCCTCCTAGCCTCATAAGTCGGATATAAAGTCATGACTGGCTGGAACTATAATGACCTTAGTCCCAAATGCAAGGGTTGGCCTTCTTCTGTCCGGAACTAGGACTCAATCCTACTGCGTAGAACGAGACACAAGTTCCAAAAGCGTCTGGTCTCTGGTCTCTCCTGCGGACTTTCCCCCGCCGACTCAAAGCGACGTGCCTATCGCGGGCCTATCGCGGGCTTATCGCTTTCTCCACACTTTCTTCCCCGCAGGAGCTCCCTTCGGATAAAAGGCGCGTGCGGCCGCTCTTCTCTCCGTTCCACAGTTACGCCGCCATGCTTCCTCCATTCGACTACTTTACGTACCGGCGAGTACGGTAAGTGCACCCTTAGATTTTCCTATTCCTGTAGCATGATTCACCCGCTGACACCCTTTACAGCAACCAAAAGCAGGCTGAGCGTGCTGCTCGCTTTGCCTCGTTGCCGTACCCGTATCATACCAGCTTCACCGACACCGATAAGAAGATCATCGACCAGCCCATTGAAGAGTTGGTCCGTGATGTTCAGGAGTCAAATATCTCCCCCTTGACTGTGCTGCAGGCCTACGGAAAGGTTGCGGTGAAAGCCCAGGAACGCACCAACTGTATCACCGAGCTACTCCTGCCAGAGGCAGAGTCATGGCTCGAGTCGGATATTAACTTGAAGGGTCCCTTGGCGGGTATCCCGGTCTCGGTGAAGGATTCTATTCAAGTCAAGGGCTTTGATACTACCCTGGGTTACTCGGCGCTGGCGAATAAGCCGTATCAGGAGGATGGCCCGTTGACTCGGCTATTGAAGGATGCCGGTATGTTTCAATCTACTTACCGGGGCGTTTCATACTCTAATCATGATCATAGGAGCTGTGCCGTATGCAAAGACTGCTCTTCCCATTACGCTGCTCTCTTTTGAGTCTGCCAATGGTCTCTGGGGCCACTGCCGCAATCCCCATGTCCCCGAGTACAGCCCCGGTGGTTCAACTGGCGGTGAAGCCGCTCTTCTCGCTCAAGGCGGCCGGATTGGTATCGGCTCCGACGTTGCGGGTTCGGTTCGAGTGCCCGCTGCTTGGAGTGGTATTTACTCTCTCCGCTGCAGCACTGGCCGCTGGCCCAAGGCCGGCGTGCACACCAGTATGCCCGGTCAGGAGGGTGTTCCCAGTGTCTTCAGCCCGATGGCACGCACCCTCAACGACCTCACATACTTCACCAAGGCGATCGTTGGCATGCAGCCCTGGAAGTACGATCACACTGTCCATCCCATCTCATGGCGGAAGGAGCTGGTAGACGAAGCGCAGAGCAAGTCCCTCCGTATCGGTCTCATGAGCACCGACGGTATGCTTTACACTCCCTTATCCCCTCCCATTTCACCCGAATCTCCCTGTCTAACACTCACCAGGCGTCGTCCCTCCCACCCCAGCCATCGAACACGCCCTCTCCGCCACCGTCGCCGCCCTAACCGCAGCCGGCCACACAATCACCGAAATCACACCCCCCGCCAACGCATCCCCCTTCACCGGCCTCAACCTCGCCTCCCAACTCCTCAACTCCGATGGCTGCCACCACTTCAACACCAATCTACGCAGCTTCGAGCCCTCCGACCCAGGCGCCAACCAACTCTCCCGCATCGCCCACCTCCCCAAGCCTCTCCGCTACCTGTACTACCTGTACGTGCAGTACATCAAGCGCGACACCGTCCTAGCAACCCTAATCAAAGACTTCGGCCCCAAATCCTCCGCCGCGCTCTGGCTGCTCGTCGCACAGCGCGAATCCTTCCGCGCAGCATGGCATAAATGGTGGGACGCCGCACCCCAGCAATTCGACTTCATCCTCTGCCCTGCCAACGCAACCCCCGCGCTCCCGCACAAGGCCATGCATGACGCCGTTTCGTCCTGCGGGTATACTTTCCTCTGGAACCTGCTGGATTACTCGGCTGGCGTTGTGCCCGTGGGACACGTCGATGCGGTCCGCGACGCGCTGGTCGTGCCGTATAAGACGGCTTTGAAGCGGGTGGGTTGTGATCATGCCGTTGCGCGCGGTGCGTGGAAGCATTATGATTCCGGGAAGATGGCTGGCTTGCCTACCGCTGTACAGGTTGTTGGGAGGAGGTGGCAGGAGGAGTCGGTGTTGGGGTATATGGCGGCTGTGGAGAGGGCGTTGGAGGAGTATAAGGATCCGAAGACGGGGGTTAGTTGCAAGTATACTTTGTTAGAGATTGATTAGGTAGGGTTGCCTAGGTGTGCTGTTGTAGGTGTGTGGTTTTTACTGTGTCAGATATCCAATTTACTTTATCTTGGGGCTGTTGAATTGGTCTATGCTGCGTTGGTTGTTGATGTGGGTAATTCAGCATAGTAGACAGTAATGCGAAAGCTCGATCGCATAATCGTAACTGCCGGTATACGAGCGTAGCACCTCGACTACTTCATGATAGACTAATCTACCGCCTAGACTCTTTCACGACGGCGAAGAACATGTCATATCGCTCGGGTGCTTCCTTGCATCCTGATCACCATCAACGACCACCGCAAAGCTCGAGGCGGCACCAGCCCTGCACCTTGCAAATTGTGAATCAGGGTCCCTGACAGAACTACTCTACGCCGTACCTATATAGCTCAGCCCAGTTCAGGCTTAGAAATTGCCAGCTACAAATAATAAGTACACCTAATGACGGCACGTTCATGTGAGGTAGAATTTTCAGTACAATACTGTTATGTAGTGTAGCGCCGAGTGCAGATCAGCACTTGTTTGGTGGGAGGTAATTATGCAAGTTGAATCCTTCTGACGCCCGGAAAGCTGAAGAATGTAGGCTATCGAGAATTATGCGGCCAGTAAGGCGCCATAAAGTAAAGTGATAATAAGAAGAGTCTAATATTTTACGTTTTATATTTTATACTTCAGGAGTGCTAGGCGAATAGTGCTTCGGACTAAAAATACTACTGTAATTTCGGCATTCCCGTGGCACTGGTGCATTGCATGCGATCGACGGGCAATTCCTCTACCGGGGGGATGGGATGGGATGGATTGGAATACCGAGTTCTCGGGGAGTCTGTGATGATCTGATCTCGCGAAGGGGGTTTGGGTTTGGGCTTCGCAGTTCCTTTAAGCGGGGTTGGAACTTGGCAGGTCTACGGGACGGGACCAGGTTGGAGATTGGCGATGTCAGGGTGGTGTCAATAGCTCTCAAGCTGTCAGGCAACCTTGAACGAACACAGGACTCTTTCAGTATGTAGTCCACAAGCGCCTAACATGGAAACCAACAATAATCAATGTGGGATCACATTTTCTCGGTGGTGGCACACCTGGGCGGCTTCGGATTAGTCTGATGGACAGCAAGCTGACCCTTTTTTTTTTTTTTTTTTTTTTTTTTTTTTTTTTTTTGGAGGGCCGCCTCGGTCTGAATGTCTAGATTGCTCTAGTCTGGGTTAAGGTTTTGGGGGGTTCGTGTGTTGACTGAGTGGATGACTGGATGTATCACGTCCAGAAGAGCGATGGCCAGCGGGGAACCCTTGGGAACCCCGTAACCGAGGACAGCTCCCGACCGTGCAGTGTGCAGTGTGCACGGTGGTAAGATGTAGCCCCTGTGTTTCAAGAGAAAAGAGCTGGAAAGCTGGAGTGTGGATTTTTCGGATCGCGGGGGAAAGAAAATGGGGTCATGGCCTCGTGTTTGAAACCTTCGGGAACGCTGTTGGGAGGCTGGATATTTGGAATATGGGTGATCATTCAAGATGAATAATAGTAATGAGGGAGCGGGAAGTAGTAGACCGCCTCTGCGCCCGCGGATCATTTATCCGCCAGCCAGTCTAGACTGTCCGACGAATAATAAGATCATCCAAGACTTGAACTCCTGTTCATCAGCCATCAGCCATCAGCATAAGCATATTGGGAAATGTGGTCCCGTCGTGGCGGGACGGTGAGGAGGGGGGTCTAGAAAAGCACCCAAGACCAATGGCCTATCCTGGGCGATGGCCTGCATCGACGGTCCGACCAGATGGACTGATGGACCCAATCGAAGCGATGACAGTCGTGAGAGTTCCGTTTTAGCGAACGGAGCGGGCGGAACTGCGTCGCCCTTCGTATTCAGGTCCCAAGCACCTCCCCTCTCGCCCACCTGCAAGCCTCACCTAAGCTTGCCACCCGACCGGGGGCGGAGCAGGGTCCCCTCTGATCGCGGTGGCTGTTGGCTTGCTTTTTTGAGCGCGGGATATAGACGGGGATTGGAGGGGGAGGTGGGGGGGGGATAATGATAATAGGCGAACCTTGGGACTCAAGTAGTCCTCCCGGCAGGGCCAGTGCGAAGGTTGGGCGCTTCCGCGAACTTGGGAAGCGAGGTGGTCCCATCCGGCGCTAAAATGTGATGCTGGGGGGGGGGGTCCCACTGGTGGAGGGTGGAGGGGGAAGAGGAAGCGAACCAGGGAGGTAAGACGGTAAGAGAGGCTGCAAGTCATTTGGCTTTGGGTTTGTTCTTGGAAAGTGACAGGTTGAGTAGCTGGCCAGATGAGTAGATTTGGCAGGTGTTTGATACTGTTCTCCGGCGTCGACCTCGTGGGCTGAGGCCGACTTCTGCTTCTCAGTCGAGACGCGCGGGTCACGGGGTCGGGCCAATCTCCAGCCTGTCACGGCCCAAGTCCACCTGTCAAATTCGTCAAGCTTCCTCATCGTCTTCATGGTCCATCTCGAGCTCGACCTCGAACTCGATTGATTTTACTTCCACTCCCCTCAGTGACGGACTCTCTCGGGGATGTTTCCCCACTTCTCGTTCTGCAGCCGCTGGTCTTTTACCTAAACTGGTCCTGCCAGTCCAGTCGATCAAACTCTTTTAAAAACGAAAAAAAAAAACATAAACAACCCCATTCCCCCTCCGCCTTCCATCTTTCTCTCTTCTCTGGCATTTCATCATGTTCCATCTGCGTCTATAAGGCGAAACCTCTTCCTCCCGTTCCCTCTCCCTCTTATCTCCCCAACTCCTTAAATAACGCCACGCCTGTCATCCGGTGCTTCCTCTGCGATCGCCAATCATTCCTACCCGTTCGAGCCTGACCTGTCACTGTCAAAAGTTACCGCCAACTGTCGACCATCCTCGCGACCACCACCTCCCCCAAAAGTTCCTCCTCTCCCCCTCCTCTTCCCCCCCCCCCCCCAATCGCGCTTAATCGCAGGATGCCGACCCGCCTCCTCTTGCGCTCCAATTCTCGCAACGTTCTGCGCTGGTGATCAGGGATGATCAAAGGGATATGGCGTCCCGAAAGAAACAAAATACCACCCGCAAACGAGACGGGATCCACTTCGTCAATGCCAGGCCATCTTCCGAGACAGAACGACTCAAGGCGCAGCGATTAGTCCGCGCCCACGTTGGAAGATGGATCTCCGATCAAACCAAAGACCGTTCGGCGGCAAATGAACAGTCGTCTATGTCTGCGCCTCGCAATTCTCGACCTTCGATCACTGCTGAGCATGCGGGGCCCTCGTCTTTTCCTATCGTATCTCATCCACTGCCGTATACAGCGCAGCAGACGCTGGTTGTCGGCACGGCTCTTTCGCACCCACCACCGCACGATTGGCCCCGGTCGCCTTTTCCTCCTTCCCATGTGAGCGATAGTAGTGATAGCAGTGGTAGTGACGATGCGAATGAGGTGACGAATTTTGGGGACCCCGTTACGATCGTCCCATGGAACGAGGTGTCTCGCATTGAGCCGCAAATCTCGGGATTCTTGGATCCATTTTCACAACATCCATCAAATTTTGCGCCAGAAATAGTTAATCTTTGCGAATCATATTGTGTGTATTGCCTGAATACCCGAATGTCGACGGTCCACCAACCGAGGAACGAATCATCCGTCTAATACTGACCAAATTCCTAGGTATAACGGTGGTGTGGCCGGGACTTGTTCCTAACTCAGGTAGCCAAGACAAAAAAGCTGGCGAGCTATAGTTCCCGCTTTCACTATCAGATCCAGCTCTCTTCACGGCATTCATGTTTGGATCACTATGCCATCAGCGAGTCCAATGGCTGAAGGGCTGGGTTCCAGGGTCGAGCTTTGGGCCCAAGCAGCAGCGCATTTTACAGCTGTGCGAAATGGAATCAATCAAGTTGATTAGCGAGGCTGTGCAGGATCCTACCCGTGCTGTCAGCGATGCAGTCCTCCTGAGTGTGATTTGTATGGCACATCATCAAGCGCTCGAGGAGAGTCCGGATCAATATCGGAAGACGCCATTTACTCCACCCTTTCAGCGGTTGCAATGGCTTGACGTGTATGGTCACTTGCCCCCGAACATGATCCACATTCATGGGTTGGCCCAGCTGTTGAAAATGCGTGGTGGGTTAAAAAATATCAAACTCCACGGCTTACGTCCGACCATCTGCTTGTAAGTGATAGCCCAGGCAATATTGCAATACCATTGAATCCTCCTTACTAACTCTGCCACCAGCTCGGACATCATGACAGCGAGCTGTTTCTGCATCTCCCCGGGCTTCGAGTTCTGCGGCATCGACGACAGTCGAAGTAACCTCTCCGTCCAAGAACTTCTCGGGTTTGGCCCTTACCACATCGACCACAGTTTCCGCTGGCTCGAACAACTCGGTCTGACCTTCCAAATAGTAGAGGCCATGACCGCCGCAGCCACCTACGTCGACATAATGAAAACCTGCCTGGAAGGCAGCCACGACGTCTCATTACTCTCAGACCAACGCAACCTCACACAATACACCATCCTCTCTGTCCCACCCGCCACGGACACCAAAAAGACCTTCTCCCAACCCATCGACGAAGTAGCCTACGAAGCATGCCGTCTAGCCATGCTCATCTTCGCTGTGGGCGTCGTCTTCCCCATCCCTGCAAATAATACACCCCTACCAAGTCTGGCGCAGAAACTCCAGGCGGTACTGCGTCGTCCGGAAGCGGCTGAGCTGTACACGTCTACGAAGTACTCCGTGCTGTTGATTTGGATGCTCACCATAGGTGGCATTGCTGCCTTTGATAATCCCGCCGAACGCGCGTTCTTTGCTTCCGAGTTGATGGAAATTACTAGTCGTACTGGGTTGACTGCCTGGGCTGATGTGAAACGTGCCATGGACGTGATGCTTTGGTATGATATTGCCTGTGATGAAGCGGGTGAAACGTTCTTCACGGAAGCGCAGAGTTGTTATGTCATTGAATGAGTACCGTCACTGCAACTTTCTGGACGTTGTACCCGAGACTGATCAACCTCTCGCTGCCCCTTCTTCACACCTGACCCTACTGTCATCCCTGTGACTCGATCATATCGATTACATACCTGCGGTGGGCTTGTTCTTCGCAGCCCCTTCAAAAGGTACAGTCGAATCGTTCCTCGTCATCACTTTCTCTATCTTCCGCTCGACATATGGAGAGCCTCATACTCCTTCCTGCATCATGCACTATGTTCTCGGCCCGCTATGCTATATAAACCCTCAAAATCCCGGATTCAGTACATAGTCAGTGCCACCTCTTGTTTTGGATTTCAGTGGAATGTGCCTCTCCGCGCCGACTGCCGACTCACGACCTTCCCTGGTGGAAGCCTTCGCTCCCAACGAGCCGGGTTGGTGCACATTACAGTTAATGCCATTATGAATATAACATCACATTACCGCTATATACACTCCAAGTAGTCTCGAGGAAACACAAGTCAGGATACACCGTCCCAAGTCATACTGTATAACATACTGTACTCCCTCACCCTCCCACTCACGAACCATACCCCCTCTGCCCCTGTGTACCACCCTCACTATCAGCACTACTCAACAGGGGCTCCCGCTCCCAATCTCTAACCGTCACCCCCTGACCTACAACATGACTCTGACTGCGACTCATATTCGCCGTATCCTGCCCTCCACCACCACCAACACCCACAAATACATTCTTCTCCCGCTCTCTACGAATAACAACAGTCTTCCAACTAACAAACACCACCAACACACCACCCACAACCCCAACCAACCCCGTCAACCCAGCATTCACAGGAACAGGATCCCCCCCCAAACCCCCTCAACGTAATCGTATCCAACCCCGCTTGCGCGAAATTGCCCACCCCGGCCAAACAAATAATCAACCCATACACCTTCCCAAACGTCTGGAACCCAAACACCTTCGCCGCATAGTCCGACACAGCGGTATAATAGAATGGTCTGTACAGCACGAAGAGCGCGATATTCGCATATGCCGCGTCCACGCTCCCCTCTATACAACCCAGCACCCCGATCACAGTCGCGACCACGACGAGAATCGCTAGTACGGTGCGTGTTTGGCATTTGTCCAGGAATGTCCCGATGAACGGGATCGATACTAGGCCGCCCGTGGGTAGGCAGATGTCGAAGATGGTGTTTATGTGGGCGGCTTGTGTGGGGGAGTGTAGGAGGTAGGTGTATTGGGAGCGGAGGGTGGCCACGAAGTAGTTTATGCGAAGCATCATTAGGATGGTGAAGGCGGTTATTAGAGTGAACCACGGGGTGCGGAGTTGGGAGAGCGCGCTGTGGCCGTGAAGGACGCCCCAGACGCCGCTGTTGTGGGTGTTTGGTTGGGGCTGGGGTTGGAGAGGTAGTTTTGGTGGTTTGGGGGATTGGCCACGGGGTATGTGGTGTAACGGACTTGCTGGGCGAAGCGAAGAATTGAAGACTGAATCGTTGATTCCTGCTGCCGAGACTATGGAGGCGGTGCCGTCGTCGAGGAGGTCTGTGATTTTGTTGACGATGTTTTGGCGGTGTTCGCGGCGGATGTTGCGTTGGCGTTCGCCTTCGTTGCGGTCGTGGATGCGGTCGCTGACGCGGTCGTGGAGTTCGTCGATGACTTGGGCTTCGGCTTGTTGGACGAGTTCGCCGGCTGTTTTATAGGATGTTGACGGCATTATTGCGAGTTGGATGGCGATGATGAATATGGGGACTACGAGGTATGATAGGAAGAATGTTCGGGTTGAGATGAGGCCGTTTGTGGTCTCGTTGAGAAGCCGGAAGATTAGGAAGAGCGCGCTGGATGCGTCGAATGCCCCGGTTAGCATTGAGAGAATTAGTCCGGACCGTTTGGGGAATGTATTTGATAGTTGGAAGGAGGAGATGAAGACGAATGGTCCGCCGAGGGAGAGAAGGAGGTATCCCGGGATGTATCCGTCAAAGGGTAATTGCTTTGCCATGGCGAACAAGGTAGCACCGGTGGCTAGGCAGATGCTCCCAATGATGCCGCACACGCGGGGACCGTATGCATCTAGGATGGTTCCGACGGGTAGAGCTGAGACGTTGGTTACAACGGCGGCAATAGTAAACATCAAGTTCAACCTGGGAGACAACGTTAGCAAGTGCTGAAAATTAACTCTATGGTGTGGTTCATACTTGATTTCCTGCCCATCGCACACCGTAACATCGTTATCAAGCTCCTCCTGGGAGCAAAGATTACGATATACATGCTCCCTGATAAGGACGGGCTTTAACGCCGCAAAGCCGAATACCACGCCGGCCGCGAGAAAGCAGTAAAGAACTGCTAAACATACCTGGACTGATAATACCACATTAGCAACCACGCACCGAACATGCTCTCCAGAGCTCGACTGCTCAACTGCTCGACTTCGGCATACCGATTCGTCGTGCAGGGCTCACTTCAAACGCGCCCCGCGTCTCCGACAACCAGGGTGGCTCCTTGTGCAGCACTGCCACAGGAGGCGTTGGCGGTATTCCTATTCCCCGCTCCGATTCCGCACGCGTCTCCCGCGTCGTCGTGGGGGAGAGACCCAGAGAGCCCAGCAGCGAGGGACGATCGTCGCGATCATCGACTGCGCTCTCGCTCCATCCAGGCCCCGCATATGGATTGAAATTGAGTCTGCTATACGTGGAGGGGAAGGAAGATGCTATCGAGGCGTCGTCGGGGAGATCCTGGTAGCTGTCGGAGTCGGTGTCTGACTGGGGCTCGTCCGTTCGGCCCCGTAGGAAAGCTGCGGCTGGAGCGCGCTCCCATCCTTCGAGGAAGGAGATGCGTGGGAGGGACATGGCAAAAGGGACTCTGGATTATACGGTCATGGTCATTAGAGTTGGAAAAAGAGAATTCATTGTGTTTTGAGGATTGGACTTTGGATTTTGGAGGTAAAGCTAGTAGAGATAAGATGATGATGCGAAATGATGTGACGATGGGTTGGTTGGTCAAGATTTCCTTGTTTTGGCGATAAGCTCCTGCCAGTCACCTGATCGTGATCACGTTTTGATGGACAACACAACGACCATGTCTGTTTTGACATCTTGGACATCTGATGAATATCTGTTGATGCTGGATCATTGTTTAAAGAGGTTATATTCTGCAAGTTTCGCTACTGTTGGCATTGCTGTCGAATCCCAAACTCTCTTGCTGCAAACCCCCCCCCCCCCCACCCAGTCGATCCCCTGAAATACGTACACATACCCTTTCGAGTTTGACTTCGGCACGTATCGCTGAAAGAGGCAGCTCGATTTCTCGGCATCTACTGCATCCCCACATCATCCACGGACGAACGCTCCTTGACTTGGGAAGAGGACTGACTAATAGTGAATGTACTGCCCTGGCCCTCCTGGCGGATACCGTAATTACCTTTTTTTGTCTGCAACCGCGGCCTCGGGGAGATTATTAGCAGTATTAACGACTCACTCCCAGCGCTCGTGGGAAACCCAATAATAATAATAATAATAAAAATGCTCGAATCATATCGTCGGCTTCCATCCCTCCTCGTGTTTCGGGGACTCCCCTCAACCGCTCAAACTCTCACAGCCGCCCCTCCTCTCCCCCCCCTGGGTCCATCCCAAGATCGGCAGGGTTCGACGGGTCCGGAGTAGTTACGCCATCCAATTCCACGGGTCCAAGGTCCAACGAAATGAATCCCGAAGCAAATCGCAGACGGTGCCGAATTTCTTTTCTGGTTCTTTTCGTTGTTCTTCTGGATATGCCCCCACAGTCTGCGGGATTTGTCAGGCACCAGATAGCTAATCCCGGCGTCCCCGATCCAATAGTACGATTCTTGAGTCGTGTGTGGACATTTTCCCCTGGGGCTTGATTGACTTTTACAAAGTACTCTACTGGAAAGTCTGGGAGTTTTTGTTTGATTGCAACCATCTTCGACATCGCCACATGGTCGTTGGACCCTCTTAGCATCCGAGGAAGCGTCTGGCCGAGAAAGAACTGGCCATTCTGCGGTGTTGATCCTGAACAGAGCACCCCGGTGAAGCTGCAAAACAGGAAAAGTGGACGGAAGCTGCGGCACTAGTGTTTCCACCGTCCAAAAGCTTGATGATGGACTGATGCAGACTGATGAGCGGTTCACCATTCAAAAGTTTACCAACAATTCTATTTTTTTTTGTTTAATTTGGCTCGGGACTAACCTAACCAACAGCTTATGACAGCGGTAAAATGGGAGAGTCTTGGGATGACTGGATAACTAACTCCTGCCTAGTTGAATGCCATGAGCTATCTTACTCATGTGCCAGTCAGCTTATAAATGCCATATGTCCGCCACAATGCCTTGAAGTTCGGAGACTTTTCCGTGGCGTTCTTTCCTATGATTGGATCCCTGGTGCCCAGCTTGGTCTATTACCAAGACAGAAGTACTAAAGTGACAAGACTGACGCGCAACGGCCAGTAGTAGTCTGGCACAGAGGAGCCCTGGTCGTGTCCACATACTTTCTGGCAGTCAAAAAAAAAAAGTAGAAATACGAATGCGAACGGGTGTCTCAAATCTCAATATACAGAGTAAGACGTCCTGTGCACACTCTTAACACCACGGCATCCTCTCCCACTCTCACCATACCATTTACTATTGAAATGGCCGTATGTATGCAGTATGAAGATCTACGAGAATCACGCAAACTCGCTTGTTCTTACCGCTTCAGCGCCCGGGTTCCCGAAGCCAGCTGTGCTATCTCGGCCAGAACTCTACACCTTAAAATCTTGCTCATTCGGGCAAGGATCGGTTTTGATCGGGGGGAAATAATAGCACAAACTTTGTTTAGGACTCGTGGGGTGCGTGTGCCGTCCAACCAAAACCAGCAGGAGAATGTCAAAACAGCGGCTCGGTGGGGAGCGTTGCACCTGGCGTGGATTATTGACGCTGGGCCACGTCTGCAGTAATCCTGGAGGAGGCTAGGAGCCATTTGCCATCTGACAGACTCACAGTCCAGTCCATTCGAAATACCCACTCGTCCGGCGCCTTTGCTCCTCTTCCTGCCGAGCTAATCTCCAACAGCCCAGCTCGATGTCTGGTTGTACTCCAAAATTGTTTGCGCAATGGTCATGATGATCTACCCATAAACCAACCAGCTTGTCTGATTTTTTTATGGATCATGCTGAAAGTGGAATGGAATGGAAAAAAAGGACGCCCCCCCCCACTCTCTCTCCGCGTAGCCGCGATTGCTGAATTTAGCCTCGAAAGGCTCCATCAAACACTTCCCCATGGTAGATAATTTTGATAGGTTCCGATTCAGGGAAAGGTCCTTGGTCTATATCTATCTAGTGTCCTCGGGTCTGGGATACCGAGTATGTTTTCTTTCTGGAAACTTTCCCAGTTTGTCCTCGTTCTCGCCCCCGTTGCTGCGTAATGAGGGGATGGTCAGTCATTTTTTCTCGACACTGTTTGTGAAGGTTGCAGAGAAGAAGACACTTACTGACAATGATACTACTCTAGCCTCACCTGTCGGCTGCGCCATCTGAAATGTATGCCATGATATGCACAGGATCTATATTCCATTTTTGGGGTGGGACACCAACTAACTAGTCTTTCTAGGTGACAAAACTGGAGCAAAATGTATGCGCTGCCAAAGATCTGGCCGGGAATGCATCCCTGCGCCTGGAAAGTCGGAGGAGCTTTCTTTTCGCCATGGCCAGAATCCATCCTTACGCGGAAAGGGACCCCCGAGGTACGGGGAGAGTGATTTGACCTTCCCGGATGACCAAATCTGGGTGGAATCTTCCTCCGAATGTATGTGACAGCGGTGTAGCCATGCTTTTCTCCTGGAAGAAACCAAGACAGCCGGTTTTTTAACTTCCCACTACAGACTCCTTCAAAGATGAAACCGACCAGACGGCCGCTGAGTATCATGTTATCCCAGTGACAGGCCATTCAGCCTCAAGATCACCATCTGAAGCCCGATCTACACCATCATCCATCATGGATCCCTCTCTGCCAGGTGCGAGTACTTCGGTGCCTTTCTACATCGCAGACTCACGAGGGGGTTCTCGTTCTACCTCTGCGCATTCTCCTCAATCATCCAGTACGCCCGTGTCCACGCCCAGACTGGCCAATGTCAACGAAGCCTATCTGCTTCGACATTTCCAACGACACCTCGCACCATGGGTAAGCAATCTCCCTTGTGCGCGATCCGTGCGCATTGCTGACAGCTTAGCTTGATGCCGGTGATCCCGAGAGACACTTTTCCGCGGATGTAGCGGGGCGAGCCAGTGAATCTCCTCTCCTTTTGTACGCCTGTCTAGCTGTGTCGGCATGTCATCTTTCCAGAACGGCAAATACCATCTCGCCCGATGTCGCAGATAGCTATCATGAGCGTTGTGTCTCGATCATGCTTCCGGTACTTGACAAGCCGGAGTTTGAAATCGGCATCGACATTCTACTAAGTTCGACCGTGATCCTCCGCTTCTTCGAACAGATCTCCTGTATGAACCCCCTCGACCCTTAGACCCTTGATACACTATCCACCCCACGCTAGCAAGCTCCAAGAGAACACCTGCTGACTTATCCCATCATCAAGCCCACACACCCTCCAACGACCCACAGCGTCATCTCCTCGCAGGCTCCGTCTATATCAGTTCACATGTAGACTGCGCTATCTCCGGCGGCCTCGCATCAGCCTCGTTCTGGGTCTTCGTGATCCAAGACATCCAGTTCGCTCTTACGTACCAAAAATGTCTTCGGCTCACGTTTGCACCGTTCGACGACCGCCTGCGAGGGTGGTGGGTCGCCAAGCCGGTCCTTAGCGACGGCGACTGGGTCAACCGGGCGATCTGGATCCTTGCTGAGACCATTGACTTTTGCTATAATGTCTCGGGCAACAATTATGGGGGCCATTTAGGGGTCGCGGGGGAGAATGTGCTCAAGCAGCGGATTCGGGATTGGGAGGTTGGGAGGCCCGATACATTTGTCCCGTTGCATGTTTCGCCGCCGGATCATAGGGCGGGAAAGCCTTTTCCTGTGGTTTGGTATACGACGCTTTGGCATTGTAAGTGCTGTGAAACGTCGTGTTGAGATTGCGGCGAGTCCTTGCTAATCGATGTGGTCTTGGGGCAGCTACCGCGGTGCAACATGTGTGTCTCGCCAAAGCATTGATGCTAATCCGCGAATACGAAGTATACGATTACACCCTCGAGCAGCGTACCAAAGTCAAGGTATGATTCAGAATTCAGGTATTCCACCTCTTAGAAATCTCAACTTACACTCTTCCCTCCAGGAACAAATATCAGAGAACCTGAACTACCTATTCGGCATAGCCTTTTCGGCAGACGACGAGCCGTCCCTGCGGATCATGGCTTGCCACGCACTCTGCGCTTGCAGCGCATGGATAGATGATCCCCTTGCGCAGAACTTGTTGTTTGATCTGCTGCGTCGGACGGAGAGGGATAATGGGTGGCCGTGGGCGTATGTTGAGCAACGAATTCTTCATGCGTGGCAGCAAAATTCACGATAAAACAAATAGATTATATACCCTTTTGATATTGGATTGCGAATGATACCACGGAGCGATTACGAGATGCTCCAATATTCTTACAGTTTGGTCTCTTATTTCGAGGAATTATGAGTCAGTAGAGGTTTACAGATGAAACCACAATTAAGCAGTGCGGGATTATACGGTAGATCCGTCGTCCCATTCGAGATGCTAGATCGACATGACCGGTTCGAGGCATTCTGGATAATTCTATGACTTGAGAATGTTCAATCACCAAGATCTGGTGTTAATTTAACAACCTAGCTCTATTCAAAAGAGGGTATACAAAGCTATTAACAAAGCTAAATCGAACCACCAAGCAACCCAAACGACCAAGTGCACCATCAGCAACTCCAATCTATAACTGCAAATCCCCATCAAAAGCAAACGGAAAAGCAAACAACCCCTCGTCCATCATAGTCCCCAACGCGAACAAATTATCCGTATCAAAGGTGACATCCATGCCTACCTCAGGTGCCATACCCATTGGCTGAGAGAGAGAAAGTCCCATACTCGACATATCGGGGTATCCCGCCTGGCTGGCCCCAGTCGAGGATTGCATACCGGCGTATCCCTGAGTTGGATCGGGGTTTGTAAATGATGGGTAATATCCCGGACCGGTGTTTCCGGGGATAGAGGGGGAGAAGGAGGGTGTGGAGGTCCAGGGTGTTGTTGATAGGGTTTGGTCTGATTTTGAGGACATTCGGCTGAGCGGGTTTGGGGGATTTGTAGTCCCATAGGTTGAGGGTCCTGGTTGTTGGCTTGGATTTTGTCTATATATTGATGGTGTGTAGATTTTTTCTTGGCCGGAGCGAGATTGGGATGCTGTGGATGGAGTGCGATTCGCTGGATCGCCCATTGCAACTTCACTCAGTAGATGCAGGGGCGTGGTTCCTTGCTGAGTCTTGAGAGAGGTAAGTAAAGGGTTCTTCAGAGCGGTGGAGGGTCAGACATACTGCTTGTTTATCACTTGGTGTGTCCGATTGTACTTCCGTGCCGAAAATCTCTCGCAATGCCGGTCCATTCTCTCTCTTCTTCAGGAACCAATTGCGCAGCATCATGATTATATTCCCAAACTTTGATGCCGCCCTGCCACCATCGTGTGCCGCGGCAGCACGATAGTGAGTAATGACTTTGTCCAGATAATATTCAATCTTGAGGCTATTCATATCAATCACCTTTCCGATGTGGGTGTTTGATGCCACCAGTAGCGAATAGATTTTAATCAGGCTGACCACTGGGTAAGACGTTCGGGCTAGAGCCACTGTCGGCAAGCAAATGAGACGGTCTGGCTCGATGCTGCAGATAATGTCTAGAGCTTGGTGGATCGAATGAATGCAAGTGCTGATTGCATCGATGAGCGGGGCAAGAACTGATGTGGGGAGATCATTACTGGATGAGTTTGGTAGCGTGGTCTGTCTGTAATCAACACTCATCGCGCTTTCATGGACGAACAGATTGATGACGTGATATGTATGGGCCAGTGTCACTGAGGAGGCGTGTCAATAACATCAATATTCCAAACTCTTCCGGATGACAAGCGAACTTACGACTATAAGCCTCCTCGGGAACCTCCCTCCTCCATTGGGCCAGCTGGTTTGAGAATCCCTTGACCGCGTACCGAATTTTGCTGTCTGCAAAAGTGACGATAGATTGGGGATCATCGGTGGTGAGCTGTGTGCTAGACTCTTCTATGATCTGCCCAAGTCTGGCCCACCAAATAATCTTCTTGTCGGAGGGAAGAGCATCAGGGTGGTTTTCCAACGTGTGCAGGCACTCTTCCATATATGGCTGCCACCTTACAAGATGCATCCTCCGCAAAGCCGTAGATACTCTGACGAAGATCAGTGAACCGTCAGCTAACAGGAAAGGCGGGAAACTTACTGAACCGACATGAAATAACAGCCAACCCAGGTACGCTTCGCTTCGGGCCCATTAATATCAGAGGCCGAGCCCATGGGCTTTTTGAGAAGAACTTCTCGTAACCGACTGAACGGCCTATCCTCGCCTCCCGTCCGCCGGTTGAGCCCAATATCCATAGCCACGATCACGGCGAAATGAACGAGTTGGTAGAACTTTAATTCTTCAAGATTGTCCGGAGGCATGTACCAGATCGCGAGGACAATCAACGCTTGAATAAGCTCAAGAGACTTCTCGCCTTTCACGACCATGCGATCCGCAACCATGCGATAGACATCATCCAGCAGCTTGAGTTGTATATCCTTTTTAAACGGTCCGATAGCAACGGCGAGAATAGCGAGAAACAAGGTCGGTCTCTCTCGTCGCACAAAACCCATCGTCGTCCCCGGTAGAAAGACCACCATGGGCATCTCTGGTGCCATCTTCGTGACATAGCGCTCAAAAGCTGCCTGTGCAGACTCGACATCCACTAAACCTCTATCAATCACATCAACGAATTCATTATCCGCCTTAGACTGTGCTGCCTCTTCAGCCGAAGGAACACGCCATTGTCGAGACATAGACTGTTGCTGCGGTAATTTCTCCGCAGACGGACTACCCTGTCGAGGATACTGTGATACCAAAAGCCCATCATGGTTGCGCTTATTCCCCGGCAAATTCGTATCATCCCGCAGCCACCGCCGACCAGGCAGTTCAGGAGAATGAGAAGAAGAGCCATGTGTGGCAGACGGCTCCATTCCAAACGCACTACGATGCGATGCCTGCAGGGTAGCCGTCAACGCGTCGATCTTGCGCTCCAGCTCCGTGACCCGGCTATCCGTCTTCTTCTGACGTTTCCGCGTGGGCTCGGTGACGACGCACGCGCGTCCGGCTTTGGCGCATCGCTTGCAAGAGCCATCTGGATGGGATGGGTCCGGATCACACCGGACCTTGAGTTGGCGACAGGGCTCGCAAGCGCGCGGCCGTTTGATGTCTAGATGCGGCTCTTCGGAAGTGCTGGAAGCGCCGGCGGGGTGTGGCCCCAGACCGAAATGCTCCCGGTCGGTTGGGGATACACCATAGGCGCTGTGCGACTCGCTGGGGATATGTGAAGGGGGTTCCGGGTAGTCGGAGCCCATGTTGAATTCTTGTCGGCGGTCCGGCAGGTATAAAGACCGATCTTTGATGACCCCGTCTGTTGCGGCGTCCCACAGGCAGATTTGTTGCCTGCAGGAACGCGATGACGAATTGATCAGGGGATGGTTCTTGATAAGTGGTAGCCTTCAAAAAGACCACACAGATCCCTTGCAGTAACCTTCTTTCCCAGCAATAGACCTTTTCCTCTCGTTCAACCTGTTCGTAGCGATCTCCCTATGTCGATTTCTCAGCGCCTCACTGGGGAACACACGGAGAACGGTGGATGCAAACACCGACCGCCGACCTGGAGAGGTAGGTAAGACGCCGTAGAGTCGCACAACAAGGCGGGTGGCTGAAAGAGATCGTGGCACTTGTGAGACAAGCGCCGAAGAGAGACAACAATACAGCCTAGCTTGTTTCGATTCTAAGCGGCCTTGTACGACAGAACTTGTTGGGTCCTCAACTTGGTGATGGTCATTAGCGTCGGCCGATGGCCCCCTCAGTGTTGTTGCACGTGACCAGACTCTATACGAAGGTGACAGAAGCGAACTTGATCCGATAGATTGGCCTTAATTCATCCCAAATGGATTATTCAACCCAAGGCCACTTGCACATATGGTAGTTATGTCCACAGGACTACTATACAGAGGAAATATATTCATGTGACCCGACGTGGTCTCAACTTGGGTATGCCACCACATACAACGGGTACTCCTCTATAGATAGTGTACAGTACATGTCGCTGTTCTATGCGAGCTACGCTATTGAATAGGTTTCAAAGAAAAGGGATCATGGTCTCGTTGTTGGGGGTATCTATCAGGAAAAGCTAATCACACAAGCAGAAAATCAGATACCCCCCATGTATCGCTGTTGGCAAAAAAAGAAAGAAAGAAAGAAAGAAACGAAAGAAAGGAAAAAGAAAAGGGGAAAGGAAGACACTCCGCAGGTCATGGCCTGAAATCCACTGAAAATGCTCTCTCCAATCATCCCGACAGGAGAACAGCAACTTCCCAGATCACCTTAGCCCTGGTGAGTAGGGCACACCACTTTCCGAGTGAACCAGTCCACAATGCACTCCTTGTGGAACTTGCAGAAGCAGTTAAGGCGGGCCAGGCTCTGCCCAACCTCATACTCCTCCATGCAGATCTGGCATTCAGCCACGGTGCCGTCCTCAGCGAGGCAGTCCTTCTCAGTCGCCGTGAACGGCAGCATACGGGTGGCTGCGGGCGACGGGCGTGGCGAGGGTGGAGGCTGGCGGGGGTCCACGTGCTCGGGTTCGGCGTGGACGGGCGGGGCGCTATAGCCGGCGATGCACTCGCGGACGTGCTCTTCGCGGGTGTCCTGGGTATGCTCATTGCTGAGCGCTGGGAATTGCCGTCCGCAGACGGGGCAGAGGTCCTCCTCCAAGACTTGGGGGCGGGGCCGGGCAGCGACGGCGACGGCGACGGCGACGGCGGCAGACAGGTCTGCGGCGGAAGTGGTACCAGCCATACGGCTTCGGTCCCCCGTGCTGGGACTGAAGCTTGCCATGGCGCCAGAGACAGATCTGCGGGCCGGGCGGCCGAGTCCTTGCAGAACCGCGGGCTGGTCGTTGGCCCCGACGGTTCGTCGTTCCTGGCGAGAGGGGGCGCTCTCGCGCTATATTCATCAATATACCAGATTAGTCTAAGGATTTCATCAAGTAGCCACATGGCAGAGTGGAATAGAAGCTTACCACAATCCGGGACGTGTTGATTCCCATGGAGGAGGTCAACGAATGAGTGGATCGATGGCCGTGTGCTCGCGGAGATCCGTACCCCAGGGGATTGGGATTTGGATCAGGGACGCAGGGGTTGCAGAGGCGGACTTTCTCACCACCTCCAAGGGCAGGGTTGATCGAGGAGCTGAAAGGATCAGAATCGTCGCCGGTTAGGTCAACGAAGGGAGTGTGAGAGGTAGGAGATGATTCAGGATGTGAGGTGGGAGTATCAGGAGGGCGGACGATAAACTGCCTAGGAATGACTATTGAGTGAGGCGAACAGCTCGCACATACAACTCTGCCACACTTCCGGCAATGGTGTTTCCGATACCAGAAACTAAACACAGTGCCACAGATCGGGCAACTCGTTACTTCCGCATCAGGCTGCCATCTCGGCGTATCAAGATCTTGATACTCGGGATATCTGTCGTATCGTCGGTCGTTATTATCGACCCTGGCTCGAGAAGCTTCTCCTATGCTCGCAGAAAAGACCCTCCTCTCTGGCGCAGCAACCCTGCGCTCTGGTCTCCATCCGAAATTTTCGATATTTCTCTCGCCATTCGCTGTGAAACTGGACGAGTTCAAGGTATTTGCCCTAGTATGTGTTCGCCACATGTCACCCTCGACTCCAGGTATTGGAATGATTGTTGACCGAGAGGTATCAGATCCTCGATTCCTGTACGCGCCGCCGACATGCTGTCCGAGAAAATGTGGATGCAAGTTCTCCTCAATGTGGCTCGATCGGGCACTGCGGCTTGAGCCTTGCGAAGACCGCCGAGGTTGCGGATCCCATGGAAGAGGTCGACGGCCTATATTGTCATTCGAATTCGTCAAGATATCCGCTTCCGCGGCTGCTTCCGGCGCACGTGACATGGACGAGGCGCCGCTGGACAAGAATGTATGCCTTGAGTTGTCTGCCCTTGGATCCAGTGGCCGCCTGGAGCTGATTCTCGTTGGAAGAGGCTCATGATCACCAGCATATAATGGATTCGACAACCTCCGAAAAGATGAGCTTCCTGCAAATGGTCCGTGCACAGCATCTCCGCGATCGATCGATGAATGCCGGCCATCATCGGATGGTGAAGATGTGATATCTATCGCTGTTGCATATGAAGAGCCTGGTGCCTTTGAATTGGTGCTTCGCGAAGCCGGCATGATCATGGAGACAGATCGATGAGGTAATGCCGCATTTGCGTTACCCTCCGGCCGAATTGCACCCCCAGAACGAGTTCGCTGAAGTCTGGAAGCATCCCCATTGCTTGTTAACCGGCGCTTTCGATCTCGTGCGTGCACATGGTTATTCAAGATATCTTGTTCAGAACCAAGCATGGGACCACTCTCGGAAGAGGTCGGCATATGTACGGCCGCTCCGCCTGTCGGCCTGCCAGTTGGCGGGCCCATGTTTGCGGTATGGTCGGCAGCCGACACATCATAAATGCCTGCACTGGCGATGAAGTCGTCTTCTAACCGCACCCGACCTGTCATGGAGGTATCCGAAGATGCAGTGCTGGAGCCGGACATGACGAGGTCCTTTCGATGACTTTCTGAATGTTTCACCGGATGCAATGCAATTATTGCTCTAGCATGGGCAACAGGACCAGCCTTAGCCAGCGTGCATGCTTCTAATCATGAACGCAGCACAGGGTTATTCGATGCCAGGTACTAAGCGTTCAAAAAAGCCGACTTGCTCGGAGGCGAATGAAGGGGCTATCGATAACGCCAGAGAGGTTCTGAACTCTTGAAGATGGCCGGAGAAACTGTTGCTCGCTTGATTGCTAGATTCAAATGACTTTTATCAGCTTTCTGTCGCAGGAATGGATGGCTGGAAGGTTTCCTGACCGTTATCTTAAGAGATAACAAGCCCTGCTTAATGCTCAAAGGCCTTACCGGACGCAGTCGCCCTCTTCTTTCAAACGAATCTCCTTTCTATCCAGCAGATCTGACTGGATGAACTCTGCAAGCTCCCACAGTACTGTGCAAGTGGGCGGGCGCTGACGTCCGTCGTAAATTCCCCAGTGGCGCCAGGAGCTTCGCAATCACAGCCAAGAAGGAGGAAATACCGAGTGTCTCGTGACGAGCCCTTCAGCCGCACAAGCTCCCCAGCAACAACCAAGCAAAAAGAAAAGATATTCTCAAGCAACTAAGCCACAACGACCTTACTGCTGCGCCAGAAACTGGACCGTGATCTATCTCACGGAAAGGGGGACAGTGCTGATGGCGAGGGAGATGATGTTTAGGGTGCGGGAGTGATCATCCTTATCAGTGGGGCCCAGCCGGCATCGAGGGCGGTGAGCACGGCAGAACTATGCCGAAGGTCGCCACCGCCCGGCAGCTCCGAGGGAAGCTTGGGGGCGAGAGTCAGCGTCATTCGCGGAGCCTGGAGGGGACCGAGTCGAATTGGGGGAGAAAATGAAGAGAACTGGGGATTTGCTGAACGTCAAAAGGATTACTGATCGCAATGGATATCATTGAATCCTGGCTGTATACAATAGTCGGTTGGCCAGCTCGGTAAGCATTTTTCGTGTTATTTCGGGATGGACCACAATATATACTTCCAGCACTGGGGGTTTGCAGCTCGCACGATCCATTTATGGTTCGACCAAGACTAACTACATCGATATGGTATGGGGAAATGACAAGTGGTACAAGTTTCCAACTCCGTGAGGCTCACTGAACCATCGATACTGTCAAAGATGTCTCTAGCTTCCAATTGCCTCGGCTGCAGATGGCGCAAAATAGCTGCAACCTTGAGGGCAGATTATCCTGCCGTCACAGGCCCATGGAGATGCTATTCTATCCATTTACGTATAGGTAGACAGACAGCCAGAGACAACTTTACTCCTACTGACTACAAATAGAAAGCACAATCCATAGCAAAATACTCAACAGCCGCCACCGCAGCCAACCACGCCTGGTATCCATTAATCTGCACACGAACCAAGCCAAAGTCCACCCAAAGAAGATCGGGATGGACAGTTCCATGAGCAAGGCAAAGCAAGGCAAAGCAAAAAGCCAAGTCGCCGAGCACGGTAGGGAAAGTACAAAGTAATGCCGAATTAGACAAGTAAAACAAAACAAAACGATGACTAGAACGAGAACGAGTACGCCTGCAGCAATTTTTGGAGCGAGATTGCATGGTAAATTAGGTACAGGATCGAGTCACAATAGCTAAACACCGGACCGGATACAAGGGAGAAAGAAACGAAGCGAAATGGAGAGAAGGCAAAGCACAGCAAAGCAAAGCAAGAAGAAAACAATGCACATAATGGAAAGACAAGAAAATTCGTATCCGGGGCATTAATGAGATCAATCCGCCTGAAAAGGAAATCGATGTGGAATACAATGGGACGTGGGAGTGAGGGCAAAGGCGAGAATGAGTGATGTAGCTATGTGAAATGGGCGTGACCAAGGGTTAAGTATAGCAGAGGGTGGAAGAAATTTCATAAAGAAAATAGTGTTTTGCTTGTATACACACTAGAGATATTATTTTTTGAGGGAGGGTTGTGTGACGAGATTTAGTGCTCGCCGTGTAGATGTTCGACGACGAGTTCTGCTGCACTACCTGTGAAGGAGGGCTCATCGGGACTGGCTTCGTGGATGTTATCGCGTGTGCGGTGTTGCGCGACGTAGCCCATGCTTGAGGGTCGCTCTGCTCGACTGCCCTCGCGGCCAGTCTTGTGGCTGGATGTTAGAGAGCCAGACGTTGATGCAACTGAGAGGCCTCGCTCGCGAGATGGTGAGCTGCTGTCGCTGAAGGGGAGGCGTGCGGTGGTGGGGGATGATTGGGGCTGAAGGTGGTGATCTGAATGGGAGTGGACGCTTTTTGATTGCGGAGAGGATGCCTCTGTGACGGCTGGCAGGCCTGTGAAGGCATCCTCTCCGCCGTGTTCAGATGGTGCCTGGGTACGACGGGATCCGAGGCGACTAGGTAGCTCGATGCCGCCAACAGTATTGAGCTCTGGCAGAACCGGGGGCCCGGAGGCTTCGCCAGACTCTTTTATCTCCCGTTCACCATTCTCACCGCCTTGCTCGCCTTCAGAGTCACGATAAGGGGCTTCACTTGCAGACACATTCCGAGAGTGACCACCAGCTGCAGCATCTTCCGCCTGCGGGTCATCGTGGTAGGGCTCATTATAATCGCTGACAGGGAAAAGGTTTGGAGGTGGTGCCCGAGCACTTCGAACAACCTCAAACCCTTTACCCTTGTCTTTGGTCTTGCCCTGGAACAAGTTAAGGAACCAGCCAGTGGCGGAAGAAACGGGCCCGGTAGGATCGGCTGGCCCTGTCTTCAATTTCCGAGTACCGGTGTGCGAGAGCGGAGGTCCACGCACACGGTAGTAGAAATCGACCTCACGAACGGCATAGTCCTTTCGCTGCTCCGTGTCCTCCATCTCCATATCATCCTTTGGCGCAGGCAGGTATGCAGGCACCGGGGTGCCACGGCCAGACATCGGGGTCGCATCGCCAAGGTCCTCTTCATCGCGTGCACGACTGCTTTTCAAGAACGATCTGGAGCTCCGCTTAGTCCTATCAAAGGAGCCTTGCGGTGTTCGCCGCCCTGGGCGAGGTGGTCGATAGTACGGATCACGAGGGTGTGGTGCAATGAACGTGCTGCTATTCGGCGATCCGCTGGAATACCCACCAGCCCCGGTATATGCGGTAGGGGACTGCGCATACAAGTTACCGCTCGGAGCGCGGCTGTGCGAGCCACCACCCTGCGAACTGGCATAATCGAGGACTGCACTAGCACGTCCCTCGCTAGCCGTTGCACGGTTGAGCAGGAGAGCTGAGCTTCCAGACAAGCTGCGAGGGCGGGAGTCTCCAAACTGAGAAGACATCCGGTCGTCCGCATGTGCCAGCATAGCTGCCTCGGAGCCCATGCTTTGCCGAGCGAGATCCTGGCGCGGCACACGCCGCGATAGCTGTCGCATGCCAAAGACCTTGACTAAACCACCACGGGTGGTACCACCAGCACCGGCGAGTCGTGCCAAGACTTCAATCAAGGTCTGCAACGCATTGAGGAAGAAGCCAAAGATGATAACCAAGGCGTGCAAAACGAGAATTACATATCCGATCCAGCCTCGCGCGGCGGAGGACACGGACAAAGAGGGTACAAACACCACGCTCATAATCATAGTCAGGAATCGGACGCAGGAGAAGATACCATGGTAGAGATTCATATGAGTAGGTGAAGGGAAAGGTCGGAAGGCGATCAGGGTCAACACGGACACGACCTCACAAATGGCCAGCAGGACAACCTGTGCAATGCCGGACGGCTGGAGAGCTCCAATGCCAACGCCGCGGGCAAAGTTGAGAAATATAGGGATCATGGCAAAGGCGGTGGCATCGTCGCAGTAGGTGTTGTAGAGTGGTCCGTATAACAGGACGGTAGGGAGGTCATCGAAGAGGTGGGATTTTGGTCGAGTAGACACGATAACGCGAACCAGCCAGATAGAGAAGCAGATGACGACAACGATGACCACGGCGGCCAGCGCAACGCTGTACGCAGGAGAGCCTTTGGCGATGACGAGTTGGAAGAAGGAGAGGGATACTATAGGAAGGAGAAGGTAATTGAAGACGATGCGAATGACGTTGCCAATGGTGAATGGCATGTTTTTGGCGCGCAGGTCCTGCTCTGTACTGTGTGCGAGTTCGCGATGGAGCCAACGCAGTCCAAAGCCGATCTGGCAGATGGCAGTCATGGCGACCAAGATGACCAATGTCCAGACCATCATGCCGGGCCAGATATCCTTAGTAGAGGCCATCCCGACTAGCTGGTTCATTCGGTCCAGCCCGTATGTCCCGTTAAGTGCGTAGACACCATCAACAACCGGGTCGTTACCGCCATCAGGATGAACGAAGCTCTGATTAAACATCAAGACCGACCAGGATCCGTAGCTGACTGCAGGCTGGAAGAATCCGGGATAGTTCAAAGACAGAGACCCGGTCAGGACGACGTATTGCAGGTACTGCAGACAATCCGCAAAGCCAGGCGTCACCAATCGTAGCACGTCTTCGTCGCGACCATAATTGCTTGTCCATCGAAAAATATCCGTTGTCCCCCATGGGCTGTAGATCGCCGCTGTCACGGTAGCAATCCCCACCAACAGTAAGATCACCAGTGGCACATAGGCGAGAGCGTTCTTGAGGGACGAGCCAAAGTCTGGTGTGATCGGAATGGTAATACAGCCCAGCTCGGCCGCGGATGCGTCGCCAGATCGGATAATAAACGTCGGGTTGATTGTAGAAAAGCGGTACGTGGAGAGCATATCATGTTCAACGGAGAAAGCCCGCAGTGTGCTCAAATCACTCCTAAGTAAATAGCGATACGTTAGTCGCCAATAGAAGAGGAATTCCGATTGATAGAATCCCTAGAAGACCGAGTACAAACTCACAGATTGTAATTGAAGACTGGACCCAGTGGGCACTCGCCCTGCGTGACCGATTCGCAGAATCGTGACGCATTGCCCCATGCCGTGAAGCTCAGTACATCGAAAGAGGTAATCAGCGTGCTGTATTTGTTATTGGCAGCGCTCAGGTCGACGATCTTTCCCACGGTCGAGCTCGAATTACTCCACGACGGGTCCGTCGATGAGGGAGCAGTCGAGCCGTCCGCTGTACCCGACACATTTCCGTAGACCGTGACATTCAGCGGACGTAGGGGGTCGGTGAGATTAAATCGAACGGAGACGTTGAGCGGGATGTATTGCAACTGGGGCGGATTCGAATCCAAGATCGTTTGGCTCAAGCAATTATCGAAATTCAACAACGCCGCCGTAGCTGGCGCAGCCCAGGATAGCACCACGCACACTAGGGCCATCCACCATGCGACGGAGGAGCTCCATCGACGGGGTGCGCGTCCCCGCCGACGTTTAGAAGTATCTCGCCATCTTCGTCCCTGGGACATGGATAGCCCCCCGAGGCGCGAACACTTGGTCGCATCTGGGCCGGCCAGACCAGGTTTCTCTGCCTCTAGCTCGATGCGCGTCGAGTCGTGACACATCTTGTCTGTCTCAGGCATCCGGGATGACCTCCTGGGGGAGGTCAACCCCCGGTATGGATGATCGAATCCACGTTGTGTTGACACTGGGGGAAGAGGGCCAGGGGGTTCTCGCGATCCACCTGTGCGCGTGCTCCCAGAAAATGGAGACGGGGGTTGCGTGGGGGTGCTTGGTGGATAGCAGTCGCAAGCAGAGCCTGGAAATGAAGAGCCGGTCGGGGGGTTGGTGTTGGTCGTGTACCCGAGGAGAGGGGAGGAGAGGTGGCTGTGAGCGGTGGACTGTAGGTTGTTGAGTGTGTGGGTGAAGGCGGTCGGAAGTCAGACCGGTTTCAGTATAAAGCACTAGATAATCAGGATCCGGGAGGAGAACGGCAGGAGTAGGAGCCGATCGGGGAGGTCGGGGTTGGTTGGAGGAGGATGAGGGGAGTTCGGATGATTGCCAACGAACACTTTGGGTACGTAAGTCGGCAGCCACTGGAGCAATGCTAAGTTGCTACTAGTACGGAGTAGTGCGGACTTCTGAGTGGCCAGATGAACGGGCGGGACTGCAGAAGATTAGGCGACAAACTCCAGTTGGTCTTGGAGGAGCGTAGAAAAAAAAAAAAAAAAAAAAGAAGCTGGAAGCTTTGCGAGGGAGAAGAGAAAACAAGTCGGGGCCTTGTTGTTGCTGCGCCTTGTTGGGTCTGGCCCGGTGGAGAGTTCGGCGAGTTTGGGCGGTTTAGTGTTTACGGTAAATATAGAACTCGAACTGCAGAGAGAGAATGGGACGGAGTACTCTGAAGAAATGGAAACAGTGCAATCTGATAAATATAATATCAATTCGGGACACTAGATATGAACTCATATCATGTAGCCTCCAAACTCCTCATCTATAGCATCTTCAAATAGTCATAGTCATCTACTGTACTCTTCGTACAAGACAAGCTGCATCCGCACCAGAAATAGCAGCCCAGGCTCGAGGCAGCCCACTAAAGCAGCTTGACTCGTAAACTCATAAACTATCTTCTCGTGTCCGCCCTTTCCGAATCTGCAAACTATACACTTCTCAAGGCCCCCTCCCCCTCGCTTCCCCCCCCCCCACTATGCAGTCGTTCTTCATCTCTCCAGTTCTATACATGTCCATGCATCCCCCATTCCATCGTCTGTACTGTAGTACAAGGAAGTATCCAAGAGAAAGAATCACACACCAAGAAGAAAGTAGGATGCGCCCCTCGTGCCGATCCGGCTTCGGCGCCTACGATCGGCTGCAGCTGCACTGAGACCTGCCTGGACGTAGCTGCAGAAAAAAGAAAATAGAACCCGCTACAACGTCGATACGGCGTTTTCTGCGTGTGGTCACTGGCTCTGTCTCAGGGCTTCGTGGGGAGTGTGGTCTTGAAGTGTATCCGGATCTTCTCGGTGGCTGGCCACGCTAGCTTGGCATGCGACAGGCCAATGGTAGCTTTACGTTGGGTCTTGATACTCCATGAAAGCCCTGATAGCCTGATATTTTGGTGTAGATGGCTGGCTTTGCTACACTGGACCCTGCAGCGAGCGGAGCTTGCACTAACCCAAATATGCCCGGGCCAGTGGTGAGTTGGTTACCTAGTAGGCGGTTTTACTGAGAATCATGTCTGTGGTATGATATGTTACTCCTATAGTCTAATTTGGCTTGACTTACTTAGGGAATGAGCTAGTGGTTGATTCATATCAAATCGTACCTGAGCGTTGAATTGTGGTTGAGTACAGACCCACAGTACTGTATGGGAAGAAGATGGACGCCCTAGCTATCTCGTATGAGACATTAATCCTATTTTAAACCTTCTTCAGCCAGCCAGGTTATATATGCCTGCCAGAAAGTGCCGTCATTCACCGATATTCATAGCTTCTCAACAACTCAAACAGCTTCTACCAGATTCTGCTTGTCACTCATCAAGCTAGCAATCTGTCTTTTGAGAGCGACGTGAGAAGGACTAATTTATGGCAATAGAATGGATACGGCAATAATTCGGACTTTCCCAGATACTAGAGACTGACTCGAAGATACGAGAACCTTGCCCAGTCTACATAAGTCACAGTCAAACCCTCACATAACGTGTTGGGCCCCAGTTCCTGTTCTTTGCTATGCCTATTTCTTCATGTTCCAGGCATTCTGGGATATATATCTGAGGGACCCGGGTATTGGTAAATTCTGCTAATGTCGACGTAGAATGTATCATGACCTAGAAAGGAAGTATCTTCATGTTAACTAACATTGCAATGGACCCGAGTCAGTCATAATATGATGCGGATCATTCCTCACTGACGCGGCTATCATGGGTCGCGGAGTGCTGTATTCATCTCCTTTCCTTCCATCCTTGTAGGCGCTGCACCGATCATTCAGAGCGTTGAGCTGAGTGCTGATTTCCATGTTCGTGCCGTTATGGTCCAGCACGAGGCCTTCGCCTCTCTGTCTCTTCCTCTTTATCTCGCCGTCTATCTTTCATGTGTTTCGCAGAATGGAGAAGCAAGAGAAGTGTTGCGGAAGAGGAAGCAGAGGAAATTGGGGATGAAGGGTGAGCGGGCGATGAGGAAGATGAAATTTGGAAAAGTGAAGTCAGAGAAGTGAAGTTGCAGAAGTAGCCGAATAGGATAGATCAAGAAAAGTTGTACTCAGATGAGCCGCGAATATAGAAGGGGCGCTGGCCGTTGGCAAGAAATACTCGTGTGACTGAGGTCAGAGTAAGAGGACTACAGTGAATAACGAAAGTATGTGTTAGATAGGAATAAAATCAGGGCTGTTCTCTGAAAGTGAAAATACGTGGTATACAAGTTATGAGCAGAGACCAGTTGCACGCCTGGATCCCTGTCAAGCGGGGAAACTAAGCGCCTCGGGCCGATGAGCTAGAGTCTATAGTGACTTGAGTTTCAGCTTGTAGGTTCATTAGGCTGTATGTACTCTAATTACAGTGTAGAGAATAGACAAGGTACAGAAACGAGCGTGAGTGTAAATGCGACAAAGTCAATGACGGTGGTTGCACGGACGCCTTGGTATTCACAACTTTCTCTAAGCGTATTCATGGAAAAATGTACGGAGTACTGTACTCTGTAGATAGAAGAACATAGTAACATTTAGAAAGACATCTAGAAAGACATTTCGAAAGACATTGAAAATTTGATTATTCACTTCCAATTCGACCCTGTCTCAAATTCTCATCCTCAATGTATGGACGACCTGAAACATCCACAGATTTATTTATAGACATCGCCACGTCGAACCAGCCCGACGGAGGTTTCAGATCAGCATCCTCTTTCCAGCCGCTGTCCTTGTTGAGCCGTTAGCCTCGCTGAGTGACATTTTACATTTTAACTTATGTATATGCTCTATGCTCCGTGATCGTACTAATCGACCCAGCCCTATACTATGCCGATATGTTCGGTGGGTACTGGACATCGGGATTCAGTTCAGTACTTACTAGTGGCCCTAAGAACTAAAACAAAGCCCAAGCTTGGATTGCGGGGCGGTCTATGCTGACGATCATTCGCTGCAAGACTGCAGCGTAGCTACGGGGAGCGCCTGAATGAGGAACGCCTCTTTCTTTTAGGGCTGGCGTGGTGAAACCTGGTGTTCCTGAGCACTGTACATACAAGTGCGTTGCTTAGCTCGGTGGGCGAGGATGAGGATATATTTAGCTCAGATGGTCCACTAGTGTAGGTAGTTCGTGTACGCGCAGGCATAGGCATGAGAATTCTGAAAAGCAACTCAGTCATGATCATCTGGCCAAATAATGATGGGAATAAATAATATTGAAGCGTCCAGGCGAGATCAAGAATCTCGGCTCCGATCGGTCGGCATTCGAGGATGTAGCGGTGTTGTGGGACGTGCAGCTAGCGAGCAGTTCTAAATCATACATACGGTACGGGAGTCAGTATGTACGAAGCTACGAGTACATCGCACATCGTCGTCATGTACTCTGTACAGATTAGAGTATGTTCTGTCTCCCCGTCAATCGTCAATCGGCAAATAGACAAGGCTCTATCTGACGGCGGCGAATCAAAGGGCTAGAGTGGGACCCATTGATTTACATGCCAGCCGAGCAATAAAGTGGCCGAAATATGCACACCGGATAGGACCCAATCATAAGGAGAAATCCGGACTCTACAGAGTAGCCCTGGCTGCCAGCTGCCCGCCCTGGCTGCCAGCTGCCAGTTGCTGATATTTGAGCCGTGTCGGCTCCTGGTATCCCCTGCATGGGGATAAGGCATGGGCGCCACCGGAAGGACCAAAGAGGGAAGCCGGACGGGAGTGTGGCTTTTAAGGGATCATTCGATCAACTGCCCCAAGGAGAGGGCCAAGCCAGGCTGTGGCTGGTTAGCTCTTGGGGTTGTTAATGGTGCGTTGGTGACTGGTTTTGGACCGGGCCGATAATTACAGTAGGGATTGAGATTGGGGATCTGAATAGGGGACTCAGGATGTAGGTTGGGAATTTTCAGTGCAGTAATATAATATTGCGAGGTACAGATTTATAGTGAGGAACCGAATACTCCGTACTGTGATTGATAGTGTAGAGCGGATCCTTCGAGTACAGTATGGCACATGCGTAATGTTTAGAAATGCCGACGCCCGTCCGGTTTGTATCGCATGTTGGAATGGCAATATCCAACGTGTGGTCCCGAGAGTAGAGGACTCCGTTCGTGACTCGCGTTTACTAGGCGACAATGTCTTCAGTACTATTAAAAGAATCTCAATCCGGTACTGTACACGTGTAAACCCACGGGGCTCCGTGAAATCCTCAGCGCGACCGTCTCGATCTATGGAGCTAGCAACATCACGATGGTGGATGGCTAAGTGTGTTCACTGGTCAGTGGCCAATGTGGGATTGTCGTGGTAACAAAGACAGGATCCAAGGATCCTCAGGGAGGGAGACACTCGTCAGCGGGACCCGCCGAGGCCCCCTGTTTGGCGCCTCTCTTGGGGTTAGTTGAGTTTCATGATGAGACCCGTCGAGGGGGCAGAGTGTGATTGGATGATCCGCGATAGTGCTCTCTGCGGCGGCTGTGGGGCGGGTTTGGAGGGTTGGCCGAGGGAAATTTGGGATGGAGAAGGGGGAAATGAGTAGAAAGAAGCGAGTTGCGGTGGGAGTTAGGGAGTAGCAAGTGGGTGTGTTGAGATGGTTGAACAGTATGTTGATAGATAGTATCTGGTATCGTTAGGAGTATATACTCGGTCTATCGTTGAGTGTGCTACCACTCCAACGCTGTTAGTATTCACTGTACTCCGAATGGCACGCAATGAATATGATCATCCCTCGCGCAGCTTATCGTCAGTGGCTGTCCTGTCCATCCACTCCCCTAATTGGGTCTCCATCACGACCCTCATTGGTCCTCGTGGATGGGAGGCAGTACCCGTCAGTGACCTGCGTCCTTGGTAGCTCCACTGCGGGCGGACGTGGTACTTGCGGAGTATCCAAGCTCTTCCCCTTAACCCAGTTAACCATCTGTCACTGTATATCCATGGCGTAACCTACAATTCTGTACCCGAACAGACTAACGGGAGACATTCTTCTTCTCCTTGATCCATCATTATTCGGGCCACCCGTCAACCTTGGAATACCCAACCCCAGGTCTTGAGGTCTTTCTACGTGTCACGGCTGCTGGCCCGGCTCTATTGTCAATCTTCTTGCACTCCCCCCTTGAAGGTTCACCAGTAGGACGGAGTACTAACGTTAGTTTATACCCCTTACCCTGCGCCCCCCCCCCTCCCCTAATATACCCCAAGATAGGCGCACTTTCTCTCGGAATGATCAGGGTTTCCACCACCTACGAGTCTACCGTCCATGACTGTATCGCCCAAAGACTAACGCATTTGTTTCGTCCAGCTGTTCTCGGCTTAGTAGTTGGTTCATCGGGGCACGGGCGCTACCCTTCGCCCCTCCTTCCCTGTGCTGATCCTCTTTCTTCTCCTCTTTCTTCCTTTCTTTCTTTCTTTCACCTCGAGGATCCAATAGATCCAGTCCTGTCGGCGCTTTCATTCAAGGTGGTTCGTGTGTGTCTGCTGGTGTGTTTTGTTATACTCTCCTGTATTTCCAGCAGTTATCCCACTTTCCACCGCCGAAGCGCCTTACTCCTCCTCCCCCCTTCCCCGCTATTTGCGCCGCGCAACACTTCCTCCTCACCATTTTTCCACTCTCCTCTGCGCAGGGTGAGCTGGCTCCGAATTCAAGAACGCCTATTCAACAGTCTTCCCCGGGCGGATCCCGTCTCGCGCCTGGTCGCGTGCTGATTGTACTGAACGGGACTTGAGTTTCCAGGGAGAGGGGGGAACCGTCAGACTCGCAGCCGCTCGCAACATTTCGATGAGGACTGGTTTCCTTGTCAATTACCTGTGGAATTGAACGCGCCTGGGCGTGCAATGTTGACAGCAGTTTCTCTGCTTTTGCGCCCTCATCTTCACCTTCATCGACATGCCTGCCGATGATCCATTTTCGTTCGTCGCTGCCGAGCAGCCCAAGCCCATCAAGGACAAGAAGCCTCACTGGAGAGGCAAGCTATTCTCCAAGGACAAGAAAGACCGCTCGACCCCCGACCAGCAGATTCAAGATTTCCTTGCCTCCAATCGTCCCATCACAGACAAATTCGCTGCCCCCAAGGCGGACCCGAGAGACGCTTCGCCTACCATCTCAACCCGCCAGCTCCCTCCTTCAGCTCACAATGTCGCCCAAATCCCTGCTCCCTCCATCCCATCTCCTTTGAACGAGAGTTATGCCGCCTTCAATTTCACCGACCATAGACCGCCCGAACCCCGAGCACAGCCCCGGGAAGTCCCTCACCCTCGTGAGGTCCCCCAACCGCGTGAGGTTCCCAAGCTGCGGGAACTGCCCCAACCCCCGACGAACCCTCATAAACCTCGCAAGGGCAAGGGTCTCCGCGTGGGATTCTCAGAAAGGACTCCTGAAATTATTGGAGAAGGCGGCGACGAAACGGAAACTCCCACGATCGAGATTTCTTTCTCGCGCAAACGGCCGCGTGACAGACAGGTCGCAGAGCAACAGCTGCAAAGAGCCCCCTCGCGCTCGCCAAACCCGTCGCGCGCGCACCTGCCAGCATTAACCGTCAACACCTCGCTGGGCGATGGTGAGCCACGATCGCGCCGGGCTGGCACCCCGCAGGAACAGCGAGGTGGGACGAGCCCCAACTCCTGGAGGCCGTCTCTCCTGCATAACCAACACGATGCGGAATTCCTCAGCACCTTGCACATTGAAAAACCGGGGTCGCGTCTATCCTTCCGAGGATCGCCCGACTCTCATTCGACTGCGGAGCGCGTGCGGGATCGGATGCAGGCGGAGGAAGGACGTGCGCTGCAACAGCACCGGTTCGACGACGACGACGAGACCGATGTCTCGAGCCCCGAAGTACCTCCCTCGCACAGCCCAAGAAGTCCAAATGAGTCCGTTTACGATTCGATCTACGAGACGCCTCCCTATTCAGCCACCGCCCCTTCTGTCAAGTCAGTTGTGCATTCGATTCGCAACCCTCCCAGCCCAGTTGTTCAGCGTGCTCAACCAAATATCAGTCCTATCGATCCACGTATGCCTTTCAATCTCACACCTGGAATCCCAACAAAGCCTTCATCTGGAGCTCCCAAGGTTCTCACACATGAGCCGCAACCAGCGCCTCCTGTAAACCGGATGGCATCCCCATCGGCACGAGAGCTTCAGCGCAGTCCTCAACCTCCATCCATGAATCAGCTTTCTTCTCCATCCATGAATCAGCTTTCTTCTCCATCTACTGGATCCAGCCGAGAACCATCGCGAAGCCCTCAACCTCCCAAAATTTCTCTGCGGTCCGTCGCCAACCAGGTAGGCGATAACGCCTTTAGCGAATTCAAAGAGTATATCGGCAGATATGACCGTCATCTTCACTTGTCTGCCGAGCAGGTCAAGCCGCTGGTAGAGACATCTTTATCAGAATGGATCCGGGCCGCGGTGTGGTGGTTCTTGCGAGGCAAGACACGGCTCGAATCTTATGCGCGCTCTCGCAATTCGGCACCTGTGACCTACGCCAAGCAGGCCGTCGTCGACCTGGGCAAATCCTTCTGGATTAACGAGAATATCGTTCCTGGGCATTATGAGCTCTCCCGCTACGGTTCCATGGGCATTGACGCCCTCCTGGCAGTAGCCAGTACCACGGGTGATACGGAGATGGTCGAGCTTTTGAGCCTTCACCAGACTATGCTCAATCACCTCCGTTCCCTCTCCATGTCCATCAAGCGCAACAACATTCTCGCTGCTATTCTTGCCGACGACGAACACTCTCCCAGCCAACTCGATACCAGCGTCTGGCTACGATACCCGTTCTTCGCCCCGGATGTGTCCGCCGTTCTGTCTGGTAGTGCGTCGCGATCGATGTTGGCCGATGCACCGGGCAAGACGCCGAGTATGGTACATATGATGCCTCTGGGAGACACGAGTCGCTTCTTTAGCTACGGCAGCATGTTTGTGCAAGCCTGCGTGAGCTCGAGAGACGATGAAGGTCAGCAGTACGCCATGCCGTGTGCGTTGACGATTATCCGCGAGAGGTCCGACTGGTACGTGTTTGCGGCGATTACGAGTCAAAGTTCACTAGTCAATGTCATGATCCAATGCGATCGCAAGCAGGGACCTACCTGGGATGATGTGGAGTGGCAGGTGCGGAGTAACTCGATGCGCGTGAAGCTACCCCGTGGATTCGAGCTCGATGTCATGTTTAAGGAAGATGACTTCAAGACGTTATGGAATATTGTCAGGTACACGCAAAAGTCGGAGGCAAGTTTGTCGCCCGAGGCTGGGGAAACCGTTGTTTTCGAGAATACCCTCAAGGTTTTCCAGTATATGGACTCTGGGACACCCAAGGCGTTCCCTTCGGATCCGATGGAGCGCTGTCGGATTCGTTTGTTTGAGCGGCAGGTCACAGTGACGGAGGGCACCGGCTCGCGAAACGCCCATCGCGGGTTCCGTCTTGCCGTGCTGACTAGTCCCAAGGTGAAGACTCTCAGTAACGTCAAGCACGTCCTGGGATATGGGTCACCCGTCGTGTTTGGTCTGTTGCGCGGTGAAGACGGTAGCCCCGCGCTTCTCTTGAAGGTCACTGAAGACGGACGCACGCGGTCCATGTTGATGACTTTCCATGAAGTGGTGGACCGGACGAAGATCCACTCTGTCCTGTTGAGTATGGTGCCTCGGGAGAACGAAACGAAGACGCGGGAGTTCCAATTCCGCTCTTATGCAATCGAGGAGCCTGGGGATCCAGCTGGTGCGCGCGTTCCTACTACCCATCTCCAGTTCCCGGCTGGTAACGCAACGGTTATCGATCAAGAACATGCCTTTGTGGATCATGGCTATGGTCCGACAATTCTGTCGGAACATTTGCGGGCTTTCATTGCTACGGAGTGGGGATCTGTCACCGACCGGATCAACCTAGGTAAGAAATCCTCGTGCTTTGGGACTGACCTGATGGTATGAGATCTGTACGTATGCTTACACCTGGACTTACAGGACCTGGTGAGCTCAAGCTCGGGCTGGATGTGAATCGAATCACTGGCATGAGTCTGTTCCGTCCTGCGCAGCAGGATCTTACCGTCTCGCTGGCGGATAACCTGATTCGACCCGAGATGCCGGACCAGATTTCGGAGTTCCTGCAAAAAGCCACGGCTAAGGCGATGGTTCGTCGGTTTGAGTTTGCTTCGATGCAAGGTATCTTGATATTCTCTTTGCCATTTGAGGTTCAATTTGCTGATGATATTGGTTAGATCTCCATGGCTTTGAAGAAGCCGTGACTGGCTTCAAGGTCATCTACGACGGGTATGTACTGACCTGTATCTGTTATGTTTGACGCAAGACTAACGATATTAGAATCGCCTCCTCCTTTACTATCTCCCGTCGCCGCATGGTCGTTCCTATCTACAAGAAATGGGAAGCCAGCTTAGCCCGCATTCAAATCGTGCGGCAAGAGAAGATTACCCAACTCATCGTCTTTTTCGCCGATTTCCAACATGGCACCTGCATGAACTTTGTGCTCAAGGGCACTGATCATATTGAATCCTTTGGGCGCTCGGGCAAGTTTGGCATTCGTATTGTGGATGCCAAGTTTGCGCTGCCGAAGAAGGACGAGGATCCTGGGTCGGACTTTGTGTGCTTGGATTTGCCCGAGTATCCCATTGAACATGACGATATTACTATTACATTTGATAAGGAGCTTGGTGAGTACTTTGTGATCACTATCGTTGCATTTAGGTCCAAAAATGGGCCTTCCTCGTATCCTCGTATCTTGTGTCTTGTACTAACCATCGCCTTAGATCGCACCAACTTCAAGGTCGCCTTACCTGGATCTGTCCGTGAGCCATCTCGAATGGGATCACTCCGCCGATAGTCCATCACTTTCTTTTCCTCGTTTTTTTATCTCGATCATTCATGATACCCAACAGTCAATGGTCCATCCAACTGCCGGACTTTTTTCGGCAGATCACCCCCTCCCCCACACCACGTGATGCGATTGCGTGCGTGCCCCTCTTTTCCCTCGGCTTCATTTCTGGTTGTATGATAACTTCTGCCGAGTCTCCTTTCTTTCCCCCTTTCTTCTATTTTCCTGTGCATACAATTCCCACCCTTTTTTGTTACATAGCATAACCATGTCGCATACCCCTAACGTTGGCACGTCCACCCGCTCTCTGCACGCGGACGACGTGCTCAATGTCGTGTCCGATGTGGCTCCTCCGATGCATCTGTCCACCACCTTCCGCTACTCCGATGATCCCTCCGCGCTTATCCCTGCAGCTGATCTCAACAGTGTATGCATTGTTCGATATTTCCACCTTCCAGCCGTCCCCTATCTCCCTACCTCCCTCCATACCTAGCTATCTACATTGTCAATGGCATTGTCAATCGTCTAATCATACCCATCCTCTCTTCTCACCCGTGTAGTCCGACATCGATCCTACAAACCACATCTACTCACGCGCCTCCTGCCCAAACCCAACCCGCTTCGAAACAATCCTCTCAGCCCTCCTAAATGGAAAAGCAATCTCCTACTCCTCCGGCCTCTCCGCCCTCCACGCAGCCCTCACCCTTCTCAACCCCCGCCGCATCTCCGTCGGCGAAGGCTACCACGGCTGCCACGGCGTAATCGCCCTCTTCACCCGCCTGACCGGCCTCCAAAAGCTCGACCTGGACTGCAGTCCCGACCAACTCGAGAAGGGCGACCTCATCCTCCTCGAAACACCCCTCAACCCCAAAGGAACAGCCTTCGACATCGCCGCCTACGCAGAGAAAGCCCACTCGCGCGGCGCATACCTCATCGTCGATTCCACCTTCGCCCCGCCAGGCTTACAAGACCCCTTCCTCTTCGGCGCCGATCTAGTCATGCACTCCGGCTCCAAGTATTTCGGCGGCCACAGCGACCTGCTCTGCGGCGTCCTCGCCACACAGCGCGATGACTGGGCATCCCAACTCTTCCAGGACCGCGTTTTCCTCGGCTCCGTGATGGGAAACATGGAATCATGGCTCGGCGTGCGCAGTCTGCGCACACTGGAAGTCCGTGTCCAGCGCCAGTGTCAGAATACAGCCCGTCTTGTGGCGTGGTTACACGCCGCGCTGCACGCGCCGACTCCCGCCCCGGCCTCGGACGAAGATGCCGTGCAGGCTGTCCTGCAGGAGGTTTTCCATGCGTCTGTGCAAGAGACGGAAGGTGACTGGTTGGCCAAGCAGATGCCTAATGGGTTTGGGCCGGTGTTTTCGATTACTATGAAGGAGGAGAGATTGGCGAGGGAGTTGCCGGGGAGATTGAGCTTTTTTCAGCATGCGACTAGTTTGGGTGGCGTGGAGACGCTTATTGAGTGGAGGACGTTGTCGGATAAGAGTGTTGATCGGAGGTTGTTGCGGGTTAGTGTGGGGTTGGAGAATTGGGAGGATTTGAGGGATGATTTGGTGAGGGCTTTTAGGGGGTTGGCTGGGTTGTAGGTTGGAGTGGGAAGAACCGATAGGAGTAATGTGGAGAGTTGATCATGGAAAATGAGAGTTCATTACTATGCAGTGATCTGGATGAGAAGCTGACTTAATGTAAACTCGGAGACGGATGTCTTGGAAGTCGTTTAGATGGTCTGGGTCTGAACTCTATGGTTGGTCCCTTTCGTGCCATTTCGAGAGATGTTCCATCTCCCATACACACGATCCCTATCAGATCAGATGAGCCTATAGTCTAAAATGCTACGGCAAATAAAGCAAAAAAAGGACCGATACATTTGCTCCCTATACCAGCAGTGGATTCTTTTACTGCATGCTATATGGTTGTGCAACCTTAGCAAGACTCACAGGCACACAAAGAAACCATAACATATATTTCCCAGGAATTATCTCCAGTAATCTTCCATAACTAACGCTGGATGCCAGTGGAGGTGGGCGAATTTTTGATGTGATCAACTCGGGTTGAGCCGTGATGGTGAGTCCTTGGTGCTACAACTCTTCGACGGGGAAATTGGGGGGGGAAATATAATCTACTCGTAGTTGTACGAGTACACATATTTAGTGATACCCCTGACAGGGAGTTCATTTATCGGTAAGGTGAGTGGGGAGAAATGGTGCTTGGGTGGAGATCGTAGCGGGGAAGGGCATCAATTTCGATTCTCATCTACAGCATTGGCGTAGGGGTGTGAACAAGAGCGAAACTTTCCTCGTGTCGAGGGTTGATGTCTTTGTCCAAGGTCACGGCCACAGCGATCACAACAATCTTAAAGATCCCATGCTAGGAACCCATGTTAGGAACTAGACGTGAGACGATCTATCTTCAATTGACCTGACAAAGCACTCAATTCATGTCACGTTGATTCGCATAATCTATATCCAAGTCTGCACAAGAAACACTATGCATCAAGAGTCCCAAGACCCGTCCAACTGTTCATACAAAACCCGCCACGCCTCACTCAACAAGGCATGACAAGAAAAATCATAATATCTAATCCAAGCAATACCAGCACTCTAAACCAGATATCTAAAGCCCTTGCGCATCCGCAACGACTCATCCGCACTCTCCATAAACACCACCTCCCCATTCTGCGCCTCACTATGCTCAGCATCCCACTCCGCCTCCTTGTGCTCTAGCTTCTTGTTCAGATTCACCAGGATCATGCGGAATATCCAGAACCCGACGATGGTAATCCCGTACATGGCGGTGACGATGCCGTAGCTCTTGCGGTACCCGTTGTCCTTCAGACCCCAGACGTATGAGCCGGCTACGTTGCCAAGTTGGCTGAATGCGTTGATGAGGGCTAGTGCAACGGCGCGCTTGGCGGGGGTCGCGGGAAGGAGGAGCTGATCCAGGAGTAGAAGACGATGAAGCCGGCGTAGGAGCCGGCTTGGAGGAAGAGGGCGATGTAGCGCGCTGCTACGTTGAGGGTCGACATGCTGATGATGAAGCCGACTAGGCCCATGATGATGGGGCCGTAGATGTGCCAGATCTGGGAGGTTGGTTAGTTGGGTGGCCACATTGGGGTTTGGTGTTTTTTTTTTTTTTTTTGGGAGGGGTTGGGACTGACCTTTTCTTGGGTTCGGTCGGCGTGCCACGCGTTGATCACGGAGAAAATGCACGAGAAGACCCATGGGGGAGCACTCATGAGGAGAGTGGGGACGTAGGCAAAGCCCAGGGTACCGGTCAGGGTAGGCTGTTGGTAGATATGGTTAGTACCGGTGGTGGTATTTTGGTCGGCCAGCTGGGAACTTACGAAGAAAGCGTTGAAGGACAATCCCACAACATAGGCGGTAAAAGCCAGCATCATCAGGTAGATCTTGAAATCCTTCAGAGTCATGATGAGACCGCTGAAGGCACTCTGTTCCTCGGAGTCGGTATCAGCCTCGCCGACATCCTCCAGGATACGAAGCTGTGCCACGAGGAGCTCCTCCTCAGTGAAACCGCGGGAATTCGTGGGCAGATCGGGCAAGATAAAGGCCGCAGAAATGGCAATAGTCATGGTAATGGCACCCTCGATCCAAAAGAGCCAGCGCCATGCGGCGTGGCCCAGGACACCCTCCATGTTGGAGAGCACACCCGCGGCAACGAGCGAGGAGAAGGCGTTGGAGATGAGGTTACCGCAGAACAGGACGGCATTCCGGGTGGTCAGCTCTCGGCGGGTGTACCACTTGGAGAGGATGAGCAGGGCACCGGGCAGGAAAGCAGCTTCGACGAAGCCCAGCAGGAACCGGATCGCCACCATGTGGCCAAAGTTGCCTGCCAGTCCCGAGCAGGTCGAGATCAGACCCCAGAGGGTCATCGCAATGGCGATGTAGATGGAGGGCCGCTGAATACGGTTGATGAACATGTTCGAAGGAACCTGCATCAAAATGTATCCAACGTATAGAATACTCAGACAAGTCGAGTACTGGGTGTCTGTGAGGTTGAGATCATCCTGCAGACCCTTCAACCGGGCTGCCGAGATGTTGTTGCGATCGAGATAGTTCATGATGTAGATGAGCACGAACAGACTGCATCGAGCATCCAGCTTCCGCTTGAGGCTCTTCTCGACCACCGCTCTCCGAGCCGGGTCGATATGAGGCACGACATTGCGTTGCTCGGCCACATGTTCGAGGTTTTCGATCCGCTCCTTCTCAATCTCAACCTCGATGCGATCGTTGGTGTTCCGTGAGATATCGTCCGCCATTGTGGGATATCGTCTATGTTTGGGGAGTTTCTCAAAGCAACCAGGCCAGATTCTCACACCGAGAAGAAAGAAGAAAAAAAACGAACGAACGGGGGCAGATTTTTCTCCCTTTTTCTCTTTGCTCATTCCCCAACTCCGCTCATCCGGTTGCGTGCAAAATCCCCAGGAACCCCCACGCTAAAATTCTCGTCAGTTGCGGGGGGTTCTTTTAGTGGGGAATGAAGTTGGGACTTGGCCATTGGCCCTGGCCCCTGTCTGGTGGTCGGGACACGCTACGGCAAGGTTTTTTGTTCGGTTGCAAGGGTTTCCGGCGGAGACGGGCTCCCCGGCCAGGCCGGAGGGTGAGTTGTGATTCGCCAATCGGCCCGGCACCGTGCGTGGGGAGTCGGGTTGCCCTCGACGGTGCTGAGAGCCAGGGCCATCGTGCCACTCTTGGGATGTCGGGGGTATCTGAGACTGTTAGCATGGTTCTGGCAAACTAAAAGGAAATTCAGCTTGTGAATGACTCCAAGATGAATAGCCTAAAACCGGTGAAAGCGAGAGTCTTGTTCAATTTTTTGTTCTCATTCTCTCCCAAGCCCCCAACGGGTCGGGATGGGATTTCGTGCAAAGTCTTGGGTTTGGGCGGGTTTCCGTGGGGGTTTCGCTCGGTCACCAGCCGGGAAAACATCCCGTCCCGTGATTTCCAGTGGCTCCCCCCGGGGAACTTCCATGCGGAAATTGAGGAACGAGTGACAACTTTGGACGGGGAAATTGAGGAGATAGGGGGTCTTCTGCAGCCTGACCTGCCTTCTGGGCCAATAGAACTGACGATGTCTGGTCATCCCGGTCGGGAGTCCTGGGAATGGTTAGCCGACGTTCCTACGTCAGTCCTGGGGGCATATTCTTGAAAGTTGGGGGACATGGGGGTGGAAATGGAGACCCCAACATTCTGCTTAGCCGAGCGGGACGTCACCAAGTCCGCGGAGAGCAGAAAAAAAAAAATTGAAAAAGAAGCACTTCCAACGGGCTGTCATTGGTACTGTAATCATTGTGGGTTTCCATAGTATACGCACTCACGATATCCCACTGCTCATCCACCTCGCCGTCTCCTCCTAAGCATGGACTTTTGGTCTCAGCGTCCAACTGTAGGCCTTGGTCTTGTTAATAGATTTGAGATAAATATCATGCTTTCCTCAAGCCTAAGATCTGACTCGGTTGATTCGGATCTACAGTAGAATCCTCAAAAGTCACGTGCTCTACCGGCCCAAAATTCAAGATCACATTTGGGAGCTCGTCCTTTTCGCCATGGAAAGAACCTTGGAATTCCGAGATTAGGTTAACAAGCTTCAATGTTAGATCCTCACGAGTGGTGATGTACCAAAGCTGCCTCAGTTTTGGAGCGTCCATCGCGGGGTGTTCTGTACTAAACTCTCACCAACCGCAACTTCTCCGCACTTCCCTTCGAATTCGCCTGAGGCTGACACCGACACCTCTTTCCTGAACGTCAACGGCCACCACACGCTGATTGTTTCTAATTACTATTGGAGAGTCGCCTCAGCATGAACTAGTCGCAATGCCATCGTGTCAGCGCTGTTATTCTCGTAAGACCCGATGCGACCGGCGGATCCCAGAGTGTACAGCGTGCGTTAAAACCGGCTCCCAGTGCCGATATCCCGATAAACGCCGAGACCGCCTACGCCAGCAGGACTACCTCAATTCAGTTGAGATACGCCTTCAGGAATTGGAGAGAGAAAAACAACAAGCGAATCAGCGTGCGTCGGGCGATGCTGACGCTGGGGTTGCCCTGCAAGATGATGTCGGCTCGGCGTGTGCTGGGGAAGGCCTCGGCAAAGCAGCGAGGCAACATCATGCAGAGCCTCAAACCTTGCAGTCTCCGGCGATATCTATCGACACGATACAGAAAACCCCACGTGAAGAGACCCGGTATTTAGGCTCTAGTAACGGGGTGGGTTTTGTGGATGTTGTTGAACGGGTTGTCGAGACCTCTTCGACGGGCGGGTTATTTGATCGACTCGCATCTAGCAATGCTACACCCGAAATAAAAAAACCACTACCAGTTGCTAGCGACCCCGTGCAACTCGTTGACAGAGCACTGGCTATGCCCTTGGTCGAATCATATTTCGAACACTGGCATGTGACGTTTCCACTGCTGTATCGCCCCGCCTTTATGAGTATGATCGAGGAGATGTACCATGATCATGATGTATATCATGAATCTCCCACAAAAGCATTTGCTTTCGATATGGTTTTGGCATTGGGGTCGGTCTCCTCCAAGAGGGGCTGGCCGTTTGGTGACGCGGAGTCTCATTTTGCCAGGGCTGTGGCTCGACTGGACGAGCTGTCAAAGCTCCGAGATATCCGCTCTTTGCAGGCGCTTCTTCTATATTGCAAATATGGAATCCATGCTAGCCTTCGCGATACCTCTAGAGAGATGTGGGAGATACTAGGCAAGGCAACCCAGCTTTGCGTGGAACTTGGACTTCACAATGAGGTCTCGACTGTGGCTAAGAGGTGCGAAATGCACCTCACTGGGCCCATACCCCCTTCTTTGCTGTTGGAAATGCAACGACGTTGTTTCTGGTGCTATTATAACCTGGAAAGGTAGGTTCATGAAGTCTCAGTCAAGAGTTTTGGCTAATTTTAGTAGGATTGTGACCGTCTCCCTTGGCAGACCACTTGCACTTTACGACGACGATATCCACGTGCAATTACCGTCGGAGTTAGACGATGCATCTCTCGATAGGCATGAGAATTCGGCAATCTCTCTACGAAAGACATCTCCTTTTCTCCATCATATAAGACTACGCATGATCCAGGCGCAGATCCACCGGTCCATGTACACAAGCCGATCCACACAGTCACTCTCCCTTCGTGAACGGCAAATGATACGAAGAGATCTCTATAATGAACTGCAATCCTGGAGAGATGATGTTGAACACCTTGCGCTACCCGCAGGGGAGAACGCTTCAGAAGTGCCTTCGGTGTTCTACCATCTCAACTGGTATCACGCCTTGTACCACAGCGGCTGCCTAATGCTCTTCCGCCCATCCGCGACATTCCCTGCAATGGAAGGACTAGACGATGATGAAGACATTGATGATGTTCTACTTATCCTCTGGCATTCATCTCGCCAGGTTCTAGCGAATTACCTCGAGCTTCTGCGTGTTCGTCACTTGAATTACTCATGGTCTTGTCTGTATATGATCTTCATGGCAGGGCTGGCGAATGTGTACTGCGTGGGTTGTTGTGCTAAAAGAAAACGACGGGGTATTGCTGCCTTTGTCCCGTCCTACTGGGACGCTATTTCTGATTCGCGTGATTGTTCGAATCTTTTGACTGCTTTCTGCGAGAGATGGAATGATGCGCGCTCCTCGTGTGATATCTTCAACAGGCTCAGTATGAGTGCTTTGAAGGGGTTGGCTGCTGTGAGCTTCACGCAAAGCGACGAAACTTCAAATCCTACGAAAGAAAGAATGGTGGAGCTGAATCAACCCCGGCTATCGTCGGAGACTGCGACGAATGGAGATGGATCGACTGGTGTGCCTATGCCTTCCAATTACGCTCATTTATTAACAGGTACCCTTGAGCACCCGGCTACAGATGCAGGGCTCGACCAATCTGCACTCAACTGCCTCGGTGACTTTGATCCCATCGTCGATTTCCAGCAAGTTTTTCAGGACATGCAGTATTCAATACACAGAAGCAACTTTGCGGAAGCAAATGAAGTATCGAGAGGGTTCTCCCAGGATTGGTTTTGATATTCTTCTATCATCACGAACTAAATGTCAGTGAATGCCGCCTATATCTAAGCTAAATACCTTTCATGTTTCTGCGATAAACATCTATATAACTCCATTCTTCCGAAGATCGGATATAGCAGTAGATGGCACACCCAGTTCCTGCAGTATATCATCCGTGTGCTCTCCCAGACCTGGTGGACCGCGTCTAATTGACCCTTTAGACTCGCTGAATTTGACTGGCATACCTGTTTGGACGACTGTCTCAGTAAATGCCTCGAATAGGGTGAAGAGAATTGTAAAGAACTTACCAAGAACTTGTATTTTCCCCGATAATGCCGCACCCTGCTCGACAGTCTCAATCATATTCCTCGCAATGGCCTGGGGATGTGAAAAGACTTTCTCCATATTATTGATCGGACCGTACGGCAAGCCGCTACCCTCAAATCTTTCTTCCCAGAACGAGGTCGACTCAGAAGCGAGTTCTTTATCCAGAATATACTTCAGCTCTTTCCGATTTTCGACCCTCGAATTGTTATCCCTAAACCGAGGATCTTGAGCCAGCTTCGTATTCCCTAAACGCTCGCACAAGACGTTGAACTGTCTGTCATTCACCGCGCCAACAACAATATGTGCATCCTTCGTTGTAAACGCTTCATAGGGTACGATCGTGGGATGCCCCGTGCCCCATCGCTGTGCTTCCTTGCCAAGATTCAACCAGGCCATACCCACGTTCGCTAAGGTGGAAATGGTAGTCTCAAATAGTGACGTGTCGATCTTTTGGCCGAGGCCGGTCTTTTCCCGCGCAAGGAGCGCAGAAGCGATGGCGCCGTGGAGATAAAGCCCCGTGCACATATCTATGATGCCGACTCCTGGCTTGGTGGGTGGTCCGTCTCCTTCGCCTGTGACGTGAAGTAAGCCGCCCTCGGCAGCGCCTATAACGTCGTATCCTGCACGTTGCGCATAGGGACCATCGGCGCCGTAGCCTGCGCAGTAGTTAGAGCTTCTGTGAGATATTTTGAGAGTAGGATGTTTGTTGGTGCGTACCGGAGATACTGGCCAAGATGAGAGATGGATTGGTCTTCTTCAAAACTTCATATCCGAGACCTAGACTATCGAGTTTGCCGGGGATGAAGTTCTCAACACTGTAAAAGTGAGCGCGAAAAAACGTTAGAGTTGGTTATTTGTAACGGGCCCAAAGTCTTCGTCACTCACACAACGTCGGCTTTCTTTGCTAGTTGCAAAACCACGGCCCTACCCTTCTCGTGTTTCAAATTGACCGAGATGGACCGTTTATTGCGATTGATTGTATTGAAGTAGAGAGATGTGTCTTTGGTATTTGGCTTCCAGATAGCTTCCTCTCCGGCCTCTCGCCAGAGGCGGGTATCATCCTGATGGACACGTTAATCATGGTGCATCTGGGTTCGAGTGAATTCTCGAACGAGAAAGGGGACACGTGTATCACTTACGCCGCCTTTAGGATGCTCAACCTTTATAACGTCGGCCCCATAATCGGCTAGTATTTGAGTGCAGAATGGGCCCTTGAAAATGTTAGACGTGGATCTGCTGAACGATAGGTATAAACTCACAGCTAAAACTCGAGATAAATCGAGGATTTTGACGCCAGCCAAGGGGCCGGCCTGAGTATGAGAGGCTTGTGCGTGACACCTGCGTACTCCCAGGATAATTGGTGATCGAGGCAACGCAGATGTATAGGATTGCGGTGTTAATGTGCGAATCCAAGGCGGCATAGTGAGAGATCAAGGTAGAGCTGTGGGACGGACTAGGGTGAAGTTGGCGACTCTGTGATGGAATTAAAAGACTGCATCAAAAAGGCATAGAACTATAAGGTTTAAAAGCGGTAAAAAATAGATCAGTGACTTCGGCTGTTTCTCAGGAACTTGTATGCTCGGCGGTTTCCCTCGAAGAAAGTGATCAGATCAAGGACTGGTACAGCGGCAACAACCGACGTGAATCGCCGAGGCAGGCAAACCTCCATTCCCCGCAGATGGCCTGCTTGGCAATACTGGGATTCTCCCCATGCGCTCATGCGGTCGCATCGAGTGGAGCAAGCTTGTCTTGGCTGGGCGCGAGCGGGCATTCCGCATGCCTGTCTCGAGGTGGTCCGGACCTCGGGCGCGACACGAGGCGCGGGGATTTCGGCCTTTTTCGCCGATGACTTTCTAGGGTCATATTCAACAATAAGAACAGTCCAGTTGGGAGTGTTTTCACCACATCTTGAATTTAGCGGAGAATACACTTTGGAAATTCTCGAGGCGTGTGGGAAAGGAATAAATTATGTCGCTTCCAGTGCGCAGATTCATCGTGCGTCTACATGGTTCAAATTCCTGCTTACCAAATGCGAAGAAGCTGACCCGTTTGAAAAGACTCAATCATGGATCAAACGGCCTCAGTTACAACATATTCTGGCTGGGAACCATCCGAGGCTCTCACGGCTGCTTCATGCCCGTGCAAAAGAGTATCTGCAAGCATACGATCCCGACCTGACTGATTCTCAACGAACTGTCCGCGAAGCCATCACCAAAATATGCGCCGACTATCCTGATGAGTATTGGCTAAAGCAAGAAGAAAAGAAGGAGTTTCCGTTTAAACTTCATAGAAAGCTCGCCGATGATGGTTGGCTTGGAATCTGCATTCCGCCAGAATTCGGGGGTCCGGCCTAGGCATCTCTGAAGCTGCGATCATGATGCAGACTTTGTCGGAGTCGGGAGGAGGAATGACTGCGGCTTCTTCAGTGCACATGAATATCTTTGGCCTAGAACCAGTTGTCAAGTTTGGTACTGATGAACAGAAGCGTCGATGGCTGGAGCCGCTGGTTCAAGGTCGCGAGAGAGCCTGTTTCGGCGTCACGGAGCCTAATACTGGACTGGATACATTGAAGCTGCAGTCAACGGCTCGGAGGGATGGCGATCATTATATCCTGTCGGGTCAGAAGATATGGATTTCCACGGCACAGAATGCGCACAAAATTTTGATTTTAGTGCGCACGACTCCTCTTGACCAAGTCAGTAAACCATCGCAGGGTCTCTCGCTGTTTTACACCGATCTTGATCCATCGGCTGTGGATATCACCGAGATTCCCAAGATGGGGCGCGCAGCTGTCGACACAAACTCACTATTTTTCGATAATTGGCGCGTTCCAGCGACTGACATGGTCGGTCAAGAGAACGAGGGATTCAAAATGATCTTACATGGGATGAACGCCGAGCGCATTCTGATCGCGGCTGAAGCTCTTGGCCTTGGATATGCCGCTATTCGACGAGCAGCCACTTATGCGGGCGAGAGACACGTGTTTGGACGTGCTATTGGAAAAAATCAGGCGATCCAACATCCCCTGGCTGACAGCTGGATGAAACTTGAAGCGGCCAGGTTGATGATCTACCATGCCGCGCGGCTCTATGATGTGGGGTATGCCTCCGGGGAATATGCGAACACTGCCAAGTATCTGGCTGCTGAAGCAGCGTTTCAGGCCTGTGAGCGTGCGGTCATGGTACATGGAGGGATGGGATATGCAAAGGAATATCACGTGGAAAGATATTTGCGTGAAGTGTTGATTCCTCGAATTGCGCCCGTGAGTCGGGAGATGATATGTAATTATATTGGGGAGAGAGTTCTGGGACTACCAAAGTCTTACTAAATGGGCATCATCTTTCAAAGTGCAATCTTACAGGAACAAATAATCTATTGTATGCTATGCACTTCTCCCACGCGTGATCTGGGTTGGCCTATCCTGTCCCGTCTATGATCAGTCCTGCCGCGCACTCGGTTCGTCAATTGTAAAATAGCGATTTCATAGACTATAAATCGCCTTCAAGTCCTTCCCCAACAGTTCATCTGCACCGTTGAATGTGGAGGGGCGTTCTACAAGACAATTTGATCGACCTGCCAAGATTCAGCGGAGCGGAAGTTCCCCTTATACTGCGATCTAAGTATTTTCGCTTTTTGACATTCTTCTGTCCTCGTCGCCCTCTTTAGATTCTACGCCACTGTCGATTCCCAATCTTGCTGGATACCGCAGGAGCCGACTCTCCTTCGCAGAGCCTTTTCAACCACAGTAATTATTCCGGTAGCCGAAATATACGAAGCAAGATAACGAATAAGCTCCACTCTCCGCCCCACAACCAACTAAATATGGTAATGATTACGAGTCAAATGCAGACTCTGAGTTTGCCCTCCAGATCCTAGCCACGCACATACTTAATAAAATTCAAGACTTATATGAGCTTTTGACGACCGAGCGTTTCAACATTTTGTAGTTACAGGAATCGTCTAGCTCATCATTGGTTATTCTGCTTTCAAGTTCAATGAGCTTGGTGTCCCATGCTATCACCCGATCTCTGTCCCCCCACTTCCCGCTCCAATCCCCAGTGGAAGTCGTGGCCATGAAGACTAAGAAAGCTCTTGGCGTGTTGCATACGCAAGCACTGTTGATCGCAAAATAGTCCAACAAGCATTTGAGGCTCCCCCAAAAGCGGGCCTCCCGACGAACATGGAAGGAAGTCGTACATACTCCCAAACATTTCGGTTAAGTCCAACTTCATCTTGTTGTTGACAATGTACCCAGAATTATAGCCTATCTCGCGTCGCGGTAGGTCTTACAGACATACTGAAATGATCCCATCACTTGCCTGGATATGGATTGTCGCGTTCATGCCGGAGGCAAGTGCAGATTTTGTCTCTGTCAACTACCAAAAGTACAACAATGGAGACCTGGGCCATCGTCCTCATCTGGAATTTCACTCGAGCACCGAATATTCGCCTGTACTACAAGTGAATATATGGGATCGCGATGCCATATCTCGAGAAGGCTCCCATATATTTCTCCGACATGACGGCAACGAATCGTCGCCTCTCTCATCACCGCTCATCCTCGACGCCAACGACTTGAGCGCTGTGTTTATGAATCGATCTTTCCAAAATGTCTTCGGTACTCGAGTGCAGGAAAATTTCGGGAAAAAATATTTGACGTTCTGGGAAGGAGAGAAAGGCGAGGGGGTTGGAGATGGCTATGGTCTTGCGTACGACGACACGTACCGTTTGGCGTACAAAGTGTCGGCGCAGAATATCAAAGTACACAGTGATCTCCATGAGTTCGCATTCACAGGTAATGGAACAGCATTGGTCACGGGAGTCAACAAGATACGAGCTCGAGGGTCGAACTACAAGGACTGGGACCTACCTTTCGAGTTCGAGATTCTGGACGGGATTATCCAGGAGATCGATCTCGAGACAAACATGGTACTTTTTGATTGGCGGGCACTCGACCACGTCAACCCAATGGATTCTTACGAACAGAGAGGACGAGGATGGGATGCATATCACCTGAATAGCATCGAGAAGGTGAGAGGATGCACGGAGACCTAGTCTTCTTCCATTAGTAGTGATGTTAACATATGCTAACACTCTGCACTATTCAGACCCAGGCAGGAAACTATCTTATTTCGATGCGCCACATCCACTCAATAATGCTAATTGACGGAAAAACGGGCGAAATTATCTGGACATTAGGCGGCAACCAGAACGACTTTGTCGAACTCCCCCAACTAGGAGGAACAGAGTCAACTCAACCCGTACTGACAATGCGCTGGCAACACCATGCTCGCTTCGTTCCTGGAACCAACGAGACCCAAATGACATTATTCGACAACCATGTCAAGGTGACTTCACACGGCGAGTGCAATACCCAATGTTCCCGTGGCCTGCACATCGCTATTGACGACTCAGTCTCACCCCCAACCGTCCGGCTTCTCCAAGAGTTCCTCCACCCGTCAAAGCTACAAGCGCAAAGTCAGGGCAGTGTCCAGGTTCTTTCGCCTTCCTCCAATGACCTTGGAAATGTGTTTGTCGGTTGGGGCCGGTGTCCGACTTTCACAGAGCACAACTCCACTGGCGAGACGGTCATGGACGTACAATTCTCACCGTGGCATAGCCTCGATGTCCCTGATGCGCTTGACAACTATCGTGCATATAAGATGGATTGGTCAGCGACACCTTGGTGGGATCCTGCAATTGCTGCAAGAAACAATTGGAAAGGAGAGCTGGTTGTCTATGTTAGCTGGAATGGCGCTACTGAGGTGGCAAGTTGGGTGATTCGGGGCGCGGCTGGAAATCTGCGAGTGAACCAAGGTGAAGTCTTGGCGAGATCACGACGAACTGGCTTCGAGACAAAGTTGACGATTGGCGAGACGGTCTGGAGGTATCTGTGGGTCGATGCTATTGATCGTGATGGGAATTTAATCCGGTCGAGCGAAGTTGTGGACCTGGACACCGCTGAGTTATCTGTGGCATCTGATCTGTATAGCGAATTCGGTTCCGGTGTTCCTGATATGCCTCAACCTGAGTCGCTATCAAGAGCAGCCTTTATCTTGATCGCTACTGGTTCGGGGATTCTGGCCCTGATCACTGTCGCTGGTTGCATCATTTTGTGGCGCCGTTATAAAAGCTATAGCTGTCTGAGTCCTGGTGACTTTGCCTTGGACACAGATGAGGAATCAGGGGAGGAGAGTGATGACCATGATAATGAAATCGATGATGATGGCAGGGATACAATAGGTGAGACTGGAAGCGTGTACTCTCAATCAAGGCGAGAGCAAGCTAGCTATTCACGACTACTTCGTGCAGTGGAAGGATACTAATCAGCACTCAGCCAGTGTATATACATTCAATGAAAGTAAAATCATGGTGGTAGTTGAAATAATTACCCACGTAGGCATGGGTACAGAATTCTAGGGGGATGAGTGCTTTAAAAGCGTAGATCAATGCTTAATTCTCCCTCTCCGAAGTTATTCTGGGCAAATTACTATGTGTATATTTTTTGGCCTCTCTTATCAATAAGTGCGAGCTAAAATCAAAATTCTATAACTTTAAACACGGTTTGCGCCCAAGTCAAATCCAATTCGCATCTTGGAAAATATCGACAATTTTCTCATTGGATACCACACTCGCCTGCTGCTCGTGAGTGCTTCCAACCGCTGAAAGCAACACGACTTTCTTCGATGGCCCGTCATTCTTCTTGTCAAGAGACATGAAAAAAAGAATCCGATCAACCGAGCATTGCTTGCGATTTGCCAGGTTTGCGATGATCGGATCGTCAAGGGAGACCGGCAGCCCATATGCCGCGATACACTTTGTGATTCTGGGAATGGGAATTTCAAATAGAAAAGATATTATAAAATGAAAACCTGGAGACCTTAAACAGAGTCGACACCGTCAAGTCGACTATATCCCCGTCCAAGTCGCTGTGGAGGGAAGGATTGTTCATCGCGACTGTCTGCATTGCCCAGTTCATGACACAAGCTGGCCTGGCCATTGCTATTGTTCCTGGTCAAATAATTGGCAGGAGCTTCAACTCAACCTCACCAGGTCAGTTATCCTGGTTCCCGGCAGCTTACAGTCTCCACGGTCGGCACATTCATTCTCGTTGCGGGTCGTCTGGGAGACATGTACGGTCATCGCTTGTTGTTCATTGTTGGGTTCTTGTGGGTTGGACTCTGGTCATTGCTCGCGGGGTTCAACGTCTGGTCGAGTCCTATTTTCTTCGACTGTTGCCGAGCATTTCAAGGAATTGGTCCTGCGATGCTCCTTCCTAATGCAGTGGCCATCTTTGGACAGACACATATCCACCCGGTCGCCGAAAGGAGTTTATTTTTAGCTTTTTTGGTGCGACTGCACCTGGCGGTTTTGTCGTTGGCGGTGTTTTCTCCTCAATTTTTGCACATTTCGTCTGGTGGCCATGGGGATATTGGGGTTATGGGAATTGTCTGTTTCGTCCTTGCTGGAATTGGCTTCCTCGTTATTCCAACTTCCTCGCGATGTAAGACCGATGACCATGTGAACCTTACCGAGAGACTCGACCTCCTTGGCGCGGCAGTCGGCATATCGGCCTTGGTTTTGGTTAACTTTGCCTGGAACCAAGCCCCTCTTGTCGGTTAGCAGACACCGTATACTTATGCTATGCTGATTGTTGGACTTGCTCTACTTGTGGTCTTTGCATTTATCGAAAAGTCCGCATCATATCCCCTGCTTCTCCGTTCGGCTTTGAAAGGAGGTCTAGCCTGGGTGCTTGGCTGTATTGCCGCTGGTTGGTCCAGCTTCGGAGTTATGATTTATTCTTTTTTTCTCCAGTTCGACATGGCGGTCAAGGGAGACACCGGTCTGTTAGCTAGCAAAACTTTCTGGGGCCTCTATCTCAGGTGCTACTGCCTCTGTTGTGTCAGGATTTCTCCTTGGTCGGTGCACACCCAGCTTCATTATGTTCTGTGCCATGGCAGCCTTCACTACTGGGCTTGCCTTGCTAGCAAAAACTCCAGTGAGTCAGACATATTGGGCTCAGATGTTTCTCACGAGCGTCATTACTCCATTGGGCATGTAGGTCAACACCTTTGAACCAGAATCCTTTATCCAACCGGAGAAAATACTGATCAGGGCGTGATGGGGACATGTCTTTTCCATCAGGAACCATTCTACTCAGCAACTCGATGCCCAGAGAGCACCAGGGACTTGCCGCTTCCCTCGTCAGTACGACAGTAAACTACTCCATTTCACTTGGACTGGGTTTTGCAGCTACGGTGGAGTCGAATGTTAATGATCATGGAAAGGACACACTTAGGGGCTATCGAGGGACATTGTACATGGGTACAGGCCTTGCTGGACTTGGCTGGATAATTTCCTCGTGTTTCTATAGAGGTCATCCCAGAAGAAGAGCGTTCAGTGCTAATAAGAATTACGACTCGGACATTGGGGGACTGGGATTCTGTTGCGTTAAACTCAATAAAGACTGGAAGAGCGCGTTAAATAAATATCTCTTGCTCGCTACTCAAGCTCCAGTATCTATCTCAAGAACTTGAAACAAGGTTTGTGTATTTTGCTTAAACTCGAATTCCATTTACTGGGGAATATACCGACGATCATGATCGCCTAAACCTGGACTGGATACACGCAAGAGCGCCCGTGATTGTAGCCTGAGGCTCCAAGGCTTCCATGCAGTCCAAACATGAAACACCTCGTATAATCCAAATGACTCACGGTTCATCGAATCTCATCGATTGTTTACCTCAAACTCGATAAGACAGCCATACGGGGATTCATCATCATCATCATCAGAACATCTTGATTCAATGGAGCACCCTCTCAATATCCCGAACGGCTCGGCAGCCGTGAATATCTCAGTCATCGACAGGTATTTAAGTCCATGCGGTCGTTATATTCAGTCGAATATACTGCGCAGCTCCCTGTCGGCAGACTAGATTATATGAGGAAGACTGACAACGATTTCAAGCACACGGATGCGGCTTCCATGCTCACATCTACTGACACCAGAAATACCCCAACATCAATATCTCGATCTGCCATCATTCTCGTTCCTCATTGATCACCCTGTCTTGCAGCGCAAAATTCTATTTGATCTCGGGCTCAGGAAATATTTCTCAAGTCACCCACCAGCCGTACATAAATTTCTTGCCGAGTCTGGTTGGGAGTTGCAAGTGACAAAGGATATTCCGGAAATCTTGAAGGAAGGCAATTTGTGCCCTGATGATATCGAAGCTGTGGTCTTTAGCCATCATCATTTCGACCATCTGGGTGATTTGAGTCAATTTCCTTCCACAACCGAAGTCGTTGTTGGCCCTGGTTTTAAAGATGCCTATCTACCTGGATGGCCCGTGATGGACGAGTCTTCGCTGGTTGATGATGAATGGAAAAAGCACACCATTCGCGAAATATCCTTCAACGATGGACCGAACAGCCTCTCGATCGGTGGGTTTCCAGCGATTGATTATTTTGGGGATGGAAGTTTCTTCCTACTCGATGCACCTGGTCATACAATAGGGCACCTTGCTGCACTCGCACGGGTCTCTCTGGCTTCCACCTCCGCAGAACTCCAGAGAGATAAATTCGTCTTCCTGGGTGGAGACATATGCCATTATCCAGGTGTCTTTCGACCCACGAAGAGCTTCCCTCTACACTTTGAGGCTCAAGCTGCTTTTTACGCGTGCCCAGCGTCCTTTTTCCTCGATGTCCACCCCGAGAATAACTGCGAAACGCCATATTATAGGATGCCTGCCCACTGTACAGTGGATAAAGAATCCGCCGAGCGCTCAATCCGAAAGCTTTGTGAGTTTGACGGAAATGAAGACATTCTCGTGATTATTGGCCACGACGCGTCCTTGATCGGAAAGTTGGATTTCTTCCCGAAAACAATCAACGGGTGGAAGCGAGGAGCAAAGAATGCATTCCAGTGGGCATTTTTGAAAGATTTCTGCAATGGAATCTAGTGTACTTCTGCTCACAATTTGATGTTCTTCAAAGTGGAATATCTGACCAAATAATATATAATGTCAATTCGATTTACATTTTCTTGGTAGTCAAAGTTACGACCACTCATCCTGCCAAATCCATAAAACGGACATCTATTCGGTGGGAACCTAATACAGCGGAGTCCTCTGGGTTTGAGAGACTACAATTGATAAAAATTCGAGTTTAAAAAACAGAGAAGAAAACATACAACAGCCATACTATGGTGATGCTCACCTAGCGACTATAAGTGTGCCCGAAGAATATTTAACAAGTTAGAGTCTAGTTCTATAGGTTAACGATCTTCTAGATTCCTTCAGCTATATCCCCAAGCTATTTCACCTCCAAGGCCTAAAAGTTTAAAGTCGTCATAATTCTCATCTAGAAAGAAATATAATTACACTCCTGGGTTAAAAACAAGCAAAAAGCAGTCCACATTATTGTGCACTCGCCCTTGTGACCGCTGGTCGCGCGACGCTCAAGCTGTTAGGGCAGCTTCCACTAACGGTATGTGCGGTCCCTTCAGAAGGTGAACTTGGACTACTTTCAGTTCAGACTCCCACACATGGGTCCTTTGGTCTTCCTCCACATCAACGTCCTCCTAAGAAAAATGCATTCCTGGACTTTGCGGCATCATCTTGCCGCATAAACTGATATAAGTTAGCTAGTGTTATCCTCATAAAAAAGGAAACAGCAGTAGTCTCGCTACAATATTGACACAAAAAATAAAAATATATAGATGGCCATTTGTGATCTGAATGATTGAATGCAAAACCAATCTTAGTGTTCTGTTTTGCCGGGCCAGGGGACCGACCATCTTGACCTGGTCTTCGATGTGGCCTTTAACGCATCCTCGATCTTCTTGAAGGCAGTCTGCTGAAGGACCATCCATCTGCCTTCTATCTCATGTTCAGACACAAAGCCGCGGCCGCCGTCAGGATACGTGTCCTTGTCTTCCTGGCCGTCATAGTGACCATCTGCTAGACCTAGAACCTGACAGAGTGCCTCAGCTTTGCCTATTAGCCATTGTTCGTGACGCAGGCCATGCTTCCAGTGATCTGGCAGTGCCTCGTAGCCAAGAAAAGCGCCGAGCAAAGCCCCTGCGAAGCAGGCGTTCGTATCCGCGTCACCTCCTCTCATGATAAGGTCCGTGATAAGCTCCTCAAACATGGCAACCCGCATCAACAAGCTCCCGTAGCTTTCTCTAGTCTTCCTAATGGCCATTCGCAGAAGCAGAACCCCCGCACCGAGAGTCTTGTACACGTACCCGATCGCTTCGCGCTCGTCGAGCTGCAGTACATCCAGACTCTCTGCCTTGACATGTTTCTCCAGCTCGGCGAGATCTAATTCTAACGACTCAGTCCCAACCTCTGGCTGCCCAGCATACCATACCACCACCTTCCTCAACAACAAGTTAATATCCTCTTCCATTAAGATCTCGGATCTCACCACCGCCCTCACCAGTGCTGTCCCATACACGCATGCGATCACGCAGCGGGAATCATAGTGTGTCACACGCGATATCTTGGCCGCCACTGCAAACGTCTCCTCCTCTCCCCGGAACAGACACATAAGCCCAAGGGGATGTGTTCGCATGATGCTGCCGTTCGGCGCAACCCGCTGTCCCGTTCGCTTCCAGTATTCCCGAGCAACTTGCTCCGGCTCTTCAACGAAATTCTTCGTGGCAACAACTGTCCCGACGAGACGTCCCAGGCCGAGGGGCATCGTATCCAGTACGCGCAGGCCCTGCTGAACCCAGATGCGCAATCGAGAGGCAAAGTCGGACGGGGTTGGGAGTGGATCCGCACCATTAGTCGAGGCGGTATGCAGATAGCTTAGAAGGAGTAACAGGGCGTGGTCGGTGTCGTCAGTCCAGTCACCGGGGTTCTTCGGGGAACGGTGTGTGTCCAGCTTGAAGGGGGTTGGGTTTGGAGATGCGAGAGTGAACGACCGTGATGGGTACGAGATGGCAGCTTGATCGGCGGAGAGGAACTCGGTATAGAGGCCAACTGCGTCGCCAAGCGCCGAGCCAACAATGGCGCCTACGGTGTGGTCACGCAGGGCCGAACGAACGATAACGTTTGCCGACTCTTGCGTTAGGTCAAATGGTGCGCTGAAAGGCATAATTCGTGCGGAACGAGGAGCTGCACTCGTCAATAATGAGGTAGTGGCTTCATTTTGAAAATTCATTTTGAAAATAGGGCAGTCGAACCTAGCTATAGGCGCTCGCCGTGGCTGCCTGGTCAGTTGCTGCATAAAACTGACTTTATTCAACTAGGAACGCTAAGCCTAAAGGGATCTAGTAAATCGGCAGATCACGCCCTTCTTGGAGATAGAATTGAGGATTATTTAAGTTACCTCTTCCCCAAAACCTAGATCGGCATAATATTCCTGCGTGATTATAACAAATTAGAGTGCCTTGATCTTCCCTAGGCAAATAGCCGTATAAGTAGGCGCTAATCGACGGTTCCAGGCCATCGTTTAATACAGGTCCAAATGCAAGTGCCGAAACTTGCTAGCTAGCATCTTCAGGCCTTCGTTTAGATCCATGGGAGGTGCAATCCTACCAAGATAACAAGAATCAAGTACAGAATATAAGGAACTCGTAGCCGGGCCCAGATCAGTCTCAATAGACAGGCTTTTCTGGTTGGGAAACCTACGGCATATCTTATACATATCAAACGGCGTGCATCCTTTTCGACCTAGGCTGACATGCTCGATCCAGGAACAGTCGTTTCCTCATTCAGCTCATACCATGAATTGTCGTCGCGAAGTATCTCTATTCACCTCAGGCTCCGGGAATACAAAAAGGCGCGCAGCCAGAACTCCGTGGTAGCATTCCCTGGGCCGGATGGCACGACTTGCAGCGTGATCAGGTACCCTAGCATGCTTACATGATGATTCTCGACAAGGAGTTCGTCTAACTATCAATTCCGAGAGGTAGTCGTATATGATAGGCGTGTCTCGTACTTCAACCCTTATTTTTTAGTGAAATACTAAATTGGTAAGCCAATACTGTACAGTTTCTCTATATTTCCCAGACCTCCTAGGTCCAAGCATCTTTTCCTTTCTGCTCTAAGCCTTTCGACGTATTTTGATATTAATACCTAACTCATACGACACGTCTGGCCCCCTAAAATTGTGTCAGTAGTTTCCTAGGGGTTTCCAGGGCGATCGATTACCCCGCAGCTTGCAGTCCTCACAGATAGATGCCTTCGTAGAAAACTCTTGCTGGGCCCTCTGGGCCCCAAAATAACGCCCGCGTTTTCTCGACGATAGCACCTATTATCAAGAAATTGGCTCCTCTTTTCACCCTTGAGAGTAACCTAGAAAGGCACTTCACGCAGATTGTAGTTCTATAAAAGCATAGCTTTCGCTTCACGTCAAGTGTTTCTCTTTGTTTCTCATACAGTCCAATAAGTCCACAAATTGTCCAACGCGCTCTTTGAGTCCCCAATCCATTAAAAACATGGGAAATTCCTGCACATTCTGATACGTAAGGGATTTATCCTATCTGAAACCCGTCACATCATGCGATGTAATAATCGGGTTTATTAGCATGGAAACGCCAGGCTCACGAGAAACATCAACACAATAAAGATTTTGTGCTCATGACCTCATCGGGGCTGCCACAGACGGACCGTTCCCAAGAATATTCTATCCTGGCTGGAAGCTAAGACCAGGATGGGTTTGCGTAGAGGGAGCAGAAACTTAAAGAAGATATTTCAAGTTCAAGCCCAGAGATATTGGGACTTATGAACGTAGATGAGATAAGAATAATTTGGCAGTGATAAGGGCCGTGCATTTTGAGAGAATCCCAACCGGAAAGGGGTTACATACCGGAAGAGAAAGGAGCATCTGGCCTTTGGTTGGCCTCGATTGCACTGATTACGGAAGGATAGCCTGTCGAGTGTTCGGCGTCTCTAATTTGATATTCCTCTTCCGTCATCTGCCAGATTGTATCTCCTTTAGGAGTTTGTGATTCATTCTACTGTGTTTCAATTAGGCAACTAGAGCCCCTTAGACCAATTCAGAGTTTTCTACAAATATTCCTGGGCAGAATCGCGATTCATTCTGTTTTTTTACTGTTCTTTACGGCTGTTCTTATCACTTCGTCCGTGAATATAGAAATCGCCTATTTCCCCTATGAAATTAGACGAAATGACTCCTTATATTAATTATCTATCATGTAAAATCTTATATTTTGTTGAATCTAGCTGCATTAGGACCGTTTAGGGTTGATTATAGAGGAAGTGAAATGTACACTAGCGGCGCAGGAGTTGTCCAGAGTTCACAGGGAGGGTCGCGAAGCCGCTACTTCGCGGTACATTATAAACGCGCCACAGAATCATGGCCGCCCTACGACATGCCATCGGGGTTCCCATTTTGTCCTTTACTATTTGGCGGACACTAATCGCCGAGCATGTCTGCAATCCCGCTCAGGTCTGCCTCCTCCTGTTCAGCGGCCCAATTCAATACGAGAGGCTCTCCCGAGTCTTCGCCGTCGTGGCCCCACTTCGTCAACTCTTTGGCCAATGAATCCCAAGGCAGTGGTGGCCCAGCTGCTTTGACAAAGTCAAACGCTGTCAAACCATTATCATTTCGGATGGAAGCATCCACGCCTCGACGGCAAAGGAGCCTTATCACTTCCAAACGCCCAGTTTTATCTGCCCATAAAGCCTTAAGTCTTCGCTCCCCACCAACTTCCGGGACAGAAACATCGGGGTAGCCGAGCAAGATGCACCCTACCATCCTTACGAGTCCTTCAATACGTTTGAAACTATTAAGAGTTTGCCGAACTGCTTCGTGCAGCACCGTCTCCCCAGAAACACTGCGGTGATTGATGTCCACCTTAGTCTGCAAGAGTTGCTGTAGAACTTCCGCGAGCCCGTCCTGGGCAACCGTGTGAAATGCCCATAATATTTCTGTTGTGGAGACCAAAGGGAGAATACCAGCGTTGATCAGGAGAAGGGCCACTTCTGAGTTGTGCTGATAAATGGTGTCGAAAAATGCTGTCCTATGCTGGGATGACCGGATCGAGATGTCGACACCGGCATAAAGGAGATATCTCACCAAGCTCGTATAACCGGGGTCATAATCATCAATGTAGTAGGGACACTGCTGTGTCGTCGCATTCATGCGAAATAGACAGTGCAGGACAGTTAATCCCCCAACGTTCACAGCGCTGATGTCACATCCAAAGTCCACAAGCATCTTTATCATATCCAGTTTATCGGTAGATGACTTTTTGACGATAGCATAGAAAGCAGCTAGATGCAAAAGGGTGTTTTCGTCCTCGTCTCTCGTAGAGACTAGTGCCCTTCGGTGTCCCAAAATCAATCTCACCATGGCTGTATCAAGATGCACTGCTGCGACCTGAAGTGCCCTCTGTACAGATCCTTCTGAGCAGGAAGAGACATCACAGCCATTTTCGATAAACAGGGCCGCTAGCGGAGCTCTTTCCTCGTCATCGGTCCATCTCCCTAGCGCGTATCTGTCAAAGAAAGAATCCAGACAAGTTTCACCATCACGAGATAGAATAGAGGCCAAACCAGGGGCTTCTTTCAATAGCATCTCAGCGGTCTCGAAACTCTCAACTGACCAGAGGAGAGTCCTTCCAGCGTTATCCAAAATGCGAGCGTCAGCGCCAGCGTCAATGAGCAGCTTTGTTACCAGCAGATTATCGCCCTTCACTGCATCCGGTAACATGTCGGTCAAAGCTTCGACATCGAAGTCCCCGGCATCAACAATACACCGAACAATCTCTACATTCCCGTCTCGTGCGGCGATGAAAAGGACCCCCTCCCCATAGTTGTTGGGAATAGGAGAAGAGGGTGGTGACCCTCGAGGACCTAATGGCATCCTGATGCTCGCGCCAGCATGTATGAGCAGTTCATAACGATCGCAATTAGAAATGCGCTCCTTTCCTCAAGGCAGAACACGACCGGGAAGGAGGGTAGGAGGGGAAAGTTTAGCCGAGGGGCCACGTTAGCACTTCAGGGGTATTCAGGGCGTTCAGGTGAAGGGGCCTGAAGGGACTGCGTCAAGCCCAACGAATTCTATCTAATCAACAAGAACAAAAACATACAACAGCCATTCTATGGCGACGCTCACTTAGCGCCAATCGTTCGGTGCTGGGCGGCTTCAGGCTGCAGTTCACCCACCTGAATATTCTTCACCCAGAGCGGTGAAACCCCGCACAAAACGTGCCTTTGTACATTTTGATCAGGGAAAAGATCTCGTAATACGGGAGTAGACACTATGTCCTTGCTTTTCAGCCTTCAGGTAGTTACCGCTAGTTGCCCTTGCCCTTTTTCGGCATTTTACGTTAGTCATTCCGGGAAGGCCCACATTCTGCTATTTACAGAATCCGCTGCAGTTTTCTTGCGGCTGAAAGAAAGTGTCTGCTTCTGGAAACCCCATTTGACTTGCGCCTTGTATTTCGCGGTGCCGGCGCTAAAACCATCATTATTAGCCACAATGAGACCGGCGTCAATGTTGCCGCCAGTTATAATATACCGCTTCTTATACGTTAGCTCGAAGCCGCCTCGTTTTCGGCCTTGCAGATACGGGCGCTCCAGCCCGTAATATAGATATATTTAGAGCTCTTGTCGAGGAGCTGGATATTTAGCTTGGTGACGGTCGGGGGCATATCGAAGTTAGACAGGACGATACCCATCGGCTCATATCAGGACTGAGGACCGCAGTTGGGTTGAGCAAGAGCCTGACCTCGTAGTCGGGCATCATACTTGGCTCTGTCTGTATTGAGGAACCCACGATAGCGGTCATAGTGACGGGGCGGCGCGGGGACAGACTTATAGTAACTGAGAGCTCGTGGGCGGGGCTTGGCGACCGACTCTTATCCGGCCGGGCTGGGGTGGTACTTCACGGCTGTTCTTGAATATAATGCTCCAGTAAGCGCATTTATTGAGAACAAGCGGTTCGTATGCCTATTATCTAAGCTGTTTCCAGTTAGTTGCCAAGTGATAATACACCGTTTACGAAACCAGCCCATAGCGAGGCAGATATCAAGAAATCCCCGATACTAGCCACATCCAAATTTGTCGGGGCTTCATGCGGCTTGATACCATTCGGATAACCACTGGAATGGATGGCGGGAATTAGATTCACTACAAGATATTTCATCATAATCTCAGATGGGCCAATCGGCTCCAAAGACTCTACAATATTCGACAGAAAAGATCGCATCGCATTTCAATACTACAGGCAAAAGGAGTGTTGCTGTGTACCACGCACCAGCTGCATTTGTTGGAGTATCTTGTGCTACCAAAATTTCTATGCATATCACGAGACCGAATTGTGTGTAGCAAATTAGACTTAGCTCGCGGAAATCAAGCTAAGCATATGCTAATTAGCATCTAGAAATTAAGAGAATCTACCTTTTACAATAAAGCTTGTGTCATTTCCATGCCAAGAACGCCAAGAACGCCAAGGATGAAATAAGGTAAAGATGAATTCAGTTGGAAGGATCTGGCCCGTCTGACATATCTGCAAACGGCGCCAATCCTGTCCGGTCGAGGCGTAGACCACATTCCTTTATAGAATTCGATATAATAGTTGAATTCTTGCGAGAAGTGTAAACGCCAGTTACACTTTCATAAGTGAGGAAGGAAACTGAGATGTTTGGCGCATATGAATACGTCCACTATCGCAATAAGTTACAGCATTCTGAAACCATGCTCTTCGACCCTCTGCTTTAACGACTACATGCGATTAGTATCAAATTTCAGTTATGTTAATAAGAATTAGAAAAATTGGCCTGGAACTCTAGCACCCGTGGAACAGTATCTCCCACGACTAATCCTCTTTGCCCGACGCAACACCTTTGTCGGTCGGATTTCAGTTACCCAATTTCTACAGACCCATGGCCCCGGTAGCTTGAGAGCAGACCAAGTTGGAATGGCAATTACTGTTTGTGACCAAAATTTATAGCACTCTCCCCGGTCATCCATGGAATATACGATGAAGCTCTTGTCTGTCAATTTAACTCTCTTTTTGACGGTCGACATTTCACGGATCCCCCACCTAAACACGTTCGCGCAGCCATGAATGCTTGGTTACGTTGGCAATAGTTTTTCATGAAACCTGCTCCTAATTCAAGCAGTAGATCAAGTTGCAAAAGCAATTCTGAGGCATAACCCAAGGAAACGCAGGTGAAAAGGATTTTAAGATTCTGGTGATGGGGGCCACTGACGTGCCGTGTGCATTTCATGTAATTTACTCGCTATACCCTAGCATCATGCTTCGGTCATTCAGCCATTGGGACACTTGGCAATCTCCTTGTAAGGGCTTGAGGTCATGGTACAGGAATATTTGGTTGCGGTAAAGTCAGCTGCAACCTGTGGTGACAATACGTCAGGTTTTTGCTGCAAGCAGTGAATTTTTTGTTTTTAGGGCCGCCTTTAGGTCCATCATCTACGATTATTGTTGCATCTAGACTGTTCGGTTGGCTACTACGTTCGTATTTCAATTAATTATTACCTCGATTTCTGAGGTTGTAGAGACATTGGGCCATGGTATCTGCTATTGTGTTCTTCCTTTATAGCTCCCAACGATCCATCCAAAGCTCAGCTTTTTTAAGAGCCACTGACCGGTTGCAGATATACCATCAGCAATGTATTACCTCTGGCTACTCCTGTTACTTACCCATACGCTCCAGATCACTTGGGGCAGGGGAGATCTAGGCCATCGAACGGTAGCCTATTTGGCAGAAAGTACCTACACGAGCAGGGGACACAGCTGATAGAAGACCTTATTACACCCAACAAGGACTTCGATTTCTCAGATGCGGCAGTCTGGGCCGACGAAAAAAATTTGCCTGTCCATTAACTAGACCGTGCCATTACATAGGTATGCACTAATGCTAGTTACCGTAAATACGACTAACTTATTCAATCAGATGCCGTTGAAAAACCGCCCGATTCTTGTCGCGTTGCATATGAAACAGATTGCAATGACGGGTGTGTTATATCTGCTATTGAAAACATGGTTAATCAAAACGGTTTCCGAATATTGCAGCCTAAGTAGATGTATATCTCGATAAAACATTACTAACGGTAGTGAAGACACATTAAGTGCAGGACTCTAGTCTAGGGAAGACTCAGAAAGCTGATGTATTGAAGTTCCTAATTCATTTTATTAGTGACCTGCATTAACCGCTACATGTCGAGAAAGAGTGTCGAGGAGGTAACGATATTCACGTTTGCTTTGACAATCGCTGCGCCAAGAAGACGAGGGGAAAATTGAAATTGCGAAAGGAAAATTGATAGCTTAAAAAATTGAGGTGTTATTTCTGGCTATCTAATAGATTGGAATATTTAAAAAATCATGGCTACTCATATAGTAGGGATATAGTACGGTCTCGATCTTCTTTAGTATCTTCAAATACCACTAGCTTATCACCGTTAGAGGCAAATTTCACCTAAAAAGGGAAGGAGAGTATGAGCAGCACATAATGCTAAGACCCCAGAACTGTCTGGTCAGAGCCAACAAGACAGATGTCAGTTGCAGAGAGTATCCAGTTCACCTCTAAGTGGGTAAATGCATAAGAGTTAGCTACTATGGGCTACCAAAACGAATATTAGATTGCCTTGACAAAGAAACACGTAACATACCAAGGGTTGGCAGCAATCTAGTTCCATTCGAATATCAACTGTGCGGTTTTACTGGTGCGATTAGCTTCCCTCATTCTGCTATTCACTTGATTGCATATTCCCACTTTCACCCAATAACTACAGGGATATCGCATAAGTGCTGACATCATTGACTGCTCTACCGCTCAATGGATGCCTTTGTATTCCGCATAGAAGCACGGAAACCCACCTTTGCAGCCGGTTGGAAATCTTTGCCAAGAGAATTTTGAGCGGAATATAAGCCTGGTGAAATGGTGGCAAGACTTGATATCAAGTAACTGTGCAATATGTCTGAACCACAGTTGCCATCTCAAGAAAGGCCTTTTACCGAGCCTCTAAAATATCAATCCTTCGAAGCCGCAACTGCTCACTTACGCCAGAGCCTTATCTCTAAAAGAAAACGACAAAGGCTCGAATATCGGCTATTTTGTGTTATATATAACTTGTTTGTCGTCGTCCAAGTGATAATAGGGGCTGCCATCACCGCTCTTGGTCCCTCAGGGGGTGATCATATATTGGCAATCACGATTCTCGGCGCGCTGAACACCTCAATTGCTGGGATTTTGGCACTACTGAAAGGAAGAGGCCTTCCACAACGGCTCAGAAGAAACGTGGCTGAGCTAGAAAAAGTCCTGAACCATATCGAAGAACAATCCATCCTATTGAGGTATGGACGCAGAAGAGACTCAAATGATGAGATCGATAGCTTGATCGAAGATACGCTGAGGCGATACGCCATTGCAGAGAATGTCATTGAACGAAACCAGCCAGATACCTACACGGAAGAAAGCACCCCTTTTCCCGGTGAAAGACCCTCAGCAAGTGGCTCCCTGAACCAAACAAAAAACCAGAGTAATGCAATCGGAAAGCGACGTGAGCCCGACGAGGAAATGGGAGCAGATGGATCTTTTCGCTTGTAGTTTGACTCTCGGGACATAGTGAGATATGTTACTCACTAGCCTTACTATTATACTATCCTATGGAGGGAACTTCCACGGGCTTTGGGACTTTTCATGTTGAAGCTGCGGTTGAGATTCTGATTCAGACTGGAGGATGTCTATTTGCGCGTTATCTCAAGCGTGTTACAAAGACTACGGGAGAATTACTGTAGGAGATTTACAGGTTGCTTTGTTGACCTATTTCTTACAATTATCTTCTGTTTTTCTATTCTAGTTCTTTTCTCTTCTCTTCTCTTTAGTCTTGATACCTTCGTTGAACAGTACAATTTGATTTGATATCTTCCTTCTGACATGTAACAAAGGGTGCAATATAGTCCCGCATGTTCTTTTTTAACCCTTTTCCTCATGTCCATTCATTTCCCTCCGGTGTGTCTAATTCAAAAAATTCGACAAGGGTGGCATACTGGAGCCAGCGCTTGGCAACATTGTCTAATATCTATAATAGCATTCGGTCTATATCATGGGATTCTCAATTTTCAAGCCTTAAGAGCACAGAGCCTTCATCATTAGTACGTGCCAGTAAGAAGATCGAAATCGAGTTGTGCTTAGGCGAAGGTATCAAGATAAAAAAAAAAAAAAAAAAAAGGGGAATAATAATCTATCTGCCCGGAGTTCCTTATAGCTCTTCCCATCTCCGTTTGGCCAGTAACCGGCCCCTTACAAATCTAGTAGAAGAAGAAGAAGAAGAAGAGGAGGAGGAGGAGGAGGAGGAGGAGGAGGAGGAGGAGGAGGAGGAGGAGGAGGAGGAGGAGGAGGCTTTTCCTTTAGAGCACTTTTGATTCATGTCTCTTTTGTGAGATCTGCTGTTGTGTCTTTGGTCTTGTCTACGCTGCCTCAACTTCTTTCTCTCTCGTGCCTTGACCTGTCTGTACCGACCAGGCTGCCTTGAGCTTTCCCACTTTATTAGTTATTTTTTGCCCGATTTTTGTGGCCAAATTCGCCTTGCAGGAAATATCAACCAATCTGGACTAAATTCCTTCCACGCCTAAACCTTGTTCAAATTACAACTGCAGACGAACCCGATCATTACCACCTTATAGACTTTGGTAGTCTTGCACAAACGACCAATCTATAAAGGGATACTTTTGATGAGGTATGGGCGAGAGAGGAATGATACATTCAACCAAATTCTAGGGATACAGCCAGTATAGCGGCCAACTATGTGAACATGCCACATTAATGATACGATGAGCCTCAATCTTGTGTTTTTTTCTACAGGAACCTGCTAAATATATCCCATTCCATTTACCTTCGCTCCACACCGTTGTACAGTACGTCTCGAAACTGGTGCCACCGACTTCACTCTTCGACTGTTTCTCGAACTCCGATTAATAGTTCGCCTTAGTACGTATTTGGAGTTTTTTCGTCGTGCCCCAGCCAGTTGGTCTGGTAATGTTTCATAAAAAAGTAAATTTGACACTATAATGAGTGTCTTTGCTTGTAATAAATGCATCTCACACCTCTTTATCCCACCATGAAAACCATCCTCTTTCTTGGTGCAGGAGATCTTGACAATCAATCACCTGTAATTGGCCACTACTAGAATGGCGCCAAAACTTGCCCCTTCAAAACATATCTTATCTATGATATGATCCGCAGTAAAGAACTATTGATATCAGAGATGGCACTCTAGGGTAGGTGATGTATTCATCTATCACTATCTGGAAGGATTTGGGCGGTTCTCTTTCAGAGTTAGCGTATCCTCTAGCTAGATTAGCAACGATACATCTAAGCGTGGAGCGCTCCTTGTCGTAACTTAATAAGACTTGAGCGTATATAGTGGCAAATATGATCCTTCCCAAAGCCTGCTGATGCATCGCAGACTTAGAGCATCGTCGAATCCTGCCAGATGGCGGTTATTATAATGCTGCCGAGCCGGAAGTCTGTCATACGTAGACATTGGCGGAGTCACGAAGATAATGAAATGCCAGGGGCACTGAAAGAGAATCGAATTGGCTACTTTTTGTCAAGTTTCATAATGGTACTTTGAAAGGTGTCAAACATTCAGACCCATCATACAATAGATGAACATTGCAAAAAGTCACAATTCTGTCTCCTTTTCAGTATCAGATCGGGTTCTCGTCAACCTCAAAATCATTGTCGTACGTGCTCCATCCTTGCCAATGTTTTTCTTGGCCTTTCCAATCATAATTACTGTGCTGGTGCCGGTCTGTCTGCGGTATGTGGCACGGTTGTTGAACCTCGCCGCTATACCATGCTCCATGGGTGTCTTGTGGCGTTATCCAACCTCAGCGGAAGCTATTTCAGATTGGCTGATGAGTCGGTTGAAAACCTCAGCTTCTGCTGTCTAGAGTATTGCTACAGACTGCCTTCTAGTCTTCATATCTGCGTTCGGCGCTACCCTTGACTGGTCATGATATGGTTTCTTGGGTATTTTAATGAGAGATTCTTAAATATCCAGGGAGGAGATAACCATTTCAGAGGCGACCCTATCCAAGAGAGCAACACAAGTCTTCTTAGTCCAGGCAGGACCGTTTGCATCTTGCGACATCATGCATCATGAGCCCAAACAGAGGATTCTAGGGCCCTCTATGATATCTGTGCAAAGTCTGATGATATCCATCAAGGTTTCTTGAATCATAACGTAGTTGAAATTTCGATGTCTACCATTGTTATTGTACGTGAATGTGGGCAGAAGATTTACGGCCCGTCCATGGAGCGGATCCTTGGCAGTCATACCCCGCCAAGACCCGGCCCGCCACATCAAAGGTTCCCGACCACAATCGCCTAGACGCCTAGATCTTCTGGGGCATTCGGATAGATCAAAAGGATCAATGTGATGTCCTCTTCTGGTCTAGTCCTGGTAGCATTTGGATTTACCAATTGTTTATGATGTATGTCGTATAAGATTATAGATACTGGTGATGTCACATTTCTACGGGGTGGTCTTCCATTCTCGTGTATAAAATCTTGGTCATTTTAAGCAGATCGATGGAGCCAATTTTCTTCCAGTATCGTAACTAATTCCCGTATACTTGTCAAACAACCTGACTGTTTGTTCTATTGCCAAATTCAGACAGGTATGACCGAGGTTACCGACCGGAATCAACAACGCGCTCAGATCGCAGCCGGTGGTTGGACTATTGCCTGGGGAGATCTTATCAACGAGTGGGACGCTATTGAGCTGATTATATCTATTCCCACCGGCACCGTCGGTGCTTGGGTGTCTGAACAGATCCAAGCTCAACTGCAAAAATTTCAACAAAGTCTCAGGGATGTTTCCGATGATGTCGTCAACCAGGCAACAGCCTATCTGAGAGAGCTATTACAGAACAAGAGGTCTGGGGAACGGGATTTTGATGGACTGGGAGTCAAAGCTGGGATCGTCACATATCACCGCCATATGAAGTTGCCATTGGGCGTCCAGACTTCGCTGCCAAATAACCATCAACCGTACATCGGTTTGCGCGTTACCAAGCCTCTGCCACCGAAAGGGGCCCCTGCGACAGCAGGGCAGGGCTTGTTGGACAGCAAATCATGGTACAAAATCAAAAGTCCAGAGAAACCTGGTAGCGCACTCGACGTGGTCAACAACGGGAATCAACAACGAGATGGTACGTTGCAAATGGCTGCAGAAGGAAACGTTAGTGGCCAGTATTGGCAGCTTCGTCCATCCAAAACTACCTCTGGGCAATACAATCTTTGCACCATGTGGCTTGGGACAGGTATGTCTTTGGACGTTTATGGGAATGACAAAACCCGACCGCATCTGGCTGCATCTGGTAACTACTCTGGACAACAATGGCATGTTGACAAACAAACAAATGGGACTTGGAAACTCTCGAACTCATATTCAGGAACTCTAGCCCTAGCAGCTGATGCAAGTGGAAGTGAGTTACATCTACGTGATCCCCAGTCGTTGCCTACGCCGGGGTGGAATCTGCAGCTCATACGGCCAATTACCGAGGCTGGATTTGATATTTAGTTAAATTGTAATTGAATTTATCAGTCCGTCTTTTTGCCCTTCCTCCTTAGTAGTAGTCTTAAACATTTTATAATTAGCTTCTTTAGTAGCGCGCTAGGCTATTTTGTTTGACACTCACCTCCTAATGGAGCGACTATTATAAAGCTCAAGCATATCTGATGGCGCATCTAGCGCCTCTACGCAAAGGAAGCAAGAAACAGAAGGGGAGCGAACAGATCTAGTTCGAACTATGAGAGAACTATCTGTGGAAGCAAAAGAAGAAGGGAAGGAAGCAGGCCTAAATAGGCCTCGCTAGCAAACGCCAGGCGCTGCCCTGGAAATCTCCATCAATATCAATGATTTGTAGTATCGAAATAAAATTCTGCGTATTTCCTGCGTATAATTTGCCATACTCTCTCTCTCAAGTAGCACCATCCAAAGATCCTTCTAGGAACATATTAAAGAGAACGCTAAGGATCTAGGCGTTAAGTGAGGTCTTATTTTATATTCGTGACTATAACTCGATTGTTTAATTTAACCCTCTACTCGATCTAGTTATAGATACTGTAGATACTGTCCGGAGATTGTTTACCCTATGTACTTCTATCTATCCGTATAACCGTATCCGTTTAACCGTAGGACTAAACTCTGTACGTAACTAGGTAACTAGGGGTAGAGGCATAAGAAGGAGTCCGTTCCTATAGACTAGTAGTTTAGGTCGGTAAATATCATCACCGTTAAAAGGAGTGTAAGTCATCCCCTAAGGTAGAAAATTCTACTAAGGTATTACAGCCATCAAGTAGAGAGAGCTATGGCTAATAGGCTAAGTATTGTGATAAGTAGGTTCATAAGCAGTCTATAGGTACAGTAAGAAAGTAAAACAAGTCACTATTTGCAAGGTCTGGTGCCGCGTAAGCCCTCGAGACAGTCACATGGATATGGGAGTGGCAGAGGAAAGTGACAGCTCGCCCGATTCTCGAGGCACTGTCTAGCTCTGGTATTTAACTTGTTTGCATTGCCATGGAAAATTAGAGTTCCCTTGTATCGCTAATACAATTACGAGGCGAAGAACTTTTTTTAATAAGAGCCAATCGTGGTGCTGAGACTGATACAGAAATACTAGTATTTCGGGCATATCTATAATATGGACAAGTGTCTATCTGAGAGAGAGAATCTCTCTAAGAGTGAGGAGGGTGCACCAGTTTCGGGACGTACTGTTTTCAATAAATAAGATGCCCCCTTTCGATTGTATTTCCCGAACTCTACAGCCAGATGCGTTGTGGTTGCATTTATTGCGTTAAAAACACGTGTTGGATCACACCTCGTTTAACCTAGAAGTCGAGGCAGGGATACCAGGTCTCGTTTTGAGGTCAAGTGACAAAAGCTCCAGCAGGATAGCATTTAGACGAGACCTATCTGCCAATCGACTATGTCCGATACAGCGTATAGGGCACTACCGCATGAATAACTTAGTAACGCACTCATCTACTAGATCCCATAAAGCGCTATTACTATTTCTAGAGACCCACATATCTACACATCGTCTGTGTCCAGTTATCACCACCGGGCCAATTGAGTGATGCTCGCTAGCTGTTCCATAGCCTAGGATAGGGGCCGAAACGCGCAGGGCACAGCTCCCTCATCGTCTCTAATCTACATAACAGCACCGCTGCTGCAGTAGCAAGGCCTATTTTTTTATCCACCCATCGTCCTACACCAATCGATCGTAAACCGACGAGGAATTCGGTGACAAGGGTTGTAAACACTAGCGAACAAATATCTAGTAGATCCTCGCGGTGAATAACGCGAGAACCCACGACCATAGTACCTAGAGCGTGGGTCCTTGTCAAAGATACAACGACCCGGGCTGTTCACGATAGTCCATCAGGGCAATACAAAAGTAGTTAATCAATTTCTTTCACTTTTGGTTCGTGAAGTACCTTATATGTTCGGCTACGGGAGAACTATTCAATTGTCTTCATTTACATCGGAGCGAGCCATTCGTTTCTGCACCTCTTCTTCAGCCACGAATCTTAACTGCATCCTTAGAGAAGAAATACCCAAGACCAGCCAGTTGTCGTGGCCACGGCGAATATACTTTCACGTCCGAACAGGATCAGTTCTCCCAAAAAATGGCAGAAATACGGGCCACCAGTAGAAGAGAAGGGCGGCACAGGGAAAGTTCAGCCGAGACGCCAAGTCAGCGCTCGCTTCAGGGGTGTTCAGGATGTTCGGGTGAAGAATAGAGGGCTTTCAGAGCATTCAGGTGAAGGCGCCTGAAGGGGCTGAAGGGTAACGCGGCAAGGACTGTCGTCCCAACGAGTCTAAAAAGTAAATAAAATTAAAAACATACAACAGCCAGGATTCGCATGTGGTCACCCACCATACTACTAACTGGCCGGCGTGTGGCTTAAGTACGGCTGAGCGGACGGGAAGCCCTGTTCTCCACACCCTATGGTCGTATGTGCTAAACATGCACTCGTGGAGAATCAAATAGATATCGAAATCTGTTTTAAAAATGCGAAAGTGAAGCGGAGTTGAGTGATAACAAAGTCTAGCGCAGGTACACACGCATGTTCGCTAGGATCAGCCAATTATATACATACTAAGTTGCGTAGCAAAGTGCGGCGTAGGGTGTGATGATTGGACGTGCATAGATGCAAAAACATATCCGTAAAGTCAAAATGGATTGAACAGAGTAGGACATATATTAACACTAGACAGAATGAAATATAGAAATAAATCTCATAAAAGAGCTAAGTAGGGTAAATTTTCTTTTATGAGGTAATAGTCGAAGATATCGGGCCTAGCGGGAGTGCGCGGAGCTAGGGCTGCACGGTCATAGCGTGCTTAAAGTTACAGAAGATAGCAGCCGAAGCCGATTGGAGTAACCTAAACAGTAGAATAAATCCATAAAGCTAAGTAACTGCAACCGAAGGTCCAACTGCACTCTGTGTGCTCTTATATGTCAGTGAAGCAAGGCGTGGAAACAAGTTGCAGTGGGTCATGGAAAGAAAAGAGCTATAGAGCAGAAGAGAGGTAAGCACGAAAGGTAAACTTACGACTAGTACAGATGAAGCTATAGAGCCTCGTGGACCAGCTATAGGTAGCCTAGCGAGGATTCCACAAGTCAGCGAATCGGCGACGGTAAGCGTGAAAGTAAATAGCAATGCTAAACTTAAGCTCAGAAGAGAGTATTACAACGAAGGACGATTTATTTATAGAAGGGAAACGTAGAGAGAAGCGTAGAATGAAGCCCTAGAGCCCTAACAGCTAAGATAGATAGAGAAGTAGATGAGCAATAAGACAACGTAGCCATAATAGACTCGAGCGAAGCAGAATACGTGATTGTTAGCTTACTTTCTACGAAAATCGTGGATCTTAACTTTATGGATCACGACAGTCAAACATTACTCTTATAGGCTGTAGAAAGTGGGCATGAGGCGGTGGTCAGTTCTGCTTGAGAAGGGTGCTGATCTTGAGGCTGGGAATAATAAATGGGGTCGAACACCACTCTCATGGGCCGCAGGAAATGGACATATGGCAGTGGTGAAAGTACTGCTTGAGAATGGTGCTCATCGAGGTTCAGCATAATCAACCGTAATTTCCTAACAATATGAGGATACGGCAAAGGAAGCGGTTCATGTTGAACCAGTTAAATATTAGGATTGTCATCGGTGCTTGACTTACCAGTCGGATTTCGAAGTTGGTAGTACAAGGTGGGTCTCCTGGCAAGGTTTCGTTATTTAGTATATGCTTGTTTGTCTAGAAAAGCTTGGTTTCATTTCTCAATTTCCAACAATGCAGACGAGCGTGAATATACGCAAGCTCCTACCCAGGAAATCTGTATGCGAGGTGCGATATCTGGAGTTGGAGTTCTCGACAAAACAGCGACGTGATGTTTCTCTTGCCTGCATAGAATGTCAAAAATACAAAAACTAAGGTCAGAATATTATTCCTATCTTTGATAGCGGAGCTAATATCCCTAACATAGTGCTCCGGTACGGCCTAAAGCTGCGAAAACGAGGCACGCGAGTGTATCTATAATCTAAGCAATGGCAGGACTTACACCTTTACGATATGCTTAGGATGAAAAGCCATCTCATGGGCTGGCGAAACCCAGTCGGTCAATTATATGGATTATCTAGGATTCCGGACAAAAGGTCTATTTTGTAGTAACAATCTCTTTGGCGCTATCGACGTGCCGTGGACGAGCGGGGGCGGCCAAGATAGCGCAAGAGCGGCAGGTGGTTCCGATCACCTGACGGTCCTCCCGTGTAGACTGGACTTCGTTAGCCTCGAAGGATCGACACTGATCTATCTCTATCTTGAAATGCATTACTTGAAAGTATTGTACCCTGTTGTCTAGTAAACGGCATACGTACTCCTCTCCTAAATTCCTCCTAGTATGGCAGGAACTCAGACACTGATTCAACCCATCAGCCCCACCCTGGCTATGCCGCGCCGATCCAAACCTCGTCGTACCCATAGGCTAGGAGCTTGTACAACATGCAGGCGTCGCTATGTCAAGTGTGATTAGAAGCGACCTTCATGCGGAACATGTCGTTCCATGGGTTTCACTTGCGACGGATTTTCCGATGAAGTGCGATGGATGCTAGCAAAAACGCATCTTCCTTCTCAAGGATCCCAGAATGAGAAGCGCTATTGTGTGAAGAGGAATGGCTTCCGGCGCTATTTATATACGGGTAAATAACACCAAAAAGCCACGTCTTCTGCTCCGGATAGAGCTCTGCGTTGGAAGGTATTGACTTGTGCCTCAGAACAGTCGAGGGCTTCTATGGGCACAGCCTTAAACAGCGGTCTTGTATCGGGGTCCGTTGATGCCTCTTTAGACGAGATTGAAGCAAAATCAACGGGAGAATTTCCTCCAAATAGAGATATCACGATTGGGCCATTTGCCGTCCTGAATCTAGGTTCTGCTTCTCATAAGCCACGTGGCTCATTCGCCAGTGACGCTGCAGATAGAGCAACCGATAAGTCTCACAATCGAGTATTCAATGATAATCTTCATTCAGTTCATACGTCCCTGGCGTCTAAGGAATTCCTAGGACTCACAGATGATTTATTACAGTGATTGGACATCTTTGGTTTCAATGACAACTTGTTCGGGATTACATCGAACGTGTCTGTCATATCAAGGGATTACCCGGGTCTGTCTTCCTCTCCCCGATGGCTCGCATCTGAGAGCGAGATGTACAATGCATCTTTAGCAATGGATTTGGATCCTACCCATGACATCCTAGGGTTCCACGTGGAAAGACAGGAACACTCGTCAAACATCCAGCACCCACAGACTACTATCGCTACTCCGACAGACGCGGTTGACATCCTCAACCATGCTTCGTTTCTACTCAAGGTTTTCCAAAAGCACGTTATACCTCAACTTACTGTCGTTCCTCTTGGGAAAAAGGCCCCATGGAACATATTGAACGTGCCCACTGCAATAGTAACGCTTGCAGATCTAACAGTCATGGAGTCACAAGATGTTACTCACGCCCGATATGCCAATCTCTTTAGTCTCCTTTCATGCTCTGCTATGTATCTTTCTGTGACACCATCCTCTGGGTATGGTGGTTCGATCTTGACCACGGACTGGCAACAAGTTGCTTGTAAGGCGTATTACGAGGCCAAGGCCCACATGCGCATCTCTTTGAGCGAAGAGACTGACGGTCCAACCAAATCCAAGTATAAGGATCAGCTGATGGCAATATGTGCGATGATAGAATCTGCGGTAAGCTACTGCCATGCTCCTATTTCCTCTGGCCATGTCGAATCTTCAACTAAAGAATTAAAGATCTTCCTCGGCCAACATCAAGACGTGCGATGCTATATGATCGACGCTGAGCGGCTCCTGCGTCTCCGCGGATTAGTTAAAAGCAAAACCTCGCACAAAGCTCGCTTGCTAATAAATGTCTACTCGTGGCTGCGTATTGTGGGTGAAAGTACCTATATTCTTCACGACTTCAGCCCATCGAACCTGTTCCTCGATACTTTGAGCCATCAAATCCGGAGCTGTGGACCCCCTAGAAGAATCGGTGATGTTTCGTCGACGATGGGACGACACGTCCGTCTAGATGACTTCCTTGACCTGGAGCACTCGGATGACGACCTCAACATTGACGAGCCAAAAGACCAGAACAGGGATATCCCCGATATTCACCTCCATGATTCGAGGAAATCTGTACACACTCTTTCGAAACAAGCCTACGGTCTCTCGGAGACTTGGCTAAGCCTAGTCTCCTAAACTATCCGTTTGGCCAATGTTCAGGAAAAATTAGAAGCTGCACAAAGCACCGACATACAAATTGACTCAAAAGTTTGGAACTTTGTGCAGAAACGGAGTAATCGCCTCGAAAATGTGATTCTCTCTTATGGCGCTAGGAAAAATGATCCTGATCGCTCGGATTGGCCGGCTGTGCCTTACTTCCAAGTTTTGAGAGCTTTCAATGCTGCGCTAGTGATTCTCTTTTATAGACGTGTTCGAAAAGTGCACTCAGGAATTTTACAAGGCCATGTCGATAGTATTATTAATGCTTTGAAATCCGTGCATGCTACGCCATCTGACGTGGAGCATGCTGGTCCTGGGGCATTATGGCCTATTTTCCTGGCTGGTTGCGAAGCTACGACAAAAGAGAGACGGGATGCTATTTTGAAGCTATTGGAGCGATCGAAGATAAAATGTGGTCTTAGCCCTGTGGATATTGCGGAAAATATCATGACTGCGGTATGGAAAAGGCAGGATGAACATCTGAAGGGCAATCCTCGTGAGCCTTTCCCAACTTGGATGGATGTCCTAAAAAAACGGAAAACCTGGCCTATATTTTGTTGAATTAAAATACCTTTATCAGATGTTCTCTGCTCCTCTTTATTGTACTGGCCAAAGGTTTAATAAAGCCGGTAATGAAACTCAGCCAATCTTGCCGCCGAAAAATTAGGATTTAAGATCCTTGCCTGGGGCATAATCAGGCGCCACCGACGAAAATTAGGATTTAGGATTGGAAGCTATCTGTGCCTTTCTGCCCACCCACCCAGTCCCGAATACCGCCCGTATTCCAAAATGTTGTAGCGCAGCCAGGGTCTTACACCTGAAGAAAGGCAAGATAACTTGCGAAGCTTAAACATATCATGCTCGCTTGGGCTTGGTTGATTTTAGACATTGAACTACCAATGTGTAGTTACGTCCCGTCGATTATGCACTTATAACAATAACGGGGCCCCAGTAACTAGTTATGCTTGATAATTAGACCATTCATGCCTGGCAGTCGGAACGGTGAAGATTGTTTACGGATCCTAATTTTTCGAATGTTACTACTCCTTGTGAGAGTTTGAATCCTATTTTCCCACGAAGTGAAGGGATTTGGTACTCCTATTTCGTCCTACAATATCTGGGCCCACACCATGCTGGTCAAAGAAGTTCCCTCACGTTCTCATCTAACTATTAGCTCCTAAATTGTACGCCACAAGCAGATCTCAGTAGTCAATAGTATCTAATGCAGCCTTTCCTGAATTATCGTCTATTTTTGCGAATCCTAAATCTGAACAGCCAAAACTATTTATGTCCGCGGATTGACCACCTTCATGCAGCCACTATCAAAAATGCCGAACTCAAGCTCTACTACTGATACGTCTGCGTGGGATACCCCGAAAATCGTAGGGGTTGTCCTCGCTGCTATCCTCCTCGTGATCGAAGGTGGACTCCTGTTCATGGCGATTCTGACCCATCGTGAAGTACTCCGACGGTTGCAAGCCGGTAGGTGTTTCCTTTCGCCGCTACACACAACCGTTCACTAATTGTCGGAGTCGGCGTCAGCTTCAGGCCCGACTACTGGTTGATCCCTGAAGGGACTACGTCGTCAGATCCGATCGCACGCAAGATGGAATGATACAATCTCTCCTATCAACGGCATGGAATCTGCACCAGGCGGACAAGTTTCTGGGGTATATGGGAGCACAGGATATGGTTGGCTGGCTGGCTTTGTGGAATTATTTGTCATCAACAGTCGTTACTGTTTCTTCATGCTGAATTTCAATCTTGAGCTGATCTATATCTTCCAAGAATTCATTATTCCCACTTCATAGTGGCCAGTGGCCGCTCGGTAGATCTTTACCAAGAGATCTATCAGCCGTATCTCGTTGATTTCTGTGAAACAGCGTCGGTGGTAGCCAAAAATGTTTCAAGCACATTGTGAATTGTTGTCTGTCCTCTTCCTTCGAAATATTGCAATCCAAGTTCCTCTGCTCTGTTTCTAACAACCTGTTTTCTAGTTCCGATTCTGTTGCACATGATTACAAGAAATGGCTGGTCGGGTTTCTCAAGGAATGATAATCGCTCGGGGAATGGTAATGGCTGCGATGACATGGCAGATCTATTTACGGACAGATGGTTAGGCGAGAATTGGGACTGGATAGAGAAATGTTAAACGGTTAGCGGGCATATTTTGACAGACCAGACCTGGAAGAACAAATCGGACAGTCCCAGACTGCTCCAGCTAACCAAGTGGCACGGTAGGATGCTAGGTGATGAGCTTCTGACAAGTTGCATCCAGCATACGATCGAGTGGAAAGTTACGGTCAATACGAAAGCACATAATAGATACCGATTGTGTCCCCTTCAAGCCAGATTTCAAGTAATACATAAATTTGATCACGAGGTCTTAGATCTCCCCGTTAGGATTCTCCTCCGAGTACTCAGGGTGCTCTTCGTCCGACGAGTCTGCCTCGTTGAGTAGATCCAGAAACTCCTGCTCCGCTGGGTCGAGCTGCTGGTAGAGCTCCCATATCTGCCGCGCATAGTCAACACGGCGCTGGGCCCCGGGGGCGGGCGGAGCGGACCTGGTAGCAGATGTGGTGCTTACGGGCGCACCGGATGCACTGTAAGTACGGGAGATTGATATCCCGCTCCATAGCACAGTGACTGAAGTTACAAATTTCAGCTGGACGTCGTCCAGCAGCAATCCAAGTAAGACATTCTAGGCAAGTGGCAATATCCCCAGGCGGAATAAGACAGGGTGGGGTGTCGTGCGTCATATCATCATCGCTGCGAGGGTCAACAGTATGGGCCCCTCGCAGATTATGAGTGGTGGAGGGGCCTTCAGACGGGGAACCAGAAGTGGTAGACGGGGCTTGGGAAGCCATCTTCTTGGAAACTTTGATGGAGATCAATAGTCAGTATGGTCTGAGATAGCTGTGAGAAACTGACTTACTACCGTTCATATGGCTTGTTTCGATGCGTTAAGAAACGGATTTGTAGGAGCATTTTGGGAGAAGGTTGTGGGGGAAGGGCAGGGGCGGGTTTGCTTTGATGAGAGGAGATTGCCGCCTCGTTCTGTAAAGGAACCGGAAATAGACGTAGTCCTCAGTAAATGATAAAATCTCATTGCTTTAATAGTTTCTAACCTTGCTAATTGTAGGATTCTACTCCAGGATCTAGGTAATCGGCTCAGAGATAGAGGAATTGAAAAAAGAACATTGGCGTAACGCCCAAACTGCTGAACGTTTCACCAAGGCATGATGTGCCAGAGCACATTTTGGAAACATAAAGTGAAAAGACCAAATTTAACATCGTAATGTTTGCTTTAGTATAATAGCTAGCCTTCAACCCTTCTTTTTGCTATTGCCTGCCTACTGACATTCTTGATTTCCAACGAGCTCCTATTCCCTAGGAGCATCCTATTTACGTTTCCATGCCGCGTCTCTTCTCTAAAGTTGCCCGAAAGATGGGCCTTATCGGAGTCCACATCACAGTGGTGCGGCATACTCGCGGAAGGATGCGCGTTGTTCATTCAATCTTTCCTTCTGATGATTGGCCAGTGAGTGAACTCAGGTCTGGGCCTGTCATATGTCTAAGCTAATTACTTTAAAAGGAATATGTCGTACTCTCCAATGAAGAGGAGCGAGACAGTAACCACCTAGAGCAAGACCAAAATGCTGAGCTAGAGTGACAGTAAGATAGAGAGGATAGAGACGGAGTGTTGGTTTCCAGCTTGAAGAGGATGTCTGTCAATTTTGCCTGCGGTCTCAACCCACACGCCTTATTTTTGATTGAATATTGTAACCGTCGCTACCGGTGTATTGGATAGAAATCTTGCTCTATAATTGAACAATATTTTTACGCTTTGTACTCGAGCAACAATTGATTGCCACGGTTTCGTCATGGCAGCCGCTGATCGGTGGAATGCTAGGTGATAGTGTTGAATTGGGAGATAAGACCGGAATAATAGTACACTATTACTGGCAATTCAAAGAAAACCTTTTTCCATAGTTGCAGCTTTCGAATGCCGTCAGTCTGTTATGTCAAGGCCATGCTAACGCGTAATTCCAGTGCAACATACTAAATTGATATTTCAATTTCTATTATCAGAGAGGAATAATACACAGGCAAGGCAAATGGCGATTCTACCAACGTCCAAGATGAAAATAAGCAAAAAACCTAAGAATCAGCTAATTACCGGGGTGTTTCGGGCTCAGGGGTAGGGCCTCGTGCATAATACAGACCCTCCTGAGTGTCTTACGTTCTGGGGACGGGGAAGACCGGCTTATCTCCTGTGAGCATTTCCTGGTACTCAGTCTCTTGAGATACACGAAGCTGGGGTTTTCGTGCTCTTCATCGAGAAATTCTTGCGCAGCAACGTATTCCAGGGGTAAGGCGCAAATCCAGCCTACAGTGTACCTCGCAGGGTCTGAGATGTCTCCTTCCCAAGACTGGACTCTCGGAGAATTTGTTGTGGTGCTTACAGTATATGTGTGTGTGTAATGCCCTGAAACGAAGGAACGGAGTGGAAGGGGTTACCAACCCCACGGCTGCCCGACGCCGACGTTGACACACCCAGAAACACAGCGAGAAACACACACCCTACTCTCCCGCCAAGCCACTCTCTCATTGGTGCTTGGTTGGATCCCAGGTCACGTTCCTTTCTTCTCGTGTTCGGTTGGCTCGGTTCGTGCCCTGAAATGAAGGATCGGAGTGGAGGGGTTTACAGTACTACCTTGCGCGACCTCCCCCGCAGAACTTTGCTGCGCTCCCACTATCAAAGCCTTCGCCGATCCCTGCGATGCGCGACGCTGATTCGTCCGATTTTCGTGCCAAGTTTTGCTCTTATTTGCTGCTTCTTTTCGTGCTCTCACGTGTGCTTCCGTCACGTTTTTCGTCTCTGTGTACGTATTATCCCCGTCTTCGATGGTCGCTCACGTATGCGTACCGTCACGTGTTTACTTCGGTCTCTCTAGTACTCTCGTCCACGCTGGCTTACAAGGTTTATCCTAGTTTGTCGCCCTAATATTGCTTTTTCCCTTCGCTGTCACTCTCTCTTCTGATTCTTCACATAAACCTGAGAGGTGGGCACCAAGCTATTAAATCTCGCACGTGGGATGCCACGTCATACTACCAACTTGTAATAGTTTTAGCTGAGCGCCCGTTCAACCAAGGTGCATATAGGCCAATGAAGTATGGCTCCTTTTCCCTAGGTGCAGAGATTACCATAGTGCTATTCAGGACTATGCACTACCCCTCTTCCTCACCGAAGCCGGTCTTCCCTTGCCTTGAATTGAACCCCGCCAAGTGGTATCTATATAGCTGTCCTGTTCTCTCTTTCCCTCTGTCCCTCGAAAAGTGGATACCTTCATTTTCTTCCTCGCCCTTACCATACAGAATAATGGAACCGTATCTAGCACAATTAGATCCTGATCGCAATGCGATGCGGTCGTTCGTGGAGGAATACTATCGCCGAGGATCTGTTCATATCGATACGCTTACCTGGCCGCGCGGGAATATCAATAAGCTCACTTTTGAGCTAAACGAGGAGCACACTGCAAGCTCTATTGCGTGTGAAATACGTGGACCCTTTATGTCGGAGTATCGGTTTCTGGCCCGCATGCCTGCCTGGCCAGAAGTGACAGAGCCCGTCTTCACGAGATGTCTTCAGGGTTGGGCGAAACATGTAAGTTGCTTTGTATCCTGATACTGCTTATTAACGGATTTTGCACTAAAATGGGTCTGCGATAGGTTTTGGATGGGACAATAAATCAAAGTTGGAATGGCTGCTGGACTGCGCATATAATGCTGCACTTCTATCGACAGCTAACTTCGACAACCTTCCAAACACGTCAGCACATGCAAATCGTGCATGCTGTTGTGATTGCCTTTGACATCCAGACAACGTCTGCTATCTTTATAGACGACAGACTTGACGCGAGTAAGAACCGCGACGGAGCGGATCCGTGGTATCTTAAGCACCAACTGACCTTACCAACCGATACTGCACTGCAGACGATGATGGGGAAACAGATCCTACGGTATATACTTCCGTATAGCCATCCGTTCAAAAACGATATTTTAGACTTATATGACGACTATGTCGCTTACTGTGCGAGCTATCTGACCGTGACTGGAGCTCGCAAGGAGGTAGGCGTAAGTGAGAACATTCGAGATATTGTTAGTTACTCTCTAGAAGAAGTGACGCAGGAAACGACTAGGGCATTCAGCTGGATGCGTGCTGGATTTTATTTGATTATACTTTACGAAGTCCCTCGCCTTCTAGCGTGTTATAGCAACGTGCTTGATAAGGGTCCTCGGCGGCAGCTTTACCGGGAAACTATAACCCGGGCACTCGCGACTTTGTGCACGTTAGACGACATTCGGGACACGAAGGCATTCGACGTCCAGCTTCCTTGGACGAACCAAAACAGGGCCGCGCTATGCGACTATCTCCCATACGTCAACGATGACATGTTGCAGGAAGTCATCGAGGGTGATCCCCATCATGCGTTTCTCATGGCAGCGCTAGAGTTAGCCCGCAGCCAGAGTAACGGCTATTTATCTCTACAGGGGGATGAGAAAGCCGAAGTTGTAGCTATTCTCCGCAGGTGCTACTGGCCCAACCCGCAGGACATGCCCGAGGGCAGCGAGGCAAGAAATAAACGCCACCGTCAGTTATGCGCGCTCTTCCTAAAGTATGACGTCCGCGGCTATATCAAAGAGCATCTTCTGCCGCAAGATATCAAACGTTACCTCGCTGTACATAATCAGGTCGTGCAGACTCTCAATATGCCAGCAGATGTGCTTTCCTACCTTATGGGAAGTATGGTGTGTGAGGAGACCACAAGCCGGCCAGAGCATGTGGCAGAGGGCATACGAGCCATAATGGATAGGTCAATGAGTGAACTGGATGAGAAGGCGAGGTTAGAGGAGATATTTGCCTTTGTTGGTGGTATATAATATGATGGAACATCTTCTGTCGGAACGCAGCAGATATGTGGATACCCGGAGGCAGGAGATACTACCTCCCGCAAGATTAGTCATGTATTTTGAGCCCATCCAAATTGCCTGCTAGGGGCCTTTTAGGAATTCAGACCTGTTGTATATCTCATTGGTGCACCCGTATGCTCCACTTCGGTCCTTCTCTGAGTTTTAGCGTACACTACTGTGCTTGGCGCCAAGCCTTGTGGCGGTGACAGATTTCTGTCTCTCTTGGCATCTACCACTCCTTGTTGTGCTCGTTTCAGGGCCACAGCGTGCGACAGAGCGCGTCACCAGTTCATTTACGCTGACCCCTCGCTAAGTTGGATTCCAGATTAGGTGATGTATAAATACTGTGGCAGCCTAATAGGCTGCCACCACCACTCTAGGCAGAAGGCCGCTACTGTGACTACAAATAGCTGCACATACTCGCCTTGTTAGAGAATGATCATTTACACTTGTACTTCAATCCAGGGTTTCAACTTAGCGAGGGGTCAGCGTAAATGAATCACACACACACACACATACTGTATTCTACTTGATTTTGAGCCTCTTCCGATTCACTATCGTTATTTGGATTCGAAAGTTAAGAAGTTTGCTGTGCAGTTGAGGCCTAGGACAAGGACCTAACGCGTTTCACTAATCAGGTATGTCCTTGAACAAGAGTACAAGCGTGAGGAGGTTTGAAGAGGAGGGACAAAAAGACAGTCACCAGAGAAACTGTCGCCAGCCATAAAGGCTCAGCCTCATAGCGGACACGTAGCGCTACAGCAGGCGGCAAGAGACAAAATGCCATTAGCTTGAGCCGCTGTGCCTACAGCCACGCTAAGAGAATGAACGTCATCTCCCTCGTCCCTGGCCTGCACTTATCTCTGGTCTGGTTGATTGTGTCGGAACAAATAGTCCACTAGTATCGTCCAGCTAGCTACTAGCCACATTTGGTTAGATCCGTGCTCTACGCATATATTTGTGCCCCCCTTTTTGTACGTTAGACAACCACCGAGAATACACATCTCTTTGATCCCATAAAACACGACTTGAAAACACAACCTCACCTGAACAAATTCAACTGTAGTGAGCTTGAACAAAAAGATTAAGCCAGAGGAAAGCGAACATGCATTCTGATATTCGTTTTTCATGCGAAGCATTGTGAATCAGGGTTCATGTCAGAGACCGTTCTGTGCTGACATTCTGCCACAAATCATACCCTTCATCAAAGCATCTAACCAATACCCTGGTGGCATTTTGGGCGCTTAGGGTAGACGACTGGAATCCAGGAGATTAGCGCTTTCATAATTTAATTGTGTGTCGAGATATTTTTAGAATCACCCATATTTTTAGAATCACCTAGCTTCTGTCATTGAGTGGCAAGTCCGTCCTTTTTCGGCGCTTAATGATAGGTATCTAGGAATTTAAAGCATGCGTAATAGCTATTCAGTTGCAGGGCGATAGAAAGTAGTACGAACTAGAGGCCGTTATCTAATATCTATCACCGCCTCATAGAAGCCACCAGTGAGAGTCACGACCCAATGCAGGTGTATGGTGGGCGTGATCTGGGCGGATGTTGCGGGTCGGGCCGTTCACGGTAACCCACCTAACCCATCCCCTCCTGGGAATGTAAGAGAATTGCCAATGAGTCGCATTGATTGGGGACGTAGACCATGTGTTAGGTTACGGGTGAGTTTAAATTAATTTTCCTCATTTGCATCGCGTTGACCTGTTCGCATGTACACCTCTTTGGTCAGAATCTTCACTACGTCCTTAAAGAAGAGGTATCCAAGATCAGACCAGACCAGACGCTTGTAATGGCCACGGTAAATCTATTTTCCAGGGTCAGCTTCGACCAGGAGAAGACTTCAGCTCCCCAAAGACAGGGGAGGGAGACGGGAGGGTAGGTAAGAGGGAAAGTTTAGCCGAGGGGCCACGTCAGCGCTTCAGGGGCCTTCAGGGCGATCGGGTGAAGAATAGAGGGCCTTCAGGGTGTTCAGGTGAAGGTGAAGGGGCTGAAGGGTAAAGCGGCAAGGGCAAATGTCCCAACGAATGACAAAAAACGGGTGAGCACCGACATACAACAGCCAGGATTCGCATGTGGTCACCCACCATACTACTAACTGGCCGGCGTGTGGCTTATGTGCAGAGAATAGTCCGGTGGGTGCCGCCCGGGTGAGTTTAGGGTGAGCGCCGCTTTAGCGTCGCGCGACCACGGTGAGCAGGGTGAGTGCGCAATAGAGAGGGTGAGAAGCCGGGTGAGAGCGGGTGATTCTCACCATCGCGCGACCGCCGCACAGACCCTATTAGCTGAGATCAACTACCGCGCAATTGGCTCATCTTGACCTTTCTGAAACCGCGGTCTCTTGGCACCTGCACATATCGAATTTCCTACCTAGGATTGGCCACATTAACGGCGAGGCTGACTTCAATGTTGCCTTGGGCAAAGTAGTGTGCTTGTTGTCCAGCCATCAGCGATCCAGAGTGCACGTAGTTGTCCAATATACAATACAATACCCTGCTTGTATAATGCTATCAACATCATTCATAGATGCTATTGATCACTCCAGAAACCCCCAGTCAACCTCTTCAAGGACCAGCATCGATGAGCGGCCAAAGCGGTGTCTACATGAAACCACTAAACTCTGATCCTTGGTAGTCGCAAAGATCTGTTTCGCATGTCGTGGAGATCCGTTCTGGTTGTCGCGGGGATCCGTTTTGACTTATAGAAATTCCCGCACAGTTTATAATTAAGGCACGGTCAGGGGCTTGATAAGAAATCTCACAGCAACGAAATCTTTACACGTTTTCGGCGCGAAGAACACTATTTAAAACACATCCGGCGTCCTAGAACAGTGCTCCGCTTTGATGATACCTCCATGCTTGTTTAGCATCTCGAGTTCAACTCCAACTCTGAAAGCCTTGACCAACAAACCTAGACACTCCAGCGTTAGTAGAATCATCCTTTTCAGAGATTCCGACCCTACTAACAACGTTTAGTTAAATATGAATACCCAGCGAGAATCTAGCCCAGAAGATAGCATTCGCGTTCGCCATCAGGACCATAATATCCAGGTAGACTTTCATTTTCCAATGCCAATAGCCAAATTGAGCCCCTCCACATCTCTAATCGACTATGTACGCTCTCTTGTTCGTTCACTCGAGGGGTACCGTGAAGTTCTACAAGCAAACGGAAGCATTGCAAAGCATCTTGGCCTTTCTCTCTTCATTAGCAAACTTGAGTCTAGAGTCTGCGAATTGTTCAGCACTCTATATCCATGCACGGAAGAGGCAAAGGATCTTAAAGAACGGCACGCTGGTAGGATGAGCTGGTTAGATATAGTGAAAGAAAAGATACCTGCGGAAAGGTTTACGCACACGGCCACACCTGGGATATATTCTTGTCGCATTGGTACTGTTGTGGTACGGATGCCAGAAGTAGCTCGTGATATAGTCTGTTCGGATATAATTTCGAAGCTGCTCTATTCTCGGCCGGAGGCCCATGACATAGAGACGCAATAAATCGCAAGGGGTCGTCTGGCTAGAGATCTGATCTCTTTAAATACAAGATTACTAAGAAGTAAGAACTGCACCAGCTCATTCTCGATGTCTCTAACGAATGACTACAGCCACGGAGCATATTGAATCCATCATGCTGCTACTAGGCCAAGAGATTTATGAAAGACCTGAAGAAATAATTTCAACAGGATCAAATGCTCAACCGCCTGGAATGACTCCATCGCAGGAACCTGAGTACCTGTCGGACGAGGAGTTTTTTCCCGGAGCAGAAGAACACAGCCCCCACAAGATATCTAGCTATTTACAACGCTGCACTCTGAAGAGCAGGTCAGGTAAGGATCAACGATGGGCTGACACCCTGACAAAGCTTCGCCTATGGCAAATGATTCAATACGATCTTATCGTCTTCTTAGACGCCGACTCTATTCTGACAAACCCCTTAACTACTTTCTGGATGATCCAAGTGATGTGAATTGACCTGAAAGCTGTCTCTGGGAACTATCAAGCTGTTTATCCGTCAAGGCTTGAGGTGCAGAAGACCGGTGCATGGCAAATGTCGAATCCGACACATGTAGAGCCGCATTGGCTGGCCGCACTGGCCTGACATTAAGAACACAAGTCATCACATATCTCTGCCGTGTCTAATCACGAGTCAATCCAGTAAACTCTTCGCAGATTACTCCTATTTTTGTAATCTGAGTTACTCGCGGGCATATTCAGAGGGAGAGCCCCTGACGTGATCAGGTGCACTCAATATTTGAACAGACTTCTCAAGCAAATTATAGTTGAACGCATAGACTAGGATGCGGTCTCGGCCCGGAGCAGTCTTTGCTGTGCTGGCAGAGTATCGCTTTCCTCTTCAGGCGTTGGCTCTGCGGTCCCAGTCTCCTGTTCAAGCCCTTCATTATCATCGACTTCAAGCCTGAATACCTTCCTAAATCTGTTTCTTATTTGGTCCTTGACAAAACTTAGGCTCGGATAACCTCAAAACACAAACATACTATTCCCATTCCTGCTTTCGCGAAGTAGAGAATATGCAGGTTATATCTCGTGACCGAAAGGTGTTCTTGTGGCCCATCCCGTGTCTATTTGCATAATAAGGAGACAGGCACGTCTACCTCAGTGTATAGGTCACTTTCCTCTGATTTATAGTTGTTCTCTCAAAGCTAAAATGAAAAATAACAGGGAAGACTCTGCATGACCAGCAGATCACATCTAGCTCTAATGCATCTCCACCAAAAGGCGTTTACCGTGATTCCTGATTCTTTGAGGGAAAAAGAAAAAGAAAGGGGCCATATCAACCGTTCACGAAGGTGGAGAACGACCCCGGCAACCCCAGTGTGTTCCATATAATTTCTATCATCTCATCATCTTGGGAAAGATCCACACAACTGATCTCCCTATCAACATTGACAGCACTGGATATTTTTTGGCCTGAGTGTTCCTTGTCATGCCCTTCCCGAACGGAGGGATTTCCCGACATTTTGTGCCCATAACGAACGAGATGATCAGTATATGGTACTGCGGGAAATGCCATCTCAGTCGATACCTCAATTGAGGAATCCAACGCGTATAGCTCTATACCGATTCCCAATCGCACATAAAGCATACATATTTCATTCTCCTGTGGAAACTGTCCGTGTGACAGTGTCCAGTCAAGAAGTTTGGACAGGCGTAAATAGACATGGGGGTCGACTAGGAATCTTTCGCACCAGGCCGTAACCCAATCTTTACCCGGACATGTTGCTGAAAACGTTGCTTGCAGGTCATGCTCGTGAGGCCCGTGCCGCATACGGAAGAGACCAAGCTGGTGTTTATCAGAAAGAAACGAGCTTATCTTGTAAACATATGCAAGAATGTCGTCTGTAATGTCATATTGGCGCTCAAGGATCTTTATTGCCCTTTCGACATATTGTATGTTTTCTTCCCTTGCCAGGCGTTGGGAATCCGTCTCAAGCAGGTGCCTTTGGAGAGAATTTAAAATGAGAGGCAAGGCACTAAACGATAGCCTGTGAAGAAGGGAGATTTAGCTAGTCTAGCAAGAGTATTGCCATCCTTTAGACTTACATTCCGATTGGGAGGTGCACCATACCAACAGGCATAGTCGCAAGGTACTTAGCTCCTTCGCAGATAACATTTATAGAGCGCTTTAGCGTATCGTTGTTTTCGAAAAGCCGGAAAAGATAATGATTGTTGTCATAGTAACGCTTGCAAGTTTCCAAAATAAGCATCTCATGCTGGGACAAGGCAAGTCGGATAATACTGATGAAGTACATTAGTACCTTTTAAGAAGAGGGGTCGGTAGATCCAAGACATACTGATAATGAATTAAAATGAGCTGCCCATATGATTTCACGGCGGACGAAAATGGTAAAGTGTCTGATAGAGCTGTAAAGACAGAAGCGATGGAAGCTGTGGCCCACTGGTCCAACTCTGCTTCTACCCTTCTAATTTCATGTGTTACCTTTCTGAAATCGACGAAGGAAAACCACCATGCCGTAAAATCAGGAGACGGACTATAGACGAGAGTGGAGACATCTATAGCGATTAATGCGAGGCGAAGCTGGATACCGAAGAGTTGAGCTAAAGTGCTTCTGCTTAACATATGGAATGCCTGGAAAAGGTAAGGGTTATTGTTGAAGTCCTCATCAACTGTTGATAAAATGTCATTCAAGTCAAAATGAGCGCGAATGACCTTGGCGGGCACACGCAAACCCATAGAAATGAGCATGTCACGAATGATAATACACCGCCAAAGTTGCCGTTTCATTCGTGCTTCTTTTTTATCCTGACCGAGTCCGATAATGAAGTTGTGGCAGTTGTGTGCTCCAAGGAGGCGCGCATGGTGGATGGCAACATCTAGCCAGGCGCAACCAGCATGATTGTCTGATGATAGGCATTGCTCAGCGAGGAGAACCGAGCCCTGCGAAATTGACAGTGAATCTTTTACCAAACCGAAGTCGAACAGGGACTAAATCCATCAAGCATCAGAATCGTACTCGGGATTGATCGAAAACAACCAGATACAATCTGCTTACTTTTGCACGATCGTAGAAGACCTTACGGGCAGCCCGACTACTCGGCCACCCGGCTTTTTGAAGCGTCTCATGGGTGAGGTACTAAATTTTCCGATATTAGTCTCTTAAGGATAAATTTCTTGAAGAGGACTTACCGCACTACACGCCACCATCATAGAGTTGAAAACAAACAGTGATATCGAATCAGAAGAAATTCGAGTATCTTCACCAGATGTACGGGTATGCCGGTGCCAGAAGTCGTTTTCACCAATAAGGGGTAGGTACGGATCGACGTGAATAAAGTACTGGTCGAGCAAAATTCCCATGATGGTTAGACTTGGGACCTGAAAGACACCTTCACTGTTCAAAAAGTCTCGCTGGCGCAAACTGAGTTTATGGTAGTTATCAACGACAAGACAGCCGATTTCTTGAAATGGAATTTCTTTTTCGGGCGTGGATCCTGTTTTCGTATCGCCATCCACTGGAACTTGCTGCAGCAGATTTTCAAACTGATTGCAGACATCAGGTGGATGGCCAGGAGCGCGTATTGCTAGCGCGTCGGTCTCTCCGGCTCCGTGATGAGGATCGTTATTTGAATGCCCAAAAAGTGGAACGATATTGTCCTCATTGAGAGCGCGTACCGCACTTTTGTCCGGACTGTATCTGATATTCACGATGTCAGCGTTCATTATTCTATGCTCTTCGGCTTCTATATTCGGTGTCCCGAATGCACTGCTTAATACCATGCACGCCGATTCTAACGCTGTTCGGTTATTGACTCAGCGGGCTAGGAGAGGCGTGGAGACCTACCTTCGACATGCTTTCGACCTAATGGTACAATGATGACCGTGAAAGCGACAATTTGTGCATGGCTGGCCAGAGATCACCCCGTCACAGCGAACTTTACGAGCGTGGCATCGATCGCACGCTCTTGTCGTTCTTTTCCACCATCGATATATCTTTGGAGGTGGCATAGGTCGCGAACGGTGAAAGAAAAGTCCCCAATTTATGGACGAGAGCCGCCTTGGCGAAGGAAAATGCGATGTACGTCCTAAGGAAGTTGTGGAATTTCTGGTCTCGGAAGACCAGTATCCCACAGCAGGAGGTTGTGCCTTTAAAGTTAAGCTATCCCCAGAAAGCGACGGCAGGATCAGAAGAATGCGGTCAGGATGCGGGGTTCGTCCAACCATCGTTCGTTCTGCATCGGTGGCACAGGAAACAACACTAAGCTAAAAACGGAGAAAGCCGAGGACCGGAAGCGGAACGTCGGTATTGATACTGTCATGTTCTATAGTAATCGCACAAGAGACTTGTGCTGCGCACGCCAGGATCACGCAAGCTACATAATGCGTGCGCACAGGAACAGCTCGATGTCTTTGCTCGTCACTGTACTCAGAAGGACAACCCCACGATAGGAGGCCCACAGTGAAAGTGTGTGCCAGGTCAACTGAAAATGGCACTTTGATGGCCAATTTCGGGTTCCAGAAACAAGCTCGCCGGCCTTACAGCTCGCCCGAAATTAGGGTTTACTGTCTTTGCTGGCCACTATACCGAAAGTAGGGAAAGCCGAGGACGGCAGCCCGGGACCGAACGCTTGATCCGAAGCATCCATGCGGAGAAATACATTGTTCTCCACACCCCAGATGATCGTGGATAGGTGATATTGGTTATTAACCTGTTATTGGCGTTTATAGGTGGGTCCTCAATTTCACAACGGAAATTCCCACATCTACCTGTGCACTCGCTCCCAGTAACATGATACGGATCAATCCCACCCTTCGAAGTTACCCGAGGCTATACATTCGTAGCGTGCCGTACTACTCGAAGTCCATACGTATATAATGCCACGCTGATGCAGATTTGACTTGGCACCATGAGCTCATCCCTATCTTCTTTCTTCTTAAGCGATCTCCAAGGCCGCGAGCTGCTCGACGAAGAAAAAGGAGAACACGGAACATAAATCAAAGCCTCCTCCCAATACAAATGGAAACACTAAACATGCACGTTGGCATCGTCGGTGCCGGGCTTGGCGGCCTGACCGCTGCGATTGCCATTGCCAGAGGTGGCGCTCGCGTTACTGTATTAGAAGCGACAGAGCAGCTTTCTGAGATCGGCGCTGGCATTCAGATTTTTGGAAATGTCTCTCGTTTTCTCGTGCGATGGGGCGTCGATAAGATCATCGGCAATAATCTGGTTCGACCAGTGGAGTGTAATACCTGGAGCCACGACGGTGAAAGCAAATTGATCGGCCACCTTGATATGGAACGAATGGAAAAGGAGCAAGGGTTTCCATGGTGCGACCGTCGACGTATCGTTGTTATAACGACCCGGAAACTGACTAATTCTATCTTGACAGGTGGGTTGTGCGTCGGGACCACCTGCATGCTGGTCTCACAGAATCGGCTCGACAGCACGGCGTTGAATTGATTCTCGGTGCTCGCGTCACTAGTGTGAAGCATGACGCGCGTGGCGCCCAGGTCAGGTGCAGCAACGGCAAACAATACGAGTTCGACCTGCTGGTTGGTGCAGACGGAGTGAAGTCTACCGTTCGTGAAAGTCTATTCCCCGAACTAGTCCCGCGTGCCATTTCGAAAATTGCGGCGTATAGGGCCGTTCTTGATTACGAAGATGTTTACGCGCAGATTCCTGAGGCGCGATCAGTTCTGCGAAACACAGTTGATGCCTATCTCGGTCCTAACGGCTATGTCTTGCTATATCCTCTTTCTGGTGGGAGGGAATTGAACATCGTCACCGCCTTTGCAACGGAGCATACTGTGTCAACTGTTGAGGATGTTGACATCAACGAGTTTCGAGACTATTACAAAGACTTTCCACATTTCTTGCGTAAAGTTCTGAAGTTGATGAATGCAACAAAACGCTGGCCATTGCTTGTGCTGCCGCCGACGAAGGCATGGTCAAATGAACATAAGAATGTTGTCCTACTAGGGGATGCTATTCATAGCATGCAGAACCACATGGTCAGTCGCATTATATACTATGCCAGTCCACGAATCATGCTAACTCGTCCCTTACCAGGCACAAGGTGCTGCCACTGCCATGGAAGATGGTGTCTTCCTTGGGAGAGTCATTAGTGAGGTCCTTCGCGGCGTCATAAGCACTCGTGAAGCTATTCATCTCTATGAGAAACAGCGAATCCCTCGAGTCTGGATTAAACAACAAGCTTCATTTGTGAATGGACAAATGAGCACTGTTACTGGGACTGAACAACTGAAACGCAACAGTGCATCAGCACTCGAAGTTGCAGCATACGACCAGAATCCACTACAGCCAAAGGTATTGCCTGCCACCTACAGGCGATGGCAGCTCTTTTCGAGCGCAGAGTCTGTGCCTGGGATTCTTGCATACGATGCAGAGGCTGATGCAGACTTTGCGGTTTGTGAGTATCTGCAAAACAATGGAGAGGTGGATCCGCACACAATGGTTGTGAAATCATTGCGCGACAAGTGGTGGAATACGATGTTTAACAATGGAGCTGAACGAAGCGTTTTGTAGCCAGCAAGCGTGGTACTGCCAAACATGCTACAACACCGATGGTACAGCATCCTGCCTATTTAAATGATTGGTTTCAATCCTGGTTACTTTTTGTCGAACTGAGACGTGATATTTTATCAGTAAAGAATAGCTGACTGATTCGTCTGCACACCCCTCCATAGGGTTTGGTGAGGTAAATTAGGCCAATTTGGGATACTCATGTCGTAAAATATCAATTCTAGCCGGTTACGCTATGAGACCCCCCTCAATAGCGGTCTCATGGATAATTCTTTAATCAATCGCCTTTAGCTCCCTCGGTACTAGGCCATATGAGTATCCTACGATCCGATAGAGTACATTATACCCTTCGCTAGAACGACCAATTGTAATAAGATCATAGTGTAGATCAGTGATTCCAAGCAACATTATAGTGTACCTGTCATTCTAATGTCGTGTGAGAGTCCTCAACGTTAGAGAAAGCCTGATTCCTCAACATATTCTGTCAGCTTCCTTGCTTCCAGTGTAATGTTTATTTCTGGGGTGATGTGTCAAGACACCTGGTATTTGAGAGAACTAGGGGATAGTACTAGCTCCACTCTTGAGCATTATCTGTATAGCGTGCTTCTCGGTCTTGAAGTTTTGTCAGCCACCCATCTCCCGGTCCTGAAAGCTAAGGCCTCCTTCAACGCAGCAGTCCGGCCCAGGCCGACAGAATAACATAAATAACCCGCTACAATTTCGCTGACTGAGAATTTCCCGACCTTTCCTGTCCATCGTGACTTAAACGACACATTTCGGTTGCTTGAAGAGATAATTTCCCGTGCTAGATAAACCGATGAAAAATTACTAACCTGATGCTCAGTTGTGGCCAACCCCGCATGTAATGACATTAGGTCAGCAGATCCAGATCTCACACGGGCTCCAGATTGGGCCGACAGCCAATCAGGAGACCCTCGTAAAATGAGATTCCACAAGGTAGGCTTATTAGGTCGAATATGCGGTTCATGGAGCAAGGACCAAGGATTTCGAACTTGTCAATGCGCTTGAAAATGGAAGTTTGATTGGCGATTTCGCCGTTGCTCCAGCATGCGTCATACGCCAATTTGTATACGCCCAACATGTATTAAGCGTCAACACTCCTCGGGACTCTGTCTTCTATAACCTCTACACAGCGGTACTGCTGAATAAAATCATCGAAATTTTGTTTTGTAGGGAAGCAAAGGTATGGGAACATTGGATCAAGGAGTAACGAAAGAACTGTAGAATTAGATAATCAAACGGTAGATACATCCAACAAAACGGACAGATCAACAGTCAGTTGCTAAGACTGATAAGACCACAAGCACAGCCCACATTGAGTAAATTTAAGAAGGTCATGGTCCGTGATATTGACCGCTCCTGGGAAGGTTTCGGCCTTCTTTGCACCTGTTGATACGGTATCGTGTGCCGCGTACAAAGACGGGATGAATACGGAATGGGAGTCAGATAACGTTGGTATGTCGGCCTATAGAGCACTAATATTCGCCGAGGCTGTCAAGGTGTGTAGTGACATTGACTCAAAGCCTTGGGTTGGAGGAAAATGCGCTATTTCTAATTGACACTAACTAGGCCAATGACTAAACCCTACGTTCGCAGGTCCTGCTACGTTAGTCACATGGACTGTATGATATAGAGATGTACATCTCTTTTATTAAGGACAGCATGTGTGCAAGAATGGAAGGCTGAATCGATTCAGGCACTGGATGCTGCAAGCGTTGCCTCTTTTCCTCGTCTCATATGCTGCGTCCATCCAAACTTAAGTATTCTCCCTAGCATATTGTGCTTGGCACGCCCTTTACGAATTAGAGCTGATCAGCCCACTTTCCCTTAGTCTTATAGCAAGCATGAACCGGTCTCGCTTGGACAAACAACTCGTCAGTGTTTGCTGCTGGTCAAGTTTTTAACGTATAGTCAAAGAGGAGAGAAATCACACCAATGCAGCAACTGTATGGGAGAGATGATTCATGACTGAAATCAGTCGATGCGGCCTTTGTATACGGTCAGCCACTTCCATGATCATCTTTTGTAATTGCTGGCTAGCTCTATTTCTGCTGACGGCGCACATCAACTGGAACCCTTCTCGCTGAATAGATTAAAGTGGCAATCCGCTAGATGACGAAGTCGAGTTACTCGGAAATTTAAATCCTACAGAGGCCGAGAAAAGCATAGGGGAGAATTACACCCCGATATTAAACTTTCGGAGTTCCGCAAAGGTCTTGGAGGTGTAATAATGGTGTCGTCACGACCTCTACGGCGGTCGTTCAGCTCGCAAAAAGTTGCTAAGGGCTTTGTCATTATTAGAAACACGACCGACCGAGGCGCGCGTCCGCTTCTGTAACGACGCAAATTATTTCCTCGGGGCTTAACTTGATTTCGGAGTCTAGGAGGCTTCTCGCGAATAGTGACTACTTACCTAGCCGCATAGATGATAATGGGGTATGGGACCTAGAATCTCAAGACTGGAAATATTCCCGAGATCTTGATCGATCCGCCCGTCGGCGCTCGGGGGCTCGGAGCGTCTCGGCAAGACGGGTATCGGTCCGTGTAGAACGATGATGCCATCGTCGTAGTCTAGATGCAACTATTGACTTAAGAGTTTTTCTAGCATTTACAGCACTTCCAGTCTATAGGTGGTTTGCCACAATAGAGATATTTCGTTTTTCCAGGTGTTTTCAAGCTGTTATGTACGCTGAAAACCAGACTCTCCTATGTCTGAGCGAGCCCCATACACAAACACCTCGCATAGCGGCAACAAATATAGCGAGATAAATCGGATTAATGAATATTGATTGATTGAATCCAACAGCTCACTCCAATTAAACTCCAATCAACCTCCCAAATGGCCATTCTCGATTTGCACACCCATTTTGTTGAACGATCAACCTTGGCCGCAGAGACCCGTTATAAATCACTAGCGTGACAGGTTACATTCTGATATATCACAGAAAGAATTTGCTACCATTTACGTGATATAGTAGTCCCAGTAGAGGATATAAAGTATCCTTACAATCATAGGCTTATTCTACTCAGTGCAGCCTCCATCAATACTCTCATTTTCTGACTACCTACATTGCCCGTACGGATGATCATTCGTTATTCCCGTACGGTCCATCCTGTCTTGCCTCAACACATTTTGCATACCCATACTGCATATTTCGATTATATACAATTTTAAGGATCACGCAGTTTGCATCTCTATAGCAAGATGGCATGGATGGCCCTGTTAACGTATCAACCTTTTCTACCACTGGAGACTCTTACAAAGTACTGCCATGACAACGTATGGCCTGATACCGCAGGGGATAGCGACCTCCTCCAGTTTTCAACTCGGGGTATAAAGTACCCTTCCATTTGTGGTTTCTTTAACCCCTAATCTCCAATTTTATCTATTCATGCTTCCTACAGTACCTGGCGTACTCCCTCACATCTAATACCCCATCTGACTCCGAGAGGTTCATATATACGTTCTGTACCAGCTCAATCCATTTCACGTGTTTTAAAATCCCAGCTGATATGACCGCACGCGCCGCACTCCGGCTGAGCCCTAACTATAAGTATGCATCACATCTAAAACTATCGCAAGAGTTACCAGTATATCGTTAATACTTATGAAGATTGTGATTGGAAGAATCCCTATTGAGTGATACTAGTGCTTTTCGCACAACAAGCAGACAAGAAACACAACTTCATCTCAACAAAATTCACTCAGCCCTCCTCTTCATGTTACCGAGCTTTTTGGATCTTCCAAGCACGGTTGTGCTCATATCACCCACTGGCAGTGTAATGGGGAAAAGTCAACTGCCTCCAAGACCTGGGCAATGAAGATATGCCATACTGGCAGGCACAGTGCAAGACTGAATCCACCAGCGACCTATGCGAACGAAATCATCAGGACGAGATTTCCTCAAAATTGACCAGGGGAGGATTGAATTTGTTTGCAGACCTGACCTTGGTCAGTCTAGCCGCTTTAACAGCGTGACCGAGGATAGTCTGGAAGTATGCGTCGGTGAACAAACTGGATTTAATCACAAGTGCGAGGGATGGGCAAACTTCGTCGCTGTCTCGGGGCTCTCCCGTGAAATACTCAGCAGGGGTTATTAGATTTGGTTTAATACGTTCCATTAAGTCTAAATCAATTCTGTATGATTTGAAATCAGGCACTTGGAATGGCGTAGCGACACATTCTGTTGAGGATCAGCGACGTCCTCGGCAAGCAATTGAGCTGCTATGGAAACATTGAACGTACTTTTCCTTATATTCCTCGAATATCTCGTTATCGCTGCACTGCGTGTAACTCATGCTACTCCTCCGGAATTAAGAATTCACAAAGCAAATCCTAAGAAATTAGTCTCTCTCAATTAGAATGTCATATACGTTTTTCACGTTTTTCTACATTTAATCAGGACGCACAAATAGTCTGTGGCGTCGTCCTGTCAATCTCGCCCAACGCAACAGAGAAACCGCTCCTCATAGCAATCCTCGGCACCCAAAAAAGGAAATCACCGCGGAATGAAACCTGCGAAGTTAACCGAGGCCCCACCAAGCCCTAGGTGACATCCCCGAACTTAACATTTGCACATAATATGTTGCTTGATTTTCAAGTATAAAGGCAAAACCTTGACGTTCTTGAAAATCAAGAACTTTTCTACTACACACAAAATGAAAATGACTCCACCACGACACAAGAAACGGCCTCTTTCTCATTTAAGTGCTTGGGAGAAGACAAGATTATACTTTTTACTCCTCCAGATTTCCGGGTTAATGATATACTATCTGGTCGCTGGGATCTTTCGAGGTAGCAGTGGTGCCAAAAAATTTCGACTACACGTTGGACGTGCAATGTTCAGATCACTCAGTTCGAAACTGGATTGGAAACAGTTGCAGTAACGACAAACCCCTTTCCTGACTATTTGAGAGCCGGTATTGATATAAATGGAATCTCTTAGATACTTATGGCCTTCAACGAGCCTAGTCTATGAGCAGTTTGCGAAAGACCAAGGCTTTAAACCTACTACTGTTGAGCTTTTACATGACGGGCTGGGTCATTGGCTAGGTGATGAAAACGCAACGGATGTTGTGCTCTACTTCCATGGTAAGATGTCAATCAAGAATGTCTACCATAAGAAATGAAACCATCTAATCAAACGATATATGCGTTGAATATAGGTGGTGGCTTCCAATTGAGCGCCAACCCAGCGTTACTTGAGTTCTATTCGAACATCATTATAGACCTCAACTCCCAGGGGCAAAAAATCGCATTTTTCTTTCTCTCTTATAGCCTGACGCCCCATGCTTCATATCCAACTCAGCTGAAGCAAGGAGTTGAGGCTTTAAGATATATCATCAGGCAGACAGGCCGTTCACCATCAAATATACTTCTCGGAGGCGATTCTGCAGGGGGGAATCTTGCGTTATCAGTGCTCCTCCATCTTTCACATCCACATCCCGATGTTGAGCCGCTGGACTTTTCAGGTTCTCTTGGTGGCATATATACCATCTCACCTTGGGGATGTCTCTGCCTTAATGGCTGGTCATCTGTAAAAGAGAACTCCGAAAAAGACATTTTCTCAGAGGAAGCTGGCCATAGATGGGCTAACGCATATCTAAACGGCAGACCCTCAGATTCTTGGAGCGACCCCTTTCTTGCCCCCGTTGAATGGTGGGCGGATGTAAAGGTTGAACAGGTGTTGATTCTGTCTGGTTCGGAAGATATATTGCTGTCACAAATTCAAGAATTTGTCGTTAAACTCAAGGTGAGTCCGGGACGTGGCACATGGTCAATTATTAATAGTCCAGAGGATTTCATTGAAGACTGACAAAATATTTCACTCGCAGAATGCAGTGCCCAGCACTAATTTTGTTATTGGCTTACATGAAGGACATGTATCTCCTATCTTTGATCATGTTATGGGAGACAGGTCACAAACAAAGCAGGAAATGGAATTGAGAAGATGGCTGGCAGAAATTTTGAAGCGGGATACTCGCAGCAGGATTCTTCCAGTCTGAGGTATCTTATTCTCACGAGAAACAAACCAAAGCACGGTGACGAATGCTTCATTATACCAGACTTAGAACATCAGATTTGGAACAGATTTTAGCTGTTCACACAACTTGAGAATGAGTCTGAGATCTAAAATCTTACAGTATTCACTGCAAGCGATGCATATTTTGCAGCATCAAGCAGACGACCGCAGTCTTGAGTCTCGCTGGGCCGCCCGACTAAAATTACAGCATATTATATTACAACCATGCCTACTCCGTACATCATCTCGCATATTAGACTCGAGGCAAGGCGAGGGCCGGGTGCAGTATGGGAAAGGATGGTAACAATACGGGTAAATGGCACTGAACACGCCTTGCCTCGTGCCCCGCTGTCTCGTAACAAGTGAAGCCACTCAATAACCATGGATACCTACCAAGAAACCACAGGTGGGTTCTTCGAAGCGCAATTTGGACAAGGTCTGACGGCATCGAGCATCCACACGAAAACTCATTGGCGGCGCGGTTGGTTTGGTAGTTGGGCTCACTCTTCCAACCGTCGTTCTACATCGGTGGCCCAGGAAACAACACTAAGCTAAAAACGGAGAAAGCCGAGGACGGAAGCGGAGCTTGATATTGATACTGTAGTGTTTTGTCGTACTAATCACGCCACAGACCTGTACTGTGTATGCCAGGATCACGCAGGCTACATGATATGCACAAGGACAGCTCGTTGTCTTTGCTCGTCACTGTACAAGAAAGGAAACCCCCACGATAAGAGGCCGAAAGTGGTTCGTGCCAGGTCAGCTGAAAAGGGCATTTTGATGGCCAGTTTTGGTTTCCAGAAACAGTCCTCACCACCTTGATGTCTCGCCGGAAATTTGTGTTTATTTTCTTCGCTAGCCACTATACCGAAAGTAGAGAAAGCCGAGGACGGCAGCCAGAACCAAATGCCGGATCCCAGGCATCTGTGCTGAGTAATATGTTGTTCCCCACACCCTAGATGATCATGGATAGGTGTTATGGATTATGGCTTGCTACCGGATTATACACTGCTAGCCCTGGATTAAGGGAGCCTCATCACTGCCGCTAAAGCGAAATTTCAGGAACTAGAGGAAGAAAATCCATTGCGGGTAGTGGATGTGTATGTCACCGCCACAGGTCGGTTGGCCGTGATGGAAACCTGTCAGGAAAATGGACATTGGCATTGTATTGACTCGTCAGATACAACTGTAGCCGGCTGAGATCTGCAACCCCTCAATGCTCCCCTCTTTGATTTGCATGTATTTTTTTCAAACCTGGACCCCTCGGGCTTGTAATCCCAGGGTCATTGGTATTCACATGGGTATTCCAACCCCCATGAAGTTCAGTAGTTTAGGGGAGGGAGAATCAACACTATTTTCATCCCTTGATCATTTTCCCTTTTTGATTCCGTTGCTCTGATTGGCTGGTAAATCCTCAGGATTTCATAGCCTATACAGGCCATTTGTTAGTTATGAGCCCGATTGCTCGTTGGTAATCGGGATAGAACGCATCATCAGATTTCTTTATCTTCATCTGCCTCTGTTATCCTGCCAACGATTCTTCCTATCCGCTAAAGCCATCCATCTATCCTTATCCCCAGGATATATCCACTATATCTACAAAATCCAAAGCAGTCGCTGAAACCCTCTGAGATACTGGTCTCTGCTCGGATGCTCAGTAGAGAGCCTGGATTGCTATGGTCGAAGCTGCAGCAGTGAAGGGAAATATATGGGGTTACATGAATCCCGATATATCTGAGGATGAAGTCCGCCAGGGCCCAATGGATTTGTGAGACACTCATCCTCATCCCCGTGAAATCAATGAGGATGCCACTAATGTTTCGCAATTGTCGGACGCGGAATACAAGCGATACTAGCGGTTAACCTCCGAATTCGATAAGGAAACCAGCTGGAATGAATAAGTCCGTACAATTATCAATAAAGTGGATGCCTTGATCGATGCCAATGTTGCTGTGGAGCACCGTCATATCCTCCAGGGCAAGGTCACTCCATATGAGAAATTTATTCGCCTGAAGCAGCAGTTTGAGCCTAAGGGAAATACCAGCCGCCAAAGCGTCCTAAATGCAAGGAGATATCCAGTCAAAATACCAGTTGGACGGATCTCTATTGATGAATGGCTAGCAACATTGTCAAATCTCTATGAAGAGGGCAAAGCAATGAATATCCCTGACATCGCATACCATGATGATAAGGGAAACCCTCCAGGCCGTTGCATCATTCGCTGATGTATTTTTGTCTCTCTGGGGGAAGGATATCATGGATAAAACCTTCCAAATCTCTTTCGAAGACATGTTGGCAGCATACCGAAATCACCCATACTCCCAGGATGAGATCGTCTTGTTAAGAGTGTTGCATGGCCCGACAGACGCATCGGTTTTTGGGGTTTCTATTAAGGAGCTTCTGCAACGTTTTGGAAGGTGGCCAGAGCCCAAGTCTGTTCTAGCGATGCATAGAGTATTCGCGAGTGAAACCACTTGACAGAGCATGTGCAATTCTTTCGTCGAGTTTCCTTTAGAAGTCCTTCGGGAGCATCGTCTAGTCAATAGCCGGGTGTTAATAGATTCAGAACAGCAACCCGGACAGGCACCCTGGGGCCTATATTTAGGACCCGGACTCAAGTGAAAGCGGGAGAGTGGGTGATCTAGGTGAGAATCCTCACCCTGTTCTCACCCCCGTTCTCACCTCTATCACCCTAGTCTCCAAACTTCTCACCCATATCACCCACACACCCTAAGATTAAATCCAACGCCATTTTAAAGCCCAGTGAGCATTGAGAATTGGCCGCACACTACATAGCCGCAAAAAAACATACAACAGCCAGGATTCGCATGTGGTCACCCACCATACTACTAACTAGCCAGCGTGTGGCTTAAGTACGGCTGAGCGGACGGGAAGCCCTGTTCTCCACACCCTATGGTCGTATGTATTAGCGAAGGACTAAAATCAAATTATATACCGAAAAGGTTTTAAATCTAACGCTCAGAGCGCTGCTTTAGCGTCACGCGACTAGAGGTAAGAAGGGTGAATGCGCAATACACGGGGTGAGAAGCTGGTTGAGAGAGGGTGAGAATCACCTAAATTGCGTACTGATCCTCTCAGCTGACTCCTTGTTGGAGTTCCCTGGTTCTGCTAAGGTGCTTTGTGCTCTCGGCATCTGCACGTAGCCACCCAAATGCCCACTTTCCGCGTTGATTTGCTTTCAGCTTCTAATTTGATTGGCCCATAGCTTGCTGGAGAGTCTTTGCTGAAGCAGACCATGCCTTGAATTATCCTCACTATGTAGAAGGACATGTGAATGCCAATCGCAAGGCTTAAATTAGTCGTCACCATTTCGAAACCTTACTGTAAGCTAGCACAAGGGTGGTTACGAAAAATCGACGGCACTCCACCAGCATCCTACCCACGGAGGTTACATGGAAGCTGGCGCAGGAACCAGGCGTACCTGTTGACGGAACCCGGACACATCTACGCACAGGCCACAATTGGTTCTCCACCTACGCCGACCTTGAGCTTCCGCAACGACGACGAGTGCGTGCGTGTGCGGCGCGCAAACCGTCACCCGCATTCGAGTGGACTGCCCTGAACTGAGAGACATCTGGAGAAAGCTACGGAGTGAAGTTGGGGACACATTCAGAAGCGTCTCGAGTCTGCTGGGAGGCTCAATCGAACATAAGAAAGGTAAACCAGACATCGCCTCACGAACTAGGACGGTTCAGGCTGTGTTAGACTTCGCCGGGTGTCACAGTGGTTTCGGAGCCGTGCGCCACCAGGGCAGCCTGACAATGGGAACGGGAATTAGGCCACGAGATGCCTTGATGGGGTTCCACGTACACGGATATATTTAGTAGTCGTATCCTGCATATCGCTCTTCAAGTTGAGACCCTGGATTGAGGCACAAGTGTGATGATCATTCTCTAACTATGCGAGTAGGCGCAGCTATTTGTAGTAACCGTGGCTGCCTTCTGCCTAGAGTGGTGGTGGCGGCCTATTAGGCTGCCACCGCTGTATCTATACATCACGTAACCTGGGATCCAACTCTTACTGCGAGGGGTCAGGGTAAATGAAATCATCCATCTATCTGTCTGTCTGTAAACTGGCAAAGAGTCCTAATTTTCTTTCATGGACGGGATTTTCCAAATTCCGCGGTCTTCGAAAATAGCGCTCTTTCAAGTTGAACTGTTGAAAGAAACTGCAAGTAATTTTGCCTGTAGCCTGCCAGCGCTCATTGGTACTGTACTCGACTGGCCTTGGAATGACCACAATCGGAGGGAAAGATGAATTCTCGGCCTCTAGACAACCCTAAACAGCCAAGAAGCCTTCCTCACTCTCATTCGGTCTTCTTGCAGATTCTCATACAGTCAGAAATGTAAGTTATTTCTATTATTAGTGTCAACGGGCTTAGGGCCACACCAAAGTATAGTAATCAAGGGCTAAACAGATAATTTACCCACAGACACCAAGCTTTTTTAATCTCGTGTAACCTCTAGGCTAATCAATCCAATTCCTAGTGGGGCAAGAACCCCGCAACTATGTATTCTAAGCAGAGAAGCCGTCGATGCTAAAACCTCGGATAACTTAAGGTTAAAACAAAGCTAAAGTACGGCGGACGATTAACGCCATTCTCCAAAACCTATAAAACCGGCAGAAAACCGGCAGAATTTCACCTAAGTTAAATTTTTTAAATCCAAGTCCATCATCATCCTATGCTCTTCCATCATCATCCTATGCTCTTCCATCGTCATCCAATGCTCCTCCATCGACATAAAGGATTCATATAACAAAAGGATTGTAATTAAGTTAAAATATGTATAACTATTTAAGTATATGAATGACCGACAGTAGTAATTCTCACTTATAGTATAAATACATAGTCTCTGTCATCTCTGCCGTCGCCGACGTAAGTTCCGCTGCGTCACTGGTGGTGTAGTACGTCTTCGCTTCCTTCGTGGTGGTTCTTCAATAATGGGCGTTGGGTCTTCCATGATGGAAGCCGGGTCTTCCACACTGGGCGAGGATTCCAACATTCTTTCGAGCTCTATCTCCGATCGAGATAGTAGTCCGTAAGTAATCCTTTCCACGGTCTCTTTTGATCGTTTTATAATAATATGGAAGACCCTTGCCCCCTTCTCTTGGTTAACCAATCGGCATAACTGACCAGTAGTCCACCTAGTATTACCAGATGAACTAGTAGGCAAGAGATACTGCGCTTCCAAAGGGCCTTTCTTTCTATATTGTGTAACTGCCCTTGCTAGATATGCATCATCGTCGTGGTGGGATTTGAATTGAATAGGTAGATACCATAGTTTACCTACTAGAGATAGTGCAAAACCACCTATAGTAAGCTATTCCTTTGAAGGAAGCGCATTAGTAGAGATATGTGCGCCTATAAAATAAGTATATAGTTAGAACATAGAAGCATATAATAAAGAGAGGATAGTATATTACCTTTGATTGGTATAATATCCTCACCCTCTATCAATAGATAGAAGGATGCGTTGATAGTAATCTCTTCTTCTAGCGGTGGTATGGTTGCCTGTGGGCGTCCAATATAAGCACTCCGAACCTGGCTAGCAGTGCCAGAAAGTGCTCCAAAGCGAGAATTAAGCTGTGGTGGTATATACGAAGCCGATGGTGGTATATGCGAAATCGATGGTGGTATAGCCGATGCCGATGTAGGAATATCTGAAATCGATGAAGGTACTGGTGTTGGTGTAGATATCGGTGTTCTCGTTGTTGACGAGGACAAAGGAGTATCCGTAGCCACTAATACTGTCTCTAATAGCTGTTTTAGAGTAGCCTGTAGAGCAGCTAGGGGGATAGATAGTTAGGATACCATCTTAGGAGACACAATAGATAGAGGAAGATTAAAGGAAGATGGGTAATGAGAGAAGGAATATACTCGAGGGAAGAGGGAACATACTCGATGGAAGCAGGAATATGCTCGATAGAAGCAGGAATATGAGATTCAATAGAAATAATCTTAGTAGAGTTTAATGGCTTCTATATCCTACTACTATTAGCCGCTTAGACCCCCTAATAATAGGGGAATTCACGTGGTTAATAGGAGGAACATACTCAAGAGGAGAAGGAATATGCTCGATAGAAGAGGGAACATGCTCGATAGAAGACGGAATATGATATTCTAATCTTAATAGTGTTTAGCGGCTTCTGCGCCCTGGTACTATTGGCCGCTAGGACCCTATGAGAATGCACCAATAGGCTTTAGGCTGATTTCTAGAAAGGGCAATACACCTGATTGGTAGTGTGAGAGGGCCCTAGCACGCAGGGCCTTATATACTATCCGATATGGCTGCTTTCTATCACCCCGAAGCTGAATGAGAGGGTCTTCAGGGTCAAACGGCTCGCCTACTTCTTGCTAGCCAATTTCTACTATTTGTAGACGGTACTAAGCTAGTGTAGAAGGTGGAAGATATTCAGCAGGATCCCATTCTGCCACATCCTCCTGGAGCCTAATAGAATAGAATAATGTTAGCTAATCATAGAATAAAATAAATTAACCATAGAATCATACCTCTAGAGAAGAGAAGGGTCAAAAGCTTCCTTACAATCAGGAACACCCGAAGTAGGATAGTAGTAATTCATCATTAGTTTACCAGGGACAATATATAGCCGCTTAGGCTGTTTACGAATTGGGTGTACATTCCATACCCTGCTCACATATGATTAAATGCGAGCTCGTAGAATAGGCATATAGACAGCAAGAAGTACTATCTAGACATCTTTTAGTGGGTATAACTAGGTAGATTGTCGAGGGTATACTTCTACTTACCTGCTCAGGAATGCATTGCTTTGAATAGATTCCATCGCCTAATAGTTTATTAAAGTATTCATGATAGACGAAGAGACTTGACTATGCAAGCTGTCCCTACCAGGATTCAATACGCTGATTATCAATACTCCGACCGTAGATAAAGTAGTTTCGAAACCGAGCATTCGATGACGATAGAGGCGTATTCGATGACGATGGAGGAGCATTCGATGATGATGGAAGAGCATTCGATGATGATTCTCGCAGAGCAAGATAGGCATCACCAATTAATACCGTCTTACTACCAAGATCAACCCGAAGCTTTTTTGGTATATACCCATTCGATCTCACACAATCAAGATACTGCCGAAGGACACTTACGGCAGTACGTGCAGATATCCCAATATATATCCATGTAACATATCGAGAGTAGCCATCAATTGCTGCGTAGATTTCAATACCAAAAGGTTCTAACTTCATATAGCCATCGAGATGCCAAATTGCATTAGGCCCATCACATATATAGGCCCCTCGGCGACGTTGGAGACCAGATCGGCGGTCTTCAATCGCATCTGGATTGATAGTTCGGTAGATTTCATAGGCGCGATCTCTATTAGAATCATTAGTAAAAAGGCGAACATGTCATTAATAGAAGTGATCATATGGCCAACTGCCACGACCATATGACCGACCAAGGCGACCATATGACCAAATGCTTACCTTGCAATGAAAACTCCCTGGCTGCGTAGGTGAATCTGCTGTAAACGCCGGCCATATCCATCAATATCTCCAATCTGGTCCTCTGCAGTAAGAATCTTCTCAATAGCTCTCTCCTGAGCAACACGCTCAGCAGTATCGTTAACACGAAGCCTAACACCAAGCTTTTGCCGTATACGACAAAGAGAGCGTTCAGATGATGGTATCCCCATCTTTTGTAAGAGACGAAGGATCTCATGCGTATCCAACGATAGCTGAAGAAGGTCATATACTACCTGATTGCGACTAATCTCATCAGGAGTGCCCTTAGGGAGGTAAGCCCGTGGAGTACGAAGACCCCATGCATCTCGCCGCCTACGTATAGTATTAGCAGAGGTGCTAATACCATACGTATTTAGCAAGAAGGCACAGATATCCTCATTAGTGTAATTCGAATTGACAAGCCTAGTAATTTCCTCCTGGTAAGGATCAAGATTGACAGAAGGCCGGGGCATAGTATATAGTAGTAGCGAACGAAGAGATCGATGGAGAGATATTCGATGATGATGGAGGAGCATTCAATGCCGATGGAGGAGCATTCGATGACGATGGAGGAGCATTTAATGATGATGGAGGAGCATTAGGTGATTGATTGGTTATATAAGATGTTAGTGCCTAATAAGCTAGGCTAGTTATAAGGGCGGTGATAAGGGCCTAGTAGGCTAGGCTACTTATGGGGGCGGTGATAAGGGCGGAAGGGGTTTTGGAGAATGGCGTTAACCGTCCGCCGTAGCTAAAGGTCCACTTTATACGAGGAACACGAACACCAGTATTATTTTTCCGAAGTCCGATGTGCAGGACAGGGCAAACAAACTAAAATCAGGCCTTCTCCGTCATATTCGTATTTAGGACTCAATTCTCCGACGAAAGGCATATAAATAGAAAGAGGGACGTGCTTATTCTTGACTAATATTCTCACCTTGCACCTCTCTAAATTTGCGCATTCTGCATTACCATCTATCCCTGGAGGGTTCTTATAAAATGAAGTTCCTATTATTCTTGACTACTCTGCCTGCTCTTGCAGTTGCGCAAGGGGCAGGTGACTTGTGTGGACCAACCGACACAGTAATCCTTGGTATTTGCGAGTCAACCACTTGGTGCAATGAAAATCAGGGTTATTACTATAGTGGCTATTGCCCTGACGCACCCGACTATGTGAAATGTTGCCAGTCCCCTCGCTGTGGGGTAAATGGCAGCTGTGAGGATACTGAGTTTTTTGACTGTGCGGGCGCTGGAGGCCATTGGGTTAGGTAAGGACTCTTTTATAAGCATCTCAAATTTGTGTGCTTGTAATATTGACCCTACAAACTCTATAGCAATAAATGTCCGGGTCCTAGCAAGTATCAATGCTGCGAGAATGTTTGATACAACTCTTGCCGGATAGAGTATAATATTGTGAACCAGGCAGGATCGCTTATGTTACGTACGAACCAGGAGGGGAATCAAGAAGAAAATCTCAGGTATCCAACCGATAGTATTGTATTAGTCCACATCTATCCCGTAGAGGACACTCGTAATTGTTGATTTAGGAGAATGACATGGTATAGCGTCCGATGGGCGCGGGAGGGCAGTGAGGAATACAGGATCATGGTTTTGTAAGATATACCGGAAAATAACATAATGCAAACGTCCTGAAGGGCCACCTGTGAAACGGACAAATTATAGCTTCTTCCAATTACAGACCAGCATACTTTTATATACGACCTAGAAACAAACTACGGGGGTTTCTATAGAATGCCGCGGACCTTTCGTACCCGTAAGGTAATACTGCATACCTCTGGACCGTAAGACAAGGCGCATTTTACTGCACCCCCCGATTTAACGCGGGCCGCTCAATAAATGATTTGCGCTAACGCCTTGGCGGTTAGACCAGGAAAGAGTCTCTCAGTGTGTTTTGGTCAAGGCGATTTCGAGAACCACTGTATGGCTTTCAAGCTAGGGGAAGCCTACCATCCTGACTACTCGAATTCTGGAAAAGTAATTACAATTATTGACTTGAGCATACGGACAAAAGTCTCGCAATATTATAGGAAGAGACCGGGAAGCCTGGAGCTTGGAGTATAGTAGATACAGGCGGCGCAAACCTAGAGAGCCGCTCGGCTACTTTCAACTAAAAATCAAAGCCAAATTCAAACAATGAGCAACTGTCTAGTCTGCCCTTTTTACACTAGCCTCAGCTGGCGTCTTTCCCAGCCTAGTCCATCGAACGTGCCACTGGGGTTGACCGGCTTGTTCCAAGAATTAGGTGCAACGGTTAAAAAGCCGACTCTAGTATATGAATCGTCTCCGTCAGACGCTTTCAGAATAAGGCAGACGCATGGCCCAACGTTGTCAGTCTTCGTAGTCCAGTCGTCAATCTTTAGCACAGCACAGACATGATGATCAATCTCCCGGTTGAACTTCTCAGAATCTGCCTCTTGAACCTCCGCTGGCCTTGGTCTGCAGCAGATGCATTCAAACATCAGCGATTGATCAAGGTTTGGTGTGACTCTGAATGATTCTTCATCATCTTTGAGTACACTTGTTAGCCTCTTGAACCCAATACAGGCCGCATCAAGGACAATATGTGATCCTGGTAAAACATTTCCGTAGGGGTTCGAAGTGTCGGCATAGAAAATGTGATGTGAAACAAGCTCGGGTCGATACTTTTGAGCCCACGCTGAATCTGAAGCAAGGTTCTCACGGACATCATCTATGCCAACAGGGCCATCCACACTGGCCCAGCTCCAGGTAGGAGCGACATATTCAGTAGCTGATGTCAAAGGCGAAAACATTCGGCCCCAAGCAAGTCCAGATGCGACATGTTTGCTCCAAATTCCGGCTAGGTAGTCTCCCATGCTACCGTCACTGATGGCCAGCGCGGATTTGCCAACCACGAGAAGTTTGTCGGAAGGATTCTCAAAGCTTCCCCAAGAGAGCGCATTCACACTGTCAGTCCAAGCTTTCAGCCGTGCAACAGGGCTCTCTTCGCCGGCATAGGGGGTTTCATTGATATCAGTCGAGGGTGACAGCAGTGCACTCTCCACAAATTGCTGGAAGAGCTTCTTATCATAACCGTTTATTCTTGGACCGGATCCTTGTTCCTTGATAATTTTTACTGCCTCAAATTGACAGCCAGATGCACACTCCCAGACTAGTTGTCGATCTGTGAAATGAACGATACGCGGTGCAAGTATTCTCTCAATTACGTTCCAACCCTGTATAGAAAGCGGCGATTTCTCAATGTTCGTCATCCAGCGTAGCACACGGGGCCTGAGATATCTGTCTTTGGTAATTCCCAATGCTGGAGATTGAAGAATATTTCTTTCGTGAAAAAGTCCGACGTTAGGCTCGGGTGTTATAGAAGCTGTAAGCATCAAACTTGCTCTGCCGTATATGCCTAGGAAGTGGGCTGGGTTCTCAGAAAATTCGCTTGTCCTCAAACAGAGCTGTCTTATCCAAAGATACTGATAGCCCAGTCTGCGAGTGATGTCAATGGCATCGGCTATGGCCTTTGGATAGAGTGCAATATCCAAATTGGCTGGCAGGATATCCTTGGGCTGCGCTTCGGTGCTTGAACTCGCCGAGTCCGCAGAGGGATGATGATAACTCAAGATGATGTAGGCCCCCTTTTGTCCCTCAGAAGCGACAATACGTGGAGGGACTAAGGGATCGGGAGAGACCTCTATGATCCTCTCCGGCAATGGAACTGACTCGAATTGGTGACATTTCTCGTGTTCTGCGCATTGCGACATCCATGAAGATATCTTGGTCACGCATTTGTCATCTTGCGAGTTCCTTGCAATATCATGAAGTGAATCAAATTTATCGGTGAGTGGCCCTGGAAATGTCAATGATCAAGACTCGTAGGTTGAGGTGGACGTGTCTCTTTATACCTTCATAGCCACTCGCAACGCACATGTCAAGACACAAATCGTCCCAAGACATGGTCATACCAATGACTCCCGGCTCTCTAGCATCTAGACGCATGTTGCAAAATGCTATGTTCTTCCCTGCTAATTTGTCCAGCTGGCCCTTGTACCGACCGGATGTTTGCACAACCGAGCAGAAGAATCTGCAAGACTCGCAACCATTGTCCGCTTTGGTGATAAGTTCTTCATATTTACCCAGGATGACACCAAAGGGACCCTCCTTGTCTAGGTCCCAGGTGTCACAGTCTTCGCACAAAGGCATGATCACCAGTTGAGAAAAGTGGTTGATATTATAGAGAATATATCTTTGGAGAAAGTGCAATGAGAAATGTGAAGTTGGCCCTGGGTTACGGACAGCAGATGAGACGGTTTATAGAATAGGTTGGGAGAAAGAGAATTTGGTTGCCTTTCGCTGGGGAGAACTAAAACAAGCCACGGGATGAAAATGGCCAACCAACCCCCTAATAATTTAAGCAAAGACTGAAGCCTGTGGCTTCTGACTCAAAGGTGCCGACCCAAAATAGTTAGTATCATTGGTGTTGCCTACCGTTCTACCTAGCTGTCAAGGACTCGGAGCCGCAACGAGACTAGCGAGCATGGCTAGTGAGCGCCACAGGCGAACCCTCCGTTCCCAATGGTTCGCCTCCCCGAGAGGCCCCTGATGCGAGGGGTCCAAACACCCTGTAGCCGAGCTTTGGCTGAAATGCCAAAACCACCTTGGCTTTAAATAGCGTCCCTTGGCAGCCCCCAAGAAAGAATACAAAGATCTATTTCTCGATCCCTAATCCCTATTTCCTCACAGAAGTCGTGCTCTGCCTTGCGATCAATTCTCTCTTCAATACCATGACCATATTAATTCGAAACCTTCTGATCCTTGCTGGTGCTGCGACCGTTGCTGCCGACCAGCACATAGCTGACTCCCCTTTCTTAAATCAATACATTGTCGACTCTGGATATGTGACAATCTCTACAGCTGGCAGAGTAAGTGGTGGCCTCGAAGCTCCAGGACAAAGGCGTTGCAGATTAATCAATCTGTCTAGGATGCCACCCACACCACCTATATTGCCAAATGCGACAACGGCGGTGCCAATGTTTGCACGTTGCCTAGTGCTGGTGCCACTATTGTCACGGGCCCATCTTATGTTGGGTGTTCATACACCGATCCGTCGGAACCCCTGTGAGTAGAGACTGCTTTGGGAGATAAGCGTGTAGACCTGTAATGCGTCACTAATCTTGTCTAAGCTTCTCATCTGTTGGGTGTAATTATATCAACGCTGGATCTTCAGCCCTTTGCACGGTGTATCAGTCAGGCCAAAGTGGAACCTATGTGGCCACATTATCGCAGACGGAAACCCTGCCAGCATCTGCTGTTGCACTGGGCTTCAACACGCCGACTGGCACCGGCACCAATTCAAAGCAAACTTCCGAAGCCAGTGTCGGAAGCGCCGCTACCATGACAACTGGAGCAGCCACTACGGCCGACTCAGGTGCATCGTCTACCAAGAGTTCGACTACAAACGAGAGCGCTAGTAAAACTGGTTCTGCTGCAAGTGAGACCAAGACTGGTGGCGCCGCCAGGGTAGCTGAACTTGGAAATGTGTTTGTCCTTGTTGGGGCAGCTATCATGGGGGGAATATCCCTTGTCATATAGGAAGCTTGTCGAAGAATTTGCCAGTGTGGTGGAGGACACAAACACACTGTTCCCATATTCAACTCATCTTCCTCGGAAGACTCCTGGGAAGGGTCTTCCATTAACCAGAAAATTTCAAGGCGGTCATGAAGTAAGCGTCAGGTACTCCATAGCTCCATAGAATCCGGCATTTCTTGCTGATGAAGGCTCTGGATATCGGCGAGAATGCGGAAGAATGGATGCATAAATCCGATTGTAGTCTTATCGCTTTCGGTAAATGTTTCATGCTGCTAGAAAAGACGGCTTCGCGACCTAGGGTAATGGTAATGCACAATAGGCTTTTATAAGAGCAGTCAGTAAGATGCTACCAAGACCAAAGCATGTTCAACAACCTTTCGGTACAGCAAAACGCAGAGATGATGGCCTGTTCCTGAGCGGATCGTGTTGGGCTATCCATGCCAGCTGCGAGGACTTTTGCAAATATTGCTCCAAGTTGTATCCATACTACTTCAAACGAACCGGAGTCAGTGTGATACTGGTGGTGGATACTGGTAGTTAGTTGAGTTGCCTAATGAAAAGAGAATGAGGGGGTCACTTATCATGAGCAAATCACTCTGTAAAGCTAGTATATCACCCATGTAGAATGGCGCCACTTTATTTCTCTGTACCTCTCCAATAAACATGTCTCCGAGGTCCGCATGACCGGTGGTGATTGACCCAATGGCAAGTAGAGGAAACATGATAGAGCGAAGAGCCTTATCCTCATCAAGCATCTGTGAGATTGGCTGAGAAGAAAGACTGGAAAGACGCGCACGAAGACTACTGGGCGATTGAAATGGGAGAATTTCCCAGGACGTTGCGATATATCGCTCGAGGAGGAGACTCTGAACCTGGAGCGGCACAGTATCCAGCGGGCCTGGCGGGCTAAGGTTTAAGGATGGCGGACGAAGGGCCGCGTGAGTGGCGATTGCCTGGCGCAGATATTCCAAGACGTCTGTATGGGGTCTCTTCTGTGATTCTACAGCCAGACCATGTGAATGAGAACTATTTGATTGGGCGATCAAGTCTAAGATCAGATTGAGCACAGTAACCGTGGACGTGGGGCCGAAGATCCGGGTGATTTTCCCACGGCCAGACGGGCTCTCATTGATTTTGAGAGCCCCCAAGACGTACGGTAGATCGTTTTGTTGTCGCACATTGCATGGCATAGTATATTGGACAGCAAAATCATCACTGTCCAGCGGTCTGGTATCCACAATTCTGTGTGCGGTCTGGACGACCTGTTCCGAGATCCCGAGCTGCCTCCTAGCACTCCTGCGCTAAGAGCACGGTGTTGAGTTTTTAATACACGACTGGCAGGGCAGCACACCGTCGCATTTCACTTTGTGTTGTCGGCAGGTTTCGCATGCCTTGTACACCCTCGTCCGTGGCGCTGATGTTATTATCATGTTAGTTGCCACACAAAGTACGCTTTCCCTACGAATCTTTCTTATTGGAATCACCCATCTTGCTGGATCTCGCTTGACCTTCTTATGTGACCCGGAAGAGAGGTTTCAACGTATTCAGGCGCAAAGTGGTGTAGGAATGGTAGCAATCCCTGATGCCCGTTAGAAATAGCTGGTCAACGCTTGGCGATTAGTCAAAAAAGTGGAAACACCCGCTCGCGAGGTCGGGTGTCTGGGGAATCCCCGCCCGAATCATGCTGCTGGATCTCACGTATAAACCTTAATAAGATAGTTATAAAATTTATCACACTGGCCTCTCGGCCACAATCGTTCTGAAGGTTAGGGACTAAGCTATGGAACATCACAAGTGAATCTGGAGTTAGAGATAAACCATCTGTCTTGACTACCCTCGACCATGTCCTACCACGCCTTTGTGATCTCACATGTAAATCGTGGGATATCAAATATCAACTATGCCGAAAGATGTGGCCTGTAATCGGCCGTCAACGATCGAATCTGCAGATTCTCGTGTGCTGGGAACCCTTGAAAACCTCAGGCATCAAATATAACGCGGGCGAACCCAAGAGACTCACCCGCCAAACTCCCCCACATCTCCCCGCCCAGCACTTCTCAACCGTCAACAATCCTACACACAACTTTCCTATGCCCTGAGATTCGAGGATTACACAATATCATGGCCTCAAATTCAGAGAAAGACCCGGGCTCAGCCCTAGCGGGGGCATTCACCATCCACTATTTCGCGACCGCATCCCAATACACCTCCAAAAACACCGAGCGCCTCCCCGCGCCCCTGCCATTGTCCGAGCTCTACCCGCTGCTTGAGGAGCGATACCCGGGCATCCGTGAGAAGGTCCTGGGCAGTTGTGGTGTTAGCCTTGAAAGTGAATATGTCGATATCCAGGAGGATGCCGACAAGGTGATACATGCGGGTGATGAGGTTGCTATTATCCCGCCTGTCAGCTCCGGGTAGAGCTAGGAAAATGGCCATCGGAATCGCATCAGTACCTCTCTGTATCCAGCGTTGCCTATGAATTACGTGATGCGGTATAGCGTACCCGATAAGGACTAGCGTCACTTAGCGGCCTCATGTCGATTCTATCAAGTCCCCTCCATCGCCGCCTCAACGTTTCACGGGTTTTTTCACTGAAAAAGTCTCTCTTTTTGAGTAAATTAGGCAGATCATGGTAGATGGGGGAAAATAGAAGTCGGACAATATCGCCTAGGGTACCAGTCCATTACAAATTATCATTATCATTAATTTTTGCAGGCGGGATGAACTGGAAGTCTGGAATAAAACGAGTCACATGATTACCCGCCAAAGGAGCTCAGAAAAGCTAGAACCATCCGTGACGTATCAAAGATTGGTGATGCCGTTTTAACCGACTTCTCAGCCGCTTGAAGCCGATTTTAGGAGCGATCGACTTCTTTAAGTCGGGGCTTTCGTTCGGCACATTTTACCCCAATGTCTTGGCCAAGAAGCCCCGAAAGTGCTCTCACAGAACCATCCGTCTCATCAATAGCACATATTGAAACGAGTGACCTTGAGCGACTCTTCCAAGAAAGACATGTCGTGAGACAAGGTCTTCATCAGCGGCACATTCAAATGATTGGCTTGGCTGGTACCGTTGGCTCCGGCCTTTTCCTCAACTCTGGCCAAGCTCTCGCGATGGGAGGACCCTTAGGTGCCTTCCTTGGCTATACTCTCATGGGACTTGCTGCTTCCAGTGTCGTCCTCGTAATTGGAGAGATGGGCACCTTAGTGCCTCTCAGTGGAGGCCCTGTTCGATATTCGGAGTTGTTTCTCGACCCTGCTGTGTCCTTCGCGAATGGATGGAACCAAGTATGCTCATATTTGGTTACTATCCCTGCCGAGATCGTGGCAGCATCGATCTTAGTCGAATTTTGGAGTTCTGTCAGTAGCGCAATATGGATAACCGTTTTCGGCATACTGATACTGGTGACTGCCTTATTGTTTATCAGAATTTATGGAGAGATTGAGTTTGTATTTGCAATGCTGAAGATCTTCCTGATCCTTGGGGTGAACATTATGGCACTAGTAATAACCTGCGGGGGAGGTCCAAGTGGCCAATCGATTGGATTCAGATACTGGAAGAATCCAGGGCCCTTTGTCCAATATTTTGGTATCGAGGGTTCCCTGGGTCGATTTCTCGGATTCTGGTCAACTTTGAATTACGCAACATTTGCGTACGCAGGTGTTCAAAATATTACCCTCGCGGGCGCCGAAACGAGATCTCCAAGGCGCGCTATTCCGAAGGCAACAAAGAGGGTCTTGATTCGAATATTAATTTTCTATGTTCTTTCTATATTTATGATCGGTCTTGTTATTCCTTCAAATGACCCATACCTTCTCCATTTGACCGGCACGGCTTCCCAGTCTCCATTCGTTCTGGCCGCTCGCCGGGCAGGAATACCGGATATACCCTCAATTATCAATGCTGCTATACTAGCTTCAGCTTGGTCTGCTGGAAATTCTTTCATGCTCTTTGGCTCCCGAATTCTCTTTGGCATGGCAATTCAAGGACATGCTCCTGCTATTTTCGCCCGACTGAATCGTTTCAAAGTGCCTTATGCAGCCATTGCCTTTTTCGGAGCATTTATGTGCCTAGGGTATATGGTTGTCTCTGAGACAGCAACCACAGTTTTTAGCTGGTTGCAGGCCGTCGTGGGAGTCTCGACTTTGATTGACTGGATAGTCATTTGTGTTGTATACCTCCGATTCTACTACAGTTGCAAGAAGCAAGGAATTGACCGACACAAAGAACTTCCGTGGGCTGCACCTTTTCAACCCTTCTCAACTTGGGCTTCCCTTGTGCTGCTCCTCCTTGTGCTTTTCACCGGTGGCTTCAGCACATTTATTCATGGTCATTGGAATACTGAAACATTTCTCTCGGCATACATCAATATTCCGATATTTCTGGTTCTGTACTTCGGCTACAAGTGGTGGAAGAAAACACGTATCATCGCTTTGGTGAAAATTCCGATTGTTGGTTTGATACAGTTCTCCCTCAGTCAGGAAACCTCTGATTATGAACCACGACGAAAACGGAAATTTGAAAAGGTTAATTTTCTCTGGGCATGAATATCAGCGAATATAGTTCCAGGACGAGATACTGCGGATGCTATCTGAACGATACTCTTTCCAACCAAAGCATAAATACCCTCCTACCTATTTCCGCCCTGATTGGATAGCTCTTGTACACCATGCCATCCTATCCCTCCATCGCATACTGTACTCTGTCCGCCTTGCTCTTCGGTATACTCAAAGGTTGCACTTGAACCATGGCGGATAACGCTCCCAGGACATAAATTCGAATGAGAAATGCCGAGGAAAGGAATCAAATACTTCTACTCAGATCTACTAATTGCACAAGATCCGGCTCTCTACCTAGTTCCTAAAGATGTCAGCTAGCCTCGTTTCAGCCAGTTCAGTGCCCTTTTTACCGACATAAAGGAAAACGAAATTTCGGGCCGATATCATTAAGGACCTTATCGGGAGCGGATAAAAATGGATACGAATTTCAATCTCATAGGATTCCAAGATACAGCATTTGCAAATTCATGGTGCCGATCGTGGGTCCATGGTCTTGTCTTGAGCGCCATAACAGTCCGCAGAATCATCAGGGGCTCCGCCGGGTATAGAAAGTTGGCCGAAACTATGCTCATATGTTTTTAATCTTGTTGTTGTTCTTTTATAGAGCTTGAATCAAACATACTTTATCTAGCAAGATTTTATGACTCTCTATGTTAATACGGAATTCGGATAGCTCTTGATGATTGGCGTGATTCATGGTACGTGCCTTGTGAAGTTAGCAAACTCAATAGAGGCAGGCTTTCGATCATTCCCCGATCGAAACGAAGCCCACTGTAACTAATACATCCATAGGGGTGGTGTATCTAGCAAGTCTCGATCTGGAGGTTCTACTCCAGGGAGAAATAGTACATACCGTACCCAACCGGAACGAGAGGCGGCAAGAGCGCGAGCAGAGGCTATGCAGACGAGGGCCGACATAGTCTTCTACCAGATGCCCCTGCCTGGGGGCCATGAGTATCTAGACGCTGTCGCCGCTGTGTCAAATGAGGATCTGGAAGTAACCGAATGGCAACAGGTTTGTTTAGGATCAACGGATCGGTCTACGTAGCTAAGATTATCGAGGTATTTTATGCCAGTAGCTCAGTATACAAGCTTGCGCACCAGCAGCCACGTGGCGCTGTGTTGTCGCCGCTAACGCTTTGAAGTGTGACACTAGCTGAAGCAAAGTATGGATAAATACGTGACTTGGGGTCTAAAAGCGCATATTCGATCTAATGAAACGAACATCAAGGGTGCTTCTAGTGAAGGATCAGAGGAGACCAAATCTGGATACCTTCTCTAATATCCGGTGTGCTTAGCGCGCCTAGAACTCCTTGCGGTCGCTAAGGACTTCTACTACTCTCGAATGGACGCGCTCTAGACGCATTTCGGAAATTATAAATTCCCCTATGTTCTTCGATAGACCTGGTCATTCATGTGATATCCCCAGTTATATTTATGTATTCACCTTACTTACCGGCTATAAGCTCTACTTATCTAAGTACTATAGTATCTCTCTTTGATACTTACGTCTTGCAAAGCAATTCGAGACTAGGTACCGCCGTGGAAGATTCGATCATAGGCGGCATCTAAGAGCTAGGATAGAAATCTACAATAGTACGAATTCGTGCGACATCCTATTACTCTCACCACTAGTAGCGCTGCTCTGAATATGCTATGAATGTTTACTATCTATTACTCGCTGGGTATCAGCGCGTCGTCTCTTTATACACTATCATATTAGCAGTTGACTATAGTTAATCGGAGAAGAGGAGGATAGGTCAAAGGAGTGACTTAGACAATAGTTTCTATTAAAGATCACTCGTTCTCGCACTTTAAACCCTTTTTTAAGCAGTCGTTCTGTAAAGATGTTCAAATAATACGTATCTACTAATATTCGTAGAGATATTGTAATACTAGGCCTGGCTCTTACCCGCGGATAACCGGGCGGCTATATGTAGCCCTCGACCCCTCGGGTGCAGTCTGCAGTGTATTCTCTCGCCCATAGCTATCGAATATACCTAATCATTAGATAAGAACTTCTTTCTAATAGGGTTATAAGGCATGACCAATACCCGTTCTAGCAGCGGAGAGGTATTCCCTTCTAAACGCGTCTGTAGAAAGTAGTGTTGGGAATGCCGAATTCACGCACAATCTTCGCGATATTAACTTTTCTGCTGCTTAACGGCCTCGGCGGTATCAATTATGGCGGACTCTTTATATATCGGTAGCTTTTTGACGTGTTTTGGTGGTATAATGGCGAAGCGAAGATGAGATAGAAGAATCTTCGTTAGTTTGTGGCATACCTACTTTGCAGAATGTGGAGTGGGTGAACAGTAAGACATGGCTTCCGCTCAACATGGATTTACACGTTCCCACCTGCTAAACTAGTCGTGGACCAAATCATTCAGGAAGCGAGATTATAGCTACCACAGGGCCAGATCCTCTGGCTTGAACAAAACACCGATTTCTTTTGATTGCCGGGCACAAACAATTCTTTAGGTAAGCCTCAAGAACGGATCACCGGATGTGTTCGTGGTCTGGGCCCTCTCATCGATCTTCACATTGAGCTCCTACCCTGGGCCGAGCGAGTTCATTGACGTCATTCACCACCACTTGTTTGTTGAATTTGAGTTTGTCAGAGATTACGAGACGCGGTCGCGTGAGCAAAGGTTATGTTCGGCGTTACGAGAAAGCGAGAGTGCGAGAGTGGTAGAATACCTTCGCCGCAAGTTGGACTTGGCCTGAGTTTCGCCCACCTTGACCATCGCTTTTCCAGATTGTCAATCTCGCTATTTCTTTAGCCTCCCACACAATATCTGTCAATCATGGCCGCTGTTATGGCACCGACTCCTGCAGGGCATCCGTTCGAGCGAGTAAACCTCGTTCATTCGGATGACTGGCCGTATAAAGATACAACGCGATCGCAAGATGGCCACGACAAACTGCGATTCTTCCAGGATAGGCTGGATACTGGCGCTCGTGTTCTAGGTGGATATTGTTCCAGCGACGTCCATATTTCTTGCACTAACGGAATCACGTCCTATCTTAGGAAACGGCCGAGTAGACATCCAGTTCGACCCGCATAAACCCAGCATCGCAGGGCTATTGAACCACATCCAACGTCCGAATATACATTCTGATCGATATGACGAACATATAGCCAGTGCAGAAAACCCCTTCGCAAAGGATGGACATTTTCCACTGCACTTGAATCTCGTCATCCAAGTAATTGGTTCTCGAGGCGACATTCAACCGTTCGTTGCGCTAGGAGAGAACTGAAAGCCCACGGTCACCGAGTCAGATTGGCCACACATTTAACTTTTCGGCAATTTGTTCTCGATAGTGGGCTGGAGTTTTTCAACATCGGAGGAGATCCGACGGAACTGATGGCTTTCATGGTAAAAAACCCGGGCCTTTTACCGGGGTTCAAGGCAATACGCAGCGGAGATATCCAGAAGCGTCGGCGTGAGATGAGGGAAATTTTTAATGGATGTTGGAGATCTTGCTTTGAAAAGGGTGAGGGTACTAATCTTCACCATATCAAGGAAGACCCATGGAGCAAAGCTTTGGATTTTCGAGAGCGGTCCTTTGTGGCGGACGCTATTATAGCCAATCCTCCTAGCCTGGCCCATATTCACTGCGCGCAACGGCTAGGTATCCCTCTCCATATTATATTCACGTGAGTCGGTCCTTGATATACTAAGATTTAGTTGTGGCTCCCGCAAAGTTACCGCATACACTAATGAATAACAGGATGCCCTGGTCACCAACTCAGTCATTTCCCCACCCATTAGCGAATGTTCATTCCCAGAACTGTAAGCCGACTCTCGCAAATTTCATGTCCTATAATATTGTAGATGTGATGGTATGGGAGGGGTTGGGAGATATTCTGAACACGCTTCGCAAAAACACCTTATCACTCCAACCTCTGGACACAATGACCGCCTCGAGTATACTCACCCGACTGCATGTGCCGCATACGTATCTCTGGTTAGGAGGGTATTTCTGGCCGGCAAAGAAATATTCTAATATTTGAAACAGGTCTCCTTCATTATTGCCTAAGCCTCCTGATTGGGCTGATAACATCGATGTCTGCGGCTTTAGCTTCCTTATGTCAGAGAGCAGCTACACGCCACCCCAGGAAATCGCTTCATTTCTTGAAGCAGGACCAAAACCAATATATATTGGATTCGGCTCTATCGTAGTTGATAATCCTGACAAATTGACGAAGACTGTATTTGAAGCGGTCAAAAAAACCGGACAGCGGGCTCTTGTCTCGAAAGGTTGGGGAAACCTGGGGGCAGACGCAGTGCCGGAAAATATTCTTATGATTGGAAACTGCCCTCACGATTGGCTCTTTCGGCAGGTTTCATGTGTGATCCATCATGGAGGCGCTGGCACTACCGCGGCAGGCCTCGCCTTGGGTCTGCCGACGATAATTATCCCATTTTTCGGAGATCAGCAATTTTGGGGAAATATCGTTGCGCGGGCCGGAGCAGGGCCATTACCGATACCATATAAACGTTTGAACACCCAGAATCTCTCAGACGCAATACACAAAGCGCTAGAGACAAGTATACTGGACAGAGCACAGGCGATTGCGACGAAAATGCAAGAAGAGTCTGGCGTGCGCCATGGGGTGAATAGCTTTTATCGAAGCCTTGATCCCCAACGATCCAAGTGCTCTATAGTCCCGAATCAGCCAGCTGCTTGGCATCTCAAACATACCGACATCAACTTGAGTGCCTTTGCAGCAACAGTTCTGGTGAAATCCGGGAAGCTCAACCCGGATATGCTTGTGCTGTAAGTCTTCTTCGACCAGCGTCACCAAAATCGTTAGAACTTCTTTGCTGATTGTCTCCAGTCACCGTCCTATCGAATACGATACATTCATGGACCCCGCCAACCCACTTACTGCTGGTGCCCAGGTGCTCTTTGGAGCCCTTGCGACACTCGTGACTAGTATTGTGGATGCTCCAAGAGAGATTGTGAGTGATGTTGTTTCTGCTGTCCGCGCAACACGTCAACCCCACAAACATTTCGATCGCCGCGCAGCTTGTCGGGCTGCAGTTGCTTCCCTGGATCAAACATCCCCAGCACCCAGTATTGAGAGCGAAGAATCACCTATTGAAAATGAGGTACGACAATTGCAAATTGAGAATGATGAACAGGGAGCTGGAGAGAACCGAGAAGATGAAAGTACACAGGAAGACACTAGTGACGAGGACAATGGAGACGATGTCAATGAAATCGCTCGAGTTCGGAGCATAGAGCGCAAAAGAAATCTTCAACTTGAAAAGGCAAAGACAATGAGCAGCTCGATGACCCCTTCGAAACCACCCAAATTCATCGTTTTGCACGAGGTTGTGTTGCATGGAAGCAAAATGTCCAAGAAGTTTATAAAGCTCATCATATGGTTACCAGCCGATTTCTCACTGGGCATGACCAGAGGTTTCCACAACGCACCCAAATTATATCACGATTCGACAGTAATCGACGCCCCCCAGGTAGTCGGTCTTCAAAGCGGTTTCTCAGCGGCAGGAAAGGTAATAACAGCCATACCAGCGCCATTCTAGGACTCGTTCTGATATAAGCGTAGGAGCTTCGAGACGGTTTTTACTTCGGTATCACAGGCATAGGAGTACATCCGCGCGATGGTTTCAAGAATGAAGGTACGAAGGGCCTCTTCAAGGGGATCGGGAAAGCAATGGGAGGTTTGTTTCTCAAACCAGCAGCAGGTATGTCGCACGGGAAGGCAATATTTATATGGTCATCTCTCTTACAAGCCAACTTCAATCAGGGCTATGGGGTCTAGCAGGATATCCATTGAGTGGGATACTCAGAGAAATCAACGACTCGTTGGGCAGACATCAAAAATGCATGATTGTAATGGGTCGCATTTCGCAGGGACTCGAAGAAATGCGAGAGTCCACGGCCCAGGACAGGGCAGAAGTATCCACGGCGTGGAAAAAATTGAACACGACTTGAAAAAGTCGAAAAGACACCATCATGCTGGCTAATGCTGGGAACGAGGAGACAACAACCTTATGAAGTTTCTCAGCCGTGGCCCTCCACGAGTGGCTTATTCGGACGCGATATTGCCTCTGTATTATTCATCACTAAATTATATGACTTTTCCGACATTATCAAAAGACTGTGCCCGTGCTAGCATCTACTCGTTAGTCCTAAGTCTAAGCACCTTCATAAAAGCGGCGGTAGCCCAGGAAAGCCCTATGGCTCTTCTTCGACAAAGATGTTAAGGGGAAGCGCTATGCATTTCCTCACACCAATACATTTTAAAATACCTCGCAAGAACAACAAAAACGTTTTGATATTTTGTACTATGTATGTCGAGATCTTATCGCGGAATCCTTCAATATCATCAAAAGTAATTTTCTTCAGCCACTAGTGAGGAGCAGGGAGGTTCAGGCTTTGAGAGAACCCAGCACCAACCAAGTGAGAGGAATAAATGGAAAAACTCTGGGAATCAACTTGCATATATTTTTAGAATTATCTTTATAGCATCAGCATGATCGACATTAACTTGTGTATCTGGCTAGTGATCGAATAATTTCAGTGGCTCGAGTTTTTTCTTCGGCATCGTGGATGAACAAATTTTTTCCACCAAAGTGATAGTATTTCTCGTAGGGAAAGTCAGGCTCCAAACTCGAGGATGGCCTTTACCTAATAATTCAAGGCTTATTTATACCTCTGCCCTATGATTCGCGTTGTAGAAATTCTGGTGTATGTTCATGAATTGTAGGAAGCCACGGTAAGCCTAATTTTGTCTACCACCGTGGTGTCCGAAGCGCCAGGTGAAAAGACCGTGATTCTCCCTCCAGAAGCCACACACAATCATGGGCTTTTCACCGTTACCTCGATTTACTCCATATGTGATTAAATGAATTCTTGGGGGCTAAGTAACGTGCCCAGATATACCCGAGCAGTGCGCAAGGCTTACACCCTGCAGTCGTTCTGTTCAGCCTCGTCACCATGATATTATAAATAATCCCAAACCGCCGCAATTCAAGAATCTTTTTAAGCCACTCTTCCCTACCTACCAACGGTCAACCTTCATACAAAATATGGTGTCCCAAAAACCAGTTATAGTCATCGTGCCGGGTTCGTACCACCGGCCTGTCCACTACCGCAAAATTGCCGATCCACTACGCGCCCAAGGGTACGAAGTGCTCTCCTTTGACTTGGCTGTATGTGGAGATGCAGTGGACCCCGAATTGAGCTTCTTCGACGATGCCGCTGTGATCAAAGAGCACTTATTTCCATTACTCGAAAAAGGCAAAAAAGCCGTAATCGTGTCTCACAGTTATGGCTCTCTACCCGTGAGCGCGCTCGTTGATGGACAGACCATTGCCGAACGCATTGAGAAGGGTCTTAAGGGGGGAATTGCTGCGGTCATCAACATAGCTGGATTCGTGTTTCCTGTCCGCGGCAAAAGCATCATGGGCAATGATCAAAATCCACCTCCGCCGCCTTACCAGATCTGGAAGGTAAGCTACAGCTAAAGGAATGACTCTATCCGCATTTATCCCACTAATATTCATCCAGGATGGCATTGCGCATCTCCAAGACTCGGCCAAATCTCTGTTCTTTTCCGATCTCGCTCCCGAGGAAGCCGATGACGCGTGGGCTCACCTGCACAGGAAACAGACTACGAAGAGCTTCGACACATGGCCGCAGTGCGTAGAGAAGGAATACCGGTGCGCGAAGACTTATATATTGTGTGAGAATGATAATGCAGTGCCACCTGCATTCCAGGAACAGATGGCTGGGCTTGGTGGATTTGAAGTCGTAAGGGTCAAGTCAGGCCATGCTCCGTTTTTGACCATTCCGGAGGAGGTTGTGGCGATTGTGACTAGGGTTGCGGATTCCACTTACTAAAGATGTAGATATTTCCTACTTAGCGATATTAACTTACTAGGTTATCGCAGTTCTGCGTTCAACCAAAATGGCATTGGGAAAAAGGACACATTCCGAGGTTTAAGTCATTTTTGATTCTTTGGATTGGTAAACGAGTGGTTTCATTCGGCTGCCCTCTGCCTTTCCTTATTTTCCATGGCAAGCAAATAACTCCCGACGCCAAAGTTCAAAACTCATTATTGTGTTGAGAGGACAAAATTAGGAACAAATCACAATCATGCTCAATCCAACCTCCCAGTGCCTCGATTTATAATCCGCTTGTTCTCCCTCGCTTCAACTAAGTGCACTCTTTATATTTCTCCACATCTCTACGTCTCCCTACGTGGCCACCAGTCGCTCCATTCCAGGATAATTATTTTTCTGCGTTGGCCAGAGCCTTCTTCTGGCGCCAGAGACAAAGATTGCAAAGGAGCGAGAAGAAGAATAGGATGCTGTATTCCAGTCAGTAACTTGCGCCAGAAACAGTCAAGGGCCCAATCACTCACCACAAGGCAATGCTGAGTCCCCAGATTGCCTTAGTCTCCAAGCAAATAGTCTTCGATGCACCAATCCACGAGGAGAAATCAATTTTCCCGCTGATACCTGCCACGACATTAGATAGTCGCGACGAAAAGGCGTATACGGTCGCATCCTTGAAGCCCAGCGAAGAGAGCGACGAGCACTTCAGATACGAGAGTGGTTTGCCCAAAATAACCGCAACGACAATGAGTGCGATGAGCAAGAGGAGGTCCAGAATTGCGCAGGGAAGGAATGGGAGGATATCATCGAAGAACAGGATGCCAGTAATGATGCAGTATATCGCGGCGATGCAAGTCTTTTTTTCTTTGTTAGAATTCCACACAGTATGATGCAGATGGGCTTGATACTTACCACGCTGATGGTTCCAATAAGAATGTTTGGCGGTGTTGCGTCGTTGTTGACGATTGAAGAGATGAACTTGGCGGTCATGCCGATGATAGCAATGAGCGAGCATATCTGGAATATGCGCGCCAGTTGGAAAGTGGCACCGAGAGCTCCGTAGCGAGGTGGCATTTTGATTATTAGGAACGACGAAGTTTTTGAAATGTTTGAAATATAAGCAAAGAGCAATAGGAGGGAAGTCGACGTCAAACGCGTTGGCTCGCGATACAAGGTCGAATCTTCGAGGAACGGAGCAATTAATACAGAGTACAGATGAGAATGCAGACTTGAAGGAGTGATAATAGATCAGTATAGATGAAATGCCCAGGGAAAAGAAGAAAGCGCTTTGAAGGAAAGTGTTGCAGAATTGATTCAGAAAATAAAGGGAGCTCAGCCCAGATCTTATATAGACCCCGGTTACAAAGAGTTCCACCTTCAACCTCAATCTGCCAAATAAAGAACAGCAATCTAGACCCGACAAATTTAGAAGCATACCTCAGACCTAGAACCTCGACACGGGATCGGAGCCTCCTCTGACCTCATTGTCAGGGAAATCGCTGGAGACAGGCGCCACGCGCAACGAATCCCAGCTCCACAATGGACATAGCTGCGGCTCTAAAAAGGGACCCGCATCAATGAGCTGCCCTTGCAACTAGAAGCTCGGACAGCTCGAAGACCCCAAAGTATGACTTGATAAAATTGGGGTTGGGGTGGTGGCCCACCCCGGCGCTTGGAGGAGGACCCTAAAGACCCCGGGCGCTTCTCAGCCACTCGCTGCCGTGGATGGCTGCAGATCTGACGCAGGCGGCTACAAGGTGAGTCAGGTATAGACTGGGGAGGAAAATGCACGGGCGATCATGTTTCATCCTAGTCGTTTCGTCTTTTATTACTATAGTAGGCGCGTATGATGTTTTGAATAGTCTCAACTAGCAGATAGCGTTTTCAGATAGTTGTGATGAGTCTCTGCTTACCGGGGCGCCTCAAGATTTCTGCTGGAGTTCATGGCTCCTAGGAGGCCTTCATATGTACGACCATCAACCACTATATGGATACATCATAGCAGCACCCTCATCACAGGGAATACAAAGCAGAGGTCACTCTAATAACTAGTGGGTGTTGTATATTACGCATGAAGAACAGCCCTGTAACCAATCAAGCACCATCACTATATCAGCCACACAGGATGAGCTTTAGTAATTGTATCTCGGGAGGAGATAATTATACCTATTTGACAGCAAGAGGCAGATGGGGAAGGGGAAGTGCAAGATGTGAAGGGAGCCACAAGGTCTTCTTGGGAGTAGGTTGCGATCGAAATGAGTTCGATGAGATGTCATCAGAAGATCGAATTATGTTTTTAATAGTATAGGCAGTCAACATTAGGACATATACAACCTGTTCAACCAACAGCATAACAACTCTCGTTATCTAATTAAGTCTCCAGCCACCACTAGTCCGCTTCTGGAAGAAGCCATCCGGATCATAGCGTAGTCTCGTCTCGAGGGCCGACTTTTTCGACGCCGGATCGATACGACCCCAGTAATCCTGGCGGAAGTAGAGATCGTTCATGAAAAGTGGTCGGTACACGTCGGGGAGGAGGCCCTCATTAATATTCTTCTGCACCAGGTTGCCCATACCTTGGTAGAGGTTCTGGTTGGCTTGGTCAATCTTGTCGTCGTCTAAAGAGAGGGAGTAAGAGAAGTCAAGTTCGATGAAAATGTAATTTGTGTTGGTCGGGACATTCAGAAGATCCTGTGGTCGTTAGCCTCTGGAAATTATGAAAAATCCTTGGTTTCTTACTCCGCCACGGGCCTTGGCCTTCTCAGAGAAGGTCTTGGGCACCGGCTGGAAAGCGATGGATCCTAGAACACCTGTAACTTCAAGGACCGACTCGGTCACGTTGAACCAGTGGTCATAGTACTCCTGGAGAGGAGCAGTGCCGACAGTGCTATTCGGCACAGGGGTCGTCTCCGTGGCAATGGTGTAGCGTTGTCCACTGTAGAGTGTTAATAACGACCAAACAGGATGTTCCATCAAGGTCACTTACTGCAGAATAAAGAAATCGTTATTCTTGAGCAAGTCATAGTAGGTATCCCACGTCTTAGTGGTCGACGTGTGATCGATCGCCGTGAACTCGTCGAATACGCCCGCTGGGGGCTCGGGACCATCGTAGAACAGGAACATGATCCAGAAGTCAATCACCAAGCCGTGCTCCGATGTCAGGATGATGGCCGCCTTGTCGTCAGGATAGTTGTCCGCGAAGTTGCGCAGTGCCGTTAGCACCTGGGGTGTCTTATCTGCAGTGAAGACATAGTTGCCGCCCCAGACTTTTCCAATGGGGTGAGTCTGCATGGTGTATGCGGTGACAACGCCAAAGTTGTTACCTCCACCCTTGAGGGAAGCAAAAAGATCTGCTTTATATCAGTATGTACTCGGAATGTGTTCAAAAAAGACGCTTCTTTACCGGTATTCTCCTTCGCATTGGCATTGACCACCGTACCATTGGCCAGGACAACCTCGAAGTTCACGACATTGTTGGCTGCCCAGCCGTATTGAGTGCTGAGGAAACTCATTCCACCTGGATGCTGTCAGTACTAGTCATAAACAATTCATTTCAAGACCAGCATACATCCAAGCATGTACCCTCCAATTCCCACACCTCCAAGTCGACCTCCAACCACAGCCCGACCAGTCCCATCAAGTCCCTTCTGAGCCTCTTCCCACGACAGACCAGGTCCAATGATCGCCGTCTGGTCATCTGGGTTATAGAAAACCTGATCCAAATTCTTGGTCGAAACTAGCAGACCATCTTGGATACTAGCAAAGCCATTGTTCGGCATATGACCACCAGACTTGACTGCAAACAATGTCTCAACGTTGTGCAGCTCTTTGATCACTTGCGACATTTCGGCCGCACTGGATGGCGCAGCAATGCATGTTGGCTTGAGATCACCGCAGGCAGCGGACCAATATTTTGTCAGATCGGTCGAGTAGTCAAGCGACAGTGGGTATTCAATGTCAATTCCGCCTGCTGCAAGGGTGGAGCAAATATCGGCGCGCGCGATGGGAGCCAGTGTGGCCAGTGATAGCGCGAGAGCGCGCCAGCCGAAGCTGGAAGGCATTCTGTTAGAGGATCTTGGACTCTACAAGTATATAGACAAGGTTGGTGAATCGATAATTAACGGAAGATTGATCGATCGGAATGCGCAGACCTCGAAATACAAACCTAGAATTAACACGGGGCTGGCCCTCGTGATTTATTTATACTGCATTTTCAATGGCTTCCAAGTTCCGGCCCAAAAAAGTCTAGTGGTACCCGCTAAGCCATCAGCCACCTCTCCTTCGGAGTGGAGTCAGGGACAGTGTCTGCAACTTCAAGACCAAATACGCCCCGAAGGGTCTAGGATTTCCATGAAGCTCGCTTCCAAGCGATGTCAACATCCCCGACGCCATGTCACCTAATTCCCCAATTGAGTAGGGAGCATCGAACCATGAGCGGCTTCCAAATGCCGGTAGGTTATCCTGGATATCCTCATCTCGGGTTATCCATTCTGTGGAGCAGGAATGCGGGTGAAAGGGAGTGCACATGGTATGAAACCAAGCCTGCTTCCGCCGAAACCTCGGGCATTAGATTGTTGATCTGATCTGAAGATGCATAACGGCCTTTTGAGGTCGTAGATCTTGTCACCTAGTGATCTAACCGAGAAGTCAATTTCGCGGCGATCACGAAGGCAAAAGATGATGTGTTTCTCTGTCTAACGTGGATGTATACGATGAATTGCATATTCGGACAAAAGCAGTTGGTGCCTGAGCTGCAGGAGATACCAACCAGGTTCCGTGATAGGCTACAAGTCTGGCTATATTAGCCTACTTTCATTTTGATTGGTCGACTCACAGCACATTAGCTAGACCCACCGATCGTCTTGGGAAAGGGATTTGTCCGAGATAGGGGGCTGGCAATAGTTCAGCCACCAAGGCTCAAATATGTCGCCAGACCCTTGTGCTATCACATCTATCTCAGGTTCAGACAGCCATGGCGGAGGAGGCAGTAAATAAGGGCCAAAGTGTACATCGTGACAAGGCCAAATAATCCTTCTTAGATTCCGATACATGCAGGCCTTCCGTTCAAACTACTTGAGCCGGGAGTCATCCATTAAAGCAGGGCCCAGAATCCCGCTGGGTAGAGTAAGTTTGCAAGTGGGATGTGCGGGGGATCATCGGCGGCCCCCTGAACCGTCCCTGAATGGGGCAGGCTGGCCGACTTTGCTGTCGAAAAATAGACTAAAAAGGACAAAGGCCAAGCTCGCTTAGACCATTTGAGCAATGATAGTCGTCACCTGTCAAGGTTTTGGGTATTCGAGATTGTGCATGCCGGAGATTTACTCGTGGTCGCATTTGATCGAATACTCGAACAGGATGAAAGAGTCCGAGACATTGGTAGATCTTGGTGATGATGATGACTTGAAAGCATCACATGAGGCCATGGCTTCCGAACTTGCCGAGGAAGACGGCAGTCCGAATTGAACTTTGGAGGAGGAACGAGAGCGAATACGCTGGACACGATGTTATGATGCTGTTGCTTGTACGTATACAGCAGTTGTATTGGGACATGAGTGTCCTAATGTACATAGAGGGATATGGATAACAGATCCTGGGCTCTGGAAAAAGAGGGGTGGGTATACTCGGAGAATTCAAGACACGAGGGCCAGAAGTATCATCAGCTTCATGCAAGTCATTCAAAGCATGCCCCAGGCTTTTTATGCCACGTCAGAAGGAACATATGAATTTCACTGACCCCAAGAAGGATGAAGGAACGTCTGAGATTGGCCTAGACTGCTGAAGAGTAAAGATCTCGGATTTCACTTGTACCCAGAGTAAAGTAAACTCAGACTACAGTAGTGAGTATACAAACTTCGGTTTATGGGGACCGAGCTCCATCGGCAAAGCAAGCGCCTTGTCAGGTTCAATATCATGATCCGGGAATGGCTTTGAGCCGGACGAACTACTAAATTAATTGCGGCACATGCCGTCAACTGCCATGAAACAATCCCTGCTCGGGCGCTGGGAACTATTGATTTCTTGGCGCATCCGGCGTAGAAGATGCTCTGATACATCCATAACAGACGCCTCAGTATTATCCCACAAAAGCGAACTGTCTGATGGAGGAGGATTCTGACGAATATTCTTTTCCATAAAAAGACGTACGATAGTGTCTGGTAGTACAAACATTACAACAAGATAAGGTCGGAAGTAACGATCACTGACCGATAAGCTTAGATACACCGCCCTACGGCGGTGTATCCTTTCTGCCTACACAATGGGCCAGCTTCGGGCAAATCAACAGGATCTTTCTTCGCAGTTGACAACGAACGGCCATGGTGTTACCTAGGACAAGGCTGTTGAAGCTAGCCAGTGCAAGGCGGCTTTGCGCACAATGCGCTCTGCTCCAAAATCAAGCAGCCTTTCCTATTCCGCGGCCGGGGCCTCGCACGTCACTCTTTGGCGGGCGGCGACTGTTATCGACTTCGCGAGCGCTGAGGTCAGTGGTGGGTGAAAAGGTCGAGCAAGAGGTGAGGAGCCGCCAAATATCTCACATATATTTTTATATTCCTTGTAAACTTACACCTGTGTCTTATTAGGATCTCTCCACCGGGCAGGACCCCGTGAGCGCCCCTGCCGTCACCGAAGAAGCCCGCTTGCAAGCTGAGGTCGAGACGTATCGCGATATTCGAGAATACCTACGCAAATGGAACGAAACCAATCCCAATATTCTGGACCCCATCCGAAGATTGGGCAGCGAAACTTCGCCTGTAGACCTCGGTCAATTGGTTGGCACTATGCTCAATGGCCGTGATGCATCGGACTTCCTCTGGGCAAGCTCCCAACTATCCAACAGAGATGACTTTGACACCTCGGAAGAATTCGAAGGAGACCACATAGAACCCGGTGATCTGGTTGGACGACTCAGCGCTGATGGCGTGTTCACCTTTGGCATTTACGTGCAGTCTGTCCACAAACAGAAACAAATCTACACGGATCGTGGAAACTGGCGCATCTGCTCCAACCGGGAGATCGATTACATTGTGAAGGGCTTTGCGCCAACAGTCCTCATCGACCCAATCAAGCCATATTTTCCAGATCGCCCTGCCCGAGCCCTGTCCGAGATACAAACCGTGCCGGAAGGTGGACTCCCCAGGCCCCTAGGGCGACCCCTTATTGAAATGATGGCCCATTTTGAGCAGCAGGTTTTCGAGTTCTACCGACATCATGCCCTATTGTTGGACAGAGTTCACGACTTGGTAGCAGATGACTCAGACTTTCTTCGCTTGACCCTTGAAGAACTCGCCATGAAGCTCCTAGGCATCGACGAGCCTCAATTGAATAGCGTGAACCTTTTTGCCGTGCACCAGGCTGTGCGGCAGCGTCCATTCGCTATTGAAAAGGACTTTAATTCTTCCTTCCACCCAATATACCTGGTGCAGCCTAAGAGAATTACCAACATGGTCAAGCAGGTCACTAAGTGGGTTCGCGAACACCAGGACTTTTCGGTGAGAGCGTCCATGGCGATAGAGACGCCCGGTTTCAAGGATCATCCCATGCAGCAGTTCATTCAAAAGGCGCAGCGTTTGATTCGTCTCAGTCGAAAGGTTCGCTCTCCGACAGTCATGTCTAGTGTAGGCCCTTCGTCTCAAAAGTTTCGCCCTGGACAAGACGACAAGGCAATGGTGTATCGCGAGGTTCTCACTGAGAAGTTCACCAAGACTGATCAGACAATCATCGAGTATATGCAACTGTATGCGATCCCGTCCGTGGCCATGCCGTCTGGTATATTGAGATCGACCGCTTCCCACGTCATGCGTGCCACCGGCATGTACAACACTCTCGGGCTTAGCGAGTCCTCCACTCGTATGTTCCTGCAGGAGCTTGGTGTGGTGGCTCCATGGGAGAATCTCAGTCTACTAGACCAAAATATCTTGCTCCCCGGTCATGGTATGTCCTTAATGGAGGATATGAAATGGGAAGAGGTTGAAGAAAGTAGCGCAACCATCTCAGGGTCTTTGACGGATTCAATGAAAGATCTACGAAGGGACTGGGGAGACTTGCCGGTCTACTGCATAGATGCAGTCACGGCACAGGAGATCGACGATGGTGTATCATTGGAGCGAGTCCCGGGCTCTGAGGACACATTCTGGGTGCGCATTCACGTCGCCAACCCGACAGCTTTCTTGAAACATGACAACCCAATCATGGAATATGCCAAATCTCGACTCGCTACAACTTATGCCCCAGAGCGGACCTATCCCATCTTTCCCACGAATTTCACGCAGGATAACTTCAGTCTGGCGAATGGTCGTCCCACTTTAACATTCAGTGCCAAGATGAATCTCCAGGGAGAAATCCTCGAAACCGAGGTTTCAAATGGCACAATTCGAAATGTAATCAGCTTGACCCACAGCACACTGCAAAAATTCTTGGATCCCGAGTCAAGACCTCCCTCTGAATCTCTGACTGTCGGCGGCGAACCCGTCGAGCAACCCCTCCCCGAAGGCAAGGTGCTCCGTGAGAACCTCACACCTGAAGACAAAGAAAACTTCACCATCCTGCGCAAGCTGATGCTCGGCTTCCGCACTCAACGCCAGAAAAACGGCGCAATGGACATCCAGTTCCCCCGACCAGACACCGCCCTCTCCGTCCAGATGGGCACGACGCCCACCAAGCCATACCAGATCGAAGTCACCGAAGGGCGGTACTATGTCGGTGACCCGATTATCCAGCTTCAAATGCAAGATTTCAACCCCCACGAAGTCCGGGATGAGTCAAAACGCTATCTCGTCTCACTCCTAATGAATCTGGCCGGCCACATTGCCGGCCAGTTCTGCTCTGCCCGAAACATACCTGTTGTCTATGATGGGACCTGGTATGATCCTGAATACAGACACGTCACGCGTGAAAACATGAGCGAATTTGGTGGCCAGGCATTCTATCATCTTGCCCTGCCCAAGGCCATTTCTGCGTCTATCCCGCTACACCACCACATGCTTGGTCTGGACGCGTACGTCAAGAGTACGAGTCCGCTGCGTCGGTTCAGCGATGTCATCGCGCATTACCAGATCGAAGCCGCATTGCGTTTCGAGCATGAGCATGGGCGTCAATTCGATGCTGCGACTGATATCCCCGAACCCATCGAGACCGAGTCTCCATCTCCTGAGCAGAGCACATCTCTCCTCCCATACTCCCACCTCGACCTCGACAATCACATCGACTACTCCCAACCCCTCCTCGCCCGACTCCGCGCCATATCCTCCTACTCAACTCAACACTGGGCCTGCATGCTCCTCTTCCGCGCATTCTACTTTGCAGAATGCCCACTCCCATCCTCATTCCCCGTCATCCTGCGCTCGCTGCGACTGGGTCTTGAGTACGAGGACACCGTGTACTCGGGCATCATCACCAATTTGGGCGTTAATTGTGTAATCACTATTCCCGAGGAGTGTCCGGGTAAAGAGCAGATGGATGTTTTTGGGGTTGTGGATGCGCAGATTACGGCTGTGGATTTGGCCAATCTTGAGGTGAAGATGGAGGCTAAGGGGTTGATTAGGCCGTTTAAGAGGATGGGGGAGTGGGCTTGAGGAGGAGCTTGAGCTTCAGCTTGAGGTTGTGGGTGATCCCCGCTGGATAAGCAGTGGGTCTGTATTATAGTGTACTATACTTGTATATCAACAACAGCGAACGATGGAGTTTAATCTCCCTGGTGCCTGATACGTGTCATCCTTCTCTCCTGCTGAGATCCTTGTAGCGTTCTACTGGTATCCTACATAGTAAACACACTGGTTAATCTCAGACTACCGGGCTTCCGCTCATTCTAAATCTTCATATAAGATTGACTGACACACTGAAATCTACCTATCGTACACATACACACCTCCCATTAATCAAGAGAAGAGAGCATCCCAACTCAAATTCTATCAAATCTATCACGCAATGCAACATCACTTTTCCAATTCCCCACCCCTACTCTAAACACCAAACACCTCTTTTACCAACGCCTTCTTATTCACTAGAACCACCAGATTAGCCTCTCACCCACTTAAACCATCTCCAACAACACCAGGGAAACAGAAATAGAAACGATTTAACTCACCCTTCCCCATCGCATTCCGCGGAATCGTTTCCAAAACCTTCATCTCCTGCGGAATCTTATACCCAGCCAGTCGATCCTTCAACGCACGACGCATATCCATCGGACCCCAGGACTTGCCGTTGCGGCCCGTAGCATGTGCGTTGGGGGACAGAACAACGACGGCTGCGACTTTGCTGCCCCATTGTTCGGAGGGGAGGCCTACGACGGCTGCTTCGGCGATTTGAGGCCTAGACATTGTCATTGTCAGTGTATCCGTATGGTGGTTTCATTGACATGGAAGGAAGGTTGAGTGGGCGGGTTATGGTTAGTGGAAACGGGGACGGTTGATAAAAAGACATACAGCGAAAGTAGCTCGCGCTCAACCTCCAACGCGCTCACTTTCTCGCCTCCTATCTTGATGATATCGACGCTCTTCCGTCCCTGAATGAAATACATCGGCCCGCGCGCCCAGTCGCCACTCGTGCCTTTGCCTGCACCCTGTACAACCCGTCTCGTCGCGACATCGCCAGTGCAGAACCAGGGATCTCTGCCGTCCCCGCCGTCCACGAAGGTCTCTTTCGTAGCTTTCGTGTTACCCCAGTACTCGCGGAAGATGGTGGGTCCGCGCAGTTGAATCTCGCCTACACGCTCGCGACCATCTGCATCCGTTTCCTCGCCTACCGGGATGACTTGGTTCGTCTCCGTGTCCACGAGGCGCGCTTCGACCTGTGGTAAAGGCCAGCCAACACTTCCATCGACACGGTCTGCGAAATCGAGACCGCAGCTCAGCGCCATGCCGACTTCTGTCATGCCGAAGCGTTCGAGTAGGACGTTGCCGCCGCTGAGGGATTGCCAAGCTGTTTTCGTGGGCGTTGGGAGGGCTGCGGAGCCGGAGATGTTTAGGCGCAGGTTTTCTGGGGATATACCCTTTTGACCTGCTTGTTGGATTTCCGCGGACAGGGAGGGGAAGCATGATCTTAGGCGGTTGTAGACTGTTGGTACAGCTGTTAGGAAGGTGATTTTGGATTTTGCGGGGCTGTTGGGGTCGGTTTGTGGGAGGAAGGGTGCTGCGAGGCGGTTCCAGACTTGGTCTGTGTTGAAGGGGTACATGAATTCGATGGAGGAGCCGGCGAAGAGGGGGGCTATGATTGCGTTGACGACGCCGTGGATGTGGTGGAGGGGGGAGGAGGTGGAGGAGTCGGTCTTGGGGGGAGTATTCCCATGCCTCTAGGAGGGAAGTTGCTTGTGCGGTGAGTGCTGACTCTGGGATGAATACTCCTTTCTGGTGTGGATTAGCATATATGGTCAAAGACTGGATGTGTTTGTAGAGGCATGCACATACCGGACGAGCCGTGGTACCAGACGTGTATAGCATCATACCACCCGCAGGGAGCGCAGAAGATGCTTTTGACTCTTCTAATGGCACAATCTCACTTCCAGCAGCCCCGACAGCAAGCTTTGGCCTGATATCAAACAGGAGCTCATGCTGCAAGCCCTCGTTGAGAATCTCCTGGGCTTTATCGGCATACTTTTCCGTCGCTAGCAGGACCTTGGCCTCCGAATTGTCAAGGATATACTGCAATTCACCCGTAGGGAAAGACGGGGACAATGGCAGGGCAATAGCATCACATCCAAAGATAGCCAGAAGCATGACTATCACCAATTAGCCTCGACTCTCACAAAACATAAGCAGGGAAACGAAAAGATAGAAATAATACGCACCAACATAGTCATAGCTATTCTCCGCCATAAACGCAATTCTCTCTCCAGATAATTTACCCATCCGGCCCGCCTTCTTCTCGAGATCTTCCTTTGCGCGGAGGACATCGGCCGTTAGATTGCCGTATGTGAATGACCGGCCCGACAAGCTATGCACCACCGCCAAGCTGGCCGAGTCATGATCCTTGATTGCGCGGAAGATATGCGTATTCGGTAGCTGCGTGAGTAAACTCCTGCCCGATGAAAAGAGCTTCGCATGCACAGGCTGCGCCGAGAGATACAGGCGCGCACAGCTCGCGCGCAGACGCGGGCGTGCAAGCCTCGAGACTAAACTCAGACCGGACATTGTAAGATTCAGCGGCAGATATAAATCTCGTTGAAGTCAGTTAGATAAAGGAAATCATAGTTCCATGTCGAGTCTGCTCAGTTCCGGAAAACGCAATTGCTGTCAAGTCAAAAGTCGGGAGGCCGTTGATGTCATGCGCATGAAGTTCCGCGGGAAGACCTCCAACCTCCGACTCCGACGAAACTCTCGCTCTCTCGCTTTCCTCCGTTCCCCTCGCCGAACCTCACCTCTTAACCTGCCAGTCCACATCCCACATCCCACATAGCCCGCCTCCATCTTGCATCAACTGCACGCGCAGTTCTCCAATGCTCCCCCGCATAATCCCCGGCCTGCTATCACGCCGCCTCTTCTCCGTCTCGACCAGAATGGCATCTACCGCGCGGATGGAAGATCTCATGCGCGACAAGGTACGAGTTACTCAACGGACCTGCCCAGCTACTCCCTACCCTACCATATAGCCTAGCCACTTCAACCCAGACATGTACCATGTACTATTCTATATACTAACAATCATCCCCTCTATCCAGCTCACCCACGCATTCACCCCGTCCACCCTCCTCATCCGCAACGACTCGCACCTCCACGCACACCACGCCGCAATGGAAGGATCTACCTCGAAAGAGACGCATTTCCAGTACGCAGACGCCCTCCCGGGAACTGAAGCCCCATCCCGAGTTTTTCCTATGACTAGCACTACTACCCAGTGCCACCAGGCTAATTGTGTTTGTATGGAACAGCGTGACAATTATCTCCGATGCCTTCGAGTCCAAGATGCAACCTGCGCGCCACCGGATGGTTTACGCTTTGTTGAAGGAGGAGATGGCGAAGGAGGGCGGGATTCATGCGTTGCAGTTGAAGACTAAGACGCCGGCGGAGGAGAAGAGGGAGAAGGAGAAGGGGAAGGCTTGAATATGGAGGGCATGGAGATGGAGCTGGATATATACCCCGATTTCAGTTACACAGTCGGATACAAATACAGATACCCCCAGAAGCGAGAAGCATGGCATATACTCGACGGATCCAGACGAGACTACATCTACGCCATGAACATTAGAACAGAAAGGGATGAATTATTAGACGGTATTACATAGACTGAAGTGCCAAGCAAACCAAAACGGGCACCAACACGAGAAAGGCAGCAAAACAATCTAGTATGTACATCCCCAGAACCACGGGAGCAGTCTTGCGACGGCTCGAGGACCCGGGGAGCAGGACAGGATCAAAAGCACAATCATCAGCATGGAACAGTCGCATTGGGCATCACCACGCAGCGGCTGTACACGATACCTGCAATAACGGAGAGAACGCAAGGAAAATAAGGCCGGTCGAGCATTTGCTTTTACACAAGAGAGAGAGAGCGAGAAAGTGAGAGAAAATGACATGCGAGAAGGTGGTATAGAAACGAAGGGGGCAACACGTGTTGGAGGATGATGGTGACATGTGTGAGAAAGGAGAGAACGGGCGCGGCGCGTGTGGGATTTGATCCGCGGCGTTTTCGTTCGAGGAGAGGTCGGATTGATAGGATCGTATATGGTTGGGAGGGAAGGGGAAGATATGGAGGGGGTAAAAGCAAAGCAGGGCGCTTATTTGCTCTTGTTGGCCTCGGTAACACCGACTGCGACACCGACAACGATAGCAATGATGATGACTGAAAAGATGCAAGGTTAGCCAGAGGCTTTCAGACGGGGAAAAAAAGGGCGGGGCGAAGAGCTACTTACTGACGATGATCAGCGCATACCACTTCCAGCGGCGGGCGTTACGGGCGCTGGTGATAGCACTATCCAGCTTGGTGTTGGCTTGCTGGACATTGCGGTGGGTCTCCTCAGCACCGTGCTGGATCTGAGTGACGGCAGGCTCCTGCTGGATGACAAGTTCCTGGACATCAGTGAACAGCTGAGCCAAATCGGCCATATCCTTCTCGATCTTCCGGATGGCAGCGGAACGTGCCAGAGTGGCCTGGCGGGCATCGTTGGCCTGGCGAGAACGAGTTCCGGGGGTCTATTGTCCAAAGTTAGAAGCTGAGATTTGTTGAATTCGTATGAAGAAAGGAAAACCCACCATGAATGCCTGCTCCTGGCCCTGCATCACAGCCTGAACACCAGCCTCCAGCTCATCCGGGGAAGCCTCGGGGTTAGCGATCTGGTACCGACGGCGCACCTGCTCCTCCAGGCGCTTATGGAAGTTGGACTGATCGCCCTGGTACGCCGTAATCTCCTCCTGCAAGCTCTTCTTGGCAATTGTGTAGTGTTCGGCGGGACCAGGAGAGCCGCAGCCAGGGGTGTCAGCGATGCGCTTCAATTGGTCGCGCAGGTACCGCAAAGCGGTGTTGATCTCGTCCTCGACGTAGTCGACATTCTGGCGCGTCACCTGGTCTTCCTTGCTGGTGTTGGATTCCAGGAGAGCAGTCTGGGCGGCGCGAAGCTGGGTGGTACGCTTCCTCTTGACATCCTCGATTCCCTGCTTGAGCTCGTTGATGCGGGTCAAGAGCGCGTTCTTATCGGGGACTTGCTGCTGCTGCTGCTGCATGTTGGACATTTCTGTGATTGTAAACAAAGAAAAAAGGAGTCAGCGCGTCGTGTTCCGTGGGCGACCGAGGGCCTAGGTTGGGATCGCAATTTCTCACCATAACCGCCATTGCCCTGCTCCACGGCACCAGCCTGGCCGTAGCCGCCGCCATAGCCGTAGCTCTGCTGAGGTTGTTGCTGCTGCTGGGCGCCATAAGGGTTCTGTTGAGCGCCGTAGGGGTTGTATTGGCCGTAGCCCCCTTGGTTGCTGTTATCCTGCAAGTTCTGGTACTGGCCGTTGTCAGAATAGGGGGGGAGTGGAAATATATGCCGCATTTCACGGTCGGGATTGGGGGGGGGGGGAGAGATGGCTCACACTCATGATTGCTAAGGAGATTGAAACCAAAAAATTCAAAGAGCAGCAAGGAGAGGGGGGGGGGAGGTAGTGAAGGAGGGGAAGATGACAGGAGGGAAGGGTTTGGAGGGTTAAGAAGTGCTGAGGTGAGGTGTCCGAGAGTTCAGCGAGACGGGAGGAGGCCGTGGCGCGGCAGAAGCGCCTGGCGGTGTCACTTTCACTTGGTCCCTTGGTCACTGTCCCTCGAGTGGCTGAGTTTGGATGGAAATCCTGGAGCCTTCAGGGATTGGATCTGGACTACGAATAAGCCTAACGGTTCTACCAGTGTAGTTATCGAGTGATCTCTACTTGATCAAGGTCGTCAAAAGATGAACCGCCATTCAAAGGAACAAGGGGCGTCGGCAGCTCATGAAGCGATTTTGTTTCAGCTTTTCCACGACAATTAAACTAAGCAAAATAAGTGCAGTACTATAGTACACACTACCTCGTAAGCGTTCCTTGTAATTAAAGGGATAATCAGGGGGTCTCCTTTTACTGCCCAATAGCTCCAATTGACTCGAACCCTCCATGAGTCTATTGGATTGTACCTCAAATAAACACCACCTCACCACTCACGATCTACGGCCAACTTTCCAAGCAGATCGATGCTTAAAAAAAAAAAAAACAGTCGTTCCTGCGCAGCCTCGTTGCGATCGCAGTGGAACGGGACCAATTGGCCATTCACACGGCGTGGCTGATGCGGGTTGTGCTATTATTATTTTCTGGACTTTTTTCTGCGCTGATCGCTACACTCGACAGCAAGTTAGCAACAGCTCCAGTGGATCGGGTCCCTGATTTTGTATTTTGTTATGTTAACTAGGGAAATGGTTTCCACGGGTGAGAAATTGGGCTGACAGCTGTCACTGTCACTTGTTTGGGAATAGTTGACCCTGACACGATGAGGATGTAGTATAGTATCGTATCGTATAGTATATAGTATATAATATATTATGGTGGATATTTTCTATGCTATTAAAGATTCTATATAGTACAGCATATACTCTAATCAACGGATCCGGTACTTGAACCCCGGGGCAATGGTCCCCGAGGAGTCTGTACGTCATGATTGCGACGAGCACGAGAAGGGTCTGACTCTGATCCACGGGGAATTCCAACTTAAAAGCGATTACCACCAAAGCACACTATTTACGGTTAAGCTCTGAACTATTGACTAATGGAATATTCCAGGAAATAGAGTAAATCCCCGTAGACAGCAGCTAGTTACAAGTACTTACTGTACGGAGTAGTAAGCACGAGTTAATAGTAAGCACCACTGAACAAGTTCGAGTCCACTAAGCAGGGCTCTTAATGATATGTCTCGTAGAAGGTTTTGTTGTATATGTATACTGCAATCGACCTGCCAAAAGTCCTCCGCCCGATCTCGCTGCCATCAATGGATTAGATTGTCTACAAAGTATATGACCTGAATTCCAATGACCAATGACTTGTGCATTATTGCAGCATGACACACCTTCACCACGACATACCCTTGTGGCACTACCCCATCTACGATATACGAACCCGCCAATCGCATACATCTCTAGTCTATACTGGTCAGCCCGAGCTGAGTGTGTCGGGACTGAGGTATAGTCAATGAACTAGTAGTATTCCATACACCAGCGAGACACCCAAGAGTACGTCGCGCCTGTCAATACCCGTTTTGCTAGATCAACCACTGAAGTTGGCCAAGAATGCCAATCCGAGGGCATCCGCCATCTTATCCAGTCCACCGTTGACCGATCGACATGCACATGTACAATATGATTCTGTACGAGACGATCAACAGGAAAAAAAAAAAAAAAAAAAAGGGGATTATTCCCAAACCGCATGTACACAAGGATATCGAATATTGGATATTGAAATATGTATAATTTATCATTTATAAATATATATATATATACTAGATTATCACCAGAACATCATAGCTCGTCCCACAGCCGCCCAGCAGCCCAAGACAACAGAGAGAACACCGGCTCCCCGCAGCCCCAGCCCCAAAAAAGGACAGACATGCTTCGCACGCAACGCAATGCAAGTTCGGATATCATCATAACACCAACAAGATAAAAAAAACGTACAAGAAACAACCTCTATCCCGAGGGACACCGACAGATCTACTGCTGGGCGTGGGAAACACGACGGGCCTCCTCACGGGGAGCCTCGGGCATGGGGTCATCCGCGTCCAGGGCATTCATGTCATCCTCCATGGCGTTCAAGTGGCGGAAGATAGCGAAGAAGATGACACCGCACAGGAACGAAGCGCAAGCCAGACCGACGAACATCCACATGATGGCCGGGTCGAAGGCGGCCGGGGTAAGGGCCTCGGCAAGGGCGGAGCCAAAGGCGTTGGTAAGGAGGTACATGGACTGGACGAAAGACTTCATGGAGGGGGGCGCCTTGGTGTAGGCGTACTCGAGGCCGGAGACGGAGGCGAAAATCTCCGAGATACCGATGAACATGTACGCGGGGGTCTGGATGGCGATGTGCACGTTGTTGCCGTAGGCGGTGCCGTCGATCTCCGAGGCCGCGCAGAGCGGGCTTCCGTAGCAGGGACCCGCCGAGTAGATCAGGTGCTGCACGATGGCGGCGTACATCATGGCCAGGGAGGCGACGATGAAGCCCAGGGAGATACGGGTGATGGGGCGGAAGGGGATCTTCAGGCGGCGCATGAGCGGGTAGACGATTGTCTCGAGCAGGGGGATGAAGATGATGATGGAGATTGGGTCGAAGTTCTGCATCAGGTCGTTGGGGATGCCGTGGCCCTGCATCTGGCCGGCCTGAGTGACGAAGTTACCAGAGAACTGGCCGTAGACGACCCAGTAGATGGGGTAAAAGGCGAAGACACGGCAGGCGACGAGGGCGCGCTTGAGCTCGTCGATGAAGTGGTCGTCCCAGGGGAGCGAGGACTCGACACCGCGGTGCTCGAGCTGCCAGCTGGGCTTGGGAGCGTCCATGTTGCGGTTCTTGATCATCATCCAGAGAGCCTTGAAGGCGTCGGTGATGATGGAGCCTTGAGGGGGCGGACGACGTAGAACTTGCGGCCCAGGAGGAGCACCAGGGTACCCGCGGCGAACATGCACAGGCAGAGCAGGTAGCCGGACCAGAAGCCAATGTACTTCTCCATGTAGGGAGTCGCGAGCAGAGAGAGGGAGCCCAGGTTGATACAGCCGTAGAAGATCATGTAGATACGCTGGATAGTCAACGCGGGGTCAATGATGACGCGCTCGCCCTTCTTGGTGGTCAGGAGAGCCATCTTCTTCCGCTTGTACTGGTCGGCAATCAGAGGGGCAACGTTACTCTTGATACCACCGGTACCGAGACCAATGACCAAGATGGCAACGATGAAACCACCCATACCGGCACCGTGCTCCAGAGCAGAGGGGATCGAAGTGCAGACCAGAATCAGGAGACCGACAAGGTAGACAATGCAGAACAGGACGATAGTCTTGTACTTGCCCAGGTACTGATCAGCGACAATGGCACCAATGATGGGAGTGACTGAACGGGAGAAGAATAGATTAGCGTCCGAGTTCACCAGCTTATACTAGCGCATCCATGTACAAACTCACCATAGCACCAGAACTGGAAGAAAGTGGTCAGACCAGTAGCACCCTGGTGACCCATACCAAGAGCACCACGGCCCTGGCTACCATCCAGAGGACGCAGGACATAGTTCTGGAACAGACCAGACATGCCGTAGTAAGTGAAACGCTCGCACAGCTCGACAATGGCCACCAGCCAGGCCGAGACGGGCAGGTTCTCGGCAATGTGACGCAGAGAGCGCTTCTCATCCTCGGTGGGTTCACCACCATCGGGGGTCATGGAGAGGTTTTCCTTGTCCATGTCCATGTTGGCCTTTTCGTTCAGGACGACCTGCTGCTCAACAGGAACGGTGTCATTGTAGGTTGGAGGGCTGTGGGGAAATTGATTAGCCAGTTGATTCTAGTCGAGCACCCTAACCCGGAGGCATCTGCGCAGCGAGCTTTGCACGATTTGCAGGCAGTGCTTTCAGGGTATAGGAAAAGACATCTTGTCGGAACGTACCGAGCAACCTCAACCTCGTGATCCGCAGTCGACATGGCGATACTAGGTCCAGGAGATAACCTTCTCTTCGAAAAGTTGCACGGGGACGAAGGAGAGAAGAGAGAGAAAGAGGAAAAGGTGATCGTGACCGGTATACATATATAGCCAATTTTTATTACCCAGCGACCCGAGGTCGCTGTGGAGAAAATTCCGGACTGTTTCTTATCGGCGCATGAACTGAAGTGTGAAAAAGAAAAAAATAAGTAAAATAAACGACTAAAACAACCAAAAGTTCGAGTCAAGCTCTTTCTTGGTACAGTACAAGCCCGGGGGTTGGGTGGAGGTTGTATTTGACCGTCCCACTTTTTTGGTCGGAAGGCGATATGAAGTGAAAAAAAAAATCAAGCCAATTGATCCCAGCGAGAGGCTAAACCGTGGATGCGATCGGCAGGAGCAGGTCGAGTCTCGGGGACGAATGGCCGTACTGGGATGGTGAGCCCCACGAATGTAACCCCGGAAGGGGGCACACGCACGGAAGCGAACAAACTGAGAGTCCTGTTACAGGATGTGATACCAGTTTGAGATGCTGCTAGCCTGCTAGTCTGCTAGCCCGTCAGCAATGAGCATGCTGTGCGGATCGGGCGATACACTGCTGATGGGCGCAGAACAAGCAAATCACGCTGTGGCAGCAGGTTTCACTTCCGAACGGAGTCTTGGCAGTCCATCGTGGCGGAACCAGAGGTTCGAGAAGAAAAAAAAGCCCTGTGCCGCGATGCCGTACCAGCGTACCAACGTACCAACACTGACAGGAAGGTCCATGACAGGACTAGTTCCGTGTCCACTTTCTAATCGCCCACGAATCACATCGCAGTCTGACCAGTCGGAGAATGCCGGTGGAAACAATGGAAAGTTGAAAAACTTCCTTTGATCTTTCTGTTTCCGGCATCACCGCCGCATACCGCAAAGTCGAAAACGCTCTCCGGGTTTGCCACGAGGCAAATAGAGGAGAAAATGGATCCTCCGCTTCCCAGTAGTTCCCACAGAATGTCAGAATCTCCTGATCCGAGACGCTCTCGAGCCCGGACTCCCAGTCCACTCTCCGGACTCCGCTAGTGTAGGTATGGGCTTATCGGGCGGAGCGACTCGGCATTTGGACGGTTTGCGACCGGTTGGGAGTTCATGAATCGTGGACGGATGGGCCATGTGGGCGTCGTTTATTCCGTGGGCTTGGCGGACTGTGCGGACGGCGGACGGATAAGAAGTCGGTACGCTTGTACCTCCCTACAGCGGGGATCATTCTCGGCTTTGGGATCAAGCTGGACGAATGACAGATTAATGGTTGTGACAGCCTCCGCGCCTCCACGGGCCGCGACCGAGGCCAATGGTGAGGCCCGGAGATCGCAATTCGCGGTGGTCTGAGAGAGTGTCCCCCAGAGACCCAAGCACCCAGGCAGGCAGTAGTACTGTAATTCCTGTATTCTCAGTATCGAGTCACATGTCCTCGTCCTTTGTTCATAGTGTACAGAGTACAGTATTCTGTACAGAGTACTACCCAACTGACTCAATGCTCGGGTGTCCGGGGACCAACCGCATTCGGATCGGAACAGAGCAAGCAGCGCTGTCGTGTGGCTGCTGTCTCATTGTCTCATCGCGCAAGGATAGCCTTGGCTCCCAGGGGAGGAGGGGGCCAGTCCAGTCCAGGCGTTCCACGGCGGCTGATTGCGCCAGGGACTTGCCCCGTTAAGCTGAATCTTCCGCCACCGTAAAATTTTCCAGGTACAAGATGCGTACAACAGTTTCCATAGTGCGTATCTGTACTGCAACGTTGGGGCCGTCTTCCCCGCGTCCCCAGAGTGCTTATCAGGTGTTGGTTTACCAGCGAATCAAAACACATCTCTGTTTGAGTTGGACGATGTCTCAGAAACCTGTCCGCCTGGCACGATGCTACCCCGGAGTCCGCTGGGTATTGCTTCGCTGTGGGGAGATCAGGTCATTAGAGACGGGGGCATGATGGATCCGACGCTGAGCGCAGGGAATCTGGGCCATCCGCTGGTACAGAGCAGGGGGCAATCCGTTTCCAGGAACCCCCCAGCACAGAGGAGAGTTGATCCCCGAGTCCTGCGCGAGCCGCCAATAGCCAGCCAATAAAGCCGCGTGGTGATAAATGGATGGCGTTGACAGGGTTAGGGAGAGGTTACCGTCACGCGAGCCGTACGGAGGACAGTCTTCGTCGATTGCATATCGTACGCATTGCATACAGCCGTACACCGTACACAGCCTGTCGGGACTGGACGTGGTCGGATCGCAGTTCAAAGCATGACAATCATTCCGGGGTAATTTTTCTCTCGTAACAGCGCGGTCGGGGGGAGATTTGGCGACGATGGGCAGGTGGAGTCTGGCGCTGCCAAGACACCGTTCAATGATAAGGTGGTTTTTGGTTGTCGAAGGAATTGGTCATCGTGAAGGAGGGGGAGAGAGAGAGTCGACCTGAGTGAAAAGGTAACATTTTTAGAGTGAAAAAGGCAGGACAAAAAATGGCCCAGCGTTCACCAAAGCCAAGAGCAGAAACAGAATGTCCAAAGAGTCAAAAAGAAAAGCGCCGCGACTGGACGCGGGGGGGACATAAATAAAAAGCAGGACGGCCTTCCACAACCGACTCCAACAGCCCCAGCCATGCTTATCGCTCCGACTTCGCTGCGGTTCCACCAACGAGAAGCGCCTGATTCCTGAGAGTTGCGCGGTGCGTGGCTCGGTTCTGACTGTGAGCTGCCCGTTTGGCGACTAGTCGCCTACGAAGGGCGTAGTCCCAAGCCCTTGGCTGGCACCGGACGGTTGATATCCCGCACAATGAGGGGGAAGAGAAACTCTCATTGCGCCCAGGGGCTGGAGAGAGTGATCCTGAGGTCCAAGGCCTTCCAAGAGAAACCAAGACGGGCCGCCACTTGGCAAGAGAGTTTGGAGGTTCACAAATCACCAGCGTTGGTGTCTTCGTGGCTTGCTCGTGGGCTTCGGGGTTCCAACGGAGGACTCCAGCATTGCGTACGCAACGAAGAAGAATCAACATTCGATTAAAGTTGCATATTGACGTCTTGGCAAGATGATCCCTCGACATGGTGGACAGTACAACACGGCATTTATGCTACTACAGGACTACCATTACCCTGATTATATCCTCTCGACGGAGTACAACAGTGTCCTGCGGTCACCTCCCTCTCAGTCCCCACAGGGTCATCTCAACCCCAACATCCCCGTTTCCATGCATTGACCATCAATCCTTCCTCGGATACAAGGACCAGATCCGACCCTCGTGCTGGGGACCAAACAGACATCGGCCGAAGTCGCTGACCAGCTCGTCCTGGTCTTCTTGACACTCGGTGAAATGTGATATTGCGACATCGTCTTCCACTCAGGATGCGTGTGGTGGACCGGGGAGTCGCGGATGTTCTCCGGGGATATTCTCGTTCTCGTTTAGTGCCTGGGCCCAGTTCAGGTACCCGAGATTTTTCCGGACGAGGTTCGGGGAAATTGACTCGTGGGAATCATGAGAAATAGAACTGACTACTGACTACTGACTACTGACTACTGACTACTGACTACTGACTACGGAGTGCAGTATTCACTACTTGTTCTCAAACTGACGAAAGATTCGAGGGGTTAATCGTTTCCTTCGAGAATTGGGCTACACTATGTTTGCAAGTCCAAATTTCTAGAAATCCCGTGATTGGCTCAATTTAGTTCGCCTACTGCCAGTGATGAACGACATCCGCCAACATTGCCAGAAGCAACTCAATGACCAATGATCCATTGCTCACGAGTCGTGGGAAGAATCGGAGACCACCGTCCGTCGCTGGGCTCCTTCCATGGATACTAAGTACAGTCTTCGATTATGCGGTCGAGAGTGGACGCTGTCTTGGCAGTGACCAGTCGGCAATGCGTACTACAGAGTGCCGTGCCCAGCCCCCAATCTAGGAAATGGATATTGGTCTTATTCACGGGTAATCCCCGGCTATAAACTGCATTCTCACGATATTCAGTGGCCACTGTCATACTGACCATCCTTGACTCTGGAACGAATCATTAGAGAGTATCGAGCATAGATATCTCTCTCCAGACTCAGAATGCCGCGAGGTAAGCATATCAATGTCGACAATTATCTGGAAAATGCACGGCTCTAGACAAGGTGATGCGATTGTACGCGTTCTTTGACTACTATCTTATTCTTGCATTCTAGTTGAGACATGAAATGAACAGTACCTCAGGACTGAATCCTCTTCCTACCTACACCTCCACCAGCCAATATTCCACCACCAGATCAATCCCCTTCCTTCAAACACACCTCCCTCTCCCTCACAATAGCACGAAGTCCCAACGGAGCCATAATCCCACCCTATAGCGTTTAAACAAATCAGCCCAACTCTCTCATAACCCCACTCTATCCTACCAACCCTCTAGGTAGCATCACTCACCGAAGTCAACTTCAACTCATACCCCGGATCAACAACCCATTCAATCTTCCTTACCATCTCAAACAACAAAACCTTCATCTGCAGCACCGCAAACCCCTGCCCCAAACATTTCCGCGAATGCGCATTAAACGCAATAAAATGACACTGCGTCGTCCTACTCCGCATCGTACCCTGGATACTCTTCACATCACTGCCCCATCGCTCGGGAATGAACTGTCTAGCGTCGGCTCCCCATATATTCGGATCCGTGTGCACGCCAAAGGCATTCCAGCCTACCCACGTATGATCCGGGATAGATATTTCGCCGCCGAGCGTGGCTGGGGCGGTCGTTACGCGGTTGATTAGTTGCGAGACGGGCGGGTATAAACGGAGTAGCTCGAGGATGACGGCGAATAAGTATGGGAGGGAATTTACTAGATCTGTTGATGGGTGCTCTATGCCTGTGGCTAGGATCTCGGCGCGGAGTTTTTCTTGGATGCGTGTGTTTGTGCCTAGGACCCAGAATGTTGAGTTGAGGAGTTGTTGGGCGTTTTCGTGGGCTGTGAGGAAAGTTACTTTTATGTTGGCGCGGTATTGTTCTTCTGTGATGCGGTTTTCTTGGAGTGCTCGGTCAAGGTAGTCGACTACTTGGTCGCCATCTGGGTTGGGGGTTTTAGTGTTGGTGGAATGGTTTGCTGATCGTTGGCGGACTGTGCTGCAGAGGAGGTCGCCGAATTCTTGCATGATGGCGAATGCGGCCTTGCGCTGGCGGAAGATGGATGGGTATCGGTCGAGGTCGGGGAAGTTGAAGAATAACGGTTTGAAGAGGGTCTTTTTGATGATTGTTTGGAGTTCTTCGAGGCGTTGGCCTGGTCTTTCGAGTGCCTGTTTAAGCAGGTGGAGGTGGTGCGTTTAGCGTGATATCAACCCGCCGGAACGAAGGTGTATATACCTCGAGGTCAATATTCATAAAGCTAATCCCCATACAACTCAACGCCCACCGTTGAATAATAGGATTCACAAGCACGCCCCCTCCATCCCCAAGTCTCCCCTGCTCCTCCAAAAGCACATCCACAAACGTCCTCGACTTCTCCAGCAACGGCCCCGAATCCGTAATCCGCCTCTGCAACCCGGGCTTCATAATCGACGTAAACAACCGCCAGGTCTCCCCATGACTATTGATAATATTATCCCCCACCAACGCCGCAATCACACTCCACGGAATCTTCTTCTGACTGCCCGCCTTGGCGTACACGTCTTCGTGCCGGAACATGTCTACCAGGAACTGCGGCCGGGTCGCGAGGACGTTCCATCGTCCGGCGAACCAGATCTTCACGGCGCCGTGTTTTTCGAGCGGTGCGCGGAGCCACCGGTCGTAGATGGTGTCTTGGCCCATGTCGCTCCACAGACCGAGGAGGGAGATGTAGATGGGCACGGTGGGGATGTTTCGGGGCATGGAGGTTGGGATGCGGGTGTACCAGTATAGGAGGAAGATGCTGGTGAGGAGGAGGGTGAGGATGCTGCGCATCCAGTTGAGCTCTGGGATCCATTCGAGCATGTTGGAGTTCACCGGTATACTAGGTATACTAGATGATAACGGTGAAAGATTGAGTGAAAGTTGGAATCTTTCTTTTGAGTGTCGCAACTCTCCCAGCTCTGATCAAGCCTGACCTGATCGACACCAAGAAAGGATCAATGATAACAGCCAATATACCCCAGCTCTCTCGGGGAATCATCTTTAAGTATGCCCCGGGATTACCATATGCCAGACACTCTGCTGAGAAACCACGGTGACTTTGCTGACTACCAACGCTGTCAATCGATGAATCAGAGCCCTTGACCGGCATGCCTGGGAGTACAGACCTCGGATCTTATCCTTGGACAGGAGATATGCTGACCGTACATCGCGTGTAGCTGAGTGTCACTTGTGTAACACGCCTAAAATCTCTGTCAGGATATATCTGCGCCATGGACCCGTTGCCCTTTTGGTGAGAGTGCAGGAGTTTGTAAGTCTGATGAAATGATAAGGCTTGATGTAGATCCCTGGACTCGGAGATTCGACGGCGAGAAGCGTTCTCGGATTAGATTTGTGGATGTACTGAGAGTACTCGAAATGATCGGATGATAACATTGAATTTCCTTTAACAGATAATCAATCGTATGCTTGAGTTCTCTACAATTGAGCATTTCCGAGCCTGGTCTGGGTGAAAGGAACTGTGTATATATCTAGATATCGCCTACCTGCCATAGGATCAACAAAGGATGAAAGTGGTATCTGACTCGCCTAAAAATATACATACCTTAGCAGCTCAATTCTAACTCCATTATGGGGTTTAAATTAGATGTTCTCTATCTCGGCTTACCCTTTTATCCTCGGAATATGTGCAATCGGTCCAGTAACCTAGGGTGTAGATCCGAGATATATCTTGGCGCGTCGTCCGGACACAACTTCGCTCACTAGATTTTTATCGCCCAGGATCCTTACGGTAGACAGACCTAAACCATTTCGCTAGTAGCGAGCCATTTCCATGGCTTCACATAGTTTCGAGGACACTGGACCCGCTGAATATGGATGCTACACTGCCTTCCCATGATGGTCTAGCCAGAACCGCCTCTTCAAATCGATCAGCAGTGGCTTGGACATGCTTTTTAAACCCCGCCGATAGAAGCAAGACTACAAGAAAAGACACCACAGTCACGACATAAGTCTCATAAAATGCGTTTGGTAGAGTAAGATACATGTCGCAAGGAATCAGGTCGTTACTGCAGAAGAATGCAGTCGGGCTAAGAGAGACTGGGAATCATCAACTTTTTCTTGCATCATCCCCCGGCAAAACCCCACGTTTCTCCTGAATATCGCATCAAATCTCAACCCCATTCATCATAAAGTCTCTATCTTCATCTTCGTCCCCGATTTCGATCTCGTTCATATTCCCCCCTCGCGGGCTTCCCCTTTTCATCCTGGGTATTGGCGACGGGGGAAGAAGCGAACCTTCGACAAAAAAACAAGAAAAGGAATCCTCATCGGTTCAACGCCCTTTTAAACGGTGTACTTGGCCTTGGCACGGGTGCTGCCGCTGTGTGCGCTATCGGTGTGACCGGAGAACTCGACGACATCCGCCTCCTTAAGACGGAGTACGTCCTTGAACCGCCGGCCGATCGCCTCCAGTGCCTCCTTACCCTGGGCGGGTGTGCGAGTAGCCTTGTCACCGGGGATGCTCTTGCCCACGGTGCGAGTCCATAGACCGACACGGTAGAAGCCTTTGCGCACGTTCACGACCACACCCATGACCTCGTTGTCGCCGTCGCCCTCGAGGGTCTCGCCGATGGCGGAGAGTTGTGCGTGCAGCCACAGGTCGTCGATAGGGACGGACCGCTTGTCCTTGAATTGGTATGACCACTTGCCACCGTGCTTGTTCTGGGGGTCCTCCCACTCCGGTCGTACGCCCTTCTTGAAGAGGTGGTAGTCGGCCTTGAGGCCCAGCTCGGAGGTTGGCGTGATGTTGTTCTAGATAGAAAATGCGTAGTTAGTATTTTGTAGAGACATGTCGGACTTTTGTGTGGCAGCGTGTCCGACCGGGTGTACTTTCGGGTTGAAGCACATACGTAGATGCCCCAGAATTCCTCGACGGAGCTGAATGTGACGACCTCCTTCAGCAGATCATTCCAGTTATCGCCCTAGATAAGACAGAGTCAGCTTTTTGATCCACCTCACGGGTTTCCAGCGGATTCTCACCTTTCCGGAGGGAGGCTTGGTGAACCAGAGGGTCCACTCATGCATGAGCGGGTGCTTGACGTTGAAGTTCTCGGGGTTGTGGAAAACGGTGATCGCCTCATCGGAGGAGGCAGCGACCGCGGGCGCGGTGTTCTCATCGGTCACAGCGTGACCATTCTCTGCGACGGCCGCCATGGTGGGTGAAGTTCGTGGAGAGGAGAGAGGGAGAGGAAGGAGGAAAGATTTAAAGGGAGGCGGGAGGCTTGACAGCAAAGGCGGCGGAGGGGAAGATTTTCGGGTCCGGAAGGCGCAAGAGTCGGGGAGAGCGCTTTGGCCGAGTTGCGACAAGGACGAGGTGAAATCGACCGGAAAGCGAGAGCTCGAGTCGTATAGAGATAATCTGCTCCAGGCAGGGGGGTGGATGGGAGCGTGGAGAGATTGGGCGGCACAAACGAAAAGACCCGCAGTAGTGGAAGTTTTGAAGTTCGAGATGCGGCAACGCAAAAAACTGCTTTGCCTCTTTGGGTCGGGCCGACGCAGCCCTAATAGTACAGTATGGTGCAGTCATAGTGAACGGCGTGTATTATCTGGAACTATTGAGACTATTTCTGGATTGCATGCATTTATGAAACCAGTATCTCCCGCTTCTGATTCCGTTCAACTTGACCAGTTTATTTCTTTCATGACTCGCTAGGAAATTACCAGTCCCGAATCCCCAAAAGTAGAATGCCCCTTGTAGATAACCCAAAGCAGTGTATATAGCCCAACAATCAAAACCCAAACAGCGACCGTGGAATCCCTCTATAGTAAATGCCAGTGGTATCGCCAAAAATAAAACAATCGAAAATGAAGTAGAAGATTGAGGACGGGACCAATTTTTTTTCGCCAATCCCTCCAGTTCATGGCTTATTCCTCGCCGCTGTTCATCAAGCTCAGGAAGCAGTTCCACCCTGCAAACAGATTAGCATGAGACTCAAAAGTCAGGGTCCCGAGAAAACACCTACCCAAGCTGACAATGTTGACCACCAATACACGCAGGTCCAGGGGCACAAAGGCAAAGTTGGCACCCTGGACGAACGGCCAAACCATCAGGTTGGCCTTGTAAGCAGGTGCAAAGGCGCTCTTCCACTTCTCAAGTGGATCCACACCCTCCATTATGGCCATCGAGGATAGGAAGCAGGTTAGCTGGATAGGCGCAAAGAACATTTGATCGGCTGCGACACGGGCAACGGTGGTGGTTGCAGTGCCTTTGAGAACGACATGGCGCTGGAGGATACGGAACCAAGCAGTGGCGACGGGGCCGAATACAGCTAGAGGGAGGTGAATGATCAGCGATAACGATTCAGGGTTCTCTGGGGGATCATCGTCTTACCTCCGCCGTAGAGCGCCATGCGCCCGGTGCGATGAAAGTCGTGTTTCTCGAGACCTCTCCGGTCCACGGCTTGCTGGGCTAGGACATCACCGCTACCGAACAACACCTGTGTATGTGAATTAGATCGGGGGCGCATTAAATCGAATGAGATAGGAGGTAGGAGGGTCGTACAGCGCTCGTAATGCTGGCAGTAAGAATGGGCCTCTTGGCCAGCTTGCTTTGGTACCTGGATTCGAATCGGTGAGATAATGTTTTCCGCGGCGAAGACGTGACGATCAGAGAGCGAGCAAAAGAGCTTACCAGCGCAACATGGGTGTGTCTGAGGCGAAGGGAGAAAGATGTGAGGAAGAAAGACGGGAAAGGCGAGTCAATTCGGTGGTCAGGGAAGAGGAAAGACGTCAGAAGGGAGGCAAGATAATCTTGTCCACCGGAGAGGGAACGATCTCCATCTTTAAATTGCGGAGTCAAGTTTTTTTGGACGGGGTTACTCGGCATGGAAATTCACCCGCCTGGGGCGGCAAGTCCCCAAACAGGATTGGATTTCTTTTTTTTGTTTGTTTTTGGACGACTCATGTGATCTGGTTTTTGTTATTATTATTATTGATTGTGTTGTGATATCTCCGAATGTACAGGAATTTCCGATCGAAGGGAGGGAGTCGATGTCTCTGGTACTTATCCATACTGTACATACTGTATAGTAGTTAACTAAGTATATGCAAGATCTATCCAAAATGTCTATTGATATAGTATTCAGGATGATCAATGATCACTATGACTATTGACTCTGAATACGGAGCCCAGCATGGCCTAGATTGTCCGTCTATTGCCCCTATTATCCCCCCTGTGTTCTCAACACTCTTCATCTGGAAAATGTTGACTGCGTCACTGGACTCCAGGCCAGGCCCTGCAAATCGATCAGCTGACCCTGCCCCTGTAAACTTTGGTGCACGTGCCATCTCCAGTCAAACCACTCAAACTCCTTGGGTCCCTCATGTTTGCGCCCTTCCCAAAACGGACATTAGGGCTTAGGGCGCTCTCTAGGGCTGCCAACACCCAAGTCCCGCCCGACCTCGCTTAGCCCACCCCGAAATTTCGGCCAAACAAGTCCGTCCAGATCGAACCTCCGACGACCCCATCGACACCCCCTTTCGACAACCTCACCTGTCGCTCATACATACAACATGGCTGACGCTGCTCCCCGTGGACGTGGTGGTTTCGGTTCGCGCGGCGACCGTGGTGGTGACCGTGGCCGTGGTGGTGACCGTGGCCGTGGTCGTCGTGGCCGTGGCCGTCGTGGTGGAAAGCAGGAGGAGAAGGAGTGGCAGCCCGTCACCAAACTCGGCCGTCTCGTCAAGGCCGGCAAGATCACCAGCATGGAGCAGATCTACCTGCACTCTCTGCCCATCAAGGAGTACCAGATTGTGGACTTCTTCCTCCCCAAGCTGAAGGATGAGGTTATGAAGGTATGACAGATACCACCAGCACCACCACCATACACGAACCAGACAACCTGGGAAGGAATCGCATTTCGAATACAATTGAGAAGGGATTACGCTTTGCGACCGCAGAGTGCAATTGCACCTCTCAAGATTCTGCGCAACTGGAGGAACACATACAATGGATCCAAACTTCAGTGACTGACATCTCTTCTTCAACACCTACAGATCAAGCCCGTCCAGAAGCAGACCCGTGCCGGTCAGCGTACCCGCTTCAAGGCTATCGTCCTCATCGGTGACGGCGAGGGTCACATCGGTCTCGGTATCAAGACCTCCAAGGAAGTCGCCACTGCCATCCGTGCCGCTATCACCATTGCCAAGCTGGCTGTCCTTCCCGTCCGCCGCGGTTACTGGGGTACCAACCTCGGTGAGCCTCACTCTCTGCCCGTCAAGCAGTCCGGCAAGTGTGGTTCCGTCTCCGTCCGTGTATGTATTTCCCCAGACACCATCCCGAAACGAAATCCGGAACGATGCGTGAAATGCGCCCAGGATATGGAAAATGTGGAACTGACCTGGCATTTTCTCTTCTCTAGCTCATTCCCGCTCCCCGTGGTACCGGCCTTGTTGCCTCCCCCGCCGTCAAGCGTCTGCTCCAGCTCGCCGGTGTCCAGGACGCCTACACCTCCTCTTCCGGCTCCACCAAGACCCTCGAGAACACCCTCAAGGCCACCTTCACCGCCGTCGTCAACACCTACGGCTTCCTCACCCCCAACCTCTGGAAGGAGACTAAGCTCATCCGCAGCCCTCTGGAGGAGTTCGGTGATGTCCTGCGCCAGGGCAAGAAGTACTAGGTTATTGGGAATAATGCTAGCATGATTTAAAGTTTCTCGAATCTCTTTTTCTTTCCACAATCCACCACCACCACCCAACTTCCCCTTCTTCTCTCTCGGGCTGGCAGGATTTTAAAAACAAAATGTGTGGCTTGCGGGTTGATTCCCCACCTCCCTCGGGCTCCAGGTGTCCATGGAATGGATGTATTTATCACGGGAAAAAGGGTGAACAAAAATAACAAAGTCAGCCTTCTACCAGCCAAACGATGGTTTCTCGTGGTACCCTTCGTGCGTTGTCTCGTTGTAGACCTGTAGCAGGTATCGGCCAGGTATTGGCGATGCTGATATGGAATTGCTTATTGAGGTTAGAGGGAGATCAGCGTGACTCGTTAGTGTCTCCACAGGCTTAGTAGTTAGTACAGTTTTTGGTGGCGGCAGGTGGAGTATACAGAAAGTATGAGGATACATACTCCGTCCGTATACCCCATATACTTGACTCCAATAATCTATGGCCGACATATAGTAAGTAGCCGGAAGCATGGCCCCTCGAGGCTGGCTCGCATGAGCAATGAAAGGACAAAGGACAAATGGATTTGGGTCAAAGCATCTAGCTGAACGAGTTGTCTTTTCTAGACAAAGCCAGACTTGATGTATGGAGAGTAGGGGGACCTCCTCTACAATGTTCTTAAATCCATACCTATCCACTTCATCTTACTTCATATGGAGATGTAGTTTCGTAAGGCCATGGTGGTCATCAACAACACGGCTATCTATGGCATTTCCTATTACTATTACTTTGAATAGACCACCAGTTGCAGTGGTGCCGCAGAGGAGTAGGAGCTGAGAATGTCCAAGGGCCGCGTCCCAATTGGGAAAGGCAAAAGCTTCACGCGGGCTGAAGAGCTCAACCATCGCACCTTCCTTCTTGCCTTTCTACTTCTCCTTCCAAATCGTTTTTCTTCTTCTTCCTGCTCTTCATCTTCCAAACTCCACTTCTCACCTCATCCCCAGACTGGTCTTTCAAGCGGCATCCACCACCGTTCCTCCACCATGGAGGAGCATCCTGAACACTGGCGACACACCCTGATGGGCTGGGACTTTTGGCAGGATGCAAAACAGTACGAAAACAAAATCAGCCAAGAGCTGGATATCGGTAAGGTGGACCACTTGTATGGTTTTGACCCATCCCACAAGTCGGGTCACTTCCTATCTGGAGCATACCATTAACCCTCTCAGCACTCGATCTGGATATACCCAGGCGTTTCCCGTTCAATCTGGTCCCCGAGGAGACTCCCACCAAGCGACAGCGTCGCCTGAGTATGTCTGATGCAGGCAAGACTGGCATCCAGCGTCACTCTTCTTTGTCAACGGGCGTGTCTCGGTTCAGGGCCCATGAGCACCGTGCACGATCACCCTCGCCTCGCAAGATGATACCCTCCTCACTGAACCCTTTCGCTTCTCGAGGTTCCGCCCCGACAACGCCTTCTGCGCTTCGAATTGGAAGATGCTCCCCGTTGAAACAGCTGGACCTGCCTTCAGGAGTTCTCGTCCAGACTCGTGAAGTGTCACCTTCACCTGCTCCGCCCATTTCTCGTCAAGTCGCACCACCAGCAGACGACTTTGGGACTGCAGAGAGGCCGTTCACTGGGTTCCGTGGCGGTGCGACATGGTTAGATCTGCCTCGGACAAAGAAGACACTAGGCCTAGACCTGTCCTGGCCGTGCACTGACGAAACGAAGGAGCCAGTTCGCTTGGATATCCTTGAGCTGGAGCCACTGTGCCAGTTTCGGGGCCTGCGAGCACTGAAAATCACTGGCATGTTGCAGTCATATCAACCTTACATCTGGCAGGCTGCCTGGTTGAACCTTGAACTCGAAGAGCTGTGCCTGGAAATGGCGCTGGAACCGACAATTGACAACGCAGGACATGCGGCACAGTGGCGGCCCATCTGTGATGGGTGGGAGATGGACAAAAACCCCTCCGCTGAGCCGGTGTATTAGTGAGTTGTCACACTGCAAATCGAGATGGAATAGGCCCACCGCTAATACGGCAACTTCAAGTGGAAACCTCGGCGATGGCTCGCTACACCCAGACATTGGCTGCGGGGAATACTTGGATAAGCAGTGCATCGAAAAGGCCAAGATTCTTGCCATGACCATGGGCCGGACATCTCAGTGCCTCAGTATCAAGCATCTGACTATGTCCGGCTTTGTCGTGGACGCAGACCCCTTCGTGCAGTGGTTTGATCCATTGAAACTGCAAAGTATCAAGTTCAAGGGCCAATGTTTCGATGCCGGGCTCTGGCTGCCCGAATCTATGAAGAGCATCACCGTGCGGTACCCGAGGAAGGTCGAACTGGAGCCTGTTGGGGTCGGGATGACTTCGGTCGATCTGCGGAAAGAGTTGAAAGTGGTGGACATCCAGGATGGGTTGACCGTGGGCGAGAGCTCATTCCCAGCATGTCAGGAAGAGACTCGGGCTCTCATGCATTTTATCAACCGAGTGGAGAATTGAGAGGCAGGTGGCTGTCCATGTTTCTGGCTTGATGTACCCTCACATATTGCTACCAGGTGGTTATGATCTTATGATCTGATGATTTACGATGTTGTATGCAGACACATGACACATCTAGACAATTGTCATAGCAGTACTAATTTATTCATGATTAACGAATGATGAACAATTTCTTGGTCTCACAGATAATACACAGCGGTCAATTTCGAACCCTCCAATTTGAGATAAAGCATGATTTCAAGATGTAGAAGAGATGGAACATGAATCCAAAAAGGCATGGGACTCTCAAGCCCTGGTAAATCACCAACGTAGTTGGATTTACAGCAGCGACAATGTTAGTCAATCTTCATGATGACAGTCCAAATTACGCGCCATCTTCCTCGGTAATACGAATAGCGCCTTCGTTACCGACACCCGACGACCAGAAGCCGTCCACATAGAGTGTGCTAAACAGACGTTAGTAAGATGTAACCACCAGGTTAATATTGTGGTCCACTTACATTCCCTGGGCACTATCATGTGCCAGCAAAAGCCAGTAACCCAAAAGACCCTGGGTAAAGATATCCTGGATAGCATAAAGAACAGTCTCAACGTCGACGCTGATCTTCAGCGCAAGCGAACCCGCAGCGAGAGCACTGAAAAAACACAAAAGATTAGCAAGATCCACCCAGAAAAGCAAAGCAAGGTAGAAGGGGACAGTATAAATGCACATACATCGGGAACAACGCAAAAGCAACGAACCCCGACCCCGACAACGCCCCAAAGAACCTCCTCGTCTGCGCATCCTTCCCCCTCGCCGCCCTCTGCGCATGGAACCCCCCGTGATGCAACATAACCAAAAACGCCAGACAACTAATCACCAACCACACCCAGCGCATCGCCGTATGCCCCGCAAACGTACCCAACACGCCCGCCGCCAGCATGACGAAATTCGCCGCGATAGCAGTCAGCAGATGCCCGCCGGGCAGGCCGGAGATGAGGGCGAAATTGATGAGTAGGAGGGGCGTGGTGAGTGCCCAGTTTAGGTAGCGCAGCCAGAGGACTTGGCGGAAGAGGTCGTCTGTGGTGTTGGGGACGTGTTTGTGGTGGTGGGTTGTTGTGGCGTGTTTGTAGGTTATGCCTTCGCCGGTGGAGAGGGCGAGGTAGGTTAGGAAAGAGAGGGTGGTTATTAGGGACGTTAGGGTGTGTAAGACTCGTTTGGACTGGTGGGAGGAGAGAAGGGGAAGGTGTTAGTATAATTTGTTATTTGAAGAGTGGAGAGTGGGCGTGTGATTGGTGCTGCTGGGGGCTGAAGATTAAGCTTAAGCTTGAGATTATCTTCAAGATAAGATGGAGAGAGAGATGGGTCTGGGTCTGGGTCTGGGGAAGAGGGTCTGGGGGGCGTTTCTTTACCAGTGGGGCCCGGGCAGCGAGTGTGTAGAAGACCAGGGAGGAAATGCCCATTAGCACGGTGACCACCCTAGAATAGTAGTGATTAACGGGACGATCATAAAACGATGGAAGTTGTGTTGCAGATCAACTCACCAAAGAGTCCGCTTCCCCGTATCATGGAGATCCTGGAAGAGTGGGACGCCAGGGATCACCGTGGGGATGGGAGCCACCGAAGTAGGCGTGGTGATGGGCAGCGAGGGCGTGCCCTTGACGAAAGGATCGAAATCGTTAGGAACCATCATCTTAAAGTACCGATGAAGTTGAAAGTATTGAAGATGAATGAAATAGAATCGAAAACGAGAAAAGAGGAGCAGACGGAGAAGCTGTCTTAAAGCTCGAGGCGGAGGCGGAAAGCAGGATTCGAGCTTGCCAAATGACACGTTGTCGTCATCGCCACTGGATTCAAGAAATGGGCGGACGGCGGAGAAGGACGGATGGGGTTACATATTGCATAAGATTAACTAACTAGTTATATTACGGTGATTATTAATAGTAGTCATAGGTTTCTCGATTTGTTGGGTTGGTCGTGCAGAAACAAGGAAACCTGCCACAGCAGGAAAGATGTACGACTAGAGAAGAGTATAGATCGCTCTGTAGATCGCTCTGTAGATCTGATCGACAGGACCCGAGGTGTGAAGTCGCTGATCCAATGATAATACATTTTTGAATGCAAAGAAACTATGCAAAGAGCTAGCGAGGTGCATAGGAGTATAATACAAGAGAAGAAAAAACAGGTCGAGACAACTACTCGCCTCGGAGATGATCATCACAATTCATCATCATCTAGCTTGCTAGCGCCTCAAAACGCCGAGTCTAGACAACAGGCGATGCGGCGGAGGCAGCAGCTGCCTCCAACTCGCTAACCACTGAATCACACCGATCACAGATCTCAGCCGTCGCCACTGGCTCCGGAATGGCATACCGCCAGCAGCGGGCGCACTTGGAGGCTTGTGGCGCGTAGACGTACACTCGCCCCTCTTGTCCACCGGGAAGCTCGCATTCATCCTCATATTGCCATTTGGCCTGGGCGATCTCGGCAGGAAGAGCCTCGCTGGGATCAGCCAGGGTGACAGACGAGACCACGAATAGGTCTGGTAGCTCGGACAGGTACTGGTGGAAGACCGTGCTGCTTCTGTCGCCAGTGTGGGGAAGGACTAGGTGCACGAACGATTGCAGAGATGAGCCAAGTTGCTTCTTCTCACGGGCCTGCTCCTGCAGATGCTTGATCACCGAGTGCACGGCGACAACCTCATGGTAGCTGGTATCCAGTGCGGGATCTTGCCATTCGGTTGCCGGGGTGGCTGCGATGCGCCGTAGGGGATGCTCACTCTGCGAACGGATCACCTCGGGGGTATGGTCCCAGGTCTCCTCCACGAGGAGAGGTGTAATCGGACCCAGCACGTCCTGAAGGTGGTGGTAGATGTAGTACAGAGTGGTTTGGGCGGCACGTCGGCTGGTGCTGTTCTCGCCCAGGGTATACAGTCGGTCCTTGATTGCTTCCATGTAGAAGGCTGAGAACTCCAGGTTCGCCCACCGGTTCATCGTGGCCACGGCCTTGTAGAACTCGAAATTGTCGCAGGCCTTTTGCGTGGTGAGAACCATGTCGGAGAGGTGCTTCAACGCGATACGATCCACTTGCTGCAGCTGCTCGTATGGCACGACGCACTCAGGACGGAAGTCACCCAGTGCTCCAAGCAACAGCTTGAAAGTAACTCGGAACTTGTGAAGACTGGTGTGAACAGTTTGAAGGACCTGTTTTCCAATGACCACATCGCGGGTGTAGTCGCTGCTCGCAGCCCATAGGCGAAGGGCGTCGGGACCCAGGGCGTCATAAATGGGCTCTGCGTTCTCTGGCTGCTTTTTTCCTTTGCCCTTCCGGGGCTTGAGAGGAGGCAGCAGGGTTCCGGCCATGATGGCCTGCGGGGCGATAGTGTTGCCGATAGACTTGCTCATCTTCCGCCCGTGCTCGTCAAGAGTAAATCCATGGGTAATGAGATTGCGGAACGGAGCACGAGAGGAGTCGCTCTGGCCCGAAGCGATCTGATGGGAGACGTATGTCAGAAGACCGGATTGAAACCAGCCGCGATGTTGGTCAGATCCTTCCAGGTAGACGTCGGCAAGATGACTACGGCCCTCAAGAGGGATGTCAATCTCCGCCCAGCTAGTGCCGCTGTCGAACCACACATCCATCGTGTCTGTGCCTCGTCGGTAACCGGCCGGGTCATCCCGCAGAGAGGGAAGCACCCAAGCGGCATCGTCAGCATCGTCGGTCCACCAAGCATCGATGCCACGCTCTTCAATGGTCTGCATGATATGCGACACACTTTCCTTGGTCAAAACCGCCTCGCCAGTTGTCCGGTGGTAGATAGCAGGGATAGGCACACCCCACGCGCGCTGACGAGAGATACACCATTCGCTGCGGTTCTTGACAAAGTTATTCAGGCGATGCTTGCCAGCTTCCGGGACAAATCGAACATCTTCCAGAGCTTTGAGTGCGCTACTGCGGATGTCAGCGACATCAGCGAACCATTGCTCAGTAGCACGAATAATGATCGGCTGCTTGGACCGCCAGTCATAAGGGTACTTGTGCTCGAATGTGTGCCGCGCTAGGAGATAACCGTGGGAGTTGACGTATGCCAGCACAAGCTCATTACCTTCTCCTAGCACTGGTTTCCCAGCTAGACGAGAGGGATCATGTGGCATGGCCTTTTCGGTGAACCGGCCTTCATCGTTGACGGGCGCAAAAACTGGAATACCGCGAGCGAGACAGGCTTCGTAGTCATCCATACCGTGACCGGGAGCACAATGAACCAGTCCAGAGCCGGAGTCTGCGGTGACAAAGTCCGCACCGATAATTGGCTGAGGGTCAGCATTGGCACCCTTGAGGATGGGCCGGTAGGTGGTCTTTTCCGCAAGCTCGGAGCCCAGGATCGAGGGTACAATGACGGAGAGCTCTTCTTTGAGCTCGCTCTCAAGATACTCAAACCGAGACTGGGCGATCAGAAGATTGCCATGGGTCTCGGACTGCACAATCACATACTCCAGGTCTTTATTCACGGCAATGGCGGCATTGGCAGGCAGGGTCCAGGGTGTTGTAGTCCAGATAACCGCACTCACACCACCCGACTTGAGCAATGGGTCCGCAGATAGGTGAGGCGGGATATCGACGAGGGGGAATTTGACCAGAGCCGCGTTGGAAATGTGGTCATCCTTGTATTCCAGCTCAGCCTCTGCTAGTGCCGTACCGGTAGAGGGCGACCAGTAGACGGGCTTGAACTTGCGATAGATGAGACCATGGTCAACCATCTCTCGGAAGATTCTCAGCTGACGCATCTCGAACTGCTTGTCCATCGTCTTCCAGTGGTTCTCCCAGTCGGCCATGACTCCAAACCCACGGAACCCTTTCATCTGCTCCTTGACGGCCTGTCGGGCCAGCTGACGCGCAGACTTTCGAATCACCGCCGGACTGACCGATCCGTCCATGACTCCCATCTCACGTAGGCCCTGGAGTGCCTTGAGCTCAATTGGCAAGCCATGACAGTCCCATCCTGGCACATACCGCACTTGTTTACCCCGACCCAATTGTACCCGGTTGATGATATCCTTTAGGATCTTGTTCAGCGCATGTCCAATATGCAATTCGCCGTTCGCGTAGGGCGGGCCATCGTGGAGGACAAAGGGTTTATTGGCCGGTCGTTCGCGGCGCTGCCAGGCGTAGAGCTCATCGGTGCATCGCTTCAGGTATTTTGTCTGGTCGGCCGGCGACACTCGCGGTGGGAACGTCGACTTGGGGAGTTTTAGAGTCGACGTCCAGGACTTCGGGAGCAACCGCGCCTGTTTGTGCATCCTCCCGGCATCTCCCTTTTGGAAGTTGATGTTGCGGGAGTTGCGAAGAATCGCGCGGAGAAACGGTCGAGATGGAGATTGGGGCATTTACGGGTAATGACGGATGTTACAGGAACAGCCATACGTTAATTACGTAATATTGGTAATCTAAAAACAACGACTTACAATGCTCTCTCCATTCGTAGCTCATGGTCACATCGTCCATTGCATCTTCAATGTAGAAAGAAATCATGTCCTATCTCAACGCCAGAATGATTGCATACCGAATAACTCGGCTAATACACCGTAAGGCAGCTCACTGCGCCGTTCTTCAGCACTTCAAATAAAAGCCCCGGGAACCCAAAGAGTTCAGTATTGCCCAATCCACCATCATGTCCATCGGGTCCATTTCGCGGTCCGCGGGCTGTGGTCTCTTCCCATCCACCAAGGAACTCGACGCTGCTTTCTGGACTGTCGCCCCAGCCCCGGTTTAGGACCATCGGCCGTTGCATGACTCGTTGTTCATCAGGACTGGCATTCGAGCCTTTCCAAACATCGCGAAGTCGCTTAGATATGTCATCATAGGACGACTCGGAAGTCAGACCCTCGCCGGACGGGTCAAGGTGGATCGTCCACCGACTGCGACGGTGACGATTGAACGGGTAGGATCCTGGTACGTTGCCATGCAAAATGATCTTCGTTACGGTCAGCTGTGGTAGGGGAGGTTGAGAGGAGGGCTCTGGGATCCCCGAAGTAGGAAATGCAGGTCCTGTAGTTGTTGGGAAGGAGATGAAGGCATCGAATCCATGGTGGAAGTAGTTGAAGAAGCACTCAGCGGGCAATGGGGTCGGATCACTGATGTTGTTTGGGGATATCTCCTCATCAGAGTCATCCGTCACGCTGTTATTGGAAGAGTGGTCAGTATCGGGGATCTCCATGCCTGTACCAGGCGATGGACTCATGTGGAGGGGGTCTCCAGTGCCGCCACCGCCCGTTGCGCGGTGGATCGATATCCGTCGATCATGTTTACGATAGATAGCATCTGGAGGACCAAACTCGGCGATCAAATCCTGGGGGGTCGTTTCTCCCAAGGTGATCTGCGCGGGTGGATTGTTCCGTCGCTCTACTTCTAATCTGCCGGCACCCAAGATGTGGAATGCTTCGATTTCGTCAGCGAAAGCATCGCGGGTTTTGCTGACCACGGCAGACGAGCGTGGGTACTGGGGCTGCTGGGTGAACAGCTTTCCGCGAACTTCGGGCCACGAGGATCCTTGGAAGATGGCCATGGACGTTGCTGGCAATGCAGCGGAGGATGAAAGTAGCGCTACAAAGTCACACGAGTCGGACCATGCCGAGTGTTGGAGAGGGAATGAGAACGAGACGCCCGGGTACGATAGAACATATGTGCCATACTGGGACTGCTGGTCGGCTGGCGGGATATATTCGCCCGGATAGGAGGGGCCAAACAGGCGGTTGTAGACATGCCGAAAGCCAGGCCCTTGCGAGGTCGCAGACGTTTCAGTCGACTTACCCCCCTTCAGCACATCCTGATTCTTATAGACCAAACTGCTTCGAGTAAAGTCCAGCACCTCGATCAAACGTAGTCTCTGGTCGGGTCCGTCAAACCGTAGTCGCAAGCCGTTGGCAGGCAACTTCAAGATGACAGGGCTGCGCAGAGGGTCCGTTGAGGAATATGCCAGGTCGATCTCGGGGTATATTTGAGGATGAGACTTGACGCGAGTCAGGACATTGTGTAGAGAGGCACCGAGAGCTGCGCAACGGTTAGCTATCTTTCTCCACAGACAGAGAGTTCGGGACTATGGGAGGGGACATGCTGATGAAGCCTAGACCCTTTCCTGGGAAGATCTGAACCGGTGCCGATCGGGCGGTCATGGTGGCTGTAGTGCGCTTATGCTCCAAATCATCGAGGGGCCAGATGAAAGGAGGAGACAAAGCAAGAGAGTCATCGATAAGAAGCTCGCGGGGGATATGCGATGACGCCAGTCATGTGAGAGGGGAGCATGACAGAGGGACGGTCACGTGTGATCATCGGCTTATCGGGTTATCGGCTTATCGCTGGAACTAAACAGGGGCAATCGAACGGATGAGTTACGAGGACCCTGGATCAAGTCAAACACACCATAGCCAAGGATCATAATCAGATGAAGATCTACCTTGAAATCCTATAGATTGAAAGATTGTATTGGTCTATACAGAAGTACAGCATATTAGCGGTTCTGATGAGAAATTATTTGCTTCATTGTTAACTCTGGGGCGGCCTCCAAGATGGGACGGTCACGTGGGGTTTGTTTATGTTTTGCCCAAAGGGATCCGCCCGCATCCTCGTTTCTGCACTTACACTTGCGACCCATCGGCAAACCGAGATTCATGCACTAATCTGCTTCCACTCCGTCTCTGGTACTGAGTCAGATATTCATTATTCCACACATTATTGCAAGCTCTCACGCAACATGCCCGCCCCAGGACGGGCAACCTCTGCCATTCCCGCCGCCGCCAGGCGGACGGGCTTGCGGCAACCGACTCGACGAGCCGGCTCCGCAGTTCCCGATCGACAAGCATCACCAGCGGTTTTCGCAAAACCAGCTGCCTCCTCAATTGCGCGTGTACAAAAAGCAAACCCGGATCAGCCTAGCACGATCAGCAAGCGAAAAGATAGAGAATTCGAACGAGAGATTAACGAAGATACGAGCATCCACGTGGTGGTGCGCTGCCGGGGCCGTAATGAGCGAGAGATCAAGGATAACTGTGGCGTTGTACTCTCTACTGAGGGTGTGAGTGGAAAAAACTTGGATCTATCCATGGGACCCAATGCGCTTTCAAACAAGACCTATGCATTCGATAAGGTCTTTTCGCCAGCAGCCGACCAGACCATCGTGTACGAGGGGGTGGTTCTTCCGATCCTGAATGAGGTGAGTTGGGCAGAGCTTGTCAAATTTCTAAAAACTATGCATGCTGACTCGGACGAATAGATGCTCGCCGGATACAACTGTACAATTTTCGCATATGGGCAGACGGGAACCGGAAAAACATACACCATGTCTGGAGACATGACTGATACCCTGGGGATACTGTCAGATGATGCTGGCATTATACCGCGCACACTTTATTCTCTTTTCCACAAACTCGAAGATACCGAAAGCACGGTCAAGTGCTCTTTCATCGAACTATACAATGAGGAATTGCGAGATCTCCTTGCGGCCGACGACAACACGAAGCTCAAGATCTACGAAAATGAGAAGAAAGGCCACCTTGGTACATTGGTTCAAGGCATGGAGGAAACCTACATTGACTCGGCGTCAACTGGTATCAAGCTACTGCAAATGGGCAGCCACAAGCGTCAGGTGGCCGCGACAAAGTGCAACGATTTAAGTTCGCGCAGTCATACCGTCTTCACGATCACTGTTCTCATCAAGCGCACAACAGAGTCTGGTGAAGACTATGTGAGCTCTGGCAAGCTGAACCTAGTGGACTTGGCGGGAAGTGAGAACATTGGCCGAAGTGGTGCTGAGAACAAGCGAGCAACCGAGGCTGGCTTGATCAACAAGAGTTTGCTGACACTTGGACGGGTTATTAACGCTCTGGTGGACAAGAGTTCGCACATCCCCTACCGGGAGTCGAAGCTGACCAGGCTACTGCAAGATTCTCTGGGCGGTCGAACAAAGACATGCATTATTGCGACAGTTTCACCCGCAAAGACCAACCTGGAGGAGACAATTTCGACCCTCGACTATGCTTTCCGGGCCAAAAACATTCGCAACAAACCACAGATCAACTCCATTGTGTCCAAGAACAAGCTTCTTCGTGAGATTGGCATGGAGATTGAGAAGCTCAAGAGTGAGCTCATTGCTACGCGGCACCGTAATGGTGTCTACATGACGCCAGATGCCTACGAAGAGATCACCACGGAAAGCGAATCGCGACGAATTGTCAACGAGGAACAACGAGCCAAGATCGAGTCCATGGAATCAAGTCTGCGACACAAGGTTCAAGAGCTGTTTACCCTCACGGCCAACTTTAATACATTGAAGCAGGACAACGAGAACACCCAAGCCAAGCTCAAGAGCACACGAGGCATCCTTGAGCAAACAGAGTCTAGCCTCAAGAACACTTCGGAGAAGCTAGATGAAGAAACTGTATTGAGAAAAGCTCACCAAGCCACGGAAAAGATGCTTCGTGAAATTGGCGCTGGCCTGTTGTCTAGTTTGGATACCACCGTTGAAGATATCAATGGGTTACATGCCAAAATCGACCGCAAGGACAACCTCGATTTTGAAAACCGTCAAACGTGGGAGGCATCCGCTGGCGAGGTCTCTAATGTCACTCAGCAGATTGATGCGCGCATGGAAAGCTTCCAGGGTCAGCATGCGGAACTTCTAGAGACCATGACCAGCAGGATACACCAGTTTATCGGGGACGAGCTCGATGCTGTCCAGTCTACTCGGTCTCAGCTTCAGGAGTTTGCAGTATCCTTTGACAAAGTTGAAGCCGATGCGAAGAAGCAAACCTCTAGTGCGCATGACGAGATGAATGAGGTTCTCGAGGAGATCAAAGTTCTCCGCGAAGATGTCAAGACCAAGGTTGGCGAAGGCCTGAACGGGCTCTCGGCTGCGGCTGCGCGAATCTCAAAGGAAGTCATTGGCGAGTTCTCTGAGTTTCACTCTCAGCTTCACGCGTCGTACAGCTCCTTGGGCAAGGACTTCAAGTGCATGTTCGAGAATATGGCGTCGCATCTGGAACAGCAAAAGTCTGAGGTCAACAAGCTGCGACTTGAGCTTCAAGAGGCCAACCGTCAGTCAGTAGAGGCCAATCGCAAGGCCTCCTCGAATCTGGCACAGATTATGGAAGAAGAGCAGGCAAATGCTCAGGCGGAGCGGGAATCCCTGATGTCAAAGATTCGGCACCTATTGGAGGAGTCCAATCAACGACAGTCTGCTCACCTCAAGAGCAAGTGTGAGACTGTCCGCACTGATATTTCGGCATCTGGTGACTCCCTGGAGCAAGCCACTGCGCAATATGACCGACACATCGACGAATGGATCTTTAAGGAAGAGCAATTCGCGAAAGACGTCACCGCATCCAAGGATGATATCAAAACCAAGATGCAGAATGATTGGGAGGTAAGTTTTGTGTTTCAAGGTTGCTTGCTAGGGGCATGGCTAATTGGGCTAGACTTTTGATCAACGGAATGCTTCGATTCAGCGGGCTACCGAGTCGGTGCACCAGGAAACTGTGCGGATTGTTGATGCTCAGATGAGCGACATGAGCAAGCAAATGGAAGCCCTGGATGACTTTGTCGCCAAGGCACGATCTCACAACGGCCGCTTCCATGATGCACAGCTCGGTAGCCTGGATGCCATGGCCACCAATAGTCAGCAATCCCGTACATCAGTCCAGGAACAATTGGATGGCTTATATGGACGTGTTGGCCAGCTCCAGGAGGATGTCGACATGCATACGGAACATCTCGAGCAGGCGACTGCGCCTCTTCATGAGGAGGTCCGCCAGCCACTGTCCGAACTTCGTGACAGTATCCAGAGCCACCCCATGAAGGAGTATATTCCAACCGGAGTGACCCCCAAGAAGCGAAAGTACGAGTATAGCACGGATCTGCCTCGTACCGAGTCGCATGAGGGAATCCGGTCCCGACACCGGACTTCCAAGCAATTCACTGCTCTTCCCTTCAGTGAGGAGGCTCAGCTCGCCCCTATTCCCAGCTCCCCAGTCTCTTCACCATCCAAAGGCTTCGTTTACAGCGACGCCGCGGAAGAGGTAGGGACTCACCCTTCATCATCCGGAATGAATTCCTCCAACACTGGCCTTAGGGAAGTCGATTTAAACGTCGCCAAACAACACGCGCATGACGCTGAAGACGACAATGCACCCGCCGCCAACTCTGAAACCCCTGTCCCCGCCCCTTCCATGGACTTGAGCGACACCCCCGATCACGACGAACCGGAGCAGCCTCCTTTGAAGCGTCACCGCTCTGCCTCCAGCAACACCCCCGTCGAGACTAAGCTGCCGCAGAAGATGCTGTCCAAGAGAATGGCTGGCATGATGGAAGGCCGAGAGAATGTGCCTCCGTCTGCTATTGCCGGTGGACGCAGATATAGGAATCGCAACGCCGAATAATTACCCTCACTTTGCATCACATCAGTCTTTCTTTCACATTTCTTCTTGATTACCTCGTTTTCCCGTTTCAATGTCGAGTTTCGCATCTTGATACCCAATGTCGCTGGTTCTTTTCCCCGTCTGGACTGGATTTCTGGCTGAGAAAACCGTGTGGGAGGAGTGTCGTTTACTTTTTGCTTCGTTTGTTCTAACCGTTTGGAGTTTCATAGACTGGAGAACTGTATCCTCCATCTGGCGTTTTTGTGTTTGGAGACTACACTTCTCTCATATTGCATTCTTCGGGCTCTGTCGCCACAGTATGGTCTTATTGAATACTTGCATCCTAACCTTGGTCCCAAAGATTATTCAATTCATGTAGCCAAATATAAAAAGAGAAACAATGGTATACCCAGCAGGCAAATATGGCCAGTCAATAGATCATCTCGATAACGCCAATGTATCTGTCAAAAATCTGCGCCGAATCCAAATCCTCGCATGTGAAACCAAGATCAAGCAAATTGGACCAAAAAACCAAATCGCGATCCCAAGAGTAAGAATCACGTTGAATCTCCTTGCTTCGCACCCTCTTCTTCGGCTGTATGTTCATTTGCCCCAGTCTTCTGCTCAAGCATGTCCTGCCCTTCTTCAACCTGAATCGGACCACCCTCCCCTTCCTCAGGAACAGCTACATCCGCTGCATCAATAACCATCTGCAACTCACGCATCCGCTTCGCAAACTGATCCATCATGTCTTCCAGTCGAGGCGGGCCCCGCTCTCCCTTCTCTTTCCCCGCTTCCGTGGGTATCCCGGCCGTCCCGTGGATTTTCAGCATTAACCCGTGTCCCGGCGTGTCGCTCGGATCGTGGTTCTCGAATGTAGGCGCCGGTACCATCTCGCTGCTGAGAACTTGCCATGTCGGCGAGAAACTCTTCGTGGATGTTACACGGTACTGGGGTTGTGGGACGCTCGGGCCTGGGGATGTTTGGTGGGCTGCCAGGGTGGATGGGTTCGCGGGGGATGTGGACATGGACTTGGTACCACCTGCGCCGCTGGCGATGGCCCTGGTTGTGGCTGAGTCGGCTGTCGTTGTTGCGGTTGCGGTTGCAGTGGTGGGTGGTGGTACCGGTTCGACGTCTAGCACGATGTAGTTGTCGCGTATCCCCGGGATCGGAGGTGGGAGGAGCGTCGACTTATCATTGTCGTTGTGTTCTGCGGGGTTGTGTGATGGGTTTGCTGTACGCCCTTCCACTTTCTTGGACCCGGACCCTGGCGCCAGCTCGTGTTGAGCCTCCAAGCTGCGTAGAGCGGCTTCCGTTACGATGTCCGTGTCGTCATCGGAGAATATGTAGTGGACTGTGGGGTGGTGGTGGTCTGATGTATGGGCATCTTCGATCAGTGTGAAGAACGGCTGGAAAGGCTGGTGGGGGGCTGGGCTAGGGCCTGTTCCATCGTCATGGGTTTCGCCGTGTTGGTGACTCGCGCCCTCTGCAGTACCGTCGCGGGTTGGAGAGGTGATCGGCGAGGCGTGCTGAGGTGGAGCCTCATCTATAGGGTGGTCATCGGATGTGCGGACGGACTGGTCGCTCGGTCGGGAGGAAGTGCTTGGACGAGCTGAGCGGTCGGTGAGAGATGACTGTGAGGAAGGGGAGAGAGGATGGGCCGGGTTGTTCACAGACATGTCCGTCGCTACATGGCCAAAGTGGAGGAGTTGACTGGGATGATGTCGCTGCAGAGCTTCTTATCGATAGCGGCACGTGATGCCATCTCGGGTTCTACTTCTTTGATGTGGACAATTGAGATCATTTGACGCATAATGATTATGAAGTCGAAGTTTGCATATATGATATGAGGTATTGCATCTCATCTTAGGGAGATCTAGGTAGAACCTAAACCTTAGGGTTCAAGGGTTGAAGGTGGCGTAATCCTGGAGTGGTATGAGCTCATTCCGGGGAGAGGTATATATTCGCTTTCCCGTTAGTATTCGACAGAAACGCGTCGGTCTTTGACAGGATCCGAACCCACTTTAATCATGCAATAGCAAGTGTCTATGGCGACTGAACTTGAAAACAGTGATTGAGCTGATGAACTGTGTAATATTTTGATCATAGATATTGCATAGCTCAATTTAGCAACCGGAGCCCACTCATTAATCGGATGTGTAGACCGCCAAGTCAACGAGAGCAAGGCATAGCTCCAAACAGACGAGAAGACACCCCGAACATGGTAAACAGAATAGAGAAACATGAGAAAAGAAAGGGTATCATTGAATCAACCCGTTGAACGCCTGCCGCGAGAGAATAATATGCAAGTATGCCAGGTCACCGAGACCATTATTTTTCTTCTTGGACCCACTCGAATTCTGGCGGTTGTTAGTGGATCGCAATTCACCAGGCAATACGAATAGGTACTAGAAAAGCCACTCACTTTGACGACACATTGGACACAGTCCTTTCGAAGAATCTTGTTGGATCCAAGTCATGAGGCAATGCTGTTTACCAATATCCCAGTCAGTCTCCCGCTCGCACATCACAACGCGTCGGTAACCTCACCATATGAAACGAGTGGCCGCATTTGCCAATTACTGTTAGCGAGGGATGTGGAGATTAGCATGGATCCAAAGTAGCCCGGGTAAGCGGTAATAGGCACATCGGAGCAACTCACAAAGGGCGCAGTCATCGCCGGGGAATTTGCAGGTCGGACAAGTCCCGTCAAACTGGACGCGGCAGATACCGCACACCTCGTCCTCGGGCATGTCCCAGTGCCAGGTGGCAACAGCGTTCCATTCCTTCAGTGTGACCTTCATTGTTTGACTGCGAGGTAGAAGAGGTGTTGCACCAACGAAACTCGTAGACAAGTGGAAAAGTGGTGGAAAACAACGCCGTGGCCAGGTCGGGCCCGCTTATCGGATTATCGGCTTATCAGAGTTTCTGGTGGTGTTATCGCGGTTATCACGAGACGCTTCTCCGCACCTCTCCATCTCCACATCTTCCGCGTCAATGTAAATTGAACTCGACCTTGACATAAGCAGACCCTGTTCACCCCGTCGACCATGGCTGCGATGGCCACTCGTTTCGGCGCTTCTTCGGCTCGCCTTTTTCGCGCAAATATGGCCTCTACCACTCGTCCTGGACAACAGGCTCGCCATCTATCCTTCTCCTCTTACTTAATCACCTCTACCCAGCTCAATGAAGCTCTCAAGAAGAACCCGCCGACCAAGATCTCGACTTCCCCGCGAGTGATTCCTCTTTGCGCAGCCTGGTTCATGCCCAATGACCCCGAGGGTCGCACGGGCATTGACTCATTCCGCCAGTCCCGCATCCCGCAGGCACGCTTCTTTGACCTCGATGCGGTTAAGGATCACGATTCGCCTTACCCCCACATGCTTCCGACCTGCGAGACATTTGCTGAGGCAATGAGTGAGCTCGGCATCCGTCGCGACGATGAGGTGGTTGTCTACGATACAGCCGAGCTGGGTATCTTCAGCGCACCCCGGGTGGGCTGGACCCTGCGTGTGTTCGGCCACCCCAATGTTCACATTCTTAACAACTACCGTCTCTGGACTCGCGAGGGCTTCCCCACCGAGAGCGGCGAGCCGGCTCCCGTTGAGAAGAGCCGTTATCCCGTGCCGACTTATGACTCTAAGATGGTGATCGCCTTCCGTGAGATGAAGGAGCTGGCATTGGACTATGGCAAGGAGGGCGCGGAGGAGGTCGAGATCCTGGATGCTCGCTCATATGGTCGCTGGGCTGGTACCGACCCTGAACCGCGTCCTGGTCTTTCCTCTGGTCATGTCCCTGGCTCCAAGAGCTTGCCGTTCCAAGCATTGCTTGACCCCGAGACCAAGACTTATCTTCCCGCCGAACAGTTGAAGAAGGTCTTTGAAGATCACAAGGTTGACCCTTCCGGATCGATCATTAGTTCTTGCGGCACTGGTGTTACGGCGACGGTCATTGAAACCGCATTGGGAGAGGCAGACTATGGCAATCCCAATCTCCGCCGGGTGTATGACGGTAGCTGGACGTGAGTTACACATCGTCAAAGCATTGTGTTTACTGATAAGACGACTAACATGGGATTAGTGAATGGGCTCAACGTGTCAAGGAATCTGACGGCCTTATCAAGAAGGTCAAATCGTAGGGGAAAGTTGACGAGTGCGATTCTCACGCATCCAAGGACGACGAGGCTGAACCAGTATTCTTTTCCTTTACTTTGGTGGTGACTTGGTTTCGCGTTTAGCTCTTCTTATTCTTGTTTTAGACGATACTCCACTCGTTGTCGTTGAGATGCTTATTTTGAGGATCTGCTTCATCTCCAAATGCATACATCTTATATTATCCTTTTAAAACTCACTGATCTCTCCGATCTACTTCGGTTTACTTTGTCAGGAACCCGCGTCCAGTAGTGGCTTAGTCAGCCCAATTAGATCATCGTCGCAGCAGCAACCTTGCAAGCCTCATGTCTAACGTGAACAACGCCCCAGCCTGCTGCTTTTCTGGTAATTTCTCCAAGATTAAAGATGCTGCAGATGATTCCTTGTCCCCAGACTTCTCATTGTGAGTGTAATTCCACCTTCCTCCATCCGCGTCATACCGACCATCCGCCCTCCAGCGCCCCCACATTCTCATGTCCCTCCATCGCCCAAACCTCCTCCATCGGCTCTCTTTGCTGACCTCCCCGACCTTCACAGTCGCGGCTGTCAAGACATCCAGTTCCCTGGTCTAGGGCACCCTTACCCTTCGCCCTTATCCGATCCTCATTATCCTTCAAAAGACGCTCATTGTCAGTGCCACCATGTCGACTGGACGCAAGGTCTTTCATTGCGCCGTGGACGAGACAGCCTTGACCACGAACATCAGCGAGATCAAGAAATGGACTACCAATGGCGCCATCGATCTCATTGTCCCTCTTTACAGTAGGTATTTTGATACTTGAGGAGCAGCCCTTTTTCCGCCGTTGCTCGTCGCTGGTTGCTGGCTGATCTGACTTTCTTTTTCTCCCTTCCACTTTCCAGCCCTCGAACGGCTCCACGCTCTTAAGCGGGCAGGATCGCAAACCGCCATCAATGCCCGCGAAGCTGTTCGCTTCCTCGATCGAGTCACCTCCGGCAAGGATCACATCACCGCCGACCGTGTCACCCTGCAGGGTCCCATGGAACAGTATGAGCACTGGGAGGATGCGGAGAAATTCTTCTTGCCGGAATTCGAGGAGGAGCCCGAGGTGATTGACGAAGCGGAACCTACCGAGGCTGCGACCGAAGACTCTCAAAGGAATAACGGAACCTCCGGCCCAGAAGATCTGTCGCAGATGCTGCTGAGCAAGCTGAACTTCAAGAAAGATCCCGAGACCGCATCTATCACCTCTGCCGGTTCCCCTAGCCGGCCAGGATCGCGCACTTCGTCCCGCAGCTCGCGCACCAGCCCCGAGTGCGCCCAACATGAGAATGGTACTGCCAATAAAACCGAGAAGCCCAAGCCCGGACACCAGCGCACCGCATCTGGATCCATCATCCCAGTCGCTCCGCCCACATTGCGCCCTTTGCTGAGCGCGATGCTGTGGCGCCTTCACAGTGGCCCGGATGCTGAGAACTCTGCTAAAAGTTGTATCCTGGTAACAAACGACCGTGCGACGCAGGTTTGGGCTCAAAAGTTTGGTATCGGTGTCAAGAACATTCTCCAGCTGCGCACTGCGATTCAGTACGAGGAGCGGGAGTACAAGAACCGCTGCAAATACGTCGAGAAGACCCAGAGTCAACCTACGGAACAGCCCAAGACCTTGCTGTCGTACGAGGACGACTCCGACGAGGATGAGCTGGTGTTTGTTCCTCGTGGTGGCCGTGGCGGCAAGGGCTCTTCATCTCGCGGTGCTCGGGGTGGGTCCTCTCGTAAGGCTGCTCCGAAAGCTGCGCCAGCCGCTGTCGAGACTACCATCGAGGTTCCTACCCAGCCAATTGATCCCGACTCGTTCAGCCGCTCCCTGGGCGGTGCGAAGAAAGCCCCGGCCACCGTGGATCTGACCACCCAACAGGGCGCTGCTCGCGGTATCTCTGGAGCTTCTCGCCGCTCGGGTGGGCGCCGCGGAGGGCCCGCTCGTGGCTCTGGACGGGGGGCCGGTCGTGGACGGGGCAAGCTATGGGTTCCTTGAAGGTAAGGCCGGGTCTGTGGCAGATGTCGACGTGATCGAGCATCTCTGCAGGCCAAGAATCTCTTTCTGTGAACCCAACGCACTCTGGAACCGGAACGGGCTTGTCTTTCTTTCCTTTGCAGGACGGATATGATCGCGCAAGGGAGACTCCCGACTGTGAGTCCCCGCAGGACGTGTTTTACTCTCTTCCCAATCTCTCCATCTCCATCTTCCTCTCGACGACAATGGCTTCCAAACAAACCTCGTTGTCGTTGTGGGTCGTGTCGAACAACCCTCGGACACACACGCGATGCGGTCGATGAACCTTGGAGGAATCGATTCGCGGCTTCAGTGCTGCATGGATTGATGACTTGGAAAAAAAACCACCCCTCGTGCTTTTTTGTACCCTGGAATTTCCTTGAGAGAATATGGACAGCCTCCCATAGCTTTCCACTTTGACATCCGCGACGTTGCTTTTCTTGGGCTTCGTGCGGCCATGTATCATCGTGGATTTGCATTTACTCAGATCTACTACGAGAGGGTCGAATACACATATGCTTTGACTATTCATTTCCCTTCTATGAACGCATCTCAAAGTAGTGGTAAATTGTAGAAACAGCACTCCGTACTTGTGGTCGATCGCATGCAACTTCCAATGAGACGGGACTTCCCCGCGTGACGGTCCCGTGGGACTTGCATGGCCCATCACTTGATGAAACTCTCTCCCTCCTCTTTCTTACCTTCTCCTCTCCTCTTTCAAAACCTCGAGTTTTTCTCAATCTCTATCTCCCCATTCCTAATACTGTCCACTAACACCAATCCACTCCCTCATCATCATTTCCAACATGTCCAGCACTATCGACGAGACTCCCCTCAGCGCCTTCCCCTACGAGCGCCGCAACTCGCTGGAGAAACACCTCCAGACGCGCCCGGAGATGCAGGACCTCAAGAACCGTCATATCCTGCTGAACACCAACGTGGCACCGTATATGACCATGTCATTTATTATACAGAGTCAAGTCTCCATTCTACTAACACCTTCCCTCCCGCAGATCTCTCCAGTCCGCCCAGCAAGAACTGGACCGCCAGCGCGCTACAGACAGTCTGAAGAAGAACCTGGAGAAGAGACCTGAGCGGGATGAGCTTGTGGAGCGTACATCTCCCTCCTCCTATTTCCTTTTCCTTTTCCTTTTCCTTTCCTTTTCGTTCCCGATTCTCACATTCTGCCTGCCCACGTCTACTTCTCATACTTGCTGATATACACTACACTACACCACCCCTTTGACCGGACTTTGTTACTATCGTCACGGGCTTGAACTAACAAGTAAAGGTAATATCCTCCCCGCGTCGACCGCTGCGCCAGCCCTGCAGGCTCAGGCCCGTGAACTCGAGCGCCATATGTTGGCCGATAATTTGGAGCATAAGATTCAGAATCGTCCCGAGCCCGAGTCGCTTATTACCCAGGGCATTTTGACGGAGGATGAGGATCCACGCTCGTCGTGATCATGCCTGCGACCTTTCGACGGCCTTTGGCCAAAGGTTTCTGCTTGTCTGTTGTCTTTGGGGTTGTGTTTCAGGATGTGTTTCGAGGATTGACGGGTGGACGGCTCGGCTTTTGTCCTACGATATTGAGACTTGAAACCGGACTCTGAGATGCTCTGCGGACACCGATGGTGCAATTGATGATAGGAGGGTTTATGAGAATTATGGCGTTTCTTGTCTTCTTTGTGGTTATCTTTTCCGTTGTGCTTTGTCGACGCTTGCTGCGCTTGCGGGTGGTGATGTCACCGTGACGCTTCTGTCGATAGCGCGGGCCCCCGCATAATCACCGTTATTCGATTATCGTTGCTTCCCCGGATTTTTTGTGTAGTGGTGTTCTAGAATTTGTTTGAAGTTATAGTATTATAGTAGGGTCTTATGGTGGACGGATCAAGTTTACTGTGTGGGTGGCCGAGAGGTCTAGGCTTGAAAGACCAATGGCCAGTCTGAGGGTCAGTCAATCGCTTGCAACTTCTCGAGCCTTGGTCGATCTATCTTGGACTGTAGGTTCGAACCACCAAGACTGAAAAAGAATGAAAGATGATCTATCGTGGTCAAACCGATGCTCAGGATGGAGATATCATGGTCATGATAAATGACGATGATGATCCTACACTTCTGGTCATTGACTTGTGAACCTCCAAGTAGTCTTCAACAAGCACAATGTGGATGACTTGTCTTCTAGCCCCTGCGGTCATCAAACTAGACCACAGTATCGTCGACAGGGGGGAAAAGGGCCTTAGTTCTTGATCTTTTACCGGAGTTGATGGAATTCATTTTTCCATGTCTATCACCAATTCCACAAGCTTGTTCAGCCTTCAGCTGCGAAAAGTTATGTTATCAATTCGGAGACAGCCTGCAATCGTCTGCATAATTTACTTGATCTCATTCTCTATCTCTGGCATCGGGAATCCTTCTCAAGTTTGAGTCTAGTGCTTGGCCACGGCGATATCGACGTTGAAGAGGCAGTCTTCACTGCCTTGCTGATGGAATATCACAACACTACGCCTAGTAACTAGCAGAGCACATTCCCCCGAAGCTATCACGCAACACCAAATATAATGCAAGCTTCTGACTTTCCTTTTTATCAATTACAGCATGATCCATAGCAATGCACTCAATGGGTATCAACTTCCACCGGCGCCGACAAATCCGGAGTCCATCCACTCGGCCGCTCACTCCCTCGCACCAGAATCCCGTAAGCAGCGCGCTCCACCTTCTCAACACTATTCTGCATAACCTCTTTCTTCTTGGCAAGATCTTTATACATGAATGCCCGGTGTCGTCCCGGAACACTCAGCGCCTCGCATCGAGCACGGATAGCGCGCAGATCAACGAGGACCCCGGCTTTAGCAGCGTCCGTGGGTGTCACCTTCCCGGAGCTCAGCGCTGTCACGGCAAATCGCATCATTTCACCTGTGAGATCGAAGATGCCCATCAGGTAGTCCTCCTCTGTTACCAGGATGCCGGGTAATCGGGCCACGACTTCGGCGTGGGTGATCAATGTTTCGGTTCGGAGGTAGTGGTCGAACGAGATTGCTTCGATGAACTCTTGGACACCGCCGCTGATTTGGCGCTGGTACCGGCAGGACTTGATGCCGACGAGGTCGGTGACGATGGAGGCAAAGTGTTTGTGGATCTGTTCAAGGCGGGCGTCGTTCTCTTGTGTGATATTTGGTGGGATGGGTTGGCCTGTAGTGCGGACGCGCTGTAGGGCGAAAATTCTGTATTTTGAATGAGAAAATGAGATCACTGTTATCTTAGTATCATTTTAATGAGAGCTTACATTTTCTTGCTGAGTGCGGTAATGTCGCGACTCGCCTTGATGATGCGTTCACGGCGGTCATGGTGCTCGTCGAGTTCGTCGCGGAAGTTCTCGAAGATTGAGATTGTCGGACTCGCGGACTCCGTGGAGTCCATTTTGACGACCGCTTGGCCTTCCCAGGAGCGCTTTGTACCCATTGAGGAGGTTGAAGGAAGTGAGTTGGAGAAGTGGAGTTGATGGCAGAATGGCTGAGGAATTACACCACCACCAGATAGGCGATAAGAGATAAGATGTGAGCGATAAGCGATAAACCCTTCAGAGATAGAGGTACAAGGTCTCCGCCAGCACGGAATTACAAAATGTCTGCTGATTTTTGAATGACCGTCTCGTACCATAATGGCTGAAAGGGGAGTGTTTATCCAGAAGAAAAGATCTCTCATAAGTCAATATGAAGTCCCCCTTCAATTCCATCAGTGGCGGACATGGCTCTAGGAGGCTGAGCGTTCAGGCAAATTTCTTCGGAAGCTACCTTCTTGATTGGAATTTGAATGCTGTCCAAGAAAGAAAGAAGCTCTTTATGTTCTTTCAAATAATATTCATAATCCATGGATAAATGCCTGATATTGTTCTTCGTAGCACCAGTAAGGACTCGAATGAGTCGGCTTTGGTACCGTTCATTTCCTCCTCTGGCTATATTGCCTAGGGAATCTTAACGACTGCTCTCCCTCTAATTGCGTCTTTTGTGATACTCTGAATCAGATTTGGTGCCTCCGAAAATGGGAACACCTCAATCTCAGGAGTGATTATCCCTTCGCGAGCGAGCTGTAGTAGCTCAGTCATTTGCTCCTCAGATCCCACCGAAGAACCCTTGATCGTGAGCCCTATCTTGCATTAGCAACTGTAAAATTGATGGGGTAAGATGGGCCAGAATGGCTCACCTCTTGCAGCACAGAGCGTGGCCGAGATAGGAAGTTCTATGTCATTTCGGGGAAGGCCAACACAAATAATGTGACCCATATTCCTGACTAAAGTCGGCGCCATTTGGAAAGCCTCCTTTGTACCGGGGACCACGATCGTCGCATGAGCACCCTCTTTTGTGAGCTCAAGGACTCGGTTTGTAACGTCCTCGGTCTTGAAATCAACAAAGGCTTCAGCACCAGAGGAAAGACTGAGATCTCTCTTATCATCACCACTGTCCACTGCAATCACACGGTACTTTTTGACCCGAGCAGCGAGTTGAACACCGATGTGACCAAGACCGCCACCGGAACCTGAAATGACAACCCAGTCCCCCGGCTGTAGCTCATTGTCCAGATGGGCCAAAGCACCGGCCATCGTGAGGCCAGCACAAAGCAATGGAGCGGCAACTTCGTTAGGAACCCCTTCCGGAATCCGGGTGATAAAGCGAGCATCGGCAATAGCATATTGTTGCAAAGTGCCTGGAACATGGCGACTAGTGTTGAGTTGCTTGGGACAGTTCTGGAAGAAGCCTCGTTGACAGATGGAACATTCGATGCAGGCATTGTATAGCCACTTGAATCCCACACGCTGCCCCATTAATGATGGCGAGACGTTGGGACCTGCCTTGACGACAGTTCCTACCCCTTCATGACCAATGATGGAGTTGTAGACACCCCATCCCAGGACAGCGCGCACTTCTGAATGGCTTGGTTATATGGAACTTTCGTTGGCAACAGAGCGCATAAATGGAGGGTCAATAGTGTCTCACCAAATGCCTGTACAGTTCAGCTTGATGAGAATCTCATCTGTACCAGGATTCCCGACCAGTATATTATTTCGCAGGACAACTGTGAAGTTATCGCCGGGGTTCTCAACCACGGCGGCTTGTTGGAGCTCTGGGATGGACATTTGTGATGACTTTTGAGGCTATCAAGGAGCCAGTAACGTTGAACAGGAAATGGAATAGAGAATGTCGCAGGATGTTTCCCTCTGCAGATACTCAATCTTGATGTCAAAGTAATATATGGCTTGAGATTTAAGTAGTGGTGAATTGGTCATCGTTGGCGGTTGGAGGGGCGGTTCTCACTGCCGAACGAGCTGCCGACCCTCGGGAGTGCCGCTGATCCTGATTGCCAATAAATAGTATATCTCTGTGGCTCCTTTGGTAATGAGCCGTCAATGAGCCTAAGGAAAGGGCCTAACTGGCAATAATGATCTGTACTTGAGTAAAGGTAGATGGACTGATCCAAGTAAGAACTATGAAAAATTGCTTTGAGTCTTTAACATCCAGAGGGTATAATCAGAGCCACTCCAGACGGATGGATGATATTTGGACTTGAAATATTTTAGCAATGGCCGGTTTGTTACTGTTGTGTCTAAGAAGTAAAGCGTGCATAGAAGTTTTCTTTATTATAATAACTTTCAGTAATAACTGAATAGTTTATTTGTCAGACCTCGACCTACCAGCTACGACGATGTTTGCAAAATTCGTTCCGAATATGATTGAGAAGGCTTCATTAAGAACAATGACATCCAAGTCTCTCAAATCCAAAATGAATTGGAACCAATCTCTCTTCCATGACCAGAACTCGAATTGCGTTCATCGGTCTGCACAATCTAATCAAAATAGTCCATCATCTCCGTTACAAATTCGTCCCCGACATCGTCATCTTCTAGAATGTCTTTGGTGGCGAGCATGGAATCAAAGTCTGTCCAGCCGATTATGGACTTCAAGAGATTCACTGTCGTGTAAGTTGCATTCTTTTCGGCCAGTAGAACGGCACGCCAATACTGTTTGCGTCCATCGCCCTCAACCGAAGCCCCTGATTCAAGAAGCAGTCGAACGGTATCTACATGACCATGCTCTGCTGCACCCTCCAGAGCGGTCCTACCGATGAATCGAGCTCCAGGAGCATTCACATTAGCCCCGAGATCAATAAGTCTGCGAGCGATCCCCATAAAGCCATGAATAGCGGCCAACTGTAATGCGGTGGCTCCGCCATTTAGGGCTGGCGATTGATTAACATCGGCTCCCTCCCTGATGAGGAATTCGATAAGCTGGAGATTTCCTTTCTCGACCGCGAGCTGTAGGGCTGTTCTGCCACGATAGGGGGCGGTGGATTATTGATGTTTGCACCAGCCTCTAAGAGAACCTCCACAAGATCAAGTCGCTCTTCTTCAACTGAAATATTCAGAGCATTTGTTGAGTCACATGGACTGTTGACCAGTGCGCCAGCCGCCAGGAGGGCTTTTAAAATATCGGCATCTCCGTTTATCACAGCTTCTCCCAGGATTGTGGTTGAGTGATGATTGTCTCGAACGAGGGGGCCAGCTCAATTGCATGCCAGACTGCCAGTAAAGGGCGGTGTCGTGGTGAAAGACAATCCCTGTAAGGGTGCCCAAGATGATCTTTATAAGCAACCTTCCCCACAAAACTGAACCTGGAAGTACACATCTTTCTCCATCGTGCACCACTACAATCTCTCCGATCAATACTTGGCTGTATTGTCACTACTATTCATTCAACATGAGTTCACACCCTTGCACAGCGTGTAGTTGGACTACTGAACGCCAGAAAAATTGCAACTACCAAAGCTACCTCAAACTCTTTTATGAAGCAGGCGATCGAGGCGTCTGGTCGCTGGGCTCAAAATTGATATTGAAAGATCGAGGAGCTAGCCCTCCGACCTTCGAGGTACTAAATATGCAATTTGTGCAGGACCAGACATCTATTCCTGTTCCTACTGTTGTCGAATCGTGGGAGGAACGCAAACACACCCTTATATTAATGCGACGCATCCCCGGTGAACCCCTTAGCAAAGCTTGGCCGAAGCTTTCTATGGATGAAAAAGAGAGGATAGCAAAGCAGACTGCTGAGTATTTGCAAGATCTTCGCAAGCTCCAGTCTGATAACATTCAATCTCTTGGCGGCCGTCCGGTTTTTTCCAATTTCCTGTTCAGAGATAAGAATTCCGAGACCCCCCATGGTCCTCTAGCATCCGATAATGAGCTCTGGAGTGATATGGAACGTGGATTGAAAGAGACGATACCCGAGGCTGCCCGAACACAACTTCGACAATGCATGCCTTCTGCTACGCCCTACACCTTTACCCACGGAGACCTCACTAATGTTAATATTATGGTTGAAAATGGCTCCCTTACCGGGATCATTGACTGGGAGAGGTCTGGATACTTTCCAGTGTGGTGGGAATATGTGTGCACCTCGGTCCCTGATAGTGAGGAGGACAGGGAGTGGAAGGCATTATTACGAAAATATATGCCTGATCATAGCGCCGCGCGTGAATTTTGGCTGGATTACTATTATCTTTGCAGGAATCTGGACAGTGAAAGGGCAAGGAAGTTCGTGGAGAAAGTAAGAAGTGAGACCCGTTAGGAAGTGTCTTCTTCAAATGGTGGGATTTCTTAAAACTTCGCATCTCTATTATCTTGTGTTACTTGTGAATTTTCTGCGCAAGAAATCCAACGTCCATTTTCGAGGACTGCTCGGTAGTAATCAAGATAGACAATAAACTTAGCCTCAATTGCTTTCAAGGCTTGAGGACGTGTACGATTTGCTTTGGACAATTTTGAAGTTCTCATATTCTCATATAAGATCTGTCACTGGTCTATAGTTATTCACAAAAGAGCCATCGCATTTTGGTAAAGACAAATTCATGCAATGATTCATGAAACCCGGAAGTTAGCCACCAGCTATCACTGAAGCAAAGCGACCGATTCCTGTCCCAGGAAGCGGTACTTCAGTGGCCGGTCACCCAATCCAGTGACATCCACAGTCTGTTCATCACCCGGTACAAGGTCGATAGCGTTGTCGCTAAGTCGGACACCCTCTTGCTCTTCGATGACGAGGCACTTGACCGGCTTGCGGGTGTTAAGGACGAGCGTGGCTTGGCTGGAAGATCCACGCTTCAATTGTACGTCGAGACCGCGGTCGGATAGATCGAGGTACTTGAATGGTTGGGGCCAGTCGACGTCTCTTGCCACGACCTTGTGGTCAACCCACAGGCGGGCAGCGAGGACATGTGGCTCTGGCTCGGCGATGTGGTCGATCAGGCCGTCTGTGATGATATTGGTGGTACCGTTAGCGGTGATGGCGATATCCTCACGCACGATCGGCGTCCGGATATCGCGGCCTGTGTTGACGGAAAGGAATCGCAGTTCGACACTGCCGCGGATAGTCTCTGGGTTGTTGCTGGAGATCCACAGCTCGTACTTGCTTGTGCGAGGGGGCTGTGCGTGGGCGACGCTCCAGTCGTGGTGTTCTCGGCGCACTCCCACGGCGATGGGATTGAGGACTCGCTTGACGGCGTAGTAGGCGGGCTTCGGGTTCAGGAAGTAATCGACAATGGCCCAGGAGATGGTGGGCCAGCAGTCGTTCAGTTGCCACAGAAGGGCTCCGCCGCAGTGTCTCTCATCACCCCACTGGCGGCGCCAGCCTCTGTAGCCGAACATCATGGTCTCGGCTTGGACTACTTGAGTCAAGTAGATGTAGGTCTGCGTATGTTAGTTTTGATGAAACAGCGCGCCATAGAATCGGTGTTCATACCTCCAGGTCAGTGGCTGTCCGCAGGTTCTCCACCAGGTAAGTAGCAATCCGCCTCTCGTGTCCGTCGGCCTTGTTGTGGAAGTCAATGACATGAGACTGGGGGAAGAGATCCTTGGGATCTTCGACGAAGTGTTCAATAGTCGACAGGTGGGGGAAAGCTTCCATGCCAAACTCGCTGTTGAATCGACCACCCAGAGTGTCGAAGATCTGGTACTTCTCCTGAGTACCATGCCACACTATGGTTACCGTTAGCAGGAGAATGATCACTGGCACTGGTAGCAAGACTCACCATTCCACTGGTGCATATCACCAACTGTAGGATCAGACGATTTCTTGCCATCACCCCATGGGCTACCGGGGTGGTAGAAGGTACTCGGCGAATGCTCAGCAACAACCTCTGGAAGCAACTTCTCGTAGATATACCGAGCAGGGAAATCTGTTTTGAGCCAGCTCTCCGGATCCTTGTCCTCGTAGTTATAGGTCAAGCCCTCCGACTCTTGTACCTGGTAGTCCTCATTGTTTCCAACCCAGATGACGATTGATGGATGGTGTCGCAAACGTTGAACGTTGTAAACTGTCTCTTGGCGAATTGACTCGAGTATCGAAGGCGATGTGGGATAGTTGCCACAACCGAACATGAAGTCCTGCCAGACTAGCACACCCAGCTCGTCGCACGCCTCGTAGAATGCATTGTCCTCGTAGATGCCGCCACCCCAAACCCTAGACATGTTAGTTGAAATGATTCATCCGACGAATGGCACACTGCATACCGAATCATGATCTGCCGACCTTCAACCATAAGCTCAATCCATTTACGGTATCGCTCGGCTGTGACGTTGGTCAAGAGGCTGTCTGCGGGAATCCAGCACGAGCCACCGCAGAAGACATCCATTCCATTGACTCGGAAGTAGAACGATTTCCCGTGCTTGTCCGGCTGTTGAATAATTTCGGCCGTCCTGATGCCGAACTTTTTGGATTTCTGAACGACGGGGGCGTCGCCGCGGTGCAGTGACACCGAGACGTCGTATAATGTCTGTTTTCCATATCCATGAGGCCACCAAAGCTCTGGACGGTTAACGCGGAATGTCACCTCGGCCTGGTTCTCGGCGGACACGGGAATATCCTGGGTAGCAATCTCATTTCCGCCCAGGCTCAGACTGAAGTGAGCTGTGTAATCACCACCAGAAACCGTCTCAAACTTGGCGGTGGCAGTCACCTCGGCCGACTGATGGTCTGCAGCCAGCTGCGTTTGAGGCCAAAGGTCGACTACCTGAGCAGTATACACTTCCAATGTCACTGGACGCCAGATACCCGCAGTCATCAACACGGGACCCCAATCCCAACCCCAGTGGTACTGTGCCTTGCGTACAGCCAGACGTGCCTGGTCACCATTAAATCCAACCCATTTGTGGTTGGGATCCTGGGCGCGCAGCTCGCGGGCCTTGAGCATCGCACAGTCGAATTCGATCTCCAGCGTGTGATCACCTTCTGCCTCCAATGCCTTGGTCACGTTGACGCGGTGACCCAAGAACATGTTATCACTCTGTAGAATGACTTCCCCATCAAGCTTGACAGTGGCAAAGGTATCCAGACCATCGAAGACCAAATCCACTGCGGCACCCTCGGGCACATGCGGTCGTTGGAAAGTATTGCGGTATACCCAAGACTTCTCATTGACCCAGCGAGCCTTCAGCTCATTGAATCCAATGAACGGATCCTCCAACCTATATATGAAACGAATTGCAATGGTCAATTCCAAGTTACGCAAATACAAGACTGGCAAAGACTGGAAGCTCTTACTTGTTGTTGGCAATGAGATCTTGCTGGACCACGGAAGGCACCGAAGCCACGGGCATCCACTCGTCGGCATCGCGATCGCGGAAACTCCAACCAGTGGAGAGTGACTGACGACTGAATTCCATCATGATTGAATCGTCTTTTTTTAGTATTTGAATCTTGAATATTTGCATTTACTGGCTGGGGAGACGGAGCTATTTAGAAGCAGCTGCAATGGGCTTATCGATAAGAGCACCCCCTCGAGCCTTCCTTTTTGGGAACGGAGGCCCCGGGCACATGACTTTCCTGCCTTGGCTTTCAGGTGTCCAAATTCCCTGATCAGGTGGCCGAGGTGTCTCTGAGACTCGTGAATCTCCTCTTTTGTCAGGTCCGTGGAGGGGCCGTGGAGGTGGAATTACCAAATTCCGGGTCTGTCCTTCCAAGAAGCAGACGGAGCATGTTGGCTCAAAGGGGACGAGGGAACCCTCCTGTCAGACACCCCCTTCTTGGTCACGGAGCCATCTCCGTCGAGCTGCTGGCTCACCCAAACTCCAAACTTTCTCAGGGTCAACAGTGCTACCCTCCACCCACCCACCCCCAGACTTGACCGGCCCGCATTTCCTCGACTGTGAACTTTATCTCCATGCGAATTCCCTCCGACTTGGATTATGATTTGAAGTTCCAAGCATTCGCTTCGACAGTCGACACGACCGAGCCAATATTATGTTTGTCCTCAACTGCTGAAACCCGCTAGCATGGGAACCAACTGACACGCTAGTCCATTTGCGTGTAATGAATCCCTTCTAGCCGAGCCAATGATCAGTCTTCTCCCCCAGAATTTCCAGAATTTGGGAGGGTAACTGTCCCTCACGCCCTCCTCCACTATTCCTTCGGCCCCAACGGGAATTTTGCGAACGAGGCTTGGCGTTCCATACACGCCCCAATGCTTCCTCCTCTGGGGGTTCACAGGCAAAAGAGAGTTACAAATTATAATCCACGTTGTAACTTGTGCGGGGTACCCCCATAGCCTCGTCCTGCACGTTTTGAACTCCCTTTTGCCGCGAGCGATGTATCTACTCCTACTATACCTACACATGCCGTGCAGGCCGGCATTGGGAGGTTGGGGCGATGGGAATGCCGCCAAATCATCCCCTCATCTCCTCGGGCACTTGACTCGAAGAGGATATCGCGCCCGCTAGACAGGGTCTCGGCATCGGTGTGGTGCGCTCTCTCAGTGGCAATTGGACGGTCACAGTATTGAACACGCCTCCCCTGGTTCCCGCCTGAGCAAAACACACCTGGAACAACATGATTGTTGAGAGGGCCCGTCCCCGTTCAGGGCTTATTCCGCCTCATTTGCCTGGCGCCAGACCATGGTACCGAAGAGGCTCACCGATTAGTGGTGAGAGACAAAAAAAGAAAAAATGATGGGGAAATTGCAGGATGGCGTTCTCGGTACATTCTCTGATTCATGCAGAGGCTTGCATTTTGCAGATGGCAATTACATCTCCTGATATTGATACCTTTCGGAGCAAAGGGAGGCCTGACGGTGCAAAAAGGTGTTTTTTGGACTCGATGTCAAAGAGGAGGTGCCTTGGATCGGCAAGACTTGCGACGGGTCTTCCCCAGACGATCATCTGGTCTCCTGCAGGGCTCGTTTCTCCATCCGCTCTGGTCCATGGTCGTGTTCTCTGGAGTACGACGAGCTAGCCCATGAAGTCCGGGGGAGATTTTTGCCCCCTCACTTGCGAAAATCATGCCAAAAGTCTTGCAGCGCCTGGAGAACAGACATGTGGCGTATGGGAAGCCATGCAGCCCCCGTAATAATTTGCCTCTTTAATCTCGCTCTCGCATCCTGGTCAGCCTGGCGCGTGGCACCGCCGGGTCTGACTAGAGAACTTTTGAACTGCCACCCAATGCACCCCCAGGCACCCGTCGGAATCCCTAGTCTCCTATATGTCGGCATTCAATACTTGATGACGACGGTGTGCGATGGAATTTCTGTCCGGGCTTACCAGGGGGCAGGGATATGGCCTCTACCCACCTGTTGATTCCCATATTCCATATTCCATACAGTCTGCCTCCGCAGTAGATCCACGCTAGCGCTGTTAATCCCGCACATCACCACTCACCGAGCCTGTCCCTGGCGCATACCCAATAAGCGAGGCCGCATCCGGGGACCCCGGAGTCACCAATGGGCAGTGTCAGCGTCCAGAAAACGAGATGAAAAGACCAGAGGTTTTCTCGTTTTTCCTGAAAATGCGGGGAGAGATTTAGGCGGATCAGGCTATTACGGTTCAACTATTTCGCTTCCGTCTTAGTCTGCCGTGGGCCCTCCTTTCTGGCCTTTTTCCCTTTTGACTCGACCTTCCATTTTTCTCACTACGATTTCCCCTCGACTGGACAACTCGAGACTCTATATTTTGCAGAGACTTGCTCCGATTTACTTCGGTCAACGTGGGTCAACGTGGGTCAACCCTATACTACTCCAGACACTCGACCTCCTTTTGCGCAGGCCCACTGCCAGATTATCTGGTCTGGTTGAATAAACCCGGAATCATACGACTCTCTGTGTCTGACGATTCTGCCTACCTATTCAAATTCACAAAGGAATGCCCCCCCAAATTATGTGACTCTCGACGACAACGCCTGCGTGATTCCGTGCAGTCATCATGTTTCACACCTTTGAGGGTTTTGAGAACCCGACAGCGGCCACTCCTGCCCGCACTATTCGTCCCCCCAATCCCGAGCGCCGTGACTCGGTAAGCCGGAGAGTCACAACTCTCCGTGCTTGTACTTCTTGTCGACATCGCAAAATTAAATGCGATGGCGAGAAACCTTGCGAGGCATGTCGGTGGTATAAGAAAGCCGACCAATGTCATTACTCGGACCCTCGTCCTTCTAGAAGGTATGTTCATGCCAGGTCGTTTCGGAACTAGGGGTCAGTAGCTAACATGGGCGTCTAGACATGTTGAAAAACTGTCTACCACACTTGATGAATACCGAAGTATTCTCGGAAAGTTATTCCCCACTGTTGCGCCAGAGTCTCTAGTCAACCTGCCGCGCGACAAGCTGCTTGAGCTGCTGGCTGGATCCTCATCCGCAGCGTCCCTCGCGCAGGCTTCTGGGACACAACCAGCGCCGAACCCTGCTTCGCCCGCCACTTCGGCTTCGGTGGAAGCGCATGTGTCCCCATTATCTAATGACGATGACAATCTCGAGTCTCTCCAAAGCATGCCCGAGGAACACGATGATAGCCGCCCAAGCTCCACCGACTTGGTCGAGGGCGTCTCTGATGATGTCAACGCGCTGTCTCTTTCCGCCCGGCAGCCATCCTCCTATCTTGGTGTTTCCTCTATTCAAGCCGTGCTGAAGGTCATCGTCTGGCTGGACCCAGGGTGTGCCACTTATTTCTCCCGAACGCCTCCGACACATCCACACGACCAGGCTGGATTGGAGTATGATATGCCATCGGAGTGGAACCATGGTGAAGGGGCCTTGCAGACGCCACATTCTATCCCACCAACTGAAATGCAGATGTTGGATGCATACTTCCTGCACTTCCAGGCGTTTGCGCCCTTGATCGATGAGCAAATGTTCCGCGAGACATACATGACGGGCCACCGGAAGGATGATCACTGGCTCGCGCTGCTTAACATTGTCCTCGCACTGGGCAGTGTTGCTGCCTCCAAGCCAGATGACCAGACGCATCAGACATACTTCTTGCGCTGCAAGAGCCATCTGAGTCTGAGCTCTCTGGGAAGTTCCCACTTGGAGACCATCCAAACACTGGGCTTACTGGGCGGTTGGTATTGTCATTATATCAGTCAGCCGAATCTGGCATACTCTCTCATGGGTGCAGCCCTGCGGATGGCAGCCGGGCTGGGTCTACATAAAGAGTTCGCTGAAAGCCGGCAAATCCCCAGCCCGAGTAAGCTGGCCTCGATGGATCTCAAACGGCGTGTCTGGTGGTCTCTCTTCTGCATGGATACATGGGGAGGCATGACACTGGGCCGGCCGAGCATGGGTCGTTTTGGACCCAATATTACAGTGCGACACCCGAATTGTCGCGACAAGGTACGGATTGACCCTATCCCATGATTCAAAGCTTAGTCTAACAAATGTGTTACAGGACAACGTTCTCGAGATCCTCCCATTGGTGGAAAATATCCGATTCGCTAAAATCGCAACCCAAGTCCAAGAGTCTCTCGCAGCTGCTCCACTCGTTAAACACCAGGAGATGTCTCACGCTGATGCCCAGTTGCTTGACTGGTGGGAAAATCTCCCACCCGTTCTGAAAGACCATGAGTCTTGCTCCGAGTCCATCAGAACCGTACGAACTGTTATGCGATGGCGGTACTACAATCAGCGCATGCTACTCTTCCGTCCTACGCTGCTGAGCTACGCGATGCGACGCGTTCCATATATTGCTTTGAGGGCGGAGGAGCGAACTGCGATAGAAAAGTGTCGCGAGGTTGCTGAACAATCTATCCAGAACATCGCCGCCACAGCACAGCTCAACCAACTCTGTGGCTGGAATGCTGTCTGGTGGACCTTCCAAGCCTCCCTCGTCCCGCTAGTGGGCCTCTTCCTCAACGACCCCACAGCGGACGATCCCCGCGCCTCGATAGAGTCCTGCCAAGCCCAGGTCGAAATGGCGCTGGCGACGCTCGCGCGTATGCAAACATACGGGCATACCGCGAAGCGCTCGCTGGACGCCATCGCGCGTATCTACGAAGCCAGCAAGCGAGGACAGGATATCCCCACCTCCAGCAGTGCGGGCTCTATGCGGTCTAATAACATGTACCCCGCTGGTCGGGAACCGGGCATGATGTTCTCCCCGCCCGAACCAGCCCGTATGGGCATGATGATCGGCGAGAATGGCCTTGCCGATCCCCTTGCCACGCCGTTTGTGGATGACTCCGGCCAGTACCTCTGGGAGTATCTCAGCTGGAGTGACCAGAATATGTGGCCGGGTCTCTCGGATGTGGATACTCGTAGCGAGGCTATGGCGTTGTTGACGCCTGATCATGAGAAGGGACCCAAGTTCGGGGCTCATCCGTACTTTGAGCCTATTCCTGATTCTTATTTTGTCAATCCGCCGGTCTATTATTGAAATGTCGGATGCTTTTGATCTGATGCCTTCTTTTTCTGACGAAGCATGTTGTATTGTTGATTGTATATGGTTATTTTTAGCGGATATGAGGCCACGTGGGAATTCTTTATGTTACTTATGTTTTGAGGGTTTTGAGCTTGTTGAGTGTACATATATCTCTTCTCTGAATGCACACATGTTACGACACGGAACCACTGCATGGTATCTACCTAATGTCACTCTTTGTTGTCTGGTTGAAATAGGGGTCTCTATTGCTGTTAGGATTTGTCTTTACTTTCGGCGAGCTGTCTTTCTTTTTGTGCGGTGGTAGTCCGTGTCTCCATGTCTTTCCTTCTTCTCGTTCTCACTTTTATTAATTTTCCCACGCAATTCATCTCACATTTCTGCGTGGAACGGTTCTATTAAACACAAATATTCTAGTAGATCGTGTGTAAAGTGCGGGCGCTTACGCTCTGAATAGGAGTCTATACTTAAACGTAACCAACTAAAGGGATGGCTCAAGCGCTATGAGTACTTGTATGCCATGGATATCTCGCTTCAGCCATGAGGATCTCCAAGTGACTCAATACAGCTCCATATCCGTCTTTTGGGGAGACGAGGCTGAACGTCGGCAAATCTACCGAGTACATGGGACGATAAGCTGGATTCTAGTCGCCTATTTAAGCTTGCAATTAATTTCGGACAATTCCCGGGAAGCCCGGGTCACTTTCGTGTAACTGGCTTTCCTCATCATGGCTATCTCCTCCAAGGCAGATCCTGGTATACAAACCAACATCTCGATAGTCCCCGAGGACAACCCCAATGCCCCCAATAACTTATCTCACCCGCCATTTTTTCGAAGCGCGCTCTTTCAGATTCTAATTTTTGGTCTATGTGCCTTTTGTGCCCTGGGAATATGGAGTGCCATGACTGGCCTCGGAGTAGGCGGTTCCTAAAGCCCCTCTCTAGTCAAAGCGACTCGCGGTGTTCAGGAAAGTCGATCTATTCCCAATGCGGTAATCGACATGTCGTGCTGACTCAGCCGATCTTTTGTGGCGTCTGGCTCGGATCGAAATCTGTAAACATCTCAGGAAAGGCGACGACTAGCATGGCAAATTAAGCCAATCGGGTTTTACAAACATCAATTCATAGATTTTCCAAGCGGGTGATCCCAATCCACCAGCTCCGAGGAGTGTCGTTGGTGAAAGGAGGTTACCTGATCGTCCAACGGACCCGGACCCAATAGGGAGCTCCAATCTCCTTCAGTCGACCCTGAATATTTCTGATCGTCAGGGTCTCGCGGAAATTCGGCCAAGATGGCGTTATTTGATTCTGCGCCGCGTGTCTTGCTGGCTGCTACGGCTCTGCGCCTGATTCTGCTGGTCTACGGTGGCTGGCAAGATGCCAACTCTGCGGTGAAATACACCGATATCGACTATATGGTGTTCACAGATGCATCGCGCTATGTCGCCAAGGGTCAACCACCTTATGCCCGCGATACTTATCGCTATACGCCCCTCCTGGCCTGGATGCTTCTCCCGACTGCTTGGGAAGGGGCCGGACCTCTGGCTTCGGTGGCCTTTGCGTTTGGGAAGATTCTTTTCGCTTTGGCTGATGTCGTGGCTGGGTGGCTGGTTGTTCAGCTGTTGTGTCGATGCTATCATTTCCCTGCCGAGCGGGCGCTGCGTTATGTGGCTGCTGTCTGGCTTTGGAATCCGATGGTCGCGAATATCAGTACCCGCGGCAGCTCGGAGGGTCTGCTTGGCGTTCTCATTGCGGCTTTGCTGTGGGCTACTTTGACACGAAGGGCCGCTCTTGCCGGTGTGATTCTGGGACTGGCAGTCCATTTCAAGATTTATCCGTTCATCTACGGAGTATCGATTCTTTGGTGGTGGGATGCTCAGCGTGATGGTGCTCCCCCTACTAAAGGATCTAGTCTGATTTCAAGGGTATTCGGCTTCATAACCCCGTCGCGTGTGATTCTCACTATTTCTGCGCTCGTCACTTTCATCGTCTTGAATGCTGTCATGTACATCCAGTATGGCATGCCATTCTTGCATCACACGTTCTTCCACCATCTTACGCGCATTGATCACCGGCACAATTTCTCTCCTTACAGTACCCTGCTCTATCTTGCTTCTGCAGGTGGAGCTAGCTATCGTTTTGAGACTCTTGCTTTTCTTCCCCAGCTGGTGCTTTCGGTCATTGCTATTCCGTTGGTGCTGGCGAAGAGGAGCTTGGCAACGGCCATGCTTGCCCAGACATTTGCTTTTGTTACGTTCAATAAAGTCTGCACTAGCCAGGTATGTCCCTGGATTTCTCATGAAGTGGACTTGGCTAATATTGGAACAGTATTTTATATGGTACCTCATTCTTCTTCCGTTTTACCTGCCTTCATCTTCTCTCATTCGGAAGCCCACGTTGGGCATTGCGGCCGCTGTGTTCTGGGTTCTCGGCCAGGTAATATCTTCCCCGTACGCTTTACGTCGCTGAAGTTTTATACTAATTGAATTATGACAGGCACTTTGGCTTTCACAGGGATACAACCTCGAGTTCCTCGGCCTGTCTGCATTTGTCCCTGGTCTCTTCCTGTCTTCCCTTTTCTTTTTTGGTGTCAATGTCTGGATTCTTGGCATCATTGTCCGTGACGGAGGCATTGGCGAAAGCGTGGAGACTTCTATTAAGCCAATGCAATGAAAGAGCTTCCGTGGTCTTGTACATAGCTTCGTTTCTAAAATTCCACCATACTACCTGATATTGATGCATAGTGATAAAGCGCTGCCGCACTGAGGGGTCCTCTCTATGCGTGTACAACCCTTCGAAGTCAAAGATGTAGGATGCATCATCGAGTTTGAATGCCTCTGGAATGAACATGAATCTTGTATTAGTGCCGTTTTTGAACAAACCCCCGTGGGTCCTCTCTCCCGCACTTGTTTCTACTACCTGACAACTGCGGAGGAAGCCTCTAAATGTGCTATGTCTGACCCTACTACCTAACAGACGTCCAACACTTTATGTGGTCATCAGGAAGATCGGACTACCCGACCTCCAGGGTATTTTCTGCATTCTTGAAATCGCACGGCGGATTTGGCAACCTTCGACACAGTACCCATATTGTCATCTCACCAACTACACTCCAATGCCTGAAATGAAATGAATGCTTTTCAAAAGATCGTAGTGATGTAGCCATAAGCCTCACTTTTCTGCATCCTGCGAATCACAGTCAACAATGCCATCATAGCACTGCCACAGGTAGCAAGGCATACAAGTTTACGCCCCCCGCTCAGCCGCACTTAGCGGGGCGGCCCAGACGCCTTGGCTCGATCGCCTTTAAAGCCCTGAGTTCCCCCACTTGGAGAGGAAGTGCCTGTTCGAATCTCATGTCAAAATGGTCGACCCGGTATCTATTGTTACCTTAGTGGAGTTGTGCTTGAAGTAAGCCGGTCTTAAGAATCGACGAGACTGTCCCGCATCGCACAGAGAAACTAACTAGCAGGCGACCACAGAATAGGGAAGAAGCTATGGGACCTTTGTTCCTCATTCAGGAATGCCAGGGGCGATATCGCCAAGCAGATTCTTCGAGTGAAGAACTACTGGATGCGTGCGAATTTGCAACTTGAAACGGTCAAAAAAATGGCCTATGAGTTACAAGAGGACCATCGAAAGATCATCTACGAGACTATCGATATGCTGAATAGCAAGCTGACAACTGCGGAGATGAATATCGAGTCTACTATGAAGAAGAAAGAGTGTGATGGCGACGAGGCAGAAGTGAGTCACTTCAGATATATGCTGGCTCGCCAAAGTATCGACAAGTCAGTCGATGAGCTTGAGCGATGGCAGAAGATGTTTGATCCGTCTTGGTACTTGGCCATCAGTCGGGCAGGGTCTCGAGTGGAAACAGAGTTATTAGAATGGAAGATATCCCCGATTCAAGATTGTCAAGTCGCCATCTCCTCGGCTGAATCATTGAGATCGGCGTTGAGGATTGCGTCAAATGCAGAGGTGACCAAGGAGAAAGTTCTTCTTCCAGAAGCATTTCTCGAGAGTCTTGGTGCACAGGATATACCTCTTTCTTCGGCTCAGCTCGGCACGCGAGATGATAAAGGCCAGCTGCTTATTCTGGAGAAAGTTCAGCCGTTGTCTGGACTCAATGCGACCGATCTAGACAAGAATTGTCGGGATTTGGCCCGGAGACTTATCCGGTCCAATGCTCTTGAATTCGGGTTGCTGAGTTGCAAGGGATATATGAAACACCGACATCAGCATTCAACTCGTGCCGATGGTGATGCGTTCACACTTTTATTCCGGGTCCCTAGTGGATTCTCCGAGCCTCGCACTCTTCGGAGTCGGCTCATGGACTTGAAGCCCACAGACTCGCTATCGGACCGGTTCAAGTTAGCGAATGAACTGGCCAGAGCTGTCAGCTGCGTGCATGCATTCGAATTCGTTCACAAGAACATACGGCCCGAAACTATTTTGCTCCTGAAGAATACTGAGACTTCATCCGAGTCAGCCTTTCTCATCGGATTCGATAGTTTCCGAATGGCAACGGGCAAAACTTTGCGAAAAGGCGAACTCGCCTGGGAGCGATGTTTGTATCAACATCCCAATCGGATTGGATCGCTTGCCGCTGAAGATTTCATCATGCAACACGATATCTACAGTCTCGGTGTGTGCTTGCTGGAAATTGGTCTTTGGGAGCCTCTTGTTACATACGAGGATAAGAACATGGCCCTTCCTAGGAACGGCACTCATCCGCCAGCCTTCCGGGCCTCGTTCTTGGAGGAAGGACATGATTCTTATTTCTTCAAAGATCAGCTCCTGGACTTGGCACGAGGCGAGCTGCAGCGGCGGATGGGTACACGGTACTCGGAAGTTGTTGTCACCTGTTTGACTTGCCTGGATCCAGAGAATGAGGATTTTGGCGACGAGGCGGAATTTCAAGACGAAGATGGTATCGAGGTTGGTGTGAGGTATATCGAAAAGGTAAGTTATCAGAATGGATGAGGTATATGTTGTTACTAACCTGATTGACAATAGGTCACGATGCGCCTGAACAGTGTTTGTGTCTGATATGCTAGAATCACACTTGATTGCGCGATTTGTCCGGCGCATCCAGGTATGCCGCAAGCGGTTAGAAGGGCATTTTGATGGAGGTTCGAAGTGAGGAAAAGCAAGACGATACAATAGAAAGCATGTCAGGAAGGCATGTCGACAGGTTGCCATTTGAGAAAGGTGCGAGGCAGGCTGAGCTCTCTACGAGATGAACCCCACCAAAGCCTTAGCTGAATCTCGTAGATTTATAAATCCCTTACTTTAAATATCGACTACGATCCAACTAATTATGCAACCAAGGCTCATTAAGTTAATACATGAAATCGATTAAGAATGGAGTGTTTAGACCTAGGTAGTTCCAAGTTGCACTTGCAGGGCTGGAATTAGCAGAGCTGTGTGACCCCTTAAAGACCATGAGAACTGATTAATCAGAAGGGTGAATCAGAAGGTTGTCTAATTTCGTGGTAAGACGCGTTGGGATTGTGAGAACTAGTAAGTGGGTAATGGGTGATGCACAAGTGACCTCGTATATTCGAGGTTTAAAACATCGAAGGGATCATACCAACAGGCCGCAGTAATCACGCCGAGAATAGCTCCTTAACTAGATTGCTCCATTTCGCCATCGATATCATTCGCCCCCGCGTCTCCTTCCTCGGCATTATTTTGCTCGTCGCGAGTCCTGTTAGTTCTCCCTAGAGTTGCCATCCCCTTCAAAGAGGGAAAGAAACTAAAGGAAGATATGGTCCTCGAGCGCGCGAGTCATGCGGATGCTCATGTCAACCGCGACTGGCACAGTGTGGCACTTGCTGACGTGCATCCGGAGGTCGTTCGTTTCATGGACGATAGTCTTAGAATCTCCTGGTTAGTAATGTAGGTAACTCCCACGCGGAATATGAAAGGGAACTTACTCGGCGAGATCCGCAACCCCGCCATCTGCAGAAGACTTCCCCGGGGATGACAATGACTAGGCCGTCCACCTTTCACCATTACCCAGAATCGATTAGATGGTGGCTACCTCCGTGAAAGTAGAGACCTAGATGGTCATAGTTGAACGTCACTTACCTGGTCAAACGGAGGGAGGATGAGATCGCCGGACCTCATTTGCTCCATGTAGTCACTGTAAGCATGGCACTCTTCCAGGAACTTTAGCATCGAGACGTCGTAGTATGATTATCTCAAATTGTGGAGAGCGTGTTGGACCAGAACACTGGTTTGAGGATAGATATGATGTTGATTTTCGTGTCGGGGAGGATGGAAGGGTTATGAACGAGGGAGGCAAGGAAGATTCCAGGCAACGCGCTTGATTGCAAGGCTCCAGGGTTACACCGCATCAAAGGTCCAATGGTAAATCCCGTCTTGGTCCAAACCCATACCAGAAGACGGTACAAACAACCACTAACATGTTTCTTCCCAAGTCCTTGCCGCTGAAGGAATCGATACTAGCGCCAAATGCGGAGCCATTGTTATAGACACGGATTCATAATGTGACTATTCCACATCACTGTATCTCAAAGCTTCACTCAGAAGCATCTACTTGCGCAACCTTCCAGATCCTCACAACATTCGAAGCAGGAAATGCCGAAAACTCCCCTCTACTCAGAGCAGGAGCAGCAATCAACGACCCATCCGGCGAAAAAGCGAAAATAGGCACCGAAAACGCAAAGAACTCCCTCCGAAGAACTTCCTGCCCGGTAGCAACATCCCAAACGAAAAGACAGTGCCGGGGAAACTCGTCCACTATGGTCACTGGTCCTTGTGCTCGAGCAACTAATAGTCTACCATTCGGTGAGAATTGCATCTCATACTGGAATAACTTGGCAGAGCATTTGAGAGTGAAAAAGGTTTCGCCTCTAGACTGGAAATTGCGAGGCCGGATGTCCATAATCGAGATCGCACCGGGATCATCATGGGAGACTCCTGCCACGAGTTGTTGATCTGGGGAAATACAGAGACCTGAAAGCCGGTCGGCGAGGGTTTCCCAAGAGGTACTGTAACCTGTGTCCACTGTGACGTGGTATATTCGTCTCCAGCAAGCAGCAAGCAAATACGTGCCAGGAGAGCCGTCCCCGTATCCCGCACTGCCAGAACATGTGAAAGAGAGGGCAATGTAATCATGTTCCGCGGTATCGGTTCGAACTATGTATGCTTGCATCTTGGAGAGATGCCACACCCGCACTGTACCGTCTGCCGACGCGGACGCCAGCGTTGAAGAATTTTCGGGAGAGAAGAGCAACGTTTTGATTAGGCCGGTATGGCCACTTAGAGTGCGGATGTATTCCCATTTGCTGGTGCGCCAGAGTCGGATGGTACCATCGCTACACCCGGTTGCTAGGCGCGAGCCATCGGGAGAAAATGCAAGAGCACGAACATCACCATTATGTCCTGTGAGAGACATAATCTCAGCACCTGTTGAGATATCTCTGATCCTGACGACTCCGGCAGACCCAGATGCTAAGAACTTCCCATCTGGCGAGAAGGCAACGGATTGAAGCTCATAGGCAAAGAACGGTAGAGGGTTTTGTTCTTGTAAGTCCACGTTGAGGGGCTTCGTCAAGGGTTCAGTAACCGGATCACCGGGCGCGGAAAGAGGCGGGCTCCTTAGTGGTGCCATTGGCGAAGTGGACAGCTTGTGTTTATCTCCCGTGGTGAGCCTAGGATAAGAACCTCGCGAGGCTGAGGACGAGATCGTGTTGACGGATACATATAAGGAGTGTGTTTCCCCCGTCGGCTGAGCTGACGTCCTGACATCTGTGAGAGCCGACACACGCTCAAAGTTTTTGATGTCCTGCGACTCTCTGCACAACTGCTTTCCGATATTCAGCTGAGCGGATGCTGATGACGGTGTTCCACCGTTCAGATCTTGAGATTCGCTCCCAGGAAGATCCAAATCCGCCGAGGCACGGTGCGCATATTTTCCATTTGGTGTCCGCTGGTCTGATTTATCAGTGGGTTCAACAGGAGGATCTCCATCTCCCAGTGTTTCCAATCCGGTATTGGAATTTTGAGGCCCCGTTGGAGTCGGGTCTATCCACGGGTTTTTGGTAGCCATATAAACCGAAACTCGGTCCGTCGGTAGTGGACACATCAATGAAACGATGAAGTCAACACCAGGCTGGCTGACTTGCACGGCGTGAAGCTTTTCCACAGGGAATGATATCTCACCCTTTGCATATCTCGGGAGCGTTTCGCCGCTGAATGCCACTCTTTTCGTGAGAATCCGGAATATGGTTTCACCAAAGGCCCACATATCGGCAGCGAAGAGACTGCCATTCTCGCAGAGGTTTAGTAGCTCGGGCGCGATGTACCCCGGTGTGCCCATCACCTCGGCACCGGCTGTCTTTTGGTAACGCATGCTGATTCCAAAGTCGGCAATCTTTACCCACCATTCGTCGTCTGGAGGGCGTGTTTTGATTAGGATGTTCTGTGCCGAGGGCATTAGTATACTTGGTATAGGAATGACTCGATACAAGAGCAAGCGCGAGAACCAACATCGGGCTTCATGTCACGATGTGCAAAACCGTTCCCATGCATGAATTCTAACCCTTCAAGGATTTGACGGGCTACTTCTTTCGTTTCATCCTCTGGGATCGGTGGGTTGGTTTTCAGATATGCATCTAGATCGCCCATCTCGAGATATTCCATTGCAATGCAAAGATACCCAGGACGAAGGAACCATCCCAATAACTCGACGAAGCAATGGACATACTGCGAAGGCTTTAGCGCATACCGAAATGAGCTGTGTGGCCGGTGATTCTGACCTGCCTCTGCGTAAATTTAGCCAGCGCTTCCAACTCGCCAGCGTGATAACTCAAGTCTTCCAGCAATTTGATCTGCTTGACAACGCGGACCTTGACGTCGTCTCGGCCGCCCTGGGTACAGGTTTCTAACCAGATAACCCCGTATCCGCCTTCTTCGACTTTTTCTTGGCGCTGCCAATGCTCTACTCTAGCCACAACGCGAGTTCGAGATTTTCTGTCAGTTTCGCGGAATCTATGGATTGTCTCGACAGGATCAGCAGTATCGCTGGGGAATGGGTCTGTAGGAAGTCTTGTGTCTTTGACTAAATCCGGAAGTTCGTCCATTCCGCGCGGCAGGTGGGTTCATCAAGAGTTCAGCAGTTCGCGATTCTATTGAGAATTGTCACTTGCAACTGTGGGAGGGGTTTGTGAGCTGTCTCTGGTTGCTGGTTGGCCCCCACGCCGCGCACCTGCAGCTGTGAATCACCTGATCTGGGGCTCAAATAGGTGGACAAGACGGAAGGCAAAGAAATGAAATCACTGTAAGTGCCTATTGAGAGCCCGTTACATCACCTTGACGTTAATACCGTGTATCAAATTAATCGGTAAAAGCAAGGGTCAATATGATTGATAGTAATATTGATGAGGGTATCGATGTGACTGAATACAGAGCCCACGCGTGGGTGTTATGCAGAATGAAGAGAAGAAAGATTGTATCCCATATGCTAGCGTTTCCGTCGGAATCTGAAGCGAGGCTCATCGTCATTGTCTGAATCCCGAGTCTCGCGTGGCCGCTTCTGACTGCGACTGCGAGATGGCGCCGATTGTGATTCAGGGGTCGGGTCTGGAGTTGCTGAAGGCTGGATGGAAACTTCAGCTTGAGATATCGCTGTGTCTTCATGGATTGAGGCCTGTCTGAGCTGCCGATCCTCCCGATTGGTACTCTGGCTCACCCCGGGCGTCTTGCTGGTGCTGACCCAGTAGTGTTCTCCAATGCCAAAGTCCTTCCGAGTCACCTCTTCAAGCGGAACAATCACGCTCTGGATGCGCTGGCGAGCATGTTGTGGCTCTCCCTTTCGTCGGAATCGCTTGAAGTTTTTGCGGCCATTCCAGCGGTCATCCCAACGATCGGAGCTTTCGTCCTCTCGTACAGCGGGTTCCCGGACGGGGATGTCCATCTCTTCGACAATGGCAAGATTTCTCAACTTTTCAACGTCCACGTCCTGGGAAAGGTGGCGATCCTCCTCGGCTTGTCGCTGTTGCTCTTCTTCTTCCTCTTGGCGATGTTTACGTGCAGCCTCTCTCACATCCAGCTTCGCACGTTTGGGATTTGGAGCAGCTTTCGTTTTCAAGCGCGTGTCAAGGATCCCTTGCCGATCCTCGCTCATTTCTGCACGGCGGCGCTTCATGGCTCGCGCGCCCGGCAGGAGTTCCGCAACAGCGTCATTCTCCTCATCTTCTTCAACTATGCTCATGGCTTGACTGGGTTCATTGAGCTGTGCGGGCTCCAGATCCATGGCTTGAGTAGCGGTTGTATCTTGAGCGGCATCGTCAGGCACATAAACTGGGACTGATTCCATATCGAAGCCGTCATCGAAAGTCTTCATTTTGCTCACATACTTCCGTGCCCGTGGAGCTGGCTTTTGGGTTGCGGCAGAGGGTATTTCTTCAGAAGGTGGTGAAATTGAGAGAGAAGCATGAGAAACGGTATTTCTTGGAGGCCTCTCTGGCGGTGCCGGAGTAGGAGCCTGACTTTCTCCTTCCTCGCGGGGAAGTGGGCGACACAGCGGGGAGGCGTCATTACCCAAAATGGCATCCAAGAACTCCCGTTGCTCTATCACTCTCTGGTCCGTCATTAAAGCAACTTCATTGCCCAAGTCGATAGACCAGGGCTCAAATTGGCCCTTGGAACGAAATCGGACAAGTACAACGCCGCCTGGTTCATCTCTCTCGGCACCGACGCCTTTTTGACCAGCAGCTGACCTCATGTACTGTACAATTTCTTCCGCTGTAGTTTCGCCATCTTTGACTTGGTAGAGAAGAGCCTTGCCTTGCCCATTGTTGATCGCCGCTTGTAAGTTCTCGAATTGAGAGGGGTCACCGAAGACAAATGTGTATCCCTCGAAGACATTCACGCGCGACGGGTTAGGAGCAAAGGCTGCAGCAGGACGGCTGATTGGCTCGTTAGCGGCAGGTGGGAGGTGCTCTGTTGGGTCTGGCCAGGCTGAGTCGAAGTCGAGTTCCAGCGGAGACGCGGATGCATCGTTCTCGAGGTCAGTGGGAGTAGTTGCATAGACGAGTGCGTCGATGTAGGAGTTTTGAACAATGTATTTGCCGTTGATCAAGGCCTGAAGCCCCTTGGCTGTATTACGCTTGCTCTGTACGACGTGGGTGGTTTGGTCGACTAGGTAGGGAATGATGGTTTTGATGTCAAGGTTCTCGAGACGAGCGCGGACCTTGGCCAAAGGATCTTTTACCCGCATTTCCTTGGAAGAAAATGAGAAGCTGAGGACCACTGGTTGCCATTTGATTCTACACGACAATTCGTCAGCGACCAGTACGAGATAGTCGAGTCGGAGTTACGAACCGTAAGGCATGTGGATAATGCCCGAGCATGATGCTATGCTCATCTCCTTTGAGTGCATGCTTGCCTTGAATCCTCTCGCCATTTACCATGGTACCTCGACTGGAATCAAGATCCGTTATGGATAGCTTCGTCCTCGCATGTGTCCGAGTCTGTAGCTCTCTATCAGCATCTCGTCTGGTTATTACCAGTCTAGCGGACATACTCCATCGCGGGGCTCAACGTTGGACACTTCGATAAGCATGTGCTTCCGGGAAATCGATTTGTTCGGAATGGCATGGCGTACTAAAATGATCCCGTGGTCAGTTGATGATCAACTCCCTCCAGTTTTCTGGATAGTGTTCACATACCGTCATCCAACAGGATGCGCCCGAAGAGATACTGCTTCCCGGGACGCAGCCATAACCGCTTCCCTGCGAGTCCAAGTCAGCAATGTTTGCACCTCTCAGCCTCCATCCCTGTCAGTCCTACGATAGCTCACCGTTCAGAAAATCCCCAGCTGAGTCCAAGATCCACATGGAGAATCGTTGCTGAAAGACCAGCGGAAGCTCCTGCACACGTGAAGCGGTAACGCGTGGGCACGTGACTTGCGTCACTCTCTCTTTGGCGGGTGCTGCCTGGCTCTCTGCTTCGCTCGGTTGACTCGATTAGTTCGATTCACTCTCAATACTGATCGATGGCACGCCTGGGATAATGGTGTCTGCAGATGAGGCAGCAGATGAGAAACCGGACTCGCCAAAAGGCGAAGAGGACTTTGAAACGTTAAAGTATCAGTTGCTAGGACCCTCTTTAACCAAGGCGGGCCAGGACGCAGTTGATCAGCAAAAGGTGCGATCTACGAGACTGAGGACTGGAAGTGATTGATGACGAAGCTGATGTTGGGGTTAGGTATCAGAAATCATCTACAACGCCTCAAAGGGCTCAAAATTCTTTGATCATGAACAAGAACGCGACCGCAATCTTACAGTCAAGATTCAGCGTATTCTCAAAGAAAAGGCTCGGCTGGAAACGCTAGACCAAAGTCATGACCTCCGCCGCGCAGATGAGTATCTCGCCGAGCTTGAATTGAGTCGTGATCTGTCTCAATACATCATTCATGTGGATTGCGATGCATTCTTCGCAGCGGTCGAGGAACTTGATCATCCAGAGCTCAAGACAGTTCCCATGGCTGTTGGAAAAGGCGTGCTCACCACTTGCAACTACGAGGCAAGGAAATTTGGAGTGCGCAGTGGTATGGCCTCCTTCGTTGCTAAAAAGCTTTGTCCGGAGCTGGTTCTCCTGCCACAAAACTATGAGAAATACACGGCTAAAGCGAAGGAGATTCGCGAGATTATGGCGCAGTATGACCCTCTATTTGAGAGTGCGAGCATTGATGAGGCTTATCTAAATATCACCGCATTCTGTTCTGAAAACGAGGTCGACCCGGAGGAAGCGGTGGAACGTATGCGCGCGGAGATCGTGGAGAATACGAAAGTTTCAGTCTCTGCAGGGATTGCTGCTAACGCCAAGGTCGCAAAAATTTGCTCGAATAAAAACAAGCCCAACGGACAGTTCCGAGTGCCCAACAATCGGGTTGCTATCATGGAATTCATGCGGGACCTACCAGTTCGAAAGGTCAATGGAGTCGGTCGAGTGTTTGAGCGAGAGCTCGACTCGATTGGCATCAAGACTTGTGGAGACATCTACCCGCAACGTGCCTTACTGACCAAATTATTTGGCGAGAAAGCGTTCCAGTTTCTGGCGCAATGCTATCTCGGCCTGGGACGGACGAAGATTGAGCCCGTTGAGACCCACGAACGAAAGAGCGTAAGCACGGAGACTACCTTCCATGCGATCGACAACAAGGAGGAGATTCGAAAGAAGCTACGGTGGGCGGCCGACGAGCTGGCGCAAGATTTAGAACGAACGCAGTTCAAGGGTCGTACACTTTGCCTGAAAGTGAAACTTCATACGTTTGAAGTTCTCACGCGCCAGACGGCGCCCCCGCGGGCCGTCTACCGCGCCAACGACCTTTATGCGTTCGCCCTGCCCATGCTGGTCAAGCTGGAGAAGGAAATCCCGGAAATGAAGCTGCGACTTCTGGGATTACGAGTCTCGAACTTGATCAGCACCAAGAAAGTCGGCATTAACTTCTTCGGGGTGACAGTCCAGCCAAAGCCCACACCTGGCGATACTCCAGAACAAAGTGCCTTGGAAGTCGACCCCAATTCCGAGCACGACATTGGAGCTGAAGAGGCATTTGAGAATGCTGCTCGTCAAGAAAAGCAAGATGAGATGAACGACCTGGAGCAACTCAGTCAAGAAGCAGTTGGGCTTTCTGTGCCTTGCGATCCGCTGGGTACTGAAAGTACCGAGTCTACTGGGAGCACTGCCAAAGATCTAGTTGACCCCCAACCTGAGCATTGGGAGTGTCCTATATGTGGTCGACCACAAGTTGCAGATGATCGAGTCTTCAACGATCATGTGGATTTCTGTCTTTCCAAGCAAACCATCCGCGAAATCGCCCAAGATACTTTTCAAGACGTCCCTTCGATTCCGTCCACCAAGAAGCGCAAAACACCCGCTCAACAGTCGTCTGCGGACTTTGATCCACGTCAGAAACGGCTTTTCTTTAGTTGAACCTCGACTTCTTCCTCGATGGTTCATCAACACCGATCACCCGTCTACGACGCTATCAAAATTGGCACTACGGAGCCCTGGATATTCCCATTTGTACGATCTTGACCCTCCTGCACGTCCCGTGCGTGATCGACGGGCCAATTGGGTTGTTATCGAGTGGAGCATCCCCCCTTCTCCCATGCTATTGCCTACGCCCATGCCAGGGTCCTGCATCAACCTCGCGTCATCTTCTCATAGAACGATCAGATCACTGAATAATATTATAAACACATGACCAATAGTCAATACAAATAATCCAGCTGCATCTCTTCATTAGCTCTAGTCACCCTTGGAACAATAATATACTTCGCCCGCAAAAACATAAGCCCGGGAATGCCTCTGCGTTGCGGTGAACATCGCCCTAAACCTAATCGAGCCTGAATGTTTTCGAGTCCCCTCGCCATCCTCCCACCTTCCACTCTTCTTTCCACCGTCAGGCAACGCAGGTTTCCTTCTCTGTCTGCATAGATTGAGAATCAGCTGTTGAGTGTGGCCAGTGCCACCATGCCCTGCAGCCTGCGGTGTATCGCGATGCCAGCTTCGAGTCCCGCTCCGCAACTATGACCTCCGATAAACAAAACAATGGCCATCTCGCCAAACCGTTCACGCCCACCCTCTCGGCGGCCTTCCACCGCACCAGCAAGGCTCCTCTGACGCCGAAACTGGCCAGTCCAAGCCCTGGATATCCAGTGGCTCGTCGCCTTGCACATCCCGACCACCCCTATTCCACCCCCACCAAGGACGATGTCGCCTCCGTCCCTCCGTCTTTCCTGAGCGCAAACGTCACTCCTCGATCGGGTTCACGCACCACCCGCCGCGATGCTGCTTTCCCCTCGCCCACGAATACCCCGTCTACCAATTCTCCACCGGCCCCCTACTCTCACGCGACGGTCGGCCTCGGTGTCAATGGCGTGCGACGAACAGAGCGGAGCCCAGCTCGCGGGGTGAAGCCCGAGCAGTCGAGAAGTTTGAGGGCAAAGACATTGACGGCAGAAGGTCAGCAAGCTTCACGTCCGAACTCGTTTACTGATCTCGCGTCCAATGCCCCAATGTTCTTCCACGCCTCCGATGCTCGATCAACAACCTCTTCCGAGGTAGAAGGGCCGGCCCGCCAAAAGCAGGGCAAGATGTCCCCTGCCTCGAGCTTCGTCTATGCCAACGGTGACCAGGAACGACAGTCTTCGGTAGAAGACTTTCACTCGACTGTCTCCAGTGCCAAGCGTCGTTCTGGAGGTCTCCCTCGCCCTGCTCCTTCATCCAGACCAGCTGCCTCACCGTCTCCTCGTCTCAAATCCCCGCGAATTTCCGATGCCACCTCCCCCTCTTCCGATGATACAATCTCTCAACACAATGGAAATCCTGATATAGCACTAGTAGAGAGCATTATCCAGCGTTACGGCTCTTCTCCGAGCGTCGCTCCTGAAATACCGCAGCCACTTTCACTCCGACAGCACAGAAAATCTTCGAGTGTGGGCTCGAGCGGTCAAGTCGCTCCTTCTCTTGAATGCCTTCAAGCGAGTCCTGTGGTCATTTCTAATACTCTGGGTGCGGACGGAACAACGCCTGTCATGTCCGATCAAATCCCGACATTACGCCCCCGAGTCTTCAGCAATGGCTCTTCTGTGTCGACGGGGCCCCATATATCCATGCCTCTAAGCCCGGGAAAGTCTGATGGACCGAGTGATATGGCATTGAATGCGCGGACGGAGCGTAAGATTATGGATTTGGAAATCAGTAATTCTTCTCTTTTGGCCATCAACAGGACGCTTGAACGAGAGATGCGGAAACAAAACGCAGAGTTGCGAAGATATCGACGACTCAGCCGCTCTGGACGGCTCTCTATGGCACCCTCTACGCGTTCCTTCTCTGGTGCTGCGTTGTCTACGACGAGTGAATTGGATGAAGTGAACAGCGAGCTTTCATCATCTCTATCCCGGGATGAATTATCTGAATCCAGCGATGAAGACTCGGTCGTGGATGAAGGTGTTCTGAGTCCGGATTCACTTGCAGAACACGATGCGAAGCACCGTGCACACGATGAGAAGAAATTCATGCTCGATCTCGCCCGGCACCAAGAGCTTCTGATTGATAGCCAGAAGCTGAATCAGAGCCTCAAGCGCTGTCTCGAGTGGACCGAAGAACTCATCAAAGAAGGGCGGAAAGCTCTTGAGTATAATGTCCGCGTCCAGGATGTCGAGCTGGGTGGGCGAGTTCTGTCTCCCGAGGAGGTGGGCGAGGTCGGTGAGAGCGGTCGAGGCTTACTCAGTCCTTCAACTGATTATGCTTCCATTTTCCACCATGATACCTCAAAATTTGACGACTCATATTTCGATCCAGCGGCATTTCCTTTACCCTCGTCCCCAGGTGGGACTGACTAGTGTTCTAATATGTTTCATTCACTTGTATCTTTTGCAAAATACCCCTTGCTATCTCTCTTTTTCTTCTGACCTGGTTTTTTCAGCCTGATACACCAACCTTTACCCGTGCATTTGTACTCGATTTTGTCAATTATCTATCTGTATCAGATATCTCCTCTTCTCGCGCCTTTCCTTTTCTTCGAGCGCTCACGCCTATCCATCTCAGAAGCGGTGTGATAGATCTCTGTTTTCGCTGAACAATTTGGATACGTCCCATCACACTGCTCTTTCACAATCTTTGATATATACCCCAGATCTGCCATCTCCACCTGTTCATGTGCCCGTGTCAAACTTATGAAGTTCTTCTACACACCTTTGGATGCTATCACTTTGAATCTATGCGACACCTGATTCGTTCATGATCGTTGATGAACTATCCTTCAAGTATTCTTGTGTTGCTGTACCAATACAATTTAAATGAAATAGGCCTAGAAACATTCAAAATATCATTGAGTCATATGGATCATACTAGCAGCTCATGACCATCGTCACCATCCTGTGAGCATAACCAATCCGTCATGGAAATGGGCACTGGCCCATCCGCTGTTGTTTGATGCTTTCCCTGATAACTTCAAGCTCTTTCCGGCCCTTGCCCTCAAAATATTTCGGTCCCAGATCAGGCGTGTAGTATCCCTGGGGGTAGTACTTGTCTCCATCGTCACCGGGCAGTGGTTGGCCAAGTGCCCATTTGAACCAAGCCACCGGTCCCCATCGATTCCAAATGGTGGGCTGGACATAAAAAGGCGCACCTTCGTAAAATAGAACATAGTTGCGGCCGTACTTGTTGGGATTTTCCGTGAAGACGTCTAATCGCATGAAGTTTGGGCGAGGAAGAGCCAGGTAGCGCAAACAGAACTTGCGGAGTTGGAAGGCCGCAGAGAAAATGATGCTGAACAATGTGGGAGGGGGATCGATCCTGATATGACATATGTGGTTAGTATATACCTCTGAGTCAGATGGATCGGATCGGATATCGCATACATCATGGCACTTCGAAGCCTTTCATCCATCAGGAAAGACACAAAGTAAAGACCCAACGGCTTGATGAACCGTGGCAAATTATAAACCAGCACATCAATTGTCCGATCCGCAATTTCCTTGTTACGAGGATGAGGCTTCATATGCTTCACTTCATATCCCAAACTCCACTCTCTAACCTCCTCCAACCAATGAATTCCATCCCGGAATCCAGTCGTACCAGATGGTAGTGTCTCGTAACTGATACCCAGTGCATCGCCAAGACTCTTCCAGTATGTGCCCACAGCGCAGCGCTCCATTTCTGTCATCTCGCGCCATTCGTACATTTTGACGAATCGGATTGGTTCGAGCGCAAACAGACTGAGCGTGTAGAGCATGTCGTCTTCGAGGATTTTGCCGCTGGCTCGGTAGCCTTTGTGGAGGAATTTGGTGCGGGCGATGGCTGTTTGGGCGCGTTCGGAGTTTGGATCGAAGGCCATGAATTCGCCTATCAATGCGCCGGTGTCTGCGTATCGTTTGAATGATGTTGCGGGGTCGGAGAATTGAGATGTTTTTAGAAGGAGGGTTGATATGGTTGGGATACCGTATGTCTAATTTGAGAATAGAATGTTAGGATGTGTGGATATTGGGGATTTGACCTGGTACATACACGGAAGAGAGCAAACTGGAGTGACTTGAGAACGATGAACGGGAACTCCATCTGCAGGATTGTTTTCTGAATTGTGAACGCATCCTTGTCGGTCATTTTCCCCATCGATTCGCGTGTTTTATACGGATATTTTCGGTGAAGACTTTGACATCTTTGGAATCTCAGGGTTGATGCCAGGGCTAGATAGCCGCCTAGTCCAAGCAGGGAATACAGAATACACTGTTCCATTGAGACGTGCGATGCCGCGTTGGCAATAGAGCTACCATCACCCAGGATGGCTGTCATGGCAGGCCAGGCCATGATATAGTTGAATATGCTGGATTAACTTAGATAGAGAGTGAAGATAATTTGCAACCCAGCGAGAAGAAGTTTGGGTGTGTGGCCCTGCTTAGTACGAATTTCCTTTGTGCAGGTGCCTGGAAGACTTATATACATGACATCTGTTCTACGGTTGAAACGATCTTCTTCTGAAGCCATCCGAGCAAATGGGCGATGATGACTGTCTGCGATCCGGATAGACGCCCATCTATAACGGCACAGCGGACCGAGGAATATCAGGGACCGGGCGCGGGGCAGCCCTACTAATACCCTGCATACCATCAATTATGACAATCCCAGGGTAAGTGATTCGCCCATAGGGCCCGTTGAATAAGAAATTCAGGTGCATTTTAAGCAACATCCATGTATACGGCGGGACCACGCTGTCCTGAACTAGTGGCGTGAACACCCAAGTAGATCACAGCCGAGGTTTCGCCTTATCAAGTAGAGGCATAGTTCTTCAAGAGTCTAATTATGCGCGAATGACGATAGGCTTACCCCAGATATTGGCCGGTATAAAGTATCGCATAAGACTTACATACTCGGCATTTCGGTCGGAGTCTCACCCACCGATGTCGTATGACTTACTTGAGAGTTCGAAGCTCGGGAATAAGAACTTCAGCAGGCGGGGTGATCGACATGGGTTTCGGATCACAACGAAGCCGGGGATCGTCGCTGTCGATGGGAAGATTTACAAGGATGGTGGTTGGTCAGTTGCGATATACGGGACCCGCTTCACATGTTAGCAACCATTGATGTGGTCATGAGACATTCTATTGGGAACTTCAACATGTTTGTGACTCGAGAAAGGGAAAGGTAGAAATTCCATTGCAAGCCGACCTGTTGGATTGGAAAGATGTGTAAGAAGATGGCGTTGGGGTGTACTGACCATGCTCTACACAATCTGCTGAAGCCGTGCCTGGGAGATATGTCAGCCCTAGGAAGCCAATTCACCACCCACCCACCTAGTGCTCCGGGAACCACAGTATTTGTTTTTAATAGGTAGTTGCCACGTATTTGACACACGCTGCAGTTCTCGAGCTCAGAGAGAAGTGAAGGATTCGGTATATTGACTTACTTCTACACAGTCTACCGGGCTGGGCGCAGTGAAACTTGTTCGATATATATCCCTCGGAACCCTCAACGTCGTTATTCCAGCTTATCAATATTACAGTTGTCTATCCAGTCTATTGTTCGTATTTCATCATTTCGATTAAATCTGAAGCCTCTTTGAATCTCGTCTCGAGAATAAACGTATTCATTCATCACTACTGCTGACCCCCTGGTCGTCATAATTTAGGGTTCACGATAACTTCAAGATTGATGAATGACACCGGTGCCGCATGCATAGCTTTATCAATGTTTCTTACGGCTGTTGAAGGCTCACTAGTAATTGATTGTTTTCATTTTAAATGGTATATGAAAAACAAACAAATGATTCATTCATACATTCTGTGGCATGCAGTTCGATTTAAGCTCAGTTTCTTGTCCAAACTTTATATTCAAACAGCAATCGGCTTGAAGGTCTAAGCCTGAGCCTTGATATATGGAATACCCGTCAACTTGAAAGCCCGCTCGCTAAGCTCTGGCTCATTCACGGGCTTATCACGGTTATGCGGGTCCTCCTTGCCATCCCGCTGGGCAACATTGGAGCCGGTGTGCATAGCGTTAGGCCAGTGAGTAGTACCAACACGGCGATCGAAAGCATCCTTCTTCCGGATCAGATCATCTTGCGTGGCATTGGCGACAGGCATGTAGCAAGTGTAGATGGCGAAGCGGGGCTGGTTGTTCTTCGGGCTGAGGTTGTAGTGGGGAGTACGCGAGTCCCAGAGCAGTAGATCGCCAGGCTCGGCGCAGACCTTCTCCCACTTGCAACCGCGGTCCTCGAGCCACTTCATGCCCCGGTCGGTAAAGCCGTACCACTCAGGCGTCCAGGCGGGAATGCGCTCTTCATCGGCCATGTCGCGGTGGAATTCTTCGGAAACGAGGTGTCCGCCCTTACAGACGATGAGGCCGCCGTCCTCCGGGCCGTTGGGGAGAAGGTTCACAAGGCCTTGCATGCAGCGGAAGCCGTGCTTCTCGGGGTTCTGGTCTTGATGAGGCCAGGGCTTGTTGGGAGCAATATCGGTGCGGCTGGTTGGGTTTCTGAATTAGTATGAGTTCTTACGTTGTGACTTGATAGATTGACGTACTTGGGGAACTGGAAGTTGATAGCGTCGAAGGAGACGATCAGATCCTCGTCATCATAGATCTTCTCAAAGGCACCAACAACACCGGGCTCGCTCCGAACGCCCCAGACAAAGTTTTCGTGGGGGAGACCATAGTGCAGGCACATGCCCTTCTCGTTGATCACGGGCAGGTTGTCCTTGTGGACGGTGGAAAGGTCATTGCGGTTGAATCCAAGCTTGCTGATAGGGAGTCAATGTTTGGTTCGGCCAGGAAGACTTTTTAAGATTTCGACTTACAAGTTCTCTAGCCAGGTGTACATCTCATCAGCATACTTCAGAGCCTTCTCGCGAGGAATAGCGCCCTTGACGACCGCGAAGCCGTTGCGGGCTAACTCATCACGGAAATCACCAAACTGCTTGTCGGTACCATCCAGGCGCATGCGGCCAAAGCCGTGCAAGTTGGGGTTGGCCTGAACGGTCTTGGTGACGGTTGTAGTAGCCGACATTTTTGATTCAAAGATCATGAGAGGTATATCCTTGTGTAAATTGCTTGTTGACTATGATCCTGTAGCACGGCGACTTCTCCGGACGTTTATAATAGGCGTCGCGGTTCTCTCGGATGAAAACAAGTTAGGCAAGCTCCAAGAAGAATGCCCACATTCATTTCTGAGCAACGCATCATAAGACCAGTCATGATTATGTTCATTGGCCGCTGGGCTTCGTTGAGGATGTACTGGCCCCAGTCCTCGGAAAGTGGGGGAAGTGGAGGTGGGGGCAGCACCAACATCGGAGGAAGTGGACGAGCGACCATCGGGGCTTTTGGAGAAGTCTGTGCTTCTCAAAAGGCGGAGATAGCGTCAATAGGAAGGGTTCGACTGGCTTTGAGAAAGAAAAGAAAGAAAGTTGGATGAAATCAACATGCCGCCGTTTCGCATTGTCATCGTGGGAGGCGGGATCGCTGGATTTACTGCAGCGATCGCTCTTCGTGGACCAAACAGACAGATCACGGTCCTTGAGCAGTCCAGACTCAATAAGGAAATTGGTGCTTTGATTTCACTGCAACCGAATGCATCCAGGATTGTCGAGTCTACTTGGGGACTAAAGAAGGGACTGGCGGCGGCTAGAGAAATTGTCGATGAAGGGTTCCGTGTCTATAACACCGACGGAATTCTCGCCAACACCGTGCCTCTAACCACTAAGACGGAATTTGGTGCAGACCGGTTGTGTTTTCACAGAAGAGATCTTCATGATCAGTTCAAGGGGGCGGCAGTCTCTCCCGACCGTGCAGGCGAGCCGGTGACAGTCCGAGTCGCCTCAAGGGTAGTTGACTGCAGTCCCCTGGATGGCACAGTCACCCTTGATGGAGGGGAGGTCATTACGGCAGATTTGATTGTTGCCGCTGATGGAATGTAAGTCTGGAAGATACAATACCTTGCTTCAGAATTCAGATGCTGATCACTGCGATATAGTCACAGCGTGATCCGCAAGCACGTTTTGCAAGAAGAGCCTTCTCCATTACCCACGGGGCATTCTGGTGAGTACTTAACTCATCTAATTTTGATATGAAAAAAAGAGTCTTCTGTTGACCGCATAATTCTCAGCCTATCGCCTGATGGTACGTTCAAAGCACCCATAGTTTGATAGTTTGAATCGACTAACATTGTTTAGATTCCCTCTGAGACCCTGGAAAAGGAAGAGCTAGAGTTCTGCTCCAAGATCAATCCTCGTGAGCCTTTCACCTCGATGATGGTTGCCCATAACTGTCGACTAGTTATGGGGCCTGGCAGGCAAGGTGAGGTGTACGGTATTACTGCATTGGTGCCCGACGGTAAGTGAGGATTGCCATCATCGTATAGGTTTCACCGTTAATCAGTGTCTTGCAGAGCAAATGAACGAGGACCCTGGCGCAAAGCAGTCCTGGGTTTCCGAAGGAGACCTAGGCAAGATGCTGCAGACCTTTTCGGAGTTCCCTCCCTGGGTCACAAGTATCTTTAAGTACGAGACTCTTCTTTCAATTATTAGATAAGTCGCTAATAGCTAGCAGACACTCTGTGGATCTCGGACTATGGCAATTGCGTGATTTGGTAAGTATTTCATTCTGCTCAGAGAACCAAAGAAGCCTTTTACTGACCAAATCCTAGGATCCCCTAAAGACTTGGCATCGTGGCCGAGTCATTCTCATTGGAGATGCTGCACATGCCATGCTCCCTACACAGGGCCAGGGTGCTAGTCAAGCAATTGAAGATGCGGAGGCCTTGGGAGCCTTCTTCGAAGGTGTCAACGAGCCGCCCTCAGCAGAGACATTGTCGGAGATTTTGGAAGTGAGTTAATTGTTCTTGTACTTGTATTGCCAGGGCTCTGGAAAAATATCGCTAAACACTGGAATTGTAGAATATATTCCAGGCTCGTTATTCTCGCGTCAGCCTGATCCAGGCATACAGCAGGGAGGCGGCCAAGCCAGCGGCTGCAAAGAAGACGGTCACTTTGTAAGACAGTTGGATTCTACCGAAGGAATAGACGCCTGATTAATGATACTGTTGCAGGAGACCCGACGAGTTCATGAAGTTCAATTGTATGTATCGCGGGGCAAAGGCTTGGAGTAACGATCAGATCCCGGTGTCGGCTTGAGCATAGCGAAGAACTGGTAGCAACGAGCTAGTAAGATTTCAAGATTCTATATTGGTTATATAGGTTCAATGTGTATGTATCATGAAATGGCTCAACCATGAGATTCAAGGGCCAATTATGACCTAGTAGTGGAAGTATACTGTTTTAGCTATATCGTGTTGTTGCTACAGTTTTTGGACCTTGATCCGATGGAATATCCAATAAAAATGATGATTTCGCGAATTCTTAATAACTCTACCCGCGGCTAAACACCGGCACTGTAGATTCAGCGACTGTAAGCGATGGTAGACGCGAAAGGTCCAGTAGCCCAGTTCTAGTTGTCTAGACAGCACCCCGCAAGAGTCAAGACTGGAGAAAAAGCAGGTTGACCCACATTCCCCAAATTTGCCGACGCCTCATTCTAAAGTCTGCCAAATAGCGAGACGCTGAATGGCCGAGGCCGTTGGTTGTCAAGGATTTTAGCTCTGCAAATCACTTTGGCCAGTTCAAGCCATCGGCAAGTCGTGGCCCGCAAAATCCCACGCTCTCCCGATCGCCGCCCTTCGGCCCTCCGCACATAAATCGGTCTCTCGTCCACTTTTGTCTTCCCCACTTCCCCCGAGGTTCCATCATGCCCGACAGTCCGGAGAACCCTCGACGTTCCCCGCGTAGGGTCGTGAATCATCGCTGTCCGCACTGCGACAAGGCGTATGAACGGCCGGACCATTTGGCGCGTCATCTAGATTCACGTGAGTAGTGAGGCCGATCGCCATGTGGGAGAATTTCCTAGAAGGCTGAAAGTCCAGGATTGATCAGATCGCAATGAACGTGTGTACCAATGTCCGACCTGTCAACGTGGTTTCAATCGCCGGTATGTCCATCTCAAGCGCGATTGAGTATTGCGCTGCTTTGCGTCGCGGTCAACTAACAACGACCAGGGATGTCTTGCAGCGACACCAGGCCGTCCATGAAAAAGATGAGGCGGAAGGTAAGACCTCGACTCGACGGACAAAGGAGCGCGCAATTGAAGCGTGTGAAGCGTGCGCGACTGCGAAACTAAGCTGTGACAACGAAAGACCCTGCAAAGTATGCCAGCCAGCTTGAAGCCCTGGGATCCCCGCACTAACAGACTTGTAGCGATGCCATTCGAAACAGATACAATGTGTTCCCAGATCTAAAGGCACCCGTCGATCAAGCGAGCGCCTATCGTATCCTCTGTCGCTCCCACCATATTCGCCGCATGTCGGAGGCCCAGCGCCGGATCTATCGACTCTCACAGCAACACCCGAATCGGGACCGTCTGAATTCAGTGTTCCACCGCCATCAGAATCATTCTCGGGGAATGCGCATGAGATGTACGACTCGAATATCGCACCACCTGGCGAGATGGCATTAGAAGCCTTCATCCCGCAAAGGAATGTGCAGGCGTATTCTCCTCTGAACGGATTTCCTGCATTTTTCGAACAGGTCATGTTGCCAGGTCTGGAGGCCGATGATGCAGCTCACGGTCCACAACAGCCGCGAGTGTTCGACTTCATGCAGGACACCGATTTTACTTTTTCGGATACCGACATATTTGGTACGGACTTTATACCAGATCTCGACAAGATCCTCGATATTCCGATCGCAGTTTCCGAATTCGAGGATCCTCGACAATCCCCGCCAGATGACCAAGAGTCCGCGAGCCGGCGTGCTGCAGCTTTTGGGCGGTCTTTATGGTGAGTCTGTGGAAATTATTCTCTTGACTAGTCTGTTACTAACACTATGGGTAGGCTGTGGGTCCCAGAGAAAAATCAACATGCATTTAGTGAAGAGAGACGAATCCCCTTGCGCGACAGTGATAGTATCCCATCCGATCACCAAATCCGGTTGGATGCAATAAAAATACCTGGAAAACTCTCATATCAAGCACGAGATGATATCTTAAAGTTGGTCTTACGGACCGGAGGCTCACGACTTTCAGTCACAACATTCCCGTCTGCAGACTATCTTGACACGCTCATCAAAATCGGCATTGGGAAGCGAACCGAGACAGATGCGTGGATTCACCCCTACACCTTTTACGACTCAATTTATCAACAGTTGCACCCTGAGCTACTTACAGCGTTGGTCGCGGCAGGCTGTGTGTGCTGTGGAATGCCCTCTATCAATAAGACTGGTATCATTCTGCAAGAAATTACGAGAGTGGGCCTGGCACAATTAGTACGTCCTCCTAGTTGAAGATTTTGAGGACATCGTTAACGAATTTGGGCATACAGGTTGAAGATGACAACAGTGTGCTACGCGATCTGCAATATTTGCAGGCCTCAATGATATGGCTGGATATTGGAGTTTTCTGTGGCTATACCCGGAAAATGCAGATCGCTGAAAGCTATTTGCAGCCACTCTGCACGGTAAGTAGCACGACTCTAGCTGGATGTGACTGTTTGATGCTTATCATGTATACCAGGCAGTGCGTCGTGGTGCGGCTTTTGACAGGTCAACGTACACGGTCATCACTCCATATACATTTGGCAATGATGATGAATCATTACGACGAGCATGGCATGCTTGGGTACGACAAGAATCTCTCAAAAGGTATGTAATGAGAATTCTTGCTATCTAACTTGCAGTACTGATCAATGTAGACTTGTATATCATTTGTTCGGCCATGACGTGGAGGTAGCCACAGCTATGAATCGACCTGCTATCATCTCCTACACGGAGTTGACGCTGCCATTCCCCTCAGCCAGAGAGCTCTGGCTTGCTCCAACCGCCAGAGCCTGGAGGGATATTTGGACAGCCAAGTACCGGTTGACTGGCTGCTCTGAGTTGAATCTGCGTGATCTACTTTCAGATCCATCATTGATGAGTCAACTACCTCCGGACCTTGACCTGGAAATTGCGAGATCTGCACTGCTACAAGGTCTTGCTCTGCAAGTGTGGGAGTTCCGCCAGCAGATGCTTCTGTCCCAGAACTCCCGATCTGGACCACGTGCGACTACTCGGTTGTGGTTGCAAAGTCGACAAGAAGACCTGTAAGTGTTTGAAATTGATCAGTTATACTGAATGAGCCATCTGATCCATTTCTTAGATATACAACCCTCCGGGCCGTGCAGGAAGACTCCCCAAGCGCCCCGCCTGTCACAACATTAATGAACGAGTTCGTGATGATGTACCTCCACATTGACATCGACGCCATCCAGCGGTTCGTCGGAAAGATGGGCGAGCTAGACGCTCGTCGCGCCTACCCTGGTCTCCGAGACTGGAGCCGCACCAAAGAAGCGCGGTCCGCCATCTGGCACGCCGGCCAAGTGCTTCGCGCGGCCCGGAAAGTGGTCGCATATGAGTTCCGCGGGTTTGAGTCCTTGGCTATCTACCATGCGACACTGGTTCTGTGGGTATACGGGTTACTCCAATGTGGCGAGACCAAGCGACACGAGGTAGCCACCCCCATGAGCGAAGCCGATCCCACTCCGCAAGTTCCCCTGGATGGCCCCGAGGACCAAGTGACCAAGGCCTTTTTGGGTCACGGCGTCGGGCGACCCGGATTGATGATGGTTCAGTCCCGCGGTGGCAATGAAGGGAATGCCAACAAGGTTTTCTGTGAATTAAGCAAGCCTCGTGCGGTAATGGCTGTAGCGCGGCAGGTGTTTGAAGGCAATTGTCCGCTTCCCTTGCCGGATGATATGCTTCCACCGATGATTCAAAACTTGTGTTCTCTGATTGAGGATTTGGGGAATCTACGATGATGATACTACGATATTAGACGTTGAATTAAACAGACCTTGTACCATAAGCACACGTCTTCTGGCATTACCCCGTATATTCACAGCTCATGAGGTTTCTTAGCAAACAACGGACCGAACTAACGAGAACTGCCGACCGAAGCGCCAATCAGCAACTTCCAATTTGATCTCGGCATGTGGGCGATCCACCCCCACGGGGAATGCGAATTTGCCCCAACTTTGACTGTTCGACTTGTTGAACTTTTGCACTTTTTGACTTTTTTTGACAACTCGGCCTGAACGGGGAGATCCACCCACTATCGCCGTCCATTTCTCCCCAGTGACAGTCCTCCAAGATCCAGCTCGTTCCCCAGTCTATGTCCATGCACCGACCGAACTAGACTCCCCCCCTCCGGCGCGCAATGGCGGCATCGCTGTGGAGGAGCCGATGACTCTAGCTGGCAGCCTAGCACAGAAAAAGGCACAGCTTTGCCATCATCTGGACGTTTCTTTTCCTCTCTCTCTTTCTTTTCCCCGGAGCCGCTGCGCGTCCAGATATTCACTTCCCCCCAATCTGGTTCACAGCGCAGATATCATGGCTACTATTATTGATCAGAAAGTCAAGATCGAGTTCGTGGAGGATGTGGAGCCGCAACCTGTCAAGGATGGCGAGGTGCTCGTCGATGCGGCTGGGGAGATTCAGCGGTTGCCCGTTCCTAGTGCCGATCCCAATGATCCTCTCAACTTCACCTTGTGGGAGAAGACAGGCGTGATTGTCAGTTGCTGCTGGTTCTCGATCATGTCTCTCTCCGTTGTCGGTGGTCTGGGATCTATCTTGGGTATCTTCTTTGGGTTGTATATGCCGCAGGGTTATAGTACGACTCAGGTTGTTTGGTTAGGAACGTTTCCTTCGTTATTTGTTGGTGTTGGTGAGTATATAGAGCGTCTGATTTGCTGAGCGACATGGTATGGCTAATACGGCCAGGAAATTATCTTATTCTTCCCTTGGGTCTGGTGTACGGTCGTCGACCTACTGCCATTGGGTCAATTGTGGTCCTTTTTGTTGCGACGATTGGATGTGCTGTGTCACAGACTTTTGAGCAGCATCTTGGTCTGCGATGTCTCCAAGGGTTGGCAACCGGTGCTACAGAGTCGGTTAGTATTTTCTGTCTTTGCCTACTGCGATGTGCGTACTAATTAACCGTCCTGTCTAGCTTCTTCCCCTGATGCTCTCGGAGGTGACCTTTGTCCACCAGCGTGGCCTTGTCTTCGGTGTCTACTGGGCAACCCAGAATGTGGTGACCAGCTGTCTGAACATCGCGTCTTCCTATGAAGCTGCCGCTCTGGGCTGGCGCTGGTTCTACTGGGTTTACGTAATGGCCGTCGGTGTCGGCCTTTTCATTGTCATCTTCAGCTGCTTTGAGACACGCTACCAGCGGCGCGCACAGCTTGTCAATGGCCAGGTTATCGTAACTGATCAGTTCGGCGTCACCCAGATTCTGACAGGTCAGCAAGCTCAGGAGTACCTGCTGGCTCTCGAAGCCGAGGAGCAGGAAATCCCAGACGAGGCCCGACCCAAGAAGACATACATGGAGATGCTCGCCCCGTGGCAGAAGCCATCAAAGCACCCTGTGAAGACCATTTTGATGGCCTGGTTCCACATGTTCGAAGCCTTCAGCTCCCCCGGAATCCTGTACGCGACCGTGTTGTCTGCTGTGGTGCTGGGGTGCAGTGTCGGCATGTCCTTGACTTACGACACCGTGCTGCAGGAGAACTATGGCTGGGCTGCCAAGAATGTTGGTTTGATCAACCTGGGCGGTGTCTTTGGTGGCTTTGGAGGCATGCTCTACGCTGGTATCTTTGGTGATTGGTTTATTCTGCGCCTGGCCAAGCGCGCTAATGGCGTCCACACGCCCGAGCATCGCCTGGTTCTGCTGATCTTTCCCGGTATCCTGACGGTCGTTTCGCTTCTCCTGTATGGGTTCACCGCTAATGGCAATGCCACCTGGGGTGGGCCGTACATGGGATGGACACTGTTGCAGGTCGCGTTCGTCTCGGTGCTCATTTTGTCCACTTCTTTTGCTGCCGAGGCGTGGGAGAGGAACCCTGGTCCTGCCCTTGTGGCAGTTGTTGGCACAAAGAACGTCATCGCGTTTGGTATCAGCTATGGCTTGAACCCAATGGTTTCCAAGTACAGCTACCCAGTCGCGATGGGAATTCTGACTGCCGTTGCTGGGGGAATTTTCCTCTTGGGAGTCCCCGTCTATTTCTTCAATCCTGCGGTAAGCCTGCGCTTCAAATCATTGAATTGTTCTACTTCAAGTGCTGACCTTGTTGTTTCTTTAGTGGCGCCGCTACATGCAACGACGTGAAGCCAAGAACTAAGCTGAAACACGAATGCCTGGATTTGCATGGGATGACCCATCATATTATACTGGCTGTCGTGTGGCTTGCTCAGCTGACGGAATCGCTCCATTTCATGATCCTATGAGGAGTACATCATGGATGGAGAACATGTAGTAGTAGTAGAAATTCTTTCTGTAGAAGTAGGATTGTTGAATGCGAACGCCCTCAGGCTTTTGATCATTAACATGGTTTCTTTGTAGAGTGGATTAGAAATGCGGCCCACAGCACAGAGTACTCAATGAGAGGTGCCTTGGAAAGCTGGAGGTAACAAAATTGTGACACTATTGACTACGAATAAGCCGAAGAGAGGACGATGTCATAGTTCAGCCTACAGACCGAGCTCTCTTATCAAATTCATTTTCAAGTAAACGTCATAGCCTATCGGAGGGTCCAGCCCTTCCCAAGATATTGAGCCACATGACTGCAGAGAAAGTAGCGTTTCGAATTGCCTTCAACTAGATTGTACATTACAATTAGAGATTGATGAAAATATAGAGTAAAAATCTGAGCAATTGTAGGCTTGAAATCATAATTCTTGATGTAGTCCAGGGCTATCCACCTTCCGGAAGAGTGAATATCCCGTCCAAGGCAATGTGCGGTAGATCGAAACTCGAGTGGAGCTTGATCCTTGTTCCGGGACCGCTAGAATATCCCAAACTAGCAGATTAAGCGATCCTCTCGATCCATTCGGCATCCAGTTGGGTCGGCGGCACGCCACCCTCCCCAGCTTTCCCCGCATTACCAACCTCTTGGGCACTGCAGTTTCCGGGTAATGACCCCGCGGAACTTCAATCGAAGTGGTGACCTCAACTTCATGCCTTGCTCTTGAACTATTGAGCCCTACGCGGAGGGGATTGCACCAAGATCAGATCCTTGATCGGCGAGTCCAACATGAGTTTCCAACGTCTCGCCAACAAAGTCGCTATCGTGACCGGCGCTTCATCGGGGCTAGGCCGTGCCATCGCCACAGCCTATTCTCGGGAGGGTGCACACGTGGTCTGCGCAGACTTGACTCCTTCTGCCCGTTCGACTGTTCCGAAGGAAGCGGCTATTGATACAGTCGACTTGATTCACCAGAATGGAAGGAGAGCAATCTTCGTCAAGACCGATGTTGGCGACGCGAAAGCCATTGAGCATATGGTGAATACTGCTGTGGCCGAGTTCAGAAGATTAGACATGTTAGTTCCAGAGTCAAACGATCATAGCCCATGCATCTCTTTGGCACATGGGTTGTTTTCTTGGCCTATTCTTTGCTTCAGTCGATATTTGCTGACGGCTGGAAGTATAGTTAATAACGCTGGGGTATCACTCGAGTCACGATTTCCAAACCCTATCCATACCACATCAGAACAGGCATGGGATGAGACCATGCGAGTCAACGCAAGATCAGTGTTTTTGGGTTGCAAGTATGCTCTCGCACAGATGCTCAAGCAAGACTCTGTTCACCCGTCTGGTGATAAAGGCTGGATCATAAATATTTCGTCAATCATGGCATCTATTGCGGGGAATGACAACCGTGGGTTCCTTCAGCGCTCAGGATAGTGGCTGTGATGGTTGCTGAGAATTGACTATTTTGCAGCATCTTACTGTGCCTCTAAAGGAGCAGTGAGTAGCCTGACAAGGCAGGTCGCGTTGGACTACGCGAAGTACCGCATTCATTGTAATGCAATCTGCCCGGGTTGTAAGTTGCGTTCTCAGAAAGACTGTGGAACCCTCCCCCCCACCCCCAAAACTTTATAATGCTGACCGAGTTTTCAATTGGGAATAGATACACAGACAGCCCTTCTACTTGAGACTACATCTAACCTGACGCCAATTGAGGATATCCAGCGCAGGCACCCATTCGGGGGTATTGGGAAGCCCGAGGATATTGCACGATTTGCCGTGGTTCTAGCCAGTGATGATGCTGCCTTGGTTACTGGAGCGTGCCACATCGTGGACGGTGGTTATACTGCTCGATAGTTCTCGGTATCATAATGCTGAGTAGTGGAGCCGACACGTAAGTCGGCCCGATGTTGTGCTAGCTGAGGCCAATTGATCGACGGAATGAATACTCTAGCCCGGATGCCACTGAAGGTCAATCTTATCCGTTCCTAGAACATTGGAACTGTAATTGAAGTAGTATGAGGCTCTCTGCAGAATGAATCCCAAGATTTGAAAGTGTATTTATCCCTTGACAGTAATTGCTGGTTGGAAAGCCTCGTCGTAGGTGCTCGCCGATTATCGAACTCGCGGAAGACTAATCCCCGACCGGGATTTGTATTTTATTCGAGTTGGGATGACCTTTGCGGTGGTATCAAGGCCCGAACTCAATTTTATTTCGTCATCTTACCGAGTATCGTCCGATGTACTGCTAAGCAAGCCGTCTAGAGATAGATTCCCCCGCGGGCATTGACGTAGGGTGAGAAGCTTCGAACTAGCCTTCTTGCGCATGAATCGCTTCACGAATAGAATCTCGGTTTATGACTGGTTGCAGTTATTCCGTGTATTCAAGGCGCGAAAAAATCTTTCGGGTGACAAGTTGACCGGCGGTTTCAGTTTTGAGCTTCTTCTGAAGTTTCCTCGTCTCGGCGCTCTTAAATTTCCTATTCTGGCGATAGCGTGACACGGGTTCGTTCTCGCAACCCCTTCCTCCCAGCCTGCGCATCTCCGCCACATCAATTCCTTGATACAACCCCATGGGGCAAGGATGAGACCCGGGGTAAGATATCTGTGCCTCGAAGTAATTAACGCAGATATATAAAAGGCATGAATTGGGAATATCTGATCGAATGACGCTAATCTCGTTGACAAGAGATTAGTTCACCCCTTCAGACTATAATGTTCTCTTCCACTCGCAAAGAGAAGAAGCCGTATTTCGGGCTAACAGGAGGATGGCTTACCTTCTGGTTAACGGTATACTCCCTATATTGGGCTTAAAATTGCGGTTCCATTTCCAGCTTTGCTAATGGCAACTAGGTCGCTTGTGCTACTGACATGACCTTATTTGGTTATGACCAAGGTGTATTCAGTGAGTGCCTCATCAAACGCTTTCAACGTACAGCCATAGATGCTAAACATTGGGCCCCATCCTAGGTGGAGTTGTCGTCACTCAAAACTTCCTCGAGATCCACGACCTCGTTGGACCGTCGAAGACAAAGGTTCTCTCTACTGTCACTGCGATCTACGATGTTGGCTGTTTTATCGGTGCTCTAGTGGCATTCACCATTGGAGAGCGTCTCGGACGCAAATCAGCTATTCTCTGTGGAACCACCGTTATGGCGATTGGGGCCCTCATTCAGACAACATCTTACAGTCTTCCGCAGATGTTTGTCGGTCGGACGATCCTTGGGTGAGCCCAGTCTCGCAATTCACTTCCAATGGCTTTTTTTAAACCCACAATTTCTAGTATCGGCAATGGAATTAATACTGCCACTGCACCAATTTGGCAAACCGAGACAGCTCAGCCACAATGGAGAGGAAAATTGGTCATTTTGGAAATGATGATGAACATTGCTGGCTTTACATTGGTCAACTGGATTAATTATGGCCTTTCGTTCCTGGGAGGATCAGTTGCATGGCGATTCCCTCTTGCATTTCAATTCGTTTTCATCTTTATCTTGTACGCTACAGTACCATGGCTGCCAGAATCTCCAAGGTCTGTGAGACTCCTGAATTTGAAAGGGATATCAAAAAGAACGCAGACACTAACGGGTTATAGATGGCTGATGGCCCATGGCCGCGAAGCAGAAGCACTTGAAGTCATCTGTTGTCTCGAAGCTAAGCCTGCCGATGACGCCTACGTTACTACTCTGCACGACGAGATTGCTTACAGTATATCATATGAGCGACAAAATGCTGTGCGATGGAGAGACATTTTCCTTCGTCGGAAGCACCCAAATGACACCAAAACGATACGACGACTGCTTCTGGGCGCAGGAACTCAGTTCATGCAGCAGTTCGAGGGCATCAACATCATGTCCTACTACTTGCCCACTGTTCTGATTAATTATGTTGGGCTTTCGAATGAGATGGCAAGACTTCTCACAGCATGCAATGCTACTTCATACTTGATAATTTCATGCCTGTTCGTCCCATTGATTGAACGATGGGGCCGAAGAAGTCTGATGCTTTTCTCGACTTTTGGCCAATTCTTGGCATTCTTGATTATTACCATCTTGCTACGGTTCGCGGAGGGGAGTCATGGAGGATCTACTGTCGCGACAGCCTCTATTGCTTTCTTCTTCCTCTACTATATCTCATTCGGTGCGGGCATGCTTGGTATTCCCTGGCTCTATCCGACTGAGATCAGCTCGCTTCCGATGCGGACGAAGGGAGCTGCGGTGGCGACAGCGACCAACTGGTATGAACTTTCCACAGCATTTGGTCATGTTAGTACTTCTGCTTATACTATTACAGGATCACCAACTTCGTCATTGTTGAGATCACCCCCATTGGCATCCAGAGCCTTGGCTGGAAATTCTGGATTGTCTGGACCGTGCTCAACGCCGTATTTATGCCCGTCATTTACTTCTTCTACCCTGAGACAGGTGAGTGAAACATTATAGCTCACTCCGAAAATCAAAGATTGATTATCTCTAACCCATTATATAGCCAACCGAACGCTCGAGGATCTTGACGCTTACTATCGTACCAATCCTTCATTGATTGTCACTCGGGATCCGGATGAGATTTGCAGCAAGCGTCCTTTGAGGTATATTCAACATGAAGATAAAGAGATTCAGAGGAATAAGGACCAGGGTAAAACAGGAGGCCCGGGCGTGGAGCACGTGGAGTAATTTGGCATGGAAGAGCCCTCGATGAAGCAACGGTATGCGGTCGGGATTCTGAGTTTCTGCGATACTCTTTGGCCAGATCAGGGTGCTGAATGTCCCGTTCGTCACTGCAAGATGACTGTGAGATAGGTATATGGAAAGAAATACCTAGATTCAAGAGAAACTGGCTATACCTATACTCCTGATTCCAAAGCAAATTTATAATAATTGGAGATTGCACAAAGTCTAAAATTACTGCCCGGTCCTGAGCTGCAATAAATCATCATAGACTGATCCGGGTAGGCAAGTCCAACTTAACGCGACTGCAAATGTCTTGAGTGTCAAAGTAGGTTAGTCTTTTTCCAAGTCCAGATAAACACCCGCCTAATTCTGGAAATGCTAGCAAGATCTTTCTTCTGCTCACACAGTCAGAAATGACTTGAGAATACTTTTTTAGGTGTTATATTATATGTGCCATCTTTTCATTATGTCTCATGTATAGGCCTGATTATCCAAATTTCTATCGACTGGTATAGCCACCATCAACCAAGATATCTGCCCCAGTTGTGTAGGTACTCGCATCACTAATCAAGTAAACATAGATTCCCTTGAGCTCCTTGGCAACACCATTGCGGCCCATGGGAATCATCGACCTCCACAAGTCCTTAGTCTCCTGGCTAATATAATCACTCAGGCCAGTATCAATATAACCAGGTGAGACAGAGTTAACTCTAGCGAAATCCCTCCACTCATTCGCGAGTGATTTTGCAAAGTGAATACAGCCGGCCTTAGCAACGTTATAGGACGTTTGCTCTTGCGGGTAGTTCGCAATGTGGCCCGACATGGACGATGTAAGTACAAATGAACCTGTCCCGCGCGCTTTGAAATGTGGTCCAACAGCCTTAGCGCAGTAAAATGGGCCATTCAAATCCACCTGGATAATCTTTGTCCAGTCTTCGACTTTACCATCAAGCACTCCTGTTTCGGCGGCTTGGCCTGCGTTCGCAATAAAGCCATCGATTTGGCCAAAATCATTGATAACACTTTGGACTAGCTTCTCCACTGAGCTATAGTCACAGATATCGCAGTAGTAGGCGACTACTTTGACGTTGAACTCTTCGCCTAGTCTCGCGGCGTTCTTCTTCGCTTCATCTTCTCGAGTGAAGTAGGTGATGGCCACAGAAGCGCCCATCTCGGCACAGCCGCGGGCTGCCTCGAAGCCAATGCCCTGGGAGCCTGATGCCCCAGTAACGACAACAACTTTGTTTTTCAGGCTGAAAAGATCGGCTAATCGATCAGCTTCAGGTATAGAGATCGGCATATTGGATTATTGGATTCGGCGAGGACAAGGTGGAGGGCTCGTGGAGGGAGGGGGTCGATTGGATTCCTTTTGGTTGAATCAACGAAAAATGAAGCAATGTCATATACGACTTTGTCAAGCAGCAATAGTTTTCATCACAAGTAATTTAAGTAGACCGTGGCTGTTGGGGTTTAAGTATCTCGGTTAACCGTGCGCAAAGAGACTTTATCCGAAACGAGAAAGACTCCCGAGTCAAAACTTTGGGCCGCCAAAATTCCTTAATGAGGAATAGCCTACCCCACCTTTCCAATCTAGGATGAAGGTTTCTTGGAGACTAATGCTCCTAGAATAGCAGATTAAGAGGCAAAAGCAGAGGTGTGATGCATAGCCACTGACCAGAGAATCAATATAAAGAGGGTGCAAGGCGTCCAATGATGAAGAGAAAACATCAAGCCATCTTCACACTCTCACATTCACATCATGGAGGTATGCTTCTACTCGATGCGAAGCATAAAAATGTGAATTGTGAATTCTAACTTGCATAGAACCCATCATTCGTTTTGCGCGCCGTCAAGGACGTTGTCATTGAAGACCGTCCCAAGCCTGTTCTCAAAGATCCTCACGATGTCATTGTCCACGTTGCACAGACCGGTATCTGCGGTAGCGATGTATGTCATGTTTCTAGAATCACGAGGAGGATTAATTGATCTCTGACTTCCCTTGCAGGTCCACTACTGGCAGCGTGGCCGCATTGGTGACTATAAACTCACCGGCCCTATGGTTCTGGGCCACGAATCCTCCGGTGTCATTGTTGAGACCGGCGAAAAGGTGACCAACCTCAAGCCCGGAGATCGCGTCGCCATGGAGCCCGGTGTGCCTTGCAGACGCTGTGATTACTGCCGTGGTGGCTCTTACCACCTTTGTGGTGACATGATCTTCGCTGCCACTCCACCCTGGGATGGTACCTTGGCCAAGTACTACGTCAACGCCGCCGACTTCTGCTACAAGGTGCCCGACTCCATGACCCTGGAAGAGGCAGCGATGGTTGAGCCTGTCTCTGTTGCCGTGGCGATCGCAAAGACGGCTGATCTCCGTGCCCACCAGACAGTACTCGTTCTCGGCTGTGGCCCCATTGGCGTTCTCTGCCAGGCTGTTGCAAAGGCCGCTGGTGCCAAGACTGTTATTGGCGTCGATGTTGTCCAGTCAAGGCTCGAGGTTGCCAAGTCATACGGAACTGACCACGTCTTTACTCCTCCTCGTGCCGAGCCTGGTGCTGACCCCATGGAACACGCTGAGAAAGTTTCGGAATTGATGAAAGAGCAGCTAGGTCTCGGTGAGGGTGCTGATGTTGTCCTGGAGTGCTCTGGCGCTGAGCCCTGTGTTCAGTTGGGTATCTTCGCGGCCAAGCGTGGAGCTACTTTCGTGCAAGCTGGAATGGGCAAGGAGAACATTACCTTCCCAATCACCGCCGTCTGCACTCGCGGCTTGATTATCAAGGGATCCATTCGCTACCTGACGGGCTGCTACCCCGCTGCCATTGATCTGATTGCCAAGGGTCAGATCGATGTGAAGCGCCTGATCACCAACCGCTATAAGTTTGAGGAATCTGAGAAGGCGTTCGAGCTTGTCAAGGCTGGACGGCAAGATGTGTTCAAGGTCATGATTTCTGGTGTTGACTATTAAATCGGTTCGACGATATCTCGACCATTGATAAATGAAAGACCTGGGAGCATTCACATCAAGGGAAAGGTTGAAGGAGTTCAGGGATAGATGGATCATTAAATTCGAAATATTGGAATAAATGTGCTTTCGAGATCATAAATAGTCATTGTTCGTCATTGGCATAGTGTACAGCATAAATAAAGCCAGATTGGGTGAAATCAAAGGTTTTGCCACACCTCAAATGATACACCCCATTCTTCACACAGATCTTTGATGCGATATTCAGTAAACAGACCAAGCTCTTCTTCAATTCGCTTCAGTAGTCCAACGACTATTTGCCTCTCATTGGAGTTCGAAAAACATCTTCCAGCGAAATACAACGGCTGGATCATGTGTTTCCGTACTGTGGAGTTGGGCATCCCATGGACAATGGCAATAATCTCCATCGCATGATGGTTGAGATCACGCTGCAATGCATTATAGATGCTAAGCAGATCATGCGACTTGCTAGCTTGCATGGCAAGGAACAGTTCTTGGGGTTGATTCACCAGTAACAGAATCCTTGCCATATGAAAGAAGGCCATCGAAATTGCGCAAGTTTCCGACCCATACCAGGTTTCAGCAAGGGGAAGCTCTCGGAGATCGCACTGTGATGGTGGTAGGGTTTGGGTGATTGGGGACAGGAATTCTGTCGGTAGTACGTGGTACCACTGGGAGAACTCCATATCAAGATAAGCCCATTGAGCAGACGCGCCACAATCCTGTGTAACTAATTTGCACAAAAGTCGAATGAGAGCTTTGAAAAAGATAGCCTCTTGGTATGGCTCGTCAATACATGTCAGAGCCAAATGACCAGTGCTGCCAATTGGGAGCCCCATCTTCTGCCAGAGCGCGTAATCATCTGGATCCAATCGACATGGTTGATGTAGAACCACTGCACGCATTGCACTGTCAGCGATACCATCCATCGGAATTCAAGTATCTGCTGCAAAGTTGAAAAAGGAATTCTGGACTCACGACTATTCAACATATCATTCAGAGCGAAAAACCAGAATGAAGTGTCCAGTCCTCTTGTCAATAGGGACATCGGGTGTAAACTATCCGAGTTGATCTGAAGATCGATTTGAGGTCGAAGCAGTTTGTTTATGCCATCCAAGTGACCGCTCCATGCTCGCATTGTAGCGCTAAGGTCTTCATATGCGCAGAGAATGCAAGCTGAGATGATCTGAAACGTAGACATTGTTGTGCCATGGTCATGGAGCGGGTAATGCTCGCTTCCAGTAGATTGATATATCTCGCCAGGAGAAAGATGAGTCACGGGGCTGGGATGAGAAGATATTTGTCTAGCCATGAGCAAAATGGCTTTCTCATAATACTTTGCCCCATACCATAAAAAGTCAAGGCCAGGTTCAAGCAGAGCAGATGCCACGATTCTCGATCGAGGAGTGATGTCTGTCATTCGGGTAAAGTCCTTCATCTGGCCCAATTGCTTGGCAGCGATGGCGCATGCAGAATATCGCACTAGCGGGCTTTGACTCGCGAGCTGGACGACATATTGACTGAAATAAGATCTCTGGCTGATAGAAATCTCGATCCACTGCCCGATACCTTCTGCGAAGTGGCGAAGGAAGAAACCAACTTCAGCGCAGTCACGGTCATTTTCCTCCGGCAAACTCGCCGGGATAGATGTGTGAGATGGTGCATGACTTGTCACCGTTGGGTGATTCTGAGCAACTAGTGGACTGGTGTGCACCTCTACTGCGGGTAAAGACCCTGCTGATGTTGTTGCCACGGGCTCATGGATGAAGTTGGAGGGGGAAGACTGGGACAAGAGGCCAGCAACCGGGATCGACTGTCTCAGCTGGGGAGATGCGGCTATAGATGAATTGGGGGACTCGGGGCTATCAATAGCAGCATTGACGTCACCGTCACCGCCAAGATCGTCTTCGATTATGTCGAACACCGTCAGTGAATAATCCGGTCACTGGCTCGGAAAAAGCAACCAGGCGTTGTTTAACTTACTTGGCTGAGACGGCGATCCTGAATGGTCTGCAGGTCCTGAAAGGCCGAGAGAATGTGTTTTAGACGATCCTCTAGCCTCGGGAGACGAAACGGGCGGAAAAGAGAATGAGTGATGCCGAAAGAGACCGTCGATGAGTCTACAAACACGCCCACTTTTCAGGCATTGTGCGCACTCAGGCCGGGTCTCATCACATTTGATCTTGCGCTCCCGACACTCCGGGCTAGATTCAAACATGAGCGCCGAATTAGTCGTGATTCCACGCGATCACTCACCAGCCTTTTCGCGACCGATCAACCTTGCGTCCTCTCTTCTTTGCGCGGGTCGGTGTACCGCTTCGGGTCTCGGGCAAAGGAGTCATTATTACCGACTAGGGTATAGATGCGAGTCATCGTCTGCAAGGAGGTCACAGATTGTTCTCACAGTCGTACATTGCGGGGAAATCTGTTGACCGACCACAAATGCAGTTGGAGTCCAGATTGCGGGGGAGTGTAAGCGCAGAGTTGCCAACACGAAAGGTGGATCTCGTGACTTTTGCCTAAACGGGCAATTCTACCGGACACTCGTTCCAGTTTGCCACAACTGGTGCTTCCCCCGCCATCGCGCAGCAGCCATCCAGCAAGAGTCGTCTCTATTACCCGATGAGGTAAGTAGCGATGTTCCCTTTTTCTACAGTGGAGATCTGTTTTCGATCTCCACGGAGGGGAAACCTAGAAGCTAGGTCAAGTGACTTTTGATGTTCACAAACCGGGCTCCTGCCACTGACGGATATATATCCTACGCTTCTACCCAGTGAAGTCCACAGCTTCAACTCTCTTTGCTTCTCATTGTCTTTCCAGCGACAAAACCGACACAATGCCGCTCTATCAACCCCCAAATGTGCATGCGCCGGTGCTGTCGCAATTTTCCTTGGCTGATAAAATTGTCGCTGTGACTGGTGGTGCCCGCGGCATCGGCCTTGAAGTGGTCCGTGGTATGGCCGAGGCAGGAGCAGACGTTGCCCTGATCTACACGAGCACCCTGGACGCACCCGAGTTGGCCGCTCAGATCGCCAAGGAGACGGGACGTCGAATCCAGGCATACAAGTCCGATGTCACCAGCAGGAGCGAGATTGCCGCAACCATCAACCAGGTCGTTGAAGATTTCGGCAAACTGGACGTTGTCATTGCCAATGCTGGCACTTGCACCAACCGCCCTAACCTGGAATACGACGAGGAGAGCTGGGCTCGAGACAACCGAGTCAACTATGATGGTGTGATGTGGACTGCTCAAGCAGCTGGCAAGATCTTCAAGAAGCAGGGCAAGGGAAATCTGATTATTACGGCTTCGGTCAGCGCGATTTTGGTCAACATCCCTCAAACACAGGCCGCGTATAACGCGTCAAAGGCTGCAGCTGTCCATCTGGCGAAGAGTCTGGCAGTCGAGTGGACCGATTTTGCTCGGGTTAACTGTATCTCACCTGGCTTCATGTTGACCAAGAGTAAGTTATCTTGCTCCGATGCTCTATTGAATGGCATGTCATGCTAATGATGCGTTCAAACTCAGTGCTCACCCAGCAGCCGCCTGAACTCATGGAGAAGTGGTTGTCTATGATCCCTGGTGGTCGGATCTGTGATCCTGCTGAACTCAAATCCGTAAGTTGCCTGAAAACATACCTTGACTCGCTGTTCTCATACTTATTCCATGATAGGCCTATGTCTTCTTGGCCAGTGACGCCTGTTGCTACATGACTGGCGCAAACATTGTCATCGACGGTGGATATACTCTGCCTTGAAATGATCTTTTTCTTTCTGTTTTTCTCGTTTCTTAACTGGCTCTCGAATTCAAAGAGCATCAATCTGATATAGACCGGAGAGAATGGAGACTTGTTCTCTCGATTTCATGTATAGAATATTCCAAAAATTATGTGATGATGCTTCCTTTGTCTAAGATAAAGTGAATGATTATATCAGCTTATGCCGCGCTTGAATTATGGAAACAATTTAATTGAAACTATCCACTTCTCTGTTTCTGCAGTTGGGTAAAATCTAAAATCTCAATCTCAGCTCTATGGACAAAACTCAAAACACCAGCATTTCGTATGCCAATGTTAAAGGAAGTCCCGCTTTGCAGAATTCAACATTTCAACGGACACTCTCCTTCTCCAAGAATACCACCTTGCTGGCGTAATCCGTCTCAAAGCAATATTGTAATCCCACGCTCATCAACATTCCACCAGAGTACGGCCCCTCTCCATCCACAAAGTACATATCCTGAGCATCCAGACCCTGCAACCTAACCCGCGACAGGGCATGGTTCACCTTCGAGCCAAGCTGGTACAGGAACAAGACCGCTTGCGAGCCATCCTTCGAGATGTACAGCACTGCAGGCCAATTCGACTCTTCTGGTAGACTGAGTCGCCACATATCACCTGTTAGCACGATGGGATTGATCTTTTCGGACAATGCAATCATATCAGGGATAATGGCCCGTTCTTCCGGTTGTAGCTCGGTCGGGTCAAGCTCCAATCCGAAAGAACCGCACATCATGGCAACGTGAGCGCGGAATTCCATTGGGACAGTACGTCCTGTTTGATGGTTGGGGACAGCGGAGATGTGACCGCACATAGAACTTGCTGGGTATGCAAGTGAGGTGCCGAACTGGATAAAGATGCGGTCTACCGCGTCGGTGTTGTCTGATGTCCAGATTTGCGGGAAATATTGCATGACACCTGGGTCGAATCGCCCGCCACCAGAGGCACATCCTTCCCAAAGGACATTGGGGAAGCGCGTTGTCAAGGTCTCGAAGACGCGGTATACGCCTAGCATGTAGGCGTGGTGAGTCGTGGGAGAAGGTGTCTCGTGCATGCATCTGTTGTGATCCCACTTCACGTAGGTAATGTCTGCACTGCTAAGGAGCTCTGAGACAGAGTTGATAATGAAATCCTGAACTTCAGCTAGCGCAAGGTTGAGAATGAGTTGATTTCGCTGTTCAGTACGTGGATATTCCTCCGCGTAGAGTGCCCATTCAGGGTGCTCTTGGTAGAGAGTTGACTTTGAGTTGACCATCTCTGGTTCGATCCAGATTCCAAAGCGGAGATTCGTAGACGGCTTGGTAGATTTCAAAGTGGCCGCTTTGAGAGCTGTGATGTCTTTCACCAAAGGGGCCAGGCCATCGGGAAACCTCTCAGGATTCGGAACCCAGTCGCCTAGGCCGGCTGTATCAGAGACACGCGGGTAGTCCTTGCCAAACCACCCATCGTCTAGGACAAATAGCTTCACACCTAGAGCTGCGGATTCCTGTGCTATCCGGTAGAGGTTGTTGCTGTTAATGTTGAAATAAAGTGCTTCCCAACTGTTCAGAAGCACAGGCCGGTTGGCAGTAGCAAACTGGCTTTTGACAAGATGATTGCGGTACAGGCCGTGTAGAGAGCGCGATACACCGCCGAGACCGTCCTTAGAGTATACCGAGACACACTCTGGAGATGTAAATGTCTCGTCCGCACCCAGTGACCAAGATAGCTGGTCAGGGTTGAAACCCATTAGGATACGCGTCATGCCCTGTGCACACTTCTCGACATTGACGGCAAACGATCCGGTGTAGACGAGTGAGAAGCCCCACGCCTCGCCCTGGAACTCGGTGGTAGAGGGACGTGCCAGTGCGAGGAATGGATTATGCGAGTGAGATGAAAACCCCGTACTGCTCCTGAATCTGTTATCGGTTAGTAAAGATTCCCTAAATGATATGGAATCGCTTACCCTTGCAGCCCATAATCAATTCGTCTTCTCTGTCGATGTGTTTCTCTTGCCCATTCACCGCGTAGGTAGATCATATCAAGATCTCCAAAAGGCAAATCAACACTAAGACTCGCTAAATCCTCCAGGACAATCGCCCCTTTGCCCTTATTCGTGACAGTCACACTGCGCACAATGGCATCATATCGAGGGAAAACAGAGTACATCAAATCTGCAGCGATAAGACTGTATTTGTCATAAAGATGGATGATAATGGTCGTAACGTCATTTTCGTCGCCAAAAGTCGCTGGCAGTCCAGGCAAGGCAGGTTTGCCTTTTACAACTGTATGAGATTGGTATTGTAAAGCCGAGATAGTGTGAGCTCCAGACTGGCGGATCCGAATCGCGGGGCTTCGGAAGTCCCCCCGTCCCTGATCGGGGAATTCGCGGCGAACGCGACCCGACATGCCAGTCCACCCATTGACAATTGGAGTTGGATCGGTCGGCATAGGCCCAGTAACGCTGCCGCCAAAATGATCGGATAGCAGGTCGCCAGTGCCATCGTCTGCGTGGAAGAGGTATGAAAAATTGTTGCCGTGCAAGGCAAAAGAGGTACCATCCACGATGACCGCTGTAGTGAAAAATGCCTGTTAGAAGCATCCCAGGTAAAGGGAAAATAGTGTTTGCTTGCCACTTGGGTCTGGAGAGCCTCGAGTCATGATTAACATCCTAGAAGCCAATACTGTCAGTAAGTGCAAAAGATTATGTGAAATGGGAACACCTTACGTATCAGAGGCTTGCGTACTCTAAGTTCCAAGGTAGTGCAGTATGGGTTATTCTAGAAAAGATTAACACCGCAGCCCAAAAATGGGCGACCCTTGTCATTTATATGTCATCTGGGCGCAAGATTCCTGGTCCCTCAATGCACAGGGTCCAGGACCATTGCATCCCGACAACTCTGGTCGCGTGAACGGCTTTCACTGGTAGGATCTCGTGTACGTACCTGGCTGTCAGATACAATCTACCCCAGAATAGTCCTAGTCTCCAGCCTGGGCGTTCCTGCCGACGAGGGCCAGCTAGTTGGGAGTTTTCCGCTCGGCCAATGAAAGGCCTTGAAAGCCGAAACCTCCGCCTCGAAAAGTTGGGCTTGATTTAGAGAGCGCGCCATTCATCCAAAGTCATCATTATAATCCTCAACAGTTGAGGGCTTTGTAGATTTCCCCGGATTCTCAGGAGCGGTTCCAGAAATTAGTATTCTCCGCAGGCTCTCAGGAACCTTAACAGGTTGGGCCCAAATTGGCTTTTTTCTTTGTCGGGCGCTTTTGGTCTCCCGAGTTATGGAAGTTGCCAAGTGGTTCCACTTCCGGCATTTGATGGCTTTAGCCAATGGGGCAGAGTTAAAGCCGCCTGTCTCAAGGTTCCCGTTATTTGGCCAATTAACCCATGTCAAAACCGCAGGTCAGGATTCAGTTACGCTCAACCAATAGCATCAAGTGAAAGCCGCTAGGCCGGCATCCCGTCAGCCCTTTTGTCCAGAGAAAACTATCGTGACCCGTCGGCCACGTAGACTTGTCCTATCCCTGCAACACGCGGTTATCCCGAAGAACCTCCGTGAAGCGATGAAAAAGTGATTTTTTAGTAAACAGGCTCTTTTAAGCCCCCGTCGTCAGTACTCTCGAATAGGACAAGTGATAGGTTTCTCATAGATAATCGTGCGAGAATGTAGGTGCAAGTTCCCAGTATTTGTCCTGTTTGTTTCCGCCTTCTCTTCCTCCCGAGATCTTTCTGCGCTTGCCAGACTCGTTCCTGCGTTCATGTCCCATGCCCCGAAGATCTTCGAGTTCCCCCAGGTTTTCCCTTTATCAGATAGTGGCTCAAGATACTGTCCATCTTTCCCTCTTCTCTCGCTTTTCTCCTGTGCTTCGCATGTATCGGCGTGTCTAGGGCCTTGAAAACACTATTTATCTTTCTGGAAGCCTGCATGAAATCGAAGGAAGCCTGTCATAGATGAAGCCCTAAATTCCTTGAATGGATTGTTGTTCAAGTCACATCCCGCGAAAACCCCATGGGGATATTGTATGTTAAGAATCGCTTAAACAAGCTTAATCTGACTTCATCCTTGGCTCGAGCGGGGATTCTTCGGAGAAATCGATATCAAAATATCAGAGCGCTGCTGGTGGCGTTAAACTCTTCGAAGAGCTAAAGAGAAGAGCGGATTTCCTATCACGCAAGCGAAAACTAACTATGTTCAGCCATCTCGATGTCTGGACCACGCAATGGTGCGTGTCCCCGTGGGGATCGAAGCTGAGTTTGGGATCGGAGGCAAACAGAGTTTCATCGTTGGAATGAGGCGCCATTTTACACAAAAGCGGGGTTTAGAAAGCTAGAGCGGGATTGAATCGACGGCATCTTCTGAATATTACTTTCCCCGACTTCTTGCAACTATCGGGACTAGGCAATCCGCGAGTTTCCTTGGTATTAGCCACACCGGAATTCTGGGGAGACTGTGCTCCTCTCACCGATCCCGTATTCACATGGCCTGTCATACAGTATAACGCTCGCATCTAATTTTGCCTCTTCATTGCATTGAGAAAACTATATAAATGGCGAGTATCCAGCCTTACTGAACGGGGATATCAAGGGCTCTTCATACTCTCTCTGTGACACTTTCTTCAATCAATCATATTACGAGGCGGCTATCTCCTGCTTCATATTCCTTCAACCACAATGGAAAAACCCGAGGCCGTTAACGTCGAGTCAGTCAGTGAGCAGGGCGGTGTCCTGCACAAGATTGGCAGCGACGAGATGTGGACGCAAACCGCCCTCACTGCTGTCGCGCGAGACTACGACCATGAGGAGAAAGCGATGCCGGTGATGCAGGCAATCCGCCACTACAAAAAAGCCATCTTCTGGAGTCTGATCATCTCTATGTGTGTTATCATGGAGGGCTTCGACACCAATCTCCTTGGAAACTTCTACGCCTATCGTAAGAAAACTGTCCTGATGAAATATGACTTGTATTTCTGACAACCTTGAAGCTTCTTTCCAGAGAAGATACGGTAATCCTGTACCCGTCACACCACAGACACCCACAGGTTACTCCATTCCTGCTTCCTGGCAGTCGGGATTGGGTCAAGCATCAGGTAAGGCTCTTCTTTTCCTTCTGGGATCGTCATGCTGATTCAACCAATAAATTAGGTGTTGGTTCAATTTTCGGTACTTTGATCAACGGTTGGCTCGTCGCAGCCTTCGGGCCAAAGAAAGTTGTTCTTTGCACTCTTTGCGTTATGACTTGCTTCCTGTTCATCGTCTTTTTTGCACCCAATAAGGAAGTTCTCTTGGTTGGTGAAATATTGCTCGGTTTTGAATGGGGAATTGTAAGCTCCCATTTTAGCAGCTTTTTATCGACGCTAACCATTGTTGCAGTTTGCGACCACTGCGCCCGCATATGCCTCGGAAGTCCTTCCTCTCCAGCTCCGTGTATACTTCACATCTTGGACCAACATGTGCTTCATCATCGGACAATTCATCTCAGGTGGTGTACTTCGAGGGCTTGTCTCTCGACAGGATCAATGGGGTTATCGCATCCCCTTTGCCATCCAGTGGTTCTGGCCCTCGTTCTTGATCCCTCTCATTTGTTTTGCACCCGAATCCCCGTATCACCTAGTTCGAAAGGGCAAATTCGGTGATGCTGAGAGGGCCCTTCGACGACTCCAGAGCCGCGCCATGGACAGCAAGCGAACCCTCGCTCAGATTGTGTTCACCGATAACCTCGAGAAGAAGCTCTCAGTTGGCACCAGCTACAGAGACTGCTTCAGGGGAGTTGAACGCCGCCGCACTGAGATTGCGATGGTCGTCTTTGGTGGCCAGCTTGTCTGTGGTCTTTGCTTTGCTTACGCCAGTACCTACTTTTTCCAACAGGTCGGCCTGGATACACAAGCGGCCTACTCCTTGGGTGTGGGAGCCAATGGCCTGGCCCTATTTGCTTGCTTCGCCAACTGGTTCTTGTTGATGCCGTGAGTGATTACGTCCCGGAAAGTCTTCTTATTACTTGCTTACATCCAAAATAGGTACTTTGGCCGCCGAACTGTCTATGTTGTGGGCATGGCTGCTATGGCAATCGAGCTTTGCCTGATTAGTATCCTCAATGTGTGGACCGACAAACCAGCTGTTGCATGGACGCAAGCCGTTTTGACTTTGGTCTGGACTTTCACTTTCCAGCTGTCTGCTGGTCAACTTGGTACGTTGTTTGATATCTCCGTGGAAACCGTGGGCTAATGATTATTCTCAATTAGGATGGGCACTGCCTGCTGAAATCGGCTCAACTCGTCTCCGGCAAAAGACTGTCTGCCTGGCCCGCAATGTTTCAAACATCCTTGGCGTCATCTGCGGTACCCTTGAAAATTACTTCATGAACCCTACAGCGTGGAATCTCAAAGGCTACACAGGGTATGTCTACTACTCAATTCAATTGAACTTCTCTGACTTATTCAATAGCTTTGTGTGGGGTGGATGCGCGATCCTCGTTTTTGTTTGGTCCTACTTCCGCCTCCCAGAAACCAAGGGAAGAACTTTTGACGAACTGGACACTCTCTTCGCTAAGCGGGTGCCTGCTCGTAATTTCGCTAGCACGGATGTTGACGCTTTCGATGAGCAGGAGAACGACCAACTGGCTCTGCAATACGCCAAGAATTAAACATCTCGTTGTCCCGTGCGACTGATTGTAGTGCACTACGCATCACATGAGCGAGATACATGTGTCTGTTGAAACTTCTCAAAATGGGACAAGAAGAGTAATCCCATTTGAATTAGGCACCCGGCTTGTTAGAGTCCTTCTTACTTGATCTTTTTTTTTTTTCATTATATTGAAGGATTGAACATTTGAATCAACTTTCTGGAAGATACAGTTACTTTGTTCTCATTGATCCTGGATAGAACGTAATTTGATAATTTTGAACGGAGCCATTTCGGTCACGTCGAAATTCTGTGAGGAATCAGAGGCCTAGCATCGATGTTGCTTCTTTTAAGAATATCTACAATGCGATTCGGGTCTCTCCGGGACTCGGGGACGCGTGCAGCAGCAGAGAGGTAGGGTACGCGCTGCTTTGCGGCTTCGGAGATGTTACTCATCGCCGCATATGCAATTCCCTTGCCGTAAAACGTCATTGCAGTTGTCACACAGTACGGTTCCTGGTGATCTGGGATTGGAAGCGTTTTCAAGTTTCCCACAGCCCGAATCGGATATAGACGTGAACGCGGACAGATTTGAAGAATTCTAGCTAGTCGGCGAGAGGAGGCGATTCAACACGAAGTACCTCGTCAGTTAAGGAAGACTCCATGGAATCGACGTTCTTGAGAGCGACCTTGGACTGTCCGGCGAGCATAGCGGCGTAGATTAGGGAGTGGTAATTGTGCATCCGGTAGAAGCTATACATATTTTCGCACCATTCCGGGCTAGATATTTCTCGTCTGCTTGGACAGCGGCTGTCTTAGAAGCGACTGCTGGGCAGTATTCGCCAACAGGCACGTCCAAATGCGTAGGCATATGATGCAAGTTACCTGCATCAGGGACAAGGTCCCGGAGGTTATCTGCAGCAGGCAATGCCAAAGCAGGAGTGGCCGACATCTCCCAAAAATGGACTGAAAAATGCAAAATACCCGGGTGTGTCTCTGTGTCAGGATGTTGAAGGCCGTTCGCGAAGAGAACTTGGATGTCGAAGACAGGGGATGTCTCGATAGGGAGACCAGTCTTGATATGAAACATCTTGTGTTGGGCGATATGCATTTTGGCGTCAACATAGAGGGCCATCACGTCAAGGTCATCTGGGAATTGGCTGTACAGATCTGGTGACTAAGACCCAACCCAACCCATGTGCTGGGTTGTTGCGGGTGGGTTTGGGCAGTGGGCAGGTTTTGGCGAGGTCTACATGCCATCATTCAATCTGCCAGGTAGTGATTATATCAGCAGCAGAGCTTGGCCTGCTCCTGGGTACTGTATTGGAGGTTCTAGGAGCAACAAATGCCCTGGGGCCGACTTACGCTAGGTCTGTGTAATATACTGTATCCCTAACATTAATCCTAAGAACACGTCCACTCGATCTCAGACACGGCCCTATCAACTCCAGGAATGTACAAGCCGGCCTTGGGAGGTTTGTTGCTCCTAGAACCTTAAGTACGGATACAGGCACCGGAAAAGTAGTTAAGGGGTCTTAATTTTGTTAACAGAATAATTAATTTTCTGGACCATAGAAGACTACGGTTTGAGAACAGCGTCCCTACTAACTTTTTGATACAGGAATCCTATTTTAATCTAATCCTTGGGTTTCTCTTCCCCTTCCTCCTCCCTTTTATCTTGCCCCTTACGTGCCGATAAAGCACGTAACTGCAACCACTCTCGATTTATACTTCCTTTCCTTGACTTCGAGTATTCGATGGATAATCCAGTATGTGTACTGGAATTTGTGTGGCTGCCCGCGAGGGTCTGATTTGAACGATCGCTGCTCGTGGAGTGAACTAGCCTAGCGGTCACTCGCAGACTAGGCCCGCGTAGCGAACCCGGTGCATGATATGTTCCCTCCGCTTCTGGCCTATGGCTATATTATCAATCTGGGCTAGAGAACAAGAGCTAAAGGAAAGCTTGCGTACCTATAAAGACTGGATCCGAGAGGGCTCGGACTTTGTTATCTTATGTGTAGGTATTTTGATGTTTCGCTGCTGGAGAATATGTAGACTTGAACTGAAACGGCGAAGATTTTGTAATACAGAGATGTCTGCTTTATCTCTATACTGTAATATAGGGCTTCTATCATCGAGACGTCGAAGACCTATATTCTGACGTCACGCTTCTCCTAAAAGGCTTAGCACGGCTCTGATAGAAGAGAGACGTGTCAAAAATGAAATTTCATTTTGTGTGGGTAGTTAACTAGGTCGGATTTTGACTAGACGATAGTTAAAACTTTCCCAAGGATTAAAGGGAGCTATTAAAGGAGTATTTAGTAAATCCGGCTACTATCGGCTCTATTCTTAGTTAGTGCGTAAATACCATATTAAATAGACGGTGAACCTTACCAATAGCTAGCTACTTAGTTCCCTTTTTGCCTCGTCGCCGTATCTCCGGGTTAGTCATAACAAGGGCGAACATCGAGAAGAAGAGGTCGGGAAGATAGGCGAGTTTAACAATGCGCGCAGCGAAGATCGTGCGAAAGTAAAGGAATGGGAATACGGCAGCCCAAGCAGGGACGCGTTTTGGCCAGAGGCGGAAAAGAGGCCAATCGACAGGCAGGACACCGCGGTGGTTCGATAGTTGTAGATAGATAGACGAACCCGGCGACGACAGTCATGACAAGCTCGATAAGCTAACATACCGAAGCTGTAACACACACGGTAAGCTAGATAACCTTGTCACTATAGGTGAAGATTGTCAAGTGCAGGTAGCAGACTAAGAATTGTTTAGTTAACGGACGAGATATTACGTCAAGGGGCCGCTTTGCATACAACAATATTCGAAGACAGATTCCCCCTCGTGCACACACGGATTTTTTCCCAGCCTGTATCCTAAACCGCCGTAATCTATATTTAGTTAAGTCGTATATTAGCTTTGCTAGGAATAATGATTTTTGTTTGTAGAACGTTCGCGTGACGTATGATACCGTAATTTACATGAAACGTCTATATGTCGCCACCTCTGTGCCCCTCATCGCTTGTTGATTGACGTTCTAGGCCGCCGATTTGCTCAATATGGCGCCAAGACTAATTCCCTCGTAGCTATAGTACGCTTCATTTGCGGCATGATACGGAGTCATTTACTGAATACGTTCTTAAATGGCCAACGCAGCTGAATGCAGCGAAGGCAGTATCAAAAATTCTGCAGGAACTCGCGACAATTCGGAGAGGTCTATTTCCCCCCTCCTCCCCTTAAATCGAATCGGCTGTAGACACCTTATAATCTATTAATGCTGGAAGCACTGTGCGATCGCTTGCTTGACAAATTTCGACTCTTTGTAGCTCTTTGTAGGTGAGACTGCTGTCTTCTTCTAGAATTCACTCCATGCCTAGGTTATGACTCCTAATGTCCGGAGAGCCTTCGTCTCCACAGGCTGATCCCGAAAAATATTAGCTCGGTAACGAACTTATAATTTTTTGTCCCTATCAGAGCTTGGCTTCAAAATCATTCACGATCTCCTGAAGTGTAGCGGCTACCTCATGTGGCCGCGAAAGGAAGGGGCTATGACCGGATCCTTCGAGAGTGCGAATTACCCATTTTCCTTCACCACCTGCGCCGGTCACCATGCTGTCCTGCTGTGAGATTGGGTTGACGACATCAGCCGTGCATCTAATATAGCCTAATCTCCCAATATAAGAGTCGTCCTGCCACGCTTGAGGCGGCACAATGCCCATGTTAGCGGCCATGCTCTGAGGGCGAAGCTGCGGTACTGCCCAGTCGATTCGGTCTGCAGGCGCATCTGGAGGGAAAAACAAGCTGCGCGGATCTTTGGCGACGAAAAGGCCTTCACTCGGCATATCCCACATCACGTAGGGCAGGCCACCAACGTCGCGAATGGCCGCGCCTTGGTCCATGCCTCCAGGAAAGATATAGGCACACAGGGCGATCATCCCTAGCACGCCTTTTCCAGACAGCCCCTTGATGGCAGCGCTCGCAATCGGTCCTCCGTAGGAATGCGCTAGGACAACGACGCGCTTACCCATAGATATCTGCGATTCCACAACAGACCGTACGTGGGCTGCGTCGTCGAACTGCGTCGTGCCCGCTATCCCACTGACGCACGGTAGGTCTACGGCTTCTACAACATAGCCGAGAGCCTCGAGTGCGGGGATTTGGAATCTCCAGCACCACGAGCCATGCCATGCACCATGCACGAGAACGATAGTTGGTTTGGTAGTTGATGACATAGGAGGGAGTATAACGAAGCGGACAGAACGATAGATAATTGAAATTTGATTCGAGAATGGAAGAAAATGTGCCAAGTCGAACTGTAGCAGAATATGTTGACAGTGGGCGGGCGGGGTTCAGATCAGTTCGCCATATTTCCCCACTCCTTCGAGAACCCTGTCTTAAACGACGTACAGTTATTTACAATTACTCAATGGACACTGAAAATCCGATACGTTATTAGTCACGATACGGCTAAGCAGGGGTTGTTTCTAGAGTAGCCCAACACGGGTAAGGTGGGTTTCGGGTACGACCCGAGAAACAATGCATTAATGTATCCATTGGGAAATCTGTTTTCGAAATTAACTATAGGTCAAAATAGGACGAAGCAGAAGGAAAGAGGGAAATGAAATCTCACCAAAGACCCTAGGTAGGTATTTTTTTTAATTTCGTGAGGTAATAGTCGACGATATCGGGCCTAGCGGGGAGTGCTAGGAGTAAAAGAGCTATAGAATAGAAGAAAGACAAGTATATAAGGCAGTGCAGATAAAGCCCTAGACCGTCGTGGACTAGCGAAGGATAAGCGTAGAGAGGATTGCACAAGTTAGCAAATTAGCGACGCTAAGCGTGGAAGTCAATAGTAGTGCGTTAAGCTAAGAAGAGAGTTATTGTTATGGCTTTTCCCTGCATGAAGCTATCCCCATGTTGATGCCTCAGGCTTATTGTGGCCTAAGGCCTCAGCGTCCCTTTTGGGATACAGTTTTTCCGAGACTCCGTTCCACTTTCTTCCACTCGCCCACTTGCCACTTTGGGAAGACTCATCGCGTGGTTATCCGATCGGGCGCGAGATATATAAAGACATGGCTCGTAAATTTAACAGTCTCGGGACTTCACCGTTCGACATTCAACCTTCAACCTTCAATCTGAATTCCTTCCAGGCTCATCGCAATCATGACTCAAGGAATCATCTCCCCTGTCCCGGCCAGTGACGAGTACTATAACCTCGGCTCGTTCGGCCACACCATCACCACTACAAGCGCCGATACCCAGACTTGGTTCAATCGGGGTCTGGTATGGGTGTACTCTTTCAATCATGTCGAAGGCTCCTACTGTTTTGAACAGGCCATCGCGCACGATCCTGCATGCGCAATGGCATATTGGGGCCTCGCCTATTCAGTAGGCCCTAATTACAATAAGCCTTGGGACAAATTTGATCTGAGCGACCTCCACACCTCTGTCCAGCGCGGCTATGATGCCGCCCGATCCGCAAAGAGGCATGCAGTCAACGCTACTCCCCTCGAACAGGCGCTGATTGACGCAATTCAATTCCGTTTCCCAACCAACCAGCCTGCCAAGGACTACCCAGCCCTCAACAAGGGCTATGCCGAGGCCATGAAGCCCGTATATAACACTTTCACGAACGACTTGGATGTTGCCACTCTTTACGCTGATGCATTGATGAATATGACACCCTGGGCCTTGTGGGATTTGTTCACCCGCAAGCCCAATCCAAAGGCTCCCACGATGGAGGTCAAAGCCGTGCTAGAACGAGCAATGGCACAGGAGTCAGATGGTGCCAACCTTAATCCTGGCCTCCTTCACCTTTATATTCACTTTATTGAAATGTCGCCTACTCCTGAGCTGGGGATCAACGCTGCCGATCACCTGCGTGATCTCGTTCCTGACGCTGGTCACATTCACCATATGCCGACACACCTGGACATTCTCATTGGTGATTGGCGGCGCTCTATCTCCTCAAACTATAAGTCAACGCTGGCCGATGATAGGTATTTCCGCAAATCAGGCGCCAGAAACTTTTACACCTTTTACCGGCTACACGACTATCACTCCTTGGTCTACGCCGCCATGTTTGCCGGCAAAAAGAAGACTGCTCTTGACGCCGTCACTCGCATGGAAAACACAGTCCCGGACGAAGTGCTTCGCATTCAGTCTCCGCCTATGGCTGACTGGTTAGAACAATTTATGTCCATCCGTTTACATGTTATGGTACGCTTTGGCATGTGGGAAGAGCTCAAACACATGGCGCTGCCCCACGATCTCGTTCTTTTCGCTGGTACTACTACCGTCACCCACTATGCTAGAGGTATAGCTTTCGCCGCTACAGGGGATGTGGCTAAGGCCCAAGAGGAACAGGGCCACTTCAACCAAGCGTGGGGTCAAGTTCCCGAGACTCGTCGCGCCTACAACGGCAAGATGGTCGACGTCCTCAAGGTAGCCTCTGCCATGCTGGAAGGCGAAATCGAATACCGCTGTGCCAACTACGATAAGGCCTTCGCGTCTCTCCGCCAGGCAATCGAGCTAGAAGACAAGCTGCCTTATAGCGAGCCTTGGTCATGGATGCAGCCTGTGCGCCATGCATATGCTGCCCTGATGATGGAACAGGGCCATCTCGAAGAAGCCGCTCAGACATATCGTGCAGACCTAGGGTTGGATCATTCTATCATTCGGCCACGTCGACACCCCAATAATGTCTGGTCCCTTCAAGGATACCATGAGTGTCTGGTTCGACTGGGACGGCCGGATGAAGCGGCTGTCATCGAGCAGCCTCTCAAGTTGGCCCTGGCTGTGGCAGATGTCCCAGTCATGTCGTCGTGCTTCTGCCGTTTGGATACTTCCCACGCGCCGCAAGTCCTCAATGAATGTTCTTCCACTGGTACGGCCTCAAATGGTGAGTGCTGCTAAAGCTTAGATCTTCCTGTGTGAGTATTCTCATTAAGTGTAAAATTTCGGATATGGTCATACGTCTTAGGTTCAAAAAATATATTTGGAGACATTGTGCCGCGTAGTTTACAATTTTAATGAATATTCGTAACTATGATGGGTTCGTCGTGGAACGGTCCGTCGTTATGTCACCTGTCACTCTCGGTTCAGAGCCTAGAGGCATATACTTTGTTGCATTTATGGCCTATTATTCCATGAAAGTTTCTACAATTAGTACTGACTTTTCTGTTTGAGTGGCCCCCAAATGTGTTGCAGTCTCAGGACCCGCTGCTTCATTTACGCGGAAATATTTTGATTGGTACCAACGCTAGTAGATAATTATCGTTCGTGATCGTTATGAAGCACAATATTTCCGCTCAACTTTCACTTTTCTTGCGGCCCAATTGTTGTAGATTGATAATTTACCAAACAAAGCCTTAATAATACAAAATCAACTATCTGTAGAGGCTGAAATCCTGCCTTTGGCTAGTATTCCAGCCTGTAGCACCAAGGAGCGACATGACCTCGTGAGACACGCGATGCCTCGACCAAGCACAGTGACCGGGATTCCAAAGAGGTACGACATAGAGCCCGTTGTATTTGGGTGTTCAGCAAATCTTGAAATGTCATTACCAAGCTACGATGAGCGACTGACTCACGAAGCCAGAAGTTTGCCTCGCCGAGGGTGTAAAGGTGGGCAACTAACGAAAGGAGCAAGTGTTATCTAATAGATATGGCCCAAGCACCTATCTCCGCTTCTACGCTGATTATGTCGATGAGGAGGCCAACCCAGTGAGGAAGTCTTTGATAAGAAAGTTGAAAGCTATTTTTGAATGAATTAGTGAATATGAGGTAACTCGCTTTATTGTACATTAATTCAAACTTGAAAATATAGAGAACAAGCAAAGCGCCTGGTTGTAGACTGTACTGGCATGTCAGTTATACATGAATATCTTATGAAATCATAGTGAAGTACTCATCTTGACCATCTCTTCAGAATGCATACAGAGCCTTCAATGTCGAAAGCGATTGGCGATGAGTTATCTATTTGTCTAACCGTCCCTTGATGATAGGCATCGGCAAGCATACTAAGGAGCTCTTAAAACTATTCGACCGTGGATCTCTTTAGACATTGCATAAAGCCTAGTCCTTCAGCCGTATTATTGCCAGTTAGAGACTTGAACTGAACTCAATTACTGAATCTGCCAGTGCAGTATCCTTCTTTATCTCGTTAGAATGCCGATGTCTTCTGAGCTGGGGCCTTTGAAGTCTCTACTCCAGATGAGCATTGCGGGATTCGAAATGTATAAACACCATTTGCGCAGATATTTGCATGCTACTTAAGCCCAATCAATCAACACACTATTAACCTAATGCAGCCTAACTAGTGGTGTAATGGCTATGCAGGCCCTTCCTCCGGCGGAAGCAAGAGTGATACGAACGCCAGACCCGCGCATGAAACAGTAGGTACATAGGAAAACGGCGTATTGCCATATAAAATCAGCCTGAAAACAGTATCAAAACACCCGCAATGCCCTTAATCCCATAGAAGATCCTTCCATTCGCCCTCACAATAGCGTGCTTCTTTCTCTGCATCTCCATCTCTGCCTTCCCTCTCCGGCATCTAAACCATCCTCCTGCTTCGTTCTCGATTATTGGCGTTCGTCGTCGACTGGCGAGTTGATATGTTGGATGTAGTCTTCCAAGACCTCTCGGTCGGTCGTGGGTTTAGCGTTCCTAATGCCCATCGTCTTCACCACCTGTACCTGCCAGTCTATCCTGGCTCGTTATTTTCGTCGCCTGTTGGTTCTGGTTGGATTTCGACGTGTCGGAACAGCCCTAGGAGGCCTGTTTATAGCATGAATTCCGGCATGTAGCGAGTAGCCTGCGAGTGTGATACAATTGCATCGTAATCCGTCGAATCCCCAAGGTCTGTAGCCCTGACCTTGTCAAGGAAGGTCTTCCTCAGCTCAGCGTACAATGGGCACTGCTTCAAGATATGTCTCGGTGTTTTCCTCCTTAAGCTCAGTTGCCAAGCGCAATAGCGGAATGGACAACGATATATTACGTTTATTTGTGTAGGCGATTGAAATGCCGCCACTTGGCTACTGCCTAATACATAGAATGAAATTCCATGCCCGTCTGTGCGTACTTAGAGAAAGAAGACGGTTCCGGCATTAATACCAGGCTTTGTCAAATCTCTCAACTGTGGCTGCGTGCCATTAACGCAGCGGCGTTTTGAACCTCCCAAATACGTGACGCAATACTATTTCATGTTGCTAGCTAGCCAGGACCTTGGACCAAATGGTTGATATGTGAATCAAAATTCAGATCGACAAGCCGAACGGAATGATTAATGCGTCTTGGATCAACTAGGAAAAAGCGCGAGCCATTACCGCATATTCACACTAATTGATTTAATATCCAATCAAGAACTATCTTGGGTAAGAGGGCGCATGACAAAATCACTATCAATTACCACTAGGCAGGAAGAGGGCTTAGAGGAAAACCCCAACAGCCCCCGTCTATTCCCGACGAATAGATGAACCAAGCACGTAAATACCAGGAAGAGGGTGCTTTTTAGCAAGGGCATCTTCTTGCTCCCAGCTCTGCACATTCAGCTTGATACCGGTTTCTTTCTGAACTCGCTCCCAAAGCCTTTCCCAACTAGCCAGGTCGTGATAATAGTAGGGTAGGCGGGCGGTTGCTGCATTCAACGTATCTTGATCTCGGCACATGACAACTCGGCAGACAATTAAAGATCCAGGTTTCGCAACCATTAAGTCTAGTACTCGTTTTGCCACGGTGACCTGCTGATCGAAATCGAAGACGTGAAGGAACAGCGAGATATAAACTATGCCGAGCTCGCCTTTCAGTTGTGTCACAAGGTCCGAGTTGTCATCGAGGACGTCTGAGCTGATGAAGTGAGATTTGCTAATTGAGCGGTCGAGAAAAAGGTCATAGCCCAGGTCGAGAAACTCTGGACGCAGATCTGAGCCGTAAAGGCTATCAGAAGGGGCGCCATCATAGATCTAGAAATATATAGGGGCTTGTTATTAGATCGGATGATAGATATTTAGAGGCACGTATTAAGATGGAGAGTATTAATGACTCACCAGCTGGCGTAGTTCCTGTCCAAATGCGCACCCCAAGTCAAGTAGCTTTTCACCCTCCTTCACGCGCTTAAGCATCTCGGGGTAACATGGAGACGTGGTGATGCTCAGTTCAAGAAACGAAGCCTGTCCGATACAGGCATAAGGGAACTAATCGTGTGAAGAAGCGCCATATTAGAGGTCCGGTCCGTTCCACAAACAAAGATCTATGAATTGGGCACATCACTCACAACTGCGAACGCGCGAGCTTTCTGTTAATTGCTAATTGTTAACCCTCATGCGGCTCAAGTGTGGATAGGAAACTACTACTCACCAGGTCCTGAACATGCTGTAAGATTTGAGCAGCTGGAATCTTGCTATACTGCTCGAGAATTGTTCTGATAGGTTCATTGACCTTCGTCAGCTCGGCACTATAGAGACTCTTTGGGTCAAAGCCCTTCTCAATAGCAGTCTCTAGCTGGGAATCAGGATGCATGGCAGGTTAGTCACGAAGAGACAGGAGTAATGACGTGGGATAAGACCTAGGTATTCACAATCTTATGATTATCGGCACCCCTATATTTATATTAAATGCCTGGGAATCAAGAGTGTTGGGACATTTCTAGTCACAGGTACGATCGTATCCCAGACATATTCTAATTCGGCTACGAATCTCATGCAATACCCACAAACGATTGGCGTTGGACATGCAATAGATTAATCTGAACACGGATGTAGAAAAAGCGCAAAAATTGCAGGTCTTATTTTCATTGGAGAAGCATCTCCAACATCACACATTAGGGACTGTATTTCCACGTAAGGGTTTTTATCCCTGTCTGACCAGGGTCCACCTGTGATTATTCGCCCTTTAGCATACGACGTGCCACATATTCTCTCCAATAATATGGTGACCGTGCATGCACCATCACGCACAGACTCACTGTACTGTAGTTTACAGAACGGAATCCACGATAAGGAGGAATAAACACCGGGAAGCGCTAGGTTAAAGGTCGCATTTCCCTCTAAGCCAAGGTGGCCCCGACTGTGCACAAATTTGACTGCAAAATCGTTCATTTTGACAAAATGGGGATATTGTGTAGCTATCAATCTCGTGGGCCAGAAAGGGTGCCAACAGATGAGATTGTCCCACTTCGTATCTGGGATACTGCTTTGTGTATGCGAAGCACGGTCCTGGACATCTCACTGAAAATTGATGATTTTCTTGATATAACAAAGATCCGTGGAGCTTTGGATGAACTGTTTGAGTTAGAAGACTGGAAGCAATTGGGAGCTCGACTGCGTATGAATGTAAGTTATGCTGCTTCCATTCCAGCAGGTTTTCCTTTGCGTTACTGATGCGATGTTCTCTCAGAACGGAAAGCTCGAGTACCATATTCCACGGTCATTTGACGACCGAAGGCCCGCTTATCACTTCACCAATATTACCCATCTGATGAGTATCAATGACCATCCACTCGGCAAGCACCTACCTCAAGCAAGCGACAAACCCATTCTTCTCGGCTCCCCCGATGAATTTAGTCCTCTTGTCAGCGACGTGGACAGCCCCAAAACGTTGCACGACTGGATCGATTCTGATATACCACAGCTTGCCATACACACAGTCAGCTTCAGCGATTCTACAATTATCACCGTGACGTGGATCCATACATTGGCGGATGTGATGGGTATCCGAACGTTTTTGGACGCGTGGACCGCGATACTGAGGGGTGAGCCAAAAGCGGTCCCAAAGCTGCGAGGCTTTCGATCAGATCCGCTGTCTCTACTTGGCCAAAGAACACCAGCGAATCAATATATTTACTATGATCGTGTGTTTGGTCGAAAAGATTTCCTCTATTTCATTGGACTGAATATACTGGAAAGACTGTGGTACCCGCGAGAGGAACGACGCACACTCTGTTTACCCGCCTCATCATTGAAGCATCTTCGCTCAATGGCAGTGTCTCAAATATCAAGCATTACGCCGACCGAGGACAAGATTGTCCCGTTTCTCAGCGAAAGTGATGTCCTCCTGGCTTGGTGGGTCAGTACACTTCACGGTGCATTAGGACTTCGCCCTGATCAAGCAATACTGGTAAACAATGCACTAAACCTACGAACATCAACCCATGACTCTTTTGAAGCGACAGATGATGACTACATAGGCAATGCATTGTGCATGTCGCCTACGTTTCTCCAAGGAAGCGAGATCTCCATGGAGTCACTGGGTCCGATTGCGTTACGGATCAGACAGTCATTGGCACAACAACGAACTACTGAGCAGGTTGAGGCAGTCACAGCCCTCCAGATGGAGACAATGGAAAGAACGGGTTACTTAGCCTTGGTGGGTGATCCTCGGATGGTCCTCTTGTCCTGCTCCAACTGGAAAAAGGCGGGCCTGTACGATGTGGATTTCTCTCCTGCCATTGTGCAGAATTCGATTAGGTCAAAGATCGGGAATTCGGGGGAGCCCGGAAAGCCTGTCTATGTCAATGGAGTTCAACACTCAGCCAAGTCGTTCCGGAATGTGCTCTCGGTGCTAGGGAAAGACTCCGCTGGGAATTGGTGGTTGACCGGCGTTTTGCGCACGAGCGCATGGAAGAAGGTTCAAGAGCAATTGGACATGATTGACATGGCTTAAATACTGAAAAATTTCAAGCGGATAAAGAGGATAAAGAGCAAGTCATTCAGAATTAACCTCAATTCCAGTACTGTATAAACGTGAGTTTGGATGGGAAGTTTCAATAGATCCTGTTCGTCAAAATCCACCCTGTTGGACTCGCGCATGCCGAGAAAGCAATAGGTTCATACGCAAAGCTTGCTATAGTTTTGCTATAAACATTACTATGAGTACTGGACCGGACAGTGAAAAAAGATAAAGAAAAATATGATAAAAAAAACCGCAAATGGCGGTGAGAAAGCCTAGAGGCAATCTATTCATCCCTATTTTACCCATGCCTACGGCATATGCCTGAACATTCCAAAACAAAAAGGAAAAAAAAAAGTAAACAAACCTTCCATGCGATGTTGCCCAGGGATCTGTGTCTGTGTCCCGGTAATTACCAGTGTGCTACCATGCATTATGCATCCACAAATGCCGCTAATGCACGGTTCGTACCGACCCGCCACGATAGGGTGGACAAATGATGCTAAAATTGCAACACGCACGGACTCCTTACATCGAGCTATAATGTGACGTGTCAACTGGCCCTACAAGCGTAGGTCTTACCAAGCTGGTTCATTCTCCTGGGTTTGGCATGGCGATAAAGTCTTCATCAATCAATTTTCTCTCCTCTCTGAGAGCCAAAGGACACCTGTTGACCAAAGCGACTGCCACAGCCCTCCGCCGATTTTCTTCTAGCAATTATGGAGAACGGATTTGCCGCCACAATCATTCTACAGAATCGTGATGTATTCGCGTCCCTAGCAGAATTCCTCCGCATTCTGGCAGGAATTTGCTGGACGCTGAACTACTTCAGTATGCTGTACACATCGTGGCGTCACAAGCTTCCGAGCACTGGAATCTTCCCACTTTGCTGTGACGTCGCGTGGGAGTATGTTTACGCCTTCGTCTACCCTTCCGCGAGTGCGCACTGGCAGGGTGGAGTCCGTGTCTGGTTTATGGTTCATTGCGTTGTCATCATATTTATCACGAAGTATGCGCCCAACGAGTGGACGAACATGCCATTCATTCGACGATACATATGGTTGGTCTACGGTATTGTTATCCTTGGCTTCACCGCTGGCCAGCTGGCATTTGCTACAGAGGTTGGGCCTGAATTGGGATTCTTCTACGGTGGTGTCCTGTGCCAAACCTTAGCCAGTCTGGGGCCAATATGCCAAATTATCTCACGGAATAGTACCCGCGGTGCCTCTATTCTAACTTGGTAAAGTCAATACATCTAACATGGTCAGATAATTGCTGACACATACAATAGGTTGCTCAGAGCGATTGCCACATTTGGAGGATTTATTAAATTAAGTATCTACTACTTCATTGGAAGAGATGAAGGCCCCTGGTTTGAAAGCCCGATGTGCAAGTTCTATATTGGCTTGACGTTGATTCTGGATTTTACATACCCATTTTGCTATTACTTCATCAAGCGCCAGGAGTCGGCCAGAGCTGCAGTTGAAATGAAGAAGGCGAAGTAAGTATACAGATATCAATGAGTCTCGGAGTGCCGAGAAAGCGTTAAGCTTTGGTCGATTGATCAGCAATGTATGGGAGAGGGCGATTGGTGGATCCTTGCTATGTAAAAGTGAAGGGAGATGGTGGCAATAATAATATGGCCCCTGTGACAAATAGCATTATTTCAACTCCGCACAGAATCTCAGCATTCAGAACGGAGTTCCTTCTCAGCTTGCCAAGTGCGATATTTTAGCTTTCAGCGATTTTTCAGTTACGGTAAAATACAAACAGGGACGATATCTCTACGACATGCGCAATAGTTATTAGTTGTCTCAATGCGGCTCTGGATGCAATCTTCGTCCGAGTCCACCTGCAGCTCGGGAAATCCAGCGCAGCGATACATACAATAACCATCGCGGTAGTTCGTAGATCTCGTTGGCCTAGATCGTGCGGAGGCCCCTGCAAGGAGAATCCCGGGGATCTACAAAAGGGTGGCCGACGATAAAAAAGAAAAGAAAAATGCAAGATACCAGGTATACTGAAAGGTCTCCTCCATGACCACCTTGTTAGGTCCCCCTCCCTCTCCCAGACTCAAAACAGGTTCGACTCTGTCTGCCATCGCCCAGCCGTCCTTTTCATCTTGACTGCGGAGAAATTTTAGCCATGGAAAATGCAAAACCCAAAGTCATCATCGTCGGGGGTTCTATTACGGGCTTAACTTTGGCGCATTGTTTGTCCAAAGCCGGAATAGACCACATAGTCCTGGAAAAGCGCGCTGAAATTGCACCACAAGAAGGAGCATTCATTGGACTTTGGCCCAATGGAGCTCAGGTTCTACAACAGCTTGGCCTTTATGAGAGTCTAGAGACACTTACCGTGCCGGTACATCGGATGCATATTTCCTATCCTGACGGTTTCTCCTTCAGCAGCCTTCTCCCAAAAGGAATTCACGATAGGTTAGCTTCCTCAGAGAACTGCAGCCCACTTTGACATTTTCGCCACGCAACTAACAAGTATAGGTTGAAATACCCCATTGTGTCGCTAGACCGGAAGAAAGTCCTTGAGGTACTCTATGAATACTATCCGGACAAGTCAAAGATCATCACCAATAAGAAAGTATTAAAAGTGCAATTGTCCGGCCAGGGGGCTATTGCCCTGACAGATGATGGTCAAAAATATCATGGGAGCCTCATAGTGGGCGCTGATGGTGTTCACAGTCAGATACGTTCTGAGATGTGGAGGCTGGCGGACATGATGAACCCGGGACTAATCACTGAGATGGAGAGGAACCGTATGTGCTTACCTTCCAAGGTCGTCAAAACGAGTAAGCTGTTGTTAGTGACGCAGGGTTTTTAACAAAATTTGAACGCAGGTCTCACCGTCGAATACGCATGTGTATTTGGCATATCACTGCCGATAGATGGTCTTCGAGGTGGCGAGCATGTAAACCGCTACGGTGACAAGTTTTGTGTCATTACCTTTCACGGAAAGGGGGACCGTGTATTCTGGTTTATTATACAGAAGCTTGATCAAGCATATACGTACCCGGATGCTCCTCGTTACTCTACAAAGGACGCCGCAGCTCTCTGTCACAAACTGCGGGACGTCAAAATTCTTGAAGACGTCTCCGTTGGTGATTTATGGAAAACCAGACAGATAGCGACGATGACAGCACTAGAGGAGGGTATGTTTGAGATTTGGCATTTCAACCGGATAGTGCTACTTGGGGACAGTACACACAAAGTAAGAAACATCTAGCGAACTAGGGCTGATTGAAATCCCAGTACTGACAATGTTTCTTCAGATGGCACCCAATATCGGCCAAGGAGCAAACACGGCCATCGAGGATGCTGCGGTGTTATCTTCCCTACTTAATCGTCTGATACAGAAAGGAAGCATGGAAAATCCGTCAAACTTCATGATTGAGAATCTACTATCGGAGTATAGAAAGTTGCGGTTTGAACGTGTGAAAAGCACATGTGCGCGAGCAGAGTTCGGTGCCCGGTTTCACACTCGAGACGACTGGCTCAAAGCTTGGGTTGGCAGACATATTTTTCCACATATTGATCGCTTGATTGAGACTCAAGCATCCAATGTACTCATTGGAGGGGGAACGATTGATTTTCTGCCGATCCCAGAGCGGACCACTGGTAAATCTACCATCAAATGGCCTGATGGGGGAAGTCCACCCGGCACCTATGGGCTATGCTTTGGATCTCCAGCATTTTGGCTTTTCTGTTTCTTCCAGGTTTAATGCAGCATTATCTGCTTTCCGGATATTCTTGAGATGTGATTATGTCATTTAGATAATTGTATTCCAGTTCTTGAAATATATTTTGGTGGTAAGCATTTCGAGTGTGGCAGTAGAGTCGGCATTACGCACCGTATTTCTGGCCCGTACCTATTTGTACCTTCTCATTGCTTTTGTTTTACATATGCAACTCAAAAGGGGGAACGGCTATGGTAGTACGTGCAAGGGGTCCAAAGTCGTATCACCATGCGACATACGTTGACTATTTATTAGCTGCATCGTGTTACATATTAAACTTGAGACTGAGAGGCCGCGTGGGCAACGCTTCTTCGGTCAACAGAACCCAGGACAGATAAGTTTCCGTGACGGACAGCCAGCTTGGCCTTTTAATTCCATAATCACCGCACCTCAACAAAATTCCTCAGTTGAAACCACCTACATCCCCGTGCTCCTCTTTTACACCATTGCTCAGCATGAATCGGACAACGAGGACACGGAGCCCCATCCGGCATGGCAAAGTACCTTCATCTTTACCAACTACACTAGCTGCATATGGCGAGTTGATGAGAGTTCATCGACCTTTGGGCTTCTACCTGAATACTTCCCCCTATATTGTGGGTGTCGCGTTTGCGGCCTCTGTCTCTTCTACTCGAATACCGCCGAATATTATTGCATATCGCACTGTGCTTCTGGTCGCTTGGTCCTTCTGCCTTCGCTGTGGTGGGTGTGTTTGGAATGACCTTATTGATTCAGATTTGGATTCACAGATCTCGCGAACGAGATTAAGACCTATTCCTCGTGGGGCGGTATCGAAGACCGATGCCACTCTGTTAGGTGTCATCGTCTTTGCGTGCGGGTGGTATACGGTGTCTTTTCTACCGCGGAGCTGCATGCTGGATGCCTTGATCATCACAGTCTCCGCATTGGTCTATCCCTTCGGCAAAAGATTCACAGATTACCCGCAATTGACTCTAGCCAATATCGGTTGGGCGGTCCCTATGGCTGTGCACAGTTTTGGAATGGACCCTCTTGCTCTACTTGTGCCCACTATTTGCATGTATATGTTTATCGCAACGGTGATCATCATGGTGGATGTGATCTACTCGAGACAAGACACTGAAGAAGACACGAAAGTTGGCGTCAGAAACATGGCCGTGCGATTTCGGGACAGCATTCATGTCGTGGTATATTCTCTTCTATATGCGTCTACAGCTTTTCTTGCCACCGCGGGTGCTTTGACTGGGCTTGGGTTACCATTCTTCATCATCTCAGTCGGGGGCCACTTTGTCGGCTGCTCGATTCTACTACAAGCGACACGGTTTGGAAAATCTTCAAAGGTGGAAGCCTACTCCAAATCTGCTTTCTTCCTTGCAACTGTGTTTTGGGTGCTAGGTTTTGTTGCTGAGAACTGCATAAATGGCTAAATTGTATAAGGTGGTCAGATAAGCTTGCTTTAAACGTCTTTCCTGCAGTCGTTAGACAATTTTTCGGATAATTTGTTCAAACTACATGAAACGATTTTGTACGAGAGAATCGACATAGTGCGTTTAGTCAACTAACTACATGTATATATAGTCTGTAAGTTTGCAGCCACGAAGTTGGCGTTGACGACTCGATCCGGCTTCTTTCAGCAACTCGGTTGGACTGGTCCCTGTACCTAGGGGGACAGTTAAATCACTGACCAGGCATTGTCGATTGGAATAACTGCCCCGCTGATCCTTTTACTTTGTTTAGATATCAAGAATAAGAGACATTGAGCAATATCATCAGGCTCAACGCCGAGGCCCTTAGGCCTGTCAGAGGCATGCGCCTGGTGTACAGGCGACATCGTCTCTAGCGCGGCGTTGTCCCAAAGGTCTGGGTTTGACGCTTGAACTATGCCAGTTGGAACACCTAGTGTAACATGATTTAGTACTAGTGAGCAATGCACTACAAACAAGTAGCTTTTTCTTACCACCCGGGCAGACAGCGTTGCAGCGAACTCCCTCCTGTTTGTATCTCCAAGCAACATTCTTCGTCGCTCCTATCAATCCATGCTTGCCTGCACAAGTATTTTTGTCAATTTAAATCCATGCTGTGAATATAGAGTCACTTACTAGCAGTGTAGGCAACACCTGATGCGGCACCACTTGTAGCTGCTTTGCTACCGACGTTGACAATACTCCCGCTCCTCTGCGCTCGCATTATCGGAATAACCTCCCGCATCAGCTTTACCGGAGCCGTAAGATTAATCGCAATGCACTGATCCCACATTTCGTCTGTCAAGCTGTCGACACTCCCATTATGGTCCATGATTCCAGCGATGTTCAAGAGTCCATCAATCCGTCCACCGAACTGCCGAACGCAGGTGTCAACAATATCCTTGGCTGACGCCGCATCGGTCAGATCTCTCTGGAGGAACTTGAAATTCGGGTTTTCATTCAATGACTTGGGCGCAGATGAGACATCAACACCTAATACCTTGGCTCCTTCACTCAGAGCTAGAGTTGCAGTGACTAGACCAATCCCAGACGTACTGCCTGTGATAATTAAAACCTAAGGGAGACTTAGAGATGTTCTTCATTACCTCTTCTCACCCCTGGGATAGTAACTCACGTGATCATGTAGTAGCGACATGGCTGCAACAGCGATTGAATGATTGAGGTAGTGGAATGCCCTTGAGATCACAGGCTAAAAGAGCGACCTCTTCGAGTAGAACAATGTGGTGATTTCCTACCGGCCTTCCCGCTGGTCTTGAACAGCTTCTTCTACTTCCACTAGTTTTTCATTGGTCTTGTAAATATTTTCCAGTGACTCTGCATATCTCGTTAGGAGAATGAAAAGAAAAGGAAAAAAAAATAAAAGGGCAGGGAAGTGGCAGAAATGCAGAAACAAAAAGCAATTTGTATTTACTGTAATATCGTAACTCCATGTACCATAGCACAGTGGAGAGCGGAGGCTATGCATCATGCACGGAGCCAGGGGCGCCCAGCCGCATCGTGCTTGAGTATCGAAGAATGTCAATATTCAACTATACCAGTGTTGATATATTCAGTGAGACATGGAGAATAAATGCGAAATATGGTATCATTGCCCTCATTAACCTCCAAATTATCGATCCACGAGAACGTTGCCTTCTCCCTCCCTCCGGGAACTTGTATGATAACTTTTCACTAAACGTCTTTATCAGATTTAGATAAGGAAGGTTCTACTACAGTTAACAAGATGTCGCTTAAAAAGCCATACTTTTTCACAAGACTTAAAAGCGAAGAAAATTTGCGAACAAGAGGCATGCGTCTCTGAACGCACATATTAAGACCAGCTAGATGGTAGACTTCTTAAGGTTTGCATAGCTTGTTGGCAACGCCGAGATGCATGGAGGGAAAAATAAATTATTCGTCACTACGAGGGCCGAAATCGTTCATTATCGACGGTTCTTTCATTGGCCCGTGGTACAGAATTGTCCAGGCCTGTGAAATTTACCTGAAGCACTGGTGACCTGTAGGCGAGAGGATCGCTCTTATAAAACATTTCGGGTGGACTTGCCCAATGAGCGGATCCGCCCCCTGGCTTAAACCGTTGTCGTAAACATAATTCTTGTTTTGTAGACCATCTGGCGAGTCTGCAAAGACTGTGAAGTGTCAGGAGCCGCTGCTCTCGATAGTCATGGTAGCATAAATACCTTCCTGAATGGTGCTGAATCCATTCGTAATGCGCTCCATGATGAGACAAATATATGCCCATGATAGACTTGAGAAACTCCGTCCTGTTTCTACGCAGGGCAAGGTCATTCATCCCTAGGGTTTTCTGTAATGAAAGTTGAGATGCTTGATGTATCCAGAGAGGTCATCGCGAGAACTACACTTGCGAATATGGGCGGCAAACGGGCACCCGTATCTCCCCGAAAAGGGGGATATTAGTATAGTTACGGATAGTGTGTAAAAATAAAATTAATACTACTATCTCAAAGTTCACGGCGTATCCAGCTCCGTGTGCTTGCTCTCCGGCCATCGACCGCCGATCGCGAAGAAAAGAGCCGAAATTCGTACACTGCCTCGTTCAGCTCCTCAGGAATCAACTCGGCCATCATTGCGCCTTTGGGATCTTGGCTGCGCACGGTCTAAAAAAAGATATCAATTTTCATTCAGCTCGTTGTGAATAGGGCCGTGAGAGGCTCATGCTAGATGGAGGAAAACACACCATAAATTTGGAAACACTTTGCCCATGGGCAAAAATACATTATGAAGTAACCTTCCTTAGCCGATTTAGTACTTTTATTGCAAAGAATATGCAGTGAGCTAGAACTAGGATGGACTCATCAGATTCTAGCAGTTGCTGAGTGTAATTTCCCCACATGCCCACTGTACTACCTACTCAATGTGTGCGCGGCTGATAGGAGCACTCTTATCCAATAAATTGTAAACGACACGTAGGCTATGTATGATGAGGGCGTTGTTAGGGGGAATTCCGTTGCTCATAGGCAGCCAGGTGCGATTTGAGATCGACATTCCTGCTCGATAGTCGGCGCCAATGCAATGGTAGCACACACACGCACAGGCAAGACCTATTAATGGGGCCAAATGCAAGGCTGTTGGTAGAAATGGGTTACGACATACTTTCTTGAGGCACGCCTAGCCAATGGCGCCCAATGAGCGTGCGTGATGCACATATGACTGCCTTGCAACGAACACGTTGAGAAGACCCGAAGACTGCCTGCATAATGGAATATATCTGTACCTCACACCTACTATCACTTAGTGATAGTTAGTGGGGTGGTGACTCAAGCACTGTCGCTGTTTTAGCGTACATTGAAGGCAGCATGCAAGAAGAAGGAACAGGCACTTGATTACATCGGGTAATAGCTAGGAAGTTATGTGAAGGAACTCTCGAAAGCTCGGACGACTAGTGGACCGTCGAAAAAAAGAAAACATGACGGGATCTGGCAATTACCTGCGACTATCATGCTCCCGAATCTTTCTTGAATGTGGCAAGACTCGGAAAAGATAGTACAGCACAATTGCCCCAAGAAGGTTGAAGACAATATAGACCCAAAAGATCCCAAAGTTCCTCCAGCGATCATTCCACGCAATATCTCTGGTGGCAAGATACTGATCTGCTGATCGGAAGGCACAGTACTGGCACTCTCTGGAAGATCCCGGGTTATAGAGTTTACCCTCAGCAGCCACCAGGAATTCGGCCAAATATTGACCGCATGTTTGCCCAAGGGGTGGATCAAACCTGATTAACTCTCGATCTGAACAGTGAATGGGACGCCCGTGTAATGCGGTTGCACTGATCCCGCTCACATAGTACGTCAGTGGGGACGCTCTGTTCATAAACTTCCAAAATTGAGGAAGAGAGCTCCGTGGCTGCATGATGCCATTGAAAAGCAGAGAGAGCAGGAACATGAAGACTGCTAGCATGCTTCCGAGGGCAGGGTTTGGCAACGATGCAACGATGAACTGTGCGAAGCTGGAAGCAAATAAGAAAAATTGGACAACAAACAGAAGGACAAGGCCTTGGCGCTGTGGTGATTGGTTGCCGCCGTAGACAGAAAAATAGAATGAAGCCCAAGTACAGACGCCGAGTAGAACTTGCCAAGGCAATTCTACCAGGAATTGTGAAAGTAGAAATACTGTCCAGGAGTATGTTCCTGCTGGCCTCTCGCGTAACTCGTACAATGATCTCTGGGTAACGAATTTTGGCATTACTCTAGTGCTGGCATTAGAGTGTATAGTGTTATCGTGGGGAGACTGTGGATAGCACTCACTGGTTTACCATCGTGGAGAATATGGTGCAGAGAAGAAAGAGACTGAACAAAGTGTTCTGAAACCCTTGGCGAGAGTTATCTGATTTCCAGAACGAGAACCCGATGAAAAGGCCACAAACAATACCTAAAGCAAATTTGGCCATGATATAATCGGGTTGGCGATAATATTGCTGGAAGTCACGCTTAATGACATAATGGCACTGAGTCCAAATGGGCATTGCGAATTCGTCAGTGTTAAAGTTTGCAGTGGGCGAGGCCTCCAAAGCGGATGAAGTCAAGTAGTCCAATTCATCGAGAACTTGTTGGCGTTGGTGACTCTGCTTCCACACTTGCACCCAATCTATGGAGTTTTGTTTCTCAGTGCCTTCACCTCCAACAATTTCAAGAATATATTCGGCGGGCTGGGACATGGAGAAATGAGCATTTGGATAGAGCACGCCAAGGACGGGACTCGCTTACATTTTCAGCCATCCCGCAGCGACGACCCCCATTGCTTTCCACATAGTCAAGCAGAGTTCGAGCTTGATAGCCTAGATCTCCAAAATATAGTGTTCTGCCACCCTTTCCAAGAAGTAGTAGCCGGTCGAATTTCTCAAACAAATTCGCACTAGGCTGGTGAATTGTAGCCAGAACGGGTTGTCCGTGATCCGCCAGCTTCCTCATAAAGGCACAGATTGCCCATGAGCTGTGAGCATCCAGCCCACTAGTTGGTTCATCAAGGAAAATCAGTAGTTGTGGCTTTGCAGCAAGTTCAACGCCAATGCTCAAAAGCTTTCTCTGCTCCCTGTTCAGTCCGGCACCTGGGTGTCCAATCACTGCCTCGGCAAATTCCTCCATCCCTAACATCTGAATGACATCCTCGACAAATGAATTTTTCTTATCAGCCGACACATTGCGCGGCCGTCGCAGTGCTGCACTAAATTGAAGAGCTTCCCGAACTGTTGCAGTGTCCAGGTGAAGATCTTGCTGGGGAACATAACCTGTCTTCCGGGAAAAGCTCGGATCAAGCCCATGGCCATTGACGAGCACATCTCCAGTGACGATTCCTACAGACACACGCCGAGCCAATACGTCCAGCAGAGTGGTTTTGCCCGCACCCGAGATGCCCTGTATTATATGAAATTAGCGTGTTAGTACACGAACAGAAACCAAGGGAGAGTGAGCCGCCTACCATCAAAGCCGTCAGTGTGCCTGGTTTTACCCAGCCATTGACATCTTCGAGTAATGTTCTGTGGCCACCTTTAGCAGGAATCTCGTATGTCAGTCCTTTCCAACTCAAAATATCTTTCTGTTTGGGGAAAGAGTCCATCTTCGAGTCGAGGTTCCTGGCTTCTTCCCCGGCGAACGACTGCTCCCCAGGTTCGAGATCGGGTTTCTGCGAGACTTTTGGCATACTCCCCGCACCAAAAACCAATACTTCAGCGCCTACCTGCCTTTTCGGAACATATTCTGTCAGCACAAGATGAAGAATATGAAAGAAAATCGTAAATGCCACCAGTATCCCAAAGTTTCGCCAGATGTGTTCGTGCGAGAACTCGTATCCGTCCCAGATATACTTATCACCCGTGACAAAAGGGTATCCCGCAGTAGCACCGATAGATGAGCATATGAATGATTCGCCACGAACCGAGGGTAGGTAGTTCGGGATGAAATCCACGCATTGGAACACGCGGCTGTGAAATTCATTCGAAACGATAGCCTCGTAGGCATAGAAGATGGGGTTGATCCATCGAATCCAGGCAAACCAAGGGGGCATGTCAAACTGGGGCAGAGTGAAGCCGGTGTATACAGCAATGCACATGATCATGATACCTGCCAGAGCCATGGCTTCGCCCACGGCCCGGGTCATGCTTGCCAAGGTGCGAAACATCCCTGACATTGTCACCACCGCGGTGAGCTGGAACAGAATGTAAATGAAGAAATATGACGCGTCCCTCCGAAGTCCTGCCATAAAGTACAGTATCACACCAGCCAACAGACAGCGAAATAACTTAATTGGAAAATCCAGGATGATACCAGCGAGTGCTTCAGTAAAGGGGTGAACAAACGCGAAGGCCATTTGCTTCTCGACAATGGGTCTCTGGCTAAACAGAACATTGATTTCCAGCATTGCAATCAAAGCATTTGTGAGGACAGCCAAGAAAAGAACGGTGGCTCGCTGACTGAGTCCTACAGAGTTGTCTGGGATAGCGTAGAATAGAGAGCCAATAATGACTGCTACCACGACTTGCACAATAGCTGTAGCAATTATAGATGCAAGATCGTTACGGGTGCGCTGAAAAGCTCTGCTCAAGCATAAGCGTATCTGCAAGCCGAGAGAAAGAAGGTAGGGTGACGAGGGCCGTGCGTGGGGAGCTTGTTCATCATGCTTGAGAGAAGCAAAATTGTCTTCTTCCTTGCTGTCAAGAGGGTGCTCGCGGGCATATCGCCGGAGTGAAGCCTGTACGGCTGTGCGATCACGGCTTTGCTTCCAATATGCCTCGAATCCTTGAGCATCACGAGGAACTTTATTCTCCATTCCCACTTGAGGCTGCCGCTCCCCGGGGTCAGTGACGGCGGCAAGAAAGTCAGCACTTGTCTGGCGAGGAGGTCGTTCCCATCCCATCTCCTCAAAGTATTCCACGGCACGTTTAGAAGGGCCAAAAAAGACTTGACGTCCCTCATAAAGAACGATGACATGGTTAAAAGTGCTGAAGATGGGCTCTGAAGCCTGGTATGCAGCGACGACATGACAGGATCCCGCGAGATCAGCCGACAGTCGCAGCGCGCGAACAAACTCAAGCGCTGTGACAGCATCCAGGCCTCGAGTGCTATTGTCCCATGCACCCAGTGAGGCCCGAGATAGTACCATCTCCGCAATGCTATTGATAATCAGCATCAGGTCTGCGCATTTTCCGAGACTTGCAGCAGGTCAATTAGCAGCTCACCTTACTCTTTTCCTCTCCCCTCCACTGACGCCCCGGACATAATCATCTCCGACTTTTGAATTGTAGAGATGCGACAGACCAAAGAGTTCCATGACGAGTTTCACTGATGAATGCGCATATTGGTCTCGGTCAATTTCACCCAGCTGGTTCTGGGGAGCCCGCGCGTGTGCTGCGAAAGACAGAGTTTCACCAACAGTCAAGTGTGGAAAATGATGGTCTGTCTCTGAGTTGTAGACCACCTCCCCACGAAACTCAGCCGCGATCTTCTCCAGGGAGATCCCCTTGTACTGAATTTCACTCATGGGATCCAAACTCAAGCTCTCGAGGCGTGCGCAAAGCGATTTCAGAAACGTCGAACACCCGCTCCCAGGCCGGCCCACTACCAGGAGCATTTCGCCTGGGTTTAGAACCCCATGGATTCCATGAAGGATATTTCGTCGTGTCTGGGGATAGACTCTACTCCTGCACATTCCCACCATTTGTTTGAATGGGTAGCACAGACTAGAGAACACTGTAAGTTGAACACGGAGTGCGGATCCCGACCCAAGGACCAGCAAGTTCTCAAATAGCACTCCACGCCGACGGCTTTCTAGCATGCTAGGGTCCGGCGAGCAGAGTGCTCTGCTCGCCCATCCCGGCAAGTCGAGTTCCTCCGGTTCTGTTGGTCGGTCTTCTTTCGAAGCCCCCAGAACCCGAAGCTGCTCGGCTTGAGCTGAAACAGGAAAGTGGTCATCGGCTGGACTCTGCGCGTTGGGGTGAGACTGCTGACTGCTTTGCACCGAGTTGCCGGAGCTGTGCCCAATCTCATGCTTACCAAGTACGGTGGGACTCATGATGTGCTCAAGATCATGTATCAAATTGGGGTTGAGGAAGCAACTGGTGCTATCTCGATGCGCTCGGTATCTAGAAAATGTCGAATGGTGATTTTATCGCCACGAGATTTGAGACACTCAATGAACATTTGTTAACATCGGAAAGATTACGGCGAGGGATAGTCATGTCGAACCATATCGTCGATGAGGCCTCGGGCCTTAGCAACGCAGATCGGGCCTTAAATGGTCTGCCGGTCTTGAACTAACCCTATGTATTTTTGGTTGTTTTTCTTTTTCTTTTTCTTTTTTTTTTTTCTTTTTTATCATGATTAAGAATGCAACATTGGTATGAACTCAGATGCAGTTCTCCTTACGAGTGAAGATGTCTAACCTAAGACGCTGTTTGCTGTCACCAAGTGCTAGCTCCGTTTCGACTGCAGTGTGGGCTCAGGTCGGGAATCTTCACCAATTGTGCTTTCAGCTCTCTGGAAAATGTAAGGGATGGGGATGTGAATGCAATGTAGGCTACACAAAGTCACCAACGCGAGTCACATTGGAATCCTACTGGAATTTGAAATAGCTAGCCGTATACGCGGAAGCAAAATTGTTACAACAGACAGAAATACAGAGGAAAAAAAGAAAGGAGATTCACGCCTAGACACTGGTGTTGGGTCAATCGAGGAGATATAGAAAAAGTTTAGTAAAGGTCGAAGATTAACCAGATTAGGTTAATTGATGCTGAATACCTCTGAGGAATACCGGCGATCTAAGCCCTGATCGCCGATGCATGCATTTTGGCGCTCCGTTTTGTAGGACCCACTGTGCATCAGCCAGCCACCCGTGACGAGATACGAGAGTAAACAGTGGCCACACGATTCCACACCCTTTATAGGGTGCTATCAACATTTTTGTGGATATGTGATGGTAGATACTACACGGTGCGCGACTGGATACGAGGTGCGTGGGAAGAGTAAGGTGTGGATGCAATAATATGCTAGTCTATACTCCGCAGACCGTCCAGAATCTGCAGCTTGACAACTAGTCGATGGGTCTTTTTTTGCCTCTTCCTTTCGTTCAAGTTTTTGTTTTCAGGTTTAAAACTCCATTCGATAAACACCATATACTTTGGTATTTAAGCTTCTTTCGGTATCATAGACGTGCAAGGTATCACCCCTTCCTTGTTCAGTCCTTTCATTATCTGGACGTTGCTCTTTGTTTATTCCCTTCTCTCTTTCTCTCTCTCACAGCCGCCGGAATGGCATCCTCGACGGTCCACACGGCTCGGCCCGTTTGCTTTTTGTTTGGGCCTCAAAGTTGTGCGATCGCCGAAAGCTTATCTTTCATTCACAACACCCTTCAAACTACTCCATCCGTTGAGTTTTTCAAGCCTGTGCTAGAAGAGCTTCCTTCATTATGGCCTGTCATCACAGACGTATGGCCTGCCTTGACTCAGGTTCCCGGTGCTACACAACTGAGCGTCCTTGGTAGACTCGCGCAGGGGGAGTCTGTCAGTAGCCAGGAGCTTTCGTTGAATGTTCTCTTGACACCCATCACAGTTCTAAGGCAGATACTGGAGTATTTTTTAGCCAAAGAACGTGGTGAGGAGCATCAGGTCGTTGACGCGCAAGGCTTTTGCGTTGGATTCCTATCTGCGGCCGCAGTGTCCTGCTCGCCGGACACGAATCACTTCCCACAAATCGCGTCAGCCATGGTCCGCTTGGCTGTGTGTATCGGAGCTGCAGTTGACTTGGACGCACTTCAATATGGCCCTACTCAATCTCTGGCTGTAAGATGGAAAGATGACTTGGAGAACGAGAAACTGAAAGATATTTTGCTTGAATCTGACACGGTGCGTACAAAATTGACGGAATTTCCCGTTAACTACCTTTCCTCAGAAAACTGACCATACTTCCCACAGGGCTATATTTCATGCTTCACTGACACAAACTCTGCTACTATTACCGTTGCAGATTTGGAGTTAAGTGCCATTCTGGAGCAGTTGAAAAGCGAGGGCTTGTCGGCTAAGGTGATCGGCTTGCGGGGAAGGTTTCATCATGCATCTCACACTACGTCTGTGACGTATCTTTCCAGGCTTTGTGGGCTCGATTCTCGTTTTCGACTGCCTGATACATATATCCAGCGCCATCTACCGTTGAGGTCCAACGTGGATGGCAATGTAGTTGAGGAGGTCCCCGCGATTCACGAGGTCGCACTAGAATCAATCCTTGTGAAGCCTTCACAGTGGTTCCTTACCGTATCATCTACTCTCCAAGACACACAGGCCATTCTCGACGGCCAACTTGGCTTCATTGCCATTGGGACTGATCAATTTGTACCACGACTTATTAGAAGCCGCCTGCTCCAGTCCGACAAATTGCCTAGTACGAGTTCTACCAACTACCGCAGGATCTCCAATAAGGTCGATGAGTTCGGTAATGAGTTTGATCAGATTGAAGATGACACGGGGAACAAGCAAGCGAAAACGACAACCTCTAACCTTGCAATTCCCATAGCAATCACTGGCATGGGATGCCGATATGCGCAGGCAAACTCTCCAGAGCTTTTGTGGGAGATACTACAGCTTGGAAAATGCGCAGTTGGACCACTACCTACCAAGAGATTCAAGATGGATGAGGTTCTCCGGAAGCCGAAGGGACCATTTTTCGGGAACTTTTTAGCCAACCCGGATGCTTTCGACCACCGCTTCTTTGGAATATCAGCTCGTGAGGCAGAGTCTATGGATCCTCAGCAGCGGCTACTCCTGCAAGTCGCTTATGAAGCAATGGAATCTGCAGGATACTGCGGTATGAGGAAGGCTAATCTGCCAACCGATATTGGGTGTTACGTGGGTGTTGGATCCGACGACTACACAGACAACGTAGGTTCGACAAACGCGAACGCTTTCTCGGCTACTGGAACACTTCAAGCATTCAATAGCGGCCGTGTAAGTCACTTCTTTGGATGGAGTGGTCCCTCAATTGTTGTGGACACGGCGTGCTCCTCGGCTGCGGTTGCAATTCACATGGCATGCAAGGTACGATCTCATTCTTTGGCCATTGACAGCACATTCAATTTTATATTTGGAAGCATGAGAAAAGGCTAAAATTCTTTTGTGACATGGCAGGCTCTCGAAGGCAAAGAGTGCTCGATCGCTGTGGCAGGAGGGGTCAATATCATGACTAGCCCTAGGGTCACACAGAACCTAGCTGCAGCTTCATTCCTGTCCCCGACCGGCGCTTCCAAGGCTTTTGATCGAGATGCAGATGGGTACTGCAGGGGGGAAGGTGCAGGTCTGGTTGTTTTGAGACCACTGGCCGATGCAATTCGCGATGGAGATCCAATTCTTGCTGTCATAGGCGGGTCAGCTGTCAATCAGGGATCGAATTGTTCTCCCATCACAGTACCGCATTCGGAGTCACAAATGTCACTGTACCAAAAGGCAATGACGGCCGCAGGTGTTTCTCCAGAGGATATCACATACGTTGAGGCGCATGGAACCGGTTTGTTCATTTCCCCCTCGCCAGACCAGTGTCACCAGTCCACTAAAACAGAGCAATGGCAGGAACACAAGTGGGTGACCCGATCGAGTTCGACAGCCTCAGGAGAACTTTCAGCAAACCAGCTAGAAAGGATAAGGTTTACGTGGGATCCATCAAGGACAACATTGGACACACAGAGACCGCTTCTGGAGTCGCGGGTCTACTTAAGACAATCATGATGCTCCAAAAAAGCAAAATCCCTAAGCAGGCCAATTTTTCGCAGCTGAATCCCAAGATTGCGCCTTTCGGAAACGAACTCATCGATATTCCCACCCACCTTACCGAATGGCCATCCGCCAGGTCTTCAAGTGCTGTGGCCATGGTGACCAACTATGGTGCGGCAGGTAGTAACGCGGCCATTGTCGTTAAGCAACATAAAAAGTCTTGCATCCCAACGGCCCGAGCCTGTGTGCAACCATCCGAAGTGCCGATAATTCTCGCTGCCAATTCTGTGGAGTCGTTACAGTCCTACTGCGAGATGTTGGTCTCCCATATCCGACAAGGACGAATTGATTGCTGCGGGGACCTGGCGTATAACTTGGCTATAAAGCAAAACAGAGATCTAGAATACGCTCATTCGTTTACTGTTCCATCCGGTGAGACTGCCTCACTTCTTGCTATGCTTGAATCCACAGCACAGGAAGTGAGCATTGCCAAGAAGCAAACACGTTCCCGCTTGCCCATTATCCTATGCTTCGGAGGTCAAAATGGAGATACGGCGCATATTTCTGAAGACCTGTTCAACCGATGCGAATTGCTCCAATATCACTTGGTGAGTATCGTACTCCTTTCCTTTCGTTAATCTCATATATTGTACCTTGGACAATTCTCACTGGTTGTTTTTAACTCATCCAGATTGAATGCGAAAAAGTGTGCCAAGCCCGCAACCTTCCCAGCTTGTTTCCACGTATCTTCGACCCTGCTCCCATTCAGGACATTGTCAGTTTGCATTGTATCCTTTTTGCCATTCAATACAGTTCGGCAAAGACTTGGATAGATTCTGGATTACAGGTAGACCGGATTATTGGCCATAGTTTTGGTCAGTTGACTGGTCTTTGTGTCAGTGGGGGGCTCAAGTTGTCGGACGCAATTTATCTGGTCTCTGAGCGCGCTAGACTGATTCGTGATGAGTGGGGGCCGGACCGTGGGGTAATGCTTGCCGTCGAAGCAACACTTGCAGACGTTCAGCACTTGATGAGCGATATGCAGGATGTTGCTGTCGATATTTCCTGTGTGAATGGAGCGCGGAACATCATCCTTGCAGGAGATGAGGCATCTATCTGCGCGTTCGAGGATTTGGTGGCTCAAAACCCATTCCGTACCATTCGTGCCAGGCGACTTAAGAATACACATGCCTTCCACTCTCGAATGGTGGACAGCATTGTCCCAGGTTTGAATATGGTGGCTGGTGATATCCAGTTCTTCCCGTTGTCGATTCCTTTAGAGCCGTGCTCAGCCGATGCAGATTGGTCCCCTGTGACTCCGAAAGCAATTGTGGATCACAGCCGATACTCTGTTGACTTCCGAGCAGCGGTTGAGAGGGCAGCCGTAAAGGTTCAGGGGCCCGCTGTCTGGCTGGAGGCAGGATCTGCGTCTCCGATCATCCCCATGATCCAAAGGATCATGAGAGCCACTGCATCTACTGCCGGGGCGCACATCTATCAGGCGATTGATTTGGAAGGTCCACTGGCGCAGAGGAAACTTTCTCAGGCTACTTGTAATCTTTGGAATAGCGGCGTACCAGTACAATTCTGGCCATTCCACGCTGGTCAGGCCAAGACTTTCAACTGGATCAACCTGCCGCCGTATCAGTTTGCTCAACATCGTCATTGGATTGATTTTGATCCTTTTGCTTTCAGTCCGGTCACGCACCAGAATTTGTCGAGTGCTCCGGCCGATGTTAGCCCGCCCGAGTTCATACAGATCATTAGCAAGACGGAGAAGGAATGCCTATGTTCCATCAACACAAACGATGCTTTGTACCAGATGTGTACCAGTGGTCATGCAGTCGTTGACCAGAATCTATGCCCTGCATCTCTCTACATCGAGATGGTAGTCAGAGCTGCGCATCTTGTTTGCCCGGAGACCACATCGTCGCCTCAGATGCCCCATGTCCAAGACCTGGAGATCTCCGCTCCCCTCGTGCTAAACCCCTCGGGTGACCTTCTCTTGGAGTTATTACAGCTTCAGCCTGATCATGCGACTTGGTCATTTTCTCTGTTCACCCGAGATGCTAAGAGCGCCATCATAACCCACGCGGCAGGCAAGATCAGCTTGCATTCATTTGATCGCCCTGACCCGTTGTTTGCACGGTTGAATTCCATGAATCGTCTGATTCGTGCATCTCGAGTGCATTCCATCAAGAAATTACCCGGATCGAGTGGTTTAAAAGGGATGGCGGTCTATCAGTCGTTCCGGAGAGTTGTCAATTACGCGTCGTGCTATCGTGGTGTTGAGAGTGTGTATGCGACCGAACACGAGGCTGCAGGTGTGGTCAATCTTGCCACATTGCCTACTGCCAAGAGCAGATGTGATCCTATTCTCCTGGATAATTTCATTCAAGTTGCCGGTATTCATGTCAACTGTCTGTCAGATATTCGGGGGGAGGAGGTGTTTGTGTGCACTGAGATTGGAGAACTCTTTTTTGCGGAGCCATTCCTGGATCGGGAAGGGGCGGCCTCATGTTCTTGGGATATATATTCCAATATCGAGCGCCCCTCAAAAACCAAAATTACCTCTGATATTTTTGCGCTAGACCGCACAACGGGCAAGCTCGCTGTCGCTGTTCTTGCTGTGACATTCAAGAGTCTTTCGATCGTTTCACTTACTAGAGCTTTGAAAGGACTGAACAGCCATCCCGTGGATGAAAAGAGTGATTCACTCGGACACTTCCCCGAGAGTGAGAGAGTCCCTATTGTTCCGCGGAGCGCAAATCATGCCATTCTTGCTGCTCCCCAGGAAGCGCTTCCTAGTCATGATTACTTTCTGGACGTCCAAGCCATGCTCTGCGAACTCTTGGGAATGTTGCCTGAAGATCTCCCACCCTCCTCGAATCTAGAGGAGATTGGCGTTGACTCATTGATGCGAAGCGAAGTTCTTGCAGAAATCACCAAGCGATTCAAGGTCTCAATCACGTCATCTGAATTAGCAGATATTCCCAATGTCCAGTTACTGGTCAACACCATCTTCCCTCACAAGTCTATCTCTAATTTTACCGATGAATTCCAACCAGCATCGCAAAGCGAGACATCGGATCCCTCCTCCTCTGGTTATGATGACTCTACGATCCCGACGCCTATTTCAATGGAGCATTCACAGGGCCTTATGAACACAGCACCTCTTGTCTTCAGCGAGATACAGGGAACAGCAGTTCACAGTCAGACAACAAAATGGGATGGTTTCTATAGCTCTGTCTATCCCAAACAGATGGAGCTTGTCACTGCATATGTCGTAGAGGCTTTTGAATCTCTCGGTCTCTCGCTGGAGCATCTTCACCCTGAGCAGCACCTGCCTCAGGTTGAGGTTTTGCCACAGCATCAGAAAGTATTGGGGCAGCTACACGCCATTTTGGAATCATCAAATCTGATTCGAGCCACCGAGACGGGCTTTTTGCGCACAGGGACGCCTATCACACAGTTGACTTCGTTAGAAATACATGAAGAGATTGTCCGCCTTTATCCTCAACACAAATCCGAGCACGATCTTCTCAGAAAAACAGGCTCACAATTGGCCGACTGTTTGACTGGGGCGGCTGATCCCATTGCAATTCTCTTCCAAAACGCTGAAGCCCGTCAGCTGATGGAGGACGTTTACACAAATGCACCTATGTTCAATGCTGCAACCCGCCATATGGCACAGTATCTGACAGCTCTGCTTGCTCGCGGGGATACCTTGCACGAAGTCAAAATTCTCGAGATCGGCGCAGGTACAGGTGGGACAACCAAAGCTCTGCTGAGCCAGCTGACAGCTCTCCCGGGCCTTCGATTCGAATACACATTCACTGACCTGTCTTCATCACTCCTGGCACTCGCGCGCAAGAAGTTTAAGCATTACAACTTCATGAAGTATCAGACGCTGAATATCGAACAGACCCCTGGGCTAGAAATGCTCGAACAGTACGATGTAATCATCTCCAGCAATTGTATTCATGCCACACGCAATCTGGTTGAGTCTTGCACCAACATCAGAAAGCTCTTGCGACCAGATGGAGTCCTTTGTCTGATTGAACTGACACGTAACATCTTCTGGTTTGATCTCGTCTTTGGTCTTCTCGAGGGTTGGTGGCTGTTTAATGATGGCAGAAAACATGCACTTGCCAGTGAGCATGCTTGGAAAGCTACACTCTCCCAATCAGGATTTGAATGGGTAGACTGGTCACGAAATAACTCACAGGAGTCAAACACTCTGCGACTGATCACTGCTTCCCCGACACCTGTTCTCCCGGGGGTCAAGGGAGTTGAGAGTACTGCTATCCTCCCGGAGAAGGAGACCGTTCTTTTTGGGGAAGTGGGTGGTGTGAGGCTTTGCGCCGATATCTTCTACCCCAAGAGTCTTCAGCCTCCTGGAAGGAGTCGTCCGATTGGTATGTAAGCGAATAAGTCAGCGCTGTCCTTCTCCCTCACGGCGGCGAAAATTATTCTTACATGATCAACAGCTCTCATGATTCATGGAGGAGGGCACGTCATGCTGTCCCGAAGGGACGTTCGACCTAAGCAAACAAAGATTTTATTGGAAGCAGGCTTCCTACCAGTCAGCATCGACTACCGGCTTTGCCCTGAAGTAACCCTTCTTGAAGGACCCATGCACGACGTACGGGAGGGTTTACGCTGGGCACGCTATACTCTTCCAAGTTTGGCCCTTGGGCGTGCCGACATTCGCCCAGATGGAGAGCAAGTAGTGGTAGTTGGATGGTCCACTGGAGGCCATTTAGCCATGACTCTTGCTTGGACAGCACCACAGGCTGCAATTCCACCCCCTGACGCAATCTTGGCCTTCTACTGTCCATGTGATTACGAAAGTACGTTTTGGTCCAAGCCCAACAATCCATACAAAACCGATTCTTCATCAGTCGGCATGGTGTACGATGTGTGGGAAGGCATGTATGAAACACCGATCACTGCATACAACCCTCCGGCTAGCAATGAGGCTCAAGGAGGATGGATGTCTCCCACCGATGCACGAAGTCGGATTGCGTTGCATATGAATTGGACCGGGCAAACTTTGCCTATTCTTCTACGCGGTAAACACCTCTGGAAGTCTCAAACCAGTGGTTCGGAAGGCTCATTGCCATACCCAACATCTGAAGAAGTTCAAGCCGTCAGCCCGCTGGCTCAGATTCGTCGCGGTTGCTACAAATCACCTACGTTTCTAATTCATGGAGCGCTCGATGACTTGATTCCAGTGGAGCAGGTGCAAAGAACACATGATGAATTGGAAATTCAGGGCGTTGAAGCTGTGCTTCGTGTTGTGGACAAAGGTTTGCATCTGTTTGACATCTATCCGAGATACGAAGATGACGACGGAGCCTCTCAAGCTGTTTTGGACGGGTATCAATTTCTTTCCAGTCATGTTCGACTATAGTGTTTTTTTTTCTTTATCTAATTTCGGCCGCTCTAATGAATATCGTTTCTTATGAAATGCCTAGGTTGTCTGAATAATACTCTCAAACAATTAGTCCCACTAGGATCAGATTGTTTTACCGTGGTCAGAGAGACATATTCTTTGCAACTAGAGATCAAATACAAATATTTTTGGAACAATTTCTCCCTCTATGCGGTTGAGAATAACTACCGTTCATGAATTTTCTACTGATTGAGCTATCTCCACAACTGTAGTGACAGGATACATGGTTATTTCCAGGCAGTTTCATCTCTCAGAGCATAGTTCTTTTAAGGAGGGGTGTTTTCTAACGAATAACAGTCTTTTGAATGGCTCTTTCCAGACTAGTTGCCAAAGGCGTCCAGCTAATTTGTCCAAAGTACTCATTGAGCAGTTTCAAAGCTCTGGATGCCGGTACAACTTCGCCGATGGTTGGCTCTTCCTGTGAAGTTGTGGTTGGAATAGAGATGTTTCCGGGTTGCAGCTGTTTGAGAATCTCAATTACCTCTTGCCAACTGAACGGCCCTGCAGCAGCAAAGAGTCGCTCAGATTTCACACTTGAACAAAATAGCGCAATTGTATGTAGGCGCGCAGTATCCACTACATCCACAAACCATGCTGGATATTCCTATAAGCGAAGTCTTCTTGTTACTAGGATACATTTTACTCACGAAGAGGGAGGAACTTGAATGGCTGCGTATTGCCTTGAAGCAACCCAGTGACATATCCCATTGTTGAGCCCCCAATGTTTGGATGGAGCACCTTGCCCAACTATCAAGCCCCCTGAATCAGTTTTCATGATCACTTTTACTTTTGTCAGCACACTCACCGTGAACCACGGAAGGACGGTATTGAATTCAAAACCTGGTTGATTCTTCTCAACCCATTTCCACGCCTGAAACTCTCCTTGAGCTTTGCACTCTCGATAGGCAGACCGCTCCGCTGGTGGTTTCAATCGTTTGCTCACACTTTGATCCCAAGAATCTGTATAGAGGGGTTAGCGTTTCTCCCTGACATTTCACACGTCGCTAGTAAAAACATTTGATTAGGCGCTTCTTACCCACATCCAGTTTAAACCCGGGACCTTTAGGGTAGCCTGCAGCGACAATGGACGAGGTGAAGACAACTCGCTTCACCGACGTCTGCGCTGATGCAGCCTGGAGAAGATTTACACTGCCTTTCACTGTGTATGCCACTGCTTCATCCACATCCTTCACGACTGGAGCACTGGGCATAGCTTGAGCCTAGTTGTCGTAATTAACATTACATCTCTGAATCGAGAATGCATAACATACAACATGGATAATTCCCGAAACTCCTTGTACACATTCATCAAATGCGTTGCGCTGCTGGAAGTCCGGTACCAGGACGGACTCGAACCGACCTGAACCCCATTGATCTGCAAAATAATCATCCAGCCATGGAGTCGGAGTCCGCACAGTTCCTCTAACCGTGTAGCCAAGCTCTAGCAAAACATTGATAATATGTGAAGCGATAAAGCCGTTTGCTCCGGTGACGAGGACTTTCGACCTGGGGGGAATTGCATGTTGTTTCAAGCCAGTCATTTTTATCAACTACACAATAACTTGTTCCAAGGTCCTGGAGATGTAGTGCTTCAGTTGGTGTTTATCATACCTAGCTCACCTAGTCAAGTCTGATGGGTCCAGTCTGAAAATAAAAGTCACACCGTGACACTGCACTGATTCAAGAACACTACTCTTGGGGGAGACGACCAAAACAGGGGGACGCTCTTACAATCGCGCCGTACGCTGTGATTCACACCCAATATGATGCTTCCTTCCAACGAGTAGCGGTGAAGGTTATGACCGGTAGCAACTATTGAATCAATCGATCTACAAAGTACCTCGAATCAGAGGTACAGGAACGTACCTAGATGTGGCTGGGCTGAAAGCATAAGCAACTGTAAGTGAAATATCGATCTTGGCTTTTTTATTGCTTTTCAAAGGAACAGGATCTCGTACAGTCATTCTCCTCGACCGTTACACAACACACATACCTGTAACGTAATGCAGTACACCGCTACAGGACCCTTGCTGGCTCCACATCCGCCCATGCATGGTTAGCGTCGATCTGGTTTTTTCTGCAACGTCGATCTTACACTGTCTACGGTGCGCTCCGAGCCGTTCCGCAAGGAGTAAATGCATATCTCCGCGATAACAACCACGAGCGCGGCCCTATCTCTACCTCTGGTGTACACTAATTCAGAATAAGTCGCCCGGTCCACAATGAAAATCCAGGCACTTTGTGTTATGTATTTCATACTCAAGGAGGCTGGATCAGCTTCCTGGTTACCCGAAGCGTGGCTTTGTGAAACCTATGTCATTTTTCGCGCCGCCTTGCATGAACATCACGTAGCACATAATATCGCAGCTCCTATTCGAAGCCGCTTTGCACAATTTTCAGTCTCGTAAGTTGACAGTAACATGGAGGAGGGCATAGCGACGTGGACAAACATACTCCGATATTTCCTAAGCTTGTTATAAATATCATCTATCGCAGCATCATCCTTGCTCTGATAACAATCACTGCCATTCCTCAGAAATCCTTGTTGCACAAACAAGCGTGGGCTAAAATGCACTTCTCTTCTTTCCTCATTACCACCATGGCCTTGGCTGCCTCCAGCGTTTACGCCTTACCCCAAGGCACAGACGACGACACTATCTGCCTACGTTTGTGCCGAGACGCACCTTTCCAGTGCCAAGCAGGGTGGGAGTCAACCCAGATTGGTTCTGGTGACCAAGTATGTTACATCCCACTCTTCAGCGGCTGTCTCTCCGCTGTGCAAATTTGCTAACTCGTGGTAGGAGTGCTGGACCTGCTGCGATAAATAAATCGTCGTGTTGGAAAATCTCGGACTGCTCTGATGCCTGAGATCTCTGACTTTTGAGAAATCAATGGTCGGACACAATAGGCTGCTTGCGTGTTGGAAAGTCTCGTGCCTACCTGGTATTTCGAGATTGACGCCGAATTACATTAGTCTTCGAATTAGAATATCCATGATGTTCGAATCCCAATGAACGTTAATATTTGATACTTTTCTACCAAGTTAGACTTGAACGTAACTCGAATAACCTGTCACGATGCCGTAGGTTAGACCTCCAAAGCCCCCCACGGCCCAGCCAGTGAGGCAATAAATTCGAACGTTATACCAAAACTGGAGTGTAATGGTACAGTATTCAAGTTATTCAATCACTAGGTTAGAAGCACTGCAAATAGCTCAATCACCAGCCCCCTACAGATATCGTGAAAGATTACAGGGAGACATACAAGACATTGAATTCCTATCATGATAATTCGTACTCACTCAATTCATTTTGTACAAAACACCGGGATCGGAACTTCACTACAGCGGGATAAATCAGTAGACAGGTAGGAAATACACAAAGTATGTTGTCCCTTGCACGAACTCCATCGCTCAATGCATTGGGAAAGTCTTTGACTTGACGTTTATTCAATAGGAAGGAGCCGAGGACTGAGACGCAAAACAGAGAATTAACAAATATTGCTTAAGCAATTACCGATACAATAGTGGTATGTTAAAATGGTAGTAGTGTACCATTCTTAAAAGCAAAACAGCTATGTCCGTCAAAACTAACCCACTCCAATACGAACTCGTACGTACCCCTGACATTCGATAAGCCATTAGGTCATTGCAGTCAGTAGTATAGTACTGCGGATCAGCCAACGTATCCCATCAAGTTGCATGACTTTGTTATACTGCTTTCAATATAACTCCACTTTTCAGCACGGGTCCTGTGCTAGACCAACTCTACTAGTTATACCATGCGTGGCACAAATGTGCAGGTATAATAACGCGTGCTGATCTGAAGTGCGGGAATGTTGCACAAGTTATGACCCGCTATTCGACGAACCGCATGCAAGTGAATAATTTTTTTTTTTAGTTAGGCATATCCCTGAATGTTTTTACGATGCATCATAATTGGCTGAGAGTGATTATTGCACCACAGCACTTGCCTCCATGAGAATGAGCGCAGGTTAAATCCTCGAAATCAATGATTTCAAAGTTTTCACATTGCATATGCATAATTTGAATGCATTGAGGGAACTCACAGAAAAGTTAGTTGCAGTCATTGTCTAGGAATTAGCTCAGGGTGTGATCCAATTTAGTTAGTGTTGCCACGGACCAGGGTCGTTCTTCGTAGAACCTTTTCAATGACCTTCACGTAATCTTATTTCCTAACTTCTCTCGCCTCTCTGAACGACCTCTTGTCAACACTGTGGTAGTTCTCCAAAATGTCTTTTCATGTGCCGCCAGTTCTGGCTAAATTCGATATCGCCGGTCTCGTTGCCGTGGCCGTTCTATTAGCGCTGTTTTTCTTGTTGACCTCCGGTAACAAGTCCCAGTTACCCTTGGTAAACAACAAACGTCCCCTTGAATTCGGAATAGCCAAAGCTCGACAGCGCTATTTGAAAGATGCGCATAATCTCATCATGGGCGGTCTTGCAAAAGTATGTTAAATGTTCCTTGGGAATCTGACATTTCTTATAAGTTCTGTAGGCTGGAGCTTTTCGAGTCGTCACTGAAAACGGGATACGAACAATTCTTTCAGCCGACTATGCAGAGGATATCCGCAGTCATCGTTTGCTGACATTGAGCGGCGCTTTGGTTACAGAGCACCATGTCAATATTCCGGGTTTCGACGCGGTCAAAGTTACTGTGACCTCGGATATCATTCAAGATACCGTTCGCACTAAGCTCACTCAAAATCTGAGTAGGGTTATGATCCATTCTCATATAGTTACTTAGTGACTGATGCAAGCAGTCAATATCACGGAGCCCATGTCTATAGAAGCGAGTCTCGTACTGAAGGACCAATGGACGGACGAGCCCGGTTGGTTGTTTCGCTATCGGTTAGGTTTGGTGACTTACTGATCTCTCCATTCGGCAGCTTGGCATGACATTCACCTGCGACCCAAAGCTCTTGGTCTGATTGCCCAGCTGTCATCAAGGGTGTTTTTGGGTGAGAAGATTTGCCGCAACCCCGACTGGCTGCGTATTACGGTTAATTACACGATCGACTCCCTGATGGCTGCCGCCCAGCTTCGACTTTGGCCCGAGGCTCTGCGTCCCATCGCTGCGCGCTTTTTACCCAAATGCCAAAGGATTAGAGAAGAGCTCACAGAGGCTAAGGATATTATCTTTCCGGTGGTTGAGGACCGACAGAGGGCTCGAAAGGCAGCGATCGTGGAGGGAAAACCAGAAGAGACATACCACGATGCAATTCAGTGGCTAGAGGAAAATTGTCAAGATCAAACCTTTGATCAGGCTGCAATGCAACTCGCTCTGTCTACAGCGGCGATTCATACAACCACTGATCTACTCACTCAGACCATACTCGATCTTTGTGGTCGTGAAGAACTCGTTGATGAGCTTCGGAAGGAAATCGTCAGCGTCCTTGGAGATGGTGGCTGGAATAAGAGTACCATGTACAAGCTCAAGTTGATGGACAGCGTCATCAAAGAATCTCAACGTGTCAAACCCATGGCTATTGGTTAGTACTTTTCAACTTCCTTACATTCGCTGCACTAACCGTGTAACCAGCAAAAATGGCGCGCAAGGCAGAATGCAACGTCAAGCTATCCGACGGGGTCGTCATCCCAAAGGGGGACATCATACTGGTCTCGTGCAGCAAGATGTGGGATCCCACCATCTACCCAGACCCCGAAACATTTGACCCTTACCGGTTCCTGAAGCTTCGTGAGGGATCTATGGACAAAGAAAGCGTGGCTCAGTTCGTTTCGCCTTCCCCGCAGCACATGGGTTTTGGCTTTGGAAAACACGCTTGCCCTGGGCGATTCTTCGCAGCCGCCGAGTTGAAGGTTATTTTGTGTCATGTCATTATGAAATATGACTTTCGATTGGCCCAAGGTTGTACACCACGGATCTTGCGGTCCGGAATGAGGCTTTCGGCAGATCCTTCAGCGAGAATTGCTGTGCGAAGAAGGCAAGAAGAAATTACGTTGTGAAAGATGCTTGTTCTTCTACCTGTACTCTTCATGGATTGTTGCCTCTCAGAAGCAGGGGAGGGCCCATTTGAGATTCTCCTGATGGCATTTCTGGCGATTAACCACTCGATTGGATCAGTTAGCATTATAGAAAAGACATAGGATACATCGATGCTACTGTCGGCCCGCACTAGAAGGTGTTACCGGAATTCCGGCTCATAAATACCATCTTCATCCCCTGCTCATGTATGGAAAATGTTGCAATAAAGTCGCCCTTCTTATACCCGCTGATTCTGCGACCATAGTTTTATCCTCCAGGTTTGATTCTGCTTACTATTATCATTCCAAATGGAGGACATTCACTCGTCATGGGAATATTAAGTCTGAGAGAATCTCGGGCAAATTGTACTGCCACTGAATGAAGGATCCCCTCCCTGCTATTCATGATGTATAACAGCACAGGTAACACTTTCCAGCTTCCTTAAATCATTGGTATATTCCCGGATGTGGGGGATACTGGAGCCATTTGGAGCAAATTAAGAGGCACAGCATAACAGATGCCAAGTTAAATTTTACAGCAGCGAGCACAAAACAATTTCACGCTAGGTTCTCAATGGTTTGTAGATATTAAAGCCATGTAGGTTGATATGAGCTGCATCATACATTGCTCAGCCATGTTCAGTGTTACCCCTCACAGTCTATAGACCTTGTGCGCGCTTCCATTCTCGCTCAAGGTTGTCACCTATTGCGTTGTAGGCCTCCTCCTCAAGCTCACGATGAGATATCATTCCTTCACGCTTAGAAATTATTGACTTTGATTCCTCGCGAGACATTTCAACTGCAATTGATCTCAATCAGTATTTGAGCCAGGGCTGACAAGGTGGCGGGGGAAACTCACCGTGAATGTAAACGGCAGCACGCTTGCCGCTGAACATAGCATGAGGGACGTTGGTGGAACCATCGCTATTTGCGTCCCCGATAGCAAAGACACCAGTTTCGTTGGTTCGCATAGCACTGGTGACCTTGATCTTCCTGTTGTCCATCTCAAGACCCATCTGAGCTGGGAGGGTCGAGGTCTGATCGGTGGGGTAGTCAACCAGGAAAGCATTACGCTCGACCGGCTCACCCTCGGTGAAGTGAACGCGGAATTTGTCGTACTGCTTGTCTTCGTCCTGATCACGGTGAGTACCACCGTCTTGGAGACGTTCAAAAGATTCGATGATACGGTTATCGAAGGGGACACCCCAAGCCTCCAGCTGCTTATCCCAGTCTGGATACTTCTGTGAGGCACGAGCCTCTCCTTCAGGTGTCCGCGTCCCATTGGTGAAGGCAATGATATCGCTGTTCAAGGTGTGGACTTCCAAGACGGCACCAAGCACGCTGGCGATATCAGCGACAATGCCGAAAGGCTGATCGCGGTGCTCTATAGACGGTTAGAAATATTTTGCTGGTGTGATATTTACCGTCTTTGGTTGAAAACTCACCATAACCGTCGCACCATGGACACCAGAAAATTCCCTTTCCGAATGCTTCACGTAGACCGGGCGTTGAGGGAAGAAGGTCACGCAAACCAGTACCAAGCACAATTTTGCGCGCTGTATAGCTCTCTCCGGTAGCATCGGTGACATTGAAGGCGGAAAAATCGCCATCTAAAGGAACGATAGATTCCACTGTCTCATTCTTGAAGTGAGCGGTATCGTATTTCGAAATCTGCTCTCGAGCTAGACCTCGGAAAGTCGCAGGTGGGGTGCCTATGATTATATCATGTTAGTCGATCTACCGGTGAGTACATCACTTCCATAAACCAGAAGACGACTTACCGTCGTTTCCGATGACATCGTGCATTTCTCGGGTCGGGGCATTCCGATACTGCTGGTTGTCAAACAACAGAGCGTTGCGTCTGACACGAGAAACACCGCTGAGGGCGCTGAGACCCGCGGGGCCTCCACCGACGATAATGACATCGTAGTCAGTCTGTGGCAACGATACCGCTCCGGATAACGCCAGCAATGAAAGGAAGACTGTCTTGACTGACATTGTGACTGATTAGTTTAACTCGTGCAAACTCCAGATTGCCAGGAGTAGACGTGTCGAGGCTCTTTATAGATTACCAACATGTAACAAGGCGATCGACATGGGATCTATTGTCAAAATTTCCTATACCAACATGCTTCTGGCTCCATGGGTCTGAGGACGGTGGGATCATTGTTGTGGGTCCCTTGCATGTCTAGTGAATTGAATATTGACTCTGCAAGGTCAAGACTGCTCATGCAGACATTGGTGTAACGAAGAAATCGCAGATCACTATATCGTTTTGGCTAGGAATCACCATTTGCTGCAGTTGTCATTGGCAAGATTTCGCCTGGAATGGAGAAAATATGTCTGCTCCTTTCAAGGTAAATTGTTTACCATTACATATGTACCTTTGTACTCATGCAACAGGTACATGATGAGCTTCGAGACGTGTTAGTAATACAGAGTGATATAGCTGCAAGAACACCTATCCTCGTAGACGCTCTGCGGTTTTCCCAAAAAGCATGCAAAAAATTGCCTTTCTGTGCATGATTTTCAGAGTTCTTTGTTTTGGGCCACCCTCTGGGTGTGGGGACCTTGCCAAGGCGAAAAGTGCCACGAAGCCAGCCACCACCAATGGACTGGGCTTCTAGGTCGGCTCTCAAGTCACAGAACGACTCCATCTACCAGCGCATTTTCCACCCATCCAAACAAGTTTTTATCAACTGCTTTATTCCCCAAACCCCAATCACATCGCGCGGATCAGCACCAATCAGTGCAGCTCAAATAAGGAGTCAAGCGGATTTGCTAAATCCCAAGCCGCATCAGATTCGACCCTATCAAGATCCATAATACAGATCATCATTTAAGGGTATTCCTAGCTGAGGAGGCTTCCGAGTCTATATTGTGCATCGTTTTTCAGTGACATAACAGGGTTGATAAAACAGCTTCGATGATCATTCACGACTGCCTTAGGAGAAAAGGGGGGGGGGGGGGGGGGGGGGGGGGTACACATAGCGTCTACCATTTCTTCCTGTATATATAGAAATTTTGCGTTTCGATGTTTATTTTCTTCATATGGCCATTATTCCTACCGCAGCCGTATCTAATTAACGAGGACCAGATCAGAGTGTGAGGCGGTAACAGGGAATAAATGTCTAGGCGTCAGGTCAGCAAGGGCAGCCTGGGCTCGGGCGTTTAAGGCATTATGATCAAGGGCCTAGCCTTAGGTAGTGAAAAGCAGTAAGAACCCGTGAAAGACAATAAGCATGAAAATATATATTGTGAAACCACAAAATAGAAGGCCATGATTTGCATCTTGTGACCTCAGCATAATACCTAATGAAAAGCCCACAGGAAGTTTGTATCCATGCCCTGCCTCCCATGAGCCGTCGTGACATTGTCCAATGGGTACCTTACGTGGGCTGTGCCGAGGTCTACTAATTCCATCTTCTGGCTTATCTGCGTAAGTTCGGCGTCCTACCCGATATTCTCCTGTACTGGTATCGTGATACCCGAATGCCTTGTGGAGAATTTCCACTTGCCAATCACATGCAACTCTACGCAATAGAATCCCGAGGTTGACGAGAAGACTGGATGTTGAGTTGCGTCGACATTTAAGGAAACCTAAGCTCATTTCGACTCTCTCTTATCACGGTTTTCACCAGTTACTTAAGGTAAAGTCCTCTGTTTTTTCTCGAAGTTGTCCTATTGGGGCCATAGGGTTTCTTTCAGAAACTAACTAGCAATACTCTAAACTATCTGGTCTAGTTTGGGGTTCAAGTAAAAGCCTGTATTTTTTCATATATCTCGAAGAAGCTCCACCAAAGATGTCACGGGATAGTCTGCCTTCAATCATATTTTTCGATGTCTTAGGGACAATCGTGGAATGGAGATATTGCATCGCGAACGAATTGAATGCCGCAGCACAAAGAGCTCTTCAAGATGAAGTTCGATGTTTGACTGCCGATGTGCGACAACGCGTGTCTGATATGCCCTCCTCGAGATGGCAGGATATTGCTGAGGAGTGGCATCGCACCTATATGGACTTCGGAGACACTTACGATTCATCTAAGCCCTTTGTCTCGGTTGATGAATATAACCGTATATCTTTGGAAAATATTCTTAGTAAACGGCTCCTGCGAGATTTATTTAACGACGCCGACCTCATACATTTGACACTCACGTGGCATCGACTTGACGCATACTCTGACAGTGTGCCAGGCCTTTCGTTGCTGAACACAAAATTTTCGACTTCTACCTTGTCAAATGGCAATGTAAAACTACTGGAAGACCTACAAAAGCATAATTCTTTGCCGTTCGAGCACATTACCAGTGCAGAGCATTTCAGTGCTTACAAGCCGTCGCCAGAGGTCTACCATGGTGCTGCTCGCAGATTAGGATTCACCGTTTCGCAATGTTGTCTCGTCGCAGCCCATCTTGAGGACCTGCAAGCCGCGAAGAAATGCGGCTTTCAGACAATCTACCTTGAGAGAGACCTTGAAGAAGCATGGGATAGTGGAGATGTCTCACGGGCCAGAGAAGAGGGGTTTGTCGATTTTTGGGTGGAAGTTGGAAGCTCTGGTCTGATTGAAGTTGCTCGATATTTTGGACTATGAATGAGATGAACAGCGCGAACCCATACGCTTACTCAATCACACATCTTCCAAATATTATACTAGTGAAGTATGAGGTGACGGGCGTCATGAGTGGCACATCCACACATTGTAACCGCTATTTCAGCTATTCTAGCAACCATTGTTAAAAGAGAATACGGCAGGCATGCTAGAATCTTGAAAGATAAGAGACGAACAGCCAAGTTTATGATTCCCGATTCTCACGAGTTTTCAGTTTCTCGCCAACGCTTAAAGCGCTCTTCACAAGTTTGTTTTCCTCTGCAAGGGCCGTTTGCATCAGTTGAAGAGCAGTTATCAACGCTGCGATGAAGGCTGCCATCCACACTGCTAAGAATTGTGAGATTTGCCAAATAATCGAAAGTGATTCGTGTATGTCCTCGACGCATTCTTCCTCATTCTGTTTCTTTGGCGCGTGTTGGTCTGGAGAACACTTGGGGCGCTCTACCTCTACAAGCTCAGGTTCTGCTACCTCCTTATGAATATGCTGTGCTTCACCTTCTCCTACCAGTGTTGAGCTAGACTGACTCGACTCAGAGAGTCCGAAATCCGAGTGCCCCGTAGATATTGATATATTCGAGCCGGTTTTTGTGGCCGACAAGAAATTTGGTGGACATCGGCCATTATGTTTCCCAACAAGTGCTAGGAAGTCGTCGGGGAGAAATATAATATTATTTCGCGGGTCTAATTTCTCCAGGTTATCCGAGGGAACAACTTCATCTATCATATTCAGGTCAGTCATCGCATCTTCTAGTTGTAGGACATGAAGGGCCCACCAGTCATGGGGTGTAGATTGGCTTCAGTCATCGACTTGTCAAGACCGCTCACCAACTTGGCAAAGTCGACATCAATAGCCTTTCTCATAGAAGTGTGAATCGTTGCCCTCGCACATGTTTTCCGGTTTCGCGGTGGGCAGACAAGTATTTGCTTCACTCTGTCATGCCAGCGTTGTAATCTAGCCTCGATCTTCACATCCAGGTAGAATGGCTCCGACTGGTGCGTAAATGCAACAGCAGAATGCACAATGTTTTGCTGTACAGCTTGTTTCTCAAGTTCATTTTCTTGTAAGTGCCAGACGACTCGCCGATAGCGACTGTTTCGGGAATCGTTACCGAGAGGAGAAGAATCCGGCGCAAATCGCGAGCCTTCGAAGTGCCAGCGTGACGCGTAGCTAACGACAGAAGATCTGGCGAACCTCATTCCTTGCAATGTGGCTGCACCAATCCCCACTGTAGGGTTGGCCTCCAAAGTAGTCGATACCAGGCGTTCCCTTTTCTCGCCGGTCAATGTTTGGGGGCCGAAGAATTCGGTCACTTCGAGATTGGAACTTTCCTCAGCATGCCCAAGACGTGCATTCTCGATGTTTGTAGTCTCATGAAAATCCATTGTAATAGTTGCTTGTGAGAGCTTGCATTTTGCCGGCTGGTGGAACGTTAGATCCAAGTACATAACACCAGCATCCTTCCCATGAAGGCGGCCCCAGCGCGTTTTGGACATCAAGAAACAGCAGTCGACACGCATTTTCTGCATTTTGAGTTCACAAAGACTCGCACTGGACTGTGTCTCACAGAAATCAACATATTTGCCCTTGAATCGTGTCGCGGGCGAGGCGCGTTCGTGAACCATCACAGTGTATGTCAACAAGTTTAAAGGGGCGGGGGCAGGGGGATGCTGGACAAGCCGTGTCACTGGAGCCTTATAGAGGCTCTTTAATATTCGGATTAGACTTAATCGTCTGCCAAATCCCTCATAAGTCTAGCGCGAGTTCGTAATGTGTTCCAATCATGTTGCTCGCTACAGAATGCCTCCGTTGTCGCCCATCCATGCACCCGGGTATGTCAGTCCAATAATGAATCGCTATTATTGCCGCATTTCACTGCACAGCCCGACATAGCCTGGATGGTCGACAAGTAATACTAGAGTGTCGCCCCTCGATCTCGCGTACCTGCTGAGTGACACATTTTCCCTCGCCAACAATGGTTATCACGATTTCGATAGATCCAGGAAACCCGGGCAATACTTCAGTCCGTCAGACAAAATCATCAAAATCACCACCCTCATCGAAGCGACCACGGCCGCCCAAGTCCCTATCCGGGTCAGCTCAAGCAATAAACAACAGTGAGGAAGCTTCTTCCAACAGTAATGGATCTTCCAAGAGTGATGCATCTTCCTCTGAAGACGAATGGCAACACTCTATATATCCGGATTCGTTAGCACCCAGCGATTCTAGATCAAGAGCGAGAAAGCCTAAGTCGGGAGGATTCGTCTCAAAATCTCGCCCTAGTATAGACAAAAGTAGCAAAAATGCCGCCGTTCAGACGGTTAATATTCAACCCCTGAGTGATGCGGACCTCTCAGGCCATCAAGAGAAGGATTTCACCATGCATTTTGATTTGGATATTGGTCTTGACGTGAATGCCGACATCGAGGAGCTCTCGCGACTGAATCAATTGGGACACTTCAATGAAGCAATATTGTTGTTCCATGAACGACTAGCCTCCCATGTCGACTTCTTCCCCGTGACGGCGGAATATGTTGATTTGTTGTTGGAGCAGGGCAGTTTCAGAGATGCGGAGGCGTTTATCACTGCACGCCTGAATGATATGGTGGCGACATTTTCCCAGGTGGAGTTGCGGCTCCTGAGACTTCTCAAGTCCTTCGCAGAGATTTACACCAAGGGGGCTCTGATACCAGCTTTACAAATGACAAAGCAAGTTCTGGATGATCTACAGAAAGAGACGGATGAGGATCCATCGTCTTTCAAATCATCAATAGGGCAGCATGTAAGTCTCCAGAATCTCCTTTAGGGCTAAACTGACAATTGTCACAGATCCATTTAGTTGAGACATGCCTGCGTATAATAAGACATGCGGCCGTCAATTCGAGCTTTTTGCAGAGTAGCGCATATTGGTCTCTGTTGCAATGGGGGTTCTCCTCCGGCAAATTCAAGTTCAACAGCCCTTCATATTTCGCGGGCCCGGCAACTGTAAATTCAGTGGAATCCCCACCCGCTATATCCGGTGGCATAACAGGTAATCCTTTTCTTCATACGGCTCCTAAAAGGCCATTCCTTCGCTTGGGAAGTTGGTATTCATTTTTAGTGAGGGAAGGGTACATGTGGGAATCAAACCGTCTACTGCAGATCCTCTTGCCACTTATGGGAGACCCTGAAGGCCGTTTTCTATCGGACAGCACCTTTGAGGACTTCTTCAACTTGGCCAATATAGCAGATGCAAAAAGATTCTTCTCACAGGATGAACTATCTTTCCGAGATGAAGACCAGCAGATTTTGACGGAACTTGCGGACGCAACCCTCATTGCTGGATTTTTGAATGCTTACACTGATAATGAATCTGTGACGGCGACCCGGCGCCATTTTTTCGAGAAAGCCCGTTCTATCGCTGCTGTAATCGCTTCAGAACATCAAAAGTTGCTAAAGAGCAGACCATACTCTAATTGGTTATATCTGGCGGAGACTGAACCTATTGGGCTGCACGAGATGCTGGGCAGCCCAAACAGTCCAGTGATTCCCCCTCTCGTTTGGTGCCGGGATTTTATGGGTGGCATTCAATTATCTCTACCTAGCGGTGTTAACCCTGCAAGTCGTATCCATCGCCCAGTGTCTGCTGCTGCTGCTGCTGCCACTTGTTCACAAGAGAGCAGTTTGGAGATCCTCATGACAGTCGCAAAACAACAAGGAGACTACAAATGGCAGCTATTTCTCCTCCAGGTGCTCCTAAACAACTGCTCTCACTCTGACGGGAGGCTTGCCCTCATACGAGATATGACAAATCTACGGCGAGGAGTCATGGGTGATTCTGGCGGTTATCTTCAGTCTTTAATTGCCGAGTGGCTTGTCCTCTCACAGTCTGATCTGGAGGCTGCCAGTGCCACGCCCATGAATCTCTACTCGCGTTTTGTCGAGTTCAATGACTCGTTTCCTTCTCACTTCGACTTCAGACCAGAAGAGAGACAGCGCTTAGGGGTGGTCTTATTCGACGTCCCCGTCTTTGATTGGTTAAAACACCAGGCCATGGAGCAACTGCTACGAGGGATGAACCGTCATGCCGAGGCCGATGTCTCGAGAATTAGAATACCGCAAATTGAGCGGCATTTACCATATCATGCAACTGTTCGTCTCGGCATAGCGATCATCCGTTGCGTAGGTTGTGCAGACTGTAGTGGAGACATGTATCCATATTATCCGCACAACTTACCAATGTATGGAGGTGGTCCATATATACCATATCCTCACCATACATATCCAACGACTTACCCCGTGCATCCGACTATTGCTAATCAGGAAGTTCCTTATTGGCCAATTTCTCATCAGCATGCTGCTCACAGGGCGAGCAGATATACAACTCAACAACCTGCTCCTTCTAAATCTGCTTCTTCTCGGAGCGTTTCTCCTCTGCGTGATTCTCCTCCGCGTGTCTCTCAACCTTCCTCTCCGCGATCAGGTTTGCGTACACTTGGGCCAGTGAGGCACCGTGATCCGACTGTAGAAGAGGATACAGCCTGGCATGTGGAAGATTTGATTCGAGATTCGCGAACCCCTGGCCCGCGAGTAAAGGAAAGGTCCTCCAAATCCCAAGAAGGCCCCAAGGGGGTGACGATACGGGTTGACTCGACAGTGGAAAAGGGCCTTGATGGAAAGAAGACAAGTGGCGACAATCAAGAAGAAGATCAACGAGACAGCGATGGGGGCTATGGTGATGATGATGAACAATGATCATTTCGCATTCGTCTTCGAAGCGGTCCTACGCTCCATTGGACATCTCATCATTTCCATGCCTTTACTTGAAGTCTTGTTTGTTTTCATTTGATCCAGGCTAGTAGTCAGTTAATGGAATTTTGGCAAGATGGAAGCATATGGGGGAATGGCCACATACAATATTTGAGATGAATATAAGCTGGCGAGCACATGCCTTTGACACATAGGGACCAACTTGTCTAAGAGTCTCAATTGGTTTTTTTTGGGGTCATTCAAAAAATCAGGAGATGATTAGGTGATATCAAACTAATCAAGGACTGGAGTCGGCGTTGTAACGAGACAATCACCATGAGTTTTTGAGATCACACCGCCAAAGCGACTTTCCGTTCCTACGGACTCCTCGGCGAACCTTTTCAACATCCTCTAATCCAATTACATTCCCGACAGCCAAGCCGTGCTATTGAATGAGCTATTCTTTAGAGAATAGTAGATAACAAGTTTCTCGATCGAAAAGATTAGACTTTCTTTCTATGATTAATCACTGTATCGGCTGTCCATTGGCAACCTGAGTCGTGATATTATAATCACCAAAGCAAGCCTCCTGATACATAGCATCCTTGTCCAAACCAGGCACTTTTTTCAAGAATTCCTCCATCCGGCAGAACCCATTCACAGCATCATCGCACAGCCCCTTCGCGGACACGGGGGCATTATTAAGTACGAATCGAATATGATCGGTCGTGCCTGATTGGGACGATAGATCGGGATTCTTGTATATTTGCTCCTGGAGCTGGTCGAACGAGACATCCTTGGGACAAGTCCAGACTTCGGTGAACAAGCGTGCGCCGAAGGGACTGACCTCTTTGGCTTTGAAGTGGTGGGAAGGTGAATGCTGGACAGTGGTCGGGAGGCCGTGGGGACCGGCCTTGAAGTAGTCCAGCCCCAGCGCGGCTAGCACGGCGATGATAACGTTGTCGTGCGACATGTCCATGTAAATTGGTTGGCCGAGAGGGAAATCTCTGGTATTGTCGTCGTAAGTATAGTTGATGCTGCTATCGCTGCTCATGATGAGGCGGGATTGTAGGCGAGCGGCCAGTTCCTGGACATAACCGATGCCCTGAGCACGACCGCTGGGCGCGCCGTAGCCGAAGTTGGCATAGAAACTCAAGTCAATGGCGTATTCGAAGTCTTTCCATTCCTGCTCCGTGAAGAGGGTGCAGAAGGATGAATGGCCTAGTGTTGCGTATTCGTAGGGACACATGCTGAACATGGCGTAGACATCCATGGATGTCAGGTTGAAGTCGTCTGGGAGGAACTTGGAGAAGCGATCGTGCGCGGCGTTTGTTAGTGATGGAAGGAATTCTGCAAGGGCATAGTCTCTGGAAAAGAAAATCAGTAAATGTCCGTCATATATGATGAGGGATGTGAGCCACACACCCGACATCAGACCCATTGGTGCATGCCGACGTAGATGAGAGAGTGTTGTTGAAGTTTCGCTCCTCCGGAATAATCGTTAAGTCATATTCTGCATATGAGCTGTTGGCACCAGTATTTCCAAAGAATCCACCTGGAGAAAAGAGTTAGATCAAAAGAATTCCTTACCAGCCACGACGTAGGGCAAATACTCACTCAACCACCAGCGAGCGCTTTCCAAAATGCGTGGATAGGAAGTGGTCCGGAATGTAGGCTTCGGCCGGGCCGTCCCATTGGGATAAACATTCATCGAGGAGTCATAGACAGCCTTGCCTGGACCAGCATGATATAGTAGACGGCCATACATGCTCCAGAATAGCGCACCCGCGGTTGCTTCGGTAGCCGCACCGGTAGCAAGAAGTAGATTCTCACCCAGCAAGTACTCCCAATCATTCAGGAATGCCAGGGGTCCCGAGCCAACTTTGCCATCTGATCTTTTAGAGTAGTTGGCTACCTTTTGAGCAAAAGTCTCCATGCCTCCACCATCTGTCGGCCAGGAGCTGGGATATCTCTGGGCGTGGCGATGAAGGACATGGACTTGGGACAGTTCGCATCCCATGGGGTATCCCTTTGGAGCGTCAAAGCCTGGTGCATCCGAGTAGGGACTCAAGTTTCCCCAGCTCGTTGTCATGTCGAATCCGGATGCGTAGGATGTGCCCGTTGGTGCAGCTGGAGATGTCGAAGAGGAGCTTGACACTGCCATGGCAGCTGCATGGCTACTGGCCAAGGCCAGCAGAGCCATTGTTGTAGATTGATGAACCGTCATGGTGACTGATTGAGGCGAATCAGTTCTGACCCAGAGCAATTGCGCGAGATGGACCGCTGTCAGATGTGAGATGCAAGGCAATCGAGGGAAAGAACCGATCCCATATATACCGTTAACAATGGCTGCAAGAAGATGATCGACTGAGATCATTCCCAGTCGGGAAGGCTGGAGCCTCCAGTCTCCTCTTTCTCCGCATTATCACCACGCATCACCGTGCACAACGCAGGTCCACCCTGGCCCTGCGAAGCGATAAGAGGAAATTGAGCACACGACCCATGATGATCGGCCCACTGGGGATCATTTCTTGACTGGGCGAGTATGCAGATATTACCTAGAGGGGTGAAAGTACATCCAATGAGTGGTGACCGTGGTTCTGGTGGTTATCAAGGCCAAGAGTCTTGGGTGGTATCGGGTCGAGTGTGGGGAAGAGGCTTGTTTGTGCCACGGCGGAGTTTCCGGCGACTACTTTAATGAAGATATGGTCCGTTTCTTCTTGTTCTCATAATGAAGGCATCTCAAACACGATAGTAACTGACCTCATCTGGAGATCATACTCCAGAGAGGTCATGAAGGTGGGAGCTGTTCCTGAGGTGTACGGTCGGGGCTGAAACTGCAGACGATCCAAAGAAGAGATCAGGTAACCGGGGCTATCGGAGTGGAATTGATCTCCGGACTCCGATCGGACATGGTCAACAGATAGATAAATGGATTCTTGACTGCCTGGATATCTTGATTGTCTATCATCGGGCTGGAGATCGGGTCAGATAGGCGGATTGAGCCTGATCAGGATGGCATCTTCCGTTCAGCGGTCGGTGGTATACCCCATAGTGATACGGTTCAACATCGGTTTTGAGTTTACGGTGCGATCGTCAGGAGGAAATACGAACCCCAGATTCTGAGGAAAGAGTAGTATGTTGTCTGTTGCATAGTCGTAGCTCGCCCTCTTGACCAGTGTTCGGGCAGCCAACTGGCGAGGGCCTGTGCTGCTTTGGGTATTTTGAGGCTGCGCCCACCCAAACCAGGAAACGGTCGTGTCGATCAGAAAGGTGCTCCAAATTCTCCACGAGAGAATCTGGACGAGGGATCAATGAGATCACAAACTAAGCTCGAGATGGTCAAGATAGCCGATGACCTCTGCCATACCTTTCCGTGGGCAGGAGCCGTACATAACTGCCTTCAACTTTCGATCTCAAGGAGCCATCCACCCATTTATACAGTATTCTCATATTGAGGCTGCGCTATGACGGGGTTGGAGTAAACACTCGGCGCGGTCAATCATCAATAGTGCGATGTGCGATGCGAGGAGGTGGCTTCTCTTCCTGGCATTATTTGGCGTTTTGGCGATGAGCCCCCGACCGTTGGCACAGCCCTTTTTCACTGTCTTCTCTGGACTCCTTTCCAGATGATGCATCACATCACTCACAGGGCCACGGGTTGGCAGTCTTCCCCCGACGAGTGATAATATCATGACCAGGGTCCACCCCCCATAGTCCTGCGGAAAATACCCGCCGAGGTTGCTGTGCCTGCGTGCCTGAGTCTGCCTTGCTGGCTGGTCCTGCAATCATCACAACAGGAACCAGCCTCAAACAAAAACACAGCAGGTAAAACCCCCGAATCCACTGAGGGCGGCTCCAGGTCATCCAGGGTCCAGCCAGCTTCAGCTCCCTCTTTTGCCCTGTCCCTCTGCGAGTGAGTTATCCAATGGGATTCTGCAAGGACCGAAAGGACCCGGCCCGAAACAACGCTCGCTTACCATCCACCGATTTGGATGTAGGGCGGACGCCATCACGACGTGGTCGCTCGACTCGCTCGTATCAGCCTCCACAATGGTTCCAGCCATTGGAGACGAGAGTTTGGGGTGGCGCCGCGCGCCGAACCGGACTGGTGTATGATCCGTGATCGCTTCATTTAGGGCTGATGGATCGTCGATGGCGGGATTGGGTGAGTTTGTCTCGTCCTCCTGATGGAGCACCCCATTCAGCTTTGGAGCTGGTTGGTTTTTGTTTTGGAGACGAAATTGGAGAGCTTGGATGGGAATTGCAGGGAGGCTTGGATCTTTAGCGTGTGGTGATTCGTTGGGAGAGCTCTTTGTGGAGGGCGAAAGCTTGAGAGCCGCACGTGAAGCGCAGAATAAGAAGCGCAAGGGATCCAGGACTGGTCAAGATGCAGTGTTCGACCTCCCGTTGGGATTTTCTTTTTCTGGTTTCTCATACCCTTTTCTTTCTTCCCCTTTTTTCCCCTCAGGGCTGCTTCTCCTGAACTCGGTGTTGACTCTCTCTGCAAGTTACAGCTCAAGCGGCAGTCATGCTGGCTCTCCATATCGCCCTTTATGTCCTGCTGGGCACTTGCCTGGCCTTTGCCATTGTCGAGTTAGGCCTCTCGGCCTATGTCGCGTCCATCTGGAGTGGTGATCGCGAGACCTACACATGGAATCCCTATGAGGGCTACGTCTACACGACGGTCCATGTGAGCGCCCCGGGCATCCTGATCTTCATTGTCTTCAGTGCCTGCTGGACCATCCTGGTCTCTGCAGCGGCCCTCGTCCTCCCTTGGTTCTATACTCGCAAGGGCGCGGTGACCGGCAAGCTGAACACCATCCTTGGTGTTTCTTTCATCGTCGTCTACTTTATCACCTCCGTCTTCTGGCTGGCCTGCTTTGCAGATATCGAGGCCCAGCTCGGCGGTGGTACCAGCTATAGCGACTACCTGAACGCTGTTATTGCCTTTGCTGTTCTCCTCTGGTAAGATTCCCCAGTCTAACATCCACTACTACCTCGTTCCTCATACTAACCCAGCACCACCAACTCCTAGGCTCATCTTCCTCGCCCTCTTCATCCTAGCCATCCTTGCCGTATGCGGCGTTCTATTCTCAGACTGGGCAGGCTACCAGTCCATGAAGAAGGGGGTAGCAGACCCAGAGCAGGCCCAAACCGCCACGGTCGCTCCCCCTGCCCATGATGTGCCCACGGGTACGGCCCCAGCCCCCATTGCTGCTTCGGAGCTGTCGAGTCGTGATGCTGAGGCTTTGCATGACCAGCCACCTACCAGCCAAACATATAGTCCGTCCTCGCCCTCTGGTCTTGCCAGTGCCGAGTTGAGCGGTGATAGCGCCGTCTACCATGACAAGCACGCCGGTTATTCGTGATTGATCACCTTCGAGAAACGATGATCGACGATCGACGACGATAAAATAATTCCGTGGCAGCCTTTGCCGTCTTCAAAACGCTGGCCGACGTGGTAGATTAATCCATGGATAGGTGATTGTAGTTGGGTGGAGAGATACCCCCGTTTGGTTTATGAACCTGGATATCCAAATAATACGCTGTTGATATTGTCTTTCTAACTTTGCTTAATGCCCATAGCAGTCGTTATTCTCAGCTTTACGCTCGTAAAATGTAAGGGCCGATCTCTGCAATCGATTATATGGACTCTTGTAAGCTCAGGTATATAATAAAAAGGCAATCTATGACTCGAACTGCACGAGGACCTTATCCCATCCCAGCGTGAGGGTCAATACGTCGCTGTAAAGAATGGGGGACGGGCAATCAAAACAAACAGGCACTGTGTACAGCCAAAACGGAGCAGATGGGCTAGGAAGCAAAGACTAAGACATGAAGGAATCAGGAATCTAACTAAGCAGAAGCCTTCTCCTCCGGGTGCGCCGTCTCTGGGGAATCGTGGCTGTGCTTGGACTTCTTCTTTTTCTTCTCATCCTTGCCCTTCTTTTGCATCGCCTCCGCCATCAGCTGCTCAAAGGCCATGTAATCGCCCTCCTCTTCGGGGTCACGCTCGGCCTGGGATGAATGATCAGTGCTGTAAATCAAAAGACAGAACTCATGGGCCAACATACCTTAGCATAGATGTTACCAGCGAGCACCAGAGCATGAGCACGCTCCACGCGCTTCTCCAAGCGAATCCGCTTGTCGCCCAAGACCTGATCACAAACCTCGCGCAAAACGCTCTGAATCTCGAACTTGCTGCCACGCCAGGCCGCGGCAAGAATCTTGCCAGTCACCTTCTTCTCGTACTCGGCCTTCTTCTCATCCGTCCAGTCCTCACCGCCACGCTCCTCGAGCTTGGCCATCTCTTCCATGGTCATCTGTGCATCGATGGCAGTGGAAATGGTAGTCCAGGTCTCCTTGGCCAGAGTACCCTTGTCCTTGAGCCGGGAGAAGAAGCCAGAAATACCGAGGAACTTCTGCGACTTGAGGAACGAAGTACCCTTTTGGATATACGTAGCACCCACAGCATGCAAGATCTCCAGACCAAAAGACTCCATCTTCAAGTTCTCAACCTCGAGGCGGATCTTTTCCTCAAAGGCATGTGTCACATCCTTGCCCTTGTCGGTCTCCGTCCACACGCTAAGACGGTCGATCAGCTTGTTGGCCAAGGTGTTGACACGCTCCTCGCGAGCCTTCCTCCGCTCCTCCTCGAATGCGGCGAGACGCTCCTGCTGCTCCTTGGACAGACCCTTCTTCTTCTCCTTCTTGCGAAGTTCCTTTTCCTCCTGCGACAGACCAGCAGCCTCCATGCGTGCTTCCTCCTCCGACTTATCCATTAGAGCCTGCTGTCCCAGGTAGCGTCGGGGAGTGCTCGTTCCCGAGCTCTGGGCAGTCGCCTCGCCGTAGGCCGGAGGCGGAGGGTGTGCCGCCTCATGGCCTGCAGCCTCGGTGGCAGCCTCGGTGGCAGCCTCAGCAGCCTTGGCGGATGCCGCAGAAGACTCTCCACCGGCGGCTTTGACCTGTTCGTCGTGGATGTTCAGCTTCTGTTCAGCCGACTCGGCCAGCTCCGCTTCCTCCATCTCTTGCATCGTGATATCCATCGTCGCGGTCAGGTCTTTCATGAGGGAGATCTCTCCGATGAGATCGACAAAAGCTTCGCCACCAAATATCATACTGAAGAATTCCGAGGGATCCTCTGCAAGGCTTCAGTTAGCTACGACAAGGGTTGACATTCAATGTCAGCGCGGAGGCGGGACGAACCGAAACCACCGCCAGGCACAGCATCCTCCTTGCCAAATTTGTCATATCGTTTGCGGAGATCTTCGTTGCTCAGGACTTGATATGCCTCGCCGATCTAGGGCCAGCGCGCGTGTTAGTATCTCCATGGGAATTGATTTGGTGCGGGAGCCTGCGCATACCGCCTGGAAACGTTCATGGGCGGTCTCGTCGCCGGGATTTTTGTCTGATCGAGATCAGTTAGTCAGTCAATCTCGTATCACTACCCAATAAGGCCATACCAGGGTGGGTGACAATAGCGAGCTTGCGGTAGGCCTTCTTGATCTCTAGCTCGGTAGCCGTCGGTGGGACGCCCAAGGCGTCATAGTAGCTGGTGTCAGCGACCATCGTGGATGCGGCAGGGCAAGGACGCGCTGCGCAAGAGGTTGATTCGAAAATAGAAGCTGCTCGAACAGTACGTCTGCAAAAGAAACAGTACTGGGTGGGTGAGTGGAAGAACCAGGAGACTTGTTACTTTTTTTTCGAGACTCCGAGAAGCTGCTCTGCCCGCGCCCCGCCAAATTCGCGCATGACGCCTCGAGAGCGCACGGGGCCGAGATCACGTGGTCCGCAATCTTTTCTTCTCTCGTCAGCTTCGACTTGTGCCCCTTTTCCCACCTTCTCTTCTTTTCTGACCACGTCTCTTTTTCTTGTGATTCTCCCTTTTCTTCTCCAGACTCAAACATTTGGGTCGATTTTCTCTTCTTTCCCCGTTTAACAGGACCCTTTGGTGTCTTTTTTAACCCACAATGGGTCTTATTGGCAATGTCATCTATTTCGCTTTCCACCCGATCCAATTGAGGTCGATCATTCAATGGTTTGTGTCCCACGGGATTCTGCTCCAATTGGAGCTCTTTTCTCGAGTAATGCTAATCAGACCTCTCACATAGGAAAGTCTGGCACAACCCGCCCCATGAGCGTAATGAGAAGGACGATACCGAGACACAGAAGGCCTGCTTCAAGTTCTTGGACCTGACGAGCCGCAGCTTCAGCACCGTCATCAAGGAGCTGCACCCTGAGCTCCTGCTTCCTGTCACAGTTTTCTACCTTGTTCTCCGTGGTCTGGATACCATTGAGGACGACACTTCCATTCCCCTCGAGACCAAGGAGCCCCTCCTCCGCAATTTCAAGGACTTCCTGGAGCAGGATGGCTGGAACTTCACTGGGAACCGTCCGGAGGAGAAGGATCGGGAGCTGCTGGTTCAGTTCCAAAGCATCATTGCCGAGTATAAGAACATGAAGCCTGCCTACAAGGCCATCGTCAAGGATATCACCGACAAGATGGGCAATGGCATGGCGGACTACTGTGTAAAGGCAGCCACCGAGGATGCTAGCGTGAAGACTGTTGAAGAGTATGACCTGTACTGCTACTATGTGGCTGGTCTGGTTGGTGACGGTTTGACTCGCCTCTTTGTTGAGGCCGGGTTCGGTAACCCCGCTCTGCTGAAGCGCCCAGAGCTCCACAAGTCGATGGGTCTCTTCCTGCAGAAGACCAACATCATCCGAGATATCCGCGAAGACTACGATGACGAGCGCCGATTCTGGCCCAAGGAGATCTGGTCTAAGCACGTCGACAACTTCGAGGATCTCTTCAAGCCGGAGTACAAGGAGGCTGCGCTGAACTGCAACTCCGAGATGATTCTCAATGCTTTGGAACATGCTGAGGAGTGTCTCTTCTACCTGGCTGGTCTTCGGGAGCAGAGTGTGTTCAACTTCTGCGCCATTCCCCAGGCTATGGCTATTGCTACGCTTGAGCTATGCTTCCGCAACTACGCCATGTTCCAGCGGAACGTAAAGATCACCAAGGGCGATGCCTGTGAGCTCATGGTTCAGTCTACTCAGAACCTGAACGTCCTGTGCGATACATTCCGCCGCCTGACCCGCGCCATCCACAAGAAGAACACCCCCAAGGACCCCAACTTCCTTAAGATCAGCATTGTCTGCGGCAAGGTAAGGCTTTTCCTCTTCTGACGCAATCTTCCATGTTCCATCATGCTGACATTTTCCCTCAGATCGAGAAGTTCATTGAGACTATCTTCCCGACACAGAAGGCTGAGGATGCTCAGCGTCGTGTCAAGGGCGAACTCAGCAGGGATGAGCTCGAGAAGCGCAAGGCTGAGGCTGAGAACAAGTCCGACGTCTACTTCTTGTTGGCTATCATGGGTGTGATCATCTTCCTTGTGGCTGGTGTTATGGTAAGCTCATCAAATCTCGGTTTAATCCCCTCAGCTCCCCGGCTAATTAAGTCTTAGTTGGTTGCTGCTTGGGCCTTGGGTGCTCGCTTCGACCTGGCCTGGCAAGAGATCCGGTCGGGCAATTTCAGACCTCCTGCGATTACCCACAAGGAGCTTTGATTCGATTGTATATTTTATTTTCCCTTCTTCGACGGCGTTACGACCTTTTATTGCCTAATCTTCGATTCCCCCTCCGCCGGTGGCTTCTTGTTACATTATTTTTCTCGTCCCATCAGTGCCACGATGTGTATTGATAATAATTTACCACTTTCCTTCAACCACCAGGTAATTTCAGCGCCCCAATAATCCTTCCTCCACTCAGCACGGATGTCAAATTGCGATCCCGCCTTTCCATGGCTGCGATTGTGCCGAAGAAGTGCTTATATCGACCGGGATTCTTTCTCTTTGACCAGTGAAGTACTAGATTTGTGTCCGATGACTTGACTGTCGCGGTGGCATACGTCCATTGAAGATCTGGAACATTCTGACTCGTAAGACTAACATAGTTGAATGCCATGCTATCTTTTTTTCCTACTTTCCCCGTGCCTTTCCATTGTTTCTTTGCCTTTAGCACGGATGTCAAATTGCGATCCAGCCCTCTCATGGCTGTGGTTGTGCCGAAGAAGTGCTTATATTGACCGAGACATGTTCTCTTGTAACCAGTGAGTACTAGATTTGTGTCGATGACTTAACTGTCACGGTGGCATACATCCATTGAAGATCTGGGACATTCTTTCGTAGACCCTAACTTTTAGCTTGAATATGATATGTTTGCCAATATCCCGTGCTTGTTTTGTAAATCAGCTAGCACGGATGTCAAATTGCAATCTGGCCCTCTCCATGGCTTTGGTTGTGCCGAAGAAGTGCTTATATCGATCGAGGCTTTAGCCTTTCTAACCAGTGAGTACTAGATTTGTGTCTGATGACTTAGTTGTCGCGATGGCATACATCCATTGAAGATCTGGAACATTATTATCTCATCTCAAATATTACATATATCGTTGCAGTGGCTGTATTATGTCTTGATCCCATCGCTCAGTTGGCCGTTATGTTCCAGTGATTTGGCCCTTCTAGTGTCATCGTAATGCCAATTGTAGGCAGATTTGCAGCAAACCTTCGGATTGACCTGCAGTCCGTTCAATATATGCATCATGACAAATTCCAACCTACTAGTTATTTCTGGTGTTATGGATAGATTGCTGAGGGCCGGTTGGATTCCAGGAATATCATTCGGGTTCACCGGTACAGGCGTGGACTGAGGCAGGTCTGTGGTACACTACTGGCTTTGGTTGAAGATGGATATATATCGTGTCGCAGGTGGCTTCTGGAATTCGATCTGAAGTAAGCCCGGACCGATGCCCGGTGTCGTCTATCCTCTGGAGGCCGCTACATTTAATCTACCCAGCAACCAAAGATGGAATATGCAAATCTATCGACCCTGCCTCCGGCCAGCTCTATGAGAATACATTTTTGTTCGACTAGGGCCCTGGCCATTCCCCGTTCGTTTACCTTGTGTAGATCCACTTCGGCTGGGTCCGCTCCCCAGGCTCATCGCCACCGTTTGGCCGTCACGGGCGCTAATTGTGCTGATTATTCAGTATTAGAAATCTCTGCCTTTTCGTTCACCAACTCCATTCTTTAGATCCAAATTCTCCCCACTCTTTTGTTTTAAAGCTGCTCATTCTCTCCTTGGCGTATCACCTGGCTTACTCGGTAGTTCGCTGCATGCAACTGCCGTTCTATGCGCTCTCTGCAAGGAATCATTACCCCTCCACTCATTCGGGCCTCTCTCTCTTCACGTTTGTCGTCTGTCTCCTCGCGACCTTCCTTCTCGATGGGCAAGGATAACAAGGCCACTGGCTCGGAGAATGCAGACGGGGCTCTGCCCCCGCTCTCTGCAAGCGATTTTCGAACATATAACCGTCTGGCCGACCGAATGGATGGTTTCGTAAGCATCAGATACCGCCCCACTAGGCAAGGGGCTGATTATACTGACAGTTGTCTAGCACAATCACTTTCGCATGACATGGAATCAACTCTGCGATGCTTGCGATTCTTCTGCGAAGCGGCCGGGTGGACTTTCGGCACGTCAAATGATCATGATGGGCCTCCAGTTTTGCTCTCAGCTGGATTTCCATCACTCAATCGAGGAACAGCACATCTTCCCCGTTCTTGCGAAGAAAATGCCCGAGTTCCGGAAGGAGCTTGAACTTTTGAAGCAGCACAAACAGATTCACGCTGGGTTGGAAAAGTTAGAGTCCTATCTCGAGAAATGCCGTTCTGGGGAGGAGGATATGCGTCGCGAAGAGGTTAAGCGCCTGATGGAAGCCTTTGGGGCAGTCTTGTGGAAGCATTTGGATGAGGAAGTCCAAACGCTTAAAGCTGACAACATGCGCAAGTATTGGTCACTGGATGAGGTGCGAAGACTCCCAATGTAGGGTCCTCGTTTTGCTTGTCGATCTATAGAATACCCCATGGCATTGTTAATAATTTTCGATTTACTGTTCCTACACATTGCACTTGAACCTGAATCAGTGCTAATACACCTGGCAGATCTGTCTGATCCGTATTGATGCTGATATTGGACTGTGCACTTAATAAAATAGACTGTTGAACACGGAAAGCGGGATCAAACAAGCCCACGGTGGCGATATCAAGGGTGGAACAATTGAGATATGGATGATGATCAATGCAACTTGCAGGTGCAACTCGCCCGTTGGAATTTGCACCATCTTTCGCTAATTTCTTCGACACTTGGTCGGGCTTTTGCAATGTTTTCTCTCACTAGCACCTGGCATCTCTTGGGACAGAACCAAACAGACAGCATTTCCAGGGCTGCTGGCGTGAAGATCATAGATCAGCACTGTTCCTACATCGGAAAGTAAATTGATCATTGCCAACGTAGATCGGAATCTAGACCATCTCTAGAGAGCATCAGAGACGCATTTGTCTGTCGAATGCGAATGCAAGATTGACTTACCGAGCCACGATGGCGTCTCCGAACCCGTAGAGAACACGGCGTCCGCCCAGGAAAAGTTGTGAAGACCGTGAGGTTAAATAAAAAGAAAGGATCGACAAATAACGACGGTTTCGGCGAGTCGAGGCACGTAGCGCGCCAACCATCGCGGGTGTTGAGGCGCTGAGGAATGTACAGCGCGACCTGTTTTGCTTGGTATGCACGCTAAACCTATTCCCGCGTGACAGAGGCCACTGACACCCGCATATTCAAATTTCTTTTTCTCATCCGGTGGGGTTTCTAGATTATTTCCATCTGGTCATGACCTCAATCGCTTGAAGTTGCTCTGGAGACAAGCGCAGCTCATTCTCCATGACCCTGCTATCCGTGGAGGGTTTCTTGCTCGCCCATGGTCAGTAGCAAACAAACAAACATGTAAATGATCCTAAATAGAGTAAACTATGGCCTATTACGCTTTGAAAGATCCATCGTTTGCTTAAAGAGTCCTCTTTCTCCCTATCTCTGGATCTCGTGGCTATCGAAGCTCCTGATTTAACGTCGATCTTTCACACATCCGTCATAGTTCCGCTGTCAGATGTTACTGTCTCCTGAAGAATGCGCCTAGAAACACAACGCGCAAGCACTTCATCACGATCAGATTTTGATCACTCTGGTTCGCTCGTGATCCCGAAAGTCCATTCTCTGACCCACTGAAGTGCCATCGCTATGGGAATTCACCGCGGAAAAGGACAAGATCAACCCGATCTCAAGACCGAAGCAGCAGACCCATCGTCTTTTCCCATTCATGTCCACGTCTACATCCAAGTGAGAACCCCGTTGTCTGGACCTTAACCTCCACTCCGTACAATGTCTATGACCCGCTATTCAAGTCCTCATGATGGAGTCCCCACGACACGAGTTCTCCTTCCCCATGCGGCTGACACCTGCATGCGACATCGGGTTGTAAGGTGAGGGTATATAAGGCCATTAGGGAATCAAAAGTCCCTATAGGGTCACGCATTTCACGTCCTCCCGTCTCTTTTGTCTCCTTGTTATCGTGCTTCAAACTGCAGCTACAAAAATGAAGTTCACTACCGCTATCACAACTGCCGTCCTGGCAACTGGTGCCCTTGCTGCACCTCGTCCTGGACTGGCCGAACGCCTTGAAGCCCGTGGTGTCCTGACGCGCCAGTCTGTCCCAGCCCACAAGTTTGACAACTCTGGTGAGGAGAACAGCGTCCTACTCAAGGAGGGAAGTAATGGCGACAACGTCCAGTACAGCAAGAACTGGGCTGGTGTAGTTCGTGGCCAACCACCTCCCAGTGGTGTCTATACTGAAGTCTCCGCAACCTTCACTGTGCCTAACCCCACGGCCACCGACGATTCGGGTGATACTCAAGCTGCTTCTGCTTGGGTTGGCATTGATGGTGATACCTACACCAACGCTATACTACAGACTGGCGTTGATGCCTATATTTCTAATGGGCAGAAGTCTTATGATGCCTGGTATGAGTGGTACCCTAACGTGGCCGAAAACTTCAACATCGATCTCACAGCTGGCGATGTGATCGTTGCCTCAGTCAAGTCTTCTTCCCCCAGCAATGGTGTCGCCATTATCGAGAACAAGTCAACCGGAAAGAGCGTGACCCAATCGCTCTCAGCGCCTTCTTCCTCTGCCACCCTTGGTGGACAGAATGCCGAGTGGATTGTTGAGGACTTCGACTCTGGAAGTTCTATGGTCCCGCTCGCCAACTTTGGGCAAATCACCTTCACAGGTGCTCAAGCCAAGGCATCGGATGAGGAGTATGGTGTGAACAATGCTGTAGTGCTGGAAATTCAACAAAATGGCCAGTTGCTTGCCGATGTCCAGATCGAGAGCGACACCCAGTTTACCGTTACTTATGTGTAAGTGGCTGATTGAATGTATATAATTTAATGGGCTATTGCCCCGGCGTTCCAGGGGCGTTGACTCGGTGGCTTAACTTTTGGATTCAATTCTTTCTTGGGAGTTGGTGGAACAATTGTGCTTATGAACGAAACTAATTCTCTTTACTTTGATTTCTCGTTATGGAAATTTCCATCTTTTCCCCCAAGAGCTTCTTTTCAGAACTGTGGCAAGGCATTCTTGAACACGTTCTGAGGATCATATTGCTCTTTGATCCTTTGCAAAGTTTCATAGCGGCTTCCATATATCTTTCCCATGTCAGCCCCCTTCGGCGGAGTTAATGAGATATAAGTTGAAGGCACTATATTTGCGGCATCCGTTTTACTCAGAGCGTTGACGAACTCTTGGGCCCACGCAAGACCTTCAGCATAAACCTCCGGGGATGAACCCATTGGGATCATTTCGATCAAGTAATGCGCGCAGCGATTATCGAAGACTGTGCCAAAAGTCGGCTCTCTCGGGGCATCATGGCGAAGCTCATGAACACCGAATATAACCTCAGGATTGTTGGGCTGCCTCTGTGCATGGGTGCCAATAACATCCAAGACCTCGGGGGTCAGGTCATAGAAGTTCACCGTGAAGATCGTTCCATATGTATGTTTCGGGATCACCGTGTTTGTAAAAGCACCAAAGTCTCTGTGCGTGGTGGGCTGGACGGTGCTCATTCCAATTGGTAACCACGAGGACACTCTCAACAGCCACCGCTGGCCTTCTTCCAGGTCTGATGATGCCCACATGAAGAAAATTGACAAAGACTTTCCGACTGGGCCATTCAGAATGGCTTGATACAGGTGCAGCGATGACGGCAGATCTTCTCTTTTTGCTTTGCTATACTCTGCATTGTACTGTTTGATCTCAGCGGCTAAGTCACTGGACTTGTAAAAGGTGGTGCCAGCCAATATCTACAAAGTGGTCAGTCAAACGAGTAAAATGGTAAACGTAAAGATATCTTCGCTACCTGAGCTGAAGGGTAAACCTTCACGGTGAGTTCCACAATCACTCCCAATGTGCCTCCACCTCCACGAATGCCCGTCAGCATGATTTCATTAGCCTCGCAAATTTTCCCTTCTGCGTCGACAACTTTAGCACCAACAATCTGATCCACGCCCAGCCCATGCTTTGAACTGAGAGGACCGTAACCACCAAAAATCGTCCAGCCAGTCTGGCCCACAACGGGAGTGGTAGCGTACGGAGTGGTCACATTGTGTTTCTGTAGCGTCTCCAGTGTCCATAGCCATGACACCCCCACCCAGTCGTGCAGTCTGGGACTCGGCATCGACATAAACGTGGGAGATTTCTCGCAAATCAATTATCACTCCATCAGAGACCTGAGACCGGCCAAACATATCATGTCCACCGACTTTGACGGTGAATTGCAAGTTGTTCTTTGTCAAAATAGGTATCAGCGCTGCTACTTCTTCCGCCGAGCGCGGGCGGACGACGATTGCTGGAGTCCTGCTCTCATTGAAGACGAAGCCTAACCGCAGCTCCTTAAATTCTGGGGATTGAGGGGTTGCATGGTGAATATGAGGGTTTTGTGTGAGGAATTCGGTCAGTTGATCCATCTTCTTTGAGTAATTGGAGAGATTAGGTGCGAAGTGACCTGGGAGGTAATGGCCTTTGAAAGATACACACCGCAGCCCAGGGCGGATGTGCGATGATAGGGTACGATGCAAATGGAAATGATGACATGCTCTAAGCGACTGCAACTCGAACAAAGCAACGATCATCACTACCTTACGGCTTGCTTTGAGATTGGACCGCCACCAAATCATCAGGCAACGAATTCTGGAAGAGGGGTTATAGTAAGGCTTACTGCACATTCTAGGAATACCATTTTAGAAATAACTCTCAAGCTTGGCATGCAAAATGTATTTCTTTCCCTTAGATCCTAATCTCATATCTCCTCCTTGGCGTCTGAAGCGTCTTGCGTGTATTACCAAGCATCTGCACCCGGCTGGACTTTGGGGGCCAGGCTGGAGGGGATAAAGACCGTTTTTAGGCGTCTACTAATCGACACTCAAACGCGCATCGCATGCTCATTATCAGACAGCTGATTATTTATCGAATCGATAATGACTGCCTCACCAAACATTCTAGTGATCGGGGCGGGTGAATTGGGATTCCAAGTACTTCGATTCCTAGTTGCACATCCCCGCCAAACTGGCACGGTGGCCGTCTTACTGCGTCCAGGCAGCATCAATTCCTCCAGCCCCGCCAAACAGAAAGAGATCGAGACTCTGCGTAAGCTGAGTCTCAAATTAGTCCAGGGCGACATTGTCGAAGACTCGGAACAATCTCTCGTTTCAGTATTCGCGGACTATGGTACGATCATTAGCTGCACTGGGTTCGTGTCTGGACGGGGCGTTCAATTGAAGGTCGCTCGGGCAGTATTGGCAGCAAATGTCCCGCGCTTTGTTCCCTGGCAATTCGGGGTGGATTATGATGTTATTGGACGCGGATCACCGCAAGATCTGTTTGATGAGCAACTGGATGTTCGAGATCTTCTCCGGTCGCAAAGACAGACCCGCTGGGCGATCATCTCCACGGGCATGTTTACGAGCTTCTTGTTCGAGCCATCTTTTGGTGTGGTTGACATAGCGAATGCAGTTGTTTATGCACTGGGCAGCTTGGAGAATCAGGTCACTGTCACCACGGCGGAGGATATTGGGAGGATCACGGCGGAAATTGTTTTGGGTGAAGAGAGCGACGCGCTTTTTGCCGATCGGCCGATATTCGTCGGAGGAGATACTGTGAGCTATGAGGACGTGGCTCGCATTGTGGAGTTGTTGGTGCAAAAGCCAGTAAAGCGAAATGTCTTGTCTGTTGGTAATGCACTAGCTGCCCTTGAAAAAGACCCGGATAATTGGTTACTTAAATATCAAGCAGTCTTTGGGCAGGGACGCGGTGTGGCGTGGGATATGGACCAGACGTGGAATCGGCAGCGTGGAATGCTCACTACAAGAGCCGAGGAATGGGCTAGGGCAAACTTGCTGTGAATACGGTAATAACTGAGTTATTCGGAGCTTCTTCGGCCACCCTAATTGTAGTCGTCCAAATAGAACCAAGAATGTATCATGAAATCATCATATCATGAACCGACCATTTTGTAACTAACTAAGCCTCGGGTTGAGGCTAACTAGTGACTCATCGCTCGGATAGCTCATTTCGTTCCTCAACAAATTGAATTTACCATCTCAAACTATCCATTTCCAGGAGCATACAGCAGCTGTTTCATTTAACTTTCCTTTCTATTTCCTCCTCCATGGCAGTTCGCATCGAATCAGCCCAATTCCCTGCCGACACCGCTGCAATCCACTCCTTATTTTCCGGGTATGCGGCATCATTATGCATCGATCTTACTTTCCAGTCATTTGAAGATGAACTCAACTCGCTACCTGGGAAATATGGCGCATCGCAAGGAGGAGCACTATTAATAGCGCGAGCACAAAAATCCGATACGACTATCGAAAACGATGTCATAAGGCCCGAATCAGCGTCCCAGACTTCAGATAGCACGTCGATAGTTTCACAAATCGAGTCCGTTGTGGGCTGCGTCGGCTTGCGCTGCAATGACGATCACTGGTGTGAAATGAAGCGTCTTTACGTGAAGCCAGAGACCCGTGGGTTGAGGCTTGGTGATAAACTCGTGGAGGCTATCCTCGCCCAGGCAAAAGCCTTGGGATACCGTGGTATTCGACTAGATACTCTACCAGATATGGTGGCAGCGCAACGACTCTACAGACGCCATGGATTTGTCGAGATTGAGCCGTATTACGATACTCCTCTGGAAGGGACCATATTCATGGGGTGTGATTTGACGAAATAACGGCTCTACTCGAGAAAATGTTTAATATGTCTTGACCAGCAGCGGAATGTCGATAGCAACGAGTGCTATTCAGATAGTCTTCGAAGTCACTGGGATCAAATAGCTTTCAGGACCAAACAATAATGCTCATGCCAATAACACTCAACTCGAAGGCATCTGCAGAGAGTCTGCGAAGCATGTGTTGAGGATGAGCTCTAAGAATCAACACTAGAAGTATGTGAAGTTTCTATGCTCTACTAGCCCGCTGGCTCATCCTATGATCCAAATGAAACGACAATAACAAAGTAAATAGCGTACTGTGAACCAACTACATTGCTGAAGTGGAGCCTGCGTCCACCTCGATTCAAACTCCCTGAATTCATCCCGACGGAAGTAACGGGATACATGTGAAGAGATGAACTGACACGTTGCCAGGCCATACAATAGCTCACTGATGCGGATAATCATACTCCCAGCGAGGGCTTTTGGACTCGGCTTATATAGAGATCGACATACTTGTTCCGAGGCGATGGCAAATGACAGGCCGAGCGCCTTCATCGGGAGTATCCACCAAGTCGGAGATAACAGTTCGGAGATGTCTATTTTGGAACGAGGCAGTATGGAAAGAACTTGCTATATGTACCTACTATATCTACCAAGTGTTAGTTCTAGTTCAAGGTCGATTGAGATCTAGAGGCGAGAGAAATGAAAGTCCGACAGCTGGACGTGCTCATAATTGGAGCAGGAATTGCCGGCCTCTCAGCGGCGATTGCTCTTGGCAAGCAGGGTCACCGTGTTGTTGTAAGTTCTTCATGGACCTGGAGATGCGGTTGATCTGGCTAAATAAAGTCTAGATCCTGGAAAAATCAGCATTCTTGAAAGAAGCCGGTGCTGCAATTCATTTGCCCCTGAATTGCACGGCATTGTTACAATGGATGGGAGTGTTTCCCACGGGGTTTGGAGGAACCCTTCTCAATCAGGTAATCCTACTCCGACATTTTGGTTGAGGTTCACTGACTGGATTTCCCAGATTCATCGATACGGGTCGGCAGGCGACCTCAAATATCAGAAGAACTTTGATGGAATCCGTGGTACCTGGCAAGCAGTGAGCAATGCTGTTCACCAGTCGAGATGTTTCCCTCCTGCTAAGCTTTCAATGTATGAAGGAATGGTACTTGGTTCACCGGGGTGATCTTCACAATCAGCTCAAGAATCGCGCCCTCGAGACTGCAATTCTTCATACCCGGTGCAAAATCACTACCATTGACATCAACGATTCGCGCCCGTCAGTGATCCTGGACGATGGCCGCAAGTTCGATGCGGATGTTTTGCTCGGTGCCGATGGACTACATGTATGTGCCCCTATAATAATATCTGTTCAGAGGTGAGGGATTGACAAGCTCTGTAGTCTCAGGTCCGTGGTACAGTCGCACCTGAAGCGCCTGGTCCATATCCGGTTGGAAAATCATGCTTCCGATGGATTTTACCTACCGAGAAGCTGAAGAGAGAGGAATCCGCCCTGCAGTTTGTGGCAGATCCTGGCGTTTTCATTGAATGGGCATCTGAAGATCGCCGCCTGGTTGCATACCCCTGCTCTGACAACACGGTGTTCAATCTTTGCGCCTTTTTGCCTTCTAGTGAGGTGAATCACGACGGCTCGGGGGACAGTGAGTGGCACTCAAATGACTTGAGGCTCGTAGAGAGCTGACAAAGATGGATTATAGGCTGGCAGAAGGTGGGTAAAGAAGCAGACCATTGTCCAAGGATTCTCAAAGTTCCACCCTGGAGTGCAAAAAATGGTGGGGCATGCTGGTTCCAATTTGAAGGTATGGGAGCTTTTTGATATGGAGTGTTTACCTAGTTGGACCTCAGGACATGCAGCTCTCTTGGGCGATGCCGCCCACCCGTTTCAGCCGTGTAAGACCAGCATAATCCCTGTCCATTATGAAACTCTTGCTGATGTCTCCGTCAAAGACATGGGCCAAGGAGGAGCCATGGCCATTGAAGATGCTGTCGGTATCGCGACCTTGCTTCCTGTTGGTACGCGACCGGAGGATATTCCAACACGTTTGCAGCTGTACCAATCCTCTCGACAGCCGCGAGTGGAAATGGTCCTCAACTTCACTCGCCTGAACGGGCGCGATGATAATAACACCGCAGGTAGGAGAATCACACGTAAGTCTCCATCGCTTCCCGTCAGTAAGATCACCAAGATGGTGGGTAGCTAATCTAGAATAGCCGCCGACATGGTCAAGTTCATGGGAATTTGCTTCTCATACAACGAGATTGATCAGTGCAAGAAGCTTCTAGCTAAGCACGCCGGGTATCACATAGGAGGGTCGGGGGAATAGAGATGTTGGATAGAGCATCATTTGCCTGGACAAGGTTGGACTTGTTTCAGTATTGGATGAATGATCCAGTGGTAAGCAAGCAGTAACTAGTTAGTTAGGTTGGTTAACTAACTAGTTTGCATGACCTGGGTGTCAATCTGGCCCCAATCATCCAGTGTGTCGGGTCGGTCGATCCGCTTTGAAATCGTTCCTAATCCAGAACCTGAGAATAAAGACCATGGATAAAACTCAAAAATTAGCCATACGCAAGAAACATCCTTGTCGTGGGAGACCTTGACACTATACACAACCTGGAACCGAGGACCCAGATACAAGTAGGCACCCTGGTCGGCCTTGGCTCTTGTGTAAACGATTATTCCCGCTTCGATGGGGGTTCCATAGACGCGTGCAGTCCCGACCAGCTGGAGCGACGCATAAACCCGGATCGTCAAAGTTGGGCTTTCTGATTATAGAATCATTTAAAGAATTCTACTGACTGGCTAAGGCAGGCCTGCCGTGGCCCGTTGTGCGCGCCCAATGCAGTCCATTCAAGGATGCTCCACTGCAGAGCCGTTTCCTGGGTGCACATTGGTTACCGACGGGGCGGACGGAGGGAGTTGGGTCTGACGCTAATCTGGCATGGAAGGGACTCCCCGCTGGCATGAAGGTCAACGAGCCCGGTGGTTGGGAATAGTTTAGATACGAGGGCAAGTCTCCCGCGCAGCTCGTGGGAATGGTGAGCTTATATTTGACCCCAGCTTCAAAGACAATTGGTGGGGATTGACCGTGAGAGAAGGCTGAACGAGAAGGGAACATGGTGTCTCCCTGTACTCCGTAAACGATGCGAATTGACACATCTTGCAGACGAGGCCCGTACACAGACAACCCGAGGATTATTAATATTGTCCGGTCGAATGTCAGTGTTACCTTGTTCTGCACGAGCGGCATCTGCTTTTTCGTGGTGCATTCTGGTCACCCTTGGGCCCCCCCTCCCCACCAAGCCCGAGGCTCTGGGTCGGTGGCGAACGCAATGTGGGCAGCAGCTGAGCAGACACGGTGTTGGCCCTGCTGGATCTCGCGGAAACAGACCGCTTCTTGGATGACCCGTCGGGTCTGGGATGCCTTGCTGGCACCTGTGGAATGATGGCATGTCGCGACCTGACCACGGTGGGAGAGAGGAGAGCCCTGGTGATTCCTTTTTTGTTCTTCACAACGACCTGTAGGCAAGTTAGTTGATTCGATCGAGTTCAATGTATCAAGAAATAGCGGGACTATAAAAAGCAGAATGGGTGTTACTGTACGGAGACATGGTTCAAATCGCCCAAACAGCTCGTGTTGTGCCCACAGAGGGGCAGTTCAGGACGGTGATCTCCTTCGAGCTGCATGGAATATCCTCGTCTCTGTCTGCTGGTTCGGGACAAGACCCGACAGAGTGGTTCGTGCTGGTGGAGACGGAGGGGAGTTGAAGGAAGAGAGTTTCTGGTGTGGATGTGGATGTTCTGCGCTGCCCCCAGTTTCCCGACCGTTTGGGTCCAACCATTCTGCTCTGCTTCGCCAAGTTCCACACCCGCCAGTCGCGCCAGTTGCGCAGGCGCTGTCTTGCATCGGAGGCTTTTCTCCTGGTGGCACTTTCTCTTTCTCTTTCTCTTCTTCTTGACTCCTTTTCACGTCCGATGTGTGAGATCTGAACTGTCAACAACCAGGCGTTCAGCCCCCGATCCACCGCCACGAGGTTGCCCCGATGCGAGGGATGGCGCTGATTTAGGACTATGACGGAACTCGATCGACCAACAGATTCAACGGGAATCGAGGTGGATGCCGATGCCAGTGTATGGTCTATCTTCTCGATCCACCGAACTCGATAGCAGAGGACTGCTGCTGATTATCGCTCTCGATGAAGTCACCAAGTGATGTGGACAGCATTCGAAGCGATCTGACCTCGTTGAGCGAGTCTATCTATAGTTATGTGTACGAGAATGGTCGGACCTACCACGCGTACGGATCCGGGACTTATGTATGTGATCTGGAGCTGTGAATGCCCCGGAAAGGACTCGACTGGATGTTGAATGTGCGGCAACTCACACGTCTCGCAGGTCCTTCCCAACGATGAACGAGAGCAAGGTATGATGTGCGACAGACATCGTCGAGTTATTGCATCGTCTGACGGAACTCTTGTGTAACCTTTCATTCAGAAAGATTGGACGTGATGCACCATGTGTTTCGCCTCTGCCTAGATGGCAATTTGTGTCAGACAAAATTGAAGCACCCACAACGCATACTCGATATCGGAACGGGGACGGGAATTTGGGCCGTCGACAGTTAGTCTCTCAGTCATGAATTTGGAAAGCCTCGCGATAAAGGCTAATCAGCAGCAGTCGCGGATGAGTTCCCCCTCCGCAGAGGTGACGGGGGTTGATCTTTCTCCAATACAGCCTGGCTGGTCAGTCACCGTTATCACCGAGGGAATGTCTGGTCTCAGGGACACGACTAACTTATAACTGTACAGGATTCCACCTAATCTCTCATTTATCATCGATGATGTGACGAGAGAATGGAGCTTCCAAACCGAGTCATTTGACTTTATTCATGTGCGATGTTTCGCTGGAAGTATAGAGGATTGGTCCACGTTTTTGAAACGATGCTACCGGTACGTGCGATACCCCAGTCTATTCAAGGTTATGTCACGCTACGTGAGACGCTGATCGATTGTCAATTTTTCAAGATACCTCAAGCCCGGTGGACGAATCGAGGTCGCCGAATATCGTGCAAAGCTATATTGTGATGACGGCTCATGTCCAGAGGACAGCTATCTATATAAGTGGGAGGTCAGTACCATGGAGACAAAGAAATCAAAGGAATAAAATTCCAATTGACTATCTACAGCGCGAATTCGATCGAATCACAGAGATACAAGGACGAGATTGGGATATTGCCCCTAAGCTTCCAAGCCTCCTGCGAGAGACTTCTTTCGAAACCGTTGACACGATCGAACATGTTTGTCCATTCGGCACGTGGCCCAAAGACCCCAAGTTGAAGGAAGTAGGTCGCTATTTCCGAGCTCAGATGGTCGAGGGTGCTATGGAAAGCTACTCGCTCGCTTTGTTTACCCGGTTTGGTGGTTGGAGACCCGTTGAGGTGCAGGTTTTATTGGCGCATCTACGAGCGGAGATTCAATCAAACAAGATTCATGCCTATTCCAAACTGTCAGTGGAGGTCCTTCTATGAGTTTATGATGATACTAATCCATTGATTAGTGCCTTTGTCACAGCGCAAAAGCCTAAGAAATAGTATGAGATTCCGTTTAGATCGAGTGTGGATTCCGAGGAAATCATGGATGTATAGACTGGAGGGCGGCTCTCTGAATTCTAGTTTTTTAGCCTGGCATGCATACACAGGGCGCAATGCAGGGGATTCGACATTTATTTACAAATTCCAGCCATTCTGAATCAATCGTGCGCCTCATACTACTAAAGTTTTGTGAACTGGTCAGTCTAGTTTGTGGTGCCTCAGGCATGGTGCCTCAGGCATTACTATGACTAAGCAACTCCGCCCAATGGCGGCTCCGAACATCCCGCGATGACGATCTCCATTGTTGTAGTTCCTCTTGCCATTTCTTTCGAAACTTGCTTTATTTAAAACACGGATCATGCCATGTAGAGAATGGTGTCTACATATCTAATGCCGACACCACCGCCTGATGGATTCCAGATAAGGCGAAAGCCCGTTTCCAACCCAAATCTCAGGGAAACTGCCATCGCCCAAGCCCCTGGGGGCCTACACCACGCCACAACCTCTCCATCTCTAGCGCCGCCATCATTATCACGGCCTCCATCTTACAATGATTTGTATGGCGCAGCACTACGAGTATCTCAACCACATACATCGTTGAGACCGCGAACGGCGGGTGCACCAAGTACATCCACACCGCCATCACCATCGCAATCGCCATCTCGAAGCCCTTCTCCTACGCCTGTGCAAAAGGCATATGGCGAAGCCCGTCATTTCTTGGGCGGCCTGATCAACCATCCAACAGAATCTAACAAACATGTCACTATTCTGCGTCACTCGCATGGCCTCGTCTTCTACAGGGGTAATTCCACTTCGGTGGCGGTGTCAATCTTCTCTGATACACCCCTGCCACAGGACCGAACTGTATGGCTCCAAAATAAGGGGTGGTCCGGTAAGACCGGCATGCGTGCCAAAGCTTTGTTCCGGTTGAATAATAGCTGGCTCGATGTCACACCTGGCATGCCTATCCGCGCGGATCAAGTGAACCCGGATGACGAACGTGCCTGGCAGCGGGATATCAAAAAGTTCCTGAAAAAGACGTCCGCGAAGCTACGCGATACCCATCTACTACGCGAGACAGCCGTAGTGCATATCCCCGCCGAAGCTGGCGATGGCTATTTCCAGTTGGTGCTGTGCCAAGGTGCGAAGAAGAAGGTGCTTGGCAATAGCCCCGTTTTCCGGGTCATTTCGACATCTACCAATCCCCATTCTATCCGCGGTGCGAGTTTGAGCACTCTGCCTCTTGAGGTTGGAGCCATGGTTGCCAGTTTGTACGCTCAGACTGCCGCCCAGACAGTGATGACACCCGCCACCACGGTGGTCAAATCGAAGCTGAATCCGTATCGTCCGTCCTGGTTGACGCAAGTAGCGGCCCAGAAGGCTTACTCCGCAAGTGGAGTTCAAGATCGAGTTGCGGGAGTTTACAATGGGTCATCCGCTCAGCCTCGCAAGGGGCAGTCGAATGGGGATCCAATGGGAATTGCCAATCATGAAGTGTCACCGACCGAGCTTGGCACTCAACCCCCATTCCCGATGATTTTCAAAGCCCGTGGGCAGCAGGAACACTCAATGGCACCGAGTAGCCCGAATGATACTCCGAAGTTAACACTCGACAAATTTCCAGATTGGGTTTTGGAGCAGTTACGAGGTTACTTCTTTGGCTGGGCTCGATTTTATACCAGCACCGGGAAAGAGAATTCGACCGGCCCCTGGTGTCCAATGGTTCTATCTGTGCGCAATCTCGATCCCCTCCAAGCCGCTCGGGTCAACATATCCCAAGTCGCCAAGCATGTCGTCCATTTACGTCTCTTGGATGAAGTACCCATCCAAACCACCAAGATGGAAATTCGAGTCATGGGTTTTCTCCGAATGGACATCCCACCTCCCACTGGCGCTACAAGCCAAGAACTTGCCGATGCCCAAGCCGCAGCCGCCGAGGTCGCCGTGCTGGCAGATGCATATGATGTCTCAGTCGTGCAGGGTACCCTTTCCGACCCCGCCTGGGCACCGGAGGGCCCAACGCGGGATGAACCGGGCCAACAAACTTCTGGCTGGGTAGATAAGACGCGACAGGGCTACGAAACTATACGAGCTAAGGGCCAGAAATTCGTGGAACAGGTCCCGCTACATCGACTCGGAGTTCGGTCTGTCGCGGATGAGTGGCGAGAGCGACAGGTGGCCATGAATGGCTTTTATATTGTACGATGATCATCGTGTGTGGTTTGCATCATCTCTTTTCTCGTTTATCTTTCATCAGCGGCGTTTGGACCATACTTCTTCTAATATGTATACTAATCATTTGTACCATAATAATTCACGCACACTTCAATATATTACGGACAGGAAAGTGAACTTTCAAAAAAGTACCATAATCATCTACAATTAGACCAATCCCCTCATATTAATAGTCAGTCTAACATGTATATCAAACCCATTCCAACCCACCAAAATCAAGGCCCAACCGGTTCCTCCACCGCCGCAAGATTACACTGCCGAAACAACCGCACCTCATCCGGCCTAAACGCCCCAACAACCGAATGTAAAACCCCGCGATTATTAAACAACACCAAATCCCCCTCCTCCCAATCATGCGCATACACATACGGCGGACTAATCCCCGGCCTCTGGAGCTTGTACACAATCTCCCGGACGCGCGCGAGATCGTCTATCACCGTGCCGTCGGCGAGGTGGATGCGCCGGATGGCGGACGGGTGGATTTGGAGGGCGAGTTTGCCTGTGACGGGGTTTTTCCAGAGCATGGGGAGGATTTTGATTTTGGAGGCGTCGATGGGCGGGAGGTCTGAGGCGGGGAGTTCGAGGTTTTCCGTGTGGAGGCCGAGGCCTGTGGAGCGGGAGTGGGCGGGACTCATCCAGATGTAGCTTGCGCGGATAATCAGCTTTTTGTCTTGACTTTTCTCCACTGAGAGTGTAGATTTGGTGGTAGGTGAGTCCTTACGGGTGAGGTGCATATTCAATTTTACTCGTCCGCACGAATTCCTGCTCAGCTGGCGACAAAAGCTCAAACATGCGCTCGCCGCTCACAAACGCCGTCGTACCCAGTGGCACGTCCATCGTCTCGTCAGACCCGTCGTCGTACAACAGGGTCTGCCGCCGTCCCTTGGGAACCTGCACTGCGAGCAGGGTAGTCACCTGCGGCGGGTTCAGATCGTACAGTGCGGCATCGATATGCCAGCGATAGAAGCGGGTGAAATCGTAGTCCTTATCGTCGGGAATGTGATCTTTATGGAAGGTTCGATGATGGGGGTGTCGTAGTTGGAAATTCTCTAGGCCCTCGTAGGACTTGATGAATCCGTTGCCGATGATTTGCACTTGGGGTTGATGTGGTACGGTCTTTAGGTCTGGATGTAGGATGCTGCGTTTGGCGTCGATTGTCTTGCCGTGGCCGTAGTTGTCGGCGGCGGGATCGAAGCGCTTGGTGAGTTCGTATTGGGCCTTTGGAGAGATGCTGTCCTGGTTTTTGAAGACGATGACATGGTGGTGATAGAGGGCGTTGCGGATAGTTGCGAATTGTTCGTCTGTAGGATATGAGCGAGAGCATGCGCGGTTCTATGATAGTACATACCAGATATATTCTCCAAGTCAATCCCGTCAATCTGCGCTCCAAAATCAATCTTGGATCCCGATGGAGGCTGGATCGGCTTCACAGTCAGCGGCAACACGGCCATGATGCTCGGACTCGGGATTGAGTTGCCTCTAAATTGCTTAAAGTTTGCTGGTGCAAAAGCCGGCGAACTCAGCGCGGCCCGGTCGAAGCTATAAATTCCGAGGCCGAGAAATGAATGCTTGAAATGATGCCGAAGCATGGAGACCTATTAAGAAACGGTTTACGGCGTATACCGAGGGGATATCGAAAGAAAGGGCAGTTGTTATATGATTTCCGTTGTCGTCATCATGAGCTGGAGATCTTATCGAGTGCGGGTGAGTGCGGAGATTCGATAAGATTAACAAACGTTCCTGTGCAAGTGGATCGGATTGTGGATCATCTCGGCATTTGCAGAGCTCGGCCGACTTTGAGTCTTTCGGGTCTGGTCAGAGGCAGTTAGCGTGAATCAGCTAGTGTGAATCGGATTGTCATTTGCCACTGTCAACGTTGGTTTGGCTTATCAGTGTAGGCTAACAGAACGAAGTATACTACGCCCAATACGGTCTTGCTCGGCAGACTGGCTGTTCTTAGCGGAAAAAATTCCACACCCAAGAGAGATTTACATGATAATTCGAGTAACAGGTTAATAAAAGTCTTCATTAAATATTCAAATCCAACTAGAGTGGTATCAAACTATACAAAACACAACTATCAACGCCAAACCGCTCCCCTCCACCGAGCTCCCCCTGCAATCTTCACCCCAATTTCTCCATCATCAATCGACATTACCACCGAATCTGCCACCAAGGACCCTTGGGTCTTTCCGGCAATTCGGCATCAATAATCTCCTGCAGGCCAGTGTGCATGTCCACCTCCTCCGGGCGCCAGGCCCACGGGTCACTCCAGTACAGGAAGCGGTGACCAAAGTACAAGATCAAGAAGGCCGGGATACCGATGTACGCGGTGAAGAAGTTGCTGACCGACCATTCCGACGGGAAGAAGACGGTGAACCCGTTGATCAGCATCATCAGTGTGGCGCCCGCGAGACCAAAGTACGCGCCGTAGGGTTGGAGGCGGGACCTGTAGGGCAGCTCGATGCCCTGGGCGGCGGTGGCCTTGCGGAACCGCAAGAAGACGATGCAGCAGCAGATCCAGGAGATGAAGCCGGAGGTGTTGGTGAAGTTGATGAACCAGTTGAAGACGATGGAACTGGAGTTGCCGACTGAGAGGTAGGCCAGCGCGGAGAAGAAGGCTGAGACGCTGACGGCGTAGTAGGGGACACCCCAGCGGTTGCAGGTCTTGAAGACGCTGGGTGCGTTGCCGGACATGGCCAGGGAGTAGAGCGATCGGGAGGACATGTACAGGAAGGAGTTTCCGGCAGACCATGCAGAGGTCAACACGGCAGCGTTGACGATGTGGTCGAGCACGGGAATACCTGCGTTCTTGATGCCCACCACAAAGGGGGAGGACTTGACCGTTCCGTTACCCGCGGTGAGTTGTGAGGCGTTAGACGGGCAAATGACACCGATCGCCAAGACACCTAGAATGTAGAAGAAGACCAGACGGTAGATGTAACGGCGGGCAGCGCGAGGCACGTTGCGTCGGGGGGACTCCATCTCTCCACCACTGATGATGATCAGCTCGGGGGCGAAGATAAAGGCAATAGCACTGGAAACGGTGCACTTGAGCAAGCCGACAAAGCGACCGGCATCTCCCGTCACGATGTACTCGTTAAACGCGCGGGGATGCTTCCAATAGTGGAAACCCAAAAGCTGGCGGTTGGGACCACCGCCCCAGAACAGAATGAAGGAGACCATGAGCAGACCGACCAAAGTGATGATCTTGATACCTGAGAACCAAAACTCGGATTCACCGTAGAAGCGCACGGGTAAGAAATTGAGGGCAATAATCACGACCATCATGATGGTGATCCACACGGCAATGTTGACGGTTCCGTTAGTATCCCAATACCCGATGACCAGACCGGCTGCGGTGATCTCGTACGGCACTAGAATGCCGAGCGAGTACCAGTAGAGATAACCCATGGCGAAACCCATGCTGCGCGAGACGTATCGGAAACCATGGTAAGACATGGTACCACCGTGAACGGGGAGGTAAGCACCGATCTCGGCGATGGCAGTGACCAGACCGTAGACCATGGCGGAGATGAAGATGTAGCCCATGAGCAGCGAGGCCGGACCACCAGTAGCGAGCGACTGACCGGATCCAACGAACAGGCCTGGGGATGGTCATAGCAGTTAGCATTGCTTCAAACAGATATCCTGTGTTCTGTCCAACTCACCCGTTCCGATAGTACCACCCAGGGCCATCAGTTGAACATGACGGCTCTTCAGACCACGCTGGGTGGTCTCATAGCGATCATCCAGCAAGTCGGCCTCCACCAAGGTCCGGACAGCGCGACCCTTCTCGGTCATCGCGGGGTGATCATCAGCATACCCGGCCTGCGGGGACGCAGGCTCAATTGTCGCCATGTCTTTTTTTTTTTTGCACAGCGAGTTCACCACACCCTGTGCCGGGTGCAAGGTCCAAAAAAAGAAAGGATGAAGATGGCTAGCAGCAACTGTCAAGGATCGGCGGGAATACGGGCATTCTTAAAGGCACTCCATTCGCGCTGTCCGGGGTACCGAGGCCAAGCGCAGGTCCCCCCCATCCCGAAGGGGACTCTGCGACTTTTTTTTTTCGCATTTTGGCTTTTCAACACCAAAAACCTTGCGCCTGACGGGCGTGCGATGAGAGGGCGGGACGTTTGCTTGGATGGAGCGGGAGCATCTGACTGGACGCCACGAGGTCCGTGAGATAAGAAGGATGGCAGAGGAAGCAATCGAAGGCCGGTCGACCGTGGGACACTGGAGCCACCCCCAAAAGCCAAGCCCCCCGCTAAACCGAAATCGGGTCTGGGGTGATACCTCCAGGGACAAGGGACCAGGGACACGAGAAAAGGGGGCTGATAAGCGGCGGCTGGGAGAACGAGACATGGAAATGACTCAGATTGGTTGTGACTGTTACCTTTTCCTGGTCAGCTGGGGTGTCTGGCTTTTCGCTTCAGCCCTACGAGGTTCAGTCATGGCGGTGCAGAATCCGGTTTGGCCTGGACTGGAATCGGCTGTCTTTGCCCTTCACGCCAATATCCAGCATGCCCAGACTGGAGGTTCCCCCGTAAAAAAGGGCGCATCGCCATGATTGTGATCAAAGGATCACAGCCAGGACAATCTCATCTGATTCCGTGTCTCAATCCTGATTCCGCAATCTCCTCTGGTTGGCGAACGAGACACCCTCTTATCACCAAGCGATCAGAGAGAGGCTGTTGCGAGCAGCGCCCGGCGAAGATAGAGCCAGCCACACCGGCAGCTCGCCGGTAGACCGGAAAAAGGACCCTTAGACTCGAGTCCGCCCCAGAGTAGTCAAAGCCAGGATACAGTCCCAGTCCACCAGGCAAGCCGACCAAGACCATGGCACCAAACACCGCATTGCGACGGCTGCAGGCACCGGGCCGGTGCAGCGCGGGCACCGTACGACGCCTCGACAATTAGAGTGCGGAGAGGCGTCGAAGAGGCAAAGCCAAAGAGCCTTTCAGTTGGAGGGCTTATCAGGATGCGAGAAAGGGACAGGGATTCAGCAACCATGCAGCCCATGGAAATGGAGAAAGGCTTGGCACTAGACTCGATGGAGAATAATCGAGCAAAGAGTCGGCCAGTGACGGGAGATGATGAGGAGTGACGCTAAACCCAAACTAGCAATGCGTGCTATCGCAAGGCACTAGACTCGAAGGAGATTCCAAAACTGGAGAGGTAGAAAAGAATGAGGGTTGTACGAGAATAATGAAAAGAGACTGGAATAGTCTACTGGTCGAGAAATGGAAATAACCGATATTGCATCTTCATGGCTATTGAACCAGTAAGAAGCACGAGATCCCCTCTGCTCGAAGGATAGAAGTAGAAGTACAATGATACAGCAGTAGTAGTACATATTTAGTACATACAGAAAATAGCACATACAAAAGTACATGAATGCTATCCCTATTAAATCAGATTGGTTCCTCTATACCCAACGCCGAAACCTCCCGAGAAAACTTCTTTCTCATCCATCACTGATAAGTCCATAGATCCTCATCCTCTACCTCACGGCACGTATCCATCCGGCGTAAGTTGTCGCTCCAGACGCAACGCACGCGACTCTCCCCGATGACGCTTGCAACAGCCACATCCCCGACGGCAATGGATGTACTGCATGCCCACCGCTCGATCGCGAACAATCCGCAGATTCCGTTCACAACAACCACAGTCCCGCCCACAGCATCCTCCCCGACGGCGACACCGATCTTGTCCCGCCTTCCACACTTCCGGACTGGCCTGTTGCCCATGTAGGTCGAGATGGTGTCCCGCCAGGCGGCCCGGTGGTTTGTAACTCTCCAGTTCGGCAATACGCTGGCAGTACTGGAGGTACTCCTGGTTGATCTGTTTTAGCTCGGCTTCGTATTTGAGAATCTGGTCCTGGGTAGAAGGGTCGAGGAGAAGTTTCTCGTCGGCGGTGTTTTGGATGTAGGCTAGTTGGGCGCTGATGTGCATTTCGCGCTGGACGAGTTGCTTGCCCTCACGCATGACGGCTTTGTGTTCGCGGATCCATTGGCATTGTGCGTCGAGGCCGTCTTTCTTTTCGAGTTCGCGGAACCATGTCCCTTGTTCTTGGTGTGAGTCTTTGCCGGACTGGTGAGCTGCAGCTTGCTGGATCTGATTCAGGAGAGGAGTTCGTGAGAGGAGGGAGAAGAATGCCTTTCTGATGGCCATGATGACGGTTGATGAGATGTAAACGATGAGGTGAGTTGGTGGATGAAAGTATTATCGAATGAGGGAGTGAGGTGGAGGATAGAAGAGAAGGTGTGGTCTGGAAGGTGAATGAATGCCCAGGTTTCAGACGACGAGGTGGTCAAGTCGTGAGGTTCACGGTCCTGAGGTCCTGAAGAGTCCTAGGAATTGCCCGATTAGTCGCCGGAGGGTCTGGAGTATCTACAAAGGTCAAGTACGTGCCACGAAGAGGAATAGTAGATTATGCATTGTTTGTTTCAATCACCATTGTATAATACACCAGAAGTGACCAGAAATTGCCCTCGTCGCTGGTGTTTTGGATAGTATGAACTATTTGGTCATGTGCTTCCTCTAGTATAACGATATCTGCCATGACAGCTCCCCACCAGCATGTCGCGGGAGATTCCATCCATGATGAATTCTCTGCCCATCATAACACGGAAACAATCTTCTCAAAGCATACAAAGAGGTTGTTGTCTTGATATACTGGCATATCCCCCACACTTTCCCCATGCGGCCAAGCCAAGACTCCATGGAGATCCACATCCTCGTCCACATCCTCGTCCACATCGTCATCGTCATCCACAATGTCTTCCCCGCACGCTTCGGACCGCATTCAGGCGAACTGCAGCAGTCGGAAGTCTAGACTCTGGACTTTGCACTGTACACGTTGACGTCGGCCCATCGCCAATGATCATGCAAGCCAATCGCTGTTGTCTCCGACTGTCATCGCCTGATATTCTCAGGCAAGGCGGGAACCATGGCTACGATACATAAACCGAGCACTCATGATTCATTGATGCGTGGTGTGATTATTCTAACTAACACTGACATTTCTACGCTTTATATATCCTTCTGAAGATTCTACACTCTCAGCGACATCTACTAACCCTGCGGTTATTAGTACAAATTACTACACTCACCTCCTCCACAGACCCACCATGAAAGCCCTCGTCTACACCAGCCAAGCCACAATCCAAGTCCTCGACCGCCCCAAACCAACCATCCAAGCTCCCACAGACGCAATCATCCGTCTCTTGCATGCCTCCATCTGTGGAACAGATCTCCACATCCTGAAAGGCGATGTTCCCTCCGCACAGCCCGGAAGGATCCTTGGCCACGAAGGCGTCGGCGTGATTGATGCCGTTGGCGCCGCGGTCCAGGACCTAGGCGTCGGCGATCGTGTCTTGATCTCTTGTATGACCTCGTGCGGTGGCTGTCGCTTCTGTCAGCGCGGTCTGCCTTCGCATTGCGTCACTGGTGGCTGGGTGCTGGGGAATACGATTGATGGTACGCAGGCCGAGTTTGTGCGTGTCCCGCATGCGACGCTCTCGCTGCATCGATTGCCGGCTGGGATTGATCCCCGCGCTGCGTTGGCGATCTCTGATTCCCTGCCGACAGGGCTGGAGTGTGGTGTGCTTAGTGCGAATGTGCAGCCGGGTTGTTCGGTGGTGATTGTCGGCGCGGGGCCCGTGGGTATAGCCGCGCTGCTGACCGCGCGACTATATTCACCCTCGCTGGTGGTTATGGTGGACCTGGATGAGGCACGACTCGCGACGGCGCGAAAGCTGGGCGCAAATGTCACGGTCAACTCCTCCGCCCCGGATGCGCGACAGCAGCTGCTGGCGCTGACTGAGGAATTGGGCTTCGACGCGGTGATTGAGGCAGTGGGGATCCCCGCCACGTTTGCCTTGTGTCAGAAACTGGTCGCTGTGGGAGGGCGCATCGCGAATGTGGGCGTGCACGGCACGTCGGCGGATTTGCACCTGGAGAGGCTGTGGGATCGAAATATCAGTGAGTGTTTTCGGGGTGCCGTATTCACCCGTGGGCAGTGGGACACTGGGCAGTTGTTCAAGGACACCAATTGATCGGGTTGACAATACACTAGGCATCCACATGTCGCTGGTTAATGCGACAACGACTCCGCTACTGTTACGACTGGTGGAGTCGGGCATGCTGGACATTGGCTCACTGGTGACCCATCGTACGTTGATTCCCAACTTGCCCGTTAATTTCGCCTTTCCTTCCCTTTTCTGCTAGTGTTTGGTTGCGAGTTGATTTGGGGGCAGTTGTCGCGTGCGGACTTGCTTCTTCTCTCCGTTTCCATGTGGCCGTGACTCCAGTTTCGTGTGCTAATGCATCGTGGTGGGAATTAGACTTTTCCTGTGCAGAGGGAGTCACTGCATACAAGACCTTCCAGGCAGCGGCACACCACCAGACGCTCAAGGTGGCCATTGACTTTGATATTGCGTGATGGCCAACCCGATGGTTCCCGTCGTCTCGGCAGGAAATTAGCGTGCTTCGGCGGGCGTTCTTTGAATATTTAGGGTTCGTGATGTTTAAATGTTCCTCGCTACCGCATCGCATCTCCTCGTCAGCGTCCTTCATTTCCTGACTTCCGACTTGGAGGATCCTCCTCCACTGGAGAAAACTGATTGAGCTACGGTAGTTACCGTTAGTCCAACGCCCCCTTTCCCCACGCCCATCCCAGTCTGTTCGTAGTTTCATCGGCGAAACAAGCCACGCGGCCCCACTTGACGCCCCGTCGACACGAAGCACGATGACGGAGTTGGGAAGAGAGACTGTGACGGGAGATTCTGGTGTTTGGACTACTGGATAAGTGGAAATGTTTATGTATCTCAAACTCAGTTTCAGTCTATGAATTTTATTGTGTCTGGGTAGCTTGTTTCACCGGAAATTGCGGGATGACCGGTTCCATTTCCAGCGTCGGAGTAGGCTGAGGGCGATCGGCCAAAGCGCAGAATCAAAAGTCTCGTGTATGCCTTCAAAAAGAATGGACGAACCGGCAGGTTCATCCGAGTTGGAATGCGGTATTACTCAATTCTGCACCAATTGTCTGCTCGATAATGCCTCGGTCAACTCCCTCGGCCATCGTTAACCACTCTCCTCTCCAGGAGAGTACAGTGTGTGAGACACTGTCTGTTCCCAGTTTCCAATACTTTAGGCAGCATCCACTTTCCATCCACCGCGTAGGCCCAGGAAATGGTGTAAGCAGATAGCCCCAGCGGAGTCCTCGCAACCCGAGCGATCCAGTCAGCGCCTCCGAGAGGACCCATTAGGCTGCCGGAATGGACCCTCGAGTCTGGGTTTGAGTGGCCATCCCGCGGTACGCCAAATGGGAGGCGTCCGCCTCCCTCCGCCCCTGACATCATCATCTCCGCGCGCCACGAGGAGTTTTTCTTTTTCATTTCTTTTTTCGCCTAGCATAGCCAGTCAGAGATCAACTCATGCAGAATTCTTCCGACTGGGTACATGCACGGTTAGCAGATTTGTCCCGAAACCGTAGGAGAGCAGGGTGGTACTTGACCGAGACCATGGACGCTAAGGACAGGACAGGACATGGACGCGCAGGGATGGGCATGCGCGACTAACCCGAAGAATAGGATATTTGCCGTAGGGCCAATCGACGGAGGAACGATGATTATCATGTCCGCGATGGAGGATTCAACTGGCTAACTACTTGGAGTAGGTACGACAGTAATTGCAGTCAATTGAATACTCGTACACTGTGTCCAATTGTCCCCCAATGGCTCGGAAATGAGGCATTTCACCCACGCTGATCAATCAGCCAATAACGTCCCCTATTTCCAAGTGATTACTGTACTCATTCCAATCTTTCTCTCCTCGGTTCATCGTTCATCCAAGTACTGGGCCTGATTGGCCCGTTAAATTGCCTCCGACGACAAAACGAGACCCTTCCTCCTCTGCCAAGCCGCGCGGAAACGCTGGAAGCGAGTGCAGGTCTCCCACGTTTTCATGGTGAAGAACACCGGGAATGGTGAATAGTGAATACGAGTTCGAAGGGCACTTGTAGGGTAATGGTCCTCATGGATAACGGATCCTCATCACCGTCATTCCGGAGTCTCGCTGTCTAAAACTTTTCCGTGTGGTTTGACAGCTTGCCCGCGTCTTCAGCCGCCAAGTCCTTTCCCCACTCGCGCCTTTTTTTCTGCTCCAGTCTCCGGCCTTTTTTTTTTTTTTTTTTTTTTTTTTTATGCTAAGAAGAGGCCTATCTGCCCACTTTTTATTCCCTTGGTCGATTGTCAACTCTTTTGTTTCTGTGAATCTGCGAGTCTACTGCTTCAGCCTTGTGGAAGTATCCTGAGTATACCCGAGAAAGTATAGACCTGCGGTTCTCGTATAGCAACATCACCCTATTGCGGCTATCCTCGCTATACTTGCAATACCTACGGAACAATCGCCGCGCATGCCATTCCATTCCGCGCAACTATAGTCTCCCCTATCACTCTTCCCTCTCTCGCTCTCCTCGACCACCCGGCGCAATGCAAGACGCAACGCGCCGTTTCTCCAAGGCGTCCGCCTCGCGCGTCGAGACCGGCGTCGACACCACCAATGCGGATCGGACCCTCGAGGATATGGGGTATAAGCCTGAATTGGCGCGCAATCGCTCCATCTGGCAGGTGACCTTTATGTGCTTCATTCTGTCTTCGGTGCCCTACGGTCTCTCCACGACGCTGTACTACCCGCTCGTTGCTGGTGGCCCTGCCAATATCATCTGGGGCTGGGTGGTGGTCTCCTTCTTGATTCTCTGTGTGGCTATTTCTCTGGCTGAAATTACTTCCGTCTATCCAACGGCTGGTGGAGTGTATGATTCCTAAACCTCGACTTGGCTTGTAGAGTTTTCACTAACCATCGATGTTATGTTCCCAGATACTATCAAACATTCGTCCTCTCGCCTCTCTGGTGCCGTCGCGTCGCATCCTGGATCTGTGGCTGGTCCTACGTCGCCGGCAATATCACCATCACCCTCGCCGTGAACTTTGGTACCACGTTGCTCTTCGTCGGCTGCCTCGATGTCTTTGAAAAGTCGCCCGGCGTCGGCATCACCGATGATTTCCAGACCTATCAGACCTTCTTGATTTTCCTGGCCATCACCCTGTTGACCCATGCCATCTCGGCCTTTGGTAACAAGTGGCTGCCCTGGTTGGAGGTGAGTTTGAGAGCCATCGCATTCGCATTCGAGAAGTATAGCGATTATGGTCTATTCGTCTATGGAGAGTCGAGATAGACTTTTCTTGTTTTTACTTTTCACGTGCCCCCTTTCCGCTTCGAGGCAAGCCACTAACATTTGACTTTCTTTTTCTCGCGCTCAGACTTTCGCTATTTTCTGGACGATCGCCGGTTTGATCGCGATTGTGATTTGTCTTTTGGCGATTGCCAAGGAAGGTCGTAACAATGCTTCGTGGGTCTTTGGTCACTTTGAGCCTCAAGCTGGCTGGCCCGCGGGCTGGTCGTTCTTCATCGGCTTGCTGCAGGCTGCCTACGCCACGTCGGCTACGGGCATGATCATCTCGTCAGTCGTTTTGTCTCTTGACTTGCAACGCAATGTGAATACTAACGCTTTGGGATAGTCTCTGCGAGGAAGTCCGCGAGCCCGCGGTCATGGTCCCCAAGGCCATGGTCGGTACTATCGTCATCAACTTCGTCGCCGGCCTTCTCTTCCTGATCCCCGTCTGCTTCGTCATGCCCGAGCTCAGCCTGCTCATCAATTCCTCCCAGCCGACTCCTGTCATCTTCAAGCACGCGATCGGCAACTCGGCCGGTGCTTTCTGCCTGACCATCCCTCTGCTGGTGCTCGGTGTCATCTGTGGTGTTGGTTGCGTCACGGCCACCTCGCGTTGCACCTGGGCCTTTGCTCGTGATGGTGGCATCCCCGGCTCTGGCTGGTGGCGCACCGTCGACAAGAAGCTCAACATCCCTCTCAATTCGATGGCGCTGGGTATGGTCATTGAGATTGTTCTGGGTGTTATCTACTTCGGTTCCACCGCCGCCTACAATGCCTTCTCCGGCGTGGGTGTCATCTTCTTGACCATGAGTTATGCCTGCCCCGTGGCAGTCTCCTTGATCTTCCGTCGTCGCGAGGATATCAAGAACGGCAACTTCAACTTTGGCGTCGTCGGTCTCATTGCCAACATCTTTGCCCTCGGTACGTCTGATACTTGGTTGCGCGACCTATTCTCCCGTTTTGCTAATACCTTGTCCGCTCTCCAGCATGGAGTATCCTCGCCATCCCCCTCTTCTGCATGCCCACTCTCAAGGTGGTCACCCAGGAAAGTATGAATTACGCGTCGGTTGTGTTTTTCGGTTTCGTGCTCATCGCAGGCATCTGGTACGGTGTCTGGGGCTACAAGAACTACCGTGGCCCACCCACCGATGCCGTCGACCACGACGACGAGTCCATACCCCCAGCCTACCCCGAGGCCACCGAAGTTCCAGACAAACCCACCGATCTGCCTGGAAAGTCCAAAAGCCCATGATTTTGCCCACCCAACGATACCCACTCGATCCAGCTCGACGCCCGTTCTTCGCCATTGATGCCATTTCCGACTGTTCGCTAGTCCGCTAACCCCCGACTAACTACGACTAACCCCGCTGGTTGTTTGCCGTCTGTACGTCTTTTCTTTTGCCTATACCCACAGCGGCCATCCACCCCTCCCATGCGGCTTTCTTCCCCTGCGGCTATCCATCGCCCGTTGCGGTCAACGATCTCCTCCCTTGCGGTTTCATCGTCCATGCAGCCCGGTTCTTCTACCATTCAATGCCTCCATGCGACATCTCACGCCTTTCGAGCCCATGATCGCCACCTTCAATGTGGTCTCCCAGTCTCTCCCACGCACCTCCGTCACACCGTAAACGATAGATGATTTGACAGGACCTTTGTTGATCGGGATCTTCCTGGATGTATATAAGCATACTAGCTACAGACTTGCTGGACATGTGTCATGTATTTTTGGTTTTGAAGTAGCGGCTGATTAATTTTTTTTTCAAATACAAAAGATCAATCAGAGCTATCTATCACGATGATCTCCGGTTCTTTCTTCTCCAAACTACGAGCGGACGCGGTAGGTCCTGGAAGATCAGCTTCGTCTAGGGGTAGGTGTTCACTGAGAAACGCCTTGATGGCAGCTAGTGGCACCCCATGACGCATACCAGTACTATCATCCCACGAGGAATGCAGTCCTAGCAAGCTCCCATCTGCTCTCCGCAACAGCGGCGCTCCAGAATGACCCCAGTATGTCCACGCATCGTGCTTCAGCGCCCCGATCTCCGAGTTATCCTGTGGATCGACGTCAGGAATCAGACCGCATAGCCGACCCTTGGAAATTTCGATCAGATCGTAGGCGGTTTTACTGGGCGCCTCCGGACTCCAGGTCGTCGGCGCCTGGCTGTCCGATGCAAATGATCGGAGCGGTGGTCGACTGCGACGTAGAGAGGGGGACGAATGTGAAGACGGGAGTTGCGGGGTGACTGCTGCTGCTACTGCTCAGCTCCTCAGGCGCCTCGATGCAGACTACCTTGGCAAGCGCGAGATCACGCCGTGCATCCCAGACCTGGCACTCGACTTGCACTGCCAGCCCCGTATAACACAGAAGCCATTTCCGGCGGTGAGCTCGCCATTCCTGCGCAGTCTCGCCGAAGCAATGTGCACAGGTTAGCATCCACCCGCGCGCGTCGATACAGACCGCCGTGCCGGCTTCATGCTGTGCGAAGATCAGCGTCGACGATAGGCCGCGGATTGCCCATGGGCCTAGCTCGCGGGTGGCTTGTGTGGTGAGAGACGCTGAGCGCTGGAGGCGACGCTGTTTTGTGCGGAGGATCCGGAGGTCATCGCTGGTTATGCCGGGTAAGCGAGATGGGCTGCGAAGGAGCAGTGGGGAGCGCGCGGGAGTTGGAGCTGGAGTCGTGAGGAATCGAATTGGCCGGTCGAGATGGGTGGGTATCTGGGGGCCTTGGTCAATTTCAACGTCAATATCTGGGTGACTCTCGCGATTTGATCGCAGTCGGCGGGGCATCGTTGCCTCCGGGGAGGACAAGATGCGCCCGTGAGAGCAGAAGAGAGTCAACTGTTGGTTGACGCGTTTGCGCTCAGTCCCTTCCTTGATCACGTGGGTGGAAGTATCCAACAGTCCGAATTGGATTTTCAGTCTACATTCTCGACACGTTGCAGGAAAATCCTATTATCTAGTATTCCATTAAGAGGATTTGTACAGTTTTACTGCCCATAGTATGCATATGTGGTGCTTATTGGATTTTGGGTTGATTCCCAGCCTCAAGACTTGCATTGCAGCGCGATCGACCTAGTCAATCCTGGAAATATATAGCTCGCAATAGCTCTCCCGTGCGATGCATCAATGCATCATCAACCCCGGGCATTCTTACAATCTTGCAAATACCTAGACCTTCTGGAATCAAATGGCAGCCACATGATCCGTCACCAGGCAAGTAAAGTCACTCGAGCCATAGAAAATAGTGTTACCATCATCCGAGGTCTGCCCAGTGCTCAAAGTATCACCCCACTGCCAGAACATATCGGCCGCAATGCCCTTGGTATCCAGGGCCGCCGTCTGCCAGGGAGCCTCGACACTGCAGTGATCAGAGGGATACCCGTACTCTTCCAAGAGACAGGGCTTTCCTGCAGCCGTGCATGCATCGCCGTGGGCCTTGATCCAGGTGCTACCCCAGGTGCTTGCTTCACCCCCTGTTGAAGTTGTAAGTGAAACTGGTCTTTGAAGAGAATGTTTTGAGGAATACTTACAGCTTGATGGGTAGAGGTGGAGAGTACCAAAGTCAATTGTGTCAATGCCAATGTTCATGGTGAAGTTCAGGCCTTCGGCGTAGGTGAATGGGTAGCTGCCGTCCGAGTCGGTGTTCAGACCGAAGCCCTCTAGAAAGAGAAAAAAAATGGGTCACTAAGGTCCAAAGTGGATGTTTTCTCTCATGAAATAAACATCGACAGAGGATAACGGAACTTACCATCACCAATGCACACCATGTGCTTCGAGTCAAGAGACTTGATATACGCACTGGTCGTCTTGACCCAGTTGTAGATAACTGATGGATCACAGCCATTGCAGCGAGGCTCATTGGCCAACTCCCACGAGAAGATAGCAGATGAAGAACTGTAGCGAGACACTACAGTCTTGATGTAGTTCTGGTACGCTGCCTGAGCGGCTGTGTTCGTGTACCAGCTGGTTGCGCTGCCTCCAAAGGCCGACACGTAGGCCGCGATACCACCGTAGTCAGACCAATTGTTCACAAAGTTGATAATCAGCTTGATACCGTGTTTTTCAGCCGAGGAGACCACATAGTCGAGCCGCTGCAGACCATCCGCACCGGTGTTGATTGTCACGTTTCCGGACGAGAGATATTGGTACCAGACGGTGCCGGAGGAGGGGACTGTGTTGACGTCGTTGAATCCCCAGACTCGCAGGATGCGGAGTCCCGAGTCGTACAGGTGCTGCATCACCAGGTCGACGTCAGCATCGTTGGTGAGGAAACCAATCCAGTAGGAGTTGGTTCCGGCATAGTAGCTGGTCTCGCCATCAATGGTGAAGTTGAGGCCATTGGTTGTAGGGAAAACGGTGGAAGTGGACACCGGAGCCGAGGTAGTCGAGGTAGTCTTGGTAGTCGAGGTAGTCTTGGTAGTCGAGGTAGTCTTGGTAGTGGATGACACGGTGGTGGTCGACTTGGTCGAGGTCGACGAGGTAGTGCTGCCGCTACCCGTTGCTGAGAAGAGTTAGTGAACAGGAATTCGTCTCTTCCTCGGATGGACTGATTTACCTGGCAGACATTGACTGTACCAGTCATTTTGATACTGGCAAGTATACGGGGACACGCAGGTAGTCGACCCAGTCCAGCCATTACCTCCACACTGACCGTACTCAGCCACCTGGGCCGAGGCCAGCCCAGCGAAGAGCAAGATCGCTGAGGAGTAGTACATTGGATGCGGTCTGCACGAGTGATCGGGGTTGCTATCTCAATCGTGAGAACTAACGGCTACGACGAGACTACGGTGCTTAAATACTTCTTTTCGTGCAGTCCTATCTACGAGAAAGAGAGACGAAGAAGATTCAGGGGAGAATGCGGAGAAGGGTCCGTTATGGAACCGTGTCAGGAATGACTTCTGAAGAAGGAATAGACGATGGTGCTAATTCAACGGCGGCCCGTGTTGTTTGAGGACTAGAAGTGGAGAAATGGGGATGGAAGAGTGGCAGATTAATCAAGAAGAGGAAATAAGAGGAGGGAGACCATACATTAACGGGTTAGCTTGGAAGAGACTAGTATATTGAGTCTAATCCCAAATTCAAGAATTGACGGATTTAGACTCGGGGTATCATCCTTGAAGTGGAGATGACGAACCGAATCTGGGGAAGTTCTGCAGGAGCGCCGGAGAAGCGGAGACAAAAGCTGCACGCCGGAAAAATTAGACCAGACGATCGAGCATTGCATCAATGAGATCGAGTCCGTGATATCTGCTGCGCATATCTCCACCTCCTGAAATATTCTCTCCGCAATTTGGACCTCAAATTGCCTCCGAGGGTTTAGCGTCTGTCGCGAGCGGGGGAAGTGGCTGCGCTTGCCCCAACAGGATAAGGGCCGATGCATTCAGTCCGTGCTGTGTGAAGAATGGGGCATCATAGCTTTCCGAAATAGTGTACTGGAGAGGCGGAACTAAATCACAGGCTGAAATCCCGTTAAACAAGATATATGTGAGTGCATTATCATAGTTGCCAGCCGCGTATAATATACTCCTCGTATTGAGGCAGGCAAGTCTGAAAGAAACACGGCAATGTGTTACGCGGGGGTAAAAAAAGAATAAGCATCGACTATCGAATGCAGTTGAATAACTTGGCCTACTCCGTCCTTTCATCCCCGATCTGAGGCGCGGTTGGAATTACTCTGATCTGGGGGCAATCTGGAACCATTGTGAATACTTCCACAAAGTAACAAGTATACATCAGCCAATGTCATGTTATCAACTTCACGCTCCCTTCGTTCCGAAATTTAGCCAGACGATATTTTTAACCCTGGTTGGATGGTTCATTGCATCCAGGCGGAACCCGGCATCTTCTAGCCGATGCTTGTCGAGCGCTCGTCTAGTTACAGGTACCGTAGGAAGTCTATAAGTCGAGACAAGATCGGACGAAACGGAGAACCCGGAGGACTTACGTATGAAGAATCAGCCCATCTGCTAATTGACCCGCAAGGAAGCAATAGCGCCAATGGTCTTCTTTCAAGCCGTATCCATCCTCATCTGAGTGGTTAAAATCTATTCCTGCTGACTCAGCCCGGAGAGATTCCATCGAAATGGAAGACTTCGCGTATATTCACGTCTTTTTCTTGGAGAAGCCCACGTATAGAGATTCATACTAATTAAATGATAGACAGGAACACGATAGCGAAACACTGGGTTAAATTCCCAAGGAGTCTATGCTATCAACAATTATTACACATCCATATCTTTCTACAGATGTGGGAGAATTGCAAACTCTGCAGTGACGTAGTCAGGCACCCGTCGCGGGTGTGGCGCCGCCACTGATGGACAGCTACGGAAGATCAGACTTTTTCCAATGCGTTTTCATAATCAAATGACCGGCTGATATTATAGTCGAGGCTATACAGAGTCAAGAAGGCGATTCCACCGCATGGCGTCAATAATCAGTCATCACAGTATTGTAGTACTTACTTGTGGACTAAAGTATCGATGAGGCGGAATGATAGTTTCCCCTCCTAAAAGACCCTTCGAACGACACGTGTACGACTGGAAAAACTGGAGACTGGAGAGATGCTTGAAACGGAGAGTCCCCGGGGGGCAGTGACCCCAGCGGTGCTTCACCGAGACACTTCATCGGGTTTGGCATCCTCTCCAGAGCGAAAGAATCCGGAGCAGCCTGGAGCAGCCTGGGGGCGGATGCCCCGGAATGCATGGAGAATGCCCTGGAGGGAGATTCTCCGTGCTTCTATCTCACCAAAATTATCTCGAAAAAGACAGACAGCTGCCAGTCACTTGAAGGAAAAAAAAATCGCAACGCAGATGACCAGTTATTCGGGCCGACCAGAAATAATAATTCTCGGGAGCCGATCCAAGTACGCCAAAGCCGATGCCGAGCCACGAACGTCATCTTTCGGCACGGCTTCGAGTATGTCTGGTCCCCGAGTTCTGGAAATTTTTGCCACTTGCCGGGCCTTGACTGGTGAATTCTGATCCAACCGAGCCGATATTCTGTCTCCATTCTGGTCCCGATCAACTCGGCCGTGGGTTGGACCAGAGACCACGGTCTCTGAGTGGTTCACCACTTCCGATACCCTCCTGGAACTAACTCTGACTGGCAGTCCCCTGGTCAGGTGGATATCTCATGGCCATGCAAACTGCCTTCGGCCGGTGGTGGTCGCTTTGTTGGTCATCGTCATCTGGTCTGCACGGCACTCGGCTGGCAATGAGAGTCGTCGTCCGCGTCGTGACTCTCCACACCGTCTCTCCACATGCCCCTGTCGACGAATGAACAATTGTGGGTGAAGTCTTGCTGGAGAGATGAGGGGCGTGTTTCCTTTCTTTTTCTTTCATCCACTTTCTTATGTGCCTGTCCCTGCAAATTACAAAAGGGCCAAATTTTCCTCCAGTCTGACATCTTTTTATTTCTACCCCGCCGGCTTTTCTCCTGACACTCTGTTTCTTCGTGAATCTAAGGGATATATCCCTGGTCCCTATATCAAGCCTTCTCTATCTTTTCCCTTTTGAGGTCAAGCATAAGGTTTTGTTGCACAACGGAGTGTAGAACAACTCCCCAAAGCCCAATATCAATCATGGGTCTTGAATCGACTGCCCACCATGGGGAGGCTATTACCCCAGCTGAGAATTCCAGTGCAGACACCTCCTTCCAAAATAGCCCCATTCAGAAGCCAATGCGCCCGGCCGGAGTTGATACCCCGATCCCACGCATTACCCTGAGGTCCTTGGTCATGGCTCTCTTCGTTTCAATGGGTGGTCTGCTTTTCGGTTACGATACCGGCCAGATCTCCGGCTTCCAAGAGATGAGCAACTATTTGCAACGCTACGGTCAGCTCAACAGCCAGGGGGAGTATGCTTTCAGTGATACTCGTTCGGGTCTGATTGTCGCTATGCTCTCCATCGGTACTCTCATTGGTGCCTTGGTGGGCGCTCCCGTTGCCGACTTTATCGGCCGGAAGTGGTCGATCTCGGTTTGGTGTGTTATCCTCATCGTCGGTTTGATTGTCCAGATCACTTCTCCGGATGGACACTGGTGGCAGATGGTCGTGGGTCGTTGGGTCACTGGTCTTGGTGTCGGTGGCTGCTCCCTGCTGGTCCCCATGTACCAGGGTGAGAGCTCTCCGCGTCACATTCGTGGTGCCATGATCTCCTGCTACCAGCTATTTGTGACTCTGGGTATCTTCCTTGCCTACTGCATTAACCTGGGTACACACAACCTTGATGGAACTGCCCAGTGGCGTATCACTCTGGGCCTGACTTTCCTCTTCGCTTTGATCCTTGGTGGTGGAATGGCTTTCTTCCCGGAGAGCCCGCGTTACGAGTTCCGCCATGGCAAGGTCGAGAGCGCCCGGCAGACCTTGGCTAAGCTGTACGGTGTTCCTGAGAACCATGTTCGGATTCTCGAGGAGATGGAAGAGATCCGTGAGCAGTTTGAGGCCGAGTCTCAGGACCAGGTGTGGCACGAGTTCCTCACTGCCCCTCGCATGTTGTACCGCATTGTTCTCGGCATGGCCCTGCAGAGTCTGCAGCAGCTCACTGGTGCCAACTACTTTTTCTACTATGTAAGTTACTGGCATCTTTGATTCAAATACCATCAGGGGAGAAATTCAATGCTAACATATCTCTCTTTCTAGGGTACCACTATCTTCCAGGGTGCCGGTATCTCCGACAGCTTCATCACCCAGGTAATCCTGGGTGCCGTCAACTTCGGTACTACTTTCGGAGGTCTATACGTCGTTGAGAACTATGGACGTCGCAAGTCTCTCATCTTCGGAGCTGTGTGGATGTTCATCATGTTCATGATCTTCGCCTCCCTGGGTCACTTCATGCTGGACATCGAGAATCCCGAGAACACACCCAACGTTGGCAAGGGCATGATTGTCGTCACCTGTCTGTTCATTACCGCTTATGCCATGACCTGGGGTCCCATGATTTGGGCTATCGTTGCCGAGCTTTTCCCTTCCAAGTACCGTGCCAAGGGTATGGCCCTGGCCACTGCCTCCAACTGGGCTTGGAACTTCCTCATTTCCTTTTTCACCACTTTCATCACCAGTGCTATTGACTTTGCGTATGGTTATGTCTTCGCCGGCTGCCTGTTCGTCGCTGTCTTTGTCATCTACTTCTTCGTCATTGAAGGCAAGGGTCGTACGCTCGAGGAGCTGGACTACATGTACGTGAACAAGGTCGCTCCATGGAAGAGCAGCAAGTTCGAGTTCCCACAGCAGCACCGTGATTGGAATGCGGATGAGAACCCATCCGGGCGCAAGGAGCAGGAGATGTACCATGCTGAGAACGCATAAGCGTGGGAGGTGGGCCCTTTCTGAATTTTTTTGCTCTATCATTCCATTATTCTTGTTCTGGACTTTCCTATAGACGTGGCATACTCATATTTCTTTTTCGTTGAGCCATCATGGTCAGGATGCATGACCTTTGTTTGCAATATCGGCGTTATTTGGGCCTGGAGTATTAAAGATGGATTGTCATGCGATCAACACGCCTGGATGTACTTTAGATTCTTGTTGCATACATTGCTATTACATCTCTTCAACAGCTCCCAGTAATTTTGAAGTAATTTTGCATACGTGGAATTCCAATTTCGAATTCCCATTTATTTATTATTGAACCTCTCCTCAGACCAGCCTCCCGCATTGTCATAGAATCTCTTTTTGATTAAGCAATCTGCAAGCACTCCCGATCTCTTTTAAACGGCTTAATACATTGGACTGGTAGTGGGTCATCGTTGGATTTCCAATTTTGGCGAAATAGTAACCGCACTATCCCCCCACCGTTTGAGCTGCTGCAGAGGAATATGGCGCTGGGGACATCACCCCAATTAAAGACATTCGAACTCAATAATGCGGAAGGTATGTATCATTTGTCCTCGTCGTTACGAGCTATCTCATTTATATAGTCTTGCGGTTCCCTAGTTTAGCCTCTCGACCCTTTGCGCCGGCGAGAATACCTCGTTATTTTGGAATCGATTGTCATATCCTTTTGATAGAGACTGCGAATAATATCAAGAGACGGGAGTTGAAAAGGATTTACATCGAGAGAGATGACAGCCAAGTGTCTAATCTGTTCACAGAACAACCCATGGTTTTAAAGCTTTGATCTTGTCTCACCCCGGGTTACTATGTATCGCTCTTTGCCGCTGTCCTCTTGTTCCAATTTGCGTAACATTCGACGAAGGATCTTTCCGCTCGCGCTCTTTGGAATCTCTTCGAGCATCTCAACTTCGGTAATCCACTTATGGCGAACTTTGTTCTCACGAACATAATCGATAAGCTCATTGAGGAAGCTCAAGATAGAGTTCCGATCTTTACCCTGACGAACGCTAGGCTTCAGGACGACGTAAGCCTTTGGACGTTGGCCAGAGTAGTCATCAGGAATGGGACCGACGGCCACATCCTCCACGATTGGGTGTCCAAGTAACAGGTCCTCGAGCTCGGCCGGCGCAACTGCGATTCCTTTTACCTTGATCATTTCCTTGATGCGATCGGTGATTGTGATAAACCCTTCTTTATCAATGAAGCCGACATCGCCGGTATGGAGCCACCCTTCAGCATCAAAAGTTTCGGCTGTGGCTTTTTCATTGTTCAGGTATCCCATGACAACTTGCGGACCTCTTGCCAGAATCTCACCGGGCTCATTGTATCCGAGTTCCTTGCCCGTATCTGGATTGATAATCTTGACTTCAGTGTTTGCAACAATGGTACCACCGCAATGAGCATATTCATAGGTAGACTTCTCCAAGGGATGAGCTGTTATGCAGCTGCATGACTCGGTCATGCCATACCCTTGCTTAAACCCTGTGTTTGGAAACTGGCGCCGGAGCTCTTGGATAATCTCTGAGGAGAGCGGGGCCGCCCCAGACGAGAACTTGCGCACGTGGGACAGGTCGTAATCTTTCACAATCGGATCCCGAAGAAGCCGGATCAGAATAGGTGGCACAAGCAACATTTCTGTGATTTGATATTGAACTACAGTGTCCAACATGGCCTTCATAGTGAATGCTGGAAGCATGTAGACCTCTGCGTTGCGGAAAACGGGAAGATGCATCTGGTGGACCAGACCGGTGACTGTATTGAAAAGTGCTGTCGTTAGGGGCAAAATTCGAGAAACTTGAAAGCGAGGATCAACATACTATGGAATAATGGAAGCACTGCCAGGACCTTTTTGTTCTCTTTCAAAGTTATCTGCTCGACCTGCATGCTTTGCGCGATCACGTTATGATGCGCAATCATGACCTGGAGACCTGTCAGAGAAGTGTGCACAAAATTGGCAATGATGCAGAAAACCTACAGCTTTAGGAAGACCCGTCGTTCCGCTACTAAAGCTCAGAAACCCGCAAATATCCTTGTTCGTCTGCCCAGACGGGATCTTGAAAGGCTGAACCTGGCCACTCGGCCCAAAGTTTCCCCCAAGGGCTACAAGGTCTTGAATGCTAGTGAAGCCTTCCTTCCTTCCTTCGAGCAAGACGATTCGATCTTGGGAGATTCCCGCATTCTTCGCAGCTGGGATAGCAACGGGAAGCGAGGAAGCCGCAGTCATGAGGACTTTTGCTTGTGCTGTGCGTAATGCAAAAGTCATCTCCTCAATATTGTAGGCAGGCGAAGCACCTGAGATAATGCCACCTGCGGAGAGACGTTATTATCCCCTCCAAGGTGTTCTCCTTTCAAGAGGGGTTTCTTACCCACACGATTGGTCGCAAACATGGCGATGGGATACCAAACAGTATTCGGACTGAAGAGTGCCACGACATCGCCCTTGACAAGTCCAAATTTATGAACCAGGGCAGTGGATATCTTCGTCGCATACTCCTTAGCCAGATCGTACCCGATTCGCTCCTTCGTAGCGGCATTTGTGAACCCCCCAATATCCGAGGGCTTGTTTTGGCTGAGAGGCGACGTTGATGAATCAAACAGCCATTCCCAAATTGTCACATCCTCTGGAACTGAGGTAGAGTCGAGATGTGAGCGTTGTGGTTCCGGATCTGTGATAGCAAAATTTCACTACTTACTGGAGAGACTTGGTTGTTGGGATGTGAAGATCATTGTGGAGATAAAGTGTTTTCCCTACTCGCCTGCTGGGCTCACGAAGAAAGAAAAGAACGAACGGGTCCCGAACGGCAGCTTTTGGTTATTCGATATAGGTCGAGCCCGGCTGGCGGGGTAATGGGGGTAAGACCAACCCTCCTCTCGATTTTCCTATCTATTTCCAAGCAATGAAGGTCATCTCGGACCTCGGCTTTCAAAAGCGCCAAAATCGATCTCTACAAAATCTGGATATGGGATAGAGCTGCGGGTATAAACTTTGCTGCGCGACTCCCTTGTTGCGGGGATTTCTGTAGGCTTTGATCAGTTGAAGCCTGTTGGCATGCAAATTCAAAGCTGGACCGACCGAACTTGTCTCTGCTACAGTATGGCTTGAATTCGGCTCTTCGGGATAAACAGCGAGAGAGCAGTCTCAGGATTGCGGGGGCAGAAATGCGGGGAAGATCTTCCCCGGCTACTGCTCTCCTGCGGGGTAAGCCTGTAAGCCTCGTTCTGGGTCGAAAGAAGCCTGATCTAAGAATATAGATAGTCGTATGAGCTCGTTCATTCATGTATGCTCCAAGTAAATTCAACAAGTTGGCAGTGAAGGATTGGGATATTCCAGATTCTATGGCTATTTGGACCGCTCCTGTTAGTGAGAGGGCTTTGAAGAGAATCGAAGGCGTGTAGATGTATGCCAATATCTTGACCAACTGCACTAACAAGAGAAGTATCAGGGGAGGTCCTCCCTAAATCTTTCCAGAATTCTAGAGTAAAGATCCAAGAGATCTCGTATGTCAGTTCCATCGAGGCGAGAATTGATCTGCGGGTCCTCCTCGGTATGTGAGATGACATCAATGCTATGCCTTCTAAGCAGTGCAAGCTTTTTGGACCGCTGCCATGGCTGGCTCGATCGGCAAATGGGGGCGATATATTGCGAGGACAGACTTCTAGATCTCATCTTGAGAGTGTTGAAGTTTGCTGGGCACATGTGTTGACGACTGTCGACCAGATCGCCCAGCATCTTTGTCAAATCCGAGAATGCTACGCCCAGGTAGACTGCACAAGCAGTAATCAATCCTATCCAAAAAGAGTTATGTGATCGAAGACAACTTCGAGAAAGTTCCCTATACATGGCAAACGCATCGTGGCCTTCGGGATCATTCTGCGTTGTACTTGCGAGACTCTTTACTGGTGAGCTTTTGGAGTGGCCGTCTTTCCTGTGTGACAACTCGTGTGCCAGTAACGTGACAGCAGGGCTATAGGTTGGCCCATCGATCTCCAAGGCCAGGATTGCAAAATCATGAAGTGCGGCTATTGTTGAGGCGTCACAGCAGCACAGCTCGAGAATGCACCACGGGCGCTGGAGAACGACGAGAAGCGACGCCAAGGAATCGCTCCGACCAAACACACAGTGTTTAGGGTATGTTGCAGCATGAATCAAGAACCAGGGCAGCTGGTCACATGGGCTTGTACGGCTGTCGCTTTGGGAAAGTGTCCGAGGCGGGCATGGTAACGAAACGAGGTCGGGAAGCGGAGGCTCGGGCAGTTTGGACAGGATAGGAATTTTGGTTGCGACAAGGGAAGCAGCTCTCTCGAGCTGATCGATTATGATCGGATCGAGCTTGATAGTAGCCCACTCGGGAGGGAACGCGACGATCGAGTAAATCGCAAACGAGTCAGAAAAGCGCACCCCACCACCGGCATCATATAAGGCGCAGAGCTTCGCAGGGGTTGGGCCCTCTTCCTCCTGAAGAGGGGATTTCATGGATTTTTTCGAAGGGAGACTGCCATGCCTGGAGAGCTCAAACACGGATATTCCCGAGTTGGCGCAGATCTTAGCTGGAAGAAAATCAGAATGAAAACGAGTCTGAGTCTGGTGGTGGCAGTGGCAGTGACCAAGTGGGCTGTGTAAACAGACCGTGTCAGAGTGGGGCCGGGGAGCCTGGGAGCCTTACAATTCTATTTGATGCCTGAGATGTCAGGTATCAGTTGAGAATCTACTCCAGGGGGTTGAAAGCACAATGATGGCCGTCCTATTCGAAGAGAACCCTGGCTTCTACTTTTCTGTGATGCGATTGTACAGGGCTTATTCATTCGAACATCCGTTCCAGGTTAGATGTTATCCCGAATTTGATACTTTCTGCCATACTACCATCAACCTGGCATCCTCTCCCAGCTGGCGGATGCAATCAGAACATACATCACATTGGAATCGCTGGTATGGAAAATGATAGAGATTATTACAGCAATCCGACCAGCATCAAACATCCAACGTTATTCCTTGGGCTGCAAGTGTTCCTCTTCGCCCAACTTCAACGTCTCGTAAACCTCGTTTCGTATTCTCATGGCCAAAGCTCCACGCGCTGGATCATTGGCGTTGATATTGTCAAGGAACATTGAGCACCTGTCTTTGATAGCTGAATCCCGACCGTCAACTGTGAATGCTTCGGGTTTCCCTTTGTCATCTCCCAACATTGCGCTGGTGTCCCTTAAAAGCGCTTGCATTTCCCGGAAAACCAGCATATCGGGAAGCAGGCCCATTTTAATCCAATCGAGACCCGTTAACCGACAACGAGGCGTGACTTCGAGGGTCGCCCGGATGATGGCCAGGGAACGGGTTGAATTCTCAAGTACGGCTGCTTTGAAAATTTGACCACGAGCTTTGGTTTGCAGGATCCGTGCAATTCGTGTCGCGGCGATCTCAGCCACTGAAGCATATACCAATACGCCCAGGAAGCCGAGCTGCATGTTGCCATGCATATTGACCATACAGGCAACGGATGCAATGCCGCAAAGTGACCCGGTGATAATCCACAGCCAGTGTAGGCTGTCTTTGGCCCAAGTTGGGTTGTACTCCCAGGTTGATCGCGCCCAAGTCTCAAGTGTTCTCTGTGGACCTTTGAAGATAACGGTTCCGCCTTCCTCGCGTTCGTAGACTGCAAATCGATCGCTGGACTCCGGATCGATTCGAGAAGGTGTGTGAATAGTGACCATGGGGGTGAGTGAAATAGCCACTGAGGCACCCCAGTGGAAACTATAAAGGAGAAAAAGGGTGAACGCCCATATGTCTGCCAGAAGAATACCAAAGACCATCCCGGTCAAGACCATTGCTCCGTTGATGACGGAGAGCAAGTTCAGAGTCCATCTTCCGGCCTGCCACCGGATATTTCCAATCTGTGAGCGAATGAGGAATTCTTCTTCGTGGTCTTGACTTTCCGGGCCCTCGGTAGAATCGGTTCCCCTGCGCTTTCGATGGACCGAGTCCACATACACAATCGCAAAATCATTGCCGGGGTGTTTTGAAGGCTCAAATGAGACAATATCACTGAGCCAGGTATTGCTCAGGTTATAGGGTAACTGTCGGAAGACGTTGCCAGAAATATCGGACCGAATCGAGAGCATCCTTGTGTCCTTGGCACACATCTTGATGGCAGGGTGGATCCACTTGAACGGCGCTGTCAAGCGCTCAACCAGCATCTGCATCGGAGGGAGAGTCCCCCCGATCATGGTCATATGTGGCCATATGAAGAGGTTTTGATCGTACTGGGTATAGAGCCTTGCTGCGCTTCTGTCAGCACGCTCATTGTAAAGAATTGCCGCTACGCCGAGAGGGTCGAAAGTGACGCCGTCGTCCGTCTTGAGATCTGGGTGAGCCTCGCTCAGGGGTGTTGGGAAATCCGTCTTCGCCTGGACATAGTCAACAAGAACGAAGAGGTTTAATGCAAAAAATGACGACGTGAAGAAACCCATCGAGGCCTTTGATTGTTCTTTCTGGCACGAGAATCTGGTACCAGGGTTCGCAAAATAGTTTAACAATCTTTCGGGAGAGATTTGGACACTAAGCGCCCAAACTGCTCTTTGGGGTTTAGCGTTGAGTAACCACAACAAACTTCTTGGAGGTGGCAGTTTACGGGTCAATGGCTGCAGATCCAGAATTTGTCTTACGTGAGATCAACAAGTGGACGGCGGGGCATTCTTCACCAGGTTCTAGTATCAACGACCAGTATAACATCTATAGAACTAGGGAACAGTGAAACCTCCAGCGTCGGGTTTGATATTGCCTGTAGTTTGGCGTGATCGGACATGCAATAACGGACGTGAAGCTCATACTAGATGGAAACGACCAGTTTCTCCCCACTAACGCCCTGGCGCATCAATACGAGGGCCTTTTCCAAAGCACTAAGCCCATGCCCCACATGATGTACTTGCAGAGGGAGCTTGTATCTGTCCTCCTCCAATAATTGCGCCAGAGTACGAACTATATTCTGATTTCCTGGCACCTGGGGGAGATCGCGGCCTCGAAACATGATCGAGTTCACCGAGTCGGGCGCTTGAATCTCGTCGTCTCCTGTCCAGACCTGTGCATATATCTTGGCACCATGAGGGTTCAGAGCCTCGAAGATGTCTCTTTGCGTGCGGCCGGCGCCAACAACATCAACAATTGCGTCAACGCCATGAGAGCCTGGACTGGCCGATTTTACATCCGAGGGCAATGAAGCCGAATTCCTGTCGATAACTCCATCTGCTCCAAGGTAATTTTTGAGGTGGTCGTGATGCCGAAGCGAACTGGTCGCAAGGATTTTACATTCGGGAACAGCGAGGCGAAGAAGCTGAATTGTGGCTGCGCCGACCGCAGAACTGCCTCCAAGAATCAAGACAGAAGAAGGCTGCAGCCCTGAAGTTGGCCCGCCTTCGAGGAATGGAAGAGGGGTTTTTAACCCGATGCCGAGAGCCATGACTGCGGTGAGATAGCATACACTTGAGGTGAAAAGAGGCGAAAGTTAGTATGGATTAAGCTCAGAGAGATTCCACGTGAAACACCAGGCGGCATGGAGGACGGGGAGAAAGGCATGGGATAGTAGCGACGAACCCCAAAGTAGATGCTTGCTCTAGCGACCACTTTGCTGGAAGTTTGGCCACGTCTTTTCCCTGCACCGCGGCGTACTCTTGGTATGATCCCGAGCGATCACCAGCTGTGAAGAACGCGAGGACGCGATCTCCAATCTTAAAATCCCCCGCCTCATCGCCCACTTGTTCGATAATGCCCGCCCCGTCAAGTCCGGGAACAAGAGGCCAGGAGGTGACCCGGTGGCCCAGATCAATCATCTTGTAATCAGCTGGATTGATAGCCACTGCCTTAACGCGAATCAAAACTTCGGTCGGCTGGAGTATTGAAGGCTTCGGGGCCATGATCGCTTCTAAAGGGCTCCCTTTCTGGCGGGCGAGATATTTGGTGAACTGTAAAGCCATCCTTTTAGATCATCCCTGCAGGGCACTCAGTATATTCTCAATCGATGATAAAGAGAACGCCAAATAACATACAAAGGCGAAATCTTTTGACTACACTCTTAGGCCAAGACCCGATCCTAAGATTCGGCGTGGCCCTTTCTGGCGTTCAAGTTTGACCAATCCTTAACACTGGCGAAAACTTTGGCGGCCAGAACATACAAAACAGATGCAGGTCATGGAATTCTTTATATGCTATTTGAAGTGGGGAGAGATGATCTCGCTAGCGGACTTAAGTTGAGGCATGCTCGGATTTAGACAAAGATAGAGATGTCTCCGGGGGCCAAAGTGAACCCATCTTCTATGAGGTAATGAGCTCACACCTAGAGCCCGTCCTAGGAAAATGTACTCAACTGGAACGGTTCCTGGATGAGAAGAACAATGTTTTGTCCCTTTTTCAAGTTGATTCGACGTGCACTGTGTCCAACTTGAGATCCGGCTTCCACCTGCATTCATGCCCCGTTCTGATGGGCGTAGAGCTTTTGCGCTTTCGGTCGATGGGCCGATTGTCAATATACTTCTTCTGAAGTTGTCTATATACAAGGAGATTGATTGTCATATTTGAATCAACTTGATTCAAAGAATTCCCGGTCGCAACACGACTTGTGGTTGTCACGAAGCCGTCATTATCTTCACGTACAGTTTGTTTGCAGGGATTACAGAGTTACCTCCGAGCGGACAGACGCGTCGCCTTAGAGTCAATCAAGTCGCGTCGGGCCGATGTCAGCCCTCGAACAAACGAAGTATTGTTCCTTGTAGTTATGTTGAGCTTGTAGGACATAGTTCTTTTGTGATATTTTCCGTCCGCGTGGTCAACCCTTTGATCCCAGGTATTCCTTAGTAGCGAGGACTACGTAATTCGACCAAATTCCCAAAATATTCCACGTTTTATGACTTTATAGTTGTGCTGTGCCCGGAGGTCGGTTGGCCCGATATATATTTCGCCGCAATTTCATCGGAATGTCCCAAAAATTTGGCGTGAAATGGAACAACATGAATCGGAGCTATAACCTATCAAAACTCGCGAGTCGAATGAACTTGTTTATAGTATAGAAACGATAAAGTACAAAATCCAACAAAATTCTTATACCCGAAAAAAACGGAAGGAAAAGCCGATTGAATTGATCCATGCTACTGTGGCCTGGAGCGAGGAGCCACGAAGCTTTGCCGAGTCGAGTTAAACGCGATCGAGATCCTAAGGCCCAGCCCGAGTCCCGTGACAAGGCTGCCAAAGCCAAACGCTAAAAATTCCACCAAATCACAAATCCCGACTCACCCTGAGACATTATCTATTTAATTAGATTTGTGACAGTTGTGAACCTTGCATTATTGCATGGTAAGACGAAAATATGTCAACAACCAACCATCAGCCACATCCCCGCTCTCCCTCATCAATCAATCGAATCTATCTACTCATTTATAACACTGTTTGTGCTTCACTATGGCTCCGAATCCTCATTACCACGATCCTCATATTAGTGTCATCGTCCGACGTCTCAAATGTATACACGTCTCTTGAACCGTGGACACGTCTTACACAAACCTTGGCTGTTGCGGAGATCATCCATGCGGCATGTGGTAGAGTCTTCTGTTTCCACCTCCCAAGTCCATCTTGCTAACGCTATATCTCAGGAATCACACGCTCACCTGTTTTTACAACCTTTACTCAAGTTTTCGCTCGCTCAACTCAGGTCTGGGCTGTCAACTATGCGTTCCCTGAAACAACTTCCTCCTCGAGCGCTTACGCAGCCATGCTACTTGCGTGGTCAACTGCGGATGTCATTCGGTATTCATATTTTGCAACCATGTTAGCCGGTTTGGATAACATCGCTGTTTTGAAATGGCTCAGGTAAGCTCCTGTTGACAGTACTAACAGGGTCTACTATGCCCTTACAGGTAGCATAATACTCGTACCCGATGTCGGGTTGATTGATGGCTGGGGAACCAGCTAACTCTGTGCAGATACTCCCTCTTTGTGGTACTCTATCCAGTTGGAATTAGCAGTGAATGGTGGTTCATGTACAATGCTACCAAATCCATAAGCAACATGGCAGTACTAGGGGTGTTCTATTTTTTCCTAGGGCTATATGTTCCTGGTGAGTCTCCACCCATCCACGCTTGACCCAATGACGCGACGAAACAAGAATCTGACAATAGCGGAATAGGTTCGGTGATGATGTATAAGTACATGTTAAGGCAGCGGCGCAAGATCCTCACTCAATAAGCGAATGACTGATGTACATGTCATCTTACATGACTGGGATGATGGGCGTTCATCTCATTTAGGTGTTCCCAGAAGCAGGACATGGGATAAAAATTCTCTACGACTAAGAGTTTAGAACGGAGCAAATGAGACTATGGCAATCAGGTAACACCTGATAATGTAGCTCCTCATAGTTTGCGAAACGATGGGCCGCAAATCCATAGTGCGATTTTATGAGGATAAAGTATTAGAAATCGGCTGGTGACCCTGAATATCATCTGTTGACACTGGAACCTAGTTCATAGCTGCAAAGTAAAGTGTACTTGTTATCACCTCTAACCAAATCAGAGGCTGGCCTAGATATAGCCACGAATTTAATTACGACTTGGGGTATACATAGTTATGAGGTACCACATTCCACGTATAGGCCACATTTTGTGCTAATGCACGAAGCTGGAGAACGTGTGGTCTAGATAATCCTTGAACCTGTACGAGCGTGGAGGACTGTATATGTAGCTCAGGACACTCATTTAGCATATGTGGCCGAATTCAGGGTGAGACAAATCTCGCCTAAGAACCACTCGGATCTATACAGACCCATTTTCCAGCGGATGGGCAGAGAGGCACCAATGCCTGGTTGGATATGTCGGATATCCCGACCCACGGCAGGACTCGTGCCCGTTATGGTGGAACGCTTAAGGTTCGGGGTTCGGGTTCCGCAGATGCCGAGTTGGTACTAGGAGGTACAAGATGACGGAGACAATTGGAATTACAAAATAACATGATTGGTACGGTGTCATGATGTGCGTGCGGTACTCGGACGGGCTGTCTTCGGTGCAATTCAGCTCAGAAAGAGCTGTAACTGACAAAAGCATATATAGCCTTTCGAGCACCCGCCGATCTGAAGCCTTCAACCCATCTACTCAGACCACAAGAAGCCAAAGTAAGAAACTGCGACAATGGCGCGACGCATTGATGTTCATCACCACTATATCCCCCCGGCATACTTGCAAGGTGGGCTTACCTACAATACACTGAGAAGTTTTAAGGAGGCTAACATCATATATTAAGCCCTTGATAAAACTGGCGGGGACCCTTCCGGATGGCCGACGCCAGCTTGGAACATTGACGCCGATCAAAAGATCTGCCAGGACTGCGACATTGAAACAGCAATTGTATCCGTTACTGCTCCAGGTACCAGTATCCTCAAGGGAGTTGAGTCTGCCCGTCTCGCCAGAGAATGCAATGAGTTTGGCAGATCCCTGAGGGACAAATATCCTAAGAACTATGGCTTCTTTGCTGCACTCCCGGATATCCTTGATACCGATGCAGCTTTAGAGGAAATTCGATATGCGTTTGATGAACTCCAAGCCGATGGAGTAACTCTCTTTACCCGCTATGGTGATGGTAACTACTATTTGGGCCTTCCGAAGATCCAGCCTATTTGGGAGGAGCTAGATCGGCGTGCCGCAGTGGTATTTATCCACCCTACTCATCCAGTTGATACCAACCTCGTCAACAAAGTGCTTCCCCAACCTATGATTGACTATCCGCATGAGACAACCCGCACAGCTGTGGATATTATCACTACCGACACTGTTCGCAAGTACGGTCATTGCAAGATCATCTTGTCCCACGCTGGCGGTAATCTCCCGTGGCTGGCTAGGCGTCCAGCGATCATGTTGAAAGACCTCGGACTTTCTGATATGACGCCTGAACATTTTATAGAGAATGCGCGCATGTTCTATTTTGACTTGGCACTGACGGATTCTACGTTTGCTTTGCCTCTGCTACAGCAGTTCGCTCCCCCAGACCATATTCTTTTCGGAAGCGACTTCCCTTATGCCCCTGAGGCAACGGTGGGACGTTTTAGCAGGGAGCTGGATGAAGCTACGCTGTCGAAGCAGGCAGAAGAGGGGATCAGCCGTGGCAATGCCCTCAGACTATTCCCTCGTCTTGCTTCCTAGTGAGGATATGGCAATTTGCTTCGAGAATTGCCAATACGAAGAAAATGAAAAGGGGTGGGGTACGCATTGAATTCAATTATTCGTGACTTCACACTGATATGTATTTATAAGCCCATAATCCTGAGTTCGGAAAAACGATGAAATATCAAAAATGTCATCTCATCGATTAGCTGGGCCTTGTTCAAGCTCTCGGATGTTTTCTGAGGTCGGGCTGGACCATGAGGGGCCGATATTTAAGCCCAGCCATTCTTGCGGTGTCTTTAAGGATAGGCTTGGAGATGGGTGGGTGCTGCGGCAAGCCTATATGGTTTACAAATGAGCACCTTGTATTCTGGAAGATACCGAAACGCTCCATTCCCACTCCTATTGCCTATCTGGTGAGGCTATTTGACGGAAGAGAAAGGTTGATGTAGTAGATAGGTGGGCGGTTCGCTGTCTAGATAGTATTGAAATGAGTGTATCAGAGAAGAAATCCATAACTATGGTGCATTAATTGTGAGGATGTTCGGATTGATCGGCATAACTAATGAAGAATGACGTCACCATCGGACCATCTTCGGTGTGATTTTGGAGCCTGAGGAACTCCTGGGACACGTGCATTTTGGATCTTAAACACTGCGGGGTTGCTACGTTAGTTGCTACGTTAGTTGCCTCTTGGATTTTTAACTAGCTGTCATGGTGATGGCCTGTGATGCGGACCAGCACCTATCATCCTGTGTCTAAGACATAACACTCCTTTCTCACTTCAATCCCTCGTCAATGTCGCCTGAAGCCATTTGAATGTGGGCACAGCCTAGAAAGCCTCTCGCAAGAATGCCGTTATCTGATTTGGCCTGTCACTCGTGTCGCAAGTAAGTATCACTCCACGTTATCGAGACTAGAAAAAAACAGGGCTCATTGCGAGTGCTGATGGCTAGGCGTAAGGTCAAGTGGTACGTGACAACTTGAATCAAGTCATTCCGAGGTGCGTGTTAAGTAACAGTTGTCAGTGACCGGGCATTTCCGCGGTGCATGGTCTGTGAACAAACGGGTCAGACATGCAATTATCCACTTCGCTCGATGAAACCCGGGCCTAAAATTGGTATGGACTGCTCACATTTTGCCAAAAACCGCGGCAAGTTGGAGGTACACTGACAAGATCTAGGGTCTTCGCAAAAGCAGAGAAAACGCCGACGACAGAATGAGACATCCCAGAGTCGACAGATTAACTCGCATTCTAGACCGCCACCTGGTCCTTTCAGTGGCCCACGGAATGGAGATTTCGACCCATTGGACGATGGGCTGGAGAAAGAAGAGTTGCTCCCCGCCGTCCGGGCCGATCTTACTGAGACAACAACTGGGATGGAGATGCGTGGAAGCTCGCAACAGCGAACCTCACAGTTGAATACGCTCGACCTCGCTTTCATTTTACATCCATCACACGAGGTCACCACTCCTGATCAGGCCCAGAGGCAGAGCCCGAGCTTTCAAGATGGTCAACACACAGGTCTTTGCCGTCAAGCCTGCACAGAGCTAGGGGTCTCGCAAGCTGCCATGAATGAAATGTAACGACATCGGCTACCGTTGAGTTGTCGAAGTGGAACATAGACAAGCTAATTGCACCAACAGAATTCGAGTTTTTTTCGACAACATGGTCTCCATCAATATCTTCCATGAACCTTCATTTGCAGAAAAACTTTCGAATATCCCTTCATATTCTCAATTGACTGCCCTCCTGGCGGCCATAGCTGGTTATGCCTCACGCTTTGGTGCCTTAAGAACAAACAACTTAGCTAGCGACGCAGTTCATTCCGTGGCAAAGAGTCACCGACTGCCTGCAGACTTCATCGACCTTGCATTCGAGTACATAAACAAGGCCCTCGCGGAGTGTGGCGATGAGATGCCGCCCCTTTGCGTTATACAAGCTCTCATTGTTGCAACGCATTGCCGACTGACCCAGGGTGTTCGCGGAAAGGCATGGAGATCTATAGGACTGTGTGTCAGTTTGATATACGAAACAAACTTGCATCTTCTTGATTCCAGGAAGGCCGTGAAAATGGAGGATCCTCACCGGTGGCAAGAAGATGAAGAAAAGCGTCGTGCTTTCTGGGCCATCTGGGAAATGGATGTCTTTGCCAGTACCATCCGTCGGACGCCCACTGCCATTGACTGGAACCAAATGGAAATATTGCTTCCAGTTGACAACTCTCACTGGTTCTCAGGCCACTCTACTTCAAGCTGTTTTATGGAGACCAACACAAACGAACGTTGGAAGGCGTTGCAGGAGAGTGGCAACCAGTCACCGAAAGCGTGGTTCCTCGTCATCAATTCTCTCATGAAAGATGCCCAAATCGCCTGTGACGCACAGGGGGCGTCCTCCACGGGTCATCGAGATTATCACCAGCCAAAGTCAAATAACCGGATTTCAATACCCGAATCGGCCGTGGAGACTGGTCAAAAATTGGAGATCTTAGCAAATGCGGTACGATGCTTTAATCTGGCCTTACCAAGTCATCTCAATTATCGCGATCAGTATCTGGCTTTTGGGGCGCCAATACAAGGGCAGTTGGAATCTCAACGACAGCAGCATTGCTCTATCTACAATATCTTCGTCATGACCCAGCTAGCTCGTTTGATGATCTACAGGTATGACGCGTTCAGACCTCAGAGTCGTCGACCTGATATTAGTGGCCGTCATCCTTCCGGGAATTCTGCTGTCCGGGGTACTTTTAGTCCGCTTGATACAGAAAGTGGAGCGCTTCAACAATATTACGAGGCAGCTGATTGCATCTTGGACATCGTGAATCGAAGTTGCGAGGAGCATATTCAACATATTAATCCATTCTTATCTAGCACCATATGGCTTGCCTCGGCGGTGCAGCTGGTTCGTAAACATTTCACTCGGGCGCAATCCAATCGAAACCTAATAAAGTCGCGCTTTGACGTTCTTTACTTGACTTATAAGCGATGCGTTCATTTTTGGGATATTCAAAACGCTCTCCAGAGGAACCTGGAGTTAATTGAGGAGCAACTGGAAGCTAGGCACAAAAGGCCGGAGAATCGAGCTTATCCATCCGCTCAAGAAACCTCAAAACGAGCATCGGAAGACACCGGAATGATCGACCAGTCCTCCTCGGATCATGAGGGCCGCCACATCGAGCGCGACGCGAAGACAGCGCGAACACCCAGACGAGCTTCTCAATACCTACCCGAAACACCCAGTGTCCCGCTCACCACTTCAGCCTCAACTTATGCCGGACTCGACATTACAGCTCAAAACCATGCGCAACTACGCCCCGGGCCAGAGAGAATGGAACTGCTCGACTTCCTGACTCTAGAGACCAGTAGGAACCAGATTTCAGACGAGCCCACGAACTCTAGTTTGGAGAATCCAATATATCAGCTCGATCAGGCCTTCGACTGGCCTACCTTTGACTTTCCTGGTGGAATATATGATTTACTTGCTGGGTGATCTACATACTAATGCACTCTTATGCTTGTTTGCTGGGTTGATCCTCGCACCATTTTTACACAATCGTTCACCTCATCCTTCCCGGGCAAAGCACTTAGTAAGCGAAGGCAAAATATTCACACATACTTCGTTCCAATGTTCCTTATACCGATATCTCTAGTTCATATTACGATTGTGAGGATCAGAGCCTCGGTGATGGGATCGCATAACATACGGTTACCTATATTGGTACAAGTGAGAGCTCCGCTCACACACTCTTTCCCTCCTTTTCGCTGCAGCTTTGATATTCTTCGTTGAATGCACTCTTTTCTTAAAGACTTGACAAATGTAGCGAAGATATTCCAACACCAAGAGTACAGTAAGAAGCTGTCCACTTAGAGATCAGCATATTCTTAACCATCAAAGTTCTCTGCTTGCTACCCTCTTTTCCGCTCTAACCGAACAGACCGAAGATAGGCCGTGCGAGTCGGGATAATTTCGCGCGAGCCCGTGACCCCAGTTCCACGACTGCCAATCTGTTATGAAGTATAGATCACATCAGCCGCGCTAGGCTGTCTTTCTGGTTTACTTGAGGGAAATATACCGCTTGAATACTTTTTATCTGGATCTTCGTGCCGCTCAGTAGTGTTTCCCAAGCTTTGCTCAAGAAGACTCAAAAGTCACGAAAATGGCAGGCTCAAGCAATGAATCTCGAATCAACCTGATTCGTATTGCGCATGTCTACTACACTCATAAAGAGATTGATAAAGCCCATGAATTCCTACTGGACTTCGGATTCCAGGAAGTCAAGCGTGTGGACAAGGATATCTATTACCGTGGAACCAGTTCGGAGTCATTCGTGTACTGTGCGCGACATGGCAAAGAAGATGGATTTGGAGGTGCAGCCTTCGTCGTGGAATCCGAATCTGATCTGCTTGCTGCGACAAAGCTACCTGGGGCGACTGGGATCTATGACTTAGGAAATGCGCCAGGTGGTGGTCGCTGCGTCACTTTCTATGACCCCGTCGATAAGTTTCCATTTCACCTTGTTCATGGACAAAAGTCCCATGCCGATGAGAAGGTGCTTCCACAGCTTAATTTCAACTTTGTAAGTGGTTTTTGTTGTACAGTTCGCTCCTCGAAAATCTTCTGATCTTCCCCAAGCCAACAGACAAACACCGGCCAGGGAACCAAACACAACGATTCGAAAAGGGTATGTGGCACAATCTAGTACTCTTTAGGAACTCTTATTGAATCCTTGAAAACCCAAAGGCCCTGCACCAGTGCACAAACTAGGTCATTTCGGAATGTGTGTCACCGATTTTGCGAAGGCGTTTGAGTTCTATACCACGCGATTCAACTTCAAGCCGAGCGATGTTAGTTTGTCCCTAGTTTGACTCCTTGTGAGGCCCGTCGTATGCTAACCAAGGGTCTTTTACAACATGATATAGCTAATTCACGACTCTACCGGAAGAGATATAACTACCTTTCTCCATTTGGACCGCGGCTCTGAGTTGGTCGATCACCATTGCTTCTTCTTTTTCGAAGGACCAAAGTCTCACATTCACCACTCGTCATTTGAGACGCATGATTTTGACACTCAAGTGCTCGGTCACGACTGGCTCCGCAGTAAGGGGTATGAGAACTGCTGGGGCGTTGGACGTCATATCATGGGAAGTCAGATCTTCGATTATTGGTATGTCTCATTATATCATTTCTATCAAAGGAAAATCCCAACTCACATTTGATCCAAGGTTTGACACCTCTCGTTTTATTATCGAGCATTACGTGGATGGAGATTTGGTAAATGACCAACAACCGACAAATCGAACCCCTGCCAAACCGGATAATTTGCACGTTTGGGGTAGGTCTCTGAGCATAATACAGTTTATCCATTGTTCTAATTTATCACTAGGCCCAGACCTTCCTCCCACCTTTCTACAGTAACATTGATCGCAATACCCTTTCATCGCCCATTTCCCAACATCATCAGAGAGAATATTGGTACGTGGCATACATCTCGCTGCTGCTACAGTAGGCGAGTATCAATCTCTTCATTCATAGCCAGAATATATGTTCGGTAGACAGCTACTCTTAGGATTTGTGTGGGCGTTTTTCAATATCGAAAGAGAAATTCCAAACAAAAATGGCACTAATTTGTTAGTGTATTCTTGCATTTTGTGATGGGTCTTTGCAACTGGACCATCGAAAGGCACGCTGCACCTTAGGCGATAGGCCAATATTGGACAAGGATTGGGTTAGAAGCGTAGAAAGTGAGTTTGATTTTCTTCAGGTCCACCCGGACTGACAGGAGATGACAACATATTAACTACAGAGCGAATCTGTCCGAAAACACGGGCAACGCCTGGATGCATTGCGGTGGTTGAACCCCCCGAAAATCCCGATGTTATCATGTCGAGTCAGTTTACCGCGATAGTCACTTGTTTCGTGCAGAAGGAGTGGTCAAATACCACTAAGACCCTTTTGGGATGTTGTTCATCGTCAACCCAATCTCCCCAACTATTCGTATGGTATTAACCTAGCGAAACTAGATAGTTAATACAAACTCACAAGAGGGTTCAACCAATATCATCTTCAATCAAAATCAACTGATTGTATTAGACATCTTCAATACTAGCCAGTACATCAATTCCTCATTCTGACAACTTCTTTTAGCCGCTTAATGTTACTGGGGCTGATGTCATTCGTATTTTATTCCCTCTGTCAGTCCGAGCTTACTTTTCATTCGACCGAAAAAATTACACCGAAATTAGTCCGCCCGAAAACGTATTTGCACCCATCTCAAGTTGACGCCGCCAAAACCCACACCTCAGTCGTTATTCTTCACGTTTTGGATTCGAACTAATTGTACAATATGAAGGCATACAGCCACTAGCAGAAAACGAATGGAATTTGAAAATTAATTCCAATCAAAGGTTTTTCGTGTAGTATGCACTTCGTCACTCTACTATAGCAGTGATACCGAGTTGGGCAGGGGACTGGTTCTTGTAACGCTGTTCTCCAGATTCACGTTGCATATAGGGGATCTTCCGGTGTAAATAGACCGAAATTGTTCCAAAGTCTTGCAATGGGGCCATCGGCATCGATTTGTCCCGCTCGTGGTCTAACCCGAGAAATTCAAAAGCCCGCCATGGCTCGTGCCCGACTATCACACTCCGTGAGGAATAACTCTCGACCTTTGTCCAGCTTTGCAGATAATATCTGAATCAGAAATTTCTCAAGATGGCTCCTAGTTGGACAAACCTCGTGAGGTTCATTAGCGAAGAAGATGGCCAAATTCACCTTGGTGAAGTCGATTCAAGCAAGTATCCAGATGTTGGTATCGCCATGCTTAATGGCGAGAGGGTTGCGGTCAAGTTGGTCAAAGGGTCGATCTTCGATGGCACGGTAACAAACACCGTTGTGCACATTGCCAGAGTATGTACTCCGCATCCTAACACCCGGAATCCAACATTCGAACTAAGTGGTCCGTTTGAAACAGCTTCTGGCTCCCATTGGAATCGAAGAAGTGCCCATTATCCGGTGCATGGGACTAAACTATCGCGACCATGCCAAGGAGGCAAACATGCCCATTCCGGATGTGCCGGTCCTTTTTGTCAAGCCGCGCACGGCACTCAACGGACCCTATCCCGCAAAGATAAACGTGCCAAAAATTGCACAGGATGGCTCTAGTGACTATGAGGCAGAGCTATCGATCATTCTGTCCAAGTCCGGTCGAGATATTCCAGAGTCAGAGGCGATGGAGTATGTGTTGGGATATACCTGCAGCAATGATGTTAGTGCTCGAACGCAGCAGTTCAAGAACAGCCAATGGTCCTTCTCAAAAGGTGAGACAAGTCACCCCTTTGTCTCCGGAGTCTATTAGTTTGTCGTCAACCCAGAGTTGACCCTTTATTCGATGGAAAGGTCTGGACGGATCTTGCCCACTAGGCCCAGTTCTTGCGTCTCCATCTACCATCGGCGATCCGCACAATCTGCATATTAAAGCTATCCACAACGGCAATGTGGTGCAAGACACAAACACTACGTTAGTCTACCCTGATAGCCGATGCTGCCACTGTGTCAACTCTCCAAGGTGTCTGACATGATCGATTTAGGGAAATGATCTTCGATATTGCAAAGACCATTGCATATCTCTCTCAGGGAACAACTCTAGAAAAAGGCACCGTTATCATGACTGGAACGGGTCCTGGAATTGGCGCTATGCGTAAACCTAAGGTCGTCCTGAAAGACGGCGATGATATTAGAGTGGAAGTTGAGAAAATCGGCACGTTGATCAACAAGGTCTACTATGAGTAAGAGCAACGTCTATAGAGAGAAATTGTTTAATGATTCTCCAACCAAATATGAGCTTTTGCCATTTTCTTTCCGGACACACAATAGTAATAGTAATAGCAATCATCATATATGCCTAGATGCCCAAATTCCATGGAGTTGTCTGTTAATGAAAACATTCCCATTTCACATAATTTTACACGAGATACCTTTCAGTTTGTTCAATATTTCTCTCGCAGACTGGCGTTATGCAAAGTTGCCCGATAAAAATATGATGTGGAACAATGTTCAGATTATCACTAGGGGAGGTTGTAAAATCATTAGTGATACAGACTAAATCATTTGGATCAAAGCGTCATGAGGATCTCAACCAGATGCCAGCGCAAACTTTTGTACACAACGTACTATACTCATTTTAAACATTAGGACACAGATTAATAAACCTCTATCAGTATATTCATTTTATATAAAATTTCCAAAGAGGGGCCGAAGAGTGGCCCAATATAACAAAGCTGTGGCTTCCTATACCCATCATATTTAAAGCGGACCGGGACCGGTAGAAACAGAAGATTGTGAGTATTATACATCGAGGCATCCTAGAATTGTTCTCATAACTGTCAGAAGCTTTAACTTGCATGCTCCGTCATCCTGGAGAACTTCCGGTGCTCTCCATGCAACGAATCGATCCGGCCGTACCAACACGGCTCCTGATTCCTCTACGCCTCGCAAATTTTCCCACTCAAAGTAAACGTCCTCCCAATCTTGTCTAAATCCAATATAATGCACCTGTATCGGCACCTTAAGGATTTCGGCAACCGTTTCAGCTGCCTTTTTCCATCGCCCACCTCCAATTCCACTCAGGAGGGCAAAAGAGCCATGGCCAGCAATGTCGATTGTCGAAATAGCCTTCCCCGGGATTGCTTTGTTGAGCCAGGAATGAGGCAATCGGGATCCGGGATAAGTGCTTGGTTCATAAAACAAGATACTATCTTCGGCCATCCGTCTGAGTGGCGCATAGGGAGTGGGCTCATCAGCCGTGTAGACTCCTTGGCTGTCATAATGTTGATTCATTTCAACTCCCAGGCCATGGAATTCATGAGCGGTATGCTTGATTGCCGCATGCAAGGCACGGCGGCGGTTTGACCCTTCTAATGTCGCGCTCTTTAACTCCTCCAAAATCTCTTTCCGCGCCGACAAGTCCGTGGGTAACATGCCTAGTGCCTTCCACACAAGGAAGTGGTCTCGGTATGCCTGGTTTGCTCTGATGATAATCGAATGACCCACAGGCTGCCTCTCAATGGAATAGGTGGATAGAAGCGACGGTGCCGCAAGCCCCTTGTGAACATATGCGACCTTCCAGGCGAGGTTGAAAGCATCTTGAATACAGGTGTTTGATCCAAGCCCGTTTAATGGAGGGTGACGGTGCACGGCGTCCCCGAGGCAGAAGCTGGGAATAAAAGGTTGTTGTCAGAGATGTCACGCTAATCAGACCGACCGAACCAACACTCACATGTTACCCTCTGAATATTTCTCTGCGACGATCTCATTGATATACCACGTGGAGATATCCAAGATCTCTGCAGGTGTATCATCGCCAATAAACTCCTGGACTCTCTTTTGAAACTCATTTCTAGACGGCTTATCTTGAGAACGGTTATAGTTGCGGCCTGGGAACAGAATAAACATCCACTCATTCCATGGCTTCACCATGCGAACGATTCCCATCCAGCCAAAGTCCGGGTGCTCTCGGTCTGGTTGCATTACCCAATGAAGGTTGCCAGTTCGGTTTTTCACCAAATGGGAAAGGTCGGCTTTGACCAGCACGTTGATTGCAGTACCTTGACCAGGCTGAACCACTAGAGGCAAGCTAAGCTGCTTCACTACCTCGCTCCTGGCACCGTCAGCCCCGAAAAGATATCTTGTACGGATCTGGTATTCCTTGTTTGTCATCTTATCGTGAATAGTGGCAGTGATCAGGTTGGTCTTCGAGTCGATAATGAAAGAAACAAGCGTGGAATCAAAGCGACACTTGAAGCCTTTCAAAGCTGCATGCCGAACCAGAACCGGTTCCAAGATCGTCTGCGGCAGATCAAATGGTTTACACGGGCTAGCCAGTTCATAGTCGCCCTATGTCCTGCGTCAATCACTCTTCTCGAAATTAAGCAAGGAACAACTGATCTAACCTTTCTTCTAGGATCATTCCCCCAGGAATGAATACGTGCGTACTCTTCGCCTGCCATACTATGACACCATCGTGTGTGTCGCATATGATCTGCCCCAGTGGATCCCAACTTTTCTAGTTCGTCATATAGATCAATATCCCGTAAACACTCTGAATGAACAAGTCAATGTGTCAACAACGAATCAGTATTTTCTACCTTGGCAGGTTACTGACCTAGTGCCGCCATATTAGTAATATGTGCGCGAGGAGTATTCGCTGTTCCTGGAGCGCTGCTGATCATGATGCCCTTCAGCCCTTCATAGGTTTAGTACTAAGTAGCGACAGGCATACCGATACGGATACATACCATGAGAACCGAGAAAACAAGCCAAGGCTGCCCCGGCAGGACCTGCCCCGACAATGAGGAATTCCGTATCGACTGCATGATCGGAGGCTGGAACCGAACAGCTTCGCACGGCGGTGGTTGCCATTCCGTCTATTCCCGGCGCCTCTTCTGCTCCGTCGGATCGGGTCGCGTCGTTATCGTTCGCAATATACGGCGACATTTCCTCTCAAGATATATGTGTCAGTAGGGACGTGTTTCTAAATGAGTACCGTGTCTGTACGACGAATGTGTGTAACTTTCTGAGGGAAAGGTGGAATAAATAACAGTATCCGTTGTAAGTGCGCAATTCGTTGTGGAGCTGTCTAGTTCGGCTGCTAAGGAGCCCAAGGGTCGGTCAGTCAGGCGGTTGGGTATAGCTAAATTGTGCCGAAGATAGACCTGCTATCCCGGTATCTAGTATCTACTTTATTATGCTCTCGGGAAAACCTCGTGCAGATTTCGCAAAACCACTCTCCCGCTATTGAGATTTCCAGCACCGCCATAGAAACATGAATGAGATGATAGGAAGCCTTGTGTCGACGACAGGTAGGTCAGAACGTCTCACCCGTCATTCGATATCTTCCCTTGTTAACCACAAAAGATTCACGGCGCTCATATCCTCACACAACCAGGCTCGCAGGACTTCCCGTGTGAATGAGAGACAAAATCCCATTACATCGTACCCAGGTACCGACCGATAGACTTCAAAAATCATGGTCAGCCTCTCAGACCCCGAACTCGTTCCGAAGGTGCGAGAATTTCCCCGAACTTTCGGTCGATCACCCTCGAATTACCGTGAACACGAACATCAATCACAAGACCCCGCATCCCCTCTATTCATGAGACTGTGAATCATGTACTGTGAATTATTTGACCTATAGAATGTAACGTTTAGTCTCTGCATAAATATATTTGTAGTCATGTTCGTAGTTTGCAAACCTCTACGAATATTCGTCCGAATATCCACTCCCTGGTCGAGGCTGGAACGTTTTTCCATACCGGGACGAAGACCTGAGGCTTAACTCTTTCATTTACGATCCATCATCCAATTCAAATTAATCCATATGTCCATAATGGGATCAAGTTACGTATTAGTGACTACGAATATAGCTATTCGCTATTCGTGCCGACGTCCAATAATTTTGGGGTCGGGCAAACATAGCTCTGCCTTTTCAGGTCGGTTGGAGAATAAAATATCGTAGAGAGAACTCCCACTGCCTCAGTTGCCATATCTAGGAACGTTAAGTGACCAGTAAGTTGGACAGAGCGAGAGTACCAAATGACTCCGGCGGCGTTCTGATAGTTGTCCACCAGTTACGAGGTACGGCTTCGAAAAGTGAATTTTTTTATATCGCCCATGACTTGATGTCTATCATCGTCGCCAAATAGGGTCGAACGGGGCACACTTTCATGTACTTAGTCAATTATAGAGGTATTCCAATGTTTGTAAAAAGTCCATTCGATTGTACACTACTCAAGACTTGGATTTTTTAATAGGGAAACGTTTTTGGGAATAACTAAATTGCTGCACAGGGGACAATGTCAATTTGGCGCGCCCTGGGGGGTGGGACTTGGATAGACTAAGCTATAATGTGTAAAACAAACAAAGGTACCATTTGATTGATGATTGATAGATGATTCTAGATATCAAATCGAGAGAAAACATGTCTTTGAGCCACATCGAATTCTTTCAAAATGGTTGCCCGTCGGGCTTCCGATCTGGGCTTGATCACACAAGGGAAGTCCTTCACGCAAACCAGGAAACCTTCGCTGTAGCCAGTCTCGGGACTGAAGTCGTACTCAATTGGCTGGTTGTTTTCATTCAAGCTGGGTTGGATGGAGAATCCCCAGATCAGTTTGGCAATCGCCAAGAAAAGATTCCTTTCAGCGAGGTGGATACCAGGGCAGATTCGACGGCCGGAGCCATAGCCGTAGTGATCACGGCTTTCATAGTCTGCTGCAGCGGCTAGCTCGGGAGCAAGCGTAGTCTGGCCCTTGTAGTGGTCGGGATCGAATGTGTCCGGGTTCGGGAAGCGCTTTTCATCGTGGTGCATGCCCCACGAGTTGATAATGACAGTGGTGTCTTTGGGGATGTAGTAACCATCAATCCAAGTATCTATACATATCTGTCAACTTCAAAACTCTATGCCATAGTACAAAAGCAATTTACCTTCCGCAGCAGCGTGGGGGAAAGCGAGAGGTACAACAGGCCGCCATCTTTGGGCTTCTTTCACGATGGTCGCCACGTACGGCAGCTGTGTATAGTCTGACCAAACAGGGGTTCGATCTTCACCGATAACACTATCAATCTCCTGCTGAGCCTTCTGAAGGACATAGCCCCATTTGGTCATAGCATGGATAAACGCGAGGATGAGGGAGCTCGTGGTATCTGATCCACCTTCCATCAGTACGCCACCGAGGAAATAGAGTTGATGGCGATTAAGGTTTATTTTCTCCTCTTGATCTAGCAGAGTATCCATGAGCGATCCTTTACTTCCCTTCAGCTTGCGGCGCTCTTGAACACGGTCAAGCACACTCGCATAAAGCTCATTCATCTCGTCCCCCACATTTTGTGATCTCGAGACCCAGTTACCAAATAGTCTCTGGGGGATGTAGTGGAGAAAAGGATAAATATCAACCGGAGGAGTAGCCCCAGGCTCCATTAACCGAGACCAGTTCTCCTATAGCACAAGAAATTCATCAGCTTGTATTCCTTCTATGTCAACCCAATCGTCCCTCACCATCATGTCATACAGACGAGTCATGTGTGGGGTATCCACTGAGGACGTCCGCAAACCAAATACTGCAATAGGCGTTGGTGACAATTAGAAAAGTTTCAAGTCGTGGAAAAGCTTTTGTCCAGTGAGCCTACCTAAACTCATAATGATGCTGTTACTGAAACGTTTAGGGTGACGCATGTGTTGATCGGGACGCACACACATATCCCGGAGCATCTGCACTGCTTCAGCGTTCTGAACCTCAATGTGATGCTTCTCGACCATAGACTCCATGAAATATTGGTGAATTAGTTTCCGATAAGATCGCCACTGTTGTCCGTATTGCATGACCAGGAGATGGTCTCCAGACGTCATGAGATCGTGAGAGACATATGAGGCTGGCCTATTGCTGAATTTGGCGCTCCTCTTGTCTACAAGTTCTTTGATGATACGGCGATCAGTGATGATGACTGCTGTTGCGGTGCCCAATTTCAAAGAGTAAAGACCACCATATTGCTTGGCCCATTCGGTGAATCTAGATCCAAATGTTATCACAGGCATGGAGCTGGATAAGCCGCGGTTAATTACTTCAAGTAAGATCCCTTCCTTGGTATTTGATGAAGATTGCCAAGAACAGGCAATGTTGGAGGCCCTGTAAAAGGAAATCTCAGTTTTATGTCGCTCAATTCAATACACCCCTTAGTGCTTGTCGTACCTGGAGGGAGGCTTTTGGCTCTTCTCCCAGTTGTCAGCACCAGGTATAACAAACCAAAAAGGGCGAACGGGACGAGAATGACACCGAGCATAGTTGCGAGTTCGAAAAGGATTTGTGGAATCAAACCCTCATCCTCCAAGCCTCAGGGAAGCCGATGATTGCTAATTATACCGGGGTAGTTCGACTCCAGGTTTCCCCGTAGAAAGAGGTGGAGATGCGGGGCCTGTGGGCAAAGGTTTAAGCATTCCGGGCCAATTTCGCGCAAACTTCGTGCAAACTTCGTGGTCGCACGCTGTTATGCTTAGGGAGGGGCTCGTGGTATGATGACCAGTTCTCGCCCCCACCACCCATCATTTAGGAATGTCCGCTGGACTTATTTCCCTGTCATTTAAGAAGTCTGACAATGTCTGGGCGAAAGTTTTGCCCAAATGGAGGCTTCTTACACGATCATCAGAATACTACAAGGTTTCACCCAGGTTATCCTACCGAAGGGGAACCGAATGATCTAGTTGAAACTGAGAGGCAGCGGCTGACACTGGTTCTGTTAAGCGCTGAAGGCTACAGAGTGGAGATTCACAAAAGAAGGGATGAGTGTGTATAGTAAGATCAAAATAATGTCGAAAACAGATTCCCCTTTGTACACTCACGAATTGTTTCCTGGGCCATACTTTGTAATGCCGTACTTTACATTTAGCTTAGCGGTAGATCTTCCTTGAGTAATAGGGACCGTTTTTACTGGTGGTATACGTCTGGACTTACGACTTCGTTGCCCTCCTGCAAAGTGGTCAACCTTCAACCCGGTTTCCCTGATCACAATCTTTGACAATCGCGAAGAGGACCTCCACAATAAGGCGCCGAGACTCCTCGTTTCAAAATTCTCCTTTATTCTTGATATTATACAGAGTCACTAACCGAATTTCCTTTAGTAGACCGAGGGTATAAGAGGCCCGATTGCCTCATGCTTCTCTAGTAGCGAGCGGAGGGTAACAACCGCGGTTAATAATCGAGAAAAGCAAAAAGGTATTGTTTTTACGTATTATTATCCGAGAAGCCGACAAGCAACGTATAAAATCCCCACGTTACAGGGGACAATCGAAGTTATTGCCTCTATACATTTTTCGCTGGGGAGGGCACCACCCTCTAAGCCCGATTAGGAAATCCCGCGCCCTGACTGCCTGATGACCGACCGCGGCTATAAGAGCTCTTCCCTGTAGTATTCCTGACCCTTCTCCTACTAAATCGTAGTATCTGTACAGCTGCTTTAATATTCAAAGATAAATGAAGACCAGAAGTCGCAATCGTTCATAGTTTCCATGTGAAAATTACACGCCCGACCCCAGTACATTGAGACAAAAGGAAACTGCAAAACGACATACAAATGCGGTAGTTCTACTTGTCCAACATTATTGAGCAAGAAACATAAATCTATCCTTCCAATCACTCTGATATTCATCTCTTACTTATCGCCGTCATACGGGCTCTTAACACCTGGAATACAAGGGTATCCCTTGCTAGAATCGGCAAAGCTCCAATCCCTTGCTTTGATAATATTTTCCGAAATATCGTCCATGTCAGTGTTCTTGTCAAGGTTGGAGTTAGGATCAAAGTTTCCGCATTCGTTGAAATAAGCATTGTAAAGGCCAGGTGCAGTGAGTTCGTTATCGAAAAGGCTAGTCGGGTCATTCGCCTTGAGATTCTTCTCGATCTTGAAGGCATCCTTCTTGTTACCATTCTTGAGGAAGCCCTCGTGTATGCTGCATAGAGAATTAGATGCTGAAATTACATTTTTGTAGGCGATGTAACTTACCTCTGGGCAAGAACTTCTAAGGTAAGACCTCCAACGACAGATTGATCACCAGTCATCTCATTATGAGTCATGCCATCGATTACACTCAGCTGCTGTTTGGGCTGTTCGAAGCGATATGTTTGACCACCAGCGCCACTCTTATTGGCATCTACAAAGAAAAAGCACAGTTTCGGGTATTTTTTGACCGTCACTGCGCTTCCCTTCCACTCATCTGATCCGTAAGGCTGTTTATGAAGTTAGAACAATGAAAATTGGAAAATAGCGATAGATAGACGTACGTGGAACATCTCACCAAAAAGTTCATCCTTCTTGGCTCTGCTACTATCATCACAAGCGTAAGGGCGGACACTGATGCTGTTAGCGACCGAGTATGGAAGGATACTCTTGGAATTCTTACATGAGCGTTGGGCGCGAGTCATCATTCTGATGAAGAGCGATTGGAATCAACTGGGCATACATTGCCTTTTGGGCATTAGCGATGATATTCTGCGGCCTCACGGCGCGACTGAATCTGCCGTCCTCTAACATGTTCGATAGTGTAGCAAAGTTAGAGACACCGTCAGCCGTAACACCATCAGCCGACAGGGCCCCGTCAAATAGCTTGGTACTGTAGCCATTAATATTCTTGGCCCATTGGTCCGAAATGGAGTCCATAAGCTTCATGAATGAACTAGCTTCTGTGATCATGCTTGTGGCTCCCTCCCTGTTGAGAAGTCAGCTTTTTAGTTCTTCCTTTCTTTAACAAATTTGTCACATACACCAAATTCTTGCCAGCGCTAATGTACTCTCCAGCGACGGTGGTGACCTCGAAGGCCATTTGATTGCCCATTTGCTTGTAGTTGTTCAGCTGGTTTTTATAATACTGAGCGACCTGTGATGACACATAATCCGGGGCCACATCGCCTTTACCCGTCGCCTTGGTCAAAGGACCGACGGCCGATTCGACACCTTTGCTGACAATCTGGCCTACACCGAGTGATAGAAAGTCTGCAACAAAGCCAATAATCTCAGCCGCTGACATCTTGGGCTTGTTGTATTTGACAAATCTTTCTGCAATGTCATCCACAGAGGTCAAATCTTTACCCTCGGCGAGGCTCAGTTGCTCTGCGAATGGGGAATAAAACTGTAGCAGGTGAGTATTGAACATCTTATACCAAAAGAAACAGATAGCGCTTCTTACATTAGCAACTGAAGAGAGAGAATTGAGAATCAGGTATCCAGCCGGCCCAATGGCTTGGTTCTATGCATTGTCAGTTGTGTAACCATTTTTGTCATCTTCAATAAGCAAGCTGAAGAGAGAACTTACACATTTCCCTTCATAAGTGAGACAGTCATTCTTCCCATCATTGGAATCTAGAGCACCGATGGCACAGTCAAAGTTTGCAGCAGTGTCACCCAAGGCCTCTGCAACGTAGTGCGATAAAGACTTGTACTTTTTGTGTGTATTTTGTTGGTACTCATAGACGAGCGCATCCCAGAGCTTATCGGCACCAGAGGTGGTCCACTGAGTCTTTGGGTCCGAGTCTGTTGGGTTGGCGTACATGGGGTCCTTGCAGGACTGCTTTTTGGCATCTGAGAAGTATTGTTAGATAAAACAGAGAGGACATAAACATATAAAGAAGGAAGACGGACGTAGCAAAGCCTGCGCGATATTGGGTGGTTTCGGGATGGCACTGGCAGTCGTCGTGGCCGCCAAAAGCACGGCAGCACCGACATGAGAAAGGCGCATGATGAGTATGAGTCGCTGTAAAGAACAAAAAAGAGAGGAGTGATGTGATCTAATGATACCTGGGAAAGAAGGCTTGCCCTATTTATCTTACCTTACATTAGAATGAATGGTATCTGAAGCTCGCCTCTCTGCTCATCTTCCCCCGTTACATAGTGTCTATGGCCCCCAGCTGGCAGGCATGATCCAAATATAGGTATTTGTCGTAATTATCCAGGGGCAGGGGATGGAAATGGGGGTTGAATTATGGAACTATTCAGATGAACTATGGAGATCAGGGTCCAAATGAGGGACTCGTCTAAGTCCAGGCTACTACTAAGGCTAATGGAAGATATCAGTGGGTCGCAAAAACGCAGGAATGTTGGAAATCAGAATAGATTCCTAAATCAAGCAAAGCGTAAGCATTATGGCCCCGTCTAAGCCTTCGAAGCCCCCAGGGACCTTCAGGGACCGGCCCCCAATCTATCAAACCTTGACCCCCGAGGAATATCAAACAGCCCCCAAGGCCGAAACGGAAGAAGGCTAACAGCCCCCAATACTACCCGGTGATAGCTTGCTCTGGGCTAAATGTGGAAATCGGGTGGTTGTGCTCGGAATACACGTCTTGAGAGATTCTATCGCCCCTCTGGTCATAAAAGTCTAGGGCAATCTCCTCTCAGCATGCAGAATACAGTCACCTCGAGAATATCCTTCCTGCAATCTTGTCTCTCTGGTTTATTCCCCATGATGAAAAGTCTATCCGTTTTTCTCCTTCAGAGTTCGCTCTACTTGGGACTTGCTCAAGCGGCAGCCTGCCCTCGTGGTTCTACCCCGGACTCAACTCCGAGCTACGTGATGAACGTTGAGATTGCCGGGTGGGATCAAACCTGCGATCTACCAAACCCGGAAAATCACGGGGAGACGCGTATGGACGCAGTCAAACGCGCCTGGGAAGGTGCCATGGAAATGGCCGCCGACTCATGGGACCGCTGGGAAATAACCAAACCAAAACTTGAGGCCATTGAAAAGAGTGGCGCAAACCCTGACTATGTCGATCAACTGGATGTGGACATTGATGATCCCGGGTATGACCCCTTTTTCTTTTCTTTTCCCTGAGCTATGTCTAGAATAGCATCTGACTCTACCTAGATACACACAATTCTTTGCTCTGCGCTGGGACAAAGACTTCCGGGCTGGTATTGAGAAGGTTCTGCACAACATGAACACTCTTATCAACTCCATGCCATCGCAGAATGGGCGTCCAAAAACTGAGTTGTATATCTCGTGCAATGACGGCGGGGTCGCCCAGTATAAGTGCGATAACGATATTGCCTTTGAAGTTGATTTGCCCAATGACGCGGGGTCCTTCATCAACTTCTGTCCTCCTTTCTGGAAGCAAGCTCGTTTCGATGTATGGAAGAAGGCTGCGGCAAGCGAGAAACACTCAAACAATGGCGGCCCAGCCGATGTCAGCGAGAACGACTGGGAGACTGTGCGCAACCTCGAACGATACGGATTTGGGACCGATGGTATGTTCAGACACAAGGGACAACATTCCATCTGTCAATGACCCAGATACTGACAATTCTCTAGCAAGCAGCATATTCCACGAGCTTACTCATGCGAGTTGGATTGGAAACACCAACCCTCTTGTCGATGGAAAACCTACACCTGCGGACAACACTGGATTTTACATCAACTCCCAAATGTCTAAAAAGTGTCTCTCAAACAGTGCCAACTGCAAGGATCTTGTCAAAAACGCCGAGTCGTTTACATGGTATGCCCAGTACGGATATTTCCGCCGTCGCGTTACTCCTCGGGCTGAAATCTGGCCACTTTGGGGACCTCAGCAAAAGCCTATTGTCCTGCCTGTATAGAGTGTTATTGAAACGTTCGACTTTCATTCATCGTTTTATATTGCATAAACTTCCAGTTATCGTTTCTTGATAAACGTGTATTCAATAAGTGTTACAAATCGCAGGATCTCATGCTTCAGGTTATTTGTATAGCGTTTCAATCCATACAATACTTCCGAAAGTTAGGATATGTTTCCAATTGTACCTACCTAAGATATCGATTGGACTCTGCTGGAGTTACGACAAGATACACAGATATAGAGACAGGGGTGAAATTGATATTCTGAGGGTTTCTCTATTGCCATTCTATTGTCCAGCAGGTCTATCCTCGAGGTTTCCTGCCCATGAAAGAGAAACATTTGCTCCAAAACTCCGTACGCAAACATATTATCTCGGCCATCGCTTATTTTAGTTAAATTAATCGAGTCGAAACACGCGGGAATATCGATCACGGGTCAGGCTGGGCGCATGGCAAGGCTTTGTGCCCCCAATGGACCCCACCAGGTTGCGGCACTCGATAACCTCCTTGCCCAAACCGCCATACTCCTCGGAGGCGAAAAACAATAGGCTAAGGGCAATTCGCTTAACTAAGGCTATTCGTATGTGATACAAAGAGTATTACTGCGGCTTTTGACGTAGATGGATCGACAAGATTTGAGAGCACTGCACTTGAGAGGAATATTTGACAAAAAAGGGAGTCTTCTAATTGGTACAAATTGCACATGAGCAGGCAGCACATGAACAACCACTCAGCTTTTGTCATCCTTGCTCGTGCTGTCGCACACATAGTTGAAAGAACGCATGCCCGTGATCGCCTTTCCTTGGGAGTTAGATGCCGTGGAGCATCCGCCCTTCTGATCCGCTGCCGACATAAAACCCAGCCAATCCTTGTCATTGCAGCCCAGGCCGCTGAAAAAGTGAAGTTGACAGTTGGAGGCAATGTTGCCATCGAGTGTGAAACTGGCGCCGTTGTCTTCGAGGTCATCCTTGCCGCCCTTATCGTTGTTCTTGGAGCCAGAGCACAGCTTGGAGCCATCTCCAGTGAAGTCTTTTCGAGGAACGTAGATTGCAGCATCGGCGCCGGAACCGTGACATCCTCCCGTGGCGTAGAAGGTGATACCCTTGAGCGTGTCTTCTTGCCAAGCGGGGGGCTTGAAGTTGATTTTGGGATTGTTGCCTTTCGGGTATGCTTTCATGCTTTTCTGGATTAACTGACTCCATTTGCTTTGAGGCAATGGGTTTGTACATGGCTTTTTGGCACCTGGATATACGACGGCCAGGGCCACGGTGGCCATGAGCAGGAAGGAGTAGAGACGGAAAAGCATTGTGGTCAGGGTATGGACAGAGCGGAGGATTGTTTTGGTTTAGAAGGATGGAAGGAAAACGATAGAGGGCTAAAACATGGGACGACTTGATAGATGCGATCTTTCCCTATTTACGTGTCCCATCGCCTTTGTATATGGAACAAGCAACAGCGAAATGCAGGTCTTCCGTGTGGGGGCGATATGCGTTGCTCAATTTAGTAAACCCATCGAAACTCTGGATTGGGGCCATGGGGCCAGGGATCTTTGGGTAGGTTTGAGCTAAGATTAGTTAAGAGATTTTAGACCCCAGTTAAGACTTTCCCGCTCTCCCTTTGCCAGGTTCCTCGACCACTCCATCTCATCATGGATCTATCTTTGCTTCCCATCGAGTGTTGGACCCTGATAGCGGACAATCTATCCTCCCACGATCTAAGCCTCCTAGCACGCGTATCCACATCATTTCATGCTGTCTTCAGCCCCCATTTATACCGTTACATCGACCTCAGCATACACAGATTGCCCCCCATTGTTACAGAGGAAGATGGGGGGCAAATCTCATTATGCTCGCCCAGCCTCAGCGGTCGCCAGCGCGCTTTCACTAGTTTGATTTTGTACCACAAGCCTAAGTATGCCTCGTGGGTCCGATCCCTCACCCGGACTATGTGCCTGCAGCAGAGCCGGGCTACCAGACCCTTCCCTGAAGATGAGCTGGACAGCGTTGTCGAGTTGTTTTCGCGCTTGAATCGTGTCCGTTCTGTCGATATCAACGGGGGCAGTATGCATTTCTACCCCCCTAAACCCATTCCTCCTCTATTCCCTGCCGCCCACAATATCCGACTAAGTGGACAAATGCACTATGGATTCGCATCTGCCATTCTCCACGGCCATGAGAAAACACCTCTAAAGACTCTGGCTATCTGCAATTTGCATGAACGTGGCCATACACGATCGGGACAGAATTACCAGGAGCCTCCCATACGGGAAGATCACCAGTGGGGACTTGCTGCGTGGGACGAGTCCGACGCAGAACCGATGGAGGAAGACTGGGCGCCAGACTCATTGCCCCAGCAAGTCCCACCAGGGCCGATGCGGCATCTTTTGAATCAAGATCTGGTGGCACGATGTACGAGACTGGAAAGCTTGACGATTGCTCAAGTGAGTATTGAGACGCTACATGCTTACGAGCTCCTGCCTCCCGGGTGGTATTACCCTGGATCGGAAATACACGAGGAATTATCATCCTTTATCCAATCAGTGCAGCCACGATATTTGAGGATTCAATATGATGATGTGTCTACGTCGGTTCGATCGGAGCTGAAGAGTCTGTGGATGAAGAACACATGTCGAGGTAACTGTCCATACCACAAGCATTTCGATCAGAAATTGTTGCCTGTATTGAGGGAAGGCTGGCCAGAACTGCGGCGATTGGAGCTGACATACTGGCTCATTACAGAGGCAGACATGCTTGGCTTAGCTGTGCGCGATCAGGCTGCACCCTTTCTGGGAGATAGGACAGAAGTGAAGATCAGCACGCTCCCGCGTACGTTTTACCACTACAGACTCAATAGTTCAGACTGAGAAGAGAGAGGAAGACAGATCATATCAACCTGCTCCAGATAGCGGGAAACAAGACATTTCCATTATCATGAACTCCGCACTGCATAGCCCTCGCACGGAGAAGGCTCAAATCCGCCATATCTCAATAACCAAATTAGCTTGACAGCATAGATTCGAAAGCAAATTTTGTTTAAGCCTCGTAGAACCTGCAGCCCCCATATTACGAGAGAAGAGGCCCCAAAGCAAAAGTGAGCTTGGCTTATGACATGGCCGCCAAGAAGCATGACTCGCAGGGGCTAAGCCTCTTGCCAAGCCGGGGGCTATCACTGTTAAGAGGCTGAGTATCAAGCATCCATGTTTCATCGCTTGTTTGGGGGCCACGTCGATTTGGTTTAGCTTTCTTTGATTGTCTACCCCTCCAGTGCAGATCATTGTTAGTAATCAGACTCGAGTTCAGCCCAGAGTTGTTTGACGCGATTTCGGGAAATCCCATTGCTGCCTTTCACACTCACCCATCGACTCATACGAACAAGTCAAGAACCAAGAACCATGGACGATTCAAGAATCGCTCCCTTTTTGAAGTACTCACTAGCTGATGCAGCGTAAGTCCTTGTTAACTGGAAAAACGGGCTACAGCTAACCCCTTCCTAGACCTGATACTCCAAATCTCACGCTCTCGCTAGAGCTTCAAGGCCTCGGCGACTCTAAGATCGCCAAACGAAAATCAAACAGTGGGGTTGTCTTTCGCTTCCACCGAGGGACTGATGGCCACAACGAGCCTTGCTCGTTTTACTGGTCAGACACAGTAGATGCCTGGGGATCTGGAGGCTTGGTCCTCCTTCGACACGACGCCGAAGACCGACTGGAAAGGGTCAGCCTCCAGGCTGAGCCGTGGCGTGTGCATGATCCGACAGAGCCCCGGGTCGCTCAAGGAGCCCAATCCCTGTTTGAGCTGAAGCCCGGCGAGAGTACCTGGTTTTTCGCGGGCATCCCAGAAAATTGGCTCGAGGCTATGGTTTCGGGTGAGAAGTACGAATTGTTATGGCCTGGCGGTGAAATCTACTGGTGGGCGTGGGGGGGGATTGAAGAGAATGAGGGCAGATCGCACAATGCTATACCTCGCGCAGTCCTTTCGGGAACACCTCGTGTGCTGTTCACCGTGGTCGAAGAACCACCGGCTCCCTTCTACGAGACACCTCTACCAAAGTGGACTCAAGACCCGACGTACGTAATGGAAAATGTACTGTCTGCAAAGACATTTGCTAACGGCATAATTGTGTAGCCCAGGGACGCCGCTTCTGACTGTGACCCTGGCTGGCGCTAGCAGTAAGGATCTCTCGGATACGAGCTTTCAGCTGGTACAGACAGTCACGTATCGAGGTCTGGTCTCAAAGGACCCTAATGGCGATCCAGAGCGGGGCACGAAACCCATTACTTTCGATGCCTTCAATCTTATGATCCCATTTGAATGGGCATTTCGGTCCAGTGAGAATGACACATGGGAGTATTGTCCCGATCAAAGAATTGGATGTGCCATGACTGACTTGATGTACGATTGCGAGACTACTGTGAATGTCGGCAAGGATCGTAGATGGATTAGCCTTTTTCCAGGGGAGTCCTGGATCCAGGACCTGGAGATTGATGAGCGACTTCCCTCTGATCTGGTTCCAGGTGACAAAGTTCGTTACCAGCTGGATGGCCGGGTCATTGAGATGTGGAACTGGGGCAGTAAGGAGGATCATGCGGAGACGGTGTTGATGCTACCAAGTGATCGTGAAGCAGGCGACTGGATGGATCGGCCCCCCATAGTCGTACCGGCCTCAAATCCGTTAGAGTTTACAATAACTCCTTAGATTTCTGTTCGCTGTTAATTTTACCCTGCGTCACAATGCCCAAATTTTACTGGATCTCGCCCCTCATACTTGTGCTTCATATTTAAACCCCCTAGTATTCCCACCGGAGTAGCCCCATTATCGGCAAACCCCGAATGGGGTCCAAGGTAGATTGTCACGATGACAGTTTCTTAACTTAGCTCAGATACAGGTTAATTATTCCTGGCAGGCTATGCTTCCGAACATGTAACAGCCCCCTCCCAAGCGGGTTGTTTGGCCCCAGAGTCCGTCCTAGCACGCCCCAAATTTGCTGAAGGCTAAGCAACGGGGCTCACGGCCCCCATGAGATATTTTCAGAGTGGAAGGGTCGATGATCACGGAAGGCTGTCTTTGGGAGGCTTATAAAGATCAGTTTTCACTATAGTATGCATCTCGACAAAAACCATTCTTATTGACCTCGTATGTGCGACGTCTTGTTTGACCATCATGACAAACCTCCGCTTTCTGCATATTTTCGTTACCCTTTGTCTACTCGCAATTGGAGCAAATGCCTTCTCAATAAACCGAATTGAGAATCGTGCCGCTGATACATCCTGTGCTAAGACGCCAAACACAAGCAACCCAGATGATGACTCCAACAATAAGAATGTGAAGATCAACTACTCCACCCAAGAGGGCGAGACATGTACTCAGGAGCAGAAAGGAGAAATTGAAACCGAGTTCCGAAATGCCATTGCAATGGTCAACTCTGCGAAGGCCGATTGGAGCAAGGACGGCTATGAGGATATCTTCTTCGCCAAAACAGCTCAAAAAATGCCCAAATACAAGGAGACAGTACATGACACGCTGACCCGCATCACCGAAATGCTTGATGGAACCGTTAACGCCAAGGATTATACACTTACGGTTACCTGCGCTGGGAAGGCCAAGTCTTGTGCAAAATTTGTTGCTTTCATGAAACAAGCGGACAAGACTCATGGTACTCTCAATGTCTGCGATCACTTCTTCGATAAGAATATCGACCGCAAGCAGGAGCGATACGTTGATACGACCGATAATCGTCTTGAGCAGTGCGAAAATGGTTCACTCGACCTTCGTGATGCCCAGCGCTCACGTGCTGGTGTCCTTGTCCACGAGTCTATCCACACGTCTTATGCGATGGGTGGCCCTGATCCGTACGTGCTGTTCTCACCTCTCCCACGAACATACTTGACTAACTTCACTATAGGGGTGAGGATATAGCTTATGGCCTCGATGCCGCTCGCCTGCTTGCCATGGGCACCTTTGACCGACGTTGTGGTAATGGACCGGCTATGCGCGCGCTGACAAGTAACAAGCCACTGTGCGGGAAAACGCCTCAGGATCCCAAGACTGAAGATGGCCTGTGTAAGTCAGAGCTCTGTATGCAGAATCCAGATTCTTGGTCTTTCGTGGCAACCGGTATCTGGTTCAGTGAGCAGTGCAAAAAGAAAATTCAACTGCCCCAGGAAGATGGCGGAAAGACCAACGCTGGTATTTCTTCCAAGGGCAAGCCCAACGACAACAGTGCCGAGTCGCACTGCAATGGGTACAGCACTGGTGTTGCAGACTTCCCATTTGATTAAAGACTTGTATAACATAGATCTTGCGATTTCCCGGACTGAGTTGTTTATTGCAACTCCCAAGCATATTCTTCTGGACGTGATATATTTCTACGAATCACAAAGATTCCTTTGAATTGTATGGTAGGCAACATTGCTGAGGCGATAATTTTGGTCGGGAAGTAGGTAGCAGTGGGTGATAAGCAACAGACGTTGAGTTTCTCCTGGATTCTTTTGCAAGCATCAAATACTTCTAGAGTTCTGAAATTGAGCTTGACCTTTCCAGAGTTGCACGAAGTGGGAGAATAAGTGAAGTTCTAGATTTAGCTCGGTGTGTAACTCTAGGCTTTTGAAGGAAAAGGTCAAGATATATGCCCTAGAAGACCACGAATCCGTGGTTTTCTGGTAGGCAATATTTATCATTCAGTCTATTCAAGCGCGGACGTAACAATATCTTCTAAGAAACCGCCTTTGAGCTCGACCCCGTAGGGAGGTTTAGTGTAAATCGCATGTAATTCAATTCGATTCGCATGCAATTCGTATACAATCCAGATCATATTGAAAATCGGTTCAAATCGATTCAAATCGCATGAGAGGTGGACCATGAAGATCGGGGGTCCTTATTGGCCAAATCAGAATTCCTTCTGGTTGGGATTGACCGTTGGTGGCCTGATATTTCAGGTTTACGGGCAGCAATACCGCTTAATTGGGAATTCTGCCGTTGAAATTAATGTGAAACGCGACTTGCAGTTCGTGACTACAAATAACCGCGCCTACTCGCAGGGTTAGAGAATGATTATCACACTTGTGTACCTCAATCCAAGGTCTCAACTTTGACGAGGGGTCAGGGTAAATGAACTACACTCTCACACACATCCTGTACTGCTCCTTTTCCCCATTGGAGGAGATTCAGGATCCGTCCGGGGTCATGGCGCGGGGTAGTGACCGTCCGGGGGAAAACTGGCCGAGCCCATAGCCCGCGGATGAGATGACCCCGAGCCGTGTCCGACGCTGGGATTCGTCAGGTTCTCTAAACATTGGTAATATTGATCTTGGATCCTACCCGTCCAATTGAAGACATTCTGAATGGGTCACGTTTGCTGAACATTTTGCCCGTAGTACTCGATACCCGGAGTCAAGCACAGCGCCAACTAATAATCTAGCGCTTATCCTCTCCCAGCTCCTCGGTCAAATTTACGTGCTCATTATTATAGGCTAAACAGAATTGAACCACCCTGACAGAGAATCAGGAGGTAGTGTTGACTCGCACTAACTGAAGGAGGGAGGATTCTGGACTCTCCTCTCGTACCTACGAACCCAAAGCAGGGAATTCTCCGGTGGATGGAACGCCTCATCTACAGACCCACACCCACCAAATTGCCACTTCAGCAGACCCCGCAAACGAACCAGTACATTTCGTCCCGACTAGTACCTATCAGATTACTCCGTCCTTCGCTCGACAAGGGTGCTACAGTAGTGCCCCCGGAAAAATGACCGGGGTCAAGGTCCGGAGCAAGCTTCACTCAATTGAGCTAAGATCGGGATCAGCATCACGAGCGTGTTGTCGCAGGTATAAAGATCTGAAACCCCCCAGTCGTGCCTGCGTCTCTTTCCATTCACCCGTTTCTCTCAGAAATCGTCAACATGACTAGCGACACCCCAGAGAAGCAGACCTCAGCGGAGGAGGTCGAGGCGCAGCCTGCCTCCACGGGCGGACCTGTTTACGATGTCGGCGAGAAGGTCGACTACGACAGAGTGGGCGCCATCGATGCCGAGGAGGTCGAACATCGTATGACTGTGCTCCAGGCTGTCAAGGCCTATCCCGCTGCCAGCTGGTGGGCATTCGTGATGTCGTGCACCATTGTAAGCTCTTGCCCCTTGATAGGCAGATCATTCCACTAACGTTGCGATAGATCATGGAGTCATACTGTGTTTTCTTAATGGGACAGTTCGTCGCCACTAAACGATTCGCCCAGGACTTTGGTGTACTCAGCAAAACAGGCGAGTATATTATCGAAGCTTCATGGCAGTCAGCATTCCAGTGTAGCGGGCCGGTCGGTGCCTTCATCGGTGTATTCATCGCAGGTCCCATTACCAGTTGGATTGGATATCGATGGGCAACCATTGGCGGTCTCATGTGCTTGAACCTCTTCATCTTAATCTTCTATTTCGGCAACAGCTCGGGGATGTTTTTCGCGTCCCAGATCCTGGAAGGCATCCCGTGGGGCATTTTTATCGCCAATGCCCCCGCCTACTGTGCCGAAATTGTGCCCATGAGACTGAGAGCTCCAGCCACGCAAATGTTGCAGATGTTCTGGGCGATTGGGTCGATCATCGTCGGCGGTATCACTTTCCACTACCAATCCAAGGATGACCCGTCAGCGTACAGGTTCGTCCGCTCCCATAGATACCATTCGAGGAACACTGTACTAACAGTCATCCCAGAGTCCCCATTGCACTCCAGTGGCTTTTCCCTACTCCCCTCGCTATCCTACTCTTCCTTGCGCCTGAATCGCCCTGGTGGCTCGTACGAAAGGGCCGCCTGGCTGAGGCAGAGAAGGCTGTCAAACGCCTTGGGCGCGCGAGTGCAAATGATAATCCCGCTGACGCAGTCGCAATGATGCGTCGTACGATCGAACTCGAGAAGACTGAGAAGAAGCCCAGTCTCATTGAACTGTGGAAAGGTACCGATCGCTACCGCACATTGATTGTGTGCGGTGTGTACGCATCTCAGAATCTGACGGGCAATCTGATTGCTAACCAAGCGGTTTACTTTTTCAAACGTGAGTCCGGCCTGTTCCTGCAACCTCACAGCAGACTAACACCAGCCCAGAGGCCGGCATGGCTGACAACACCGCATTTGCACTTGGTCTCATCACTTCTGCCCTCCAGTGGATAATGGTCATGCTCTCTTGGGTTCTCACCACATACCTCGGCCGACGCACCATCTATGTCTATGGTCAATTCATAAACTGTGCATTCTTGATCGCGCTCGGTATTGCGGCTTCAGTTGGCGGTGGTAACGCGGCTAGCAATGCGCAAGCATCACTTGGCTTGATCGTCTCCGTCCTGTTCTGCTTGGGACCCGCCCCTGCCTCATGGGTCATCATCGGGGAGACATCTTCCGTTCGTCTCAGGCCACTGACCACCGGTATTGGACGCGGTGCCTACTACTTGGTCAATATTCCTTGCATCTTCCTGTCCAGCTACATGCTCAACACTGATAAGTGGAACCTGGGCGGCAAGAGCGGCTACATCTGGGCTGGTACCGCCTTTGTCTGCACCGCCATGTCTTGGATCTGGATTCCAGAGATGAAGCACCGGTCCTTCCGTGAGATCGACATTCTGTTCAATCGTCATGTCCCAGCTCGCAAATGGAAGCAGACGGTCGTCGATATCCGCGACGATGAGTAGATGGAAATTGGAGTGGTACTGCTTGTGCCGGAATGAGTGGTAGAGATGAGTTCCTTACTCGATACTCACAGGTAATTATTTTTCCAGATCAGTTTGAAGAGTGAGGATTACGGCGGAATGTACCGGCATCTTCTACTCTCGTCGGTAATTGGCTGCTTTGCTACAGTACCAGGCTTGTTTTTGGTCTATCTGATTTAAGAGGCTAATTCCACGTGATTCTGACAGAGCAGGATCGCTCAGTCTGGTTTATGTATACAAGTTTTGTTCCTATAGCTAATAGTTGAATAATTGGTTGATATCGTAACTTACACATCTGTAATCGCGCTAGTTGTGACTTAGCGGCTGGTCGAGGGGCTACTCCGCGCGGGGTAGAGCCCGTCCGGGGTAAGCCTGACCGAAGTGTTCGAACTGGCCCATTTCATATTCCCATCTGGAACCATGCGGACAAGAGGATGCCGAGCCTGACGGTTGGACTGTCTGAGATTGCCCGATTGTCTAAATAATATAACTCACCATCCTGCCTCCTCGAAGTTCCTAGATCATTTCCACTTTGCCCAGATGTGAGGTTCATCTTGGATCTCGCTCATGTACCCTTCCCATCAAACTCTTGCATTGCATCGCACAGGTATCCCCCCAAAGCGTCGGTACACATGTCGCCAGCATAAGCATCCCTCCATCCAGCCGAGCCTGGTATTTCCCGAAGCCACTTTTGCCCCCTGGAAACTTGTTAGTAGTGGTGCGCAGTCAAGCACTGCGCTAACGAGTTAGCCCTTCTCGGTTAGATTCCCTCGTTCCACTATGATAGGCTTAGCTGATTAGCTGATGTGAACACTCGCGTGAGAAGCAAAGGCTCGGCCTATCTCAAACCAAATAACTCCGGACTGGGCGCCGCCATGACTCGGATGGGCTGACGGAAGGATTCTGGACCAACCCCCTTCCATCGATCCCCAAAACGGCAATTCTCCGGCGATGAGAACGCCACAATCTTGAGCCAATACTACCTCAGGGTAACCCCATTGGCGAACAGCGAAGAGCTGCCCAAATGTGATTGCACCTCCAAGCTGCTGGTCAAATTAAATCGGAAACGAGGTTTGGTGAGTGCTTATGCTTTGGCCCTTTCGCCTGTAGCTGGGAAACAGGACGACGTCCCCTGCTCGAATAACGACGTGCGCCACCTGAGCATTCTTTACCTTTATCCCTGTCATAGTACTGTCCAGAGTAGTACTGTAGTATTGGACCGATTGGCTCGTTCAGCGCTCTCATCATCACAAATAATAGCCTCTCTTCCAAAGCCCCAACTCTACTGAACCGGTTCAACACGAACACCGCCATGATTTCCATCAATAATTCTCGATCAACCCCCCTCTCCCCCTTTTTATTTTCTTCTCTTGTCAACGAGCCCACCCGGAAAGAAAGATGTAGAATCGACCAGTTTTCTAATCCCCCGGCCGGATAATTCACTAACGCTAACATCAAGTCCGACTGGTGGTTGGACCTTCGTTCGAACTCTTGTGTGACATGCGTATTTTCCGGACATGCCGAACATTCACGAGGGCCATTTAGAGGCAGACCGGTTCAAAGCGACCGGACAAGCTTGTTCGTGATTCATCTCTGGCATCGCTTTAATCTACATTGCTTATGGCGTTCTGCTATAATGTTTTGCGCGATGAAAGTGATTTCATCTTGCGAGTGTCTGCCGTTGGAATGGTTTCTATAGGTATTGATCCTTGTGGACGGGGAAACTTCATGAAATGAAACACTGGCTTGAGCTGAATAATATGAGTCATAATTATTAACAAGATTTAAATGAAGACGATGGCCGCCGTGAGCATCGAGGCGACCAGCGCCACCAGACTGCTCGCACCAGCTGCTTCCTTGGTGGTCAAACCACCACCCGCCCCGGAATGCTTTCCCAGTCCCAGTGGGAGCCCCTGGTAACTGAAGGTCAAGTTCTGAGGGATCGTCTTATTGTAGCACTCCCCGTTCGCGATGTCCAAGTTGGTGAGGTCATCCGGGTTCAGGAAGAACATGTACTGGGACTGAGAGAGATTCTTGAAACCAGAGGTGTCGTATGGGAATTTGTCACCAGAATCGGTGGCGGAGGCGTTGCGAAGGAAAATGCACTGCACTTGTTCGGGAAATTCGGTCACCATTTCAGGGTAGTCACGCATTATGTCACTGTTGCTGGTGTCGGCGATCAGGATGAACTTGCGATCGGGGAAGGTTTCGAAGATCTTCTGCAGCAGAAATTTGCGAATAGAGAGTGTGGCCGAGACATCGCTAAAGTTGAGAGGCCGGGTATCGAAGGAGCCACCCGGGTAGGTGCTGTAGATGAATTGCATGTAGTTTCTGGTGATTTGCTCGGGGGTTGTAGTCTTAACGCGGAAATAATGTTAGTAAAATTCCGTGTGGTCTGCAAATGGAGTATGGACTGACCAGGTAGTGGAAATGCATGTTGGGAAGGCTGGTCGACCAGTTCCGATAGATGTCCGGCATATTCTCCCAAGGCGTGAAGGGTTTCGCGAAGGAATTGAGCAGGCCTTGTTTCGGTTCATAGATCTTGGTGATGCGGAGGATATCGTCAATGTCGGACACCACAGTCAGTCCGGTTGGAGGTACCAGGTAGGCAGTGGCATTTCCAATAGATGCGCCATCAACGTATGTGTTCAGTCTCTGAATTGCGGATGTTTCATTACCCGCAGTGAGCCCATTGCTGGCAATTGGGACAAATGCATCGAAATCACCTTCCGCCGTGGTGTTGTAGGGCAGAGTCACATTTTGCCAGCCTCCAGTTGTGTTGGAGGATCCCCCTCCGCCAGGCTGTCCACTGGATCCCTGCGATGCGGCCGGTTCGAGGTGAATGGCGTTGACAGCGACGTTGGGCTGCTGAACGACGAAGATTTCTGCGGTCAGGTTGCGTGCCTGGTCCTGCTCGGATTCGGGAAGGTCTGTGATCTTGGTGTCGATGAGGAACACATTGGCGAGCGTGTTCAAGTCGGAGATGGAGGTGTTGGGCTGCTTGTAAACGTTTCCGTGGAAGCGAACGTTCCATCCCGAGTTCGTCCAATTGGCATACGGATCGACGTTCAGCACGTTGGTGGGCAATGGGGCCAAGTCGGAGCTTTTCAACCCCAGCGAGCTTGCCACTGCATCTCCGGTCGGGAAGCCCTGGAAGAAGTTGGGTACTCCCGAGGCCACCCACGAGGGCAGGTCGGAGCCCAGGCTGGAGAGCACGTTGTTCACATCGGATTCGACGTCGCTCAAGATGTCTCTTTGCACGACTGGGGATGGGTAGCTTTCGACCGGAGAGGGAGTGATGACGGGCGGGGCGATGTCATTATTGTTGATGTTGATGATGACTGGAACGACCGTGGGCGCGGGGGAAGCGGAGACTCGAGCAATCAGCAGCGCAGCGGACAGGGCTTGGCGCCCAGATTTGGCGGGCCTCATCGTGGATACTGTCCTGTCAAATCGAGTGATTATTAAGGATAATGAATTCCGAAGATGACTGACTAGTTACCGTAGTAGTAACTAGTTAGTTATCTTGACCTCTAAGTCAGCATCCGAGAAAGTCTGGGCAGGCACGAATTTAAATAAAGTGAATGGATCTCGGGTCCATGCCATGGTCAATTCGAATTGACATTATGAAACTTGGAAAACAGGGTCTTTAGGGGGTCCAACGGGGTCCACCGACGTCACTCCCGCGAAAAGAAAAAAAAAAAAAAAAAAAAAAAGGGATTGGTGGACTCAATCTATTTGGCCTCGAGACGATGGAAACTCAAAGCAGACCAAGGTAATTGCCAAAAGGACATGCCAAAGCAAATGGTACCCGACCATAATCGAGGCAATATCCTGGCTGGTCATGAAGCATGAGCCCTGCACAAAGGTATGTAAACTCGGGTAGGATATATATATATAGCTAACCTAGAAGAGATCCACTTGAAATATGATCTCAGCTCCCGCACGCCAAGACGTCATGGCGCGTGTATGTACTGGAGTACATCGTTCATACTTCCTACTGTGCATACATATTGTTGTCTAAACTGGGGGTAGCCTATTATATTTTCGGAGATGATCCCGCCCCTGATCAATCAGGCAGCGCCAAAGAACATCTGCGAGCCACGGGGAAGTATGTTGTGCATTCTGCGGCAGATTGTGGCTAGGACGCGAACCTAGAGAGTGTCATGTTGTAAATTGGTTATTTCTGGGGCTTAATCATGACCCCAGGGAAACAGCTGATCCTCCACAATAATCCGCATGTTCCCGAGGACATGCCTAGGGTGGTCATCGAAGCATCTATTTACATCAGAATCCTGCAAGCACGTGATGGCTCCTTCCTCTGAGTCTCTGCCCCCCCATTTCACCATTTTCTCCATTTTCTCCATTATTCTCCCCCGCTTTCTCGTCTTCACCTACCCAATCAACATCCAATACACACTCTTTTCATCTCGTTCCTGTCCATCTCTGGCTTGGCAAAGCTTTATCGATCGGTATATGCGTTGGAATCGCCATCAGGCCACTTCAAAGGGACGAATGCCCACTCAATTTCCACCGAGAAAATGAACATTGTTTCCAGTCCCACTAAGGATGAACAAGTGATCCAGAATTCTCGTGACTTTCTCTGGGTGGACCACGAGAATGAACATTCGCAGGAAAAGGCAGACTCTCGGATGAAGCAGTCATTTCTACGAAAGAAGTATCATAGGCTCCGTCGCCAATTGCAGCTAGAACAACTGAGGGCTTCCATGCAAGCACCACCTCCGCTAGGGGCATGGCTGCCAGCCTCCGAATCCATTGTTGACACTGCGTCAGAGAATAAAAGCAACGATCAACATACACTCGCCATGCGCATAATACGTGTTGACCAGATGGACAGCCAACTTCATCGTCCGCCACTAACGAGGGTTGACGATGTTCTTCCAGCATTATCGCGTCGTTCGAAACAAAGTATGGATTTCTACTTCGACTATTGTCAGTCATCAAATCAAGCCTCCAAGACGCCCGAGGCCTGAAAAAGCTAACTACCCTCGCAGTTAGGGCTCAGGCTTCACGTAGGTGGTATCCAATGGGGCAGAATGAAATACTTAACTCCACTCTTCGCCAATGTCTCGACCGTCCGCCCCTTTTGGAGGTCATCGTGTCGATGAGTGCCTATGATTATGCGATGACTCGCCAAAGGGAAAATATGACAAGTGGAGTTGTGCGCGATTCCTTACACGACGCCTTCTACATTAGGTCTCATATTATTCAGTTTATTCAAACTCTATTAGCGAAGCCAAGTGAAATATACACTGAATCAGCTGTGATTGTTATCGGACACTTATTAGTCACGGAGGTATGAGAGCAGAGAATTTCCTTGATCAGCTTACCTAGAGTTGAAAGACTCTAATCATAGATCAAATTCAGGCGCTTGAGTGCAATCTAGAAGCAGTCGACGCGCATATCGAGGCTCTTCAAAAGATTGTCTATGCTTTAGGGGGCCTAGAAAAATTGGGCCCTTGGCCATTAGCGACTGTTTATGCGTGAGTTTGAGCTAGGCTATACAAATTTACAATAGTAGCTAAATGCTCGTGACAGGTGTGATCCTATACGAGGTCTCTTCAAAGATTCTCCACCGGCATTTGACATACCAAGACAGTGGGAGATACAGGTTTTTGGGGCATTAGCCCATCGTGCAAGACCTATTCGACAATCACATCCCGCGCTTGGATCTCGCTTTTTCTACTCTTCATGGTCTCAAGCCATTCACCCACACCTAGGCTCCATTATCCGATCAGTTCAAGATATACTCGCTATAAAGACGCGCTCCAACGAAAACTAGATTTGCACGTAGCTGACCATAACTGTGCCCTGTTACTGCTGAATCGATTGCAGTCACTACCACACGCTTATACTTTGTCCTATTTCAACGACGCAGTTCGACTTACGATTTGGATTTACTTTCTGATCCGAGTATGGGAATTCCAAGCCAGTGCGGAGCGACTTCTTGAGATCAAACGCGGCAGTCTAAAGGAGAAGAAGGATCTTGAGTTTCTTAAGAGCTCAGCCTCTGACCTCCTCTTCTGGATTCTCTTCAATGGTGCCTTTGCTTCTATTGGATTTCAATGCCATACATGGTTTGTCGCACGATTGAAATGTCTCGCTCAGGAGCTATCCTTGTTTGAGTGCGAGGACGTGGTGTCAGTGTTGGGGGGATTCTTCTTTGTTTATCGATCTGCTACTGATCCTACCAAGTTATTTTGGTAAAGGGTGATTCTTGAATGCACCGTCGACTATGTAGAATTAGATTAATTTCGTCAAGCGTGCCTGTCATTTTTGTGAGGGCTATCACTGTCAGGGTCATTTTCGAGATATAAACATTGAGATTGATCCAGAAACAACCTTGACCGTATGCCTTTCTGTATCTTCGACCGGTATTTTATAGAAGCCAGCTCTCGACGGCTTCAGGAAATCTCGTAAAGCAAAATAATATAGTCTATAGAATTGAGAAACCAACTGTTTGGGCCATATCGAAATACAGTTGGAATGCCAGAGATAATTCACTGCGTGGGTCTGATAGCAAACTTCTCTCGACGTCAAAGTACCAGCAGCGCTCTTGACCCACAAGTCCCTCCCGTTCCATGAGAATCAAGCTACTCCATTCTCCTTCCGAGGTTCAGAGAAGGAGGTGACATACCTGTACAAGGCCTCAGAAACGGGTCGTAGCCGAGAATTTTTATTGCGAACAAATGTACAGAGAAAGGAGACTATTCGCTCTGCGTTTCGTTTATTCGGTCTTAATGGGATAGAGTTGACGTTTTCAAGGGACCATCATGTCACGTCCTCGAAAGGACCCTTCAAATAGTTCAGTTATTGTTCTGATTTAATCCATGCTTGCCGTTTTGCCTTATCATGTATAGTTTTAACCTTTAGCTACATGCTATATCACACAGGCCGTATTAGATCTGTAGAAGAAAAACCCTAGTAAGCCGGTCTGGGCTCATCTTGGTTGCCGATGCTTCCTAACCCTCTACTGCTGGCTCCATTCCTTTATGTCGCTTGGCACCACGTATTACTTCTCGTTGATGAGCGTCATCCCACAAGCCGACTCGACCAAACTATACACAACTGCCACGAATTCGAATGGGAGGCGGACAAGGTCTGTGACGAGGATCGGCCTTGACTTCATAGAATGGCTAGCCATTGTCAATACCAGGGCGGTGGCTGTTCTCATGCCTTGCCAATCCAATCAAAGCTCTGTCCAAGTCATGGCTTCAGAGAGAACAGTCGTTCAACGGAAGTTTTCACCCTCTGTTTTTCCATTTTCGTCCTGTGCACTCTAGTGTGCGCTCTATTTTTCCACCTCTCTGTGAGGGAAAATCACACTTGCTTGGCCACCAGCGTCATTTCCCTCGATCTCTCGGACCTGATTTATTGCTGTCGGTTACATACTTTATGTAGCTTCATTAGCCGTACCTGCCGATACCACCCGTATCTTAGCTGAAACCGTTACTGTTTGTCAATAGTTATCCTTATTCTTAATCCTTGTCCTTAGCATTTAGAACGACTTATCTGCCAACCTCGCCTGCCACCCTTCCTCCTTCCTCTCCTTCCTTCTGGTGTTATTGTTAATGTATTAAATTAGTGATCTAGAAAGGTTTCATAGGATAAGAATAGTAATGAAACGGACCTATGGATAGCCATGGTGGGTCGTCCTGACTCCTCTGCATGCTCACTACACAGGCTGTGGGCAGGGACGTGGCAGGTGATATATTTTGTGCTGCGCGTACCACATCGACGGTATAATTTTAAGTTAGATGGGAAAATAAGTTTAGAAGAAATAACCATTGAGTAGTCGTTTAGAACGTCTTGAATTTTGGGATTCGCTCGACAGCCGGAATATGTTCAAATGCATTAATGAACGTTTAAGTCAGATCAAGTACGGAGTATACAAGAATTGGGTCTATGGTTGTAGCGTTAGCCCTTTATACGAAACAGAGCGCGGGGTACGATCAATGGAGTTTGCTCAAGGGGGAGTTCCCCACTTTCATCTTTCATCGATTCTTACCCACGTTTAAATCACGGCTCAAGCCCTTGTCTTAACTGAGAACCCTCTTGGGAGTGGTTCTGTTCCCCATAAACAGACCGAATACAGACTGAGTCAACAGTACCATGGAGCGATTCCTTCTTGAACACGCCACGCGCCATCAAATGCTTGTCCAAAAATTCAAGCCCTCTCCCCAGAAAGCTAAATGCCAGTATGATGCGCCCTCCTCCAACATCACAGTCGCCACCCGCATTCGACCTATATTAGATGAAGAGGTATCATCTGGCTAGATCGTTTCTATTTTTCATCGGGTCGACGAAAAGGGAACTGTAGATCTTCATGAGCTACGGCGAGTTGTACGGGGATTCCCTCCGTTGAAAGTAAGTACGCGGCACCTTGTCCGAGCGCGTCTGCATTTGACACACATTTGGCTCGGAATCAATTAACACGGACCCTCGTAGACTAACAATTTGTCTGCGAGGACAACAGTCCTCGATTTTCAAACCTGGTAGAGTTTTTGGTGCAAATGACACAACCGAAAAAATATACGAAGAAATAGTGCGCCCACTCATTCCGTGTGCCTGGGACGGTAACGTCGGCACTCTCTTCGCGTACGGGCAAACAAGGTCAGGGAAGACCTTTACGATCAGTGGTCTAGAGCAACTAGTTGCCCAAACCCTTTTCGGTGGGTCATTGCCCGGTGGAAAAACCATTCACATGGCTATATTTGAGCTTGCTGGAAACTCCGCCTTTGGTACGTAGGCCTACTGGATGAATTCAATTCTATAGCGCGCTGACCACCCTTCAATGCGCTTTTAGATCTGCAGAATACCCGGGCCCCCTTTTCGATCCTCGAAGACTCCCGAGGTTTAACCCAACTGGTCGGTATAGAGGAGCGTATTATACAGAGCACGGAAGAACTACTGGCTCTGTCCCAAAGCGCAAACAAATTGCGACAAACAGCCCCGACGATCAAAAACGACGGCTCGTCAAGATCGCACTCAATTTGCCGCATCAGGATAGCGACACCATCCGCTGAATCAGTAGAAGATGGAATTTTGTACTTGATTGACCTCGCCGGGTCTGAAGCAGCGCGCGATATTTTTTCACACTCGACCGAGCGGATGAAGGAAACGCGAGAAATCAACTTGAGTCTGTCGGTGCTGAAAGACTGTATCCGAGCAGCAGCTCTTAGTAATTCAACAACCGGAAAGTCTTCAAAGACAACGTATATCCCTTTTCGTCAGAGCCTGTTGACTAAAGTCCTGAATCATCCCTTCTATACATCCGAGAGCCGCAAATGCATGACAGCAGTTCTTGCCTGCATCAACCCGAGCTTCCTTGATACGGGAGCAAGCAGGAATACGATGCGTTACGCGGAGATGCTTTGTGAGCCTCGGCCGGCCTTGTCGAAAACGCCGTCTTAACCCTCTCCTGTAGCTTGGGAATCAAAAATTGAATTAAATTATCGCATAAGGCTCCTGGATATCTCATTGTTTTGATTTATGTATTTGCCAAGTTGGTTTTATTGGATTTTTATCTTTTCATCCCGCATTCGGTAGCGGATAAAGAGGTCAAGTAATCGATTCAACGCAGTTCTTAGATACACATTACATATGAAGCGAGGAAATGCAATGGTCTCTGGTATGACTGAGGAAGTATCTTTGGTCGTTGTGGTAGTCGCGCAACTAAATAGATACCACTACCAAAACGGACCACGTAAGGCAAAATTATCCCCAGTCTATACTATATTTTTCATGTTAAGTACTGAGTAAGGCAAACAATTTAGAGTCATCATGTCCCATCATCCATACCTATCCTGTAACAGCCATGTCTCATATCAGATTTAATTTTTGTAGAGCGTGATTCAACACTTGGAATCCAGCATTGGTTGCATGAATCTACAGGCGGTCTACTAATACTACATAGCCACGGCTGATATCGGCTTATGGTCTGGTACAACCGGCATCTGCAGAAATTACCATCACCGCTGCCAACTTCAATGCGTGAACCCCGAACGTTGGGTCGACCTGTGCGTCGCCTTAGATAGGCTCTTATGTATGTATTAGTGTCTAAAATTTGGCCGCTGTGAGTAGATAAGCATTAATTGGATGTGAGCTTCCCTAGAGGGAGGTGGTAGTACTGGATAAATCCACGATGCCGATAGACAGAAAGTAACTGGGTTAGAGGCCGGAGCAGGAAGTCCCTACGACGTTCTTCCTTCTGGCTGCTAACTGTAGGACATAGGCCAACCGGGTCAGGTACATAGAATAATTGGTCGACTGGCGTAGAAGCAGACCTACGATAAAACTGGATGTAGGATCGGTGAGAGGGACAATAGAAGCGAGGCATCAGTATGTAGTGAAAGTGGAATTTTGTAAGTCTCGCTCGTTTTCTTTTAGTGCCTGTGTAGTTAAGAATAGATAGTGCTGAGTATAGAAGCCTGGATTCATTACACCATAGCTGGTAATAGTTATCAGTTACTTGAAAAGTCATCCTAAATTAAGCCAATAGAGACATGCTACGGAGTTCTAGGGCCTGATAGTACTTTTGGCACACCCCATAAGCCTTCACAAGCTAGCGCCAGCCCATATCGACCATCCTTAGTGGGATACTACTTGGTAAGGTATCGTAATCGCACGATATCGACCTTTCCGGGCGATATGAGACTTGTCGACAGGCCCGCATGAGAATGGAATTAATGGTCGACATTAACACTTTGTAGCCCTCAACAGATGGCCACCACTCGCCTAGTTTGATATCGAGCTCCGTGAAAGGCGACTATAGTACCGTCGTTGGATCAGTTAGCGAGTTTAAACCGAAGTATGATCGAATATTACAGTGGCACAGTAAAAGTTTTAACAACACTGGCCCCAAACCCTGAATTATATAATATTCTGCCAGTCCTAAATCCTCCGCTAAAAACTGCCTATTTGACAATCTACTTTGGGCTACCCGCCTTCAGAGGGCGGTGGATCATTGATATAGGCTGTCTGAGAGTGGGTCCCAGGGTGTGTGTTGTTAAAACTTTTGCTGTGTCACTTTAAGTCACGTAGCCACCCGAATGGCTTAGATCAGATTCAGCCTGAGATCCGGCCTCAAGGCCCTTACCTATATCGGGAAGGTGCATGTTCCGCTAGCAACGATTCAAATCCAGATCATTATTACATGATAACTCGTGTGTCCAACCATACGAGAAGCAGCGCCCTGTGATCCGAGTAGATGACGTCATATTAAAGACTCCTGGACTACGGGAGTATTGTGGTCGCAAAGTCTACTGTAGAAAGAAAGTTCAATTGCCAAAAAGAGCGAGTGGGGGAGGTTGATACCACTGGAAGCCTTGGCAAGTTTGCGTCAATAAATTCCTAGAAGACTTGTTGTGGAAGTATAAGATGCGTGATCATCCCAATAAGATGAAAATAAATGTGGCCACGCTCTCATATCTTGCTTCGCCTCCTTTTTTTTTCCGAAAATGACCTTACCGACCATCGTGTTTATTCCAGGTGCGTGGCACACCTGTGAATACTACAAACATGTCATATCCATCCTCACGGCAAAGGGATTTCCCACCGCAACTGTCGACCTACCGTCCGTGGGTGGTATCTCACCTATGGCAGATGATGCAGCTATTCAGAAGGTAACCTCGGAGCTGGCTTCCGATGGTCAAAAGATTATCCTAGTCATGCATTCATATGGTGGAATTCCTGGTACGGAGCAAAGGGCTTGCTCGGAAAATACGCTAGACGGAAGGTAAACCAGGCGGCATCATTGGCCTTGTTTTACGTGTCCGCCTATCTGCTCAAAGAAGGGATGAGCGTGGAAAGTGTGGCAAGTGGAGCAGAGTGGCCAGCTTTCTTGACTAAACAGGTCCGTTTTCTCCTACTCGCTCGTTAACATCCACAGGCCTAGGATGGGAAAATATTCTACGATAGAGCAACTGCCATCGAGAGATTCTACCATGATTTCCGGAAAGATGAATCTCCAACAGCATGGGCTATGAATTTGAAGGCACACTCTGCGGCATCTTTCTCGGACCCTCTAACCTATGCTGCGCATCGGGATATTCCAGCCATATATTTGCTCTGCGAGCAGGATAAGTCGCTCCCGCTTGGGATTCAGGAACTCTTTGTGAGTTACGCCGAGGGGAAAGTCACTACCCGAAGCTGCAGTCGGGGCACAGTCCAATGGTATCAATGCCAGATGAGGTCGTTGACACGATACTCATGGCCATTGAAGCTTGAATCGGAAATGTTTAGCACTTGTGCACTTGTTAAAATTTCAGAAATATAACATAGATGACGGCCAGCCGCACTATATATCAACAACATCTAGGTGGTAATCTATTCAATTTTTAGAAATCAACTCATTGATTTACTCCTGAATCTTGAATAGTTATAGGGATATCCGTAGTAAGATTCCGATATATATCACGACGTACCCAAACTTGTACTTATATCCTAGGAACATATGTTCCAAATCTCAAAGTCCAAAAAATTGACCGCTTAATATCTTGGCGAATACTAGGCCAACCAGAAAGATAGTAATACGTGAATAAGTAAATTAGTCTACTTATGTCTGCGCGACCGACAACAACTCCTTGAAATCATAAACCCTACTTCTGGTCTCCTTGTTTCGACTCGCGCCCGGACCCGCTAACCGAACAGGCCAAAAGACCAAATATGCCAGAGCGCTATGCTCTGACATGATCGGGACAGATATAAATTTAAAGATATTGTCACAGGCCAAGCAAAGAGATGATCAATTCGGTGCCATTCAACGAAGCAACTAAATCTAGGGGAGAAAAGAGGAAGAAGTTCTATCTAATGCGTGGAAGCCTTTTTGTTATGGGCCAAAAGGAATCTTCCGTCAAACGCCAGTTGGCTATTCGACCCTTCCGCTCCAGTCCATCCTCGATCGTCACAGATATATTAAAATATATTCGATCTACCGAGATTTAGATTATCCTTATTTCTAGTCTACACTCTCGGTATACTTTAATTTTATTTTCAAAAGTTAATTTAAGTTCCGAATCGGATAGCTTATACTTCTAGAGATCGTAGAAGAATATATCTTCATCCTTAGTAGTAGTTATAAAGTCTTGAATTATGTTATGGTACAAACAATTAGTATACATATTAGAAGAAGTATGGTCCAAATGCCGCTGATGAAAAAAATAAACCAGAAAAGAGATGATACAAACCACAGCCGATGATCATCGTACAATATAAAAGCCATTCACGGCCACCTGTCGCTCTCGCCATTCATCCGTGACGGACCGAACTCCAAGTCGATGCAGCGGGACTTCTTCGCTCCTTCCCACAGCTATCATCGATTCTTTGAACCTCTAGTCATTCGTGATGAGCTATTCTCAATCACTACATTCTCTGTTGCCACCGTTACAGAAACAAAAGTCGTCGTCGAATATATCCACCGGATTCAAGGGCATATATGAGACACCAAGCATTGTCGTACTGTCAGTTTCATTGCTCGATAAGACAAGACACGGCGATGAAGTCACGCCTCCGTCTGAATCCACTGTGAAGACAGGAAGGTTATATAAGCAGGAAAGAAGAGTGGTAGTCGCCGTCAAGGGTAGATCGCTGTCCATAAGGCCCTCGTAGTTACCTGTACTATTCTGACACTTGTACGAGTTGGCGTATAGCTCCTTCAAATTGACGTAATACGTATCTGTAAACTTTGTCAAGTCGTCGCTGTCGATTGGGTCCGAAAAGTCATTTTCATCTACAAGGGACCATCCTGCACCTAGGTATTCAAGAGTATAGCAATATCCGTGAATAATGGTGCCACTGGTGATATCTGGACAATCGGTGACTGTGTGGGCTCCCTTCAGGATATAGTAGTTGGCCGAAGCAAGAGCGGTGCCAGCAAAGGTAGCGAACAAGTTTCGATTCAGGTAAGTCTCCATCTTTGACTGGTCTAATCCACTCAGCTCGTACATGAATGGACCATCAAAGAAGTGGGCAATATCATGGGTGTATGTACCACTGATGAGCGATGAGGGCCAGTTGGAGATATCTGCATTATCGAATATGTCAATGAGGGAGTTAGCCGCTCCCTCATAGAATGCAGTGTATAGATCAGAGATTTTGTTGTAGAGACTAAGCTCGGTAGTGCTATCATCATCGTCATCAGAGCTCACATTCGAGCCGGCTTCCGAAAAAAGACCACCCGCGGCTGCTGTCAGAGTAGTTGCCAACCCGTCGCCAGTGAACCCAGACACAAGGCCGAGAGCCCCGATGAAGTTTGTCAAAAGCGATGCAAGATCTACAACATCTGGAGTTTTCGTGGGGAAGTCAGCGACGAGTTGGTCGACTTTGTTTGTGGCATTGAGTGCCACCACCTGGAATAGATCGTAGTACTCGCTCATATAGAGTCGGAAATTGGCGACAACAAATCGGGCCCAGTAATGTGACGGTTTATTGAGTGTCGGACACTCATCTGATGAGGGAATGTCACAGTGAACATCTTCATTCAAAGAGGAAACTTCCGTAGATTCGTCGCCAAAGAGTTTTCTGTCCCAAATGCCTAAAGCTTTTGTTAGATATAGGCTTGGTAAAGCAGTGAATAAGAAGGACTTACTGGCAGTACTTCCGTATTCTTTGATGACCGATGTAAGCAAGGAGTCAATATAAGCCGCCACATTTCTCTCCAGGCTCGCCTCTTCAGAAGTTTCTTCAGATTGGTCCGGGAAATCGCATTGCTCGGCATCTGTCAGGTCAGCACTCAAATTAACAATCACGAGATCGTCGGGATCATCAGTGAATTGTTCGAGATCAATTGCCCATTCTGTTATACCACCCATATTGAGACCCTTGTAGTAGGTAGTACGGGTGCTTTTTGTGGTGTTTGTCATGTATTCAACCCACTGTGTGTCGTTGTAGACGATAATATGCGAGTCACTATCATCATCGAAGAGTACTTGAACATTGGGGTTGGTCGAAATGATCTCATAAATCTCCACATTGGGAATATACCCAGTAGTTTGAGTGCATCTTCCGGGAGTAGCACCCGAGTCTGGTCCAGTGTAGGTACAATCGGCCCAGTGCAGTTGGCGGTGGTCATCTCAAACGATCTACCATAGCTCATTACATCAACCATCAGTTTGTTGCTTTGGGCGCCTCCATTTGTGACCATGGACAGCGCATAATTTGTTTCGGTAAGGTTGACATGAGATCGTAGACAGTTCCCATCCACACAATCATCATCCGAAGAATCATTCCCATAATCCCATTGACCGTGTAGATCATACGTCATATAGATGAAAAAGTCCACGACATCATTGAGATCTGAAACTGGGAAAGCCTGAAGGTACCAGACAGAGGCTGGCATGGCAATTGAGATGGTGATATCATCGCCAACGAGTGATCGTAGGGCTTTCAGAAACGCTACATAATTAGGACCATCATCATCACTTCCGGCAGGAATACCTTCAATATCAGGCTCTCCAGGATACTACCAGCCAAAGTCGACACCGTCGATGCCGTTAGTTGAGATAAAATCAGCGACATTCTGGGCCAGCGTATCGCGATTTGCGGAAGTAACTTCTTCACGGAAAATCATGTAAGTTTCTGTGCTGGTGGAAAAGTCCCAGCCACCAAATGAGACAATCCTCTTCACATCATCAAGGGCTAAGAAATCGTCAAACATGTCCGACTGTGAATCGTTGATGCTGATTGAATAGCCTGAGCCAATCAAACCAAATGCATACACAACATGGGTATATTTTGAAGTATCGATACTATAGACGTCCATGGTAAGACGCGAGCGATCCTTATTGAAGGCTTCAACGTAACCCAGGGCGAGAAAATCATCAGGGCCGTCAGGGTCACGGGTGATAGCCGTTCCACAGTTTGAGATGCATCCATTAGTGCCTGATGCGGCTGTGCCTGGATTGCCAGTGGTAGACTCAGTCTGGGTGCAGAACTCAGGTGTGATACCACACTCGCCCCAAACGTCACGGCATGCATTGAGAGGACAAGGGTTCAACTCTCCCCAGAAGCCATACTCAGTTCCATTGGGAGTAGTACCAGGTACCTGCGGGCCACAGACAGTGTTCTCGATGGCAGATGGGAATGGAGGATCACCGGTGCTAAGACATATATTTTCGCCAGCCTGAAGATCATCACATCCAAGCCATCCTCAAGTATTGTTGTTGTAAGAGTCAATCTCATCGACCTTGATGTCAAAGGCGGTTGTAATTGCTGAGCAAGTGTCTCCGGATTGCACGAGGTAAGTTTAGCAAGTCCCATTACTATATGGCTGGGGAGAATAGTCCGGGAGGTCCCCAGCACACATATTGTCCAACAGGCAATGTAGAGCACAGATCGCTGGCGGTATTGTACTCTTAGAATTCAGTCACTGTGATCCCGCATTCGCTGACCAGCGTGGTACAGGAATCACCTGAGACGAGTTGTACAGTAGTGCATTCGCTTCGACGGTGTAGGAAGTGTCCATGTGAGGAGCTTTCGTGTCAGTAGCGTGTATGAAGTGAACGTTTTTTGGATGATGTAGAGGTGTCTGTACCCATTTCGACTTCTAGGGAGGATGAGATGCTTTCAGAAGAAGCAAAGGTGGCGCGTAATGGTTAGGGGTGGTGAACGCACCCGATCAAGACTTAGAATGAGCTACGGATGTAACATCAGGACCTAGCATTGTCTCCTAGATTAGATGTAGTAACATACGCGATAGAAGCTAACTAGGGTCTTCTACACTATGTAGAAAGTGGATTTAGCCTCACAGTCCATCAAATTATACCCAATTAGCAAAAGTGGATATAGATTCATCCTTCCAATGTCCCTATCCCCGTTTCCATCTCTTTACCACAGTCTCCAAAGTTCTTACCTATATCACCTACACTCCTCCTAGGCTCAGACTCGACGCTATTTTGGAGTTCAGGGCGCATTTAGAATTGATCGCGTACTATAGTTGGCTTAAGTACAGCTAAGGGACAGGAAGCCCTATTCTTCGCACCCTAAGGGTCGTATATGCTGAAGACAAGAGAAGTGCATTCTATACCAAAAGCCTTGTTCTGTGAATCCACATGTAAGCTCTCGAGGTAGGCAATCATAATGATAGGAATGAATATTTATGCAACAAGACTAACATGATGGACATGCTTATAAACACCAGATACGAAATTATCGTTTAGTTTGCATGACTTCATAATACGTATTAAGAATTAGGTCTAGTATACAGCTAGAGTTACAATATATGCATTCATCCATCATCCGTCATCACCGCCACCTCCCCCATCGAGCCCTTTACAACCACTCTCCAATAACCGGTACATGGCTATACATCTCATTCCATCCCTGAGCCTCCCACCCAGACCCTTCACCACCCCGTCCAACAATCCCCAAAGCACCCGCTAACCAGAGAGCAGCACCAACAGCCGCAATCCCATTAACCACCCACCACATCTTGCGCTGACACTTGACACGGTCCTGATTCTCAGGGTACCCCAGGTAGCCCTCAAGCGAACCCTTCGAACCCCGCTCCATTCCCGTATCCGTGGACAGTGTTGTAGGAGATAGTGGCCCTTCAATTTCTTCAACGGAATACTCCACAGTTAGCATTTAGAGATACCGTTTATTCTCAAACCACTGTACGAGTCGAGAAATTTAGAAATATCTTGCCTCTTCAAGAAGGGCAAGATACAACGCGTAGTCCTTTGCCGTATCATAAAAGATCGGGAGTACTACACGCAGAAGATAACGTAGGATATATTCAAATAGAGTTAGGTCGGAATCAATTTAGTAAGAGCCGTCGGGAAGTATATTGTTCTACCGTCCGGATAGTAGAGATATAAAGAAGTTACTCTTAGGTATAAGTATTTCACGGGTAGTATTAAATCCGCGCTCCTCTACCTATAGATTTATCTACCTAGCTTAAGCAGTAAGTAAATTTTAGGACAGACTTTTTGGGTATTCTATGAAGTTATTATATAGCCTAATTTCAGAGGTTATTTAATACATGCTATACAATAATAGTTAAACTATTATAAAAATAGTGATTTAATAGGCCATCTACGTAAATAAGAGGATAGCCACGAAGTTACCTTAAAGTAGTTTAGTTAAGTAAAGAACGAATACCTAAGACGAAGAGATAAAGAGCAATACCATCTTATAACGTTATATATAGTCGCCTCTGTCCTACGGAGAACGGCCTACGCTACTAAATATAACTAACCCCCGCTAATCCCGTCTACCTCGTCTACAACCTTTAGGCATCTATTCTTTATTATACTTCGTGCTTCTTCAATAAATCCCTATTACCTAAAAAGAGTTAGCTATCTAAAAATGATTCCCATTAAGGTTGATTCGACTGCCTTCCTCTACATCGTGTTTATTATAGTAAGATACTAGAGACTCAGCCTGGCGATAACCTCGCGTAACTTAATTTCGCTATTAGGGTAGAGAATTATCCTAGATCCTTAGGGGTGAGTTCTTTTTCATAATATCTATAGCTAGATACTCTTAATTAATCACTCTCAATTAATCACTCTCAAATAATCACTCTCAATTAATCACTCTCAATTAATCACTCTCAATTAAATACTTCTCAATACCCACCATAGCCAATAAAAATGATTTATTGACAGTCTACCGACTCGCACATCAATTACGCACAAATATCTGACAATAACAGCTTATTGTTTGAAAGGAATCCTACTGTTTTAACTCTACCTCAGCTCCAGACTCCGGGGATTCAAACTGAAGACGGAAAATGCCAGATAAGTCAAGTCAGTTTCAAAAATACAGTCCATATCCTTTAACTTCACCCATACGATTGGCCTGAAGAAGATATACAAGGCCAGCATTTAGAGCATTAAATTGCCTATCATGTAGGGGTTAGACAGACAGTATTGACCACTTGCATGTGTACACTAGCCACAGCGAATCGACCACCAGTACACCAGCAAATCGAGGAGCACAGAATGGGTAGCCAGTCGCAAATATTTGTTCATAATAAGTCAATCCTATGGCATTCTGATTCAAAGACATTCTTGGCTCATCAGAACCACTACCACACTGCATCATTTTGATCCCCTTAGAAAGCAGAGATCGCACTGGCAAAGGCCGAGTTAATCGCCGATGCAGCAAACTGGATGGTAGTCGCATCATCCGAAGCAACCTTTGCCTCAAGCGCAGTAGTGAGCTGATCTGAGAGACCTTGCAGCGTTTTAAGGCTGGATTGGACAGTGCTTGTCTCACCAATATTCGCAATCTCGGATTTCTGTGACCCCAGTAAGATGGTGTCCAACCTGTCACTCTAGAAAGGGACACGATTACGGAGTAACTAAGAAAACGAACATACCTTGCTGACAAGATCGTTGAGGGTGGTGGTAATGATTGGACTCAAGGACGTAATATCATTCGTCGCAGCGGTGCTATCGCTTGTAGAGAAGTCGGACGCGGCCTCGGTGTCACTTATGGCAGTCTTCAGGTCAGACTCGAGGGTGTTCACGTCAGAGAGAAGAGAGAGGGCCGTAATCAGGGTTCCATCCCAGCCGTTGACGTCCTTATCGAGGGTCTGAACGTCACTAGTTATTGTCGTTAGGTCGCTCAACACACTACGCTTGACGACTAGGCCTGCGGCAACAAGGCAGAGGCAGGGAAGGAGAGCAGCCCAGAACTTGAGAAGCATCATCTGTGCGGTAAGAGTGTGTTAATAAGAAAAAATTGATTGAGAGTAACTGTGTCCTAAGAAATTACTAAAGATGTCGAATTGAAAGGGCTATTGAATCCTTTTATGCCCTGCCTTAACTAGGCATGCCTCGGCCTTTACCATAGATGAGGCATTCCTACTCTAGAAATTCCGTACACCAGAACTTCTATTGGAGGAGAATGAATAGCGTCTAATATAGTCTATGTTACGGTTGCAATCGTAGAGATCTCATGTCCACATTTCAGGACGACGAGTGCAAAATTTCTGGAAGGTGCAGAACTTAGGCCGTAGAGTTTAAGGCGGGGCCCACGGCAGATCCCCCTGATGGAGAAGCTTATTCGCTGAGAAATCATGCAAACCCAGCCGCTGTTGCAAAGATACTACCTCCCTACTGCTCCAGCAACGACTGACTCGTCCAGTTCTTCAGGCTAGACTTACCCCGCAATCATGGGTCTCAATAGCTTAGGCCACGGGACGAGCGATTTTGCAGCAGCTCGATTCAAGTAAGATCATCGTCACTCTGCCGAGGTGCCGTATCAATTGAGGATCACAAGTTTCACATGCCTGCTATCCCCACCACGAACAGCTACTAATAGTCGGATACCACTGACCTTTGGAGGCAATATACAACTATCATTATGGAACCCCTGAACACGTATGTAAGGATCTCTGATATCGCCAAAAGTATGACTCACCCTGTTCCTTCGGAAACTGTGATTATGATGAATCATATGGTAAATACAGGAACGACAAAGAAGGGGAGACTGGAGAAAGTGGCAAAGATTTTCACGCAAGCCGCCCCCAGACCTTTCTATATTATTTCTTGTGCGCTCTGTGTAGTATCGTCTACTGTAAGAGCAAGGATTTTGCATCTGCAGAGGTTACCCACGAATCGTCTTCTTTAAAATCCATCCGGAGGCGGTCTATGGCATTTCCTCTAAAGTACAGCGAAGGGATGCCTCGAGATAAGGCGTTGAGCTGAATGAAAGAGTAGGTACATGCTAAATAAAATTGCTCCTGTTAACTTGTCCCGGTTAGATTAGAGTGATGACGGATATTTTCTAGAAAAGCACGCATCCAAGGACCAGTCGCTGTTTCCTAGTCACTCCAGGCCAACCATCATCATCCCCTCCTAATTTAAGGACACGCCACAGTTTTCTAGGGTTTATACACATGCAACTATTTAACGCTTAGTAAGCGTTTTAGATTCTATTTAAAAGTAATTCCTATTTCCTTTTATTAGGAAACTCTCCCTTATTAAGAAGCTCTTCCTAATATAATCCTCGTTCGGAATAATTATATATCTAAATAATATCTAACGAATTAGAACCTCTAATTCGCTAGCGAAAGAACTTCAAAATCTAGACTAAAAGAATAAGGCCGGGGACCTAACGGAGATAATAGTCTATTACCGTCGAGTTTAGAGAATCAGCTTCCCTAAACCTCTTCTAAATAGTTAAGATTTAGAAACGATTATTAATCCGGGGACTAATAGAGAGAATAGTCTATTACTATTAGTTCTAGGGAAACCTAAAGTCTTCTCTCTTTAACCCTCCTCTAAATCGTTTCCTTTTTAAGAAGGAATCCTAGCGATCTAGGGCTTAGGTAGCCCTAGTTAAAGACTAAGAGAGCGCTACCCTAAGTACCCTCTAGGCTAGTACGGCCTAGAAAAGATTATTAATATAAAGTTATAGTTCGCTAGTAACTATTAATTTACCTACCTTTAGGCGTAAATTCGCCTTAGTCTAAAAGAGAATACTAAGTACTAAGATAGCCCTTTAGGAAGAGGAAGATAGTTATAAAAAGAGATCTTTCTATATATCTTTCAGGATAATTTAGTTCTATAAGGGAAACTAATTAAAACTACCGCTTTTCGGTGACGCTTCGGGCCGGTTTAGGCCCTTACTAAGTATATTATATAAACCTTGCTTACTTTAATAATAGGTCTATTCTGCGATAGGCCCTTCTAGAAGGTTTCTATTTAGTAGATAATACATATATATATACAACGTTATGTAGTTAAGAGAGGCTTAAGGATAAAAGGCCTATGTAATAGGGCTCTTTAGAAGATCCTTAAGAATCAATTGATGTTTTGACCTATATGAAAAAGAGATTGATTCGTAGCCGAACCGTTACCATATCGACCATCTTTGTTTGTTTTGATTCAACCACCTTCTACCTGGCCTATTACCTTTTCTATCCTTATAACTAGTTATTCTAAAAACTATTACCCTTCTTGCCCTAGAACTTCTACTAGGGCTGCTTCTTATCTTAAGTACTAAGGGCGCTAGCGCTGGAGGTAGAACCCCGGCGGCCATTATAGGCAGTCGATATATAGCGGTTGAGAGCCGAGTACTCATCGAGGTTACAATCGTTCATATTACTAGCCTCACGGTGACGGTCGCTACTTTCGACATTAGCAGCATAGGAGATCCTCCGCTCCGCTATTATTGCTCCAGCTTCGGCTTATAAAGCCTTTAAAACTTAACGATATAAATAGATTCAAATACACTAAAACTGTGAGCAAGCGATGCTGCGCAGGTTGGGTAAAGAGGAAGATAAATTAAAGATGATTAAATAAGATCGATTGATCTTTCTTCCTCTTGATTGAATAGGAAGGATAAGTTCAATTCGGCTTAGAATCATAAAGATGAGAGAAAAGTAAAGTAGGACTGAAGCTTGGTTGATTGTATTGAATCTTGCTTGTATATGCTGCATGGCGGTCTGGCTTGATAACATCCTGCCCTATATCTCACACCCCCCGTAATCTTTATACTATAGTGCAGATAGCAGTAGAGTATAGAGATTAGTATAGAGTAGATAGGATCGATATATATATATACTGCTATAAGATAGCTAGATATATATCTTCCTAAATCTCAATCTCACAGGGTTAAGTGGTTCCTTCCGCATTCGCGTATAGAGTATGGAAAAACCTATTTAGGTGAAAACCATACTCGAAGGTATCCATGATATTATATATCAAATTGGATATATATATAGCTAGATCTCATAGAGATTAGCTAGATTCTTCAGGTCTTCAAATATTTCTCTTCTGACATTTTTAGTCAGGAAATCTGCTAATTGCAGTTTAGTGGGGACGTATTGAACATCGACCCTTTCTTGTTTGACCTGATCTCTGATATAGTGATATTGTATATCAATATGCTTCGTCCTTTTGTGAAATTCAGGGTTTTCGGCTAGCTTAATAGCTGCCTTATTATCCACTAATATAGTAGGCTTGCTAGGCGTATAGCCTAGGCCTAATCTATCGTTTAGATAGTTGAAGAGATTAGCTAGATAAATAGCTTCTCGTATAGCTTCTTTCATAGCCATATATTCGGCCTCGCAGGTAGATAGAGCTACTGATTTTTGTAGCATCGAATTCCAGCTCACTATATTATTAGTGGCTAGATCTCCAGATAGGCTAAATATATAGCCAGTAGTGGATTTTCTACCATCGATATCGCCTGACCAATCAGCATCAGAGTAGCCTTTTATATATAGGTCATTCCCTGTGCAATCGTAGTGTAGGCCTAGATTTGGCCGATATTGTAGATATTGCCATATCTTCTTTAATTCAGAGATATGTGATTGGTCAGGATTGCTCATATATCTTGAGCAATAGGCAACTGGATAGGCTATATCAGGCCTAGTCTTTAGGCTGGTATAAAGTAATGAGCCAATCTCTTTTTGATAGAGATTAATAGTTTGCTCTGAAGCTTTTGATTGATTTTTTCTTAGGTGGATCCCTGCTTCACCCGGCGTTTTCTTTGGCCGTTTGCTAGTAGTAGCAAATTTTGACAAGATCTTTGATATATAATCATTTTGATCGATAGTTATCGATTGATCTTGATAATTCAGGCTGATATTATTGCCTAGGAAGGTGGCTAATTCGCCTATCTCTTCCAATTGGATATACTGCCTAGCCGCAGTAGCTAGCTTATTTATATAAGCTAGATCTTTGTGTATAATGATTATATCATCAACATGTGTGATGATAATGGCCTGGGTTTTGCCATTTATATATATTCCCTCGTCGATAGGAACTCTATCGAATCCGAGGTTCGCGATAGCCTTTGTAAAGAATTCAGACCAAAGCCTTGGTGCTTGCTTTAGGCCATATAGGGCCTTCTTTAGATAGCAGCACTTATTTTGATGATCTTTTGGCCTATATAGGCCAGTTGGCAAGATAGTATATATATCACTATCGATATCAGCATGTACGAATGCGTTTTTAACGTCGTATTGCCTGATATGCCATTTTTTATTCATCGCGATTATCAGCAATATATGCCAGGTTTCTGTTCTGGCAGTAGTAGAGAAGGTTTCTAGGAAATCAACACCTAATCGTTGATTAAATCCTTGTATAACCCATCTAGCCTTATAGCGAATCGTTTTGTTCGCATTAGTAATATAATTAGCCTGGATGCCTGTGGCATTCTTTATAGGCTTCTTTTTGAATACCCATCTGCCCCTAATAGGTGTTACACCAGGGGGTATATCAACGATTTCATAGGTTGCCTGATCTATCAGGCTTTGATTTTCGTCCTGACAGGCCCTATACCACTCATTCCTTTCAGCTGATTGCATAGCTTGATCAAAGGTAGAGGGTTCTTGATCAGTTCCTGCCGATAATATATAATCGGTAGGCTGATCGTTGATAATAGTCTTTATAAAATCTCCTAGTAGCGTATCTGATATAGTATATATATCTTCGCTATCTTTGGTAGATTTTAATGATGGGATTTGGATCTCTATCTTATGAGACGGATCCGCTGCTATAGCAGCTTCCTTACTAGCAGTTTGCTTAGTAGGCTTACTAGCTGATTTGCTAGTTTCTTTACTAGCTGATTTGCTAGTAGATAGGCTAGTAGATTTGCTAGTATATCTAGCAATCTTCTTTTTGATAGGGTTTGCTGCTTGTTTAGCAGATCTTTTCTTGATTCCTGGTTCCTGATTGGCTAGATCAGATTGATTCT